AAAAGATTGTAAATCCATTATCAATTGCGGTGTTGAGAGAGTGGTGAAGTCGAAGGGTGATTGACGCGTTGTTTTGATCTGAAGGAGATTGTGGTGGGTCGGGCGGAGACTTTTGTCCACCCAGTTTACCATATATATAAATCAGCGCTCTGGAATATCTACTGCTGTAGCGTTTGTAACTTTTTTTAGACGCAGCTTCGCGTCCGGACCCAGCAGCTATTCCCTAATCTGCCTGGTTGCCACCCTGATAGACCAACCAGTGTTGATTGGGCTGATGTCCGACACGTCAGCCAGGCCTATCCCAAGGTCTTTAGACTCCTTACAGATTACAGAGCGAAGAGTGAAAGGCTGCTCTTTCTATATGTATTGATCTTCATCTAGGCATATTAAAATTCGTGTCTTATCCCTGGCTAGGGCAGACGCTGAGGCCCCGGGGCGCGATGTGCGGGCGGAGTGTCAGGCACTGGCATGGGTGATAGCATTGCTCACTGAATTTGTCGCGTGGCCTGCTTTGGGCCACTCCTGCCTAGGAGACCTGCTTGGACGACTTCCCCCCAGGGCTTTGCCCGTACGCGTTTGTGGTGTTAATAGTGATAGTAATGGTGTCAATAGGCCCAGAGCTTTTGACACCGATAGGCGCATAAAAAGTGCTGTTAGTGTTAAAAAAGATAGCAGTATTTAGGTGACTACAAATCATCTCAACCACTAAGCGGGCCTCCCTTTTGTACTCAGACTGTTGTGGTCCGTTGTAGGTGCTTACATAGTTGTCTAGGCAGCCAGCGAGCTGTCCTAAGACCATTTGTTTGATGCGGGCCTAGCGCTCAAGGTCTTCTAAGTGAGGTGCAAAAGCGCTGGCGGCAATATCATAATACCATCCCCCCATAGAAGTCGTACACCCCCACTAGTCGTACAGCCAAACCCCACCATCACTACCAAAACACCCCTTTATTGACTTATACACGAATGAAGCCATTTAGGTCAGAGAAATACAGAAAAATTATCATTTGAAAGCGCTGAAGCTGTTCATGCGTAATATCTAGCCGGCGCCCGAATGGCTCGCCCGGATCGGGATAGGCGAGGCTCCTGTATAGCCTCCAAAACGTCCTCATCAAGAGGGTCATCATCATCTTCCTCTTCGTCCTCTGACTCAACAACTATCTCTTCTTGTACTTCTGCGCGTGCAGCAGGGCTAATGGTACCTCCATGAGATAGTATTTCCGTCATTGTTTTGAACTTCCCATTAGGATTAGGGATCTTCTGCTGCTTCTTTGGCCGTAGCCGCTCCAACTCAGCCTCCAGAGCCTTGATCTTCTGATATTTTATAACAACTTCCGTCTTCTTAGCTTCGAACGCATTGGCTATCTTCCTGTACTTTAGCCTGGTCCCTGGGGACTTATTTTTGCCGAAATTCATGATCTGGCGGCTCGTAATAGGGGTCCGTTAGTCCTCTGGCTCAGAGCTTTCAGGGTTATCAGGCTTAGGGGTCTTTCTCTTCTCTTCTTGTATCTCTGAGTGCTGTAAGCACTTCCTGCGGCTGATAAGATAACATCTAGTGACCTTGAAGCCCAAGAGGATGTTTTGCTTAGTGAAAGCAGAAGTTCTGGCCTTGCTATAGCATCGGATGAAGTTGATCTTGTTAACAGGCGAGGCATCCGTCAAGGAATTCAACTCAGAGAGGAATTTCTGGTAGTAGGCCTTTAGGGCGTTATAAGGCCCGTTATCTAGAGGTTGCATGCCGTGACTAGTATGCGCAGGAAGGGAACAGAGCAATATATTGTTAAAATAACACATGGTCATAAATTCGTCCTATTAACACACGTCAAACCATGATAAATCAGGAAAAATCATATACGTACGGAGGTGTGGCTCTTATGGCCATCTAGTATTAAAAGGATTGCGTTGGACTGGTCTCCTCGTATCTCGTCCGCCTGTGGGAGGAAAACATCTTCTAGCTACTTGCAGGCGATGTCATTCAAAGTCCAGCCATTTTCTCAGCATATATAATGCCAATCTACGGTCTTTCGGAACTTCTCAATGAACCACTGGGCTTGGAGATCCTTCCCCTTGAAGATAATGCCTGGTTTCAGGATTTTTCCAGTTGTTGAGATGGTCTTAATAAAAGAGGTCCAGCTACGGCCCTGAGAACTCTTTAGGAAGGCCTTCTTTGTAGCAGAACTACCCAGAACGAGAGAGTCGATACCTGTGAATCTAATTAGATTTTTCCTGGAATTAAAGGGGTAGGTAGAGCTACCAAAACCCGACATGATGCCGCCTTTATCGACATTATAGGTGTTCTTTGGCTTCACCCAGCCGTAGTCTTCGAGAATTTCAAAGAACCAGTTAACTGACTTAGGTGTAAAGCCCTTAAAGCGTGCTACTTCCATCCTTTTGCCAATCTTAGTCTTGATCTAGGGGTTGCAGCGCTTGAAGGCTGCCATAAAGGTGTCTCCTAGGGGGGCCTCATCCCCCTTTTCTTTCAACACTTTCTTGATGATCTCACGGACTATGGAATGTGAAGGGGCTAGGCCCAGCTTTTCTTGTAGTAAAACCCATCTGGTTATAGTCGTTTCCTGCGCAGGGGAGAGTCTCTGTTGCTGTATATGGGCTTCAGATCATGTAGGCCTGCCGTTGAGTCGATTAAACAGCGTCATGGCCAGAATACCGTGTTTTTGAGCGCTTTTCGCAGCGAGAGGCCCTCATCTGTGATATCTAAGATGGCATTCGCCATCTGATCCTTCGTATACGAATAGGGAGGCAGTTTAGGCGGCTATACGATGCTGTGTTGCATACAGAACAAGGCTTCATGAGAGCCGCGCAAGACCGCAAATATGCCATTCGGGGTAGGAAATGCGGGGTAATTAACAGCCAATCACGTAGGCGCCGCGGGGTAAATTTTGCATTGGGAAAAACCTTAAGATCAGGGCTATCTGGAACACTAATTATATTGTGAATAGCTTCAATATCGGGCTGAAAGCGTATAAGTGAACATGTGGGAGTTTGGGTGGTGATGGTGGGGTTTGGCTGTACGACTAGTGGGGGTGTACGACTTCTATGGGGGGATGGTATCCAGTAGCGGGCTTTCCAGTGAGGTCAATTGTCAGGGGAGCCTGGACATTGGGCAGGCTTCCTTTTCTTATTCCGCTGGTCGAGGTTGGAAGGGGTAATAGGCTCAGGTTCTCGGGTGAACTGAGCAACGTCGGCTGCGACTCTGATAGATCGCTGGGGGGTTGTAAGGGCTGCCATCGTCGAGTGCTGGTTTCGTCCCCTTTGCAGGGAGCGAGGCGGATCTCGAGATTTTGCCCTTAGTGTTTAGATTCAAAACAATGGCGCAATGCCAAGTGTTCAGAATTTTGCTGTGATGTGCGCAGATGTACTAACAAGTGCAAGCGCACGGATGATTTTTACCAGGAAAGGTGTGCGGCCTTCCCTAAGCGGCCTGGGAGAATGATATGATTAGGCAGTCCTGTGTGCTTGCTCCTAGGACGATCGACCGAATATGACGAACGTGCCTACATCGCTTTTGAGGTTAGCAAGGCGACTGGAAGAAGTATCAAGTTACCTGTGTACTTGACAAGATAGCAAGCAGTCTCCGGGTCTTCCATCATGATACCTTGGTGCATGTGCTAGATATAACCATGGGATGATGTAAAGGCGGATTGCGGCTTCCATCCCTATTCCTTCCTACCATGAGTCACTGATACGCTAATACGCCGATGCTATCGGTACGCCTGCGTGGCATTCTCTGGTATATCTATACGATATACGAGGGCAACAGGGCTCAGCAGGCCCCTGAGTGGGCGACTACCGTCGACACCTCTTATTAATGCTATGACTATCAGCAACATCTCTTCGGCGAATCCGTCAACTCGGACTCTACTTCGAGACCCTGTCGCTTGCCTCGTCCTGGCTGTATTGAAGAGGCTCCGCTCCAGGTGTACAGGCAACCGTGCTACACCCGGCGCCTCGACCAATCTGCCAGCGAAAGGTGTCCGATGCCGACAGTATGCTAACCAAGTGCTTTCCAGTGAAGGCCTATACGGCGGAAAGATATTGAATAACTTACCTCTCGTTGAGTCGAGCCCTAGCTCCGAGTCTGAGATATGTGGCGAGTAGTATATTGCGAGTCTTATGATGATAAGGTTATCAAGCCAGATATCCTAATGGCTAGCACTCATGATGTGGTGATACAAGAGCAGCCTGCTGCGCTTTAACCACGCCGCTCCCTAAGGAAAGATGTAGTTCCGTCAACTATCCAACTTCAAAGTAAGAATGGACTATCGAAGCCTTCAAGGCCTAGTTGGAGCCATTCCTCTTCGAATCAGGGCCCGGGACCTGGCAGTGCTATTTTATTCTAAGTATTTACTCTAAAGGCATGCGTGGTCTTTACTGTCATGGGAGAACAATCAGGACGCGTATACTGCCGGCGACAACCGGCAACGGTCAGAGTCACCACAGTGGTTCGCAGCGGTGCAGGTCTCGTATGTGCATAATTCAACTGTCCATCCTATTTCAGGTATCTACATATTGTAGAGGGAGGTCTTACGGCCTCCCCGTCAAGCATCCATGCATCCGCGTCCGAGACTGAGAGCGGCCAGCTGTCCACATCTCTCTAGACATGTCAGGGGCCGGTTGCGCAGCCAAATCAGTTCTCCCGATTGCCCCATGAGTCCCCTTTAGCCGTCATAGAACAGTATACCCCATGTGTGAGGAAAGAATGAAACATGAGGGAAAAGCCTCATAGATAAAAGTACATTCAAACCCGCATGCAAATGTCTTAAGGTGCTATGCCGTCTAAATCAGAAACCAGGGGTGCAGATGTAAATGCTGAGCGCTTGTCCTCTATCCATGCTGAAGACCCAGGTACAAAACACAAGAGAACAGAGAAGAAAGGGGGCGAATTAAGCTAGTCGTCGCGGTCTCTGTTCTAACTGGATGGACTCGATTGGTCTGGCGTAATTCAAAGGCGTGTTCTTCTGTGGATGTTGCTCGAGAATAATATCTCAAGTCAGATTTTTGCTTGACTGGCTGCTGTTCGAACCGGTCCCTTGCGTATGCCCATCTTCGGGCGGCGTCGTGGTGCTTGGTGATACGGCGTCACGCTTTGCATCGTCCCCGTCAACGAGTGATGAGGTGCTCGACCGCGGATGTTTCCTTGTGAAGAAGGACTTGGTCTTCTCCCCAACAAACGACGGTAGCCCGATCTCGCTGTTGTTGCGGCTCCTGGTTGACTTGGATGTCTGGCTGGGAGCCAGCGGCGGCGCGAAATGGCTGTTTCCTGCAGCCATCCTCACTGGAACGACGAGAGGTGGCGAACTGGTCGCTGGCTCGTCTTCACTGATTGCTGGTGGGCTAGGCGCGGGTGTAGTGTGATACTGCGACGGATCGAGGCGCGCTGGTAGCTGAAGAGTAGGGTCCGACATGTGTTTGGCAGGGGGTGTCGGCGGGAATACTTGGCCGGTAGTGTACGCGTCGAGCTTTCTCTTGAGCAAATCTGCTTTGACCGGCTTTGCCAGGTAGTCGTTCATACCTGCGGCCAGACACTTCTCCCGGTCACCCTGGATTGCTGATGCTGTCATAGCAATGACCAGGATCTTATTGACCTCTTCGATCGGATCTCTCCGCAAGAGCTTCGTAGCCTCGTAGCCATCCAATACAGGCATCTGAACATCCATGAGAATGACTTGGTACGGCTTCCCCTCGTTGGCCTGTTGACGCAGCCCCTCAACAGCCTTCAGTCCGTTGTCGTAAGCATCGACTTGCCTATACCCAAGTTTACGCACAAACTGAATTGCGATCTTCTGGTTAATAAGGTTGTCTTCCGCAATGCATATGCGAATCTGATCCTTTGGTATCAGTGTCAAGTCCAGGAAGGGCTTCGAAGGGGCTTCCTTCGCAGCTGGTGGTAAAGCATCACGCGGTTTGTCGAGGATCTGTGCGACTGGAACTGCTTGCACGTCCCCCGCCGACACCTCGGGCTTGGCCTTGTCAAAGGTGACAGTGAACCAAGCAGTGGTCCCGGCGTTCGCCTGGCTGTCCAGCTGGATCTGACCTTTCATCATGACCTCAACGAGGTTCTTGCATATGCTGAGGCCAAGGCCACTACCGCCGTACTTGCGAGCAGTGCTAGCGTCTGCCTGGCTGAATGGCGTGAAGAGCTTGGCTAACTGCATGGGCGGGATACCGATGCCGGTGTCCTTGACCCAGAAGGTCAACTTTGCCTGCTCGGGCGTGTCAGAGTCGATCCGGGCCCCGATAGTGATCGAACCGTCTTCTGTGAACTTGAGACTGTTACTGATGAGGTTGCCAAGGACTTGATGGAGGCGAATTGGATCTCCGTATATCAGCATGGGCGGCAGCTTGATATCTTTTATGATCTGTACATTCTTCTTCGACGTCTTCTCCCGGTTGCTATAGGACACGGCTCTAACGACTTCACGAATCATCTCCTCGGGGTTGAAGGCGATGATGTATAACTTCATCTTGTCTGCCTCCATCTTGGAGAAATCTAGGATGTCGTTGATAACGGTGAGTAGAAGATCGGCCGAGACCTTGATGGAGTCTGCCATTTCTAGCTGTTCCTTGTTGAGATCGCTGTCCCGCAAGAGCTCAGAGTTACCGATGACACCGTTCAACGGAGTCCGCAATTCATGGGACACGTTTGCGAGGAAGATACTCTTGGCCTTGGCTGCTTCCTCAGCAATCTTGACATTGCGGTTTGCCTCAGCTTCGGCATGTTTTGCCTTGGTCTCGGCGTCAAGAGCCTGCGCAAGAGCCCGTTTCTGGATTTCAACCATCGAGTTGTTCTCAGCTGAGACCTTCTCGATCCCCTTCATTGCCAGTGCGTTCGAGTAGCTGATCCCGATTTGATTGACCAATAATTGTAGGACCGTAAGATTTCTATCCGTGAACGATCCTGGCTCACCCTCAAGGTAAAGAACCCCAAGGAGAGGCTTCGAGCCATGGCAAATGGGGATTGCAATAACAGCCTTGCTCAGAGGGTTCCTTTTTAGCCAGGAATCGCTCACGTTCCCAAACCTCTCGTCATTGATAAGATCGGGAATGAAGACAGCTTCTCGGAAACGTGTACAGTATAGAATGACATTCTCCGCCACGAGCGATGTGCCAACTAAGGGTTGCCCGGGTATGTGAGCTGCGGCACCGCGTTCAGGATCGCCACTAGCCGCAATGCACCAGTTGTTATCCTCATCATCCTCATCCTGGACCACGATTGCTGCTTGCGTCGCAGATCCACCGCAGGTCTGTAGGATAACGTCACACATTGTCCTGAGCAAGATGTCGACCTGTAGGACGGATGAGATGACCTGTGACGAGACCAGAATGGCGTGCAGATCGATCATATCGAGCGTGGGCAAGCCAACGCCGGGCTCAGGCTGTGTGGAACCGCGCCAAGCAGCCATCCGTGTTGCCTTCGTTTCCACTACTACTTGTTGCACTAGGTGGGGAACGCCTTCGCCATCGGGTGTGTATCTGACAGGCGCTGAGTCTCCGGCAAAGTCGGTCTGCACGGCAGCCTCGGCCGTTCTCGAATTGCGCGTAGGACCGTGTAGGAGTAAGGCATGGTCTTCTTCGATTCGTTGTGCGATGCCGACGGCGCCGAGCTGTCTCCAGAGGGCGACAGATTCTTTCAGGAAAGCCGTTGCCGACCTCCTGGCGGACCGCCCGATGAAAAGCCCAGCCATCAGGAGGTTCCCAAGAGCTTCCTCAAAGATGAAGTTATACTCCGAGGCATGGTCCAGGGCTGCCTCGTATTGCCGAATAGCGAAGCCATGGTCACCTCGAAGCTCCGCAACCTGAGCCTCCAGCCACTTGGACCACGCAAGGTGGTTCACGTCGGATACCACTTGCCAGTCCATGATCTTCTTGTTGAAGTCTTCGAGTTGCTTGATCGTATCTTGGACTTCATCTTCCAAGTCTGCATTGTTCATTGTAGGGTTGTGTAGCTTTCGCAACACTTGGCCTGCAAGAGCAAGACCGTAGAAGACTAGGACGACGCGAGTGTTGCGAGCCGACCATATCAAATGCAACTGGTCCAGACATCTCCGTCCGAGTTCGCAGGCTTGCTCGTAATGACCATAGAGATACAAGGGGATAATCTCCATGGTTTCGTAGATCAGGACAGACCTGCCACCATTACATGTGGTTGAAACGAGCCAAGACTTGTAGGAGGCCGAATCGTGCTGTTCGTCAGACATCACTGCCTTCTCATTCGTTGAGTAAGTCTTGCCTTGGAGTGATCGGCATAGTTGTCTGACAGAGATCAAGATCGTCCCTCCCCTGGTATCCTGATGCCAACCAGGAAGTTCCTCGCAACAGAATTGGCTGATAGACTCCAAATCCGCGACGTTCTCGCTTGCAAAGAACCTCATCAGGGTCGAGAGACCTAAACTGAGGATAACCGACATACGGTCCCCCGAACTCGCGGCGTACTCGACAGACTGCTCAGCAAGACAGACTGCGGTAGTGATGGGCACCTGGACATGGCTGATGAAGTTGACGTAGATCATGTATCCATGAGCTGCAGAGAATGGGTCTCGATCATTATCTAGAAGTTGCGCACATTGGCTACCAAGCTCTGCGGCAAAGTCAATCATGCTGAATCGTGACAGCGCGATCATTGCAAGATACAGGAATGCCACGCTGGATCGGGAAAAGGGACCTTGTTGTATGTGAAAATGGGCCAATGTGAGGGTGAGATTGTAGAAGTCCAATGTGTCACTCCACCACGCAGCACTGATGGCGTCGGTGAGAGTGGCTCCGATGATGACCTGCCGAGGGTCGTTGGTGCCAGGAGGACTTAGTAATGCAGTTCGATCCATTGACTTGATCTTGGTGGCTAGTTCCATGAACAGTTTATCGCATTTGTCGAATGTTGGTTCCGTATCAATCTCAATCTTCAGCTGGGTCAAAATGTCTTTCAAGATACTGAGAGCAGACTGCGCATTTCCAGTCTGAGCCTGGATGCGGGACTGAAGTAGACAGGCGGCGGCTTTGTCCTCAGCAGTCCTGGCGCTGTTGACGATAGTGTTGATCAAGCTGTGAGAAGCCGCATGGTTCCCCATATAGATGAAGCACTCTGCCGCACCCAGATGCAGCTGGAATGTCTCGTCGTAGGAGACATCTTCTGCCCCTTCTTTCCACGGCTCCGGCTGCAAGAGCGTCATTGCACTGTGATAGTATTTGGTGGCCGTTGGTCTGGCACCATTCTCGATGGCTGCCGCTGCGCATTCTATCAAGTGCTTTCGGAATGGGCGACGAATATGAACACGTGCTTTTATCATGTCAATGGACTCGCAGATATGCGAAGCGGTGTTGTCTTTCAATTTCACTTCCGAGTCACGCTGCTTCAAGAGGGTTCGAGCAATGGCAAAGTGCATCTCATGGGTATTGCACTCCTCCAAAGACTGCGCATTGTGAGTTAGCGACTATCATCACTCGAGGGTGGCCCGAGGAGGTCTTGGAAAATAGGAAAGCGCTGAGTAGTTGCTGTTTCTGGGAAGGGCAATAGGGGCAATGGAAATTGCATGATTGACATACCGCAGCTGCTTGAATGTATCTGGCGTGGGCAAATCGAAAACGATCGTCCGACTCGCCTTGAACGATAATACACGCGTTGACCGCCGCTTGCAATCCGGCAACAGCGTCCCGCTTCGAGTACGGCGTAGGCTGCTGGATATCTTCCGACCCATACCAGTCCTCGGTGTCACTGATTTCCCCGCTTAGGAGTTGGCAGATGAGTTCGAAGGAAAATGAACTCCCCAGAAGAGAGGCCCATGCCAGAATCGACCGCGACGCCGGCGGCAGCTCACTAAGCCTACGAGTAATGAAATCGTTGTTCAATACGTCGTACCCGTGCTCTGCCTTGAATTGTTCAAAAAGCCAATCCAGGTCAAAAAGCCAGCGGCTGTCCCGGTAGTCGTACCAAATGCATTTCTTCCGATAACACGCGCCCAACATTTCCCTTATATAGAAAGGATTACCAGCGGTCTTCGACTGGATCACAAGCGCCAAAGAAACCACGTCCTCCGGTGGTCGACGGAGCGTGGAAGAAACATATTGCAGGATTTCAGTTTCGGTCAGTGGCGACAATACTAACCTTGTGACCTTGGGGTGGCTGGACCTGGGACGCTCTAGTCAAAGTCAGCACATGATCTACTATAAAGCAGGGGGCAAAATGTTTACCCTCATTCTCTGCAGGATGTAAGATTCTCTGCAACTTCTCCTGGGACAACTCCTCGGGGCGGTATGTCAATATCAGTACCATTCTGAGCCTTGCCGCAATGAGTTGAGTAATCAACTCTAATGATTCGTCATCCGCAAACTGTAAGTCGCCGAGACAGAAACATATGAAATGGTGGGTTGTGAAGATTCTCAGTATATCCAAGAAGGTGTTCATCAGCCGGATTGATTTCGTAGAGGTGCCACTACGCACGAATTCTTGTGGGCTCTGTGATGTTATACGGGGGCTTCGAGTTTGTGGATTTCCGGAATAGCTTCCAGGAGACGAGCCACGTCTCTTGAGCGAAGCTCGGTTGAGTCGGCCACCCAATGAGGTCTGCCCCGAGGACGGAGATCTGCTGACTGTGGTCTCTTGCGGGCCAAGAAGAAACTCGGGGAGTCCAAGCAGCTTATGTAGCGTCGGCCACAGGGGACGAACATAGTCCTTGAGTGCTAGGTGGAGTGCAGTTTCCGTGTTTCTCTCACCCCAGACTTGCTTAAAAAGAGAAGACACCAGTTTCAACAGCGGTCCGAAAGCCGTCCTCCGAACGGTGTCAAATTTCGAAGTTGCACAATATCCCCTCCTTCTCGCGTCAGCTAGCACTTGCTGAACGAGGAAACTCTTCCCAAGGCCTCCTGCGCCCTCAATGGTGACCACCTCACAATGACCCCTTCTTCGGAATTTTGCCGCGCCTAGTTGCCTGGAAAGGCTGCTGGTATTAGTTTCCGCAGCGCTGTAACGTGAGACCGGGCGTTCGCTGAGGTTATCTACAAGACTCCTGGGTTCGAAAGAAATAGACTGACGCTCCCTTGGCTGGGCCAGTCGTTGGTTGGTCTGGCCCGAGGGACTTGAAGATGCCGTTTCACCTGGGATGGTTAGAGTATCTGGCCAATTGGTAGTCGGTTGGAGGGCGCTTCTAGGATACCTCGGATCCGGAAAGTGGCCGGGTGTAAAGGTGCCACTCCGTCTGTTTCCTCCTTCGGCAGAGCTTGCGCCTTCGCTGGAGACATCCGCCGCATCGAGGAGGTCGTTAGACAATCCCGAGGCCTCCGAGTAGCGATTCGTGGTCTGAAGACTGCTCATAGCGTGGGTCGTAGACACGCGCTCGATGACCTTCATAAGCTCGGCCTGTTCTTTGTCTCGCCCCACCATGGCCGTTGGTAACATGAAAAAGGACGAAACGTCTTTTGACGCAATCTGCCACTCCTTGAGAGCTAGCCAGTTGCCGTCTACTAGGAACTTCTGAACCATTTGCAAGTCGTAACGCAGACCGCTCGCGGAATGGTAGCGATCCGATGTGTTTTTGGACGTACACTTTTGAATGATGCGGCCGAGAACATCAGGCACGTCAGTCCTCACGTTGGACACCATTGGTATGCGGCGTCCTAGCACGCACTGGACAATGTCCAGAGGTGTAGCTCCAGTGAACACAGGCTGCTGGGTGAGAAGCATCCAGAAAACGACACCCAAGGAGTATATATCAGTTCTCGTGTCAGGCTCCACTGGCATGCGACCTGTCTGTTCAGGACTAATGTAGACGAGCTTGTTCTTGGCCCCGAGCTCCTTGGAGAGTGTCGACCACCCGCTGCTGGTGAGTCCCTGCTCGAACGACCGCAGGCCAGAACCAAACGAAACCAGTTTCACCTGATTTTCTTTTATGTTGAAGTGGAACGCGTCGGCTCTGATTTCTCCATGGACCATGCCATGACGATGATGCAGGATTTCTAAACACTGGGTAGCACCTATGGCAAAGTCGAGGAAGTACATGAGACTGATTGGGGGGTCCAGCCGGAACTCGTCGCGACGATACCCTTCGAACCTATCCTCGACTTTCCGGGCGAAGTAGAAGGCTGGCCCCATGTCCAAGGCTCTGATCAAATAGTTGGGGCCGGGGTGCTCGTATAAGGCGACTATAATAGGGGCACGATCCCCTGGCTGTGGGCTCAGGCGGATCAGGTCGATGGGCCTTACATTATGGGCTCCTTCGGGGTCGGCAGTAGCGATTAGGTTCTTGGCTATGTGGAATGCCCGCTCCTCACGAAGGATGTGGTACGATACCCGCGCGACTATATGCTGCTCTTCTATACTGGACAGGTCGGCGGCGGAGGTCGATGTGGCGGTTGGGGAGATGGCGGATCGCTCGCCACTCCCTTCGCTGTGAGGCGCGAGAAGCTCGGCAGTCGATGTGCGGCTCAGACCGAGCTTGGAAGTAACTGGAGGGCTGGCGAGGGTCTGGGTGGGAGTGGTCGCATTGGTCGAGTACGGCGACACAAATCTGGTGCCGAAGAAATGCCTAGACAGATACGTTGCACGTCAGGGGATACTGTAGACCAGCAGTCAAGCGAGCTACTCTGTTATCTGGGAGGGCGTACCAGTTATCATAGCTCGAATGGAAGGGCCCCTGAGACTCGTCCCATGTATATCCAGCTATCTGTCGAAGCCGTTCGATTATCCGGGCTGGAGGGTCGAGCTGCTCGTCGGGCACGACCGCGGACCCATCCATGATGTCCCGCCACGCAGCACATAGGACACCTGCAACGGCAGAGCTGGAGGTCGGTAGGTCGGTAGGTCGATAGGGATCAGGTTGCTGGAGGCGCAGTACTCATGGCTCGTCTGATTCGGATGATATACTCGCAATGGACTGCAGAGAGTCCAAGCAGAGCAGAGCGGTCACAGTCCCTGGCCGGCGGCGTTGACTACCGACTACCAAACCTATGCAGTGCAGACTGCGTCGGGCTTCGACTCTGTAAAGGTTGGTGTGGCAGTGGTTGTATCTTTAGGTTTAATAAGGGTCTCTGCTGCTCGACCGGCTCGTTTTGGCGTAGGGCGTTCAGAGAATTTGGCGCTTGCCACCTGTACTGTACCTAGACTAAAATAGTCAAGGTAAGGTAGATAGGATACGTAGACGACCCGATGCGCTGCGATACCGATACCAATGCGGCGGACGGAGTGGTCGGGTTGGCGACAGCGACGGCGATAGCGACAGCGGCTTGCGACTCGGCTCGTGGCAGTTGACGGTGGTGTCTGTCCAGTGTCCTTTCTCTCTTTATCTCCAAACGCAGGCGCGATTACGGCATGTGTTTGGCCCTGTCGCCTTGCAGGGTGCAGGATGATGCAGCAGCAGGACAGCGCCTCTGCAGACTGGCCATCCGGGCAGTCGTGTCCTTTTTGAGGTGGTGCTGTTCTGCTGTGGTGCACGCACCGGCAGTACCGGGCAAGTACACAGTACTGCTCGGCACTAACAGGATGCCCCCACCAAGAGAATCCTCCTTACCTCTCACTGCAACAAGACAACAGGCCAAGAAGACTGGGCTGACTGGCTGACTGGTCACTGGCAGAACTTCAACCATCCGTCCTGACTCCTGCCAGCTAATCAGGCAGCTGTTAGGATCGGGAGCTCTCGACTTGGCAAGGGTCCACGGGTAGTTCTGCGCCAAGAGATGATGATGTAGGTGTAGGTGGCATTTCTTCGTCATTTATGTACTAATTAGTATAGCCTCCTGCAACTCTTAACACTTATACATCACCTCACTCTGAACATATCAGGTCTGGATTCCCGTTCAAGCCCAAGGTCCTGAGGCTTTGTTTTCAGACTGTCATGGCCATTGGGAAGTGCTCTTACCAGGTGTATCCACAATGGCTGTACGTGCCGTCGTCGGTTGGCTAATAAATACTAATAAAAGGCACTCAGGATCGACTGCGGAGTAAGTATGGCTCAACCGAATGTGACAAGGCGGCATCCTGCTGGTTTTTGAACACCGTGCCGCATGAAACTACCTAGGTACTTGTCACCATGAGGACGTCCCTAGTTGATGGGCTGTAAGGGCCAGAAGCCTTGTTTTGGAATTCTATACTCTATTTCGTCGCCGCCGTCGTCTCTCTAACGGCGCAACATTACTAGACCCGTTCAATGATTTCGTCACGACATCCTGCTCCAGAAACAAACCCTTACATTCCAACGCTGTCACCATCATCAAATGTCAGCAGCTATATGCCTCGCAGAACTCCTCTTTAGTTCCATCTAGGTCTTTCACACCCCAACGTCAAACCGCGCCGAAGCGCGTGCAACATTCTAACGCAACATGCCCTTCGTTAAAACTTTACTTCACCTGCTTTGATGACTTTCGGGAGTGGCCGCCACTGGTAGAAACCTTGGATCCTGCGCGCTCTCGCGTGGGCAGCTGCACATCGCCGTTGCTCTTGATGGCGGACAGAGGCGCTTGTTGAAGCCGACGCTCCGAGTTCTGTCGGCTGTTGACGAAATCGGGGTAGTTCAACGTCAGCTCCACCGCGCCGTTGACAATGTGGTCGGCAGCCTCAACACCCAACATGAATGAGTGGTCCTGGTTACCAACTTCATATCTCCAGCTGCCGAACCGGCCGCGGGAGTAGATATCCATATCTTGGAGCTTGGGAAGCAGCTGCTTCAAGACGCCCTCGCGCTCGAGAGCGGGAGTGGGGTAGCCGTGGTTGAACTTGCGGTGGTAGGTAGACACAATCTCATCCTCCGGCTTGATCATGTCCGTGTTGATGAGACCCTGGATGCAGTCCTTGAGCAGGTTTGCCTCGTCGACCGGCTTCATGGAAGATTGCGAAACCTCAAGCATGATGGACCAGTAAGGACCCTCCTTAGCCTCGCTGCTCGAGGGCTTGCTGCCGTCCGCTATGCTGATTGTGGGCAGCTTGACATCAGCCTGGGGCTGGTTGTAGGGAGAGTAGTTGGAGAAGATGGTGGCGCGGTAGAAAGGGCAGTTGTCCTCAGGGTAGTACAGCTACGTGGATGGTTAGCCTAAGCGTACGATGAAGATTGCGCGCGTGACTTACCCAGCACTTGTCACCAATGCGCTCAGGACGTTCACCCCGCAGACCGACACCAATGACGTGAGTCGACGAGTAGTAAAGACCCTTGCTCAGGTTAACCAACTCTTCATTACCCATCTTCTCAACCAATTGGTCAACGTTCATGGTCGTAATGAGCTGCTGGTACCCAATCTTGGTACCATCAGTCATGGTAACCACCTTCTTTGCGGCGTCAACCTTGGACACCGCGCCCTTCTTGCCGAATCGCTTCTTCTCGTCAGGCAGAGTCTTGGCAACAGCGATCCAGATACCACCAGTTCCGTCGCGAGCAGGGAACTTGAAAGTCGCGTTGGGACCCCAGTTTCCAGCGACCTTGCCGAGAACAACGTTCTTCACGACAGTCTTGACGTCAGGAGCGGCGACACGCTCGCCCAACCATTCAGCTTGCATCTAATCACCGCTGATTAGCACATGAAACCACCATTCGCAAGGGAGTAAGTACATACCTTGGTGGTAGGAACGGCCCAGACCTTGTAGTTGTAGGGTCTCATGAAGGCGTTCGCGATACCCTCACCGGTCATGCGCATGATCCACTCGTCGAAGTTCTTGGGCTTGGTGTTGGCAACACGCACTTCCAAAGCGGCGTCAATCAGACCGTCCAGACATTTGACCTGGTCGTCCTTGGGCAGTATGGAAATGTTGTTCTGGAAAGGGTACGGAACCCATAGACCCTTGTAGCGGACGTACGAGATACGCTGGTGGGTGAACCAGTCGTCATCGTTGGGGAGAGCCTCGTTGATGCAGTCGTCGAAGTACTTGTAGTGGGAGAAGATTACATGGCCACCGACATCGTAGAGCTGGGAACTCGGTGGTTAGCAATCGCGAAGTGACACAGACAAGCGAAGTAAAAGAGCAGACTCACGAAACCCTCGGGAGTGGTGTCGGTGGAGGCCAAGCCACCCGGGATGGGATTGGAGTCAACTATCAACCACGACGCTGAGTTCTATCGGATAGCATTAGCCACAATGTTCGAGCACTCCCAAAGAGGCGGTCAAGGGCTCACGATCTGGTTCAGGCGTTTGGCAGCTCCCAGGCCAGTAGGTCCGGCGCCAATGACGAGGACGTCGACGTTGATGTCGGCCATTGTGAATTGTGAAGATTGATAAGCGAGTGAATGCTCAGGGCTCAGGCGCAGAACAATGCTCTATGAGGCTGCGAAACGGAGGGCGACAAAAGGTGGTGAGGAGAAAGGGACCTTGAAGGGGGTGCGGTCGAGGAAGGTGGGAGGTTTAGTATTTTCCACTTTCCACCAGGCCCGCCAGCCCGCCAGGTCAACACTGGAGTCTGGAGGGGCAAGAACCCCTGTCCCCGCTTGCCTAAGATTGATTGGTCAACCAATGCGTGTCGAGAGGTAGTGTTACGACACGAATGGGGGGTTGTTTGGGGTGGTCTTGGGGAATAATAAGGTTATGTAATCGAGGAGTATCTTGCGCATCTACACATCTACACATCTTTCAGGGTTGGTGACACGATCAATTGGAATGTAGATTGTCGTTCCCTTCGAGTCGAGTATCAATTGCAATACCCAGCATCTCAGACATCTTGACTTGCACACTTTCTGGCGTGCAGTGCTGCACGTGTTCTCGAAGTGGCGGTCGGGAATCGAGACACGTCTGGACCGGCTGTGTGCAGCACTACATATGGCAGTATGGGTCCCGCGGTACTGGGCATGATTGCCACCAAACCTTTTATTGCGTCGGCCTTAACTCGATACGGACTACCTATGCAGCCATGATTCGTTCAAAAGAGCCATGCGACTGCCTATTCGCTACTAGTCTTAGTAAAACAGAGCCCTGGGATGATATTGATAGGGGAACAGTTGACGGTTCCATGCAGCCATGTTGGCGAGTCGTGATAGACGGGCAGACGGGCCAATTCAGGCATTCAGGGGAACCCGACCCTCAAAAAGGGGTATGCAAGCCAACATTGAAGTCGGTGTCGATCATTGCTTGTCGCCATCCATCAACGAAAATGAGTGTTTGCCCGGCCGGCGAATGACGAACACATGTGTATGGGTTTGAAGCCCTTGATAGGAGCGATTGTCTGGATGCAATCAACAGAGTAACGACGCTGAGAGCCTGAGCATGATTGCTGTGAGTGATTATCTTGCAGTGCAATCTTATTAAAATTATGAAATTGAACCTCATGAATTGTATCACAGCCCCTGTACACGTACTCTCCACACCAGCCCGCACTGCTGAACGTGAGGGTGTGATAACTTCGTCATTCTAGTCCCTTACAATAAGGCGAGCCGGGTAGCGGTTTCAGATTCAAGATCAGATCTCTCTTGCAAGTTGCGGGTTCTTTCGTTCTGGGCGTGCACCGAACCTACAGGCTACATGCTACATGGGCTGCAGAATCTGACAGGTGGTGTTGCTCTTGGAGTTGAGCGGGCAATGAAAAAAATAATTGTAGTTTCAACCTGGAGGTAACTATGAATTGGCAGAGGCGTTCAGAGCCGTCTCCCTCCCTCCATTCCCCTGGCCCCTTCCGAGGAGCTATGCGCCTATGCATACAGCCTCCCGCCACCGGGCACATACGCTGCCATGCTCAGGCCATGCTACGGACGGTGATTCGTTTGTGATACCCATTTACACATCCGGTCAATCATATTATCAGGTGACCCGTGAGGATCGGCTAGGTAATTTCAATAACGTCTTGTCCCGTGCATACCCACCCGTGCCGTTGTGAAGGCCCGTGAGATGCTAGCCGAGCCAGCATCTGCTTGCTCACTGGCTCATCAGTGATCACCGCCACCAAGGTGGTGAAGTGCACCTACTACCTTACTACACGGTACGACGATGCTCCCTGCAGACAATTGCAACCTACTACGCCACTAGTACCCAGGCGGCAGTACAGTTTTCAGTCGGGCTGATAATCTCCCACAAGATATAACTGGCAGCTGTTTCAAGCACCAAGGACCAGGTGGTTCCGCACCAAGGAAGACATATCAAGATCTACAGTCGATGACTTCAAATTCTGCAGGGCCGTCGTCTCATGTTGATGCGGATGGCAGCCAGATCAGCATGACTTTTTTTCGAGTGTTTGAAAGTCCGTCGGCTGTGCTAACTAACGTCGCTCACAAAATACACGTGTCAAGTACCGGTAGTCAAGCATATGATATATCCACGTCCTGCTAAAAATACTCCTGTTAGCGATCTACAGTAGTGTTGGCCAGTATGTCTTGCTACACATGAAGCCATTTTGAATCCAGAAAGGACCACGCAAGAGGATTGAAATGGCCATGAATGATGACTTTACCCATTGGGCCACTGCAAACCTCGCTTGCCGACAAGACAGGTTGTGGTATATTGCTGCAGTGATGTTTGTTTGAAGATTGGATGGATGTCTCCAAGCCAGCACTAGGGCTGCCGATGTGCCATCGTGCAAAAGCCGACAACGCTCGAAGGGGGTTTGCCGCGATGCTATAGGCAATCTTTAGCGGACTGGATGGAATATCTATCGAACAATCCCTCCGGCTTCTATGTCGTCTTTCTTCCCTGGTCGTTACCTCATGTATCGAATTACCGAACATGTGCGCGGGACACCCAGCGGCATGGCTGCACTGCAGTTGGCAGCGCCAGAATAGAAACTCTGATCCTACATGTAGTACGTGGCCTTACTCCTGGTGGCTCTGGTCTCGGTCCAGGCCACGCAAGCAACATTCATACTCGTGGCAGTCATCCGGATTTGCTTTTCACGATGTCTGATGCCCCTCACTTGGAGGGATGCCACCTGGTCCAAAGGAACTGGAGGCTTTCTCTTTTCTGAATGAATGACCCCTACGTCGATGCACGGGCACGGAGGCCGGCCCTGGTTCATCACCCAGCCTCAACCAGCCGGTCCGGGAATAATTATTGACATGAATAATAACATGTTGCTGTTCGGAACCCGCTCAGTTGATTGGCCCATGAGCCGCTGTACTCGGATGTAGTACAATGATTCAGTTGTAGCACAATGATTCAGCGAAGACACGGCTTGTATGCAAATAAGTGTGAGTTTGGGCTGCCTAGCAGACAGAACAGCCCGAACGGATAGCCGACTCCGGATGCTACCGACATGTGTACCAGACGCTTCGAGATCAAGTCGTACAGTTTTGTCTTCAGACGAGGTTGCGTCAGCAGCCGCAGCAACAACACCTCAGTGTCGGTGACTGTCAGTGAAGGATTGGGATACCCGGGCACAAAGCGCGGTGATCAATGCCCATTGCCAACGTCTTCAATGTTAAAAGCAAAAGGGGGGGGTGGGCTTGGCACAGTATTCAAGGTGGCGGGTCGTTGCGGGACGCTGCGGGCACAGTGTGAGAACGGACATTCAACGGTATTGGCACGCCTACGTGGATGTACCATGTAATTGAGCACCCCTTGAAGAGTGGGCCGAACACCCCCCCGAGCCCCCAAGCAGAAACTCTATGTCCCATCTTGCACTAAAAACTTCGTGGCTGTCGTCTTGTCGCTTCCTGGCAAGTCCTGTCGTCCTCGCTTCTACAATCACCACCAGCACCGCCGCTATCGCCATCGCCACCACGACGGCCATCACCTTCTTCTCCTTCAACCGCCTCTTTCCACCGCTCCTCATTCTCAAACCCCCCAAACTACCTACACAATGGCCGACGAGAAGGAAAGAAGCTCGGGCGAGATCCCACGACCCGAGCCCAAGGGCCCCATCCTACCGACCACCAATAGTGATGCCGAGAAGTCGCAACCCCCGAAGTCCCCAGTCCATCCGGCTTTCTACGTGATGTACGTCTACGATTCTCCTCGAGCCTTCTCCGCGTCCGACAGCTGACAAAAACCACTGTAGAACATGGATCAGTCTCTCGTCCTCGGTCATTCTGTTCAACAAGTGGATTTTGGACACGCTCGACTTCCGTAAGCACCCCGACAACTCGCAATCAGTACAAACACACAGTAGAGTGGACAGAACAATTCCACGCAATGCCTCAAGTTCAACGGTCTTTCTATGGACAACGTACTGAAATGAGCGCTGAATGGCTTCATGTGACGCATTGCGAATCATTCTGTCAACTCAGCTGCATGGCATAGACACGATCTGACACTTCCCAGGCTACCCCGTCATTCTGACCACCTACCACTTGACCTTTGCGACCGTTGCCACGCAATTGATGGCCCGCTACACCACTCTTCTCGATGGCCGCAAATCTGTCAAGATGACTGGCCGTGTCTATCTGCGTGCCATTGTTCCTATCGGGCTCTTCTTCAGCTTGAGTCTGATCTGCGGAAACTTGACCTACCTCTACCTCAGTGTCGCCTTCATTCAGATGATCAAGGTACGGAACGCCCAAGTTAGCGCAAATATACAGCTCGCTGACATGTGAAATATCAGGCCACCACCCCAGTTGCCGTACTCCTGTCGAGTTGGGCTATGGGTCTCGCGCCTCCCAACATGAGACAACTGCTGAACGTCTCGGCTATCGTCGTGGGTGTTGTTGTCGCCTCGTTCGGTGAAATCAAGTTCGTCTGGATCGGATTCCTCTACCAACTCGGCGGTCTTCTTTTTGAAGCTATCCGTCTAAACCTGGTTCAGGCACTTCTCAGCTCTGCCGAATACAAGATGGACCCCTTGGTATCCCTCTACTATTTCGCCCCTATCTGCGCCGCCATGAACGGTGCTGTTGCCCTGATTTGGGAAGTTCCCAAGGTCTCCATGGGTGAAGTCTACAACGTCGGACTATTCACCTTCTTCCTCAACGGAATGTGCGCTTTCCTGCTCAACGTCTCAGTTGTTTTCTTGGTAAGTTCAAGCATGATCTGCTTCTAGTTTCAAGGGCTAACTTTCTGCTTAGATCGGCAAGACTTCCGCTGTCATCATGACCCTCTGCGGTGTTCTCAAGGATGTCCTGCTGGTCCTCGCGTCCATGGCTATTTGGGGCACTCCCATTTCCGGCCTTCAAGCCTTTGGCTACACCATTGCCCTGGGTGGCATGATCTATTACAAGCTTGGACTCGAGTCCATCAAGACATACGCTGGCGAAGTTGGAAGGCACTGGGCTGAGTTCGGCGCTACGCGCCCCGCCCTCCGCAAGGTCGTTGTCATCGGTGCGGTGCTTCTCTTCATCTTCGTCCTATTCAGCGGGCTGGCTCCAACATATGCCCCTGAATATAACCCGTCTCAATACCTTGCTGGCGCGGCTGAGAAAGTTGGCGTATCCTCATAACCGAGTCGATATGACGGACAAGACGACCACCTCCTTTTCACCAAATGTCTTTCTATTCTTCTAGGTGTTCGGAGGAAGTGCCGTAGGACGGCAAACAGGAGGGGTCAACGTTATGAGACGATATGAATGGCGTTTCCCCTTGATTTCTTCGAGTACAGACTTGCACAGATTTGCTGGGTTGGAGAATTCTCATTTGTTTGGGCGTGGGCAGCGGTGGTCACGCTACGTGTACAGCTATACCGGTAGAGGGCGTCAAGCACAAGGGCTGTGTTTGGCCCCGATGACGATTATGGGCCACCTAATCATGTAACCTAGGCGGGTCTGGGAGCATTAGATCCGAAGTATCAAGAATGAGAATGTTAAAAATCAATCTTGTCATGTGTCAGATATCTGTTGCCAATGACCGTAGAGTTCCAACGGCAGTGAGAAATGCCATGAAGCTGTCTCTTCACGCCGTCTCTAAAGGGCGGTTGGCGTGTAACCGACCTTGATGGGTGACAATGGAATTGCTGCCCGATAGTGATGCTAGCCTTCTGGATCAACGCCCCTCTGACAGATTGTAGAGCAAAGTCCGCCTGGATAGAGACGACGCCGCAGCAAGAACACCCGTGTGGAATCACGTATGGGGCGTTAGTGCATGATAGCATTTGAACGCGGCCAAGACCATTGATGACGAGGTATTCGGAGGTCCAGCTGGTTGCTCACTTTGATGATTGCGGACCGGGAACGTGCCAAGGCGGAATTCTCCAAGCTGATGGAGGTATCTTCACTGGTACCTCATAGTTTTCAAACCGAGCTTTACAAATCTAACAGGGGAAGACTCCATTTTAGGTGTAATAGGAGAAAGCTCGAGTTTCTGTAGATCAGACGAAGATGAAATACGCGGCCTGCCGGGAGAGACACCACACACTCGCACGAACCAATCGAACTAGTCACGGAAGTTGCGGGCGGCATCATCACTGAGGGTCTCCTTCGGCCTGGGTTTCGAGACAAGATCACAGTTTATAAGGTTCACGGAAAGAACAGTGGTGTTGTGTTCGTAAAAGCATATCTTTCATTTCCGATGCTTTTTCAATCGGGAAGAGCAAAGACCCTGGAGGCTCCATATGCCATTGTATGATGCGAGTTACATCCCAGACCAAACCCCCCTAAAGACCGAACGACGGAAGTTGCGCAGAGGAAAGGATCAGATCAGAATTCTACGCAGCAAAGTCAGCATATAGCTCCGCTTCCAGGTATGTGAAGGGATGGTAGACGACGGGCCGAGCGATGGATCGAGGCGAGTGACTGCTGGGGATTGTGACATACTCAGAGGCGTGAAGAACCATCTGTTCTTGCCGCTCGTGTAGCGCTCCTCCAGGACCTTCTTGACAGTCTTCTTGGCGTCCTCCCGTTGGCTGACCTCCTTGAAGGTGTCGGCCGACAGCGCACCCTTCAGGCCCTCCAGCTCGAGGGTGTATCGCGTGGGCATCAGGTGGTTGTAGTTGATGGCCTTGATGAAGGGCTTGATCTTCGACCGCTTCTCCTGGCGCGACTTGGACATGCGGCGGGTGATCTTGGACGGGTAGCGCTCGATGCCGGCGACGAGGGCGTGGCCGTACGGGTGTGCCTTGTTGCCGCTGTCGACGGGCTGGATGATCACGACCTGGAAAACGACCCTTGTTAGAACTGATAATTGTTTCCAATCCAATATCACAGGTTGTGAACAAGAGATGCTTTCGCTGGTCTTCCTCCGCCATCGATCTGGGCCGGAATACAATCGTGAGATCGTACGCTCCCCATCCCGCATCTGCAGTTTTTCTGGACCTCCCACCCAATGTTTTCAAACGTACCTTCTTTCCGGCATATCGGCCGCGGGTGATGATGGCTACTCTGCCGACCTTGAGGAACTTCATCTTGGCTGTCGCAAAGGCAAGAGGAAGTCAGGTGTCGTAGGTTTGGGTGGTGGTGGTCGATTGGTCGTCTCGGTAGGAAGATGTTCGCGATGATGGCTCAGAAAATGGAAACTGTGCCTGCGAAAATTAAGCGACCTAAGGGTTTTGGATTGATTGGCTCTGCTGCGTGTGGTGGGGTCGTCGGGCCGTGTCAACTGTACTGGGGTGGTCAAAGCTTCTCCGGATACTAAACTGCAGCACCCGACCACGCCCAACCTTGCAAGCATGCAATGTACAAGTCGACTTTGCGCCATTCGACTTCTTGACACTCAACATTGAACGCGGACTCGACCACTTATCTCTACCTAGGACTCCTTGGCCCTTACATCACCTCGATATCTGGAGATGGCTCCTCCCACCTACATCATCTCGCGGGTGGCAGACCCGATCTTCGCGCTTGCTATCGGCCTCAGCGCCGCGGGTCTGAGGATCAATCGCGAAGAGAAAGAAAAGGGCAAGACGACCCAGCAGACCATAGAATCTGCTAAGAGGCATGCGACATATCTGTCATACTTTCTACGTAGTATACTAACCGTTGTATTATTTGCAGACGCATTAACATGACCATCAACTCCATGCAATAATCCTCTAGTTGAACCAGCCGAGAGAACAGATAGACGACAATCATTGAGCATTATAAACCCAATATTGTTTTATTGGGTATGAAGAGTTTGCGCAAGGTTCTGTCGTCCTACAGACCAACGAATATCTGACGGTTCTATACGGACCGCTGTGATCACTCCACCACGCAATCGTCAACACCGATAGCCCTTGGGACAGCCTCTCGTATCCAAGACCCTGCCGCCCCACCTCCGCCACTGCCGGTACGACATCAAGGACGAACCGACGGAGCTAATGGCCGTATATCAAGTGGCTTGGATAGGACCATCTGCGTTGCTATCAGGGAGGATTCATAGGTCCAGCGGCTACTTTGACAATGCCACAACGTCTTGGAGCCTGCCATGTTAGCTTTCAAGCCGCAAATGCTGGCCCATATTCTTTCTTCATGGCTTCATGAACCATCTGCCCGCAGAGCTTCGCAGTTGGGTTCGTGCTCACGGCCAATCCCCTGGCTATCTCGTTACCATATCTGCCTCCCAACGCGAAGTCTCTTGATGCTGCCTCTTCAAAGTCGATCTTGGTCCACGTTGCCTCCTTTCTTCCAGCAACCCCAGCAGTACTGTCGAACTGAATCGATTTGGCGGTCATATGATATACTGTCGCTCTCTGGGTGTGCGCGAGCGACAGCGTCTTGCCCGCCTGGGGCGATATTGAGGCGAAGAGAGCTCTAGGCGTCAGAAGCATGATAGCCTCGTCGAGATCGGACAGAGTTGTCACAGCCGCCTTCGATTTCTCGGCATCGTCGGCTGCTTGTATCAACGCCCTTGAGTCACGGTGCCCCGAGAGCATCATCGTGTCTCCGTACAGCCTTCGCAATGCCTGCGCCCTGTTATTTCGGACACTGGCATATCGCGGGTATTCTGAAACCAGTTGCCCGAGTTCTAGAACACATTGGCGATATTCTTGAATGGGATCAGCCCCTGTGGCGGGCTTCAACCCGGCGAGTTGCATTTCCAGCTGCTGCATGGCCATCACAGTCTCCCGTTCTTTCTGAGCGACGCGCTTGTATACGGCTGCATCCGTGACGTTCGGATCTTTGGGCAACGTCGAATCTACAATGACCGCTGCTAAAGGGTTTGATTCGGGATCTTTGATCTTTTCCAGGACATTGAAGTCGTGGCGGGTTAGGCAACCTTGAGCCATGTCGAAATGCTTTAGTGAGCTCTCAAGTCCTAAAGAACGCGGCTGGTGGACAGTTGTCGTTTGAACCAAAGGTGGCGAGGATAAGGCACCCCCTTTACTCCGTGATTGTTGGAGCGTCGTGGCGGGACAAGCCGAGGCAGGTATATATCAGATTGATGTATAAAGGAGTTGCAACCTTCTCAGCAGTCGATTTCGCTTTTTGATGGACAAGGTCGGTGGCTGGAGACCAGCAAGTGATGTTCCTCGAGGCGACGGACGATCTTCGTGCGGCTTTGCAGTCTGCTCTGACGGTTTCCCGGTATTCTTCAGTTCGGAATGACTGATGATAAGCAACAATGCCGCCCGTCCTAGCCGTGTGGGTACGACTTGCCTCTCCTGATCAAGGTTGCCGGTGGGTGGCCTCGGGAGTGCGGCGGCTGACAGGTAAGGCACGGCTACCTTCGGCTAGTCACGCCTCTGTTCCCTCTGGCGCATATTTGGGTTCACGGGTACCGCATCGAGCGTCGAGCATCGACAATGACATTCGCCTCGAGCTTGGAGGTACTGCGGAAAGCCAATCTCGGGTTCGGGACTGTCTGAGGGGCGGACTCGAGTGATCGCTACCAGTAGTGTCACGTATAATGGGTCAGGCGAGCGCGGAATTGATACCGACCCCGAGGTATCCCTCGCTATCCGCCAACGGTCACGGGTGTAAGTCATCAACGTTGGCTGACTTTTAAGAGGTCTGAACGAGTCGTCTCTCTTATCTGAATAGGTTTACTACTGTTAAACTCTTCGTTTTTGGCTTTGAAGTTTATTGGATAACCAGGAATTTCAGTATCGAACTTCACCATCGTCGTCTCTCTCTACCCCATCTATACCCAGACATATCTACATCTACACCCACCATCACCAACATGGCCCCCTCGGCACTTCCAGACTCTCCCCTGCGGCCAACAACGTCGTCGACGCTCCACCCGTCCCACGCGGACGAGTACGCCGTGCAGGCGGGCGTGCCCAACTTCGAGGGCTACGACCACATCACCTGGTGGGTGGGCAACGCGAAGCAGGCAGCCTCGTACTACAACACGCTCTTCGGGTTCCAGACGGTGGCGTACCGGGGGCTCGAGACGGGCAGCCGGCTGTTCACGTCGTACGTCGTGGCCAACGGGGCGGTGCGGTTCGTGCTGACGTCGCCGATCCGCTCGCACGCGCACATGCCGGCCGACGAGTCTTACGATGACGACGAGCTGCGGCTGCTGCGCGAGATGCACGCGCACCTCGAGCGCCACGGCGACGCCGTCAAGGACGTGGCGTTCGAGGTCGACGACGTCGAGGCTATTTATAATCACGCCGTCGAGCAGGCGGGCGACGACGACGACGACGACGGCGCTGCTGCTGCCCTCGTCGGCGTGCAGCCGCCGCGGCTCGTGCGCGACAAGACGCACGGCGAGGTGCTGACGGCCGTGGTGCGCACGTACGGCGACACGACGCACACGCTGATCTCGCGGCGCGGCTACACGGGCCCGTTCCTCCCGGGCTTCGTCGCGCGCTCCGCCGCACCGTCATCCCTCCCCCTACCCGCCGTCGACCTCGTGCGCATCGACCACTGCGTGGGCAACCAGTCGTGGGACGAGATGGCGGCGGCGTGCGCCTTTTACGAAAAATGTCTCCAATTCCACCGGTTCTGGAGCGTCGACGACGCGACCATCTGCACCGAGTTCAGCGCGCTCAGCTCCGTCGTCATGAGCAGCGCTAGCCGCGCCGTCAAGATGCCCATCAATGAGCCGGCGCGCGGCAAGAAGCGCTCGCAGATTGAGGAGTTCTGTATCTTCCACCACGGCCCGGGCGTCCAGCACGTCGCCCTGCTGACCGACGACATCGGCGCCGCCGTCACGGCCATGCGCGCCCGCGGCGTCGAGTTCATATCGGTGCCGCCGACGTACTACGAGGAGATGCGGCGCCGTCTTGGTAGTGAGAAGCGTAGCTGGGAATTACACAAGGACATGGCCACGCTCGAGCGCCTCAGTATTCTGATTGATTATGATGAGGGCGGCTATTTGTTGCAGCTGTTCACCAAGCCCGTCATGGACCGCCCTACCGTCTTCGTCGAGATCATCGAGCGCCACGACTTCGAGGGCTTCGGCGCCGGCAACTTCAAGAGCCTGTTCGAGGCCATCGAGCGGGAGCAGGCGGAGCGGGGGAATCTGTGAAAAACGGGAGGGCTGAATTGGTAGATGGGTCGGTGGGTACCAAGCCGTGGTCGAGGCCTGTGGGAGGGCAACTTAAGTGGAGATATGAGGGAGAGTATTTGGGTTCATGGCGGATGAGTACCTACTCAGGAGGTAGGGAGTAAGTAATCTCCTTGGGCATTGAATAGGGGTGATGAATCAAAGCATAGGCTGGTTTTAGCTTGTATGATATACGAAACGACTCATGATTTGACGAAAGGGGCGACGCATCCGCATCAGAAGGAAGCATGCATGCTGGAGAATGTCGCTTTCATTCGACAGCGTACGCCTAGATAGTAGTATCTACTACCAGAGAGCGTCATTCATCCAGATCTCTTTGCTCTCAAGCGGTGAATGAATCAAGGGATTCGAGGGGCTCATGTCCCTCATATATGCCCGAAGACCAGAATTCAGGGAAGCCCCTGATGCCAGTGTGCTCCACAACGCCCCTTTCCAATGCCGTAGTTTCCGATGCAGCCGCGAATGCAGTCTAATATCACTGAGTAGAGTGAATATATTTATAGATCGTAGAGACAGACCTCTTAGAGCCAGTAACGCGTCAAGGGTCTATCTCCATCGCGCCGTTTATGTCGCCGTTTTGTTGCGCGCCTCTGGTATCGCTCTGGCAGCCGGGGCAATTATGTAATACCTCGTGCGCGAAGAGATCGCAGTCTATGCAGAAGTGGCTGCGGCAGACCTCGCACGCATATCTACCCGACTCGCTGAGACCTTTCAGGGGCAGTCGATCTGGCTTCTCTTTGCCCTTGCCTTTGCCCTTGCCTTTGCCCTTCGCGCCGCCCGGTACGTCCGGAAACGGTGCTAGACAGGAGCAGCACGCCTTGGACCTCCTGGCCTCGGACCATGGGACTTCGACCCAGTTCCGTAGGGGGAAGAGGTGGTGGTAGGATCTCGCCAGGTGCGTTGACAGAATGAGGGTGAGTCCGCACCCGGGACACTCAGCAGGCAGTCGACAGACGCGGGAGCCGCACCGCGTGCAGCCGTAGCCTTCACGCGTCGGCCGGTTGTGGCAGGCGCAGTAGTTGATGCTGTCGCCAGCAGCGAGGGTCCGTGACGGGAAGCCCATCATGAGCAAGCTTGCGTTGCTCTGTTCCTGTGTCCGCGTCACGGGGGGTGTCGTGACGGCTAGCAGTAGGTCTCTGAAATGTTGTTCGTGCAGCGCTATGCTATAACTCGAGTTGTCGCCTCCGTTCGTCTTCGAGCACAGTTCTTCGCAGATGGCCACCTGCGCCGCCAGTCCCACGATCGACACTCGTATTCGGTCTTTGATAAGAGACTGTATTGTGTCGTGGATGTCTCCAGGGTCGCTGGACATCAGGGCACCATAAACTATCACAACTTCTCGCGTTCCGTGCGTTGGCGTGTGGCTGCGTGGAGATAGTCAGCTTTCCAGGCTTGTTACGCTGACACAGAGATGAAGCTGGGAGGGAGCACCCACTATAAAGCACCTCGGCACATCTCCAGCGCATTCTGCAGGCTGGGGCTCCCCTGGGGTTCCTGCTTGACCCATTCCTGGATCTTCTCGAGGTGCTCTGTAGGGTTGCCGCTCATGTCGCTTATCCGCACGGCCACGCCATCCCGCATGCCGATGACCGCAAGCTGTGATATGGGGTTCTGCTCGAAGTACTCTCTGACGAACTCGGAAGCGTACGCCATGCTCAACTCGTGTCGACTAGGCAGCAGGTCCTTCTCCGTCATGGCAAAGGACATGTCCAACACCAGAACCAGGTGCCGTATTATACCGCGCTGTAGAGGTGTTGTGTCCTTCAGCAGTCGCGCGCGCTTCTCTGCTTCGGCAAGCCCTTCGATGGTGCCCGCAAGCGTCCCGTCGGCACCCTCGACCACGGCGTCCCAAGATCGTTGAATGTCCTCCCAGGCGGCCCTCCCACCTTTGCGACCACTCTTCTTAGGCCCGTCAGCCCGTGACCGCGATCGCGTTTCGAGCTGCGACCCGGGTGCGCCGCTGAATTCGTCGTCGGAGGCATCGCCTGCATGGTATTCGCCATCTGAATCCGCCATTGTAAATGCGAAGGTGTGTGTTGGTAGTAGTATGTTCGGAGGCGCGAGCGGTGGCGGTGAAAGCGTGAGCTAGGGAGCGGCGATGCTTTTCGGGTCTAATTTCAGATCGCAACAGGATCGACCGGCAGGGAGGAAGAAAGGGAGGGAAGAGACAACGAATGTAGCGGCCGAAGCGCAAAAGATGATTTTTGGTCAAAGCTCAAGGCATGGCTATTCGACTCATGCGCTTCTGGCGAAATGGATTATCCGCCACACAGATAGGTGCGTGCCCGTTTTTGAGAACGCCAGCGGTCAAAAAGGCTCGGCAAAATTGAGGAAGAAGATGGTGTTGTTGATGGACAAGACTGGCGAGGCTATGACTCTTCTCAGATACAGCTGTCAGAGATTCACAGCCTTGTCCGTGACGCGAGCAAGAGCTAGCTAGCCTGCCTGGCCAATCACATCAAGTTCTGCTTAGTTTACTTCGGAGCTTTCCCCTTCCCCTGCGCATGAAACCACCACCATCCATGCGACCATGCCACCATGCCACCAGGCGAGATCTTGGGAGTGGATGCATTGTGCACAGTATCAGTCTGAACTTTTACGACGCAAAGTCGAGCTATTTAATTCTATCATACGGCATCATATACATTACTCGCACTGGGGTATATTATACTAAGGATCTCTCTTCAAGCTTTCCATCGACTGTGTATCGAGTATCATGGAACAGGACAGTGTCTCCATTCCGACTGCGTCTCTTCGTATCAGTCCATGCCACCTGCTGCCTCTCCAATGCTCTTCTCTGTAATAATGGTTCCACTAACGTGTGTACTAGGTTTGCGCGAATTAGATCTCGATGCCCCTGCATCGCGTTTTCCTCCAGAATATGCATTTTAAGGGATGCGGCCCATTAATCCAAGAAATCCACGGGTATGCAGTTGAACCTGAACTCCGACTCCGTTTTGAAGAGTGACGCCAAATTAAGGATAGCCCGCCGATGGGGGTGCGATTGGCCAGTCGTCCTCCGTGATGCTTGACCAGAACGTCCAGATCAGGCCCACCGAGACCAGCGTAAAGAAGGTCTCGAACAGTGCGCCGTCGATCTTACCCGAAGTCCCATTGCAGATGTATGGGCTGATGGTGTAGTTGAAGATCTGGCCCAGTGCGAACGAGACCGCCGCGCCTACGAGGTAGAGCATCGGCCGAAGCTCGCCGAGGATACGCAGAACCAAAACCGCCTCCAGAACGAAGAATGCCACCAGGAAGATAAGAGGCACGAGCTGGTAGAGGACGTATAGGGCGATGTTTCGGTAATTGCCATCGTGGGTGTCGAATTCGCTGGTCCACCCGAGACCAGTGTCCAATGTGATATACCCAGTGCCAACAAAAAGTATAGCAGCAGAGATGACCATGAGGCCGAGGAACAATGGTGTCCCGTCGTCGACAACTTGGTAGCCAACGACGGCATTCAGCATCAAGATCCATGTTGTCGCAATGATCATGCCAATATGTATCCCAGTGAAAGCCTATTCGCCAGGTCAGTCTCCAATGTCAAAGGTCTCCATGAAAGGGAGCACGTACGATGCGGACTGTTTTGTCCAGCGGGAACTCGCCGACAGTGAAGATCTCACATATTTCGATTATGATGTAGCCGAGTAGAAATAGCTGCATTTCCCTGCAAGCAAGTGAGTCTGGTATCCTCAGACATCGTGGAATACACTACGTACCTTCGACCAACGGCAGCCTTCTTTCTCTCTGACCGTAAAATTAGAAAGGCAGAAATGGCAATAGCGATTCCACAGAGAATGATAGACCCTGCGATCCGGTTAGCTAGAAGCTTTACCCGTCGGACTGGCGGCCAAACGGACCTAGGTTTCCTAGATGCCGACCACCACTTAACAAAATGCCTCGCAATTCGCAACCACCCCATGACCCTGTCTGGTCACGACTTTCAGAGAGGACCTAGGAACAGAGGTTAGTACTCCCCAATATCCATAAATGATGGCACGGTGTTCATGCAGCATGGTCTTACATTGCAGACAGGTAGAGTCGAGTCTCTGCAGAAGTCCTGTTGGCCAAAATGCCCTTGTTAGCATATGTGCCCCTAATATTGCAGGTGAGGTAGTCCAGGCTCCAATCTACCCGTCGATGCGTACCCTGAAATTCCCAAAGCTTGTTGACCCCATTGGACGATACGGCGGCGAGGTTCCCGCAGTTGTGAGCAGTTTGGAGGAGGAAGTGCGTCGGCGACGATCGGGTGTCGAGGCTTGCAATTAAATTGCACTGTTGGCCGGAGGGGTACGCGAATCAAGCCGGGCTCGGTGATTGACCATGTGCAGCTCGTGAAGCAATTGAAGCTATCCTCTGTATACCCCAGGTTGCGCACCAGCTTGGATGCGGTGTTGTTGAAGTGCCCCGTCGTACTGGAGTGCAGATGGCTGGAAGCGGTTTGAATGGCGCGTTTGCTGGCTGGCAGACTCGAGGTCGGTCGAGGCGGGTTTCGAAGGGCTGTCGGTGGAAAACCGGGTGGCGGCAGGTCTACTGTGCTGCAGTAGGTAGTCAATTGAACGAGCGTCGGCCCCTAGCCCCCTTCGTCTCTTGAATATGCTCTCGGTGTTGCGAATCGGTGGTGTCTCGCGTGCTGCAGAGTCATGGAATTGGGAGGAAAAGGTGTGAGAGTGCCACGGGTCCGGGGTTGTTACGGTGATTTTAGGAGGGCCTGCGCCTCGAGGGAAAGAGGCAGGTACTGGGTACAGGTACAGCCGCGGCAGAGTGGAGCTGGACGGGCGCGGATGGGTTCTGCACATCAATCTGGAGTGGCTGCCCACAAGCTCAAGCTGGTCCGTGGCCTGTGCGTACCTGATTTTAAACCAGCGTTTGACGCGAGGAACGGGAGACAGCGGGGACAGGCAGGTGTGACATTTGCTCGGCAACCTTGTTAGGAGGTCATCGTCCTCCGCTGCCATGTGATGATACTGTACCTCAATGAGTGGTGGTTCTTTCTTACTTCACCATGGTGCTGGCAATGAAAAGCGATTGACTCTTGACCTAGATTATTGACTGCTGCTCCGGACTATGCCTACAGACCTACAGACCTCGGTAGACCAAACAACGACACTTCTGATGTACCTTATGTGGTTTGCGTCTGTCCCGTCACCTTGATGGTACTTTAGTAAGATCTATGGGTTGAAGGATCGCCCTCCCATCCTACTAGTTGAATGTAAGTAATCTGGCAGAGTCCTTGCCTCTTACATCGTCATTCATGCACGATGAACAGTACGAGATGTGAAGTTCAGCGTATCACAGGCTACAGCCCGTCCTCCAACTTCCAACCTTCTTGCCCGCCACTAGTGGCCCATGTAGCAGCAGTCAGTCCTCTGAAGCCATTCAGACCCTAGCTGCTTGGGTAGTATGTACATGTACGTGCAGGCATTGCAGATTACGGTCTACAGATTGGCCGGGGCAAGACCCGCAGCACGCACACCTCGTCGTACCCAGTACCTACCCAGACGAGGCCTCTCAGCCCACCTCGAGGCCCCGAACCGAAGTCGCCGGTACCTACTTACCAACTCTCCCCTCTCTGGTCTGCCAGGTGATTCCTTGTAATCTTGGAAGAATATCCGCCCCTGATTCGTTCTCCGATTGCCTGCTTTCTGCCTCCCTGCTTCCAAGTCTGATGAGATGTCGAAACTGGTTCCATACCCATTGCATCGATGTTCACGGAGACCGTCGGGTACGAGCTCGTGGTGGGATAATAATGAAAATCAAAGGAAGGGTCTAGAGTCGTCCGAGTCGCCTTCCCAGTGCTCAGTATAGCTGAAAACAAGAACGGCCAGACTAATAATAATTTCATGCATAGACACCGCACAGCTCAGCCTCAATGGATCATCTTGAACGACCTGCAAACAATGTCATGCAAGTAATGGTTCCATTTCGATTATCTGTTTGCTGATTTTGAGACCACGCCTCCTCCAGGAGTTTATGTTAGTTAAGACCCAATAGCGCATTTTCTTATTCTTCTTAAATCGCGCCTTTGCAACTCTGAAGCTCCCTGACTGGGGTCGTCGCCTTGCCCCGACATCTTACCGGTGCCACTGCCCATAGACGCTGGAAACGTTTCAGTCACATCTTCCAACCTGACCATGTTACTGGACCGTGACATTGACCATCATCTCCTATTGCTCTTGGCGCTATTCCCAACCTTCTCATCTAGTCGAGCCCACTCAAGGCGGCGCTTAAGATAAGATCGACAGTCAGGTTCTTGATACACTTATTCATCATCCTACTACAGAATAAGCATTAAGAACAACAAACCGTCCTCGGTGCTTATCCCAGCACGTTTGTTTCCCAAGACTTAACAAAACTCGAGTTATTCTGCCCCTTAGATAACAAGGCGTATGCGGAGATTTTAGGGAATTGTGTATCCATCGATCTCGAGGTTCCCGAGGTCGAAGATAGTGCGAGTGATGAATAGCGGGCAGGCCAGCCAGAGTGACCAGGGGGTTCGAGTTATCTTCCCAATATCGTTCGAATGAACTTGTCTCGGTTCTTCCCAAGATTAGAATGTCTCATTGGCTTGTCAGGGCGTAGGGCTACCATATATTGAAGGTTCTAACTTCTAACAGTGTGAGTGATATGGATCAGGCGATGTTTCCTAACATGTCTGTTCGTCTACAACCTGAGCAGCAGACTACCAGCATTGAAAATCACTCATATTTGGCAGGACATGGTCTCTGCATAGGTATGTACCTTAGGTGAGGCTGTGCTGACGCTGCCTGGGCCCATTGTCAAACCAGAACCGCGGATGAGCAGAATATTTGGGAGTCAGCAGACGGTGAAGTATGTCTTCTTTACATCGTCTCACGAGACCCAGACTTCTATGCGCACGTAGCTGAGTTCATGAAATGGTCAGCTTCATCGCCTCATCCAGGGACCAGAGGGGCCGGCACCGTTTTCCCGAGAGCCGAAGAAGTGGAGTGTCGGGAAACCTAATAGTAACCTGTCGGGAGGTCTTCCAAGGTTCGTTGGGTGATACCGTACGGCTGGTTGGAACGTCGGCTGGTGCTGACTCCAGGTACCTTCAACTGCTCCAGCTGTGTTGAGCAGGCTGAGCGATCAGCAGCACCGACTACAGGTTTGCGCCGTCCTTGTGATCGATGTCCTGGTAGCAAAGATGCTGTCAGGTCTGGGAGGGTTTCCCATGAAGGGCGTGTATTGGTAGGACTGCTGACCGCCTGACAGCTGGCATGGCTGGGTCCTTATGACGGCATCCTGAAGCTGGCCGACAGCTGCTTGCCTGGGCCCTGGAGATGCCGCATGCCTCGCCGCGTGCCTCCAATGCCAACATGCTGGGGAGTACGTGCAACCTCCGCAAAACTCCACAACTTCGTGAGGCTAACCCAAGATCCAATTCACACACTTCTTATCGCGGGGTTGGCGAGGCGAGTGTACGGTAGCGACGTGGAGTACAGTAACGCTGGCAGGCTTATTATTAATAGCGCTGAGTCCTCTCTGTGCAAACCGTACCTACAGATAATTAGAACTGAGCAGTGAGAAAGCAGGCGGACATCCACCAGATACATATCTAGTTTATTCCATCTCGACATCTGGCATTGGCTCTTGAAGAAACTGAGAGGCCATTCCGACCCTTCCTGCAGGTGGTTGGATTTTGAAGGTGGAAGCATGCAACCCACCAACACACGACGTACATGTAGGTAAGGTAGCGATGTAGCGCTGTGGGGTAGCGGTGGGGGACTTTTATAGTGCGGACTAGGGGTTCAGCTAATAAACTTGGAAGCCGATAGGCGGTCGCTACCACAAGTACCTGACCGCTTATCGTCTCACCAGGACGGGAGTTTGCCAGTTTTACTTGGAGCTGTCGCAGGCCTGAGCTTATGTTACGGAAAAGGGGATGGTGAGTTGGATCTGTCCTTCCTCTACCTACCTATGTACCATTCACTCATCACTCACTCACTATCATAGAGCCTCTTTTTACCCCAGAACATACATTCACGCATCGCATTGGGGTTGTATATCCACCGGGTCTCTCCGTATTGTTGTTGTTGTTGCTGTTGTTGTCTTTGGATACCTACCTCACCGTCCGCCGCTCTGCGATTCCTCCGTCCTCGGGACTCTTTCTGCGCGTACCGACTCAAGCGCAGAACTCAGGTTTTCGGGTGGATACCTACCGCTCTACCGCTCGCAATCGTGCATGTTGATGCATCCCATCCCATGCCTCTTGCTGCTCCCAAGACCCAAGACCATCACTTGTGACTTGACAGAGTGATCCCGTGCCCATATTTCTTTCCCCCAGCCCCAACCCCCAGCCCCATCCCAATCGCCAGCTTCATCCACCGCAGAAGGGCGCTGCTGCCAAACAGCCCCAACTCCTCCAAGATTCCTTCGTCAAAACCCTCTCGTCTTCCCTCCAACATCCCTCTCCGAACCCTCACCGCCCGCTCCGAACAAGGCGCCCAATCGACGTCGTTGCTGGCTGGCCACCGGGACCAGCCGTCCCACGCCAGACTTTCCTCCGAGTCCGCCGACTCCGATTCCTGGACCGACACCGGTGACATAGCCGAGCAGTTGGCAGATGAGGAGGACCCTCTGCGCAAGACCCTCGCCGATACCTCCATACACGACGACCTTCTCTCTGGCGTCGTCAAGCGCCATCCCAAGCACAAACGCGTCCAGTTTAGAAGATCCGTCTCGGCACACAGCGCGAGACACTCTACGACACACTCTGGCGTCGTTGACAAGGAGGCCATCCAGATCCCCGACATACTTCCCCGCCGTATATCAGGGGCAGAGCGTGCCATAGCATCCATCATGCCGGGCATGGGTTCTCACGGTTTTACGGGCAAGGCCCTCATGTGCGTCTCGTGCGGACTGGCGAAGGGTTGAGCCGAGTTTGCTAACCAGGCAACAGCTATTTCACCAGCATATTCGTGTCGCTGGGCGTCTTCCTGTTCGGATATGATCAAGGTGTCATGTCAGGCATAATTACGTATGGCTCTGACCACGTTCCCGACCCGTCGTGGTGGCTGTCACTAACAGCAGCTCAGGGGCCCGTATTTCAGAAACTACTTCAACAACCCGTCGAAGGCTGAGATCGGTACCATGGTGGCCATCCTCGAAATCGGTGCTCTTATCTCATCCCTAGCAGTGGGACGGATTGGCGATATCATAGGCCGACGCAAAACCATCCTCTACGGTTCCGTCGTCTTCTTCGTCGGTGGAGCTTTACAGACTTTCGCGGCCAATATGCCCATGATGATGTTGGGAAGAATCATTGCCGGTCTCGGTGTCGGTTCCTTGTCGACCATTGTTCCTGTCTATCAATCCGAGATCTCCCCTCCCCACAACCGAGGCAAACTCGCCTGCATCGAATTTTCCGGAAACATCATTGGCTACACGACTTCTGTCTGGGTAGATTATTTCTGCGGCTACATTGAGAGCGATTACTCCTGGCGTGTTCCCTTAGCTCTGCAATGCGTAATGGGTGCCTTACTCGGCTTGGGCAGCTTGGTCATCGTTGAATCCCCCAGGTATGTGCTTCTTCCCGACTATATCCTGCAATGCTGACGCTGAAGTCAGATGGCTTCTAGACAATGATCACGATGAAGAAGGGATAGTGGTCATTGCGAATTTGTACGGCGGCGGTGATATCCACAACGCCAAAGCAAGGGATGAATACCGAGAAATCAAGATGAATGTTCTGCTTCAGCGTATGGAAGGCGAACGGACATACAGCGAGATGTTCCGACGTTACAAGACACGGGTCTTCATCGCCATGTCTGCGCAAGCCCTGGCACAACTCAACGGCATTAACGTCATATCGTACTATGCACCCTACGTGTTCGAATCCGCCGGCTGGATAGGTCATGACGCTGTCAAAATGACCGGAATCAACGGTATCACATACCTACTCTCTACTATACCTCCGTGGTATGTGGTAGATCGATGGGGCCGTCGGGTCATTCTCATGACGGGCGCCGTTGCTATGGCCTTGTCACTGTCTATGGTATCTTACTTCATCTATCTGGATATCAGACTGACGCCAACCATGGTCGTGGTCTTTGTCATGATCTATAACGCCGCGTTTGGTTACTCGTGGGGCCCTATCCCTTGGCTCTACCCGCCCGAGATATTACCATTGAGCATCCGATCCAAGGGAGCAAGTTTATCCACTGCTTCCAACTGGGCATTTAACTGGCTAGTTGGTGAAATGACGCCCATTCTCCAAGAGTGGATCAAATGGCGACTATATCTAGTTCACGCGTTCTTCTGCGTCGTCAGTTTCGTTGTCGGTAGGTTATGTAAGATATCTTCAACCTCATTCATGTTGCTAACTCCGGATAGTCTACTTCATATATCCTGAGACTTGTGGTGTAAGATTGGAAGACATGGATTCGCTTTTCGGAGACGCAAGCACTGCCATTGGCACCCCGGGTATAAGATCAGAGACCGGCTCCATTGTCAGAGGGGGGTCTCCTGTTCCGTCTCTCGATCTACGCGGACGGCCTCTTGGCTCAGAGGCGAACATTCCTCCCTTGGACATCGATCCCCCGGCCGTCAACATCGTGGATGGAAAGCCACGGTTGCGTTCGGACAGTCAGAGCTCACGAGGCCGCGTGGGTGAGTGGCTCACCAGAATGGTTGGGCAAAGGGGGACTAGTAGCAGCCCGGCCAGCAGAGCTCGATATGCGCCGTTGGATCAAGGAGACGATTGAGCAGGCACTTTATGCGCATCAAACTTCTTGATATGTAGAAAGAAAGAGATTAGACTTCGCTTTGTGTTCATATAGACGGTGGGGGGAAATCTATCGACCAGCAAGATTCCGGGACTGGGGTTTTGCATGGTGACTTTTTCTTCCACGAGGGAATCAAAAGAGTCGCAGCGGTGAAGTAGATTCAAGAAGAGGATAGGGTTGCTTCATCGTCATATTGTATCTCTTCACGAGCGCTTTTGGGTTTAGTACATTGCATTCCTTGGTGGACTTGATCGATTCCCTAAGAGTGAGGTTTTCCGTTGTCCACTAGCATCCAAAGTGACCCTTCCATTCGTGCTTTTCCTTCTTCGTTAAACTCTTCAACCACAAGGGAATAGCCGAATCTAAATGCCTGAAAATACAATAAAAAGCAAATCCCCCGTGCTGTACGCCAAGTTTTAACAGAATAAAAAAGTCACCAATCATCCCCAGGGGAGAAACATGGTAGCTAGAGTATTTACTCCGTGGCTACAGGTTGAAGTCGTAATCCTTTAGATTCTGAACTTTATTCAAAGCGTCCTTGGCGGTAATGCGGTTGGCTGGATTTGGCTCGATCATTTGTGCTAGCAAGTTGAGCAAATCTTTATTGCCAACCAGTTTGTAATACTTTCCCAGGATGGACTGGAGTTTTTGCTGGCGGTCTTTCGTGCTAAGATTTAATGGAAAGTAACCTTTACTTGTAAAGAAATTCATGTTTATGCCGCATACGAATATGAGCATGTCAATCCCGACAGCGTACACATCAGCCGGCCGCTGATCGATCGGCTCACTCTTTTCTCCTTCCCTCGACGCGATAAGCTCTGTATAGCGTGTCAGACCTGGCTCATAGCTTCAACGTTCGGAGAATGGTCACAAGCTTACCGGGAGCTAAATAATGTTCCGTGACTCCACCGCTGAATTTTGACTCCCCGTCGATAGCCCAGGCCGGATCAATGAGCCACAAGGTTCCGTCTGCTTTGTTTGCATCGGCAAACATGATGTTCTCGAGGGATAGATCTCTATACGCCCAACCCTCTGCATGCAATTTCGTCACTATACCGAGGATGTCTTTCGCAATCTTCCTTCGAGATTTTCCATCCAACGACTTGGCGTAGCCATCTGACGTAGCATCGAAGAGATCACCGCCCTCGGCCCTGTTCATCACAATCCTCACCTGGGATCCATTGTCGTCGTGCGCGAGGAGCTTGGGAGCATGGCCCTCGAGTATGCCTTCCAGCTCTTTCATTACTGTTATCTCTCCTCTGCAAAGCTCTAAGTAATGCTGGTCGCCGTTCGGCTCCTGTCTGCAGATTTTGATGACAACTCGTTGACCGTCCATTACACCCTCGTAGATGTGGGCAGCGCCGCCAGTTCCGATGGGTTGATTGTTGAAGTTGGTAAATTTCTTTCCGCCAACTTGGTCAACGTGGCCAACGTTGAATGGGGTAAACCGAGTCGTGAGGGTTGTTGGCAGGTCTCTGGGATGCGCGATGGGAGTCGAAAGCGCTGGAGTGGCCGTGTACGCCAACAAGGTGAAGGCAAGCTTTCGGAGCGAAACCATCTTACCTGCCGGTGTTGGCGAGCTGGGTCGGAGAGATCGGGGGAGGAGGCGAATGAATGGCTAGCACGTGCTGACCTGGTAGAGGAAGAGTACCAGAAAGTGTATCGGTGATGTTTGCAACCAAGGTCGTGGACACCAAGGTCGAGGACGGGGTCTATATACCTACCTTCTATCCCACGGGTCCCGTCGGACCCCAGTTCGCCTCTTGACCCAGTCGGCGCCTGGTTCTTCTTTGCTTTCCTCACACATGTTTGCTGGGACTTTACTCCTTGGGCCGCCAGGAGACGGGGAGGCCGAAAGTAGCAATGCGGGCCTAGCAGCAGGTTCCCTAAGTAGTAACCTTTACGTCAACGGCCTGGTTCGGCACTGTTGCATTAGAAGAATGGATTATTCATGGCGGGAAGAGAAATCCTCTTTACCACCTCAAATGGTAACTTGTAGCTCGCCCGATTCCGAGGCTATGCATAGGTGATGTCCTCTTGTGATGTTCTACCCTGACCACCTGGCATCGCCACCATTTACCGACCAGCCAGCATCATAAGCCAATGTATTTTCTGCTGCAAACTAGGTGTGTTGGTACCTACCTATTTATATTAAGACAATTGGGAGTGTAGAGGGCGCTTCAGGGGTGCCATTCCTGGACGTCTGTACAGGTGTCCAGGATGGTAATAGTTAGCGGTTCCACGTGTAACTACCATGCTAAAAATATATAACAACGACGTTCTTACAAGAAAGTTCCCATGAAAGTTCCTATGATACGAATTCTATGAGAAAGTTCCCGTCGCGTAAATTGTTTGTTTGTTTTGTATTTAACGTGGGGGGTAGCTCCTCAGTAGTGCAAACCACGCCTCCCAGAGCCATTGCATCGCAAGGTTGTAGAGGTGTCAAATTAGATACATTCAGATCCGCGCACGAGCCTATCCTCGCTGTAGCGGTACCAATCTGTAGTGTTCAGATGGTTTTAGTCAATACCCAAACACGATTCCGTCAGAAAAACCTCCTATCTAGTGACAAAGCGACCCAGTGAACCTCAGTTCTCTGGTGTACATATCGTTCCAGTAGCCGTTCGATATATGTCGCATTGGTGAGTGGAGTAGGTGTTTGTTATCTGCTGGCGAGGGAAACCACAAGGGGGAAAACCTCGCAGGAGTGGGTATTGTGGAGACAAGCTGCTTGGCTATCGGGCTCTGCGATAAATGGGGCCTCTCCACTGTCGTGTGCTGGTTATCGACTCGCACAAGCCGGGTCAGAAAGGGGGCCATAGCAGGATTCGAACCCACTTGTTCTCGTCGCCCACCGCACAAACGAGAACACAACCAGGCGCATTTGACCATTGCGCCATACGGCCTCCCGTCGCGTAAAGTTTCACCTATTACCATTATTAGATATACGTGGAAACGCTAACCATTACAATCCTGGACACCTGTAGGATCAGTCCCACGCTCATGGGATGATCTCGAGCGCCAACGTCACATACCCCGCTGGATTGGGTGCCGCCCAGGCTCATCGACGCGACAACGTGGACTTAAAGAGATGGCCCGATACTCTTCTTCGGTGCGGTAGGTTCTGTCGGTGCAAGATCAAAGGCCAGCAGACGCTGTGGATCATACGCACCATCGCGCCCCCAGAGAAGCATTGTTTGGGTCTTACACGGTGGTTTGGGATTTTCTCTCCATCGACTCAACCGCACGTACACTGGTCTAGGGCCGGGCCTCGTCGCCAGCGGGCTCGGTGTGCAGAACGGGGGCCATCTCCCTCTTGAGGGCCTGGGCAGGGAGGGTTGGCAGAACTGTTAAACAAGGGAGTGTGTCCATACAACCTCATAGATAACCTGGACACGAAGCCGAAGAAAGGCGATTTATGTATCTTTCTGCAGGCACATTGTAACGGCTTGATGGACACTGGTCGGAAGGCAGATTCGAAAGTAATTAAGACCTGCGTATCTGATATCCAGTGCCAGGACGGTGGCATTGCGCATTGCACTCTGCTGCAATGCAGATATGCTATTCATCGTTGCTCGCCTCGTTCCCACCGGAGCTGCGTATAGTGATGTGGCGGGACGACTAAAGCATAATGTTGATCCGGACGAGAATGTTGAGTAGGTATTTGCTCTTTCCCGCTGTCTTGTCGAACGGCAGCACATGCTAAGGGGTATCACGTGTAGCGACTCAATATGCATAAGGCTGTACGTACATGTGGTACATCTTAGGTATTCAGGGGCAGAGGGGTAACCCCTTTTTAGCGATTCATTGAGTGGTGATCTGGATGTTGTGCAAATGGTGAAACAATATGCGGTCGGACAAGTCGGATAAGCGAATCGGCCCCCAAGACAATGGCCTAATGCCGGTTTATTATGCAAGTTATGTTTGCCGACGCGCTTGCCTGCCATTGAAACATGAATGGCACCCAGCGCACGTGAAAACAACACTAGCTGAAAGGCCACCTGCACCTTTGGGCAAGGGTCCAGCACCTAGATTAATTGCTCTGCGTCTGTTCAGCCTTCCCTCGACGAGCAACCTCGTTCTTCCTTCGATCCCTCTTCTTCACCTGTAGGCTTGTAGGGGGAATGCTCGCTCTGATCTTGTGACAGGGATTCGAGCTCTATTCCCTATTCCCCATTCTCTTCGCCACCCTCTTTCGTCTGCATCCCTTTCCTTACCCCAGCTTCTTCGGGGGAGCTGCGACATTCGTTCATCCTCACGCCGACCCCTTTCCCTGTACCTCAAGTCCACGACAAGTCGTAGGATGGCAGACAACAAGGCCGCACTCGCTTCGGGCGCCGCCCCGGCCGGCGAAGCTGCTCGTCGACGCAATGTACCCACCACTTCAGGGGCCCTAACGCAACAGCCCGAGCTCGACGAGAAGAAGATCCACGCCAAGAAGAAGGTATGCGAAGAAAGCGAGCGAGTGCGCCTGAGGACAGCTCCAGCCAGGCTAACCTGTCTTCTTCTAGGGGTCTTCCCTTCTCGACACCCTCGACCAATGGGAGTTTCTCATCGCACCCATAATCTTTACAGCTCTCGCCCTATTCACGCGGCTGTACAAGATTGGCCTGAGCCCAATCGTTACCTGGGATGTGAGTGATCAATTGGCCTATATGTTTCCCACCTGTATGTAGAATGGCTGCTAACAAACGCGCAGGAGGCCCAGTTCGTCCGCCCTCGCCCTTCTCTACTTTCGTACGACACTGACGTGGTCACAACACAGTTTTGGCAAATTCGGATCGCATTACATCAAGCGTGAACTGTTCTTCGATGTGTCAGTACAACACTCATATTCCGTCGAAAACAAGCAGCTGACAGGGAGAAAGACATCCTCCACTCGGGAAGATCCTTGTTGGCCTTTCTGGAGTGCTAGCAGGATACAATGGATCGTTCGAATTCAAGTCCGGCGAGACGTACCCCGAGGAACTCGACTACACCTTCATGCGAGCCTTCAACGCCTTCTGGGGAATACTCTGTGTGCCTTTGGCCTATTGGACGGCCAAGGAGTTGAACCTGAAGCGTCCAGCTGTCTGGCTAGTCACCCTGATGGTTCTGTGCGAGAACTCGTACACAACCATCAGTCGTTTCATCCTCCTCGACTCCATGTTGCTGTTTGGTACCGTCGCTACTGTCTTTTGCTGGTCCAAATTCCACCGTCAACAGAGGGACAGCTTTGAACCGGAGTGGTTCTTCTGGCTGTTCATGACTGGACTAAGCTTGGGTTTCGTCTGCAGCATCAAGCTCGTTGGTCTCTTCGTCACTGCTCTTGTTGGCATCTACACCATCGAAGACCTCTGGCACAAGTTTGGCAACACCAAGATGCCTGCCGTCGAGCTCGCGGCTCACGTCAGTGCCCGTATTTTCGGTCTCATCGCCATTCCGTTCCTGGTCTACCTGCTCTCATTTGCGCTCCACTTCGCGATTCTGACCAGAAGTGGCCCTGGCGATGCCCAGATGAGCTCCCTTTTCCAAGCAAACCTCGAGGGCAGTGAGATCGGTCGAAACTCGCCCCTCGAGGTCGCCATCGGCTCCAAGGTGACTCTTAAGAACATGGGCTATGGCGGTGGTCTCCTCCACAGCCACGTTCAGAGTAGGTTTCTCTTGTCCGCGTTTTAGGACTGGACTAACTCGGTTGTAGCTTTCCCGGAGGGCTCAACCCAGCAGCAGGTCACTTGTTATCACCACAAGGATGCGAACAACGAATGGTGGTTCTACCCCAACCGTGGAGACGCCGACTACGACCCAGAAGCTGACCCTCGATTCATTGGCCATGGCGATACTATCCGCTTGATCCACTCCCAGACCGGGCGAAACCTCCATACTCACGACATTTCGGCCCCCGTCACCAAGAGTCAGAAGGAAGTCTCCTGCTACGGTAACCTCACTGTTGGCGACGACAAAGACCACTGGCAAGTCGAAGTCGTCAAGGATGTTGCATCTCGAGACAGAAGCAAGATTCGAACCCTGACCACGGCTTTCCGTCTAAGAAACCCGGTGATGGGATGCTACCTGCGAGCAGCCAATGTCAACCTGCCCCAGTGGGGGTTCAAGCAGATCGAGGTGACCTGCGACAAGAGCAACAATCCCCGGGATGCTTTCACTCATTGGAACGTTGAAATGCACAACAACGAGAAGCGTAAGCTCCGATGAGAGATTTCTAGGTTCAAAGTCGCTAACAAGAGCACAGTTCCGCCTGCCGACCCGGGCAAGTATAAGTCGCCGTTCTTCCATGACTTCATACACCTCAACGTTGCCATGATGACGTCCAACAATGCCCTCGTTCCCGATCCTGACAAGCAAGATGACCTAGCTTCTCAGTGGTGGCAATGGCCTATCCTCAACGTTGGTCTGCGCATGTGCGGTTGGGACGACAAGATTGTCAAGTACTTCTTGCTTGGCAACCCGTTCGTCTACTGGGTCTCGACAGCTTCTCTCGGTGCTGTCGGATTAGTAACCTTCTGGTACATTCTCCGATGGCAGCGAGGCTTCAAGGACCTGTCACAAGACGACATTGACCAGATCCACTACTCTGGTCTCTACCCAGTTCTGGGATGGTTCCTTCATTACCTCCCTTTTGTCATCATGGCCCGTGTCACCTATGTCCACCATTATTACCCTGCCCTTTACTTTGCCATCCTGACTCTGGGTTTCCTCGTCGACTGGACCTTGAGAACCCAGAAGAAATCGATCGCATACCCGGCATACGGTGTTCTCTATAGCATCATCATCGGCCTCTATATTTTCTTCATCCCTATCTGTTGGGGCATGACGGGAAGCAACCAACAGTACAAGTACATGAAGTGGTCCGACAGCTGGCGCATTTCTGACTGAGAACTGTTCATGAACGTCTTGTGGGGTTTGAGTACTTCACAGTCCGGGAAATGTCTTGTACACTGGTGTCAAGCAGGGTATGGTCAAGGCGGGTTGTCATGGGGCTATGAAGAAATCTCATCCTCCTCCAAGTTTTCGGATGTAACGATAAGGTACACTTTGCATGGACGGGCGGAGGGAGTTACGGTGGGAGGTGGATGGGCATCTAGGGACAACCAAAAGAGAGGAACCTACCGGTATACCGCTTTATAATAAACGTCATCATCTCCTTTCTGTGAAGCTATCGTGCCAGTCTGATTAGCTCGAGCATGTGACATTTAAAGGACGGGAAGAACCAGCTGTCACATGTCAATGCCACCAACGGTCATCCTTCCCAGCTAACACACATGCACCTAGGTGACCTAGTCCTCAGTTGCTCGTCTGAAGGGCTGGGTGGGAAGCGGGATTCTGAAGCGACTGGAAAGGCTATGATTGTTGCCTCATGCTAGTAGTTATAGTAGACATTACTTAGGGTATCATGTTGGCGGATGCTTGCGTGCGTGCGTGTAAGTTGTATATATGTACAAAACCGGTGGTTTGGGCTTGCTTCCGGTTCCCGCGGGCAAATGCAAAACCAAGCCCAGCCAAAACGCAGCCCGAGCATGCTTCCAAGGCCTGGTGGTTTAACAGCAACCTCCGAAGGACCCCTTGGCGGCGTCCCCGGCCAGCCTGACCTGCCTGGCGCCGCCGGGGCCGGGGCCCTTGACGCCGGACCGGCGGTCGTTGAGGTCGTACTTACCGGCGTTGATGTTGTCGAAGATGCGGCCGGCGACGCCCATGAAGGCGGCCTCGACGTTCTCGCCGCTCTTGGCGCTCGTCTCGACGTACTGCAGGACGCCGTTGCGGCGGGCCCACTCCTCGGCCTCGGCGGTGGTGACCTCGCGGCGGTTCTGCTCGCCGTCCTGGGTGCTGCACTGGTCCAGCTTGTTGCCGACCAGGATGACGACGATGTCGGGCTCGGCGATGGCGCGCAGGTCGTTCAGCCAGTCCGTCACGTGCTGGAAGGTCGCCTTGCGCGTGATGTCGAAGACGAGGAGGGCGCCCGACGCGCCCCGGAAGTAGGACCGCGTCACTGACTTGTACGTCTCCTGGCCCGCCGTGTCCCAGAGGCTGAGCTTCATGTGTTTCTGCTGCTGCTGCTGCTGGGCGGCTTCTGATGTTGTTGTGTCTCTCGTCGTCGTTGTCGCTGTCGCTGTGGAGAGGGATTTCGAATGTGGTGGGCCGACGGGCACGATTCGGCTCCCAAACTCGACGCCGATGGTTACATCGTGCTGCGGACTGAACCGCCCCTCGCAGAGCCGGATCGTGAGCGAGGATTTACCGCATCCCGAGTCGCCTATGCAGACCAGCTTCGCAATGTAGTCCCAAGGAGGGGAGGACATTGGGCCGGCGGATCGTGATGGATCGATAGCGTGGAAAGGGGTCGGCTGAGAGGGGGAAAAAGGCCGGTCACGGGAGGAGCTGTTGATAGATGTACTCGTGGTATCTTTCGGTGGGATGTTATAGCTGATAGCTGGCTGTATTGCTTGCGGTGGGCGGGCCGGTACGGTATAGAAGCTTCGGTGGGATGAGGTGATCCAGGGAAGGTCAGTCAAAGTGGTAGGTATGAATGACCCCGTGCCCCGTACAGAGTGCCGACAAAGACAGGCAGAGGATACCTAGAGATAGCCGATATGTAGAAAGAAACAGTACTGCGGATCAAGGAATCTATCGTGAACGTGGGATTCAGAAATGGGTGCTGTTTTAAAAAAAAGTCTCATTATGATGCCCGTTGATGTCTTGACGATGACAGACTGGACCCGGACCCCTAGCTCATAGGAGGTGTTCGCTCAGGGCTGTCACCCGCCAAGCAGACTACGCCGGAGCGGGCCCTGGAGAGCTCTAGGGAGGGCCGGGAGGTACTACTGTCGATGGCGGGGCAGCTGCAGGGTGGTCGGTCGGTCATCATAATGTTATCAGCGGGAGCCGATAACGTTGGGTCTGATTCATGACCACCGGGCAGCTTCTGAGGGTAGCGGGTGATGACCTCACGTACTGGCTGACTGGAGACTCGTGACTGACTTGTACGTACACGGGGAGGTTTTGACTACGGTATGGTCAGACGTATTGCACGCGACAATACATTCGAAAGTCTTCGTGTCCGCGTATGAGGACTGAGTGCAGCGGTTGTACCTGCTGCCACTGATATGGAAGTGATAAGGCGGGCGTTGGGGTAAGGTACCTAGGTACTGCTGGTACTACTGCAGGCAGGCGGTAAACATCCAAGTTGGGGGCACCCGGTAGGAGGTAGGTACTTAGTCCCGAGACCATGGAGGGGCGCCCCCATTCTTTCTTCCACTCCAGGCTGCTTCCGTATCGCCGCACTCGCATGTGAGCTCCAGCTGCTCTGCTGCTCTGCGTCAACCATCATCCATGGCCGTCGCCATCGTCAAACACCGCCTCCAACCAACTTCTTTCTTCTATTCTTTTCCCCAACCCGTATTACCACATCAGTAGTCTCATAACTGCCGGACATCGTTCGTCTTGTAGCCTGCTCCTCCTCTTCTGTTTGTGTCCAGCCTACCGGCGAACCCGCGTGCCGGGCAATCAACGCTGCCGATCCACGACTCTGCCGCTTTGACACGCCCCGACTCATCGTCTCTCTTGCCCGCTGGGGCCTTCCTCCTCCAGCAGCCATATAAACATGTTTTCTGAATGTAAGCCACCATGCAAGAGACTCTATATCCTTCCCCTATGTGGAGCCCTGTTCCGTTCAGTCAAGAGGCTGACGTTTGGTCCCAAGATGCGTCACGCTTCCTCGCCCAGTCGCAGTCCCGCCTATCCAACTTCGGACAGCCCGACGCCAATGAGCCCTCTAGTCGACAACCCCAAGAGGGGTCCTCGAGATATTCGCGACATCCTGCCCGATCCTCCTACCAGGCACGCCTTGGAAATCCGTATCAACCCTCCAACTCGAGATTCGGCAGCTTCGCCTCGAGATACAATACCGCCCCAGATGCTCCGCTCTTCCACAGCGCACTCAACGAGTTCCGAGAGGACGAGGACGAGGACGATGTAAGAGAAGCTGCTGATCTCCGTGCTCTGCAACACTCCCGGCGGGTGTTCGTCTCTAGCCGCATGGAGGACAGCTCGGCTTCCGAGAATGACACAAGCCGCGCCTCGCTGGAGCAGAGTGGGGAACGCGATAGCAGGACCTTCGAGGATCGGGGTCGCACCATGGGCATCAAAAGCAGTTGGAACGGCGAGTCGAATTTCAAGGATCGTCACTCAAAGCGCAAGACGAAGGAGGAGCCCGATGCAAGTCCCAGCCAGAACAACACGCGACAGAACTCTGAAAGTGATGAGAGCGGCAAGATGGTTGATATTGGCCTCGACTCCATGGTCGTAGAGAACCAGGTCCCAGAGGATCTCTTGCAGGAAACGCCCACCGACTCGTCACCGCCCGCCTTCCAGCAGTTCAAGTCCACCAAGGCCACCAGGACAAATCCCAACCTGGAGCGCGACCAACGCCTGATGCGCCAGGCCATCGCTGAGGAAGACGAAGACGAGGAGGAGGGGCAGCCGCCGAACGAGATTCCCTCTGCTCCGCAACCTCGCATGTATGGCGAGATCTTCGTACACGATCAATTCTTCGCTTGGATCTACCTGATAGCCTTCGCGTCTCTGCTCGCCACTTTTGTGCTGGTCTGGCTGCATACGTCGGTGCCTGGCCGGAAGATTGGCGATACTATTTATACAACACTTCATTCATCCTTCTCTCTGCTAGCGGTGGACACCCTCGTTGCGGTCATCGTTGCGCTGGTGTGGATGGCTGCCCTGAGGTCTTTCGTGCAACCGCTGGTCGTCCTTATTTTGCTTGGTGTTCCGGTCGTTCTTTTCTCCTTCTCATTATACCCCATGATTTCTAGCTTCCAGGGACCGGATCACGGGAGAGGCGCACAGGACATTATTATGAGGTATGCTGCCATCGTACCAGGAGTCTGTGCCATTATTTGGACATGGCTACTTTACAAGGGGCGTCACGAGATACACAGGGCTATCGACATTCTGGACTTCGCCAGTCGTATCCTCGCGGCCAATCCAGCACTGGTGTTGCTAGGCTTTGGATCGTTAGCTTTCGTGGTGGGGTGGACCTGGGTATGGCTGTGGATGTTCACTAGAATCTTCCTCGGAGGTTACTTTTCGAAATCCCTTTCGGCCTTTGTCATCGGTACGGCAACATGGTGGCTGGCTATCTTCTTCTTCCTCATGTATGTCTGGACCCTCTCCGTTATGAGCGGAGTTGTTCGGGCTACAACGGGAGGCACCGTTTCGAACTGGTATTTCCACCGCAACCACCAGACACCTGCCACATCGAACGCGATTGTCAAAGGGGCTCTGGGACACTCAACGACAACAGTGTTCGGCACTATCTGTGCCTCCACTCTTCTTTCGCTGGCTGTCCGGGTGCCGATACTGATCCTACCCCGACGCATCTCAAGCATATTCGAGTTCATAGGATGGCGACTCGCACCGAGACCGGTGTCTGTTCTCACGAACCCCCTAGCACTCACATATGCCTCGATCCATTCATTGCCTTTGATGGAGTCTGCATCCCAGCTAAGTAGGATTCAGTTCTTGTCGACGGGGCCCACCACAACTCTCACGCCGAGCGCATTCTCTCGGCGGAACCAGACAGCCTCCCTAATGCCCTACAGGATGGCCAAGATGTTGCTCCACGCAGCGCGGTTCGTCATGTCGACAGCCCTAGGGTTCGCGGCTTGGGTCATGACGGCGCGGCAGCTACAGGTCCAGCTACCCGATGGACTTGGCATCAGGGGGAGTGCTTATGCTTACGTTGTAGGCATGGTGGCGAGTATGATCGGCTGGGGAGTGCTAGGGGCTATGGAAGGCATTCTATCTGGCATCCTCGATGGCGTTCTCATATGCTACGCCAGCGAAAGAAGGCTCGGCAGCGACCGTGCGACATACTGCATTGAAGCTGCGAAACTGTTCGAGGACAGGGGACATGAAAGGGATATGGTGTGAGGTGATTCGGGCTTGCATAAGGGTTTGATTTGGTTTGGCGACAACCACCAGAGGGGTGCGGGTGCATTGGAGTTCCCGAGATTGTACATGATAACATAGAACTGTTACATAATTCTTTCATCCGAATCGCGCGTCTCGATCACGGAAACTGCCCCGTGTAAGGAAATTGCGTGTGCTGCGCCTGTTGCGCAACATAGCACATGCAACCAAGGCTTTATTAGAGTTTGTGTCGTCTAAAAACGTGCTTCTGGTGGCTGGAAACCCGAGCAACCGAAGCCAAATTCGAATCTACCCACGGCCTGTTCTCAACAAAAGCTGCTGACGCTCGCTCTATTTTCCAACTGTGATTTATGGATGCCCTTGTCATAGCAGCTTCTTCCTTCAACGAAGTGACGACCGTAACACGATGTCACAACCGACTGAGGCCCGAGCAGCCGCCTCGGTGCACTCCGTGGCTGAAGACGGCCTGGAAGACGACGACGTCTGGTGCGCTGTCGGAGAGCGGACAGGTAGGCTTCGAGGACTCCTGATGCCTCGCGTGTGTATCGAACACTGACGTTGTTTGTGTTCAGACGAATTGGAAGAATGGCAGAATGTCCCTGAATCGGTCAAGGCTCATGATGATGCCCGTAAGGAAGAGACCTCCCTCTCTTTGTTTGAACACACCTGCTTTCCTACTCGGCAAGCAGTCTACCTAACACTACCTACACTACCGACTTATCCCACGAGCGTCTTGCCCACTCTCACTCTAACCGTTCAGCTACGTACCTGTGTATCAACCGTGGAGCTCGTCCGTGAACACAGCCAGCTAACAGTGCGCCTGCAGACAAGCCCCTTGACTACTACGACGACTTCGTCGACGTCCAGCCGGACCCGGCCTCGTGCGAATGGCTGCTCGTCGACCACACCCCGCCCATCGGACGGGACTGGCACAAGCTGGAGCGCCGCGCGAGCCGGTCGAACGAGAAGAAGGAGCAGCAACCTCAAGAAAAGCTGGTAGCCGGCGGCGTCGACGTACCGGCCTCCTCCCCTATCGACATCCCCAAGCCGCGCCCGCAGGAGTCTGCCTGCCCGCACGAGCAGGACATAAAGCAGGCAGCCGACGTCCTCTATGCAATGGCCTCCTCACCCGTGGACATCGCCAAGCCGCACCCAAGAGTCGTGGAGTCTCCCCCGCCGCATGAAGCGGAAGCGAACAAGGAGAAGCACAAACAAGCCGCCTCAACCTCCCTTCGTCGCATAGACGAATACCGCGCTGCCGCTATTGCCGCTGCCGCCGCTGCCGCCGCCGCAGTCCCCGCAACCAGAACCAGAACCAGAGAGCCGTTCGAGGTGTCCGATGCGCAGCGAGCGAGCGCCGGGGAGTGGTGGCAGGCCCGGGTCCCCGAGCACCAGCACTTTTCCCAGGTCGCCGTCTTGCAGCCCGTCGAACAACGACGCAGCAGCAGCAGCAGTAGGAGGCTCCCCGTTCGGGCTGCGCAGCCGAGTAGTCGGAGGCCTCCTGGTAATGCTCCTGCTGCTGCCGGCGCGCACCACCGCTCTCGAGACATATACAGGTGGAGCTAGGCTGCTTGCTAGGGTGGCTCGCGCCCTCCGAGGCCGGTATGTGATACCGCCTCCAGGTCAGGTCAGTTTATGGTAGGAAGGCGATACTAAATGCGGAGCAGTCATTCACCCTGTGGTCAAATGCTGCCTTGTCCAGGGCAACGGGCGTGGGGATGGAGAGGAGGAAACGGCGGCGGAGAGGAGAGAAAGAATACGGCGCAGTGGTCCAGTGGACCGTTCACTGTCGCAGATATGTCTGGAAAGCAGCACTTAATGGGTATACCCTGAGCCATATCCAACATATGCGGAAATGGGTGTTTCTCAACCTGTGCTGCTTACCCTGAGACACGGTCTCTATGGACTGGGCGTGGGAGAAGCGGGAAAATTGGCTGAGAGTCCCGTACCAAGTGACGGAGCTCCCTTCTTAGACATGTATTTCAGCTCTTGCAAGTTAAAATCAATAAACTCAATTCCCATGATCTCTCTGTGACCTTAGGATTATTACGACGAAGGCATGTTGACCATCTGCTGCAACTCCACGTACTACTTACTACTTTATCATGAGACTGCTTTGGCAAGGTGGGAGGAGTAGGAAATATAAAGCGATGATGCCTTCACTTCATATGGGGTTATCAGTAGGCCAGCGTGGAAATTAAAGGGGTACATGGGAGGCATGATCGGACTTGGCAGAATATATACAAAGTGCTGGCAATGTAACACCAATGCCGGTACAGTGAAACACACCTGATATTGCGACTGATGGCTGTATTGTGTTTACAGCACTCGTAGATTGTGTATATCACGGCGTCGTTGGGGTCCTCCTCTTGGATCAACGATGCGATCCTCCATAAATCGGTAGGCTGACCCCGTAGATCTGACTTCAGATGCCTAGAGCATGGAGGCTATCAAAGTCATAGGCCAGCCAGCCACATGACGGTTCCGCTGATTATTAGCCAGGCAGAGGACGATGTGATATGGATTCGAAGAAGCAGTCGACTTGGTGTGTTACATCAATTCTTGGTCATTGAAACCTTACGAAACCCTCACTGCGGTACGTGATCAATACCTACCAGGTACCTGTGGTAGGCCTCTAATAAGTGCCGTTCAGCGGTGATAGCCGAGCCTGGATACAGCATTAAACAAGGCAATACATACACCTCTAGTCAACGTACGCCTTTGCCTGTGCTATTCCATGTGACCAGCGAATCTGTCAATGAGCCACGCCGTCGTGCGAATCCACAGCAGGCCTCTGAAATAGCCCAAAGGATGACCTCGGCATATCGGGAGCGCCTCAATCCAATGCGGCGAATTCGTTGACCACTGTGGCTCAGGGCTCGACAATTCGTCAGCCAGTATCGCCTATTCCAAATTCGCCATCCATACCTGCTGTTCTTCATCCACGCTCGTGACAATGTGATATACATGACTAAGGTGGATCGGCTGCCCGGAAAACCGAGGTGTTTCGCGGGCTGCCTCCCGGACGGTAGCATGTACCGGATAACAGATGTGACGCGGCAGGTTTTGGGTTTGCGAGAGAGGGCAGAGGTGGCAACCGATGGCGAATCGAGGCAGTGCTGGCAGCTTGGGCATACATGTACCATAGGTACTCTACAGCATTCAACGTCGTTCCATTGACACAACCACATTGCTCACTGTTGGTATTTATTGATTGTCGTCGGATCTCTCAGGTCCCTCGAGTCAGATCACTTGGCGGCAAGAACTCACCGCGTGGCAAGAGAGTCCCTGGCAGTATTGCACCTGTGCACCCGAAACTCCAGGTCGACAGCACCCGCACCCGCACCCCAGCAGACCCAGGCTCCCCTCCCTACTAACTGAAAGACCCCACTACGCAACACTATCACATCATATAAACCGGCGCACTCACTTCCATACCTACCTACCTACCTTACCTGTGCTCGACTTCACCCTCACCACTACCACCTACTATCACGTCTACACACACGACGCATCCTACTTCCGCAGCCCTCACGAAATACCAGATCACCCCGACCGAATCGACCGAATCAATCAATCACGCATGGCCGACTTCGCACCCCCCAGCGGCCCGCCCCCGCCCAGGGAGCCAGAGCTGCCCCCGGGATGGCTGGCTAGATGGAACGACCAGTACTCGGAATGGTACTACATCAACGAGTTCACCAAGCAGTCGCAATGGAACAAGCCCACAGCGCCCGCCGTCAACCCCAACGCGCCACACGACCCCTCCGCGCCCGCTGGCCCTCCTCCGGGCTACACCCCGGGCCGCAGCCCCGCGCCCCCGTCCGATACCAAGAGCAGCTCGAATCCGTTCGTTAACCACGACACGAAGCCCGGCTACGGCAGCAGCAACAGCTACAACAACGAGGACGCCGACGCCCGCTTGGCACGTCAGCTTCAGGAGGAGGAGAACGCCCGCGCGGGAACTCCTGGGAGCCGTGGCGCTGCGCAGTCCTACATGGGCGGCCAGCAGGGCGGCGCCCCCTACCCGCCCGCGAACCAGTCGCCGTACCCGGACCAGCGAGGTTCAAGCGCCGGCGGCTCGTCGTCGGACAAGGCTAAGGGCCTGCTGGGCAAGTTCTTCGGCAACAAAAACAAGCAGCAGGGCGGCTACGGCGGCGGAGGCTACGGACAGCAGCAACAACAGCAGTACGGCGGCTACCCGCAGCAGCAGCAGGGCGGATACTACGGCGGTGGACCGCCTCAGGGACAGCAGTACGGAGGCTATGGAGGCCCACCGCAGGGGTACCAGCAAGGCGGCGGCTATGGCGGTGGAGGCTATGGCGGCGGCGGTGGTTACGGCCAGGCGCCTAAGAAGTCGGGTGGCATGGGCGCCATGGGCGGTGCGGCGCTCGGTCTGGGTGCTGGTGCCATCGGTGGTGCGCTGATCGCCAATGAGATCGACGACCACGAGGACGAGGCGTACCAGGAGGGCTACAACAACGGCAATGACAACAACGACTACGGTGGTGGCGGCGGCGATGACTACGGTGGTGGTGGTGGCGATGACTTTGGCGGCGGCGACGATTTCTAAAGGGAAAGGGGCTCGGAGGAGCAAATTGCCTTGCGCTACCTCTCTATACCTAAGCACTTGAGAACACGACGGTCTGAGATAGAAGTCTGCGAACAATGCTAGTCAAGCAGAAAGAGTTGATCACGGAAGAGGGTTGGCACACAATAGCAAGGGAACTCCGTATGAAATGGTTCGGGTTCACCGATAGCTTTTCGGACATGACTTCGTAGTACGACTTTCTACATCTATTCAGTTGCTTGTTAAAAAATTGTGAGCTGCTATGTCGTGCCAGAATCGTTCATTAAATTGTTAGGTCACTATTTCTAGACTCGAGGCTTTCTTCCGTGTACTACGAATCAATCGTAATTCTTGTCTATCGAAAATGCACCACTACAGCATGCTTCATGTGCCCAAGAAATCGGTCCTTCCATGGTTCTGTCACAAGTCCTGTCCCTATCTCTTCCCGCCCTTCTTGCCTCCATTGCCGGACGCCCCAGCGGGAGCCTCCTGGCCGCCCTCGTCCTTCTTGCTCTGGCCGGCCAGGAAACCGGCCACGTCGAAGTTGCCCATGGGGTTCGCGCCCGGCTGGGCCCCGCCGCCCATCAGGCTGCCCATCGGGTTCTTCTTCTGCTGCTCTTCGAACTCGGCTCGCATCTCGGGGTCCACTGTGTTTTGGGACATGGGGGTTAGTAGGCTGGTTGCGAGAACGTATTGTATGGGGAGGCGGGGGAATAAGGGATAAGGGTTTGTAAAAAGGTGCGGATGAGGTAGAGGTCGGAAAGGCGGGAGTAAAGTGGACGTACTGTTGTCGAGCATCTTTGGCATGCCGATGAAGAGGGCCATGCTCACGAGGCCCATCAGGATCATGGGGTTCTTGAGGATGTTGAGGATCGAGACTGCGCGCTCGGGCGTTAGCAAGGCATACCATACCATACCATACCATACCATAACCAACGGATGTCCTCCCGGCGTATATACTCGCCCGATCCGATCCGATCCGATTCCTTCTCTGAGTCGAACGGACGGACGGACGGACGGACCGGAAGAGTAGACGAGGGAAGAGTAGACGAGGGAAGAGTAGACGAGGGAAGAGTAGACAAGGGAGATAAACTCACAAGATCCACGCTCGGTATAGTAGACCTTGGGCCCCAAAACCTTGACCGCGAACCCGGCGCCGGCCCCGGCTCCGACACCCGCCTCCTGCACCTCCTCGCCCTTGTTCTCCCAGTCGTTGCCGCGGTACGTCTCCCAGACCCTCACATTTACACTGCTATCTCCTACACCAGCACCAGCACCACCCCCTACACCATCCCCAACAGCCACGACATCCACCCTCAGCGGCGCAAACGCCACCAGCGCGCAGTGCACGTCGGCCAGGTACGACCCGGGCGTGACGTTGCGGAACACGAACGTGTTGGCGACGGTCAGCGGCGCGCGGTACGTCGTGTGCAGCGTCGTGAGCGTGGCGTGCGTCGAGCCCGCGGGCAGGACGTGCGGATTCGGCAGGTGCGGCGGGGACGGCGGGATGGCGAGGGTTAGGGTCGTCGTGGTGAGCGCTGCTGTCGGGGCTAGGAGACTGATGAGGCTGAGGAGCAGGCCCGGGAGGGGACGGGGTGGTGAGAGGCGCATCTTGAAAGGCAGGAGTGGTAGGCGTGTAATAAGGTGGGTGTGGTTGGTGTTCAACGGGCGGAGGGTGGGGTTGAGGTTGAGGTTATGATGCGAGAAGCTGGAGCTGGAGCCCCGGTGGAGGTTGCGCGCCGCACTGACCAATGGCGTCAGACAGCGTTTGTTGCAGACCTCCCGTCGTCCTGTAAGCCAACAGAGATGTCGAAGCTGGAGTATACGGATAAGTCTTAATTAATAACGATATATCAAGTTGGCAGTTTACCATTGATTATTACCTTTCATATTAAGGCTACACGTGTCGTCGGCAGGGCTGCACTCATACATCAGCCGGACGGAATGTCCTGGGTCTCCCAGTCAGGCAGCCTCAAGTTCAGGGGTTCGATCACAACAACTTGTTGCGACTACCAACTTATCCCGACGTTCTTCTCTCCGGCAAAGACTCGATCGTTCCAGTTCATTCTTGTCAGAGGGTATATCTTCATTCACAGCCAAACCCAGCTATCTGTCCTGGCCACCACAGGGCATTCTGGCAAAGCATCTACTAAACAACCGTAGGCGCCGCTTCATCCTTCTTCGGCTGCGCCCCCGCGTCCGTCTCCTCGCCCCGGGGGGTCGCCGCCTCGGCCTTCTTGAACGACTGCTCAAAGTCGGCAATGATGTCGTCAATGTGCTCCGTGCCAACCGAGATGCGGATCAGATCCTCGGTGACGCCGGAGCTGGCCTTCTCGTCGTCCGACAGCTGCTCTGCGCGTACGTTAACATCCTGTCTTTAAACCCGTATGGCAAATTTCTAGAAGAAGAAGGAAAGGGAACAACGAAGCTTGATCTCGAAACCAAGCCTCAGGGTCTCCGTGATGGGATGTCTCTATACGTACGGTGCGTGGTGCTCCAGGGGTGGATGGCGAGCGTCTTGGAGTCCCCGACGTTGGCCAGGTTGGAGATGAGCTTGAAGCCGTCGACGATCTGGCTGCCGGCCGCGCCGCCGCCCTTGACGCCGAAGCTCAGCACGCCGCCGAACCCGCGCCGCAGGTACCTCTTGGCCAGCCCGTGGCTCGGGTGGTTCTCGAGCCCCGGGTACGACACCCAGTTGACGTAGGGGCTCTTCTCGAGGAACTTGGCCAGCGCGAGCGCGTTCTGCGCGTGGCGCTCCGCCCGCAGGCTCAGCGTCTCGATGCCGAGGAGCAGCTGCTGGGCGCCGAAGGGGTTGAGGCAGGCGCCGAGGTCGCGCAGGATCTCTACGCGTGCGCGGACGGCGAAGGTCACGGGGCCGAACGTCTCCCAGAACTTGAGCCCGTGGTAGCCCTCGGACGGCTCGACCACTGCGACGGATTGGGTCAGCAATTGTCCCTTAATTGTGGGATTCAGGATTGTGTCTCGGAGCAAAAGCTCGCGTTGGCAGACAACACACTCCGGTTACATGACGAAAAGTGCAAGAGAATAACTCGAGATGTTGCTTACTCTGGGGGAACCGCGCCGCGTTGGCGCCCCAGTCGAACTTGCCGCTGTCGACGATGACGCCCGCGATCGTGGTCCCGTGGCCTCCAATCCACTTGGTCGCCGAGTGTACCACAATATCAGCACCATGCTCAATGGGGCGCACAAAGTAACCTCCGGCGCCAAAGGTGTTGTCAACCTGGTGCAATTTAACATCTCACATATGACTAAGACATGTAATCCTAGACAGCTACTTACAACAAGGGGGATGCCCTTCTCATGCGCAACCTTGGCAATGGCCTCGAAGTCGGGGACGTTGTACCGGGGGTTCCCGATGCTCTCGATGTAGACGGCCTTGGTCTTGTCGTCGATGGCCGCGCCAAAGTCCTCGGGCTTGTCGCCGTCGATGAACTTTGTCGTCACGCCGAACCGCGGCAGCATCACCTTGAGCTGGTTGTAGGTGCCGCCGTAGAGGTTGGACGTCGACACGATGTTGTCGCCGGCGTGCGCCAGCGCCGCTATCGTCATGAACTGGGCGGCCTGGCCGGACGCGGTGGCGACGGCTGCCGCGCCGCCCTCGAGGGCTGCGATGCGCTTCTCGAAGACATCGACGGTGGGCTGTGTGGAGCTGGTCAGTGACCGTAACCCAGCTACGAGTTGTAGAGACGCACGTTCATGAGGCGGCTGTAGATGTTGCCGTTTTCCTGGAGGCCGAACAGCCTCGCGCCATGTGCCGAATCATTAAAGGTAAAGCTCTGGACCTGGGTTAGTCTACTGTCCCTACCCAGGTATCTGGAGAGTACGTACTGTCGTCGCGTAGATGGGCACAGCTCTGGAGTTCGTGGCCGAGTCAGGCTCGTGACTGTGCGATGACAATCAGCTCTCGCACTCTCATATCTGGCGAAGAGGGGAGGGAGGTAAGTCATACCCCGCGTGGAGCTGGAGGGTCTCGAAGTTCTTGCTCAGCTCTTCAGCCATTGTGTCTGAAGTAAATATCCTATAAGATCTCCGGGGTTTCGTGAGTCTCTCTGAGTGCTAGGCTAGTTGCGCTGGTTGTCGTGATACTTTAAGGAGGGGAATTGGATGTGTTACTGTACTCGGAGGCACGATCTCTTGCAACCGCCTATTGACAGTATATCTCCAACATGCCTACATGTACATATGTATTTCTTATGTACCTCGTCCCCATTAACAGCAGCGCCCGCATGGCGCTTCCGCCAGCGTCCCATGCTCTCGCGTCATTCCCAGCTGTGGGATCGACAGTGGATGAAGCCCGGAAAGCACGCCATCGACCTCGGCGCAGTCGACTTGCCCGGTCGGGAACAACCCTGTGAAAATCTCGAGTGGTGGTGTCGTGGGACGGGATTGGTCGCGTCCCTCGCTGTTACAGTGTACATCTCAAATACACAAATACACAAATACGCATCGTATGTGGTGGACATGCACGTATCGGCATGTTCAACCACCTACCTAGGTACAGGGTCTTTTGTTAATCAAGTGGTGTTGCTACCCCTTTACTCATTAACTATAAAAAAACGGATACAATCCTGAGAACGCTATGGTGGTCATGAAGCATCAATTTCTTTCGTCGGCCTAGTCACGCCTGGGATGTACTCGTTCAGTTTCAAGCCGCAAAGAGTTGGCTGCCTCCCGCCCGGAACCTCTTTCATTTTCTTCCCAATCAGTCCCAACGTCATCCTCTCCATCGTTATGAAACCCATATAAACGCACCCGTCGGGCTTGAAGGCCGAGGCGCCAAACTTGCAAATGGCCACTGCGCAGCCATGTTAGAGGAAATGGGCGCACGGGGAGTAACAACTTATTTAGGGGATAAGTTACTTACTGCATAGAGTGGTCAGGATCTGCAGGGGCTCGAATACCAGGAGCCAGCACGTGGAACACCCGTAGCACTTGCACGGGTCCAGGGCCGAGACCACCTTGGTGACCACAGTGGCGCCCACTCTGGCGACGCCTTTGACCAAGCGCGGGTCCAGCGCGCCATCATCACCATGGCCGCCGCCGCCGCCGTCGTCCAGCGCCACGAGGTCCTCCTCGCCGGTCCAGCCCGCCGCCGCGTCGCGCTTTGTGCTATCCAACAAGGAGCCGCCCAGGGAGGGGCCCATCTTGACAAGTTCTTTCCCTAACGCCTCCACGCCCTCGGCCGTGTTGATCTGTAGGTTGCCCTTCATGCCGTCCGGCAGCTTGACGTCGACGAATTCGTTCGCATTGCCCGCGGTCTCGAACATGCCCGCGAGGTCGCGCGTGTGCGCGCGGCGCGCCACCTTGTCCACGGCGTCTTTAATCACGTCTATCAGCGTGACCTGGCCCATCAGGCCCTCGACAGTCTTCTGGAGAGCGTCGTAGTCGCCCGGGAACGTGACTGAGCCCTTGAACCCCGGCGTGTCCGCCTTCCAGGTCCGCCCCTCGTCGGCCCGGCCAATTATTGTCGAAGGTGTGTGGTCGTCGCGTGTGTTGTACGCTCGCAGGCGGTCGGCCGCGTCGGCGGACGCTGCCACGCCCAGCAGAGCGGCAAAAACAGCTGTGAGTAGCAGCGCGGGCGCTCGCATTTTCAAAGTTTCGCCCGTTTCGAGTTACTGGGTGAAGAAGGCTCGATTGGGAAAGTGGTTATACAGGAAAGTCTCTGGGGAAACATACCGTATCATCTCTGCGAAGGATGCGTCTGGGCCCCCCCCCGTCTTTATGAGGTGTGGGCCTGTCTGGCTACGTAGGAAGGAAGAAGACAACAGGTAGGCACCATAGTTTGGGTCGGCCTCACCGAGTGGCACCGACAGGATTTAGCGCGCCTTCGTCATAAAAGATCTGTGGGATTTCATGGAACTCTTTTAGAAGAACCCACATACATATGCCGCCTTGGCCCAGTGCCGTGTATGCCGAAATAACGAAGAAGGTTGCAAAAGGTGGCCGGGGGAAGGGTCACGAGCGGGTGGCAAGCCACATGGCAACATCGCCCTTATATAAGTATGAACGGGCCATCGCCACAGGACTGGCACAGCTGCTTGGCTGACCTTGGCACATTTGTTTGTGGGACATAGAATCAAGTGGTGGCGAGAATCAGACGAAGCAAGTCACGAAGGTGAAACGTGTCCCGCTGTAAAGTATGTGTTCTCGTTCCTTCTTTATAATAACACGAGCTCTACCGAATCAGTCCGTGCCGTTGACGCCATGTTCAAAGAGAGAACTTTCGACTCCTAAAATAATACCAAAGAGGATTTCAATAGTCAATACCGGGGCGGCTGATCATCTAGACGAAGCCATGACCCCCTTCTACCGTTTGCTTGTGACGTTTCCTTCGTCACCTCTCTTCTCCTTGGTTTGAGTGACGCCACAACGCCCCGTGTACGTCTTCATAATTTCCTTATTCTCTATCCAGAGAAGAAAGCCATTACTCGTGATGTGTCGACTAGCTCTTGGGCACGTACAAATATACACTCTCCCAACCTGCCTGCGTCTTGTCCTCGGCTTCGCAGTCGAGGTACGGCTGGTACGGCGAGAGGGGGATGTCGGTGTAGCGCGGGCTGGCGACGGAGAGCCTGGCGGCGTCGCTTACGCGGCCGACTCGGACTCCTTCATCGGGGACACCTTTGAAGGTGCCTGAGCTCCGGGGCGGCGGAACCCCCCCTTGAACACATCTTTCCCCATCAGCACGGCAGACCCGGTCCAGAGCAAAAACTCAATGGCGCCGAATGCGATGTCGGCCTTCGCCGCACCGCACACGCTGCCGCGGCAAAACAGAAGCCTGCTGATGAATACAGACAGCGCGACGAAGCCGGCGAAGTAGAAGAGTGCGTTGCTGATCTCGAGGGATATGGCAGCGTACGGGTGCGAGGCTACACAACACGTCAGTCTTTCCTGATCGAGCCCACTACCGGGGGACTTCCTTACCTCGGGGCATGAATCGCGGGGCCAATTCGAGGTAGCCAACAGAAAGGATGGTGAACAGCGAGACGAAGAGCAGCCAACCGACTTGCGACGGGGGCGAAGTCAGGGTGTCAACGTTGTACCAGTTGGCAACTACAGAGTTTCGATGTTAGCTTACAGCTGGTCTTCTCACATGCCACCTTCTCCTTCTGCGCGCTACATACCGTATGCCGACAGACCCAGGATGACAAAGGCCAAGGTGAGTTGAGCAGCCCGCAGGCCGAGGATGACGCTTGAGGAAAGCATGTTGGCGCTGGAGCGAAGGAGTCGGGGAGAGCGGTCGGGAAAGCGAGCGTCTTGATGCGTAGTCATAAAACCGAAATGCTGCAGCTAGTGCACCGGGATAAGAGAAGAGAAGCGAAGATGGTCTCGAGGTATACACGGCGAACAGGAAGAGATGTCCAAAGAACGGAAGAGCAGCACCAGGCGTTAGAGGGCAAGAAGGTTGGAAGAGGAAGACGAGGAGACCACCCACATTAATGCAAGTCGGGCAGTGCTGGCTAAAGGTCAAGCATGCAGGCTCAAGACGTTTCTGGTCTGTTGCACCCGCGGGCGGACGGTCTTCTGATCATCGTCCCAATCTGCGTGGCGATGCGCGCCGGCGCGGTTCTGAAATCGTCTGAAACAGCTATGGCCACTGTTCAGGGGTGACAGCCATGCGCTCCCCACCCAGAGTGCTTCTCTAAGTTCTCTTCCATCCAAGCCAACTTGGCCAAGACATATATATGACAAGTCCCTGCTATAGCCATCCATACTTGTGGTATCTGGGGATATATTCCAACTTGGAAGTCTGGCCAACTTGTTCGCTGTCATTAGTAAAGCTGTAAAAGAGATGCCGCAACTACCAAGGCTGTGCAGTCGTGGCTCTGCGGTGACCCGTGCTCATTTGACAGCTTGGGAGATGGAAGGTAGTACCCCTATGATGGGCGGCAATGCACTCGGACAGAGTAGAGAATAAGCGAGCCTCGGGCGCCTATCCTCATAGCTTCTGCAGTATTCGCAGACGGACTGGCTGCTCCTGTTCTAAGGCCTCGAGATTGTTTGTAGAGGCCCGCCAATGCGTCAAGCACATCGTAGCAACTGCTCAAGGGGAGATACGTACGACAAAGCGGATGAGGATTGAAACAAAGGCGATGGAGAAAGAACCAATCTTGTGATGGTAGGCGAGGGTATAACGACTGACGTTTGCCCTGCGAATGTTGAACAGGTCGGAAACTGTTTGGAGTATCAGAATCCAGAGGGCGGTTCTGGGCATCTTGGCTGCTAGAGCCAAGTCGTCTCAAAACTCGGGGTCCGTCCGCCTTCTCACACGGCCAAGCCATTGGTACTACCTATGCTCAAAGCCGAATCGTGGATATACTGGTCTTGCGAGGCTTGGATTTCTGCTCGATATCTCTTGACTTGACGATGCGAACTTGTACAGCTGTCATGATTGTGCAGTTTGCGCTGAGCCATCAAATGGTAACAGCGACCCCACCCGGTAAGCACTGTTCGAAGGTCTCATCAACAGCAAGTGCGCTGTAGTAATAAAGTTAGGTCGTTTCGCCAAGAATCGCAATGCGGCGTCTCTGTCGGCCGACACAGTCTTTGTTCCTCACAATTCCCAAGGGAAAGAAGATATTCCCACGATTTCGGAGTGCTTGTCAGATTCAAATACCTCGTCCACTTATGGCGCTGAACCCGTCCAAGTGGCCCGTCTGACGCCTGACGCCTGACGCCTGACGCCGTAGCGGAGGCCGAGCCGAAGGGCATGTGAAAGCCAAGTATCGGTGCAGAAGCATCCATGCTTTTCGAGTCAGTATGCACTTGACAATACTATCATGTCTTCCGATGTTTGAGAACTCGGGTTCACCATCCTGGAGATGTACCTAATGTCAGGTTTATTCCATGCTGTAATCACTAATCAGCAGGTCGAAGCTCTGATCCGGCACACAAACCAGACTTGAATGACGCGAACACCCCTCTTCTGTCCCGAGGTCGGGTCTCCACAATCACTGCGGAAAGATGCTAACCTAGCAGCCTAGCCTACCTAGGGGGATGAGGAACCTCGGCTTCTCCCCTGGCTTGGCGGTCTTGGTGGGTCCTTACCCCAGAACGGCGGCCACAAGACCATTACCGCAAGCCCCGGCCCGGCGTTGTGGGCGTTGCAGGTGCTGGTGCTCGTGACGAGTAACACGTGCAATGACTAGTAAGAGGCATTTCGCTCATAATCAAGAGTTGGCAACGCTTGAACTCAAGCTGCTGATCAGCGTACCTCATCATCACGACCGACCGCCCAGATCAACATCAATGCATGAGCCTAGAGGTAAAGCCTTTGGTAGTTGACAATTGAAGTGGGTCTAGGCCTAGTCCGCACTCCCGAGCAGCTGCCGAGGTCCCCAAATCGGTCTTGGTGTGGCAGGACCTCAAGAAGCAAGAGAGCTTCGGTTGCTAGACTGACGCTCCTCTCTTCACAGCAGTACCGACTACGCTCCCTGTGAGACGCACATCGAACAAGCACCAAGATCCTGTCATCACGGTTGACTGTGCCTTTCCGCCGACATAAACCTACAGGGCAACATTCCCGCAAAAGGCAAACGGTGACACCCCAGCACCGTCAGCAATTGGTTGAGGTTGTCCTAAAGCTGGACCCCTTACCCCTTACCCGCTGCCGCTCGACACCATGGCAGGCGTTGGCGTTGGTCCCGACCTGCAGACTGCAGCCTACATCCAACAGATCTCAGCACCACCTCCGCCAGGCTCTCCCTACGCTGTCCCCGTTCCCGGCACCGCGCTCGAGGACCGTTCTCCCATCTACCGCCACTGGCGATTCGCCGACAAGCCTCTGCTGTCTACCTACGTTCCCGACGAACGCACCTTTCACGATCTCTGGACGAAGGCCGTAAAGCGCTTCCCCAACAACAAGTGCTTGGGCACGCGGCCATGGAACCCATCCACCAAGCGCTGGGAGGACAAGTACGTCTGGCAGACTTACGCTGAGGTAGCCGCACGCAGCAAGAACTTCGGATCTGGTCTTTACGAGCTGCATCGCCGCATCGGCGTCCCGCCCGGCAATCATGGTGTTGGTCTTTGGAGTCAGAACCGCCCTGAGTGGCAGATCGCCGGTAAGTCCTGATCTCCTTTGAGAAGAAGCAGTGCTGGACCTGACTCGCGATGCTAACAATTCGGCACAGACATTGGTTGCATCTCTCAGTCCATGTTTTCTGTATCCCTCTACGAAAGCCTCGGGCCCGATGCTTCCGAGTTCATCGTCAAACATGCCGGACTTTCCTGCGTTGTGACCTCGCTGCCTCACGTTCCGATCCTCCTAGCCCTTGCGCCACGCATACCGTCTCTCAAGTTGATCATTTGCATGGACTCCCTCGATGGCGGCGAACCAGATGGCTATTCGAAAAAGGCGTTGTTGAACAGTATCGCTGGGGAGAGCGGAGTGCAGATCTGGTCGATGGATGGTGTTGAGGAGCTAGGAGCAAAGGTCGCACACGCCGTGCGTCCTCCTCGCCCGGAAGATATTATCACTATCAACTACACCTCCGGCACGACTGGCGATCCAAAAGGTGTCGTACTGACACATGCAAACTGTGTCGCTGGCGTCGCGAATGCTCGCTCCAGTGGGAACTACACTTACAAAGACACCCACATGTCGTATCTACCCCTCGCTCATATTTTCGGGCGAATGGTCGATCAGGCTGCTCTGTCTGAGGGTGCGGCTATTGGATATTTCCACGGAGACATGCTGGGGCTGGTCGATGACTTGAAGCTTCTGAAACCAACGGGTCTGATATCAGTCCCACGTCTACTCAATCGGTTCAACATGGGCATTCGTGCGCAAACCCTCGAAGCCGATGGTATCAAGGGTGCACTCTCTCGCAAGGCTATCGAGACAAAGAAGGCGAGCATGAAGCTTCCACCCGGCAAGGCGACCAACAAGCATTTCTTACTCGACCGTGTCTGGACTCCCAAGGTCCGGGCTGCTGTGGGCTTGGAAAGGTGTCGGTCCATCGTCAGCGGAAGTGCGCAACTCGACCCGGATGTTCAAGAGTTCCTGAGAGCTGCTTTTGGGAACAACTTTGGCTCGGGCTACGGTCTGACCGAGTCGTACGCTGCTGCTGCCTGCCAGGCAGAAGGTGACTTCTCATTGGGCAACAATGGCGGCCCAATGCCTGGCGTCGAGATTTGTCTCGAGTCCCAACCCGACCTCGAATACTTGGTGACAGACCAGCCACGGCCCCGTGGAGAACTACTCATGAGGGGTCCGATCATTTTCCGCGGATATTACAAGAACGAAGAAGAGACTAAGAAGGCCCTAGAGCCAGACGGATGGTTTCACACGGGCGACATCGTCGAGATAGATGAACTCGGACGCATCAAGATCGTCGATCGCAAGAAGAACGTCCTCAAGCTGTCTCAGGGAGAGTACATCTCCCCTGAGCGGATCGAGAACGTCTATATGGGCAGCTCCAACTTGATCGCCAATGCTTTCGTCCATGGAGATTCCAGCCAATCGGCGCTGGTCGGTATTTTCGGAGTGGATCCAGCTGCCTTCGGGCCCTTCGCCAGCAAGGTCTTGAAGAAGACGGTATCGCCGGACGATCTCGCGGCCATCAAGGTTGCAGCCAAGGATCCCCGAGTGGTCCAGGCCTTCCTGAAGCACCTTGATGTCATTGCAAAGAAGCACAAGTTCAACGGCTACGAACGAGTGCGGAACTGCATTTTGGACATTGAACCGTTTACCATCGAGAACGAGTTGCTGACGCCTACGTAAGTCCAGAGGATTATGGTTTTCCCGAAGTTATTCCGTGCGTACTGACTTTGTGATATAGCTTGAAACTCAAGAGGCCTCAAACAGCGCGGAAGTTCAAACCAGAGATCGACCGCATGTACGCCGAGATCAATGAGGAAGCCTCGAAGGTAATGCCCAAGCTATGAGTACGCGGAATGGGGCATTTATAATGGAATCTGTATGGAACATATGTACAATAAGCATGACCGAGAGGACCTATCCACGCATCACATCTGCATATCAAATTGGGATAGCTAGGTCTATGGCTTGATAAATCTGTCATTTTCACGACGAACGGGACATTAAAACACAAAGTACCCTACCATCACCTAAACGTTGAATATGGCTATGTCCACCCTTTTAACTATTTGATAGACCGGAAGGGAGAAATCCTGACATGGAATTTATATCAAAACATGATAGAACTTGTCTAGAGGTAGAAACAAGTAAAACATGAATCAATTACATGTCTTTGATATGTTGTTGGTTTCCTAAATACTGGCAGGCGCGTTACCTGGTAGTTGTGGTAAAGCGGGGTGGCCGCCTAGCATACGATGTGTTTGTTGAGCCGATGGCCGCACGCTGTTAGTTGATAGCTCCCCGAACCTCAACCTATTAAGTCCGCGGTGTTAAATGTTGTCGCAACAAGGTGTTGTTACGACATAATCACGATGAAAGTTCTATTACCGTAGTATTAGCTGGGTTGCTTAGAAAATGCAACTTGATACTTAAGATATATATTAGTAAGAAGTATAAGGGAAATTAAAGGTATAAAAAAAGTGGTATTTTTAAAGCTATTTATTTAAGGCTTATTGATTATTTAATAAACATTTATATATTTTAGTATAAGCGCGCTTAATAAAATTGTTTTTAAACTTTTAAAAGTAAAGAAATACGATTTCCCGTAGGTTATTTTATAATCTTTAAATTGTTAAATCGCTACTCCGATGCGAAATATGCTAGCAACCTAATAATGCGAGCCGACGCGACGACAATGACCGCATTCACAAATATTATCGACTTAACGCTCGATGAAGATGACGATCACGGGAAGGAGGAAGAGGAAGAAAAGTCGGTTGTCTTGTCTGGGCCGGGACAGGTGCTGCCCACTCCCAAACCCGCTCCTTCGCCCCTATCAACCATCGCATCCGCCGTACGTCCACCAAATATCCAATCGACTCCGAATGCCTTTCGAACACCACACCATGGCGAAACCAACGAGCTGCGCCATCCTACCCTACAACCGTCGCATCACGTCGTGACGCCAGCATCGTACGCGTCGGCCTCGCCTTCTACTCCCTCGCAATCTACTCCCTCGCAATACAATGACGAGCGCCCACCGAAGCGCCAGAAGCTCGAGGATGGCAGTGACCCCCAGCCCACTCCTCCTACCGAGCGCGTTAGAGATGGCTTAAAGCGATGTCTCGAGCGTCAGGTCTTCCCGCATATCGATCTTGAAGTCCAGCGGCTCGACAAGAACATCTACGACATCAACAAACTCGGCACCAAGGTGGTGGGGCAGATCGTGGACAAGCAGTTCCAGCAACATTACCGCGAGGGAAATGGAGAACTGTCACAGGCAGCGGTGGGTGCCGTGGCTGCCCGGGCCCGTAGGCTCGTGGTTGAGCTTGCAGCCGGCTCTGTATGCTGCCCAGATCCAGAACCCGCCTGATGCCTGTACTGACGTGCCTCAGGAATTCCGTCGTCTTACTACTCCGCGTCCTACGCCGCAGCCGTCCGCCTATGTCCTTCCTCCGACCGTCCTTCCTTCGATCGAGAACGTACCACATGGGGTCGCCCACGTTGCGAACGAGGCTCAGGGTCGAGATCTGGTCACCACAATGGAAAGCCCCAAGCTAGCTCGCCAGCTGAAAGCACACACTCCTCCTCTGCTCCTCCCTCGGCCAAAGAAGGAGACTGTCGTGTCACCACAGCGAGTTCGCGCGAGAGCTAAAGCAACCCTGTGGCAGTCAGGCAAGAGCTATGAATCGAAGAGAGAGGGTTCTCCAGTATCAGCCCAAAGCAGGTGGTTCGGCCTGCCTTCCCGGCCATACCTGAAAGCAGAAATACGGCAGCAAATCGCACTAGGCGCCCAGAACAGTCGGTTGTTGGACATCGACTCAAACGAACTTCCCCAGTCGGAGGTGTTTCATGTTGATTTCCACGACTCGGAGGAGGGCTACTTCCAGTATTTGGCAAGACAACTATATGGTAAGACCATCACAAAGCCTGGTAGGACGGTCCGGCAAGATCTGCGCCATCTTATTAAGAAGATCCCCGCTATGCGGGCGCGCATTGTGGCTCTCCATGGCGAGGGCTACAAAGGCTACGATCCTCCTCCTGACTGCTTGAGGAAACGTTCGACAGAAGACATCGGCAACTTCCTTGAAGACCTCTATCGCAGAAGGCTTAATCCGGTACCGAAGTCGTTGTTTCTTGAAGGGTATGATACTGTTGCTCGAAGCGACGTCTCTAGAGCGAACAGGGTTCCGGCTTTGCTGTTGACGAGAGAGATTGCTGGCAACCGCGTCGGCGCTACCAGGAGATATCAGAATTTCACTACGGCGTTCAAAAGCAACAGGGAGGATTATCTCGAACCGAAAGTGGAATGGACGAACTGTGCTGGCGATATCATGACTATGAGCTGGCTTTCAAACACGCAGTTCATCTGCGGCGCAACAACACATTCAGACTCTCATAACCAGCAATACAACAAGCCGGGGAACCTACTGCTCGGCTCGGCGACAGCAAACACCTTGCGAGCATATCCAGACCACCGCATTGTTCGCCCCCTAGTAGAGCATGGAGATAATGCCCTGGAATCGATGAGGGAGAGTCAAGACCCGTGGCTCTACACGTCTGTGGTTGCTTCGGACTACGATGCCTCCAACAACTTAGCTTTTACGTCGAGTTTCGACCGCACTGTCAAGATCTGGAAACCCGATGGCGACTCTATGACAGCCGGTGGTACATGGGTCCACGACGGGCGAGTCAATTTCGTACTGGCTTCCAAGAATCAACATGGCACGATAGCCACAGCTGCAGACGTACCAACAGAGGCCGTCCGAGTCTATCACTTGAATGGGTTGGAGGACGTGTCTGGGAGTCGTTTTGATTCGTATTCGTGCACGAGAGTTCACGATGAAGACTACGTACCTTCTGACAAATGGGCCTACTACCCGGCCGCCATACGATGGGGTGTCGCCCCGGTGGTAAGCCACCTGCTTCTCATCGGATACTCACCCCGGAGCCCTACGGGTCAGGACCATGAAATTCCAGAGGACAAGAGGGGCACGGGCGAGCTTTGTCTCTGGGACACGGTCACGCGAAGCCAGGTCAAAGTCAACAGTGCCAAAACTCAGAACGTGTTCGAGGTCGTATGGCATCCCACACGGCCGAGTTTCGCGGCCGCAACTTCGGCATCCCAGACCTCGGAGAAGATTGAACAGCAAATCCGCACCCAGATTCGTATCTTTGAACTGAACGAGACTGGTCAATACGGTGCTATCAAGACCCTCGACTGCACTGCTATTGATATCAACGAGCTCACCATCAGGTATGTGTACTACACATGTCTCTTTATGTTTCTTACCGCTGACACGTAGAAAAGACCCAACAGCCTGCTTTACTCTTACGTGGCTGCTAGTTGCACGGACGGAAAGGTTTACGTTTGGGACTCGGCTGGAAGCGATCGACCGATGTGTGTTCTGGAACATGGTGGTAAGTCTGGCAAGTAGATGATTCGTCATCATGTGGCTAATGCAGGTTTAGAACCGGTTGAAGAACTTATGGGCGAACGAGACATGGAAGACGTCGGCGTCAAGTTCGCGGCCTGGGGCACCAGTTCGGATCGGCTCTACACTGGCTCCTCGGACGGAGTTGTCAAAGTATGGAATATTCGCCACGGCCGAGGGGTCCACGTCAAAGACCTCATTGAAGTAGCGGCGCCGATCACGGCTGGCGCTTTCTCTCCGGATTTTACCAGGCTGGCGATTGGAGATGGTAGTGGACGAGTCTACTTGATGGCCCTGGAGGAGACTGAAACCGAAGAGCAGACCAGGTCGACTGCGGTCTCATCCGGCTTCCTCACCCTACAGGTGAACGGCAGACAGCGAGCAGTTCGACGGCCTCGCCCATTCATACCTCATGCTGAGCTTCCCCATCCTGACGACCTGACCGACTCGTCAAAGCCTAGATTGGAGATCGGGCAAGCACGAGCTAGGGAGTACCTAGACCATGGTGAGCTTGTCCGTCATCCGGACGCTACAATCGGCGTCGTCCGGGGCGCAAACTATGCAGAGACTGGCTTGTTTCGGGAAGAGGCGCACCTGAACGGAGATGCGACCGAGCCACTGCTCAGCGGCTTCGAGAACCAGCAGCAAGAGAACCAGAAGTTTTCCCGGACACAGCGGTTCTCCAGGCAGCGCACAGTGGACGATGAGGCGGTAGGAAAGTTCCAGGGGCTCCATGCCCAGAACTACGGGCTGAACTTCTCCAAATATGACCTCGATCTGTCGAGTCGGGTGCAGCTGGAGAAGGAAGGGGTTGAGCTCGAACCATCCCTGGTTGAGCTGGATTACGAGTCGAGTATTGATGATAGTGAAGACGACGACTAGAACTAGGGCGATCGCTGGGGCTATGTACTTAGCTACGCGTGTAAACTATCGTGGGGTTGGCGTGTATGCTGTCGAACAACTGTATAGGGGTTTCCGTTGTTATGAGATTACATGCAGGTTCAAGCTGCGGCTTTGACAACGCATGCTACCGTCATTACTACTTTTCTCCCATTGTGAACCATCGTTGGAATCGGAAATCTCTTGAAGGAACTCGAATGCGTCACGAAAAACAGAATATCTTAATGCCTCACCATGGGAACACCAACAGGAGACGACACCGTCCACCTGTCCTGCAGTCACTTTTAACATCGAAATGACGCAAACCGGGACGCAGCTCAGCTCCCGTGCCGACAGGTTTCTCACCGCTTTATTACTACCTATCACCTCTCCCGAGGCGAAATCCCGCGAGGACCCTGACTTGCAGTAGCCTGCAGGAAGAAAGACCCTCGGTGCAGCAGCACTGGTGTCTCTGAGATGAGGCTAGCTGGCGGCATGCACGATGCGAGTTAACGCCGGCGCGGCTGGTGATGAAACTGTCAAGTATGTAGGTGAGTGCGTGCATTGTGGACTGTGTGGGCTGTGGGCTCTGGACTCTTGGGTGTCGTCTAGACTCTGGACTACTGTATGCTCTAGATTGGGATGAACTACTAGAGGATGCTCGGACCAGGTGCAAATAGCTTTCATCATTAATACATAGCTGAATGTCTATTCGCGATATACTAGCCGCCCCTTTTCTACGGAGGGTAGACTTTTAAAAAGCTTCCTAGATCACCTGACCCATGGTATAGCCCGAGCATCTTCGCATACCTAGCACTACGAAGAGGAAGAACAGACAGACAGTCTTCAGAAGATTAGCGCCCAGATCCCGTACACGCAGTATTGGCCGATACCGCGGCCTACGGCGGGGACCAGAACCTCACTCAAAATGCCTCACTCGGCCGCTCGGCCGAACTGTCTCCCCCTTGCCCGTACGGGACAGGACCGGCTGGGCTGGCCGGGGCTGTATAGGTCCAGAATCGCCCATGCATGAGGACCAGGTAATGACCGCGCAGCCGCGATTCGAGACGCGAGAAGACGGCTGGACAGTTTCAAATAGATATTCGCGCGTTTACTCTTTCTGGTAATGCGAGGGTAGAGATGGGGATGTAACTGACTGATCTACTATAACCTACCTAGGTAGTTTACCTACGTGCAACGCGCGCAAGCGACAGCTATGTACATACAGCCGGCGGTGAAGCATTCGCTCACTTCCAGAGATATATACCATGGGCGAATCATGGTAAATGTATAGAGGCAGAGGCATGGGAACATTCACTAGAGCATTGTTGTGGGATGTATCGTGTGATTGTTATGGATTTGTAACTATACACGTGGTGAACTAGTGGAGTTCATGGCCGTCATGACCTGACTCCTCGTGCAATTATTTGATATCAAGAGTGAGTCGATACCGCCCGCCTTCTCGTGGTCGACCCTCGCGCATCGTGATCGTGAATCATCAAAAGGACAACGAAGAACGTGCTCCGAGAGGCATATTCAGTTAGACAACATACAAGAAAAATGAATTGTGCCTTCTGCACTGCTGCTCCCAAGCTTGAGCAAGGATATGTTGCAGCTCACACAGAATCCGATAACAATGCGGACGAGCCTCATCTGGTGGAAGCCTATCTTTTGCGTCAAAGGTCGGGAGGTCTGCGAGGAAGTCGAAGGTCGGGAGTGCGAGGAATGTCGGAGATCTTCCCAGATTGTCGGAAGGCCTCCCAAGGATCGATAGGCTCTCGTGGCACACCTTGAGAACCGCGACCTTTAGAACCGCGATGTGGCGATGGTGGCAACGGTTCCTACCCACTACCGTTGTATTGGTCCGGGGCAGGAAAGCTAAAGCCAGGCGGGAACATGGGCATGCCATTCGGTCCGGTGGAAATGCCGAAGGGAAACTGGGGGCCGTCGCTCTGTGCTGGGCTCATCATTTCGTCGCGCTGGTCATCCCGGCGATGATCCCTGTTGCGTCGCCATCTGGTGAGATCTCCATCGTCATCACCGCCGAAACCTCCTCGACTGGATTTTGGCCCGTGCCGTCCGCCCTTGTCTGTCTGCATGCGCCTGCTTATCGCCTTTGACGAAACACCAGCACCGATCTCTATATCGGGCTCCTCCACCACCATGCCAGACTCGATTGGCTGGCCGCCACTACCACCATATTCCGCCGTCAACATCCACTTTCTGTCCGCTTCGGTCAGCTTGGTGATGGGAATTATACTGATGCCGGTTTGGTAGTCGCTGCAGTCGCGAGGTCCGAATCCTACCCCCCATCGTGTCTGGAACAGCGTCAGTCCCGCCTTGCCGAATACTTCTCGTTCGACTTACTCGATAGGTACTATTCTCCATGCCTTCCTTGGCAGCAATAGCATCTCGCCGGTTGACCATCTTCACGAATGCATGGCGCTTGTCCTTATTTACTATGCAAGTCTGTACCTGGCCATGGCGACCAAAAGCAGCACGAAGTTCACCCTCGGGGCACCTAATGGACGTTAGCTCATGTTACCCTACGAGGGATAGAAAGGTCTTACGTAACACCTCCAACAAACAAGGTTCTGCTCAAAACTACAGCTTTGTTAGCACTATCTCGGCCCATGGACTTTGGTGTGGCATACCCTTGATATGGCCCTGGGGGACTGATCTATCGAAGTCGATCCATTTGGCAGATGGGTGAGAATAACCTTGAGGGGGGCTGGGGCTACGACCACGACGTCCAGGTGGACTGCGTTGGCGATAGTCCGGGCCTCTGCCACGACGATCACGGTCGTCCATGCGGCCAGGGCCCGGCGAGTTGCCCCCATAAGCGCCGAATTCACGACCACGAGGAGAGCCTCGCTGGTCCCAGTTACGCGGAGGAGAACGAGATCTTGACCTGTTGCGGAATCTATTCGGCGATCTTACTTGATGGAAGTTGTGATCACGTGACTCGTCTGGTCGAAAGCCTTCTTGACCCCATCCGCCGTAGGAAGGTTGGGCTGGCTGAGGGATGGGAGGAGCAGCACCAGTGCCTTGCATTCCCGCTATGATGGCCGGTATCTTGTCGACAGGAACACCTTGTTCCGCGAGAATTTTGATCAACATCACTTGTTGCTGGACATTGGGATCCATACCACCAGCGGCGGCTGGTGGTGGTGCATTATGCGCTACGCCAGGAAAGCCAGGTGCTTGACTACTCGCAGCCACCTGAGGCGAAAAGGGTTGACTGTGGGCGTAACCTTGCTGCTGGAATGAGTATGGCATTCCAGGGGCATTTACAGGCGGCGCTGCTGCCGCATAAGGGGCAGGAGGCGGAGTTGGAGCCGGAGGCTGACTATAACTCATTGGGAGGACAGGCTGCTGCATTGCCCCGGTCTGAGCGGGAGGTGCCGGAGCATTGTACGAATACGCCGGGACAGGGACAGGGTTACTAGCCGGCGCAGCAGTGATGTTTTGTCGAGCTATGTTCGCAAGAGCCTCCATGATAGCGTTCGGAGCCTCGGTAGTAGGCGGCTTGCTTTCCGACAAACCTGGAAGCCCGGGACCTGGCGGCGGGCTGCCTATCGGTGTGGTGGAATAGGCTAGCAGAGAAAAGTAGGATCAGAGACATGAACCAGACATTATAGTGGTGGCTAAACCGAACAGAAGCACAAGATGTCTTGGCCGGGTATTGGACCTACTTTTTAGGGGTGCTGTGTTCATCTTCTGCTTGAACGACTCGATCATAGGCGCAGGGAAAGTCTGGCCTTTCTCCCAGATATCAACTAGCTTCTTGATTTTCTCCTACACGTAACAAGTCAGGTAAGTGCACAATCTTTGAGTCAACCACGGCAAAATATCTCCAGCCTTTTGATAGGGCGGACGGCATCTGGCTGGGGGTAGCAGGTTACAGAAGTGCTATAGCCGATACTGATGCTGATGCCGAGACTACGATGTGTGGGCTGTGATGTGAATATGTGATGAAGCGTACCTTTTGTTCTCCGGGAGCATTCTGAAGGATATCATTCATCAAGACGGGAAGCAGTTCCGTTACTCTATGCACGCCGGCAGCGTAGGTTCCATCTTGTGCAGAACTATTGATAGGCTGGCCTTGTTGCTTCGCATGATCGACCCATCTGCGAGTTACGGAATCTACGACATAGAGTACTCCTAGCTTGTGAGTTGCCGGGACCTTCTTGAAGTGGGTGTAGATCTTCTGGATGAGTACGGATTCGGACTACAGCAAAGGGCATGAATTAGTATGGTATATACTTGTGGCATGACCATGGACTATACGAAAGTCTTACCTGAACGTTGGTGACGCATAGAGTGGTTAGGGACTGGATACGTGATCCAGAGACTCCGGGTGCCTTGAGGTTTTGCATGGCAATCAAGCCAGCCTCAAGTTCTGCTACTGGCGATGACATGGTGTTGCGACGTCTTTTTGGAAGACCCTCAGAGATGGCAAGGTGGGGCACTCGTATGGGCAAGGCAGACTCGCAGACTCGCAGCACCTGCAGCGACGAGACACACGACCAGTCCCGGGAGTAGTCACCAAGTACGAAGGGATCTCAACTTCTGTCGCGTTGGCACTACAGTACGGTAGGAGGCTGCTTGTTCAGAGTTACAGCCTGAAAGCGATCTAGGTAGGCGGAGGGGCGTCGTGTGGGTTTCGCAAGATGTTCCTAGAGTGAATCAAGTATGCTTAGAGGTGGTGAAGAGTCGCGGAGAGTCGCGGTAAAGCGCAGCGCAGCGATGTGACGCGGCAGCGACCTGGGATGGATGGTGAGCCGGAAGGCTGACTAGGTAGCTAGCCACTGCCACTCGTCCCGCAGGCACAAGGCGGAAGAGAAGGTGCCGCGGTTAGACTGTATACTGCTACTAGACACTTTGGGGGTGCGATGCGATCCAGTATGAGCGAGGCACTCTTGGGCGAGACTCGAGATGCTGTCGAGGATTACGATGTGGTGAAGATGCGAAGAGTTGATGGTGTTGGGAGGAAGATCAAGACTCAAGACGGGAGGAAAGAGGAGGTGCAGGGAGGGGAGTTATGCTGCGACGGTACATCCAATATGTAGTAAGAAAACTTTAAGGTGGGGAAGTGGCCAGCCACCCAGCCCCAGCCCCAGCCCACCATCGATATTGGGAGCTCTGACCGGACGCTGAGGCACGGCCTGCAAGAAAAGACTTGTATCGGAAGAACACTACACAGACCAACACTTGCACCTTTTTGGATCTCATTGAATCCATCTCATTGAATGCTGCCTAGTTGATTCGGTACGTGCAGATTGGCTGCTTTGGAAACTGTCACCTTGAAAAGATTGCTTTCCTTTGCACTCTCTGAAAGAACTGGATGTAGCCTTCCTGCAAGTCGTCTTTTACATGGTACTTTGATACGATTTGTTGGTCTTTGCCTCTCTTGCATCCCAACAAGGAAGGAGTGGAGAGTTGACCACCCGGATCTATGTACGCAAGATCATCATATTGTGCCTTGGTTTCCATGAAAATAATAGAATGTGTGAGTGCTGCATGTTGAAGGATGTCTCTCTAGATTACATTCGGCGGAAACCCGGTGTCTTGGCCAGCTGCATATGTACGGACTCGGTTTATCAGTCCGGTACAAGACAAACCTCCCAGCCTCCGGTCATCCGATCACGATATCCGTAGCAAAAGACAGAAAATGGAAACTCGCCTGTTGGTTACCCGAGGATGTTGAAGGTGTAGGTAGGCAGCCCCACAGTCCTCAAACAACCAATTGACTGCAGGTGTACACGAAACGAAGCCGCCAACAAGCTCCCTCTCCGTTATTATTAGAGTTGCCCCCACCTGCCTTTGACAGCCTTGACCGCATACATGTAGTGACAGCCTGACAGCACTGTGTAGCAGCATCAACTGAGGACTGTTCTGAAAATGCCATTCATCCAAACGAAAGCTTACGAGGTTCGTGGGGTCCATTGGACAGTAGGTACTTAGCTATCGGCAATGCAGATGTGACATCATGCCTTCAGCTTCTCGCCGTTTCGGAGATCGTGAACGGCTCTCACTGACGTCAAGGTATCGCAAGACAGCCGTCAGGACTTAGAACGCCGACGGAATGAAAATGAACTGGTGGTACATTGGGGCTGGAAGTAGCTGTGCTAGTAGCATCAGCATCGCAATGGTTGCAGAGTTGAAAACATATGCAGTAAAGCTGGCGGCACCGGGTGAGCTTGGCCCTGAAGTTTGAGCCGTATATTGCCGACTCGGAGCGTCTGGAAATGATGCTAGCACCAGCTACCTCAGAGGCTCAGACCTGTCGCTGATACCGGTCCGAAGTCCAAGTGTTCCTTCCGTTCGATTGGCTGGGTCCGTTGTACCCACCACCGCAGCAGATCAAGTCCGCGCTACGAGCTCCCGGCTAACCTGCTAACCTGGAACCTTTAGATAACACCCGGCTTATGAGATTTTTCTGCCTCCTTGTCCATCTGTCTTAAACCTCACCTTCCGATAAACCTATTTCTCCCTCCTCATCCCCCTTGCTCCCATCACACAATGGCTGCCACTCTTCGTCTCGGCTCTTCAGCTCTGCGAGCTTCTCTGAGAGCTCCCGGCTTCCCGCCGCGCACCACTGCTTTCAACGCCGTGCGATGCTACTCGTCCTCAAAATCTCAGGTACACCAGCCCCTTCACCATACTGAACGGGAGTCAATTAAGGTTGCTGACCCTCTCTTCTGCTCTAGACCTTGAAGGAACGTCTCGCCGAGTTGCTCCCGGAGAAGATTGAGGAGATTAAGGCGCTGAGAAAGTAGGCTGATCACATCCGCGCTTTCCGTCGCATATTGCTTATCGCATATACAGAGAGCATGGCTCCAAGGTCATCGACAAAGTCACCCTAGACCAGGTGTACGGAGGTGCTCGAGGTATCAAGTCCCTGGTCTGGGAAGGATCTGTTCTCGACTCCGAGGAGGGTATCCGGTTCCGTGGCAAGACCATTCCCGAATGCCAGGAAGTCCTCCCTAAGGCGCCCGGCGGCAAGGAGCCCCTGCCAGAAGGTATGCGAAGTGCGCAATTGCCATTGCATATCCAAAACTGACTTCCATTCCCAGGTCTCTTCTGGCTTCTCCTGACCGGCGAGGTCCCCACCGAGCAGCAGGTCCGCGATCTGTCTGCCGAATGGGCCGCCCGGTCCGATATCCCCAAGTTCGTCGAGGAGCTCATCGACCGCTGCCCTACCGACCTCCACCCCATGGCCCAGTTCTCGCTCGCCGTCACTGCTCTCGAGCACACGTCGTCCTTCGCCAAGGCCTACGCCAAGGGCATGAACAAGAAGGACTACTGGGGATACACCTTTGAGGACTCGATGGACCTGATCGCCAAGCTGCCCACCATCGCCGCTCGCATCTACCAGAACGTCTTCAAGGGCGGCAAGGTTGCGCCCGTCCAGAAGGACAAGGACTACAGTTTCAACTTCGCCAACCAGCTTGGCTTTGGCGAGAACACCGACTTCATCGAGCTGATGCGACTGTACCTCACCATCCACACCGACCACGAGGGTGGCAACGTCAGCGCGCACACCACCCACCTGGTCGGCAGTGCTCTGAGCTCCCCCTTCCTGTCGCTGTCTGCTGGTCTCAACGGTCTTGCCGGTCCGCTCCACGGTCTTGCCAACCAGGAGGTGCTGAACTGGCTTAGTGAGATGAAGAAGGCTGTCGGCGACGATCTCAGCGACAAGAGCATCACTGACTACTTGTGGTCTACTTTGAACTCTGGCCGAGTTGTTCCAGGATACGGCCACGCCGTCCTCCGCAAGACCGACCCCCGCTACATGGCCCAGCGCACTTTTGCGCAGGAGAAGATGCCCAACGACCCCATGTTTCAGCTGGTCAGCCAGGTCTACAAGATTGCGCCCGGCGTCCTGACCGAGCATGGCAAGACCAAGAACCCCTACCCCAACGTCGACGCCCACTCGGGTGTCCTCCTCCAGTACTACGGCCTGACCGAGGCCAGCTACTACACTGTCCTCTTCGGTGTCTCTCGAGCCATTGGTGTTCTGCCCCAGCTGATCATCGACCGTGCCGTCGGCGCACCCATCGAGCGCCCCAAGAGTTTCTCGACGGCCAAGTGGATCGAGATCTGCAACAAGCTATAAGGAGATGGTGATCGAGGTGTCATTTCGTTGGTCCAAAGAAGAGGTTACACGGAATAGAATGGTGCACTAAGGGCAGTGTAGTATCAACTGGGGGTGTTTTGAATTAGAGATGTCCCTCACGATACCAAAAGCTGCGCTTATTTGTACATTATTATAGCATCATTGTGTTTTTACCAGCCTTACACTACTTTCGCGGCACACAACAGCCGCTCATAATGATACAAATGTGTGATTCTGAAGACCTTGTGCCGTACCTACCACCGGTCCCTGGACGCCCTTCCAGAGGTGGGCAAACATTCGGGGTCTTCTTCAGCAGCATGCAGGGCGTAACTAGCTTGCGTCCCCTAGGACCCCTGCAGAGCATTAGGTGATGCTCCTGGCTTAATCATATTTCGGCGAGGTTGACCTTGCGGGCCGTCCTGCGGCTTACCTGGTCCTGCCACAAATGCCTGGTAGGCAGTTATCTTGGGGAAAGTCCGGAGTGTTGAGGCGTTGATAGTCTGAACCTTGATGGAAATGTGGCCGCCGCGGGCGGATGGCGGTCCGCGCTTACTGAGAGGAGCAGGGCAATTGACAATTGTTGAGAGCAGAGCGGCCCGAGCTCCACCAGATAGGTAGGTAACCTTGGCGCGGATCATTATCGTGTTACTGCAGCTTGTGACCTGTAACTTGTGACTTATGCCAGGTCGTGCTGTCGCTTAATTGAGGCAAGAACAACTGAGCTTTCCTATTGTTTTTACTCTGGTTCATGGTGAGCAGATAGGCCAATTGTAACTCAGGTCCCGGCATATTCGTCCTGACTGGGCGGGAATATATGGCCTTCAAAGCACATGTTTCTGAGGCTCGAGCTCTTGGGAGGTTTTGACGGGAACGGGTTTGCAGTGGAATAAGGATGCATTAGTGGTAATTCCAGCGAGCGGCCCCTATCGTAAGCGCTGGCTCGGGTGTCCAGGTGTCTCAGCTTCGGTAACAGCTTTGGTGGTAACATCTTATCCTGGTCACTTGGCGTTACCGATACCCGAAACTGGTAATTAGCCGACTGTTGCCAGCAGCATCCCAGGCTCGTGTCAGGTCCCTTCGCCGTCTTCGTCTGTCGGCCTCACACGAAATCCTTCTCTCCTTTCAACCAAACATCGTCGACTCCAAGCTCACCTCCCAACCCTCTTTTCGCGAAGAAGCACCCGATTGCCTTGGTCAGGCCCCCCATCTCCAGAAACCCACCGAGCCATGTCCGCTGCTGCCGCCGCCGGTATGACGCCGCCCCTGACGGAGGATCACCTCGAGAAGAAGCCCATCAAGTTCTCCAACTTGTTGCTCGGCAGTGGTCTCAACCTCTTCGAGGTCACCACCCTCGGCCAGCCTCTGGAGGTCGTCAAGACCACCATGGCTGCCAACCGAGGCGACTCATTCGCCACGGCGCTCAGTCGCATCTGGAGTCGTGGTGGTGTCTTTGGATGTAAGCTTCCCCAGTTTTTTCTCCGACCGATGGACAAGCAAGACCTAGGCTCTATCTCTGGACAATAGCTGACGTCTCGCATACAGTCTACCAAGGACTTGTCCCCTGGGCCTGGATTGAGGCCTCGACCAAAGGTGCCGTGCTGCTCTTCGTCGCCTCCGAAGCCGAATACTACGCTCGAAAGGCCGGCGCGTCGGAGTTCGGAGGTGGTATCCTCGGTGGTGTCACTGGTGGTGTTGCTCAGGCCTACGCCACCATGGGCTTCTGCACATGCATGAAGACGGTCGAGATCACCCAGCACAAGCTGGCCGCCGCCGGTGTGAAGCCCCCGAGCACCTTTGCGACCTTCATGGACATCTACCGCAAGGAGGGCATCCGGGGCATCAACCGCGGCGTCAACGCCGTGGCCATCCGCCAGATGACCAACTGGGGCTCCCGATTCGGCCTGTCTCGTCTCGCCGAGCAGGGTATCCGCCGCGCTACCGGCAAGGAGCACGGGGAGAAGCTGGGCGTCACCGAGAAGATCCTCTCGTCCGCCATCGGTGGTGGTCTGTCCGCCTGGAACCAGCCCATCGAGGTCATCCGCGTCGAGATGCAGAGCAAAAAGGAGGACCCCAACCGCCCGAAGAACATGACGGTCGGCAACACTTTCAGATACATCTACCAGAACAACGGTCTGAAGGGTTTATACCGTGGCGTTGCACCGCGTATTGGACTTGGCGTTTGGCAGACGGTTTGCATGGTGGCCATGGGCGATATGTAAGCTCACTCAATTTTACCTCCCTTGATCCCTCTTCGACTTGACACATGTGCTAACTCGACTTCTCTAATCACAGGGCCAAGGCGTACGTCGAGAAATTGACCGGCGAGAAGGTCACTGCGAAGCATTAGGCGGCGTTCAGGATAGTTCTGCTTGTGTTCACGGAAGGGACACCTAGAGAAGGATGCTTTTATTCTCATCGCTATAGTTTTTTTTGCTTAAGTTCTTGCTTGATCTGTCGCCCGCATACTCCTGCCGAAGCCAGTATATCCGTGCGTGTTTGAAGCGTCGAGACCTTCGGTTACGGTTCCTGTAATAGACACTGAGAGCACTCTATCCCTGTCACGTTTGCCATCTGTCTAGACACGATCTATTACCTCTTCTAGGCATTGTTGTCGACTTCGACGTGCCAAATTCGTCTCAACAGCTGCATATCAAGATGTGCGTTATTTATCCGTTGATCCGGCACTGAGACCATACTTGGTTGGCTCTGCCACCACATGGCCAGATGCAGGATCTCCCAACCAAAAGACCTCAGCCCATGACTTTGAGCCGACGCTGGTGTCTAAATACCTCAACATAGATGGAGCATGGTTCTCTCCGTGTATGAGGCCGTAATTCTCCGTACACTGTGCCCGGTCGCTCGACATGGGACCGTCTCATCTAAGGTCGCGATCTGATATCAGGGTTAGAATGCGGATGGCCACGAATTGGACGTTCGAATATCTCCCGCGTTGGACGCGGCATTTTCCTTGCTGTGTTTTTGACTGTGTACACTTGGCGAGAAGGTTATAGCTCAACAGGCGGCCTGTCTCATTTCGACTTGCGTGAAGTGTGAGTGTCTGTGGCCGAGAATGCCTTCGTCGATATAAGTGCCATAGTGCTAGCGATGTTCGTTACTGCTTGGGCAATTGGCACCAATGCCTCCACTTGCATGTAAGTATGCAGTTGAGTGCAGGATGCACACATACAATAGATTAGGTGCCATTCAGTCTTGGGAGAGGTGAAGGAGGTGATGAGCCATCCGGACTCAGGAACTGTCCACCTAGCCTTTGGCCGGCAAGTCACTGCGTTTACGCTCGACACGGCCTTGATGCCAGGGACTGTTGGAGGTAGGGGCAAGAAGACGATGTTCAAGCTCTCTGTCTTGACCATCACATTCTGCTTTGGAGGTACCTGATCCCACATAAAAGCAGACGTTTCTCGGTAGGCTTGGGTGTTGGCTGGGGGTGTAGATGAAGCTGCGTTGTGCTTTTACATGTCCTGGTTTTCATATGCGGGCGGAAGGCGTGATGGTCTCGACAGACATCAGTACCTATGTAACTTATACCACCATAGAATATCAAGCTGCCATGCTTGATATTCGGATATCCTCTTGGAGGGTTGGCTGGCGGCACGGTGATTAGTTGGTCAAACCGTCACTGAAGCGCGGACGCATATCTAGATGGTAAGGTAGTCTCGGTTTCGGACAGTTCAGGCTACGATCGAGGACGCTCATAGATAGGTAGTTAAGGGCGGACCACAGACGACCCGTTCTGGATTCCGCGGAAAGCAGGCCGGGACGTCAACGTGTATATTGTGCTATTTGGGAGCAGGGGAGGCTCTGTCCTCTGTCCTTGGGTCTCGTAATGTTGGCAGGCATGTATAGTACATGGCAATGATATGACCTTGGGATTGCTTTCCGGCAACGACCGTCTGGTGCAATTGATAGTGATACAAGCGTTACAACTTTCTTGAAAAGCAGACTCTCGACAAGTCTCCCGACCTATGTTTAGCAGCAGCCTGACTACCACCCATAGGTGCCATACCCCGGGACAATAACATTCAAACAACAATCCCCTGCTCAAGGAGTGACCGTGAAGATGAACACAAGTAACCGTACGTAGAACCGCACCTGAAGACAGGAAGCACCATTTTCTTCGGCATTGTATATCCCTTCCATCTCATGTCTGCAGCGGATGTGGCGCTCGCGCTCGGTCTAGACCGTTAATATATGCAGACGCCGAGAAGGCCAACGGTTTCGAGTCGAGCACAGGAACCACCAAGGCTCAGTCTCCTGGCCACAATCACAAGACGTGCTTCTAACATGTGCTTCCAAGGCTCGGCAGGGCCTCGCAACACGGGAACCGGCAGCCGCTCGTGTCAGAGAGAATCAGTTGCTTCTGAAACGATCTCATTAAGACGGTAGGTCAGCTCTCAGTGTTAGATAGTGAGACATCGTCAACCATTTGTGCTGCCCTCCATCCGGCACAACTTTGAACAGCCGTTGCCGAAGCGCAAGACCCTCCGGCGCCATGATGTGACGGTATCGCGATCTCGCCCTAGTGAAGTCAGAGAGCGCAGCCTATCTTGACAAGGCAGGCACACGAAGGGGCTGATGTGATTCTTTCACTGCACTCCATTATCCAAGAGCTCTTTCAGTCTATCGATTCTTTCATCCTGAGTCGTTTCTGAGGGGACGAAGGGATTGGTTGCTGAGCTGCTCCTCGAATCCTTCGCCAAGATTCGTATGGACAGCCACATGCTGCCGGGCGTCAGATCATCTGTGAGTTGCGGATTTTGAGGCACTTATCGCGTAGGCTTGCACCGAACAGAGACAGAAAGCTGGGAAGAACGCATGTCGGGTGAGTTCAGTTCACTGGAATTGATGGCGCTCGTCGAGTCGCCCGTCGAGTCGCCCTAACCTTTTGGGAAGACCGGCAGAGACAACTGGAAATAGTCTGCAGGACTATCAACCATGGTAATATCTATATTCAGCAGCATTCGTTTTGGTTAGGCCGTCCAACTCTTGAGCCAGGCTGCCTGGTACCTGGGACGGTGGTCTCCTTCAGCATCGTAGCGTAGGAACCGGCACTGTCCAATCACCGGAGCGTCCGCCGGCCCAATCCCACTTTAACCAAGACCAGACTGTACCAGCAGCTGGCCAAACAAGAACTAGTCGGCGGCGAAAATGGAAGCCGGCTCAGTCCAGACAGGGGGTGGGCAGCAGCGGCTCTGGCTATGTCTGGCCCCCATACAGGAGTTGTCAATCGGTCAAACCAGGTGGCACATTTCCGACCTCTCGGCGAGCTCGGGATCGCTCCGAGGCTTCGTTTCCTGGACGACGAACTTACCGGAAACTCCGTGGCCGGCTGACCGCTCGATTGGAAATAACTATACAACGATTCGGTAAGGAAGGACCTTGTGATACCGTGGTGTTGTATTTCCGTGAAATCAACGAGTCCATGCACGGAGTGACCTTCCGCACGCTCCGGCCTCTGTGCTGGGAACCCGGGCGAGTCGGTTCGCATACTTCGTGCTTCGGTATCAGACCCCGTCCGGAATCTGCCCAGGGAGAAGAGGACCAGAAGAGGACAACGCAGGGTAATGGGTTCTCTTCGCGGAAGCGTATCTGGTTGTCTACCATGGTTGCTACGCACGTAACGAGGCTTATGATCCCTGCCAAGAGTCCTGTCCGCTGCGCTGTGTCCCTGTGTCGTCAAACAGTCGGTGGTAGCCAAGCTTCCAGCTAACGCTACCGTCGTCGCCGTCGCCGTCGGATACAAACTACATACACCCACACGGGACATACACAAGCATCTTGGCGTAGCTTGTACATATCCAGACTTTATCGTCTCAAAGAGACACCGACGAGAGTTCGGGGAAGCAGTCTTGGCCATCGTGCCCAGACACTGGGGTCGCGGCACTTGGACGAGGCAAAGGGAGATAGTGCTTCTCAAAGGCAAAGAACCCCCGGTGCGAGCCGGTGGCAAGTGGCGGCGAGGCGAAAAAGCGCGCGAGAGTCCCTGACTCCCTGCCGAGCCCGAAACGGCCCGTAAATGGTCTTGGCCGTGCTAAATATGAACTGCCTACGATCTTGGTATCTCCTGAGTCCTGACCGAGCCAGAGGCCGTAATTGGATATGATGTATGCCGAGCGCGTGATGGATCGCGTACCTCGGGCAGGCAGCAGCACCTGAGGCACCGGCGATCGAGTGAGGTTACCGATTGCCGTCCTGCTGAGCCTTGGCAGATCCGGACGGCAATGGACCGTGGCAGGCAGGGATGATAAAAAAAGACTGCGGCATCTGCGAAGGAATCACCTATACCAAGGCCAAGGCGGATGGATGCGTGGGATGAAGCTCTTCCAAAACCGCAAGGTTCTGCGGCACGGATACCACAGGGCCCAAGACATATCACATATCCCCTGGCGACTTTAGCTAGGCCGGTGCTTGGCAATCGGCACCATTGTGAGTTCTTGACACGTTTGACAATTTCGATATAGCTTCATCCCACAAAAAGAAGCGTTTACGCCGGGGTCTGGAGTCGAAACCTGGAGACCAAAATTATCCTGGCTCTCCACATCCCGTTGCGGGAGCCGGGGTGGCCGGCTTTGAGGCAACACCATAATGAGAATGGCTAGGGATCTGACACGGTGAGCGATTTCGATCAGCCGAACCTGCTGCGCTTGCTCGTTGTCTAACTCTGATGTCCGAAGATGTTCCTCAAGACTTCAGAGGAAGATCTTCAGTTCACAGTGCTTATGTCCTGGCCGCTTGGCATGACACGCGCATCGTTGATGAATCGCTTTGTACCGCGACCTTGATATTCTAACACTGTCATCACCTCGAGTACCACTCCTTGCCCCGGGAAATGTATCTTGGCAACGTAGCTCACATGGAATTCGAGCCGCGCCGCAAGTCAGGATCGCGGGAAGCCAAAGATTACAAGCTTTTGCAGCTGACTGACCCTGGCTCGGGTCATCCTAACTCCTGAGACCTCAGTCGCCAGATTCGGTGGACCGTGGGAGTCGACAAGGCTCAAATTTGGAGCCCGGGGGATCTCTGACCAGATGTCGAAGGCCGTGTTGGAAGCTGGAACATGCTCAACTAAAATCAGGGTCTACTTTCAACAGTGCGCAGCTCTCGAAGTGGTTGCTGACTCGAACAAAAGTCCAAGCCTATTCGCAGCTGATGAGAGTCGCGGTGGTCGAGCAGTCGTGAGACGGGCTGGCGGCCGGTTGGCTGTTCGACTTGGAGTCCGTGCCCGTGATACACAAAACGAATTCTCGCTCAGTTTGAGAGAACAGACTCGTTTGTTTCAAGTATCGACAACCAAGCTTTGGGATCGCGTTTCATCGGGCGGAATGGCTGCATACACCCTTGCCCATCCAACGTTCAGGATGTACAAGGTAGCTAGGAGCTTGGACAGAGCAAGCCATAGCTACCTCCCCATGTCTGCTCACGACTCGAACGGCAAGAGGTCGCGCCGACGTTGGCGTCTTGACTCGGCGTGCGCCTGGCGGTGTGTAGACAGCCGTAAGCGAAAACCAGTCGAGAAATGCATATTCGAGAAAGTTCCAACCATTTGAAAATAGCATGCGGACGAACTGACTGTTATCAACTATGCTGTTCGCGATAAATCCTGTCTCGGGCATGCAGGTCTGTCATATGAGATGGTAAACAAGACGGGTACTGCGCCTGAGAGGCACCGCATAATGTCCGAATAAGAGCCACTGACCAGTGACAGGACTCGGCGTGGAGGTCGTGAAATTCCCATTTCTGTTAGCGACAAGAGCGGCTCGATCCTCAGATCCTCCCAGTACGCGCGGTCAGCTCCCGTACTGTGCCTAAACCCGCGCAGCCAATGGCCGCAACGGCGAAGCGTGGGTATTTTTGATGAGGTGTGGCTCCTAGCGCAATCATACCAGGAAGACCTAACCCCTTGTTGCACGAATCCGCAATCCTAGCGACTCGTTCTGTCTGGCGAGTCTGGCGAGTCTGGGGAGTTGATTGGTGAAAATTAGATCGTGGAGGCTCGAGGCTCCAGTGTGGAGGGCCACCCCGAAATGCCTCTCGAGTCTGCAGCGAGCGAGAATGCGACGCTGCACCTGGCAGCACAGTCTGCCTGTCTGTTCCGAGCAGTTCGGCACGCCTTGATAATTACCTCTGGGCGAGGACGGGGGGGGGGACTAGTAGACTAGCAACGACTTCACCGCCAGTGAACCAGCCGAGCCGGCATATTGCGAGTCCTATTCAAGGACCGAAGACGATATGTCTTGCATTGACGATCTGATGGTTCCATAGTGGCTCAGGGAGCCAGGCTTGGCCGTTCGTGAACATGCAGACATGTGTACCTCCCACTAGGGACGGTTCTCGCTAAGCCGAGTCTACAACAATGGCACGAGGACGCTGGATACAGAACTAACGGCGTTGATGGAAGATTCAGCATAGAATGAGTGGTATGCGTGCAGGCGCCACCATTGTCGACGAGACTCGCACGGCGAATAAAAGGATGGAGCAGCGGCCATACCGAGCGAATGCCACACGGTTTCTTGAGGCATATACAGGTGAACCGGCTGCGAGGGAAAAAATTCGAGCAATGGCCCGCAAAGGCTGCTGGTAGCCAAGCAATACGACATTGGCGACTCGGTAGCGAAAGCTACGTATATTCAAGCCAATGACGTAAATAATAGGCCACGCACTCTTGGTAAGGATTGCGACGGTAAGGTTGTTGTCGTCTTCTATTGGAGCCCTTCTTCCACTGCCAGTCACGACACGGCAGCGACGACGGAGATGAAGCTCGTCCTCGGTCCTTGTCGCCTCACCTCGCGCTCATAGCAACAGACCGCATTCGGCAGGTCAGGTAATTAAAATAAAGTCCACGGTGCTCCACATGCTCCGTAGAGCAGTGACGATAGTCGGCTAACCCAGGCTGGGCATCTCTGGATCGCGGAATAGTGGGTTTGGTGCTGTAAATAGTCGGGGCTGCGCTCTAAAGAGATGAGAGAGACCTCCGGCCCTGGGACTGGGACTGGGACTGGAAGACGAGGAGCCTGGAGGAACCGGCGGCAGGCAGGCGACACAGGCAGGCCGCAGACGGCAGACTAGAGACAGGTGTCGGAAAATGGCTCATGGCCAGCAGCTTTGGCCGGCCTGCGATGGGAACCAACTAGGTAAGGACAGGGGCCAGCCGGGTCTGATCGAGACGACAGTACGGAATGGCGCAATTGATACTGGGCTCGCGACTCGCGAATTCGCCTGGTCGCCTGGGCGCCCACACTGTGGGTACCTACGCAGGTGCCAGGCAGGACTCAGTGGAGCGGGAGTGGGAGCATGGGATGGTACCTCAGCATGGCAGCATGGGAGGGCCTGGTCAATGCCCAGGTTAAGGAACACAGGGCACAATAGGTACTGCAGCGGTCGTGCTTGCCGGCTTCTGCGGTTCCTGGTCCAGGTCGACTCGCAGAGCTGCGCTGCTGGGCGGAACCTTGCGCTCGTCCACAGTCCACAGTTCACTTTGAGATTGATCCTGATAGGAAAATTCTAATCAAAACAATAACAACCGCACAAGCTCGCCTCGAGCTTCCCTACTGCTGCCCACGCCAGCCCACGCCAGCCCTGTGGGTGAGCTGCACCTCCGAACAGGTCAATTGTGTAGAGTAGAGGCTCCTGCAGCTTGGGCAATGACTTTTGTCTGAGAAGTAACGCAAATGGAAGTTGCAAAGCTCGGTGCGCAATCGTCATCAAGCAGCACCGGCAGCAACATTGGCTGCGGGATTTCTCTGTCTGCAAGTGGGGCCACCATCGAGGCGTACCGGTACAGGCGAACATGCAGGTGATCATCTCTCGTACTGTGTAGGGGCACTGTGCAGCGAGCTAGTCACTAGTCTAGGGTGCTGGGACCTTGGGGAAACAGCAGCATGGTGGCATGGGTACTGGACGTCCCCAGGTACCTGCGACCCGGCGAGGCACTGGGAGGGACTTTCATCCGTGAACCTCAAGCTTAACATAGGTCACCACAGCGCAGTCATGCTTGCTTTCTGATATGCTGGGACGAGATGGGAGCAGTGGGAAGGGGCGAGGTCGACAGAAGGTACCTAGTTTTCAGTTAATGACGAGAAATCGGTACAAATCACATGTAGCAATTAACTGCTGTCCGGGAGCGACACCGGTGCTCTTGCAATTACTCGTTCACGATTCGCGGCATATTGCTGGCCATGCGTGCCAGGATTGGTCGGTACCCGGGTGCAAGGTTGTGGTGGTACTGTAGGAGTGGGAGTGGTCGCCCTGGCAGTCCTGGCAGAGGAGCGGCCAACACTGGACTGCTGGACTGCACAGGCAATACGCAATGTGCAATGTGCAATGTGGGGAAGGCACAAAACAGACTGTGGACTGTGCCCCAAGTCCCGGGTACCTCTGGCGCTGCATGCTGCGCGCCATTGGAACGGCAAGCCCCATCTCATATTAAAACGATTGCTCTCGCTCTTCCCACAGCATCGTCTCTCTTCCTTCTTTTCTCTCCTTACCGCGTTGGTGACCTGTTCCTCTCGTCAACTCTCTTTCAGTCTCTGAACGCTGGTGCCTTCCCATCACTCTCCCCTCTCCTCGCCTTGTGCTTGTTGGTTCGTCGACCACCTCAATCCCTCTCGACAACCTAGTCCTCAACACAACATCCTTCACCCTACATCCTAAGCAGCATTCCAGCCGATCCTATCGTCGCCCACTGTTAATCTTTCGCGTCCTCCTGCAAAGCCCACTTGCTGGGACTTTTAATACAACCTTTCCGTTTTAATTCTCAAGTTGGGCCGCAGCGAGTAGACCTCCGCTGTACCCAGACAACTCGCCGTGATGGCTGAATCCAACGCTGCCGCCGCCCCGGCATTAAACACCAACATCGAGTCGGGCAACTTCGACGAGAAGCATGCACACCGCGGCCAGGAACCGGTCCAGACCAACCCCACCATGAAGGCCAAGCCTAAGGAGGCAGACGAAGAAGATGAGGACATGGACGCCCTGATCGAGGACTTGGAATCTCAGGACGGCAACGCCTTTGAGGAAGAGGAGGAGACCGAAGGAACTCCTGGAGGTGGCCGCGTCATCCCGGAAGAGATGCTGTAGGTTCTAATCTTCTAGAAATACAAGTAATGCTCGCTGACAATTACGCTATAGGCAAACCGACACTCGCATGGGTCTCACTGAAGCTGAGGTCTCCAACCGCCGTCGCAAGTATGGTCTCAACCAGATGAAGGAGGAGAAGGAGAACCTGATCCTCAAGTTCTTCGTAAGCTTAGCCGTGCTCTGGCAATCTGACGGGCTTGACTAACCTGAGTGTCCCCAGGGTTTCTTCATCGGTCCTATCCAATTCGTCATGGAGGCTGCTGCCGTCCTTGCTGCCGGTCTGGAAGATTGGGTCGATTTCGGTGTCATCTGTGCCCTTCTGCTCCTCAACGCTGCTGTCGGTTTCATTCAAGAATTCCAGGCTGGTTCAATCGTCGATGAGTTGAAGAAGACTCTTGCTCTCAAGGCTGTTGTCCTCCGTGACGGTACCCTCCAGGAAGTCGAAGCCCCTCAAGTCGTTCCCGGAGACATCCTGCAGATCGAGGAAGGTACCATCATTCCCGCTGACGGAAAAATTGTCACCGACGATGCGTTCCTCCAGGTCGACCAGTCTGCCATCACGGGTGAATCTCTCGCTGTCGACAAGCACAAGGGTGACCAGTGCTTTGCTTCCTCCGCTGTCAAGCGTGGTGAGGCCTTCATGGTCATCACTGCCACTGGTGACAACACCTTCGTCGGTCGTGCCGCTGCCCTCGTCAACCAGGCCTCCGGCGGCTCTGGTCACTTCACTGAGGTGCTCAACGGTATCGGTACAATTCTGCTCATCCTCGTCGTCTTCACCCTCCTGATCGTCTGGATTTCTTCTTTCTACCGATCCAACCCCATTGTCGACATCCTTCGGTTCACCCTCGCCATCACCATTGTCGGTGTTCCCGTCGGTCTTCCCGCTGTCGTCACCACCACCATGGCTGTCGGTGCCGCCTACCTTGCCAAGAAGAAGGCTATCGTGCAAAAGCTGTCTGCTATTGAGTCCCTCGCTGGTGTCGAGATTCTCTGCTCTGACAAGACCGGTACATTGACCAAGAATAAGCTTTCGCTGTCGGAGCCCTTCTGTGTCGCCGGCGTTGACCCCGAGGATCTCATGCTTACTGCCTGTCTCGCTGCTTCCCGCAAGAAGAAGGGTATTGACGCTATCGACAAGGCCTTCTTGAAGTCTCTCCGATACTACCCCCGTGCCAAGGGTGTTCTGACCAAGTACATCGTCAAGGACTTCTTCCCCTTCGACCCTGTTTCGAAGAAGGTCACTGCCGTTGTCGAGTCTCCCCAGGGCGAGATCATCACTTGTGTCAAGGGTGCCCCTCTTTTCGTTCTCAAGACTGTCGAGGAAGACCACCCCATCCCCGAAGAGATCGACCAGGCCTACAAGAACAAGGTTGCCGAGTTCGCCACCCGTGGTTTCCGCTCTCTTGGTGTTGCCCGCAAGCGTGGTGAGGGTGCCTGGGAAATCCTCGGTATCATGCCCTGCTCTGACCCCCCTCGCCACGACACTGCCCGTACCATCAACGAAGCCAAGCGCCTGGGTCTTTCCATTAAGATGCTTACTGGTGACGCCGTCGGTATTGCTCGTGAGACTTCTCGTCAGCTCGGTCTTGGTACCAATGTCTACAATGCTGAGCGTCTCGGTCTTGGTGGTGGCGGTGACATGCCCGGTTCCGAAGTATACGATTTCGTTGAGGCTGCTGATGGTTTCGCTGAAGTTTTCCCTCAACACAAGTACAACGTCGTCGAGATTCTGCAACAGCGTGGTTACCTGGTTGCCATGACTGGTGATGGTGTCAACGATGCCCCGTCGCTGAAGAAGGCCGATACTGGTATTGCTGTCGAGGGTGCTTCTGACGCTGCCCGATCCGCTGCTGACATTGTCTTCCTGGCCCCGGGTCTTGGTGCCATTATTGATGCCCTCAAGACTTCCCGCCAGATTTTTCACCGCATGTACGCCTACGTTGTCTACCGTATCGCCCTCTCCCTCCACCTGGAAATCTTCCTCGGTCTGTGGATCGCTATCCTGAACCGCTCGCTCAACATTGAGTTGGTCGTCTTCATTGCCATTTTCGCCGATGTTGCCACCCTCGCTATCGCTTATGACAACGCCCCGTACTCCGCAAGCCCCGTCAAGTGGAACCTGCCCAAGCTCTGGGGTATGTCGGTCGTTCTCGGAATCGTTCTCGCTGTCGGTACCTGGATCACTGTCACCACCATGTACGCTCAGGGTGAGAACGGTGGTATCGTCCAGAACAACGGTAACATGGACGAGGTTCTGTTCCTTGAGATCTCGCTCACTGAGAACTGGCTCATCTTCATCACCCGTGCCAATGGTCCCTTCTGGTCCTCTATCCCATCGTGGCAGCTGGCTGGTGCCATCCTCATGGTCGACATTCTCGCCACCTGCTTCTGTATCTGGGGTTTCTTCCAGGGTGGTCAGCTCACCCACATTGTCGCCGTCGTCCGTATCTGGATTTTCTCTTTCGGTATCTTCTGCATCATGGGTGGAATCTACTACATGCTTCAAGACAGTGTAGGATTCGACAACCTCATGCACGGAAAGTCACCAAAGGGAAGCCAGAAGCAGCGATCTCTCGAGGACTTCGGTAAGTTATTATAACCTGTCCCAATGCTTGGATGACCCCTCACTAACCTGTTTCACAGTCGTCTCACTCCAGCGCGTCTCCACGCAGCACGAGAAGTCGCAGTAGATCGACGTACGCTGAAACGACATGGCACGTCCCAGCTGGCCAGCGCCTTTGGGTCAACTTCTATAATTTGTGTTACATACTCTTGCCACTCGGTCTATAGATAGATGCCGTGTAGGCCTCGGGGTGATGACACCTTTTTCTTTTTGTAAACTGAATGATGCGGCGGGCAGACTTCGGTCATATACCCTAGCTCCTACGTTTCATAGACTTAATAAATGAAAAAATACAAAATACCATGTTCCTTGATGGTGATATGAATGAACGCAGCTTGGCTAAATATGATCCTCATGTTTTCCCGACGCGACATCTGTGCAAGACTTTCTGGAGGCATTAACTCGGGCTGATGTTTCTGACGCAAAGGTTTCTATGGCGAAGCTTGGCACATGTAAAACCCATCTGAATACCATGCTGTTATTTGCTTGGTCTTCTTGTATTTGGTAGTCAGGTCTACATGTGACAATACGAACTCTAATAGTGGCGAATGCTGAGGTACCAACCAAAAGAACGGCAATGTTCACGTGTCCTTCGCGACGAGGCCAACTCACAGTTTGAATGTCAAAACTTTAAGGTCCTCCACTCACCCATGAGCAACACTGCTGTCAGGTGGAGAGCACCTATATCAAGTTCCCAGAGTGATCACCTGCTGTGGTTGTGGTTGCCTTCGAAAAGCGAAACCGAAAATCCTGTGCTCTCTAGGTACCTAGGTAAGTACCCTTCAGGCCCTGCCGATTGCCGTCATGCCACCTTGGACTACATATTCATACATACAGCAGCAGCCAACACTCTCCGACGACTCCTTCGTCCCAGCCAGTTGGCATCTGAATGTCTATACGCAATCGACAGAATGGCTCCCGAGATACCTGGATATTTCTATGGTCAGCTCAGTCGAAATCTATCTTCCACTATCACCGGACACTGACAAAAGCGCAGATTCTGGCAAGCGCCGTTATTTCAAGGTCGAAAATAGCAAGACGGCCCCTGCCACGGCGGCGTGGTCAGCCGACAATGTCAAGAAACGCAGGCTCGAGGACGAGGAGGCTGCGGCAGCGATACAGCGCATGACCCTACAAAAGCATCGCATCAGACGCTCGAAAGTCCTGAGCGAACCACTTATGGGTGGTTTCTTTGATCGAGAGCGCAATCAAGCAGGAAGCGACAACGTCCCCGCAGCCAGCTTTGCCAAGGGTATGCTTGAAAAGGGCCAGCTCCCCCTCGCAGATGCGCGGTGGCGGTCGAGCTCCAATCTCAAGCATATGTACATCGGGGCCATGGATCACAAGACAATCCTTTGCACCGCTCATGCCAGTAAGAAGCGTTGCTTGCTCAAGACCTTCGAGTGCAGGTACTAACAATTACGTAGCGCTTGACGAACTTACACTGCTGTCAAGCTATCTGCCACGAGATAGGAATGGCCGGTATGTCCAGCGGTGTTCATTCTCTCTATCCAGGTTCACCATGCTAATGTGCCGGTGGTTTAGGGTTCACCGCCGACTTCTAGCTGAGTATGCCACGCCAGGAAACAGAATGGGCCCCTATCGTGAAATAGACATACCCCAGATCTCAGACATCAAATATGTTGAGCACAGCCATTATATGTTGATCACCTCCCGGAGGCCTGGCCGAAATATCTCATTGTGGGGATTCCGGCCGAGGGTATCGGAACCGGACGACCGACAACCGCATTGGATTCTAGGGTCGAGTAAGCAGTATCATTTGTCCGCTGGCGAAGAAAGCATGAATAACCGGAGATGTAGGCGACGTCGCGTACACACACTGGTCGACACGTGGGGACGGCGACCATAAGGATTACCAAGCCAACTGCGTGGTCCCAGCTCCGATGAGCTCGGGCATGATATGCGCCTTGGGCACAAGCAGAGGACTCGTGCAGATGAATGATGCTGGCGATTTGAAATGGATGACCACGGGGACGCCGGGACCATCTTTCAGGGACATCTTTGCCCTCGACTTCCAGCGCGGGCATCGCGACGTCCTGCTATTCGGCGGACGTCCCGGTCGATTGTTCACGGGCGATACCCGAGTGCATTGCGAGAAATGGAACTCCATCAAGCTGCCCGGCCCAATTACCCATATCCGAGCCTTGAACGAGCATCAGGCGCTGGTCAGTGGGGTGAACCACCAACTCTCGACATACGACCTGCGATTCGCCAGGAAGAGGAGGGATGCACCCAACGCCTCAGCCCCTATCCAGGTATTTCCGCAGTACCGCAACAGCGCACACATCGACATCGGGCTGGATTACGACAAGAGCACGGGAGTCGTAGCCACCGCACACGACGACGGAAAGGTTGCACTGTACTCTGTCCGCAGTGGCAAGCGGCTTCGATGCACCGACGTCGACAACATCCGCTCGAACCGCGGACCAATCCAGAGCATCCAGTTCCAGACATTCCCGGGAGACCATCTGCCGACCTTGTTCGTGGGTGTACACAGTAATATCAATGCTTACTCGTTTGGGGTCGAGAACCTGGAGGACGAGGCTTAATGAGATGGGCTACGTTATGGTTGAGCTGTGCGATGAGGATGTCACTTCCATATTTGCGGAGAGGGAGGGTGACCTGCTCTCAGATTCGGAAGCAGGACGCGTGTATCTGTTATCCAAGGCATGAAATGACACACCTTTTTTCACAATCGGATCTCTTCAGCTGTAGTGCTCGTGAAATGTTCTCAGAAGATGCACCGACTGTTTCACCTAGTTCTATATGCAAGTGTGCATTTACTGAGGTGGTGATGACCCCAAGTTATTAGTGGCGTCAGGCCATAGGACATTGAGCGCCGACGTGCATCGGACCAAACAAAAGTGTCTCGTTTCAGCATTCCATCCCAGTGTTGCATACCTAAGACACACACCTGCAGCTCCTCGTTTCGTGCATGCGCATTTCCATTGGCCTCCTTCATCCGGAGCCCTGGAGCCCACCAACAGTGGGTTGACTGAGTGAGGCAAGGCATTGATGCCTTCATCCCGTTCCTCCTCGAATACTTATCCATTGTTACGGTGCATTTCATAATGACTCATCGTCGCCTCCTGGTACAAACAAATACACGACTATAGTTCAATCATACCTACCTAGGTGTTCATTGTTTTCCGCAGCGGCACTCTGCATTGCCCAGCCACAGTACTGACGTGTGTACGCTTCGTGCCGCCTCGAGGATGAAAAAGAGCCATATGGCATATCAGCATTTCACCCGCAAAGTCTGGCACTGACCTGACTACTTTCATGTCAGCTAAACCACTGACGCGATTCGAGCATGGCCGAACCGAAGAAGAAAGGCTTCTGGGGCGGTCTGTTCCGCAGCCGCAGCAATGCGAAGATGGTACGTGGCCAGATCGCAGCAGAGGCAGAGAGGTTACCCACTCACCAAGGATATCGCTAACAAGCTTCCGTAGGAGAAGGGTCCCCCGAGAAGAGCCAGCGAGGGCGATGCGCTCCCGCACCGACGCAGGAATGAGGGGCCAGAGATCGCCAGCACTCGGCGTCGACCACGTCGCCCGCCACCACGTGATGCGAAAGGCAAGGGCAAAGAGCAGCCAAATGGCCACGTCTACGAGCAGACACCGCTGTCAGAATGGCCACCCTCGGGCATCTCCAGCGAGGAGGAACTTACACTCGGCCGCGCCATGGAGCTCATCTCGCGTGGTGTGCCTGCGCACAAGGGCCACAAACGCCCTATCGCGCATGCCTCGGATCGATACTACGGCCTCTACGCGACGACGGCTGGCAACCACGGCGACGAAAACGACGCCGCTAATCAGCACGATGCCATGACCCAGCTGATGACATTGCGGGTACAGGGCTCGGGCCCGCCGACGTTCCCATGGGAGACGCTCGAGCAGCCGAGTCTCGCATTTGGCAATGGGAGTCGGCCAGGCACCATCACACTGAACTCCTGGGTGAGCCGCTCGAGCGCCTTTCCCCCGTTGATAGCGCTCCGTGATCCTGGTATGGTACCACGAGAAGTAGATCTATCCCAGATTTTCGACCGCCTAAAGGATCTGGAGGCTGGGCTGGATGATGACAACGAGGATCTGCTATACCGACTGTACAAGCGGTTTCTTAGGGACCCGGACAAGGTATTCAGTCTGCACAAGCGGATGGAGCAGCAGATCACCGACCTCGTCATGTGCCTGTCGAGTCCGGACTGGATCGACTTGACGAACCCAAAGAACCAGGTAGTCACGAAATTCATTTACGACACTGGCCCCACGAACCACGACCAATATCACAAGTTCTTCTACCAGCTCCTCCTCAGTCTGGAGCTGGAGCTACGCATAAACTCACGACTGCACCAAGCCGTGGCGAAGGAGAGGCTGATGGGGCAAATACCGCCCAAGATCCAGTGGAATCTTGCTCTCGCTCGACGCTGGCGGGACTACGTACGTGTCGAGGAGTATGGCAAGACGGCCGACGAGGTGCGGCTGCGGTACAAGCTCCGGAAGCGGCAGACCAAGATGTTGAAGCGGTTTGCCCAGATGATGAAGTGGCCCAACCTCGCCGAGACCCTTGAGGAGCTGAAGCGGAGAGAGGCGGATGCGACGCTGGTTTCTGTCAGTTCTCATGCCATGGCCTTCTTCAGCGGGCTGGTGCTTCCAGGGGTAAGTCTCGACATTTCACCATGATGTACTGTATCTAAAATGGATGCTAATTGAGGAGTAGCCTACGTTCCCTTTCCTGATGATGAACAGTCTGATAGACATCGACCCGGACAAGGCAACCGACGACCTCGCTTTACTCACCCACCTACATCCCCAGTGCGGCTTCCAGTATCGTAACAGCTACACTTATTGGACTTCTACCTGCATCGTCGGCAAGGTCATTGGGCCAACGTGCCTCGAGGTGGCTGGATGGGTTGGGCCTGCGCGGCCGACGGCGGATCTCGAACGTTCACAGATTGCACGAATCCGCTCAAGAAAACCCCGCCAGCGTCTCGAACCCGAAGACGTGACTTCGATGAACGAACGGTCGGATCCCCTGGGCCCAGCAGCCGAGGTATTTCCTGTCAAGGAGTACGAACTCCTCACGCCCAACGCCGAGGACATGATCCATTCAGTACGGATCGAGCTGCTCAAGCTCCATCCGCTGGTGGAGAAGCATGCAGTAGGTCCCAAGTGGTTCGATGCATCAATCCAGTTCGCTATAGATGGCGAGTCCTGGCCGTTCCGTCTCGCGTACGACGTCTCCTTCATCAATGCGTGGCCCTGTTCAGATGGGCCGCATCCACTTTTCTTCGATTACGTCTACACCGCCGTCAAAGCTGACGAGGTGATGGACATCATCAATTGGGGTCTACCGGGTAGCAAAGAAGGCAGCGCGCAGTCGACTCCAATTGGGAGCAGCAAGCCAGCAAGCCCGATCGCCCAGAGTGACGATGCGGAGCGGGTGTTGGTGATTGAAGCTTTCGGGGTGAGCGACAACGAGGTCCTGGTCAGGGCGTGGTGCTCGTACTGGGGACTGAACGCGGTGGTGGCGGACATCGGAAAGACCTGGTAAGACCCCTCGTGCTTGTTTGGACCGAGTGGATGAGGGAGTGAGTGAGTGGCTAACCTAATGCAACGCAACACAGCATGGCATGCGCTATCCGCGAGGCTTATGCAGCGGCCTTGACAGTTGTCATACTCGTTGAGGATCAACCGGGAGGGGCTGAGTAACGACCATGATGATGACGACTCTGGGAGGTGTTCCGAGAGGGATGCCTGCATGAAAACGCCACGATGGGACGAGAAAACACGAAGCACAGGCGGCCTGTGCATCAATGCCCAGAACGATGACGATGCTCACGATGCACTATGGACTATACCAGGCATGATTACATATGAGCCAGCTGGCTTCACAGGGGAATTTGCTTCATAAAAGCGGGGGAGGAGTCCGGTCCGCAGGGTATACCCAATGACGGCGTTTTATTACTTAGCCAATACATCCAGTTATTACTGTATTTCCTTTTCACATTTTTCACGATAACTTCATTCTGGATGTGATATGTGTGGTAGCTCGGGGTATGCAGATTTAATCCCGCGGTTGATCGACAGCGTTGCCTGCCCGTTCGCGATGGTAGCCCACGAGACTAAAAACGCGGTGTGACGCCGGTGTGTGGTGAGGAAGGGTTTTACTTTACTACCGTACCTTTTGCCAGCATCGTGAGAATCGAGAGATACGCTGGCCGGATACCTACCAACAGTTACCCGAGGCCATGCAGCCGCCCACTCTTCCACACACCGCACACCAGGCTCGTTCACGGTACGATAACCTGGCAGGCCTGGATCGCCTGGATCGCCTGGGATGGACATCCTCTTCTAAAAATACTGTGGCTTGGCTGCTTGGCTGCTTGACCGAGGGAGTGGGAGTGATGTGGGGGTGGCCCTGTGTTGGAGAAGCTCCCTCAACAAATCCCACGATAGCCACTTCTATTGTCACGCTGCGATGGATTCCAGCCTCTAGGAGCATCGGGAATGAAAAAAAAAAAGATATGGTCAGCTTGGAGGGGGTAACGATCAGCAGCTACCCTAGACATCCGATTAGCGGCTCTAAGCTGGCCTGAGCTCTGGGCCCCTGGTTTGACTCCCCCGCACCAGTTCCCCGCTGTAAGCTGTGCCTGCTCCACGCCGGTGACGACATTGGCCACCATAGCTCCCTCTGCCTCTTCCACGACATTTTCCCAGCCAGAAGGTTGTGATCCCAAGTCGACAGACCGCAGGATTGCTTGTAAGACATCTTCACTCACACATCAGTCACCAATCCCGGACGTTGAGTTACACAATAAGCCTCAACGAATCTCCCGCGCCGTGAACCCCCCCTGCCATTGGACGAACCAGAGTCGTCTTGCACTGCTTAGGGTTTTGTGGCTTGCAAGCTTGAGGGCATCACTTCCTATCATGGAGTAAGTTCAGTCTGAATGGCGGTGCTGAGTGGACGCCCGTTGGTGCTTCACAATCGTAGCTGGAATAAGTACCGGCAAGGTCACCATGGTACACCGAGAGACAGGGACCCTTGACTGCAGGTGGTTGCTGTTGATTATGACGGTACTTGTTCCAGGTGCACAGGCGTGACAGGAATACCTCCCTTACCCCAGGCCCAGGCACAGGATGCTGAATCCAATGCTTTATTTGTTTGCACCATCCTGATCCTTGAATCCTGCCCTCTGACCAGCATTTCTTATTATTTAGTACTCGCAACGTAATTCACTTCGAGAACAACGTGCGTCTCTCGCCAACCAAACTCACACCATCTTTACCCTTTCTGCACTCTCCTTTCTGCACTCTTTCACAACACCGACAAGATGGGCGACGACGCTAGAGAAGCTGTTGACACCATGCATAAGGACCACTACATTGGCATCGATGTCGGCACGGGCTCTGCTCGCGCATGCTGTAAGTCACACTAACTAGCCTCTTTCCCTTTGGCATTTCGCCAGAGTTATTTCTCTGTCGCTGGGAGCTTTCCCCTTTGAGACATGCCTTAGAGAACTCCAGCCCAATCAATTGCCAAAGAACTAGAAGGAGTGGTTATTGACTAGAGATATTGCAGTGATCGACAGCTCTGGCGACATCAAGGCCCTCGCATCCGAGGCGATCAAGCTATGGCAACCCGAGCAAGGTTACTATGTATGAGGCTCCGGCTCTCCTGTCTCGACCAATGGGCCTTTTAGGCTAATCAGATATCCAGGAACAATCCACCACAGATATCTGGCACTGCATCTGCCACTGCGTCCAGCGAGTCATCAACCAATCCGGTGTTGACAGCTCTCTGATCAAAGGCCTGGGTTTTGATGCCACTTGCTCTCTGTCCGTCTTCTCAAGTGACACCGACGAGCCCATCCCGGTCACCGGACCCAACTTCGAGAACGATGGCAACGACCGTAATGTCATCCTATGGCTGGACCACAGACCTGTGGAGGAGACGGAGAAGATCAATGCCACTGGCCACAACCTGCTGCGATACGTCGGTGGCAAGATGAGCATAGAGATGGAGATCCCCAAAGTCTTGTGGCTGAAAAACCACATGCCCCCGGAGCTGTTCGATCGCTGCAAGTTCTATGACTTGGGAGACGCCCTGACACACCTGGCTACGGGCAACGAGAACCGAAGCTTCTGCAGCACCGTCTGCAAACAGGGATACGTACCTGTAGGCGTCGATGGCAGTGAAAAGGGTTGGCAAGAGGACTTCTTCAAGACCATTGGCCTGAGTGACTTGACCAAGGATAACTTCAAGCGCATGGGAGGAGTCAACGGAGTGGTGAGCCTATTTTCTTACCCACGTGTAAGATGACTTGAGCACTTCGCTGACCTGAATGCTAGAACGGCAAATACCTGAGTGCCGGAGAGCTCGCCGGTACCTTATCCGAGCATGCAGCCCAACAGCTGGGCCTACCTGCTGGTATCGCAGTTGGCAGCGGTGTCATTGATGCCTATGCTGGCTGGATCGGTACGGTTGGAGCCAAGGTCGACACCCAATACGGTCACGCCGATTCGACCCATGCTGCAAACGACCTGGCTCAGGCGTCTACTCGACTCGCTGCCGTGGCTGGCACATCGACCTGCCACTTGGCCATGTCTGAGGACCCCGTATTCGTGAATGGTGTGTGGGGACCATATCGGGACGTTCTTCTTCCCGGCTTCTGGCTGGCAGAAGGTGGGCAGTCAGCAACTGGCGAGCTTCTGCGGCATGTCATCGAGACGCACCCGGCGCATAAGGAGGTGCTGCCTCTCGCGGAAGCCATGCACATGAACATCTATGACTACATGAACGGCCACCTCCGCGAGATGGCTGAAAAGGCTGGCACGCCTACAGTTTCGTACCTTGGTCGACACTTCTTCTTCTATGGTGACCTATGGGGCAACCGGTCACCGGTCGCGGATCCCAACATGAAAGGTGCTGCCATCGGACTTAGCTCAGACTCGAGTGCCAATGGTCTGGCCCTGTACTACTACGCCACGATGGAGTTCATTGCGTTGCAGACGCGCCAGATCATCGAGGCGATGAACAAGTCGGGCCACAACATCCAGACCATTTTCATGTCTGGCAGCCAGTGTCAGAACGACCTGCTGATGGACCTGATCGCTACGGCCTGCCACATGCCGGTACTGATCCCGCGATATGTACACGCTGCTGTGGTACACGGAGCAGCCATGCTCGGCGCAAAGGCTGCAAGCGCCGATCACGAGGGCAAGACGGAGAACCTCTGGAGCATCATGGACCGGATGAGCAAACCTGGTCGGCTCGTTAAGCCCGGGACCGACAAGAATGAGAAGAAGCTCCTGGATGCGAAATACGAGGTGTTCCTTGAGCAGTGCCGTACCCAGCAAGAGTACCGCAAGAAGGTTGACGAAGCTACCTCCAGCTGGCTTGAGGAGCATAGAAAATAGTGGCATGATTAGCCTGGCGTATGCGTGGACGGGGTCTAAAAGGACTGGCTATGTTTTCCCTTGGGTGGATAGAGGCGAATGATGCTTGATGGTTTGCCTAGATAGAATGGCGTCCCTTTGATGAATTTATGCATGAATTCTTCGCTGATTTCCCGGGTAAATAAGATATTACACTGTAAAGTAGTCCACTAAAGCCCCAATTGTAAACAAATCATGCCTATGGAATAGAAAATAGGCATGTATGAAGTGTAGAGAGCGGTTCAAACATTTGGGGCTTGCTCTGGAGTCTGTACCCGTGCCCCGCACCACTTTATATGGTGAGCCCTAGCGAGGTGCCACTTTCCACCTCGCTAGGGCTCACCATATAAAGTGGTGCTCACCACAGTAGCACACCAACCACAATAACACACCAATACGAGGTTATTCAATATTAAAATTTACGTAGCGACCGCATCTTCTTGCCAGATTCGTAGATATCAGCAGCAGGCAGTCTCTTAGTAGTCCTCTAATGCCTGGCTAACTTTGCTGCCTTTTTAGTGAGGTTTTTTCATGGTTGGAGCTCCTTCTTTGCCAGGGCATCCGCCTTTTTTAAAGGCCTGTTGCGGTCTCTTGCTCCTTTTCCTTTGCTATTTGACGCCCGATTTCAACTGTGAGTACTCTTCCTGATTAGAGAGAAGTGTTTTTTGTAGACTTGTGCTGTTTGTTAACTTAAGAAGCTAATTCGGTCTTCCAAGGTCCATTTTGGTCTGGACTAGCTGAAAGGCGTGGAAGCGTCCCCCCTTGGATAGGAGCCTGATCCTCTTAATATCTTCAGGAGTAAGATCCCTGCCATCGTCTAGGTTATTTAAGGCCTTGTCTACTTGATAAGCGACCTTGTGAATCTGCCGAATTGTAGCTGAGGTGGTAATTAGAGAGAAACCAGGCTGGTTAAGGGGGGGTGATAGGGTCCTTGCACGAGCTTCGCGCTCCTTCAACTGGTTAATCACAACTGACGGGTTGAAGGGATAGATGCCCGTTTTCTTGAAGGCAGAAAGGATAGTGGCGTTCTTAAAAGCTTGCTGGTAAACCCCTTCAATATATGAAAGGAACTCGATTTTCCCAATATGTGTGAGACCATCACGCACTATAATATACAAGGCTTTAACATGGTAGTGCTTCAAGGGCTGGAAAACCACCACATCGAGCGGCTGTAATAAATACGTCATATTTAGAGGGAGACCAAAAGGGATAATGCCATTGTCGTCACAATATCTAATGAACTGTATTGTGTGGTGGCTACCGTGATCGTCGATAATTAGGAGCCTCTTTATACCAACTTGAGAGGTCTTAGAGTGCTTGTTAGAGTGTTTAATCCACTCTAGGCTGATCTTATCATTCAAATAACTTTTTTCCGCAGTTGTAATCGCCATTCTGGGGTCTAATTCAGGTACCTTGTACCATGGAGATATGGAGGGTGCCAGAGAGGATAAGGAAGCCTGGGACAACCTCGCCTGCCGCAGAGATAGCTTATATGTCAGTAGCAGACTCCTTATTTTCTGGTATTTCAAAATAATGGGCTCTTTTTTGCTTGGTGACAACCATCTGGTCCTTTCCAATCCTTAATCGAAAGCCAGTCTTGTTCATGTTCCACAGGTCGTCAGGGAGGATGCCCTCCTCCCTGATGACCCTCCCCAGCTTCTGAAAGTACTCTTTAGTGCGTTTCGAGTCTTCAGCAGCTTACCGATCTTGTGAAAGAACCTTCTGAGGCTGCTTAAAGTATCCGTTCCGCTTGATAAAGCGGGAGGCTCAATTCTTACCAACTGTGGGTAGTTCCGTGATCGCGGCACTCGCCGACTCCTTAAGCAGCAAGTTAACAGCCTCTGTGATGAATTCTGGCCTCAAAGAAAGATTAATGGTATCTAGACGGTCGATATAAGCACAGACGGTCTTTTCTTGTGTCGCATTCAGCTTGGTGAGTGGTTCTCGTGGTCCTTTTTTAGAAGGGATGCCCTGCAAGCGGTTGCGGAAGCGCTCCCTTGGAACCCCAAATTAGCGGTAGATACCACGTTCAGAGGCATCTGAATGCTCGTTGGCATATTCTACGGCTTTGTGAATACGGGATTCCATCGTAAAAAAATCGTCTGTCCAAAGAGACAATGACTTTGATGTGGTTTTGACTGGAGGGTGGTTATTTTGGAAGACTGGTGTGTTATTGTGGTTGGTGTGCTACTGTGGTGAGCACCACTTTATGTGGTGAGCCCTAGCGAGGTGGAAAGTGGTGCGGGGCACGGGTACCTAGCGGGTGGAATCAACCAGTGAAATGAATGTGGGGTCCGGGCACACAGTCCGCGACAGCTCCCTGCTGCCCTGCCGCGCCTGAGCTTGCCTTGTTGATTGGTTTTTTCAGCCTTGTCACTAAATTCCACATCGGGCTCTCTTCACTGCAAAAACACCAAGCCTCTGTTCGGCATCCCTGGTTTCCTTAACAGCGACTCAGCAACACCAGCATTTACGATGTCGTTGTTTTCTAAACCACAGCAACCAGCCACGGGTGGTGGGAGTCTGTTTGCTGGTTTATCTACACCCGGCGCGAACACGAATACCAACCAACCTGCGCCGACATCTTCCCTGTTCGGCGGCTCGACCAATACGCAAGCACCATCGGGTAGTCTTTTCGGAAACACGGTTGCTGGCTCTCAGGCGAGCTCTAGTCAGCCCGCCCAGACGTCTTCGCTATTTGGAGGATTGTCTGCGCAGCAGCCTGCTGGGAGTCTGTTCGGTGGTGCCCAGAACACCCAGCAAACACAACAGCAGCAACCGCAGGCGCAGACTGGAAGCTTGTTCGGAGGCTCGCTCCTTTCATCGCAACCGCAAACGACATCACAACCGCAGGCAGGAGGTCTCTTCGGCGGATCTACCACAACTCAACAACCACAGACGGGGAGTTTGTTTGGTGGGACCACAACCCAGAGCCAGCCTGCAGCTGGTGGACTCGGGGCTACGACGACCAACCAAGCACAAGGTACTTCCAGTCTTGGAGCAACTCAACAACAACAACAGCAACAACAACAACCGAACGCGTCAACGAACGGCGGCGCGCTACCTCAGGGCAACACGACCGGTTACTTCGACAGTCTCCTCTCAAAGAGTAAGAAACAAGCATCCGGAGATTATCCCCTCGAAGACCTTCCCAGCCTGCAGCTTGGCTTGGGCGACCTTCGACAGCGCCTTCGGAAATTGGGACCGCAGACCGACCCTCTACAGCATGGCAAGGCCCAGTACATGCTGGCAGCCTCTGGCGTTGACCCTGGAGCTGCCGTGAAGGACCTCAAGTATTTCAATATCCAGAACGCTGGGCGGACGGAACGACCTGCCGCTGGCTCCGCCCCTGCCGAGATCGACGTCGAAGCATACCTCGCAAATCTACAGACAAAGACAACGCTGAGCATGATCGCCGACGGCCTCGAGAGATCCGCTAGAGACTTTGACAACTTCCTGGAAGACAATATTACAATGGAGTGGGAAGCGCAGAGAAAGCGTATCTACGAGCACTTCGGCATCAAGACACGGGACGACGATGCTGCGGGAGCACCGGGCAGAGAGTCGCAAGGAGGTTTCGGTCGGTCACGAAGAGCTCCTAAGGCCTCCCGGTCGGCGGCTGCGAGTGTGAAGGGCAGTGCCTTCGGGCGATCAAACCTTCAGAAGTCCGTCATTGGGACACCTAGCAAGATTGGATCCCACCAATCCGAATTCAAAGACGTCGAGGACGCAATAGGGACTTCGATAGCGAACAATGGTGCTACCAATGACCGGTTTGTAAGAGAGAAACAGGGGAATCTCGCAGAACGAATACACCAACTCAATTTGGCTCGGATCGAGAAAACGCCATACCCCATCCTCCACGAGCTCGCCGATGTGGAGAGCAAAACTGTGGATAGACATGCTCAGCAATTGGTTGACGCTTACCACGCTGCCATGTCTATCGTGGACGAGAATCCCGAAGCCGAGACATTTGCTGGAGATGCGACGGCCAAAGAACGCCAGTTTAAGGACAACTACCTAGACCCGAATGACAAGTCCCTCGCTTCAGTGACGATGCGAAGGAGGATACTCAATGGCGCGAATCGCTTCCTCGAGAAGAAGTTCTTCAGCGAAGTGGAGAGCGTCATTGCTAAACACCCCCGGGAAGCCAGCCTTGGTGGTCGTCCAGATGTTATCAGCAAGATACAAGCTTATGTCCGGTTACGACATGCTAGGAAAGACCTTGTACCAGACAACATCGAACTGCAGCAAGTTGATGGAGAGTTCGTTTGGGCCGTCGTCTTCTTCCTATTACGGGCTGGTCACATCGCCGAGGCTGCTGACTATGTCAAAACACAGTCGACGACTTTCCGGGCTATCGATCGCACGTTTGCATCGTATCTTCTCGAATACGTGGCTAGTCCCGAGCGACGGCTGAGGCGTCAGCTGCAGGACAGATGCAACAACGAGTACAACCAGCGCGCACGCAACGCGCCGGACAACTCGATCGACCCTTACCGCATGGCCTGCTACAAGATCGTGGGCCGCTGCGACGTCAGTAACCGCACTCTCGATAACCTGAACACCGAGATTGATGACTGGGTCTGGCTTCAATTCAATCTTGCCCGTGAGAACGACAAAGCAACCGAAGTGGCTGCAGAGTCATATGGCTTGATGGACCTCCGAGCAAGCATCAAGGAAATCGGCCTGAAGCATTTCCCCAAGAACCCTACCGAAGACACGAACAGCACGTTCGGCATGTTCTTCTACCTCCAAATACTGGCGGGCATGTTCGAACAAGCGGTGGCGTACCTTTATACCTTCTCCTATGTCGATGCTGTTCACTTCGCCATTGGGCTTGAGTACTACGGGCTGATCCGGCCTGCGGATCCATGGACTACTTCAGACACGCTCCTGTCGCACGACACTCGCTCCAAGCCTCAGCTGAGCTTCGGGCGCATGCTGGGCTTCTATACACGGGACTTCCGGGCGGCGGATGTTGCATCGGCGGTCGATTATCTCACGCTGATCTGCCTCAACGCCGACTTAGGTGGCGAAGCGGGCCGGCAGCAGGCGGAGTTATGCCACGTAGCCTTGCGAGAGCTGGTCCTGGAGTCTCGAGAGTTCAGTAAGCTTATTGGCGACATAAGACCAGATGGACGCCGGATCATTGGTCTCATTGAAGAACGTGGCCCGCTCATCGGCCTGCGGGAAGAGGACGACTTTGTCAAGGCAGTGACCCTTCAGGCAGCCCGGTTCGCTGACGACAACGGGAGAACTACCGACGCGGTGCTGTTGTACCATCTTGCTAGCGACTTCGACAGTGTGTTGACGATTGTCAGCCGCGCCCTGAGCGAGGCTATTGCACTCGAGATTGGCGAAGACCCCATGCGCCTCATGCCGGTTAAGCCGCGAGCAAGCGCCGAGGATGCCCAGGCGCAGCCCGGAAGCAGTCTGAGTCTCGCATCGATTGACGACCCGATCCAGCTTGCTATGACCATGATGTCGATGTACGAGAATGATGCCATGTTCTACACGAAGATCGAGGACCAGAACCGGGTCGCTTGCCATCTCCTGCTGCAGATGAGCGGCATCAAAGGCATTGTTGAGAAAGGCGAATGGCCCGAATGTTTAGACGTAAGTACACCTTACTTAATCTGGGATACTAGGAGGGATGCTGACTGCTATCTAGACAATCCGTGGCCTTGATATTCTGCCCCTTGATGCCAACGGTGATCCGGCTAAGATCCGGCACTACGCATCCAAGTTCTCAGGACTATCCCAGACGGTTGCCATAAACGTGCCGAATCTGTTGATGTGGACGATCACATGCTGTATCCGACAGCGTGAACGGCTCATGAGCGGACAGTTCAGCGGAAATGAGGGCACGCGGCGGATGATGTGCGACAGCCTGAAGCAGATCAGTCTGGATTTGACGACATACACGAGCCAGCTGAGATATAGGTTCCCTCCGCACCTGCACGAGGCTCTTGCGCGAGCCTCGGCGGATTAAAAGTTGGAGACAATTGTTAGTGGGCATAGGCGATGGAGTATGGTGGGAGTCAGGGACTCTGGATGAAAGCTGGATTTTCCCCTTTCCCCAGCTCGGGGAGAGAGACGTGAACATAATCTTTTCGGGACAGATTACTACTATCATCCAGTCAGGCGCGGGGCCTTTTGAGAGAAGGCAGGCTGCTAATTACTGTATTACAATACAAACAAGCGTCAGAACATTGCCCCTTTTTGATATCATCACCGAGTGGTGCCCGGATGGATGTGTGAACCTGCAAGACGGGACCGGGACCTTCGACTGCCGACGGACTTGCCGAACGCCGAGCACCGAGCGACCCTGACTCTGACTCGAGCAAGGTGCCGCTCGCCCGGTCGCACAACGTCACGCCTGAATCATGAATTTCTTGTCTTCTTCGCGCCCATAGGTCGCTTCGCCCGTCTGTCACTTTTCTGTCACCGCCGTCTTCCCGTCACTCGTGTCCAGAACTGCCGGAGTCCCCGGTCCACCCACATCCACAGCCACCGCAATCAATCTCAAGCTGGTCATATACATCCATGTTATGCATGTACTACCCCGGCCGTCAGCTGGGGGCACCATGGCATCCAACCAGCCAGTCAATTGAGTCGATGTGAGACCAAGTGCTACAGTTGCCTGTCCTCGGCTTCCCATCGCGCATTCCAACATGATGCTTCCCTCCACATCGGCATCCGTCTCCGGCTCCTCCTCCACCACCCACAGCCGCAGCCGTGTCGCTGATCATCCCCCTCCTCCTGCTGCCCATCCTCACCCCGGGCAGCACGGCTATGGTTACGGATACGACGCCGGACGGGGACCAGCCCGACCCAGGTCGCCGAGTCCCCACAAGCGCCGCCTCTCGCTCGACTACGACGCCCAGTCCCCGGACTCCAATACCTCGTCCCGCGACAATGTTTCGGCTGCCGCCGACGAACAGCGGACCAAGAGGCGCCGCACTGCTCCTGGGTCCAGAGGGGTAGCGAACCTGACCCCCGAGCAGCTGGCCAAGAAGAGGGCCAATGGTACGCCTCCGTTTCCTCTGTATGACTGACGCAATATGCTATACAAATGCTACATGCTGCCTTTTACCCATATGACTCACTGTCCGCTTGCCTCTATCTGTTGATCCTATGCATACCTGCCTACCCAGTCATGCTTTCCTTCGAGGTGACGCCACAGTCTTCCCTACCTGCCATCGTATGTCTGTTGACCAGCATCCCGTCTTACTGTAGATCGAGAAGCGCAACGAGCCATCCGCGAGCGAACTAAGACCCAAATCGAGACTCTCGAAAAGCGGATACACGACCTGACGTCCCAGCAGCCCTACCAGGAGCTGCAGGCCGTCATACGGCAAAAGGAAGCTGTCGAGGCTGAGAATGCCGAGATCAAGGGACGTCTGGCTTCCATCATATCCTTGATCCAGCCCATACTGTCCAACCAGCAAGGTGAGTTTTCATGAGCTCAGGAAAACAGCGGACAGAAGTTATGCTGGCTCTGTACGATGACCATGCGAGCGTGCCTGCTGACCATTTCTTGTCCCAGTTGAAGGTGCATATGCCTCCCCGGTCCCGACCCTCGTACCCTTCCAGTCCACGGTGCAACCGCCTCCGCCCTCTTCCCACTCTGCCCACAATGCCTCGACACCTGTAAGTGTGGCCTCTCCGGTGTCGGCCGTGGATTCGTCGTGGCACAGCCAAGGCCATTCCGCCCAGCCGAGTCCGGGTTTCAACCCCAAGCAGTTGTTGAATCAGCAGAGACACGACCTTCTCCATACCTTGGAGCTCGGAGCCGGGGAGCAGCTGAAGCTCGACTTCCTCCTCGACCCCTCGCAGCGCGTGAACAGGATACAGGCTGGACCGAATGGGGCCCAGGATACTCCGGGGTCGCGTCACCTCCCCATGAAGCACGACTGGACCGCCGCCTCGCTCCCGCCGCCTCGCAGCAGCTCGGCCATGAGCGGCGTCTCCCGGCCACACCAACAGCAGCAACAGCAGCGCATCGACTATACGCCCGAGAACACGACTACCCAAAGCCCGCGCGGGGCGTGGGTTGGTGACTCGGCCACGCTCAAGAATACCGAACCGACCTGCCCCCTCGACAACCTCCTCCTCGACTTTCTTTTTGAGCGTCGACAGCGCGCAGCCGAAGGCGTGTCGCCCCAGGAGATTGTCGGCCCGCGGTACCCGTCTGTATCTTCGTTGCTGAATCCCGCCAACAGCGCCCATTCGCACCCGCTCTCCAAGGTGTTCACGGACATACTGGCGACCTTTCCGGGAATTTGTACCCTCCCTGAGCGGGTGGCGGTTCTCTATATCATGTTCCTCATCATGCGATGGCAGATCAGTCCCACTCCGGAAAACTTTGGACTACTGCCTTCTTGGGCGGCACCCACGCCGGAACAGCTTGCCACACCGCATCCGGCGTGGATTGACCACCTGCCGTTTCCACGGATGCGCGAAAAACTGACGCGCGATTACAATCCGCACGATTATCTGTTCGACGACTTCTTCATACCCTTCACGAGCACCATCTCGCTCAACTGGCCGTACGAGGGAACCGACGCCCTGCTGCAGAGCCCCGACGGTGCCGAGCTGTTGATAAATCCCGTTTTCGAGCGCCACCTGCGCCGCCTCGAGAACTGGACGCTAGGGGATGCGTTTGATCGTGCGTTTCCAAAGCTGAGGGGAACGTATAACTTCAAGGTAGATAGCAGAGGCAGTGGAAGTCGAAGTGTAACGAAGGAGGGTGTTGATGAGCGGCTCGGTGAACGGTAGTACCGGTTGCGGCGTCTATCACGCAATGTTGAGGAGCCGAGGAGGTGTGAAGATAGGGTTCAAAAAGCGTATATTTGTTGCATTTTAGACAGGGGCATGGCGGCGTTGCTGTGGTTCTTATTGATGTTGGAGGATTAAGGGGAACCAGAGACTGGCGACACTGTGCGAAAGGAATCCATCCCAGGGGCGCAATGGAAAACAGGTCTGGGAAGGGAAAGAAAAGGAAAGGTCGCCGTGAGCTGGGAGACGCTTACGTGTATATCACATACTGTACAAACACGTGGTGGGAAACGGCGTCAGGCGCCGTACATGGAGACATATTCATCGCTGCGAATTCGGCGACTCTGTTCATAGGCGAGCAGAATAAGGGGTCTAGCAAAAGCAGCATTCCATAGTGTCGCTGAACGCTACCCTAGTAGATCTATATGAGGTCTTACATGGCAGTCTTGCAGGAACTGTTTGTCAGCAAAATCTTATTCAGTTGCTACGTTTGGCAATGCATCATCTCAATCATGACTACCCAAGAATATCTCAGAAACACTTCATGGAGTACAAACGCAGTTACTCCTATCCAATGTTACATCAGCAATGTGCTGGACCAAAGATGTACAATGCCATTATCCAAGGCAAGACCGTTATACGGGAGGGTCCTTCCTCAACTATGCAGGCCCATGTTGGACACCAAGACATCTCTGGGAGCTACCGCCTCAGATAAGCTCTCCAACAAAGGCTTCGGTCGTCGTACTATTGAACAACTTGCCGTCGGCGTCAAGCTTCGAAAAGGCAGCTCGGTACTTTACATATGGTTAGCGCTCTCCATCTATAGCATCCAAACATATCAGAAGGACTCACAGCAAACACGAAATTAAGAATGAGCGCGAGCATCATAGCCACGCTGACGACCAGTGGCCCGATCATGTTGTCAAAGTCCTTACCGCTGCGCTCCATGATCATAGAGCGGCGCCTCTGCAGCATGTAGTAGCCCCACAGGCCGGCCAGGGCCGCGATGGCGATGTAGGCGATGCCCATGCACTCGGCGAGGAAGTTCTCGCCCGCGGCGGTGTAGAGGCTGATGGCCAGGGTCCCCAGGAGGATGCAGATGTGCTGCCACTTGAGGAACGTGCGCTCGTTGGCGAGCCAGACCTTGGGCTCGATCTGTAGCGGTCCGGCGTTCTTGATCCAGGTCTCCGGCTTCGTGACGCCCTCGGGGAGCTGTGCCCGTTGCCGCTTGGCGCGGGAGTAGCGCGACAGGGAGAAACCGGGGAAGACCGAGGAGAGGGTCCCATAACCCCGTTGAGGTCCGTTGGACTGCGCATCGTTGCCCTCCTCGCCATCCTCTTCTTCGACCGTTGGCTCGCCCCGTCCATTGGGGGCTTGTGACTCAGAGGCCCTGGCGTCTGCAGCAGCTCGGTCAGACAGATACGACTTCGCGAATGGCGAACTAGCAGTGGGCTTGTAGGAGGCGCCCTTGGATCCGGTGCCCAAAAAGCTCCCGACCACCTGTGCGTCTTCGGCCCGCTGGGCCTTCCTCTGCTCTTCTTGGTCATGGGCAATCTGAGGGTCTTTCCGAATGTCCGTTTCAAGGTCGCTGAGCCAGAACGGCAGGTTATTGACGTAGTCGTCAAACAACGACGCTACACCGTGCACAAACTTGGAGAACCTAGGCGCCGCGTGAACCAGATGGGAGGCCATCAGATCTTCTATCCATCCAGGCCGTTTCCGGCCTTCCTCTTCTTTCGACTTGATTTCGAGGACGGGGTATGGAAACCTGGATACTTCACTCTGATTTATGTTCTTGAAGGGATACGTCATATTGCTGTTGTCAATATCCGTCCGATGCCAATCCTGGGGATCTCGGCAGGGCCGACTGCGGTCCAGGGTGTCTTCGCGGATGAAGGCAATGTCTGTATCGATGGATATCCTCACTCGATCGTCCAGGGGCTTCTGGAACGCAGTACGGGTATAGTTGGCACGTAAGACGGGACCAATCTTGCGGCTTATGATGAAGTCTTGAATCTCTCCAGCGGTAGTCTTGAAGGATTCAATCGCCTCGGCCGGCTGTCCTTGCCTCTCCATCTTCTGAACCGACTTCTCCATCTTGTATTCCCCGTCGAGGAACTGTTTGATGTACTTGTCCTTGATGTTAAACTTCTTCTCCTCGCTGCTGCCGTTATCGTGTATTATCTTCTGCTCGATAACAATATCGGGCTTCGCGCTTAACTGGCCGTACCAGCGTAGTCGCAACGAAGAGGCATCAACCTGACGGCCGACCTTCCTCCCGTACAGGTCCAACTTTGAATTGTCGAAGTAGACCGACGTGATCTTCGGGTCGTCATTACCATCGAGCTCTTTCGCGGACTGTTGGCTGTAGACTAGGGAAGGTAGGTGTCGGAGGATCGCCGTCTTGACCTCGAGAAGGTTATCAGGATGTACCCAAACTAAAGAAAGCCAGTTAGCTTCAAGGATGTCTATAGCCATAGTGTATGTAGTCTTACATTTGTGTGCAGTGTATCGCTCCCCATTGTGCACCTCCTGCTGATGCTCCAGGTCCAGCGGCTGTTGCGGCTCGCCCTCCTCCAGGTTCTGGTTGATGGCGTAGTACATCATGGACAACTTGGTCAGCAAGGGCGAGTAGGCCTGTTCCGAGTTGAAGCCGTGTTGCGAAAGGCTGACCCTCATCATGGGCCGGACCTTGTAGCGGTCGCCGCGCTTCCGGTCGTGTTTCTTGACAATCTTGAGGAAGCCGGTGTAGTTGAGGCTGCTGTACTTCTTAAGCTCCTTGACCTCGTTGATGATGGAGTCGAGCTCGCCCTTGAGTTCCTTCATGCGGGCAGTCGTGATGTCGCTCTTTTGTCCGTCTTCCGAGGGCGTCATATCCCGTAATTGCTCGAAGGCTGCCTCGGCGCGCTCCTTGAGGCTGTTGACAGTGTTGGCTTTGAACTGGGCGACTTTCTCGAGCTGGACGTTGAAGATTTCGTCGCAGAAGCGGTTCTCGTCTTCTTCAGTCCACGGCACATCCTCGTCTTCGGCAACGTCCTCGCGCAACATGGCCTTCAGCTTGGCATAGTCTAGGTATTGGTCTTTCCATGGCGAGTATATCGACTCGCGGAGAGTCTTGCCGAACCGCATCGTGCTTCAACTCTCCAATTGACTGGAACTGGATAAATGTTGGAAGTATCGAAAAGCAGTCACGAATCCACGATGGATAGCTCTTCACTCTTTCGTCACTTAGATCGCACATAGGCGGGGCCAATTGCAGGTGCTGTAAAGCTCCACCTTAATAGCACCATTGACCAATGAAGCATCACACGCCGCCACGTGGGACAGAAGATCTTATCAGATCAGCTATTTCCCGAGCAACGAGGCTAATAATTTGCATAAAAGCAGCTGGCCAGTGGCAGGAGTAGTTTGTTGCAGTGCAATTGAACCTCTGCTTTATTCCACTGCAGTCAACTCACTTATTCAACCGCTTGCCTGGTACTACATTGTTTGTTCTCGCAACCCAATAGGTGAGCATGTCAAACCTTGGGGTTTAATCTAGCCAATGCCACTGAGGGAGGAGAATAGAGAGCAAAGTCAGTTATGTCCGATAACTACCTACAGAAGCCTATTTACAAATCGTGTAAACCGATAATCATCGTCTACATATATCAACACGAAAAAGGTATTTGTTTTCGTTCCCAGTCCGCGTACAAACAAACACATTCGTCCGTTCATTTTCTTCTCTCGTGGTATCGTAAAACAAAGTCGTATCCCCCGTCTTGCCAAAGTACCATGCCACGCCGTGAAATACTTGTACTTGTACTATTTGACATGACGTTACAAACCTCTCATGCGGCGGTCACAGCGGTCACGGCATTGAAGACCTCATGTGCGGTTCTCTTGACGATGCCACCAGTCACGGGCAGACCAGTGTTCTGTTCAAGGTACAGGTCCACCTCGCGAGCAGACTGTCGCCCCTCGTTGATACCCCTACAAATCGCGTTAGTCACCGTCGCAAGCATGTTTGTAACCAAGACAAGATGAGACTTACCAAACGATCAGGGACTGGCCACGGCGGCAGTCACCAGCAGCAAAGATACCCTCGATGTTGGTGGCGTAAGATCCGGCAGGAGTCTTGACGTTCTTCCGGGCGTCCTTCTCAATCTCATCGCCAAGAACGCGAGCCTCGGGGCCGAGGAAACCCATCGATAGAAGCACAAGGTCTGCAGGGAAGAACTGCTTGCTGTCCTCGAGCTTCTTCATGTCCCAACCGCCGCTGGCAGACTTGGTCCACTCCACGCGGATCGTGTTGATTCCCTTGACACGTCCGGAGCCGTCATCGACGAATTCCTCCGACATGATGCAGTACTCACGAGGGTCCTTGCCCAGTTGGCTCGCCACTTCCGTGTGGCCGTAGTCAACACGGTAAATTCGGGGCCACTGTGGCCAAGGATTATCCCGGCCACGCTGAGGAGGAGGCTGGGGCAGAAGCTCGAAGTTGATGACTGACTTAGCACCGTGGCGAACAGACGTACCAATGCAGTCGTTACCAGTGTCACCACCGCCGATAACCACCACGTGCTTGTCCTTGGCAGAGAGGAAGGAGCCATCAGCCAATTCCGAGTCGAGCAGGGACTTAGTGTTCTTGTGCAAGAACTCCATGGCGAAGTGGATGCCCTCGAGGTTGCGGCCCTTGATGGGAAGGTCACGGGCGACAGTCGCTCCCGTCGCAATGACGACAGCGTCATTCTTGGCCTTCAGGTCCGTCAATGAGATGTCTTCACCAATGGCTACGCCCGTCTTGAACTGAACACCCTCGGCAGCCATAAAGTCGGTTCTCCGCTTGACGATGCGCTTGTCAAGCTTCATGTTGGGAATGCCATACATAAGCAGACCACCAGGTCGGTCGGCGCGCTCGTAGACAGTCACCATGTGTCCAGCTCGGTTCAGCTGATCGGCGCAAGCAAGGCCAGAAGGACCAGAACCAATGACTGCAACCGTCTTGCCAGTGCGGACCTTGGGAGGCCGGGGCACCATCCAACCCATCTCGAAGCCACGGTCGATGATCGCGCATTCGATTGACTTGATGCCAACGGAATCCTCGTTGATACCAAGGACACATGCACCTTCGCAAGGTGCAGGGCAAACACGGCCAGTGAACTCTGGGAAGTTGTTGGTCATGAGTAGCCGGTTGAGGGCGTCCTGCCACTGCCCTTGGAACACCTAAGATCATGTTAGCAATTATTACGACAATGCGAAAAGTTTACAGTGGAAACAATTACCAATTCGTTCCATTTGGGGATAATGTTGGAGATGGGGCAGCCAGTGTCCGATTGGCAGAAAGGAACGCCGCAATCCATGCACCGAGCAGCTTGGTACTTGAGCTCATCCTCGTCTAGGCGTTGAGAGAGCTCAGCCCAGTCCTTGGTTCTCGTCTTGACGTTGCGGTACTTCTCGGATCGACGCTGGTACTTCATGAAGCCCTTGGTCTTGTCCAGGACCAGGGAGCGCTTCTTCTCGGCGGCATTGTCGCCGACGGACTCCTCAATGTCCTGGAGCTCGGCGGCCTTCTCCTCCTTCTTGGACTTGACACCAGACACGATTGGCAGGTTGTATTCGGCACGCTTGGCCTCTGCAGCCTTGGCCGCTTCTTCCTGGAGGACTCGTTTGTAGTCGACCGGCAGGACCTTGACGAATCGTGGAAGAGCTCGGTTAAAGTCGACCAAAATGCGAGCCGCCAACTCCGAGCCGGTGTAGTGGTGGTGATCCTCGATCAACCCTCGAAGGAAGGCAATCTCGGCGGGGTCGTCGATCTCAGAAGCTTCAACCATCTCCGTGTTGAGCTTGGACACGAAGTCGCGGTGAATGTCAAGCACGTAGGCGATACCACCCGACATACCAGCAGCAAAGTTACGACCAGTGCTGCCCAAAACGACAACGCGACCGCCAGTCATGTACTCACAACCATGGTCGCCAACACCTTCGACGACGGCAGTTGCACCCGAGTTTCGTACTGCGAATCGTTCCGCGGCGACTCCACGGAAGAAGCAGGTACCTTGGGTTGCACCGTACAGACAGACATTGCCAATCAGGACGTTCTCTTCAGCCTTGAACACCGCCGAACGAGGAGGATAGATGATCAATCGTCCCCCGGACAAACCCTTGCCAACATAGTCATTGGCATCGCCTTCCAACTCGAGTGTGATACCAGGGGCAAGGAAGGCACCGAAGGATTGACCAGCGGAGCCCTTGATGTTGACGTGGATAGTATCCATGGGCAGGCCGGCCTCGCCGTACCGCTTGGAGACGTGGTAGGACAGGGAAGTACCCATGGCTCGGTCGGTATTGACGATGTCACATTCAATGCGAGAGGGAAGCCCCTTATCCAGAGTCAACTCAGCCTCGGAGATAAGCTTGTTATCCAGTCGAACGTAGAGCCGGTGATCTTGCTTGCGAACATTGAAGGTAGCGACACCGGGTCGAAGCTTGTGAGCGGGTGTCAAGAGGAGGGACAGATCAATATTGGCCGTTTTGTTTGTTCGAAGGTCGTCTCGGACCTTCAGACACTCAACGCGCCCCACCATCTCGTTGATGGTTCGGAAACCCAGCTGTGCCATGATGGCTCTCAGCTCGTTGGCAACGTAGTAGAAGAAATTGATGACATGTTCAGGTGTGCCCGTGAACTTCTGACGGAGTTCAGGGTCCTGTGTAGCAATTCCCACAGGGCAGGTGTTAAGGTCTGGTAGCAATTAGTGATTGTTCCATTGTCATGAGAGCAGGTGAGGATGCGTGTCCCGCGGATTGTCAGTGCTTCCACGAAAAGAAAACTGAATAGGAGCCAAAACTTACGGCATTTGCGCATCATAATGCATCCCATGGCAATCAAGGGAGTCGTGGCGAAACCCCATTCTTCAGCGCCAAGCAAGCAGGCAATAGCGACGTCACGTCCAGTTCGGAGCTGACCATCAGTCTGGACGACGACACGCCCACGTAGATCGTTGAGGACGAGCGTCTGGTGGGTCTCAGCAAGACCCAACTCCCACGGAAGACCAGCGTACTTGATACCAGTCCAGCGAGACGCTCCAGTGCCACCGTCATGGCCAGAGATCAAGATATGGTCGGCCTTGGCCTTGGCGACACCAGATGCAACGATACCAACACCGGTCTCCGAGACGAGCTTGACAGAGACACGAGATCGGGGACTTGAGCACTTGAGGTCGTAGATGAGTTGCTTCAGATCCTCAATGGAGTAGATATCGTGGTGGGGAGGAGGCGAGATGAGACCAACGCCAGGGGTTGAATGCCGCGTGCGAGCGATTGACTTGGAGACCTTGTGCCCGGGCAGCTCACCACCCTCGCCGGGCTTGGCACCCTGAGCCATCTTGATCTGGATTTCGTCGGAATCAGCCAGGTATGCTGAAGTCACACCGAAACGTCCAGAGGCGACCTGCTTGATTGCCGATCTCATGGTGTCACCATTGGGCATGACCTGAGATCGCTCGGGATCTTCACCACCTTCACCCGTGTTTGACTTGCCACCCAATCGGTTCATGGCGACGGCCAGAGTTGAGTGTGACTCCATGGAGATCGAACCATACGACATAGCACCTGTGCAGAAACGGCGGACGATTTCAGTCCACGGCTCAACCTGGTCGATAGGAATAGGGGTAGAGTCCTCAAACTTGAAGTCGAGTGTGCCACGTAGCGTGCACGCCTTGATTTGCTCGTACTCGGAGCGCGAGTAAGCTTCGTATGACTTGTCATTCTTCGTCCGGACAGCATCCTGCATGTTGGCGATGGAAGTCGGGTCGTTGATGTGGGCCTCGCCACCGTCTCGCCAGTGGTATTCACCCGACTCGGGCAGTCCTACAACACCAACAGTATAGCGGGAAGGGAATCCACGTTCGTGGAATCGGAACGCATCCTCGGCGATGAGTTCGAAGGTCAAACCCTTTATACGAGAAGCTGTACCTCTGAAGCATCTCTCCACGACCTCGTCATCGACACCAAGGGCTTCGAAGATCTGCGCACCCTTATAACTGGCGAGGGTAGATATACCCATCTTGCTCATGACCTTGAGAATACCGCCATCACAAGAGTGCTTGTAGTTGGCAATGAGGGCATCATCTGAAAGCTTCTTCCGAATCAGGCCCTCGTGGTTGAGCTTGAGGATGCACTCCATCGCGAGATAAGGGTTGACCGCATCAGCTCCATAACCAAGAAGCACACACATGTGATGAACCTCACGAGCCTCGGCAGACTCGACCACTATCGCAGCCAAAGATCGCCACTTATTGCTGACAAGATGGTGGTGAGTCATACCCGAAGCGAGCAAGGCGGAAACAGCTACACGATCTGCAGAAGTTTTGCGGTCGGACAAAATGATGATTCTGTCTTTGGCTTGGATCGCAGCCGTCACTTCGTCACATATGAAATCAAGGTGCTTCATATATCCAGCGACGCCCGCGGACTTGGGGAATGTCAGGTCTATAGTTTTGACAGTCCATTTCGGGTACAGTTTGGACATGTTAGCCACTGCGTTGAATTCGGGAATGGACAGGATCGGGCTGGGCAGCAACAGGCGACCGCATTGTGAGGCATCCATTTCGAGCAAGTTGCCCTGGGGTCCGACGTAGCAGTCCAGCGACATCACAATAGACTCCCGGATAGGATCAATTGGAGGGTTGGTGACCTGAGCGAAGAGCTGACGGAAGTAGTCGTAGAGTAGGCGAGGCGCCTGTGACAGACAGGCCAGGGGCCCATCGTTGCCCATGGAGCCCAATGCCTCCTTCTCGTCCGAAGCCATGGGCGCGAGAATCAGACTGACCTGCTCATAGGAATAACCAAAGCCAAGGAGCAGTGGGTCTTCCTGGAGTCGCGTTGCATCTGGCTTTGCGGAAACATCCACTCCTTGCTCCTGAGAAACCTGGCTGAGGACCTTTGGCAGGCTAATGACTTCATTGTCAATCCAGGAACGGAAGTCGTTCCGGCTCGAGACAGCCGCCTTGAGCTCGGAGTCATCAATGATGCGCCCGGCCTGGGTATCGACAAGCAACATGCGGCCTGGTTGGAGGCGCCCCTTTTGAATGACGGTCTCGGGCTCAACGTGAATAGTGCCAACCTCGGAAGCGCAGATGATGCGGTCATCGTCCATGACGTAGTAACGGCAAGGTCGAAGTCCATTTCGATCGAGGTTCGCACCACAGAAGCGGCCATCGGCAAAGGTGAAGAGAGCCGGACCATCCCAAGGCTCCATCTGGCACGCAGCCCACTCGTAGAAAGCAGCCTTCTTGGGGTCCATTGCGGTGTTGCCTTGCCATGCTTCCGGGACCATGAGCATGACAGCTTCGGGTAGCGACAGGACGCCGTTGATTGTGAGCAGCTCCAAGACATTGTCAAAAGCAGCCGAATCGGAGCCACCGTCCTCGACGATCGGATAGAGCTGCTCGAGCTCATCGCCGAAGACGTCCGACTGCATCACACCCTCTCGTGCGCGCATCCAGTTCTTGTTGCCACGGAGGGTATTGATCTCACCTGCGTCACAGTTAGATTACCCGCTCCGCTACTGTTCTCTTGTGACTCGCGACGTACCGTTGTGAGCTGCCCATCGCAGAGGCTGAGCTCGATCCCAGGAGGGGAATGTGTTGGTCGAGAAGCGAGAGTGTACCAGGGCAAAGTGAGCCTGGTAGTCGGCGTTGACCAGGTCATGGTAGTATTGGTAGACCTGGCTGGGGGCAAGCTGTCCCTTATAGACAATGTTCTTGTTTGAAAGAGAGCACAGGTAGAACCAGTTGGACAGGCCGATCGAGTGGGTGGCACGCTTCCGCAGAACATAGAGCTGTCTCTCGAACTGTCTCTCGTCGAATGTCTCTGGGTCCGTCATTTCAGGAGCATTGCCAGAGCCATACGCAGATGTGAGGACCACGAAAGGTTGCAGAATAGTTGGCTCGCGTGAAGCGGCAGCAGGACCAAGGAGAGTAGAGTCTACAGGAGGTTCTCGCCATCCCAAAACTCTCAGTCCCAGCGACTGGGCAATGTCTTCCAATTGCCGCTTCGACTCCTGAAGCGTTTCCTCGTCGGGCTTGAAGAAGAGGTTTCCCACAGCATATTGTCCCAACGGAGGCAGCTTGATGCCCTCCTCCTTCTCGAAGTTCTTGATGAAGAACCTGTGGGGGATCGAGGTCATGACACCTGCACCATCGCCGTCTCGAGCGTCAGAACCCACCGCACCGCGGTGGGTCATGTTGCAAAGGAGGTTCCGTGCTGCGCACCGTTAGCAACCGAAAGAATTTCCAGCTCCGTCTACTGATCTCCGACTGACCATCACTAACGATCTTATGGCTCGCCTTGCCCTTGATATGGCTAGACATGGGATTAGTATACGGTGTAGATTCCACGGAGCAAAGCCCTGTTCATACCAGGCGAAACCGACACCGCAGGCATCCTTCTCCAAGCCAGGATCGTACAACCCTCTACGCGACAACAGTCAGTAATGCCAAGGTCAAAAGCGCATATGCCGCGGGAGACCTACTGCTTCACCGGCAGGGCGCCGGCCCAGGAGCCGTTGTTCTCGGTCTGATAATCATAGGGGTGGTAGGCGTCGGCCTCGGAATCGATCTGGGTTCGTCTGTCGTCGAAATCGGCAGGGAAGCCCATGTCAGGCAAGATGATGGGTTCCCTGTGGACGGAGGGGATATTTCGAGGGTCGGGATCGGAGGTCCCAGAAGGACTGCAGACGCAGCGACTGAGGATGAGGCGAAAGGGAGCAGCTGCAGCCGCTCAAACGACTCTATGTGGGCGGAATATGAGATTAGTTTCGGTAACGTGTGACTAGCAGCTGCACGAGAAAAGACAAAGGACAAAGACGAGATTTAAAGCAGAGATCCTTCAGTGGGCTTCCTAGATAGAGTTTCTTGGGCCAAGTCCAGTGGGGAGCAAATAATTGGCGTCCAGAACGGTGTCTCGGTGGTGTGTCCAGGTCGGATTTCGGTGCTTGGAATGCGGGGTGATTGCATACACACCGAGCCAGCCCAGACGAGATGCGATTGTGCTTTTTTTGATCTGAGTCTGACTTTCACTTTTTTGTGAGCCTCCTGCAAAGGTGGAGCTGGCATGTGACGCCGGGGGCTGCTAGGTTGCAATCGCCATTGCCTTCCTCGCTGCGCTTCTCAGTGGGAGGCATCTCCTCGGAACGCACAGCTTGAGAGGACCAGGGCCTTGCTTGAATCGCGCACTCTCGCGGGCCCGCAATTCGTCTCGACGTAGCCAGTTCATCCTTTTCCATCCTTCTGGAGAAGACACGCGGCTGGAATAGATCAATCTGTTGTCGTGGTGTGGCGGTACCGGCGGCAGTCTCGTCGTTGTTGACTATCGTGTCAATGGCTTGGCTCGACTTGCCCACGTCGTGAGTCTGAGCTGTATAGTACCAAGGTACATAGTAGGGAGAGCTGCACCTTGATGCAGTCTGCATGCGAGGGTCGTGACGGTCGGATGAGATGCGAGCAGCACAGTCGACAGTGTATATTGGGCGTGGGGAGTGATACCACGGCAGCCAATGACACATTTCCTGAACGCAACCATGCGGCTACTGAGCAAGGATCTGATACCTCGGCTGCCATGCATATGATGTCTTCTCTATGTATGTCACTCCCTGCTAATCCAGTGCGGCCGAGATATGTATGCGATGCCTCAGTCGTCCAGAAGCAAGGGCCGGTGATCCTGCATGCGCAACTGCTGCACCTGAAGGGGCGATTTATACTCCAGGTCCGTTGGTCATGTTGACGATTGTCGGTCTCTTCGCCGTTCGATGTGCTCCGCGGGGTTCGGTGTTTTCGCGGCATTCGAGCCAGTCGTGCGATTGGGATAGATAGTCCTGGTCGCGCTCCGTGGTTGTGTTCCGTGGCCTTTGGTCCTCAAAGTGTCGCAGTGTCGCGGGCAAACGCAAACAAAGGGCAACATGAAATAGGGCATACTTACAAGTGAAGTGTGGACGACTCTCTAGCTATGTATGCACTCTTTGGTACTTGACAGCTCTGCTATAGTGACTTATTATATTCACTTTGAAAACTAGGCTGGGTATCTTGCAAGACGATCTGGCAAGAAAAGAAGAAAGAGGGGGAGAGAGACGATTCGAGAGAGATGGGGCAACCGCCTAGCTTTTATGGCTGGACGATGGATGGACGGATGGATGGATCGAGCAAAGGAGCCAGGCCTGGTTGAGAGAAAGTAGTAGTAGTAGCCGCAGCAGCAAGGCATCCAGAGGTCAGTTCAGTCAGTCCGTAACGGGGGCGACCAGAGAAAAAAATAACCCATAGGCAGACAATATTCGCACTATGGTGTAGCAGATCGGCTTCCTCCACTGCCTCCAGCCCTTGGTATGAGTAGACCGTCAGACGTGCAAGTGGGGGAGGGGGAGGTGGCCGAGAGACGGAGAGTCGACGGCAATCTCCCAATTGGCATCCACCCTACCAGTGACCACCATGGTACGAGCGCAAGAGCGCGCTACCGACACGGGCGAGCTGCTGGAGTGGCTGGACTGGCAGTCTGGCACCGGTCGCGAAGCCGCATCCTTGCAACCGCGCTGAACTGGACAACGGCTTGCTGACTTGGTGACGTTACCGAAGCTTCCATCCAACCACTCTCGCGCTGCAGTCGTTGAGGATTAGCAAATACGCTATGCTGATTGGCCCACCTAGACAACTGATCTGCCCTCTACTCCGACAGCACAAGATGCACGGCCTCGTGGACAAGTAGAAGCTAGAAAATAGCGCGCTCGTCTGACTTTTGGCGAGTCTGGACAGATGCGTATTCATGACTCTGTGCGAACGTGATGGCACATGTGGGAAACCAGAGAACAGACTGTGCCCCGTGTTGCCGAGGCTGACTTGAAGAACTGTTTGCTATACGGAGAGGGGTATCTGCGACGAGAAGCCATGTCCGGCAGTGCTGCCTCATTTCCACTTGGCTAGGTACGTGTACTTGTTTGTAGTAGATCGAGACGAGCAGCGGAGTCATGCTACGATGCATGTACTGTACTGCAGTGGACGATGTGATCGGGTCATCTCTTATTAGAGTGGTTTCGGTTGGAAGCTACAACGACGATCACTCGACCTTGTTGGAGGCGAATATGAACTTGAGTAATTTGCCTCACAGCAAGTGAGAGCGCGACTCATCAATGCAGAGTGCTTGAGCGGACAAATACAACCAAAGCTGATCGCAATCAAGACAGTACGTCTGGTGGAAGTCACCTTGAGCCGGGCAGCCCGGAGTACTCTGTCTCATCAGCAATTCATTCTCATAACCCGAGCCCGAGTCCAACTTGATGCTCGTCCTTCGGAGATTTGCGACCTGGCCGTGAGGATGTTAGAAGTGAGTTCTGCCAATAAATCTTAGCAATTGTATCGACGAGCAGCCGGTTATCGGAGGTGGCTTCCGCCGCGAAGAAGACGAATTGAATTCCCCGTAGTAGGCCTGACCCGAAATCCCATTGCACAACATTGAACGCACCCCACACGGACATGCATATCGACGACAGGGATTCGACAGGGATAAGGCCAGAATGCAAGCCGCCGCCAACTTTGAAAACATCTGGCCGAGGCGCCGGTATGCCCAATCACCTTGGGCCCATTGCAAGCGGGAAACCCAAGACGGCGGCTGGACCGATGTCGCCTCCCGGTCGATGCAGAACACCACCCACTAGCAGTAGGCACTTTTTAGTGTCAAGCAGGGTCTTGTGTGAGTTCGCAGCGCTGTGAAATGCCTGATGGTGATGACTGATGAGATGCGTGGCAGCGTGGGGTCTGTCCTATTTGGGTGATGCCGTTCGAATGGGAGTTGTGATGGCGGACCAATGCGATGTAAGAACTCAAGTCCAAGATCCGTTCCGGTGAACGTCACGCGGGGTGTTCGATGCCAGTATATCCCGCAGTAACCGGCCATGAACGTTGGGCAACTCTTGAAGTGCGCAGTCGCCAATTGAAGAACTGCCAGATGCTGGACGAATCTGATCTGCTTACTTTCCGTGCTGCCCTCAGTGGCTAGGCGGGAGGCAAGACGCGCCTATCAAAAGTGCGACGAGTTCTATGTTCCACGTAGGAACGTCAGGGCAGCCAAGGATGAAGGATCTAGGCATCAAACGAAAATTTCACGATGCCTCCTGCTGCAAGGCATCCTGCATGCGACAGAATAAGGCGACAGAGTGGCACTGCTAGGATGTAACCTGGTGTTGTGCTGGCCCCGTGACCCAGCACCAACACCAACATACTCAAGTTCGGCAACCCGCCAACATGGGGTACTGTACCGTGCCTGCAGGACTTGCGGCATGGCAAAGGCATGACTAGCTCATCAAGGTCTCTCCTTGCGGAGGTACGTTACAGCCAACAACGAGGGGTTCCATCTACGCCGACGAAAGCAACTCGACTCGGTGCGTCAGGTTGCGGATCGTGGGACAGCAGCACTGTTGGCCTCCGGGTCTTCGTGCCTTCGCTAAAAAGGGTCATGATATATTCGATGGAGAATTGCTTCTGATGAAACTTTGGCAAGGCACGCCGTTGAATGAGTGGCAGACGGGAGTGGTCGATGGAGGGGCGAGCGAGATCGGCCTATCGCAGGGACTAGTTTTGTTCCCCGATAATCGCTCCCGGGTTGGTGGAGAGCGGAGCGGGACCTGGAGGTAGGGGATGACCAAGCGCCACAACCTGCATTCACATTGACCAAACGCCAACATTGAAGGTTTCCACTGTCCAGCGCTGGCTGGACCTGGGCGAGTTCCAAAGTGGCCCTAGAGAATAGAGGAGCATAACCTCAGAACATTCCGAGAAATTCCGGTTGTGAGGAGCAGACCAGAGGCGCCAGAGCCTTTGCGCAGAGCCTCCACGCCAGCCGTGCCAGCCTATTCGCACGTGGCCGAAAAAAACGAGCAACCGTTCACCGCGGGTTTTTCTTCACCGCCAAGTCGTGGGAAGATGTAGTTCCTGAAAACTCCATTCCGCTGTGCCTTGCCCGGGTCATCAATGTTTCCATTACCTGATGAAAACCAGGGAAACAGTGGCACCGACGCCGACCGGGCGGCTGCACCATCATGGATGCATGGGTCTGTCTTGACCGCAGTAGTTTGCTGCCGCATGCAGGAGTGATGAGCTGTTGTGCGGCGTGCCGAGGTACGTACTTGGCTCCATGGGAGTGCAACGAGAAAAAGAAGAGAAAAATGAAAACGGCCCTTCAGCAGCATACCGTGCCAACCGCTCTGCTATAGTCGAGTCCGCGTTTTATCAGATGGGAATCCCATCTCGATTCTCCCGTCCCATCCTGGAGCTTGCCCATTCATCAGCCAGCCTCAGAGCCCGTGCCTACCATTGAATGAGTCCACGCGTGTACGTCTGCCAAACCATCGTATACTGTGGACTGACACTGCAATAATGAGCGACATTACCTTAGCAGATTGTTCACGTCGACGTCAAACGTGATGAGATGACGATTGCACGCAAAACCAGGCTGCCTGAGAAATCGATGCGCGCGGGATCACATGTCTTCCATTTTATTTTAACCCCGCATCCCCTCCACGAAACCCTGCAGCCTTACAGCCGCACATGTAATCGTGTTTACGTTATAAGTTACTGACCTCAGTATGTAGATGCGAGGTTTGCAGTCTGACTGTGTACATCTTCATGATTCAATGTCGTGCTTCTTCAGGCCGTCGTTGAGAGGAAGATTGACTCCGACCTAAATCTTCACTGCAGGTGTGTGTTTTGATGAAGTTGATGTTCACGGTAGGTGTCGTACTGTAGACGACTGGTCCTTCCGGGCAATTGATCGCGCTTAGTAAGATAAGAGCTGCTCCGTTCCAGGCCCCGGCCAACACCAAAGCTTGAGCAACGATACAATTGGACCGTATCTTCTTCCGAGTTTCAGCATTCTCCGAATGCTCCCATCTCAACCTCAACAACCACTATCCAGCGCAGCTGAAGCTACCTACCTAGATTGGCTTCTTGAAGCGTTTTCTTTGCCGTCTTTGAGAACCACTTACAGCTCAGGTCTGAATCTTCACGGTCCACTCTCACAATGCTGTCTCTACTGCCAGATCTCACACCACGCGACGTATGGCCTCAATCTCCCCAGATAGGTTTCCAGATAGGTTTCCAGCAGGCTAACATAGATGCACAGTCCCATTCGCTCTGGTATACATCCCCGCGCAACCCGCTATCGTCGAATAACACCATCGATACGCGCCCGAACGCCCACGACCACCACCACTCCAACAACCCGCATGGCGCCCACCACCACCAACACCGGCGCGGCGCGCACCTGGTCGAGCGGTCCCTTCTCGCGCGCCTCCGCACCGACGAGCAAAACCTCGACCGCCGCCGCCACAACGTGACCAACTTCGGCAGCACGTGGCTGAAGCCGCTCGGCGTGCCCAAAACCCTGCACCAGCTGCGCGAGGAGCGACGCGAGGCCGAGGAGCACCAGGAGGCCATGCGGCGCGAGCAGCTCGCCCAGGAGCTGGCCGAGGCCGAGGCAGCCGGCGCCGGCGGCGTTGACGCCATGCTGGATGTGCCCGGTGGCGCCGACGACGGCATGGATGATGTGCAGCTGGACGGCACGCGCGACCTGGACGAGGATATACCCGAGGCCGAATCCGCAGACTTCGGCATCGACAGTGATGACGATGAGGACGACGAATACGTGGAGGGCAATGAAGAGGAAGATGCGGAGCAGGAGGCCGAGGAGAGGGCAGCGCGCACGCAGCAGCAGTTGATGGCGCAGAGGATGAGACAGGCCGACGATGCATTCCGAGAGAACCTGGCTCGCGGGGTCGATAGCACCGGCTTCTACGGCGTCGACGAGGAGGTCGACGACGAGGACCAGGCCCAGATGCTGGAGGAGGAAGACCTGGTCGGTCACGGAGACGACGGCGGCGACATGGGCATGGACGCCGATCTGGACGATGAGATCCCCGAGGCTGAGAGTGCGGGCTACGAGCACACGGACACGGAGGCGGAGCTGACCAACAGCGACGAGGACGAGGATCGTGCTGAGATGAGCTTTGCCGCGCAGGCCCCTCAGGCGGCTAGATTCCGTGGCAGCATGGCGCGCAGTGATGCCACAAGAAACAGTCTCGCCATTAGCGACATACTCTCTCGGGATGGCAGTAGTGTTCCGGGCAGCAGCCCCGCCGTCCCGCGGCAGCCGGCTGGGCCTGCTCGTCGAGGACGAGGCTGATCCGTGGACCTACACCGCACAACATGCACACTTGCACTACCTGTTAAGATACCCCTTTTCTCTTATGCAGACTGAGGCAACCCGCCGTCTTTGTATTTCTAATGTAACGGCACGAAGGCAAGAGTTATGATACATCGATTACAACAGCGTAAGAATGAGTCCCGTTAACCATAAATACTCTTTCCGATTCCTCGTACTCGTAGGTGTAGTAGTGGTCTTCTCGCAAAGAAGTGAGTCCGCTCGTAATATCACACCCCGCAGAACGCCTTTTCCCATAATGTCCCATTCTACCCGTCCCATCGCCAAAACACGCACTCGCCGTAGTTTCGTGTAGTCGTCCGTCCGTCGCAACATCATCTGCCTGTCCGAACTCGTTCACTCAGAACAGCCACACGTACGTGAAGACCATGACGACGGCGGCGAAGAAGCCGAGCCACACCTTCCAGCCGACGCCCGTCCGCTCGGCCATGACCATCATGCGGTTCATGGTGCCGCGCAGGCGCACGCGCGTGATGTCGAACGACTCGTTCATCTTCTCGGCCAGGGCCGACGAGTCGCGGATCTCGTCGCCGATTGCTGTCGTCATCTGGGCGGTGCGCGCAAGCGCAAAAGTTAGCTTGTCTGCCTCTCTTTATCTTTATCTTTCTCTTGTTTTGTTTCGTCTTGTCCTTCTTCGTGACCGTGGCCGTAGACCTTCGCGTGTAGTGGATTGGATGCGTGCGTGGCGGGCCGGTCAAACCAAAACTCACCTCCTTCAGCACCTTGACCTTGCCCAGGATCCCCGCCACATGCTCGTCGTTCTGGCTCTCGAGCTCGTTGAGCGTCGCGTCGCTGTACTGTCCCCTGTGTTTTCGGCAAACAGACACCACCAGTCAGTTCAGTTTTCAAGCAACTCTTTTTATGTGTTCATCCACCTCAGATGGTCCGGTGCCGTCGTGGCTCGCTCGCTTACCTCGAATTCGGCGTCGCTGGCCTGTATCCCGCGCTACCTCCCCGACCGTTGTTGTCGACGCCCAGATGCTGCGACGACGACTGATTCCCGCCGTTGTAGCCGTAGCCGCCGGCCAGCGGACTCGGGTGCCGCCGTGTCGCGTCGCCGCCGCCGCTGTTGTAGCCCTCGAACAGGGCGCTGCGCGAGTCGCGCTGGTGGAGGTTGGATGCGCCGAATCTAGACATGGAAGTCGTCGGTCAGCTGGGCGCTTCCAAGTGCATGTATGTGTGTGTTGTTTGCAAGTATCGTATGTATGCATGTAGGTGTGCCCTTGGCTCTGCGACAAGGTACGGGTGGTGGGCTGACGGTTCCCCCTTTCCGCCGATTTGATGCGCGGCCGGGCGCCATCTTGGAGAGTCAAATGGCTCCGGGACTTGGGAATGCGCGCGTGTCGCGGAGGGGCTTGACGCTTGTCATCCGACGCATTAATAAGGAGCTGAATGCACGTACCTTGATGCCATAGTGTGCTGTGCTGGAGTTTGGCGAGAAACAGAGAGTTTCTGCTGTTCAGTTGCACGCCAGTCTGCAAGTCTGCACATACGTAGCGTTAATCCCGTCGTTAATCGGATGCGTGTCGGGAGGGAGCAGTGCCATCTGCCGACAGCTGGGGCGCAGTTGGTTTGTTGCCAGCTGGTTGGTTGATTGGTCGAGGCCGCCTGACTTTGGTTACAACCTCGACCTCAAAGGCTCAAAGGCTCAAAGGACATCTGTCTCGAGGAGCTTGGTGTTTGTCTCACACCAAACCAAGGTAAACTTTACCCATCACTGGCTTGGATGATGACACGTCTCCGTGTATTGTTCTTTGAGTTGTCATTGTGCGACTTCCATCCAGGAGTTATCGCATCCACTCTTGCTGCTTGTAAGCTTTCGCATTGTACACAAACCCGCCATTGAAAGTTTCTATCCGGGAGCTACAACGTTTGTATATCTAACGTGTATATATTACATAGAGATCATCACGACTCGGTCGAATATAGTCAACCCTCCAAACCGACCAACAATGCTTTAACTAAAAAATCAGGTAGCCATCCGACGTATGACTCGTACGCTGAAGTCGTGAACCACCATGATGGCAAGTGACTCCAAGTGAAGGGGCTTCAAGTTGTTGATAATGCAGAAGTCGAACCTTCGCATCAACTATGTCTCATTAGCCCATCGTCCACTTTGACTGGGTGAATTTGGTGATCATTGTCACCAAGGGGTAACCTTACCTCGACAAACAGCTTCCGGACTTCCATCCACGCAATCGCCTTCCCCATGCATTGGAATTCGCCCGCGCCGAAAACAATGTCGAGCGTCTGCTTCATGCGAGAAATTCTCTCACCACTCCCATCGCCCGCAGTCTCTAGCCACCGCTCTGGACGGAAGCACCCTGCATCAGGCCCGAAGATCACCGTGGACCTCAGGATCCCAGGTACGTTAGCCCCTACTTGGGTTCCGTCAGGCACATCAAAGCCACACACTGTCTCTCTTGCCTCTCCGCGTGCTCGTTGCTTGCTTGGGGAGAGCTTTGATGGTGATACAGAGGGCGGATGCAGTCGCATGCTCTCGCGCAAGACGGCGTCGAGATAGGGAAGAGTGCGGGTTTCTGCATCAGTGGCAGTCGGAAAACTGAGACGGCCCGATGCAGAGCTGGCATCTATCTCTCGTTGAAGCGCTAGATACGAGGGTGGGCATGTCAAGAGGCAGAGCATTGTCATACGCGCCCAATTCGACGAGGTGTCCGATCCTGCGATTCTGCCGGTGGGTAGGGGGTGGTATCAGCAGTGAGTCACTGGAAGATCAAGAAGTCCCGACTTGCGGATGACTTACATGTGAATGTAGACTTGTTGCATGAGCTGCTCTCTGGTCATTCCACTGCGTATGAAAGACTGCAGCATATCGCTTTTCGGCATTGCGCCCGGCACTGTTCTCCTATCCACAAGGTCTTTGGCAAATCTGAAATACGCCTGGGAGTCAGTTATCCTCCACCACGTCAACCGAAGGAGCTATGGATGCTTCGAGGTGCCAAATGATGTTGTTTCGCACCACTAGGCACATGAAATGGAGACTCACCCGAATAACATTCCAAATCCGACCTTGTCGCCTTCTTTTGGTAACAGATACGTGAACGGCCACCGTGACCTGAGGCCCGGCAACCAGGGCACTAGCCCAGCGACAGTGACCATTCTCAAAGACAAGTCGTTGATCTCCGTCATGCGGTGGACATCCTCGTCCTTCCGGAGACATCCGAACGACTCGCCGAACACGAAGTCACCGATACAATCAAGAGCGTAGAAGTGCGTCTTCTGACCAAAGTCCATGAACCTAGCGGGGCTTTCGTCTTGTCGCCCTGGCTCGGTCACGTACTTTCTCTCCATCAGGCTGACCATTGCGGAGACATGGCGGTCTATAGCTGGCTGCACATCAACGGAATACTGCAAGCCACATCGCTGTTAGCATCGAGGCCAATCTCACAGGGTAGATGTAAATGGATTCCAGGAAAAGGGAATGATAGTGACTCATTAGATGAAAGGGGATTCTCACACCCGGGCCCATCTTGCCCCGTAGTGCTTTGTGCTTGACGGGGTCCCGTTCAGAGGCAACATGCGGTTCGCCATCGGTCACGCACCCTGCATCATATGCTGGCCCCTTCGTATACTCCGACCGGATACCCGATATTCTCCTGAGTTCGTCCGGGTCTGAGCAAAGAAGCAGGTTCGGGCCGATGCGGACAAGCTCGCCTTAATGGTCGTCAGTCAGCAAGGATGGACGCCATGAAGTAGGGCAATGTGGGAAAGTGAATGAGAAGGAATCCCACCGTATCTATCGCCAGCCTCGATCAGGCAGGGAAACAGATTTCCGGTCCAGGCATGCCTCAGTAGCCAGTAGATGGAAAAGTGGGCAGCTAATGGGCCTGGGATGTGCGCGAGCCTTTTCCAAGACCGATACTCATAGTATGCAAACACTATGAGGAAGAGGGTGGTTGTGCACCAAAGCAACATGGTCGCTGATGTCCAGGCCGTGGAGCAACAGTTGAAGAACTACGCAGAATGTCAGTCGTATTCCGATGGAAGACCACGTATTGTCGTCTTGATGGGAAACCAAAGGTTGGCATTTGCCCCTGGTAAGTCACGCAGACGAGGGGCTTGGTAATAAATCATGGTGATCGATTATATGTTGGATACGCTACGTATTCTTCCGGCTAGTATCTGACCTCGAACGCGTCAGTCCTCGCCAGAAACATCCTTTCAGTGAGGCTCAGGCACAATTCATCAGATACGTCAATACCCATGGCTCGGATGATACGTCGAAAGAAGACAACGTAGTCCAACGCTTGAGCCCCCAATTCTCAGCCCCCAGTACTAGGTAGAAAGATGGTCGCCTCACATCGCAAGCACTATGAAAGCATCAGGCGGCCTCTCAGTCTGCCTTCCACAAGTACCATATGCCTTACCATCCAGCTGATAGAGTTTCGGTGAGCATTTTCTGTAAGTCCTAATCATGTGTTGCATAAAAATGAGGACCCTAGTAATTGCTTACGGGGTTAATTTTGGGTCTTACGGTGTGGTGCAACATCATGGCTTCCCAGCAGTAGTCTCTCGTAAGACTGGCGTCGCGTTGGAGGGAACCATGTCATTAGAAGGGTATCATCAACGCCTGTGCCTTCAGCCCCAACAGCGTAGCATTATCTATATATATAAGGACGCCTAGGTTGAGGTAATGCTGACTGGTGCAAATGTAGTTGGGGGTTCGGGTTGTGCAAGATAAGGTATGCAGGTGGATTCAGCAGGCATCACTTGGGGGCTGCTACCATCGATACGAACACACATCTGGAGCATGTAGTTCCATGTAAGCGTAGAAAGTGCCATGCAGTATGTACGTGTACGTTCCAAGATGCACCTCCACGCACTATGGTTCCTGGGAGGACCCCAATGTTCGGTCCATCAGTCATACCAGTCACATGTCAAGTGTCGCAGGACTCATGGCCTCGTACATCCAGCCGTGCACATATCTTGCTAGATAGGTTGTCAAGGTATGCATGGGCTTGCGTTGTCGTGGGATGCGGTATCTGCCCGTCGAACAGGAGGCGCTCACACGTAGCATGTAAGTTACCGGTAAGCCATATGCTTACCATTCAGACGCTGCACATGGCAATCAAGACGATGGTCAGAATTACAGCACTTCTGAAGCCTAGCTCTCCTATTGAGTCAATCGGTCGGCGTTGTGTAACTAGGTACCCTTAACCGGCCCCTTATTATGGCCACTCTACTCAGCACGTTCAGTCTCCAGTCTCCGTGGCCAATTACAGAAAGCTCCACAAGTTTACAACCGCCCCTTTTCAGATCGTAGAGTGATCCCTAGAGCCGCCATGGGTAGTATCATCCCACTGTGAAAAGTCGACGGTCATCCTTCCCGAAGGAGGCTGAAACTGGAGTAGCAAGTCATTCCGGTCGAGGGTGGTGCCCTCCAAGTCCCCCAGCGTATCCAGCACACTGTCGTGGAACTCGCGCCATCTGGCGTGCAGTCCCCTACCAGTAGGTGTAGGGCTCTGTAGGCCTTTGACGATACGCCGTCGCTTCTGCAGTTCGATCTTCTGGTCTCTTGCTTTCTCCATACTGTTGACCCAGAGAGAGCGGAACGAAATGATGCAGGCGATGATGAAAGCTATGTATATGCTTTTAGTCAACCGTTTCGCCAGAGTAAGCCAGGGAATGGGCTATGGCAGTTGAACAAAAAGGAGTACGCACACACAATGTACTCCATGAGGAGCCAAAACAATACCCATGATGTGTCTATCACTACGCTGTCGACATCTTCAACAGCCCTGTAAACGCCGCCAAAAATGCTACCGCGAATGATAGTCACACCGATAGTAAAGCCAACGAGTAGAAATATGCCCGTCAGGACGAGTTTCTGGCGCAGGCTGATCTTGGTTCTCCATATAATGAAGACCGGGAAGCAGATAACTGTAAGCCGCCTTACTGTTAGTTCTCCAATCGGGCTGAGGGACTTGTATGTGCTTACTGATCGTATCGGTACAAACGTCAATAATAACAGACCCTATGTATTTGTTGTATATGTGGCTCACGCTTGACCGTAGTGCGCATTGGCCAGTGAGATGGGTCGTGCTTGCGAATATGCAGTCAAAGGGAATCAACCCTATGTGTATGACCCCACAACACACAACCAGCGCGAAAGCTATCCACCAGAAGGTCATGTATGGCCTTATCTGATGGCCCAGCCTCTTGAAGAACAAGAGGAAACTGAGCTTGATGGTCCAGATCCCGATAGTGTTCAGGACCAGTGCGATACCATCACCTCGCAACCCAGAAGCAAGGCGGATCGGGAAGTCTGGGCCGGGGACCACGAGTTGGTTCTGTACGTGAGTGATGAGGTATATATCAGCGAGGTAGTGCTGTAGGACTGCGGCGAGAGAGACAAGGATGGCTAGGCCGGCGAGCATCAGGTAGTCTTCAACGAATAGATATCGGAAACAGGTCAACCTGATGCCAAAGCGAAGGCTTCCCGTCACAATGCAAAGACCGACAGTCACCCAAAGGACAGCCTAATTACATGGCGAGAGACGTTAGTTGAGTCCAGAAACAGAACGACGCGTCTTGTTCAAGAAGAAGATTGGAAGATGGTCAGACACACTTTGAAGGCATCCTCAGAGACTAGCTCATTGGTAGTCCGTGGGATCAAAGACATGATGACCTCGGTGCACCACAGTCGTGAAATGTAAGGTTGCTTATGGTGGAGTGAATTTGGGGATTTTGAGATCTGTGAAAGCATGAAGAGAATGGGAATATGTCCATCTCAAACGTGTAGATGGGCATTACATTCATATTGGTGGAAGCGCGCAGAGACTCAGGCGTAGGCCAACACCACAATGCCGTTCATGTCTGCAATCATCTGCATGTCGCATGTCTTGACTTGATCCGACAGCCACCTACCACTGGAACGTTGGTGCAGGAGTCGGAGTGTGAGTCGGAGTGTAACAATAGCTGACTCGATTTCAGCTCAGATGCATCTATACTGCACAAGTTGTCGAATCCAATCACATTGCTTGCCGGCGGCAAAGTAATCGAGGTGCATTTTCATTTGAGACTTCATCTAAGCCTTGCTGTGTGTCGCCACTGCTGCATCTTCATCAAATCAACACCACAGACCTGCAGCGTGATCATACGACTCATACCCCATTGATAGGGCCCCGAATGAACAGTGAGGCACTCGTAGATGGTGGTATGGACGAGATTGGGGCCATAAGCGTCATCGCAGTGCGGCGGCGGCGGCAGCAGCAGCAGCAGCAGCAGCAGGCTGCGACCCCCAGGGTTGCCTTGATCACACCGTGAGATAAAGCCCGGCGGCTTGGTCAGCGAGGCTCACTGTCGATCAACCAGAATCAAGGTTACCTCCATCATCCATGCAGCATGGGTGCCCTATGGGATCTTGCTGTTGGGACTTCACACGAGGGTCGCCCGCATGTGCGTTCCCGCGCCTGGACCGTATTGGGGGCCGCCCTGTAGATTGGAGTAAGTAGCATTGGGGTCGACGAGGTAGATGAATGGGCAGATGGGATTGGTGTTACTCTGACCGCTAGTCACGTGAATTTGGCCCCCTATTTATATTTAGTTGCCTCGCCCAGCTCATGGTACCTTATGCAGGCTGCAGCCTGCAGCTCACCAACATCTGTCGTTTTCTCACTCCTCGTTTGCACTGTCACCTTCCTGATGTCCACTGCCACGAAAATCAACACCAGATGCCGATCAGGCTGTCAGGCGGTTGATTGATGGGTGGTTGTATTGATGTACACTGACGTACGGAATATTAATCGATCGTAATTGCTGTCAGGAGAGTGCGCTGCAAAGGACCAAAGGCGACACCGTCTCAGCGCCGCTTGCTGTCACTTGATCCCCAAATCTTCTTCTTCTTCTTCACTTTCAGTTGGATACGTATGTCTTCCCAATTGTATGGAAAGCGCGACAACATGGCGTCCACTTCAATCACTACGATCCTCTCGAGGGGAGTCTCCGTCATCGTCATCTTTGCGATTGTCCGGTTCTTGGTCCGAGGCTACATCCATCGGTCCAAAGTGAGGTCTTTGAAGGCCCAAGGACTTGTGAGTACGACCTTCTACTCTATGAAACATGAAGTCTAACGCTTCGAAGCCAGTACTACCACACTCCATGCTATTTGGCCATCTGATCATTCTCGATGAATTTCGGAAGTCTCACCCACCTGACGTCAACATCTACCATCTTCACACTTGGCTTGCGAGTAACTTCAAGCTCTATTTTCCTACCTGTGAAGCCCTGCCACCAGTGGTCTACATAGACCTATGGCCATTTAGCGACTCGTTGGCGTTGGTGAACGATCCTACGGTTGCATCACAATTCATGACTACGAAGAGCTTACCCAAAGCACGTATGGTCAAACAGTTCATAGAACCCTTGACAGGGTGTCTTGACATCTTTTGTACCGAAGCAAAGGCCTGGAAGCAGTGGCGAACGAAGCTCAACCCTGGATTCAGCCAACGAAGCCTGTCGGCAATGGTCCCGGAGATCATGGAAGAGGTAGACGTGTTCGTTAAGGGTTTAACAGAGATGGCTGGCGTAGGGAAATGGGGTCCAGTATTCCAACTTGAGAAGAAGACTACCAACCTGACATTCGACGTTATCTGCAGAGCAACACTGTAAGTCTTTAGGCATCTAGCCCACTTTCCCAAGTTATTCTCGAAGCATGGAGTTTTCCGGACTGATAACTCAACCCGACTAGCGATATGCGTCTCCACGAACAGACCAGAGACGCCGAAAGCCCCTTGAAAGCTGCCTTCATGGACCAGCTTCGACTAATGGGGATCATAGCCAACGCTGCGCGAGGAAAGGTATTCGGTCGCTCGCCCTGGCAGTCCGCAGCCCTCGCCCGTAACAACAGGACCATCAGAAGTATCCTGCTGCCAGCGATACAGGAGAAGCTTGAGGCCGGAAGGACAGACCTCCAGAGAAAGACAGTGATCGATCTTGCCATCAAGAACATCGACGAAGGCAGCTCAAGCATCTCACAGACAAGCCCCGAATTTATCGATAACCTTGTTTCTAACCTCAAAATGTTTCTGTTCGCTGGCCATGACACCACAACTTCGGCGATCTGCTTCATGACGAAAGCTCTGCAAGATAACCCTCAATGCTTGACGAAACTCCGTGACGAGCACGGCACAATCGTTGGGCCAGACACCAAGATCTTATCGACCTCTCCCCACCTGTTGAACTCCCTCCCGTACACGGTTGGGGTAATCAAGGAGACACTGAGACTGTATCCCTTAGCAGCAACAATACGCGAGTCTCATCCTGGCTTCTGCTTGGTGGATGAATCCACCCGTTACCCAATGGAAGGGTTCGGCCTATGGGCATCAGCACCCGTCATCCAGCGGCATCCACGCTACTGGCCCAAGCCTGACGAATTCCTTCCTGACCGTTGGACGGTACCCGAGGGCCATCCACTGCATCCTCCCAGCAGTGCCTGGCTGCCCTTTTCGCTTGGCCCTCGAAATTGTATCGGCATGCAGCTGGCCATGATAGAGCTCCAGTTGGTCTTGATCTTCACCGTCCGGACATTCGACATAGCAGAGGCTTGGGATAAATGGGATACGATACAGTAAGAGCTTTAATCCCTCCCAGTAACCGACTTATTGACGGTACTGACTCGGATCCCACTCACTAGGGGTAATAAAGCAACGCCAGCGCATGTCGTGAACGGTGAGCGCCTGTACCAGGTCGGAACTAGTGTCGTCCATCCAAAGGATGCGATGCCAGTTCATGTCAGGCTGCGAGAACACACCAAAGAGCTTGCCAGCTAATAGTCATGGAACTCATTTTGCTCGGACGGAAGCAAGAAGGCGGACGACGACGACCAGAGGAAACTATGGGAGCCCGCACAGTATGGGCACAGCGTCCTCGTCTCAGCCAGCAAGTCGGATGCCAGTCGATCCGGGTGGAATGGCGTGCTGGAGGTAATAATGTCTGTGTTACGCATACCACAGTGATTTGCAGCATTCAGGTCTAAAGATTCGAATAGTTATAGAAGGACACTGGACAGACGAATGCTGCCTAATTTGACGCTGACGAGTCGTGTATTTAGTCTTCCCTGTGTAAATTGAGTGAATAGGGTGCCTCTAGGTATCTGTTCCCCTCACCCGTGTATGGGTGAGCGATGCCTGATAATCCACCTCACGATGAACGGGTCCCGGCAAATGCATTTGGAAGCGTGGAAAGTCCTGGCAGAGGTTATGCTTGTCGTTGCTCACACAATTTGTGGTACAGTGTTCAAGCATGTACCACCTTTCAGGGGTATAATGCTGTTGCCTGACACCGCTGTAAACCGTCACACGATGGATGCCCGCCTAGACCGATGGGAACGGAGGGCTTCCGACGGCATACGCAGTAGTGGTCACAGATATCCGAAGTCTTCCCTCTGACTGTGGGATGGGAAATCTCATCTGGTCTCCAGGAATGCTATACTCAACAAGGGCAAAAAATCTTGGCCTTGGATGACAGTAGCTTAGAGAGAGAGATGGCTCCAACCCCACGACGTTTGACGTTATTGCCCACTCTTTGGGCCCCTCTACTCCACGAAATGGCGAGAGTTGACCAGCGGCTGCATCAACACCGACATGATCAGACAGCCGATGACCGAGGGCAACCATCTCACCTCGACCACCAAGCGCTATGCGAAGCGGCGACGAGAGCAGGTTTATCACGAAGCAGGAGTGGTATGTCGACAGTAGCTGGATGGAGGTGAACTATGTTGGTTGGAGTCTAGTAGAGGCAGATAGAAATAGACCCGAAACTTTGAGTCATCGCTGGACCCGCATGGTCGCACGAGGCTCTCTTCCGCCGGCCCCCATATAAGGATCAGCTACCGCTGACGACGGGCGGCTTTGTTCAGATACCTCAAACTCGCCTTTCATATTTGCTCGATATCGTGTTCGTGCTTACAGTCCATGTCCCCCACACCTTGGCCAAAACCCGACCGTTGCCCGTTGTTATAGCCGAGCTTCATCGACTTCTTCATGATCATAACCGAAGCTTCAAGCATCAGAACGCTCATCATGCCAGCCCTCCTCGAATTTCTGCCCTTTCCACAACTGCTAACCGAGCTCCGAATCCAGATATGGGAGGTCTTCGTCCGGGAGGTCGACACCAACCGCCTCGTCCTGATCGACGGGCGGCGCATCCTCCCCGTCCAATCCCTCGCCTCACCCCTCTTGCGCGTCAACACGTTGAGCCGCCATATAGCCCTGAAGTGGTACCCAACACGACTTCCCCTCTACGACATGAACAAGGCGGCACGCTATCGCCACTTCGCGAGGCTCTCAGTCCGCAACAACAAGGACCGGTCGCTCGGCCTCCCGGTGTCGTCCCGGGGAAACCCTATGCGCGGTACCACCACCACCACCACCACCACCAACCATCTGGACTACTACGGCACGCTCTATCTCAACCTCGAGCGCGACATCTTCGTAGTGCACAAGTTCGGGCTGCAATGGCGGCCCGACGTGCCCCGCAAGAAGGGCCCAGATGGGGAGGATGATTCCGGCGGCACCTACGTCCGCTCGCGATGCGACTCTGAGACTCCCGATGCCGCCGAGTCTGCTGATTTTACTGAGTCTGCCGAGGCTGCGTAGTCTCGGTCGAAAGACGGCCACCTGCTGATTTGTGCCATTGGGGAACTGTTGTAGTTGGCTTGTCATGTACGCGTACTATCTTCAGGGCTGCATGGTTCTTGGAGGCTGGGCAAAGGGGTGATAAAGTGTAGGTACCCAAGGTACCTATCACCGACTGCCTCGCGCAACTCTGCTCTGCCTAAGTCCAGTGGCATCTTGACTGCACCATTGAGTAGGTACTTCCTTGGTAGTGTTCGATGTGTTGCCTTTCTCATAATAGTGCCCTCCGTCTCGCTTCTTACTGTTCGCCATTTACGATCCGCTCCGATCCGTGCGAGGCCCTCGGTTCAAGCACGCAGTATACCACCTAAGTAATGAAGAATCACAAATCTTATTGGCTTGCAGTATCTTATTTTCCCATAGAATGTCATGGTTGGGATTCCACACGTTATTGTTTACAATGAGTGATCGTGAGTAAAGACCTCGATGGAGAGGTGGGGCACCAATATGGCGCGGCATTCATGGCTGGTAGGAACAATCAACAAGGAAAACCACAATTGAGGCACCCGGAAAGGTCTCAAGACGCTGTTTACACGACGATGCGCTGCTACGACGCGTGATTGTTAGTAATTCTGATTGGGACATCATGACCATTATTTCATTCCTGGCTGGCCCAGAGACTACTGGTGCATGCTGCTGCATGGAGAGCCCATGCCGGTTTCACACAACGAGAGCTATTGTTGAATTAGTCTGTTGGGAAGAAAAGAGCCTCACAATTCAAAGTCAAGTCAACCATTGTGTCCATGTACCGTTTATTTTTGTTTATCCCCAAGAGCATGACCTATATCCTCACGAGGTAGGCGATCTCGTACCTCTAGTGACCAGACTAGAGATGAAGATCTCCAAGCACTGAGCGAAACTTTATGCAGATGTGACGAAGCATGCAAATGCAGCTAGAGCGCCCCAAGAGATGCAGCAAATTCGACGAGGGACAATCTAGTCCTCATCCATCTTGTCGCCATCATCGTTGTTGCCCTCGGGCTCGAAGTCGTCCTCGTCCTCTTCGTCATCGTCCTCGGCGGGGTTGTCCTGCGCGGCCTTGGCCCAGTCGATAACGCGTCCTCGAGTACGCCGCCCGCCCTCAACAATGTTGTTCGGGTCGATCTCGTCCATGCCTTCCTCTTCCTCCTCGGCTAAATATCATGTGTCAACTAATGCTGCGTCTCAGAATGTCCGGTCTTGGTGGGTGCCTACCAGCATCGCCGCCCTGACAAACTGTTAGCTCCCGTGTTTTCTATTATTACCAATTGATGGGGTGGGTTACCTCTTCCTCGTCATCATCATCATCGTCGTCCTCATCCATGGACTGGTCGACAGGCTCCTCGGTTGCGACAGCCTTGCCCTTGCCCTTGGTCTCGGCCGGGGCGTCAGTGACCTTGGTAGGGTCCTGGGGGAGAGTGGCGCTGTTCTCGGAAGACATGGTGACTCAAGGTTGGATGGTATTGGTGGGAGGTTTCGTTGAGTGTGTGAAGAAGTGGTTGTATTCGCGGTGGAGTGAGATCGCAACAAAGTCGCAATTGGTTGTAGGTGGAAAGGTGGGAAAAAAGTAGAAGCTGGGGATGGTAGCTGCAGCAGCATGTGTTTATTGGCGTGATCGCAGCTGCGGCCTGCCGTCTGTTGTCGCCTGAGTTACGTGCAGGCGCACTAATCCCCCTTCGGCATAGCACCCGAATTCTGCCACATTGATTCGTTGACCGCTCTGAGATCAGGGTGGAGGTAAACCAGAAGCGCTTCAGGTGCTGATCAGTGATCACCTGCACACAGCTTACGGCGAGCTTGGGTAACCGTACGTCTTGTGAGAAGGCCTCGGGCTTCCTTTCTTTACTTCACCACTACTTCGCTCAGCTACCACCCACTGCTGGCGAATCCTACCAGATCCGAGGTACGGAGATCACCACCATGAGCTATTGACTGTCTCGCCATCGTGGGATCTCTCCCTCCCCTCGCCAGAGCCTACTCGCCGTGAATCAAGTTCGGAGAGGCTCAGCTGTGAGATGAGCCCCTCGCCAGTGCCTCGCCGCGAAAACGTATACCGAGAGCTTCCGGTTCAAAGCAAGATGCCCTTTCCGGCAACGACGGAGGCGCCCGCGGCAGCCGAAGCCCCGCTAATGCCGTAACTGCAAGGGGCATATCGCCTCCGGCATCGCCCTATTTGCGCATTTACGGTCTTCGAGATATATGGGACCAGTCAAGAGATCGAGGCCTGTCGAGGTCAACAGTATTTCCTTTTGTGCCCGGCAGCCGCTGGTACGGAAGGTACCGCCGACCCCGATTCGTCGAGAGAAAAAAGCCAACAACAGTCACCGCCGACCCCGATTCATCAAGTCAAGTCAAGCCCTTCCGGAGGCACCGCAGAGTGAACGAGAACGCCGTTATGCTAAGATTACAGTATATTTCGTTCCTTCGAGCTCCCGAGAGCCTGGCCAACGGGTCATCACCTTCCTAGTCCTCTTAACGCTGCTCATGAAAATGTTCCAATCTGGACATCAAAGCTTCCCAACCCATAAGCCCCAATGATCCCACCCACGCTGTGATCGTCATAGGTACAAGTACTATAAATGTTTTCGATATAAGGTTAACAGCATTAACGGTCGTTCCCTCGTTGGTAATAACGACTCTGATATGGTTTCCAAAGATGACAGATAATCGTTTCGACTGCCACTTCTCCACTTCAACAGGCTCGACTCGGACTTCAAGCTTGCTGTCGCCCTTCTGCAGAGTGAATTGGCCTTTGAGATTCCATCTCCAGAACCATAACTTCATGCGCTTCTCGAGGAAGGACTCGAAAGTGAGGTCAGTGTCAGGTACAATTGTTCCCGTAGATACCTCAGTGCGCCAATGTCAAGCCATGCAGCGCCGGCATCGCATGACTCGCTCGGAAGCCGGCCCATGTTTCTTGGCCAGTAGTTCTGTATGCCCGTTCCAATGCCTCCACAACGAATCTTCCATTCGGTCAGTCTCCAAGTGGTCACTCGTCACGATTCATAGATAGACACCGACTTACAAGATTATCTTGCGCGAAGTAATCCCAGTATCATCTTGTCTCGACGCTTATTTCTCGCTTGGTAGCCGGCTATACATAATATTAGCGAGGTGTACTCCAAGGCTACTTGTACGCAACGCCCTAAGGGGTATTATGGACGGCGTACTGGACCGGATCCCAGAGCGTGCACGAGGACCGCGGCAAGGACTCCAAGATATTTGATGTGCATAGTTTGCGGATGGAAGGAGGGGGAATCGCAGTGTTGAAATTCCGGAGTTGATTCGCAGGCAGAGAACGTAGGTGTTGACGAAGCTGATGGGTTGGAAGGTTTGGACATCGAATTTTATAGAACACCTACATATTATATATATGTATATATACACGCATTCTATTGCAAGAGAAGCTACGTTGCAGGCCTTCTCATCCAGCCACTTGACATCTCCAGTGTGCTAAAAATGGACAGAACTTTCCGCCTTGTCATTGCGGCGAAGCCCTTTGTCGTGCCTTGAGGACTTCAACTAGGCTCCTGCCTACAGGAAACAGGAGTTGTAGATGATCTGGGGTTTGGCGGTCGATGTACTGAAAATGGGAAAAGCTCTGCTGCGCGGTGATGGCCTCGGCCCCCGACAGCGTCTTTCCATGCGAAAGCATGTCCAGGAATGCCTCAGTGGCAATTCACTTCTGCGGCATCAACGTCAAGGACGGCACAGCAGCGGCCATCCCGCCATCCGTCTTCAGCTGTGCCGTACGATCAAGGAATCAGGATGCAGAAAAACGCTGCAAGTTAGGTAGGTACAAAAGCGGAAGGCTGTTCGACTAGCGAATCAGTTTTGCCACTTCTAAAAGCCTCTGGGCCCTAGCTAGGGGGTTAGGTTAAGGCATCTCCTAAGGCAATGTAAAGCTGTACGCGTGTGATCTTGTCCATGGTAGCGTGGCATCAATACAGTATGGGATCGAATCTCGCTAGGTTGACCAACAGCTCAAGATACCTGTGTAAAAGAATGCCATGGAGAGCGGTCCCCTGAGTCTGAGTAGTTCTTAGCACAGTTGTATCGATAATCACAAGCAGAGTGGAAGAAGGATTAAAACATATGGGGTGACCCTCTCACGATGGTACCACAACAGCATCGTAGTCCATTGAAGTGATACCCAGAGTCTATCATTTGCCCTCACCACCACCACCTCCCGTCAACGAAAGCAGGACGACGATACCAATGACCCACCAATACCTGCGCGAACAAGTTAGCCAAAGCCAGCAGCACTCGCAGCCGCCGCCGATCTCCCCGGGAGGGGGGGGGCGCGGTGGGTGGCACAACATACTTCTGCAGCATCGACTTCTCCTCGCCGGGCTCGACCTTCTTGCCCTCGGGCGACAGCACGACGGGCTGATTCAGCTCGGGCTGCTTCCCCGGCTCCGAGACGAGCACCACGGCCTGCGGTCCGAAGTCACGCGTCTGGCCCGCGTCGATGCGGACGCCGCGCAGCGCCGCGCTGACGACGTCGCCCCTCTGGTTCACCGATAGGAGTACTGTGGGCGAGTAGCCCTTGCCGAAGTTCTCGACGGACGCGACCGAGGTCGACGACGCCCACCGCTTGGCCGCCGCGTCGTAGACGCCGATGCGCACCAGCTTCGCGTCGGCGGGCAGCTCGGGCGCTTCGTAGGACGTGACTTCGGCTTCGCTTGGGGCTGCGACGTTGTACTGTATTTGGGCCAGTGGCGCGGGCGCGGTTGGCGATTGCGACACCGGTTGGATGTAGATGGCGGCGGCGGCTGTGTTGTCGCTGGCGCTGGCGCTGGCGCTGGCTACGCTGGCCAGAGCGATGGCCACCAGGCCGGAGAGAACATTTGTCGGCTTCATATGGTTCGCTTCGATGATGTACAAGTGGCTGTCCGGGCGGCAGGAGGGAAGTTCGGGCTTGAAAGCATGGGTGGAGGTTTACGAGTCGTCGGCGATAACTGAAGACTAATCACCGGCTGTTCTAAGCACTGACCTCAGCTGTTAAAACAGGGCTGAATGAGGCTCAAATGATCTACCGGTCACACCCAGCTAATGAATGCATAATGTACCGTACTATACAGGTAAATCAAGCTTCCTGTTCCATTCTCGTGAGACCATGAGGACCATATATCAGTTCTGCTGCCTGTGTACCAACCTTCATCCTTATTTTACGTCGCTTGGCCCTGTAGTATCGCTATGCGCAATATGATTTTTAGACATGGCTGGACTATACCTCAGTAGTTCTTCGTCGAATAAGTAACACCATTGGGCAGCTTCTCTAGAACGCCATCCCCAACACATAACTTCACGATGCTACCAAATATCGCCAAAAATCTCATAAGCGATTGGAACCTCTTGATACGGCAGGCTCAGGCTTGACCGTGGCATTGACTCCCGAACTCATCAATTCGTCTGTTGAATGTCCTCTTCTCCACTACCAACAACCTTGTCCGTCCGTTCGCTTTCGTCATCGTCGATCACGTCAGTCTCGTCATCATCAGGTAATATTTCCTGCTCTGTTGGCTCCTCCTGGAGGCTGTAGCCAGCGCAGCGGTCAATCAGACCTTTGTAATATGCTACCAGGACTTCTGGATTCGGCACTATCCTCCAGTCCACTCGATATAAAAACTCGAGTTCCAAAAGCTTCAGCTCCGCCACTTTGACACCGCCTACTCGTGCGTAAAACGAGTTGTTCCAGAACGAGTCTGACAGGCCTTTGCCAGCCACGGTTGCAGCCGTTATGAGGAACCGATGCACAGTCAAGGTGTTGATGGTGAAGTCGGGATATAATGCGCACAGGCGGTCGATGTAATATACCATGGAGAGCAGGAGAGGAGGCGTCAGCGTGGCATGTTTAGCAAGCCGCTGTAGATAGTCCAGAACCGAGATACCCGGTGCCGTCCTGGACGTCAGGTCAGTATCCACACACTGCAAGAAGAGATATACACGGCATACCTAGAGTGAAACCTCGTGAGGTTGCCGCTCTTCATAGCCAGCGAATCATTCGTCTCGATCAATTCTCCGAGCATGTTGGAGATGAGGACGACCATATGCTCCACATCGCAGAACTCGTACTTCAGCGGTAGTTCCTTGGGAGGCCCTGCATTGGGTCGCGTTCGTTTTGGGGAACTCGGCTGACTCGTCGCCACGGCCAACGTGGACGGCTGAGGGGCCGCATGGTCTTGCGAATTGCGCCTTTTGTTGGGAGACAAAGGGTTTGCTTTCGGGTCGTCTGGTCTGATGGGCGATAGACTCGGTTCAGGAGGCGGTTCGGGGAGAGTAGATGGTGGATTGGGTTGGGCTACCGCCGGTGTGGTCGTGGTGGCTAAGCTTGGTAAAGCAGATTCCTGCACGCCGCGCAACGGCACCGTGGGGTCGAAACGCTCCATCGGTGAGTACTGCGTAGCCGCGTCGACTCCAACATATTGCTTCGGCCTGGGTTGCGACGGCGTCTGTAGGGAACCCGAGGGCGAGGGCGAGGGATGGGAGAGTGAGTGCTTCGAATGGCGGCGCGGCAAGGGCGACGTTATCTTCGGGGAGTGTTGTGGAGACCGCGAAGGTACATAGTGGAAGGTTCGTGGCGATGCGCTCGTCGGTCGTGGTGCGACTGGCGACGAGGTCAACATGATAGGTCTCGGGGCATCATAATGTCTCGGACGCGCTGAAAGAGGAGTTGGCGAGTGTCGTACGGGCGTGTGGCCCCAGCTTTTGGCGTTCGTAGGAATGTGACGGACCCCAATACACTCCCGACGGGTATTGAAGCGGACCTGTTATTACCTAGGTAGGGTCCGGTGGATGCCAAAAGGCCAGGACAGAGTTTGCCTGTCTGCGCTATGATACCTAGGCACTACACTTAGGTAATAATTGATTGGCGAGGGCTGAAGACTGGAAGGCTGAGAATGCTTTGATCATGTGCTTGGCCGTGATCGGTCAAGCATCACGACGACGGTGGGCAGTGGACAGTGGACGGTGAACACGGGCAGACGGGACACGGCGGGAAGAGCCTCCCTCTTGCAACTTGGCAAGTCTTTTTCACCCGATTAAGCAGGCAGGCAGTCAGGCAGTCAAGCCACTCCAGCGTCGTGGTGACCCACCACCTGCAGATAGAGTCGCATATCAGTCTGCCAGTCCTGCCAGTCTGCCTATCACTTGTCGAGCCTGGATCACGGAGCACCATCCGGGTCCTTTGCACGTGGCCCGTTGCCAGATAGTTATACTGTAGTCTTCGTTATCCTATCATCTATCTAGGATCCCACGTTCTGACCGTCTTTTCTAAGGATGACCAACTCATACCTCCGTCAACGTTCACGCACGTTTAAGCATGAGAATGAGGGGGAGGGGTAGGCCAGCTGCCACAGCCCATCTCAAAACCCCTGTCCCCTGTTCCCTGTCCCTTGTCGTGATATTGTCACATTGTGCCATAGGTATTTCGTTTCCCAAGATAGTCTACGATATATACATTGAAGTGTCTACCCCGTACATATGTAATAAGTATTATCTGCCTCTTAAAAGAGTTGGGAGATGCCTCATCCTGCCTGGACTTGACTAGGATCGGTAATAAGAGTTTATATCGAACGGAGGTGAAGCTTCGAGACATCAATTCCAATATACTCATTCCCTCCATAGACAGGTCTGTATATACGCGTTACCTATATTCCTCGTTGCGGCTTCCATGGGAAGGGCTAGGCGTCAGTATGTAGGTAGGTAGTCAAGGTTGACCAGTTGGCATCACCCTCCCCTATCCTCCATGTCACGGCCTCGCGGAGATAGCGCGACTGGGCGGGCAGTGGGGAGCCCGGAAGGCCCACGGGCAGCTGGAGGTCTCGCGCATGCACGGACCTCCTCCAGAATCGGTACGAGGTACCTTCAATCGAGGTAGCAGCAGCCTGCAGGCCTGCAAGGTTGACGGCTTCGGCTTCGGCTTCCACACGATCACAGATTCACAACCCATCGCACACGCATGTCTGTTTGCTTGACAGCATCAACAAGACCGCAGCACCGCAGGCTGTCAAGCGCATACCTATGTAGCATCCACGACAGGCATAGCATTTGACACTCCATCACACCAGCAATGGAGCTGGATCCGCAATCCCTAATAGCTCAACTCGAGGTCGGCGCCAACACACGCGATCAGCTCGCCGCGCTCCGCTACCTGAAGAACGAAGTGGTTGGCCATCTCCAAAAGAAAGAGCAATGGGTTCAGCACGGCGTGGTCGCGCCCCTTGTGAACATCATAGCATCCGATGCGCCCGGATCCGAGGGCGAGGGTCTACAGCAGCCCTTCTTGTCTCTGGGCGCTTTCACCGACGAGGATACTGCCAAGCTACACGCCCTCCAACTGCTTGCGAGCTTTGCGAACGGTATGCAATCCCTTCCAAACACTGGCTTTGGAGCACTTGGGGATGCTGATACTTCGTGACGTCTAGCCGGTCCTGCATTCCTCCCGCCACTGCTTGCCATCGGCGCTATACCTGCTATAATGAGCACCTCTTGTCTTCGAAATGAACATTCCCAGATCGTATTGGCAGCTCTCCGGGTATTACGGGATGTCACAGCTGCCATACCGTTTATCGCGCCCCCCTCGCCCATGATCTCCAGCTCTTTAGCCGATACCATATTCACCAACGGCCACCTGGAATTGTTCTCGCAGATCCTTGCCCCGCCGGCGTCGAGCCCAGATAGCGAAGCCCAGGTATCCATCGTGGCATACCTGATTCGAAGTCTTTGTCGAGGTGAACACCAGTCTGCTTTGGTAGGAAGTGGGATACTTGATGCTCTTGCCACGAGGCTGGCAAGTTTCGCTGTTGCCGAAGGACAAGTTCTCCCCGGAGCCGAGATCCTCGCTGCTGCCGAAGACCTTTACGATTATATACCAGAGCCCGCAACCCCTGCTGGAAGTTTGGAGGAGGTATTGGGGGCCATCGCCGTCATCATAACCGACTCGCCTTTCCGAACCTGCAAACTACTCTTTTCGCCCTCCATCTTGGCTATATTTCCCAATGTCAATGTTGATTTGGGCAAGTACTCGAGGACACCACCAGAATCTCTCGAATTGCCGGGGTTGAGACCTATCAGACAGAGGGAGATAGAGTTTATGGATCTGCTGCTTCCTTACGTGCCATCTCAATTGCGCGGCCAGACCGGTCACGCATTCCCCCCTCTCGGCACATCGACTCCGAAGGAGAATTCCAACCTCTACGGCCGACCCTCTTCCAAGCTTCAGACAAGTATAGTGTCGTGGTCTCCACCAGAAGAAAGCTTCGCCGCCAGCGATAATGACTCAGGTAATGCCGAGAGCCCAATGTTGCCATGGCTCATCAACCTCGTTCGCACTCGGAGTGGCGGCGAAGTGTTGGCGGCCGCTTCGGTATTGACTTCTCTCTTTAAGGCAGGATTTGCCTATAAGACCAGGGAGCCCAGTCTGGGTCTGTTGGTTGTGCCAGTCCTTCTGACTCTATTAAATGATGTCGAGGCGAAGATGAAGGACGTTGACATCAGCAACCGGAACCATGACACAGCATCTTCTTTGCGCATTATTGAGGAGACACCCGCCTTGTTAGCTCGCCTCATCACTGACAGCGAGCCACTCCAGAAGGCCGCGTTTGACTGCGGCGCTGTCAAGGTGATATCCAAGCTTCTCAAAGGCAGCTACGACGCCCCTCTTCCAACCACCCAAGCGCGTCCTTGGTCGCCGCGAGTCAAAGATGCAAGTACCAGAGGAAACATTCCCGCAGAATGCCAACTGGGCGAAGAAGGACCTCATCAACAACTCGTGCATCGCATTAAAGTGAGGGAAAACTCGTTGATGGCCCTTGGTGCGCTCGCAACATTCACAGAGGAGTACCGCAAAGCTATCATTGACCAGGACACGATATCATACATTGTCGATTCTTTAGACCCATCTTCAAGGGCGTCCAAGCTATACGTTGACCAGGCGAGGTCAGACTCTACCAAAAAGGTTCCCCTGGATTGGAATATAAATCCGGTGTCCGTGGTCGAGGCAGCGTGTTACACAATCCGGATGCTATCCCGCTCAGTCAACATTCTTCGCACCGCTCTAGTCGATCACGGGGTCGCGATTCCCATCTTCCAGCTACTTCGACATCCTGAAATCGATGTGCAGATCGCTGCCACCGCCTCAATTTGTAACCTAGTCACTGATTTTAGTCCTATGCGAGAGGTAGGCATCAATGTTACCCCTTATAGAAGAGTTCGCGGCTGACTTGTTTCGCAGCCACTGGTCCGGGCTGGAGTATTGAAAGCCCTGTGTGAACATGCACATTCTCAAGTCTCCTCCCTGAGACTGAATGCATTGTGGGCTCTGAAGCATCTGGTCGATTTTGCGAGCATTGAACTCAAGAAGAGATGCGTAGAGGAGCTTCAGTCTGGATGGCTGGTCCAATTAATCTGCGACGATACTGAGGATGAGGCCCTGTTCGCGGCAAAGGCTAAGACTGATAGGCAAGCAGCTCAAGGCATTCTGGACGACATGGACGAGGATATGGACATGGGTCCTGTGGACAACTATAGTCGACCCTGGCTCTCGACCTCTTTCTATAAGCCGCCGTCTGCTGGTCAGGCACAATCTGACATACGAATACTCCAGCTTGCAGAGACCCGACTTTCGGTTCTTCAAGAAGCAGAACTCAACCCTATCCGCAAGGCAAGGCAGGACGACTTATTGATCCAGGAGCAGGGTCTTGGCTTGATTAGAAATCTAATCGGCGGGGCTCACTCAAGTAACAGCGCAGAGTCAGCAAATGACACAACAGAGATGATCGATTTTTTGTTCAACACTCTGGGCCAAGATCGACTCTTCGATATATTGGGGTCCAAGATGAGAGTGAAGGTTCTTCATCCGTACAGCCGGCGAAGTGCGACGGGTAGCGAGACCCGAGTGCTGCCCCCTCAAGCCAAGATTATCGAGGCTGTGATCTATATACTGGTTCACATAGCCGCTAGCATTCCGCGGCACCGGCAGCTTGTCATTGCGCAGACAGAACTGCTTCAGCAACTGGCAAAGTTGTTCAGCAGCCAAGATAGGGAAGTGCGAGTGGCGCTTTGCCACCTGATCAATAACCTGACATGGCAGGATGATGGTAGCGACCAGCACGCCTGTTCGCAACGGGCTTCTGAGCTCAGAAAGTTGGGTTTCTTGGCCAAGTTGGAGACCCTTGGTCAAAGTGACGACGAATTGGACGTACGCGAGCGTGCTAAATCTGCGCTGTGGCAAATGAAGTCTGGGTATTAGTATCGCTCATGATACTAATGACGATGGCAATGACTGAGAGTCATGGCTGTCGAGGCCAGGCATTGACGCACTCGCATTGTACATGGAAACGGCAACGGGCAACCAGTGGCGTCTGGGGGTTTGTCATGCATTTCAGATCACGAGGGCATGGTCGGCGCATAGCTTTTTGTGGAGGATATGGTTATGTATAATTATGTGTGTCTTCTAACAGGTAGCCTGGGCATGGGAGGTGTCCAGATAATCTCCATCATATCATGAAAGGGACCTCATGGAATAACTACCGTGAGTGAACCTAAGGACCATGCCCAACGCACGAGTCTTTCTCTCCAAAAGTGACTCCCAACGCCACCTGAGGGAGGCCACGAAGCTGTATTTATCGCAGGTTCTTCCGGCAATGGTGAAGGCGCTGGCGCGCAATCTCACTGCAGCAAGGCTGACTTGACGTCAGATCGTCATCTCGTCACGGTACGGGCGGAGCGTCGCGACGTCATGGGAGTGGCAGGCTTCTTACGAGACGCCGCAGCCTACCGGCATTCCCGGAGCTGGAAGCCATCTCAGCACTGATTGCTGACTGGCAGGGACCCCTTCCCTGGGCGGTGCTGCGCAGTCGATCGTCGCCCTGGGACAATACTACACTAGTACATCGTACAATCGACACGCTTGGATGCATGGAACCATATCCAGCTGCCGGGATACCGACCGAAGCATTGAGGCTCCCAACGGCACTCTCGACCTCGAGCCCGTTGCTCCATCTGATAGATGAAGAGGGAGGGCATGATCAATGGCAAGTGTCAATCAACCATTTATTAATTCGTGTTCCCCCTTGGGCGGAAAGAAGATCCACGGCTTCGTGACCCGCTCCGATGGCAATATGTTCCACTCCTTCTTCACGATTGCCTTTCTCGTCGGCCGGTGTCTTCCTTTTGAGGACCTTGGCAGGCTCGTCATCGGTGTAATCTATGATCTCCACAGGGTTCATCACTGGGTCCTCGCTCACCCCGAGATCATCGGAATGCGGCAGGGGTTGGGACAAGTTCGTGCCCGTTTCTATAAAAAGTGTGCGGCACGTCAGTATTAGGATGCCGACCAACGGGTCTGTAGTGGATTGTGTCAAGCCCGATTGACCGATCAGACATCCTTCGCTGGGCAGAGGATTCGTGTCAGCCTGAAGGAGTAGAAGTTCTCATCCTGGCAAGCGACTTCCACTTCAAATGAGATGGCACAATGAGCTACATACAGAAACTGGATTGTTTTTTTATCAATAAGCAAGACTTGGATATATCAGAAAGCTTTCCAAGGAGAAATTCAAGGATAGATAATTGCCTAAATAATATAGTGATCTAGTGCGCTGTGGCTAGTCTCGTTTCTTCCTTGCCTTGCTGCCGCCTGGGCGGCGCAGAGTTCCGCTATTGATACCTTAGGAAGCAAACGTGGGTCTTCCGGTAAACATTTTTGTGTACCTAGCCTCGATCCTCTTGGAAGAGATGCCATCATGCGGGAAGCTTGGCTGCCAGATTCTCTGCCAACGATGCAGATCTGTTTGCTATCCTCGATCCTCTCGGAAGAGGCACCATCCACGCGAGAAGCTGGTGGCAAAGTAAGTGATAAGTAAAGTCTGACCTGCCAGATGTTCTGCCGACGACGCAGCACTTCTTAATAGCCCCGATTCTCTTAAGAATAGAAAGGCTGGTGGGCTGGCGGAGAAGAGGGTGCGTCACTCCGGGGGCGATCAGATGTGAACAGATGTCGCCAAGTCGATATATCTACTGTCCTGCCCTCGCTCGGGGTCAAACAGCATCCAACAATATACCTTGACCCGTTCCCACCCTTTCTCGTAGGATCATACCACATCGTACTGGTTCTACAGCATTCGACATGTACTCTCTACGCTCCATCGCGTTGTTCGTCGGCGCCTTTGGCGGGCTGCTCCTCGGCGCCAGCGCAGCACCCGACCAACTCCCACGGGAGGACTCTGGAGTGACGACTGTCACAGCTCCCGACGGTATCACAGGCTCGGCGACGGTCGACGAAGCCAAGATGTACAAATGGCTCAAGGCCAATCCCATATGGGGAGACGTGCTGCCGGGAATCGACATGAAGTCCGTGGGGGTTGTCAAGATAGACGGCGGCGAATGCAAGGGGGCCAAGCTGGTGTTTCCTCCCGAGGCGGGCGTCGACGGCACTTTATGCTCTGAGGAGGTCGGGGAACAGGCTAAAGCTGCTGAGAAGAGGTTTATACCGTTCATTGGCAAGTCTAAGAGCGACGAAAAAAAGGCTGCTGCCGCTGCCGCGGAACAAGAATCTTGCTTCGATAAGGGGGCACTTAAAAGAAAGGCCGTCAGCTGTCTCAAGAAAGAAGCATCCCTCTTCGGTGTAATCACGAATGCAATCGCACTGATCACCACGGGCCCGGGCGCCATCGTCAAATTCGTGCTGTGAGTACCAGTCGTCATGCCCACCATCTCTACCATATCTACCCGACGCTGACTGTATATCGTTGTGCCAGTGGTATGCTACTATGTGAGATCCTCGCGTGCGCTCATATCAACGGCTGGTTGTCTACGATACTTTCGATTGGTATAGCCTAGAATCTCGACATTATATCTCTTGTTGCGAAGTTGGAGGTTCTCCTCGCGAGTCTCGTGCTTGTTTCCCGGGGTTCAGGACCAGATGGTGGTGGCTGGGAGTTGGTGATTCGTACTCATGGATTGGGACATACCTACCTAGGTAGTCGATTAGATTTCAATTAGTTGCATTGTGGTAAACACACGAGTCACTCAAAAGAAAGGACTTTCTCACTCGGTATGGCCGCCTTGCACGAGACGGGCGGCTTCCCCGAGAAGACCACCCCCACCGCCTCATCAACACTGGTGACATGGATTCAGGCTCCCTGCTCGCGCGGCCTACCTGCAAAGCACTATCATCATCAAAATACGATTCCCTAGGTCGTTAGTCTACGGGATCATCATGACCCTCGGGCGCCTGCTTGGATTTATTATGGGACTATGTCGTCTAGGTGTGGCGCGTCATTCACCTCCTACATGTTCATGAAAGCTACGGGACTTTCACTGTTCCTTTCAGGTGGCTGTCTTGCTTGATCAGCTAGAATTAATGTTACACCTTGTTGTTATATACCATTCATTGGCTGCTATTAGAGGACAGGCGTGGTAGGATGCTTGGCAATGCGTAGTATATCTGACAGCAACTCTCTGTACAACGGGACTTATTATTATGTTCAATGTGCTCTATGCACAGCACAGTATGTGACGCTTAGCCAAATGATCATTATGCCAACCAGCCAAACTTCCAAAAGGATGTCCGAATACCAAGCGTTGCAGCTGATACTCTATGGTGGTATATGTACTGATCTCTTCACCTTCAATATTCAGTCATGATATAACCCAATGCCCGGCTGTCGGCCTTCTGTGTAAATTACTGACTTGAGATGATTGCATATACCAGTGCCTTGGATCTGCGTACATTGTTGTGCGACTATAACAAGCCTGCTACGGGAACGAATGCTTTCGCAGACCGTATCATAGACCCATGGGCCCCCCTTTCCTCGGCAAGACTTCAGTTATCACAGAAACCTCCAACCGGGTGAACCAATCTGTCATCACAGAATTCAATACCGAACTGTGCCAAGCTTGAGAGTATCGCAACACCCGCTCATGGGCTTTTCTGGGCGGTCATCTCGCCCATCGTGAACAGCAACCAGCAGTGTCTCCGCCACCCGTGACCATCAAGCCCCTGTGGCCTTATTATACGCGAACCTCAACCAGTTCGCAAACTCGACCGTGATGTGCTCCGTCGCGCCGCGCACCACGTAAGCGGGCGCGCTGTCGGGCACCCAGATGCCCTGGAAGACCTCGACGCCGCTGCCGTCGGGCAGGTCGCGGAACGCCGTCAGCGAGTGCGCGAAGACGGTGCCGTCGCCCAGCGTGAACGCCAGCGCGCTCTGGCTCGACCCGAACTCGGCCAGCGCCGGGATGAAGGCCGGCTTGGCCTCGGGGATGCCCTTGAAGTACGTGATGGGGCCGTTTGCGCCCCAGCCCTCGATCGTCTCGATGGCCGCGCGCGCATCGCTCGTGCCCCCCGCCGAGAAGCTGAGGTAGTGCGTCGGGCTCGTCTCGAGGAAGTCGTTCGGCCAGCCCGTGCCGCCGCCCGCGAACCACGTCCCGACGTCCTTGCCGCTGAAAACCGCCGGGTCGGCGAGCCCCTGGATCCGTGTCGTGCCGCCCACCCAGCCGCCCGTTGTGTTGGAGAGTATCTTGTGCCAGAACGTGTCGGCGGCGGCTACGTCGGGAGCGACGATGGCGCTCGTGCCTTCTTGCCCTAGGACCTTGTGGTAACGGTACAGGACTTCGCTAGCTTCCGTGAGGGAGAGGCCCGCTAGATCCGGGGACCCTTCGAGGACGACGACGGGGAGGACGGCGGCTTGTCGACGCACGGGGATGGCGCCGGCAAGGGCGGCGAGGGTCGCCGCGGCGAGGAGGACGTTCCTGAGTGCCATCTTTCTTTTCTCTGGATGTCTCACCTTTGGGGCATAAGCTGTAGGTCGTAAACTGGAATGGGGATTTGAATTTCCAGTCCGTGGCGCTTCCGCCCTTATATAGTCATTCTATTGTTGCATCGCAGTCTCGCGTATCTTACCTACCTCGGGTGGCGTCCTGTGGGAGCCCTCTTGTTGCATATAGCCCTACACCGCTGCCTCGTCTGTTGTTTGGTCCTCTGCTGCGTTTACTGTTCCAGTGTGGTTGAAGCAGTGCCGACTTTCCTATCTGGGCAATGCGAGTCGTCATGTTTGGGAGTCTTGGCGTAACCAGCTCATAACATTTGTCATGATTCGACCTCGAGGCGCGACCTTCAAGCTGTCTAGGACTCACGTAAGCCCGGCTTTTACATAATAGCTTCCTGATATTTGGGTTTCTTTGCATTGCCGTTCGGGGCTGCGCTCTCGCGCACGAAGGCCTTTGGCAAATGAGGGCATCACGGAGATATTTACTAGTTCGATTTCGGGTTGCATGCAATAGGGTAATACCTTGAGAGCGCGGACGATCATGAGAAATAATTATTACGTATCGGTACTGTACCGCTCGAAACCTGTCATACCCATCTGCCTGCCTCGTTTCTGGCGATTGCAAATACTCGGATACTGCGGTACGTCGAAGAGCATACCTCACAACCAGTCTCGAATCTCGATTCCAGAACACCGTCTCTCTCCGGCCGCCATACTGTACAGCCCGGCACCACTGCGGTATTCGACGTGGCCCTACGCCGAAAAGTGAACGGACACCTCGGGCACGATGTTCCAGGCGATGGGCATTTCCCTCTCGGTCTGGTGACCCGTAGGGCCCGAACGAGTGGTGCCGGTGTTGGTGCTCGTGACGGCGGACAGTTCAACACCACGGGGCAATGTCCAGGGCCACGGCGACCGATTCTTTGACTCGGGCTGCTTGGCCATGGCGCGGCAGCCGGGTGGGTGGGGATTCGCAGGATAGGGGGAGGAATCGCACACAAGATGGATCAGTGGAAATCGCCCAGGAAGTAGACATGTTTGGTGTCGTAACGTAATGACCCCTTCGTTTCTAGGTTGCTAGCTGTCCGATGTTTTTGGTTTACTTGATCAGACTACTGGACCACTTCATCGCATCATCTCGTCCGGAATTACACTATCACGGAATATCATCAGAATCCTTCTTATAAAGTGATTAGCAACTGTACTGTGGATCACGTTCTGGTCGGCCACCCAGAAGCAGCATGATTTAGTATCACAGATCATACCATACCACAGAGAGCTCATGATGCTCTCACAAGCTGACTGGTTTCTGCTTTTCACAAGATTGGGATGCTAGCCACGCAACTCGAATACATTCTCACCGCAGTGTGCTCCCCCCGCCCTAGCGTCCGAGTCGAAAGCCTAAACAAGAGCCGGAATCCCGGTAGGAAATGAGCTTAAATTGAGAACACGCCCCTGATCAGACGGCGATTTGGTCCGATCGTCAATGTTCTGGAGGTTTACACGTGTCCTCGGGAACCTTGAAGCCTCCGCGAAGCCCGATATCAGGCTCAGAAGCAGCACACACCTGCGTCTGAAGCTGGAGACAGAGCATGCCCGTGTCGAATCTTACGCATGCTACAAGAACTGCCTGAGCAGTCCACCGAGGACCGCGTGTCCTGGATTTCGGCTGCCCCAGGAGTTTTTCAAGCTAGAAATGGTAGCCATGCCCGTCCGCCATTCTGAGATTGTTTTGCTGTTCTAATGCAAAGACGCGACTCCTCTGTTCGTTCCAGCCAAGCCTCTTATCTTTCCTCAAAGCTCAGCAAGAAAACAGATCGCGTGAGCACCGCTCTGGTTGCCCTCGCAGAAAGGACCTCACAATGACACGTATATCGAACCTACCGTTCCTCCCCTGGCTGCTCCTCGCAACCACAAGCCAGGCCCAGACAGAGATCCTACCCGAAACCGACTTGGACACTGCGCCTGCCAATTTCCCCACAGCCTTCGCGACAAGCATGGCCGTAGCCATTGCGGTAGTCCTCGTGCTGACAACGCTCATCTGTGTCTTCGCACACTGCTGGCGGCGCATCTTGGACCACCGCTGCTTCTTCGGCAGCGGGGGCAAGCTCCGCGACCATGAGGAGTGGTTTGCGTCCGTTGACCGACCCCATTTCAAGGTGCCAGCACCGCAGTTGAGACCCGACCCTCGCCAGCAGAGCTCCGAACCTATGGTCATGAGATGGGTGTGAGAAGGGAGGCTGGATGGCCTGCTCAGATAACCACGTGGTCGATTCGGTGTGAAGGTTGCTTCTTCCCGCCACTGTCATGAGCCCAGCCACGCATGGTGGCTCATTCCGCATGAGTGCAGGACGCTACGAGCCCTTCCGATGGTGGTGTGGATGAAGGACGCAAGGAAAGCCTTGTATAGCCAGGTCCAAGATGTTGTGGCGCCATGTCAACATGAAAATAATCAGACTGTCTAGACAAACCCGAGAAGCCTTTCCATCCTTCCAGTAGTAGTACGTGAAGATAGGGCGCTGTTTCCACGGCCGCCAAGCTCTGACCGCCAGTCTCGCCAGTCACCATACGCCGTGCGACAGACCAAGCCCCGGCTAGAGCTCGTGCGACTCGAACGAAGGCAATCGGCCAGGGCTGCCTTTGGCGGTTGAAGAAGCAAGGGGACAGTGCAAGATCTCATCCCGGTCGGTCTTTCTTCAACTTCGTGGGCGGAGACAGTCTCGTGTGTTTGTGAAGTGCGGTCTGGGAAAAGCCAGCTCCTTAATTCACATAGCATCTGATCCGGCAGCCGGGGTTTCCCACGTTCCCACACCCACGGATCCCGTGCTGTGGGACTGGTGTGCCTTATCTCCCAGTATCCTATGGGGTATGACCTCAAGACGGGAACTCACAGGCGCCACATCTGGCAACCTGGAAGAGCAAGCAACCAGATGCAATGGGCCTCCGGTACGACGGGCGGGGAATTTTTCGGCTCCCACAAGTAGCGAAGTGAGTCCAGTCAGCCCACGTTGGCAGCAGGGCTCGATCTCGCTCGGCTTGGTGCGTCAACGATCCACACCAGACATCCCTGATGCTGCATGCAGCATACACAGTTGATTTCCGGACCTTGTACCAAGTATACAGATGCTGACACGATGGCCTTCCCACCAGCAGAAGTATACTACCCCACAGGAAGACTGGGATGAGTATAGCATGGAGATGCTCCAACAACCCCTCCAGCCGCGTCGCTGGAGATAGCGGAACAGAAGGGAACGAGGTGGAACGGCCGGTCATGGTGAAGCCTTCCGGCCAGATTGTCCCACGACAACGCCGATGCAAGTATCCGCTCGGGTAGCACAAGAGACTTTCTGGTCTGGGGCTCACAACATGAAGTGTGTCTCCTGGGTCACTAGTGACCCGGTGGCGGCATCATTCATGATAATGACCTTACACGGAAACTCCTCCATGCTTGCCGTATGCCATGCGAGGTGACTGTGGGCTCATTAGAAGTAACCCAAGCTCACGGGCTGGTACAAGTGCATAAGGGCTGAGGCCATCCCAGCCCTGGACTTGATAATGGCCTGATAATTTGGTGTAGCGAGTCCTGGTGTACTACCTAGGCCTGCCCTACATGACAACTAATTTGTTCTCCTGTCGAGAGTGGCATTGGGAAGGCGTCGTCGCTGGACAACAGTGGAATCGGGTTGGCAAGCAGGATTATGATCCATCGGGCAGGTTCTGCTCAATGCTCTCATAGCCTCGGTCTAAGTCGTAGCGAGACCTAGCACGAGAGGGAAGGTTGTCTGAGAAACACATTAGTTAGAGCACCAGTCGGCCCTGCTAAAGTAAGCAGAAAAGTACGGCGGATCGATCAGGTGACACACGTGGCCGCCGAGGGCGCTTCGTACTTGGGAGGGAAAGTGGAGGCGATCTCCTTAGCCAGACATCTGCCAACTACACATGGCAGCCAAGTTACCATTGGAGTTGGAGAAAGCCATATGCATCCGAAGGCTCGCCACAAGCCCAAAGCATATTGTTCTCGAACATGTCACCATGTGCCCAAAATCCAGTGGAATACCAACCCAGCGTTTTGTGGCGACTCATGAGAAAGGATATCATCACAGCCAGGACGTCTAGCGTCTGTTTTAAACTGACTGCAGGTGCGGTCCTTCTCGTGAACGACGTGCCGGGTAGAGAGTTCCAGGGCTGAGGGAGCAAATGACTTAGTACCGGTATGCAATTGGGAATAACAGACATGGACCGTTTCTTTTGTAATGAAAGTAAGCCGCTACCGGCCTTGACGACCAGCAACCGTCGACATCGTCAAGAAGCCGTATTATGATTGACTTTGCGAAAAGAACACCAAAGTAGCAGCGGCCGCATATTACAAGGTGGCACACCTGCCAAAGCCTCGGAGCACCAGACGATCTCTGGTAGGTTTCCAGCTTGGTTTTGTCCGGCCCCCAAGGAGCAGTTGAGCGGATTTGCAACCAGCCAGGATACTGGTCCTCCGACGACCCGATGGCGCCTCGAGCCGCTGAATCTTAATATAACGCTGTAGGCAGTGGGCTCCGGATCTCGTCCCTTGAGGTGATGATGGCTGCTGGTTGGCCAGCGAGAAAGCACTGGCGCTTCGGTTGCATAATCGACATTCCGGTAGTCTGGTCGCGTCTGGGATGGGTGTCTGGTAAGCGCGCTGAGTATCGATTTGTTGGGTGGGTTGGGTTGGCAAAAGCAAGCGCCGCTTTATTAGTTATTACCAGCGTGTCCCAGCCTGGTGCCGTGGTATCAGTGAACGTGCGGCCAGGTCACAGAACGGTTCACCTCGGCAGACGCTCCGGATGAAGGTGGGACGCCGGGACGGAATATGCTGAAGCACTTCCTGATACTCGGACAGGATCATGTCGTCCTCTTGCCTCTTGGTCCCACGCGTTCGACCAGCAATGTGTGAATGCAGAACGCGTCCATTCAACGAGGTATTCTCCGTATATAGCGCGTGTTGGTGAGTGAATATCAATACCTAGTATGGATATCCTGCGTGTGACAGAATAATGATAAGAGGCTGTGTGCTTGCCCGTGAAAGGGTATGACGGGGCTCTGCCGTGATTTGGGCCCGGTACAGTGTCCATAGGTACTTGGACCACAGACTGCTGCACGCTGCTTCTAGCTGCCGTGTCAGTCTGATCCAGCGGGTCAGAGGTGGGGTGGGGTCACCGTGGGGGTGGGCGTGCAGGCAGAGGTCACCGAAAACCTTCCATAGCCCTTCAATCTAGATGCCTCAACACATAACATCGATACATCACTAACATGAATACTAACTAAGTGAGCAAGCAATTCTCTACAATTACATGTGTGTGTTGATATTTACTTGATTTTTATTTATTTAGTTATAAAGCGTGAAAAACTAAAGGTAGTGGAATCCCCACCAACAACGTGCTGGTCGGGTGGCTGGTGGCTGGTGGCTAAAGAAGGTTTTCGGTGACCTCTGCCTGGCGTGCTGGCGTGCCTGTGCCAGTACCCCGTCACCCCCGTGAAAAGGCTCAGATTGTCGCGACGAAGTGGTGCCCTCGAAAAGGCAAGTGATCCCTGTCGTAGGTACTTCAAAGTGGGACGATTGAGACCCGAGCGTCAGAACCTGGAAGCGTCAGATGGCAGCATGGTGGCGCACCCAAGCCCTGGGATGAATGATATTATCATTTGTCAGTGGTCACACTGCACCTCTGCAGCTCTGCTCACTTCTCAATGTTTTCATCATTCGAGATCAATCCATTGGCCGTTTGGTGGCAGCCTGGCCGCCTGGCTGGTGGGATCAGGGAAACGGCGGCGCCGCCATGGTTCGAGAGCCACCAACGCCTGAGGAGTAAGGACATTGAGCCCACGCACATGGGAGGGGGGTTACATGTACCAATACCACGTCCCAGCTGCAACTGCAACTGCCAACCGCAATTGCAACTGCGCGTATGCTATCCGCCGGGCGTTAGCATTAAAGACGACGTTTGAAGTCAAGCCATGTTCCAAATCCTACCTCACCATGAAGGCAGCGACTGAAGAATGGACAACAGCAATCATTGATGAATGATGATAATGATCTGATCCCAGATGTCCCTCTCCACAAACGTGATATCGGTTCTTCCCGCACCCATCGCGATAATTAAAGTTCGCGCGGGAGAAGATGACGATGGTGATGGTTCGGCAGAAACCGATACACTGTGTACTGTACCGTACTGCAACATTGAAGTTTGCGGTTCGCGTGAAGGACCGTGCGTTTCACACGGTACGGTGCAAGTTCCGCGATACAGGCCTGCCGCCTTTGGAAGACGAGTTTGTCCCATCATCCATGTCTTGGGTACGTGCACGGTGGAGTGTTATTAATTTGCTCGGGGCATTTCGAGTGGCGCCCGGCCTGCAGGGTTCGTTTCTCGACACTTGCCCGAGAAGGCAACCAAGGCGATCCACCTGATGAGTACAGGAGTCCAGGACTCGATTGCGGAGGGTTCAACGGAAGTAATTCCACCCAGGGCAGTGGCGCTACAGTATGAATATGAGTACAGGCAGGCAGCAGCAGCAAGTGGCCGCGCACTGTGACTGCCAGGAGCACGGGCACGAGGGCCGAATCGAGTGGGCGGGCCGGGACTACTACATGTGCTGCTAGAGGTGCAAGCAATGTACTAGTACTAGCTTAGTACATGCATACTATACTAGGCCAGGCGGCAGGCACCCCGGCATTGTGCTCACCGGAGCCACCACACCATCACAAACTCACAGCATCCATGCTGTCTACTCTCGTCAACCAATCATGCCTGCCTCGGGTAGGCAATCCCTTGCTTGCATATGGCATACGGGCGCAGATGGCTGCCCGTGATGGCCCACACGGTCTTGTCCTGTCACACTTGCCGTTCCCACCTGGGCTGCTGGGGACAGTGGGACACGGGACACTCTCTCTCTACCTACCTTACCTACAATGTGGTAGAGTCGCTCCTTTTCTGCTTCTCTCTCCTCGCGTTCCTCACCATCCCAATCGTTGCCGCCGCCGCCCCCGCCTCCGACGAGACGACAACGAGGACCGTTTGGTCTGCCCGCCTGTAGCCCTATCCCAACATCACCAGGTCTCAATATCACCAGCCAGGCTGTTATCTCTCCGAGTCGCCGTTCGGGGTCGTTATTTGCCGTTTGCCGTTTGCCGTCTGCCGAGCGACGAGTCAGCAACCTGCACCGAAGCCAGCGCTTCGGGTTCCGCCCCAGCCAACCTTTACGAAACAAACTTCGCCTACGAACCGGCTGGACGGATTTCCACTGCTGTCTCTCGTCGTCATCCGACAAGACGGGACGACTTTTGCACCGCTGCCCCAGATTCAACGAGCTCAAAACTCCATCGTGGCCCATCAGTAGTAACCCGACTAACGTCCCCGTCGACCCGTCAATTCGTCTCTGGGCCTGAATTTGTGAACTGCTCACCATGCTTTCCATACAGGTGAGTTGCACTCAGAACCTGCTTCCATTGAGTCCAAACCCTCCGACTGGCGCTATGTATGTCGCTAGGAGGTTTGCCCCAAGATATGCAGTGCAAGGGCATACCCAGTCTCCGCATTCAATACTGACTACGCAAACCAAAACAGCCAGACTCGAATCTCATGGCGCCGCAGGATGCGCACCTGAACAAAAAAGTATTTGCGCGCGAACACCGGGTCACCAGAGGAGACGTCACCGGGCCATCGAGACATCTCTGGTATCAGTTGGAAGTCCTCCAGCAGCCTCAACGTGCGAGAGCTTGTGGCTCCGGCCCCAAATGTATGCACAGTCAAACACTTCTGAACTGACCAGACTTGGCTAATTGACCAACAACAGCCTCCGCAGATCGGCGCCCGGTTGACCCTCCGCCTGTCGTCACTCTCAAGGTCTATGAGGGTGAGCATTACGACACTGCCAAAGACATTACTTTTGACTACAATGTCGACTTCTTCTGCTACGCCTCATTGGAACACGCACGTCCTATGGCTCACGGGAGGGTGAACACTCCCGCCACCACTACCCCTCCCGTTCTAACCGGTTTCCCCGTTGCGGGTTGCTGCTATCTGGACCGGCCCGATCCTGCTGGTTATTTCTTGTTCCCGGACCTGTCCGTCCGCCATGAGGGACGCTACCGCCTGGTATTCAGCTTGTACGAGCTCATCAAGGAGGGCGCGGACCTGGATCGTGACTCGCCCCTGCGAGTTGATGGCGACCCCGGCGACGCCAGCCATCGGATGGACCTCAAGTCAACTGACTTTACGGTCTTTAGCGCCAAAAAGTTCCCCGGTCTGAAAGAGAGCACGCCCCTGAGCCGCACTGTTGCCGAGCAGGGTTGTCGTGTTCGCATACGACGTGATGTACGCATGCGACGACGTGATACCAAAGCATCTGCGCCCCGTGATTATGACAACAATGCTGAAGACGAGTATTCCCAACGTCGCAGAACGCAGACTCCAGAAGGCTATCGTGCCCGGTCGGTGAGCAACTCTAGCATGGATCGAACGGCTTTCCCAGACCAGCGCCGGCCTTCGAATGTTGAGTATGGAGCGCCTCCGCCTCCGATGTACCAAACTAGTCAACCCGCGGCGTTGCTCAACTTTGGTGGGAACCCTTCGTTTGCGCAACCGTTTGGGCCCGCGCAGGTGTCACACCCGCACTCCACCCCGGTGTCTCCCGCTCAGCCCATGTTCCCCGTCGCCAACTTCCAACCACCGCCATCTCCCAGCTATGCACCGTCTGGTTATTCACATTACGACCCTCCTGAACTAGACACCAAGAGACGGTCATCGGGTCCTTATCCCCTCGTGTCTGCCAGGCCGCCCGTGAACTACGGTCCCAGATCGTCTATTGCATCTACCACTTCGACGGGGTATATGCCTCTCCCCCCGATACAGTCAAGCAGTCCGACTTTGTCATCAGGCCACTCGGAACGACTGAGCTCTGTCACTCCACCGACCAAGTCTTATTACTCGCATATCGAACCCAGACCGACGAAGCGTGCCGCGGATGACACATTCCCGTCGCACCAGCATGAACGCATCCTCAATCGTAACCGTCCCGGCCTCGATTCTCATTCCAGTCACCTTGAGAGCGAAATGATCTATAGGCGGGCCGACGGCACGTTCGGTTGTCGCCAACCTAACGAGTGTGAATGATTAAGGAGAACCGGCGAGGCAACATGTTTTATGGATGCTACGAAGGTCACGTCTGAGTTCGGTGTTGGGCGTTCTGGTAGTGGTCACTGGACCGTCTGTGAATCCCGTATATACCAATCCTTTCTTTTGTATTGAAGCTCGCCTGAACAGGACTGGTCTGCATCTCCATCTACGTCCAAGGAGATGAGCTGCCAGCGGCCGAGAAACTGCTCTGAGTGTGGGCATTTTTACTTTTTGAAGACAAAGGGCTGCGAAGTGGGATGTACGGCACCAGATAGATAGCTCCTGGAATGGCACTCGGTGGTCCGCACGAGACGATACTACAGCTCATGGGGCATATTCAACAGGAGAGCGCCTGGTAATTTGCTAGTAGGTCGCCTTGTCTGCAATGGGCTTGGGTTTGCTTGTGTGCTGGAAACGGGTCGGAGCCGGGAGGCGATGGTTTTGTACATAGTGTAGGTAGTTACCAAAAAGACGCAAATGCAAGTTGACAGTACCAATTATCTCCTGCCTTGGCATCTGCGTCGCCCTGGTGAGCGTGATTCATTATCTGTATTGGCGGGAATGCCTAGGACATAACCGATCAAATCCAGAACCGATGAGCCGGCTCTTCAGGGGGTGAAACCTAAGGGTGCCCCACAAGTTACAGGGTACAACCGGACGCTGTGGGAGCCCTGGAGACCCCTGGAGCCTGGAGGTCAACATTGAAGGCTGTTGCCCCCCCAACTGCGCCACGTCGCATTGAAACAAACATTGAAACACATCAAATCGCAGTCCCTTCCCAGGTTACACGCCCATTGTACGTGCGCATGTACAATATCTTTTCCCCAAAGCACCAGGTCAATGATACTGTCAAGCTGCCAAGATCAGATCAGAGATCTACCAGTATCGTCATAACGGACGCTCGTCAGCAGCCATGGCCCCCGAGTTGAGCAGGCCGCCGACGCGGAATGGCGGTTCGAGACCGCCCACATCGAGATTCCAAGAAGGCTCAATGAACGACCGGATCAGCAACGTGCCGCCCGTACAATTCCTAGGCGACGAACAGCTGAAGGAGTACGAGAAACAGTTCTACAATGAGCCGCTGAGAAAGGCGACCACGGCGGCGACGGCCATATTACACCGCGAGGCTCGGAGGCAGCGCCGCGACAGACCGCTCTCCGCATCCGCACAGCTCCAAAGCCCCGTCAGCTCGAGGGTACCGGTATCCCAGACGGACGACCAGCCACTTCAACACAAGAGATCTACGGGGTTCTTCGGCCGTGTCCGTGACGCATTATTTAACAGAGGAGGACCGCCGGCGCCGGCGCAGAAGCTGCAGCAGGAAGAGGACGAGGTGAGGAGGAAGCACAGCAGCTTGCAGGAGCCAGTGCAAGCACCATCGTCATCCATGCCGCCACCGCCGCGACCCGACTTCCTACAGCGCTCGCCCAAATCACAGTCCGAGACGAACATCCCACAGCTACCCAACTTTGGCGGGTCGGATCGGCCGTCCCGGGATGATGTGATGGCGTCCTACCAGGAGCTCATGGCAAGGGGCTTCTTCCAGTCGCACGCAATACAATCTACCCGGCACGCCGGACCTTCAGCAAGACGGTCGGCGCCCCTGATGCCCTCTATACCCTCCGCGCCATGCACTCCACAGCCGCCTCCTCGATTTTCGTCTATGAATGCACCGACAAGCCCGGAGTCGCCCACAAGCGCCACGAAAGGTAGGGTCAGCAACGACTGCCCAATACGAGCACCTCCCCCAACACTACCTCAGTTCCTACGTTCCCCTCCGCCCAAGTCCGCAGCACAATCATCAGCGCCGCCGGCAGCAAGCAGACCAGAACTCCCAAGGAAGGACTCCCGCTACGCGCTGCGTGGGCGCAAGCGCAGCAGAGCGGACGCGGACGACGGGACGACGATGACGACGTCGGAAAGCACAGCCTCCTTCGCGCAACCGCTTAAGAGGGTCGCCAAGAAGCTGCGCAAGATGCCGTCGTCGATCACGAGCTCCAGCTCCAACTCCAACTCGTCCACCACCACCACCACGGCCTCGACCAGCGCGCAGAACGCCGACGGCGTCCTCAAGTTGGCGCCTTCGCTCTCGAACGGCGGGACCCTGCATAGCAATGAACGGGCGCTGCGCATGCGCTCGCCGTCTCCTCCGCCGGTTACGGTTGTTGATATTAATGGCAACGGCAACGGTGGTGGAAATGTCAATCGACGCATCGCGAGCATCTCGGTGCGTAGGACGTTCTCGGGCTCCAACAGGTTGCGCAAGCGGGCTAAGTCGCCGGCGCGGACTGCGAATACCATCACCAACGCCAGCGCCAGCGCCAGCACCGTCAGCACAACGCCCGAGACGTGGGGCATGATGCGCCAGCGCATGTCCATCGACAGCACGCGGGACTCGGGCGACAATGAGCGTAAGGGTAGCAGTGCCTTCGCCTCCCCGCGGGGAGTGGACGCGGCCGAGCCCGTCGTACCCCTGTGCGCCGTGCCTGACGCGAACCGCGGCATCCCGTCCGTGCCTAAGATCCCGTTCCAATTCTTCGACAAGACGCCCCGGCCTTCGTCGGACGAGAACGACCGCGGCAATAGGATGGACGTCGACGTCGACGGGGAGTGGCAGTTTGGCGAGGCTCTGTAGGGGAAGATTCTCGCTTGGACGATCCGTGATACGCGGGGTGAGCGTGAGGTTCGAAGGGGGAGGAGGCAGAGGGACAGGGAAAAAATAAAAATTGAAAACAGGCCAAGACACGGTCTAGGAGAAGAATGTGTTGGCGAGGAAGAATGTGTTGGTGCGGCGGTTGGAAGCGATTCGGAGGATATATCCCCGGTTTGACTGACCTTATGACCGACACGAAGCTTACGACTGACTGACTGACTGACTGATGGTGTGATTGCACACTTCTTGCATGTACGAGATTATCGCCAGGATGGATACGTTTTGAAATGACAAGAACGGGCAGGTTGGGTCTGGATGGTTGGCTGGCGTTTGGTGGGTTTTTGTTGTCTTCGTCGTTCGTTGTGGACTTCGTTTGCCTGGAGCCTTATGAAGTTTGACGGTGTGGATGTATGCGTAGGCGTTACATCTTACACGGGCCTATTCAAGCATAATGATGTCGAATGAGATTGAATGTCGTACTTTAGTGTGTGATGAGTCTTCGTTGATGTTTACTTGTGTATTCGAAGTGGTGTGTGTATCGGGTAGGTAAGGTGGGGAGACTGAATGCATTGGCACTTGCAGATGGGCTGGCCTTTACAATGGATTTCCACCGCATCTGTGAGCCAGTAGAGACAAGTCTCTAGCAGTAGTTGAGTTTTTGGCGTAGGCTCAACCTTGAAGATTCGACAGTCTACGTGGTTTTGGGCTTGGGCATAGTGGGAACCCCCTTTTATCTACCTTATTGGCAGCACGACATTGAAGACTGATGATGATGCGTAACTCACGAACCCACACGTCGCGTCGTGTAAACCCCTCCCTCACTGAGCTAGGTATGAAAGGGCTACTGTTCACGTCCGATGGCACTTTGTAGACAGGTCATGAGATGCAGGCTGTATGTAATCTCGTGATGGTGGCCCTAGCTGAGAGTTGAAGCTGGTGGGTGGTGAGGAGACGTGCTCCTACGCTTGGATTTGAGTCGTGTGCAGCAGTAGCTCGTTCTCATTACTACTTCAGCCTATTGGGCTTCTTTGGTTATGGGAACAGTGTACTTCTGCTAGGAAGGGTCTCTGGGCCTCCGTGTATGCATGTGTGTGTGTGTGTGTGTGTGTGTGTGGAACTGGGTCTCGAGTCACTGAACCAGCTACCCTATTCTTCGTGCTTGTAAGGTATAAAATCCTTGCGATGGCAAGTGAGTAGCTTTTCGACGCTGGCACAGTCGCCCTTCCTCTGGTAAGGGATTGGGCCCCTACTGTACATCCCAGTGGGCGATTTCGTGGGGGAAATGAGTGAGCAGTGGCAGAAGGGTCCGAGCCGTAAGAGTGAAACCGTATAAGGGGCAGAGACAATCGTAATAGGGGTATAGACAATATATTGCCTGTTCGCTTGCAGACACGCTGTACTAGATCGTATCAAGGCATAGTGTCTCCACGAAAGGCGTATTGCTCGACATCAGTCTGTACTAGTCAAGTTCCTTTCGGAAACGAAATCATTCTAGGCTGAGTGGTAAACGTGCACACTTCTGTTATCCATTACAGGCACAGCTATGCCTCTTTCTAGATCATCATGACCTCAAGGCCCACCAGGTTTCCAAGCCTCACACTCCTCCAATATCGTACTGCAAAATTCTGGGATCTGACAAAGAGTGAATGGTCTCCCGCCTACTCGCCGTGGTCCCCTCGCTTTGCAAAAGCTCACGTACATAATCCCATTCTTCGGCAATCTTTTCGGTTCTAGCCGTTAATGATTCAATAGTTGTCCCAAACGATCTGTAAGTCTCGGTTACAAATTCTCCGTCCATGTAGACGTGATTTACGGTCATGGTCCCTTGCTGGGAGATGGGTCGTCGTCCGCAGCAAATCCGGAGCGGATTGTGAACAATGCAAGAGCCAGCTTCAAGCCGCAGCCGGAAAACATTGCTAGGTGACTCAATCGTTTTGTGGAAGGCTCGTATTGCATCGATTATCCTTTCCCGGTCATAATGAACAGTGTGATTCTGGAAAGGGGTTTGAGATGATGGGTCCCAATTGACGCAACTAACATGGCCGTTTCCCTTTTTCTCATCGATGATGAACTCATTGCAATGATATTCAGGCGAAGAGGCAGAACTCCGGAGTGCATATTGGATCTAAGTGCCGCTCGCAAGGAGCCGAAAGAGCTCAGGGTCCTCGATACCGGTCTGGATAGACGTCTTTAGTCCATCACTGAACAGGTATTCACCCCCATCACGGCAAGTGTTCTGGAGGCAGTGGAGAAGTTTGAGGGCCGGTGAGCGCATGAAGGCTGCATGTACAGTATGCAAGGGCACTTCGTCCTCGGGTCCCCATTTGGGTCGGCTGAAATAGCCAAAAATACTACTACTGCCTCGTGGTTCCCCTATCATTCTGGTCAGGGAGTGTATGGCTTCCTCAGCGCCGTCCGGCAAATGGGTTATGAGGAAGAGTCCATGAAGGTAGAAGCCCCTGATCGCATTGTAGAAAGCCGGGCCTCCTGCTACAAAGTCTGCGTAGATGACTCTTGTCATTTCCCGGGCGATTGTCGCTTGATCCCAAGGGCGCCGGCCAGATTGCATCAATTTTGCACTCTCGCCGCGTTTTGCGAAGTTAGGTCCCAAAGAAAGCCATTTCAGTCCTGCCGGCGTGTATCGGGACACGCCCTGGGATCCTCGTTCTAGGAAATCTTCTTCCCATATGACCTGTAGACAACAGTCGTCTGTGGTTTTGACTGACCTAATCAAGAGCGTGGAGGGTATGTTGGCAGTGGCAAATGCCTTACGACCAGATGACGGGTCAATGCAGCGTGGGCAGGGACACGCGTCGCGAAGAGATACACGCGGGATAGAGCACCGAAACCCCTTACTCTTACGGCTTTGTAGCCCGATGTTATCCTTTAAAGATTCGCCTGCCCGAACGTTCGCTGGAGTCAGGGAGGTGTCAGACAACTCCCAACTGACATATTTGTTTTCGTCGACCATCTGCTTCCTTATCTGCTCATCGTAGGTGTTGAAGCGGCCTATCTCTTCTGGTGATCTCCGACTCCGCCACTTCGTCTCATATCGTCGAACCTGGCAGGCGGCGGGCTTTCCGGTGGCAATGAGTTGCGGATCAATGATAAGATACTCGGTCTGCCCTGTCCGCGGTGCCTGATGCCCTGTATGATGAAGCGACAGGCGCGGGCGCATCGATGTGGGGGACACCAAGGAGCTGACATGGGCGAGCAGGCAGACTGGGCAGCAGCACCGGCGGACTGGATGAGTGTGTTGAAGATAGAGGCCGTGATATGTTTTCAAAAAGGTTGAAAGGTTGACACGAAAATTGGAGGGGCTGAAGCTGTGTGAGACATTCCTTTCCCAGTTGTAAGTGAACACGTGCTGCCCTTGCGCCTTCCCTATGTCCCTCTTTGCTTTTCCTCTCCAAGCGACCCTTGAGCGGTCAACCCATGTGAGCACAGCTCGCTTACTAGCAACGTGTCGCCAACGGCCTCAAACCATGATACGAAAGAGCCCCGACGCCTGCTTTGGGTGGCTGGAAGCTTCGTAGTCGCTAAGATATGGCACGTCCTGTGATCGAGGAGGCTTGAATTGGCCTTAGATGCCACAGTTACGTATACATACATGTACGGGTGGACTGTTTCGTAAATATTTCCGAAGTCACGCTTTCGATAACCTTAAACAGTAGGTAGGTGGTCAAATCATGTCTTGTAGGCAACCTTATTAGGAGGTATTTAGCTCTGTCCCGTCATGGAGGCTTATCAGGCTATGAGGCCTCGGCTCCTTGGACTTCGTAGCGAGCGTACTATCAATCACCTCCCGCGAGCCGGTATAAACCCATGCATCAGTAAAGTTGATTGTCCTACAGACAAACCCACGCCGGCTGTTCTACCGCCCCCCAGCTCATGCAGGGGAGGGTAACCAGTAACTTACCAGGTCACAAAGTATACTGGTATTGATCGCAGCCAACAGCTCCTCTACTATAAAGGATCCTCGAGAAGGGGTGGACCCTCTGAGCGCCAGCGCTCTAGTACGTTGATACGAAACCAACTCCAAGACAAGGCAGTTTAACTCTGCATGGGCCGTCACTTGGGGATTGCATAGTTGAAAGTCAGAGACACAGCGCTGACCCATCAGTTCTCCTCTGTCGCCACCGTGCCCAATTCAGGCCACGGGAACAGCAGTGCTATCTGCAGCAAAGTGTGAATTTCGATATTGATGTTTATTCTAGGCACAGGCCGGGGCAACATGCTGGCCTATAAGGTCGTTCTTGTCTATAGCCAAGTGATAACAACGAACGACTGATGTCTCCTATAGACCGAACCGGGTAGGCCTCACGGCTTGGTGGGCCAACTTCCAAGTGGCAAGTCAAATAGACATCGAATTCGCTGGGGTTCACTTCGAACGCCGTTTCCCACACAATCCATCACTCGGACGCAAGGCCATATCGAAAATAGGACTGGGTGCCCGCTAGACCTCCCCTTCCCCATGTCGCTGATACAATTATATACACGATATGAAATAAAGCAATCAGGGCTTGTGCCACCCGCTATAGAATTAGGAAAAGGCGGCATGGGCGTCTGCATGGATTCCCTTGTCGCCACATCTATCCGTATCTGTCTGGTGTAAACCGTTCGAATTCTGGCCCATGCGCTGGTGAACCTGGATCCTTGGGACAATCCTTGGGACAACCTTTATAGTGGTTGACGCGTGTGCAAGGATATAGGGGTTTGTGCCGAAAGAGGCTTCAGTATCATCCATCAGCCCAAATGTCGAGGCTCGTGAGTGGGTTACTTGGCAATGCACTCCTCGATCGTGGCAACATCCGGATCAGATGGATTGCACGGTGTGTCTTTACCCGTGCAGTTGTCGATATGTTGGCGTTTCTTGTTTCGCCGAGGCATTAGGCTCCACCGCTGCCGTTCATCAACATGAAGCAATGCTCAGACCACCAACTCCTGGACGAATTTGTTGACTCGCTCGCCCAAATCTTTCGGATCGCTAGCTAGACTGGCCAACGACTTAGCCGCATTCGCTGTGCCTGAAGCCAACGACGGAGCGCCGTTTAGGACCATAGCACCAAGAACGAAGACAAGAATCGGAATCTAAACACGTTTGTTAGCTACAATGAGGGCACGAGGGATGTTTTGGCACGTACCCAGACAAACCACAGCATTTTGTCACTGCTGCCGGTCTTGAGCCTCTGCGCATGGGCTCGTTGGAGGTTCTCTTGCTGCTCCTTGGTGATGTGGTGTTTGCGCCCGATCTGGAGCATGGCTGGGACGCCTTTGGACTGCGAAGACTCCGAGGTTTGCTGGTCGTAAAGAGCCGCACACTTGGCATCGGCTTCGTACTCGACAGCTGCCTGAGCAGCTGAGGCTTGCTTGGTGTCCATATCCTTCTGGGGGAATATGTCCTCATAGGCCGGTGGAGGCGAGTCCTTGGCACCGAAGAATGGGAGATCCCACCACCTGTTGTCTGCAAATCTCGACGTATGATCACCTGCTGATCCAGGACGCTGGCCACGGATGTTGGGGACCAAGGAGCTGATACGCTGCATCACTGGAGCCGTGTGCAGATAGGCTTGGTAAACCGGCAGTACCGGCATTACTGGCAAGTTTGGCATTTGTGGCATTTGTGGCATTTGTGGCATTTGTGGCATGTTGGGCATCTGGAACTGTGGCAGGTTCTGTAGATGTACCGTCATTGAGTGTTGCAGTTGCTGGAATTGCGCCGCAAATTGTTCTCGGAGAGCTGACATGGCCGCGCCTGGCGAAGCCGGACCCGCATGCACATCATCTGCTTGGTGGCCAGAACCACCAGAGCGATGGTGGCTGACGGGGAAGCTTGGCCGTCTCATGTCGAGCCAGTTGCGACCCTCTTCTCCGCTACTGATATCTTCGGCCGAGTCTCCCTCACTGTCTTCGCTAGTCGAATACGCGCCCTCTGACATGAACTCCTCACGATGAGCTGAGTTCATGGGTGGCTGATCCCACAGAGACCGTAAAGAGCTCGCGCTGCTCACCCTGCTGTGAAGGGACCCACCGCTTCGAGATCGTGAGTGGCTTTCGATGCGGCGTAATACACGAAGGACATCGCTGGAGCGGGCAACATCGGCAGGTGTGAGACCAGACAGCGTCCGGATGCTCGGATCAGCCCCTTTCATGATCAGACGACGCACAATCTCCGGATGATTGTTCATCGCCGCCATGTGCAAGGGCGTAAAGCCTCCCTTGTCATGAATGCTAACACTAGCACCTCGCGACAGCAGACCAGCAACGAACCGGACGAGACCCAGAGAGCAAGCAAGATGAAGCATGGTCTGTCCGCTCGATCTCCTCAGATTGATGCGAGCCTTGCGGGGGCTGTCATCCAAATCGATCAGCTCGAGCACGCGAAGAAGCCCAGACTCTACCGAGTTTTGGGGGCCCTGTTCAATATTGTTGTAACTGCCTCCAGGAGCTTGGTTCCCGGATCCCGACGGAGAGGAGCCCCACGATCCACCTCCACGTGCACCGATTATGATGCTACGCGCAATATCTGCAACATCATTAATGTCGCCGCTGCCAACCTTGCTTCCAAGAACTGTAAGCGCGGATCGTATCAGGCGATCTTCGTCATCATCGACATATCGGAAGAAGTGCTGCTGCTGATTACCGCCCAGCAAATGTTGGGCAGGCATACCAGGAAATCTGATGGTTACTGGGACATGTCCAGCAATAGGCGAAGGGGGAACCAAACAGACCAAGGATGTCTCGCCCCAGTAAGTTGTAGTAGTTGCCTTGTGTTCACCAAACATAACCTCCAATCCTCCATTCGTAAAGTTGCGGCCAAGGATAGTCACATCCACGCCGCCCGACTTCGGCCCCTCTCCAGGGATGACCTTCAAGATTGTAGGCGGCGGAGCAGAGGCCAAGCCCATGGACGCATTGAGAAGACCCTGGCCCATATGCGGATGGTGCATGTTCTGCAGCTCATTCCGCAGCGGATTCGGACTGGGCGGCCGACTAGGATGCGCCGACGCCGGTGCGGAGAACATTTGGTTGACGGGCAGATTGTCTATGCTCAAAGCTCTGTGATTTGCCGACGGGAAAATGAGCTGATCTGCATTGCTGTTTGGGGTCGGTGGTCCCTGGCCGAACTGTTGTGGCATATTGCCGAGGACTTGTTGCGGTTGTCCAGGAGAGAAGAATGAATCTGTGCTCATCGGGAAGTTTGCGAGATTAGGCGAGAAGGGTGAATTCGCTGCAGAGGTGACAGCAGATTCAGTCTGGACGTTGGAAGGCATCGAAGTTGGAGGTTGGCTAGTTTCAAGTCTGGTCATGGCGAGACCACTCGGCACTTTAGCAGACCCGCTGGCCTTTCTTTTCTTCGACACTGGGCCTGAAGGAGTGGTAGGGGAGCCTTGCCGTGACAAGTTACGCGGAGTCGGTGAAACCGACGCAACCTGCGAATTGTTCACAGACGGGTTCGCAGGGAATCCAAAGGTGGCATTGTGTCCTATACCTTGGTGAAGATCTGAGGTCGAGTGCGTCTGGCGGAAGGGAAGAGAGGCATCCACGGGTTTCGCGTCCGGCATCATAGGTGCGGGTGGGAGTCCGACTGCCGTCGGGGTGTTGGTGGGTTGTGAAATGGCATTGATTGGAAGGTGTGTCTTATGATCGTCAGTGATCATGATGGATGATGAGATCTGCTGCGCGACAACGTTGTCCTGGTAGTCTTTGATGGTGAAAATAACCTGAAACCCCTGCTTCTCGCTGTGGTGACGGCAATAGCAGGCTATACGCATTGGAGCGTCTACCTGCACGGTCCCATCGGGGACGGAGAGACTGGAGAGTCCCGCCCCCGTGGGATCAGCCATGAGAGGCGTCACAGCCTGCCACTCCTTGACTTCTAGCGTGTTGAAAACAATCACCCGCTCGTTCTCGAAGTTGTTCCACAGCTCCTCCTCCTCTGGTTTCTTGTGCTTCTTCCGACCGGCGCGTTTACGTTCCCGGGTGATACAGCCCTGGCAGATGCGTACCTCGCCGCCATTCTGTGGCTTGTTTTCCTCATCTTCGATCCCGTCATCCGGCCGTCTTGGGCGAGAGTAGTCATGCTGAGCTAGTGCTGCCTTGTTGAAGGCACGGTCCCGCTTGGCCGGATCCTGCATCGCGCTGGTACAGACAAGCATCGTGTAAAGCTCAAGCATATCAGCAGAGCGCACTGCCGCGGGCTTAGCAAGCAGCTTAGGCTTGGATATGGTGTGCATCGGAAGATGAATTCTCTTGATCCCCTGCGGCAAATGGTGTATGGTGAGCTTGATAGGAATCTGTGTCTCGACTCGAGACTTGAGCGGCGTAGGTTGGACAACTAGTCTCGGCGGTAGACCTTGGGGGAAGCTTCTCTGCGGATGGTAGGTTGTTGGGAGGCCATGCGCTTGGCCTGGCATGCCTGCTGAATTGGTCCGGGCTTGCATGAGGTGGTCATTGGGCTGCATGGAATTCAGCGACGGCCAGGCCGAGCTCATAACGAGCCCTCGTGAGCCATTGATATTATCTTTGTTGCCAGGTGCAGCTGTTTGCGTGAACGCCGTCGTCGGCAATGGTTCTCGGCCAACCGCCAGATTTGATGCCGGCGGGACTTCCCTAGAGCCAGTGGTCTTTAGCCGAGACATGGACTGCTTTAACGATGGTTGCTAAGCTGGTATTAGTACTCAATGCCCCCAGAGCTGATCATTACGAGTACACCTACCGGCTGTGCTCTCTGGCCTTTGACCCTTTTAGCGACTGAACCTTTTGACAGGTTCTTGCGTCCTGCCATCGGGGTTCCTGGCGACTGGCTTTTCATGATAGGGGCCCTAGGACTGCTAGAGGCGCTCTCGAAGTCGAATACCTTGGACATGTCCGTAATGTCCAGCGTCGCGGGATCTAGGGCGCCGAACATAGGGAAGCTTGAGTCACCGTTCGTAGCGCCAGTTTCGAATTTACACTGGGGGAAGGGGGCATCTAGCATCGTCGTGTCGTCTATCGAAGATCGACTAGTTCTGGGAGAGATCGAGTTGTTACTCCTCTGCGACGAGGACGAGGACGAAGAGCCACGATGCGACTGCGGCGAATAGTCCGTCTTGACCCCTGTCGAAGTCAGGCCTTCCGTGTGTTGAGGCCCAGAAAGCAGGTTCTTTGGATCAGCGAAACCGGGCGCGAGTGAATCAACCGCAGCCAAGTCGAAGAGACCATTGCCATCGACCTGCTGGTTGTCGTCGGGGTCGAAGTACTCGAATTCACCATTGAGACTGAACATTTCAGAAGCAAAGGTGTTGGGCCCGCCGAAAGGAGAAGAATCAGACGTCGACATATCCGTGGCTTCCTCTCAAGAGTGTTATCGCTCGTTGGATCGTGGATTCAATACGTGCTTCGGATATCGCCCGTCGTCACTCGAGACAGTGCCTGAGTCAAGCAAAGCTGAGCTCGCGATGGCGATAACGCTTCAACTACTGCTGGTGTGAATTTGTCGGTTTTGCAATCCAGACCATGGAGAGAAGGGTGCTCTCAGCAGAACAAGCGTTGCGGTCTTGATGGTTCACCGCAACATGATGACCACGTCCGGAATCAATTGATGAAGATGTTCTCCGCGCTGGCTGTCTCCGCGCTGGGGGATACCAACTTGACCTCCTCGACTGTCAATTGCGCTTCGACGGGTGCGGCTCGGGTTCGCGGCGATGATTACGGCTCGTTGCGTGAGGTGTCTCGATGCGCTTTCGTCCGGGTATGGCGGCAATGGTGCTGTCTGGCGTATATCGGTGAATTGAAAAATTGCGGGCAGTGTCGAGGCACGAGGCAGCTTGATTGGCCGCTATCGGTGTGTCAGGGTCCGAGGCCCGAATTGTGGTATTTGTGGTATAGCCTAGGACACGGTGTGTAAGACGAGAGAGCAGATGTGGGCGGTTGGCGACGCCCGTCGGGAACAGCGAATGGGTGATTCTGGTTGAAGTATGTAGATGTCTAGACTACCTACCTATCGTGGAGGCGAGTTGCGGGTGCGCTTCTCAGAGAACCCTTGGAGCACCTGGAGAGTGGAGAGTACCGTAGAGAGTGGGGAGTTGGTGGGTGCTCTGGATCAGTGGATTGATTCCCTGATTGCCTGCCGAGTGCCTGACTGGCAACTGCGCGTGGCCGGGTGTAGGTGTCCAGTCTGCAGTGTCCACCACCTGTCAGTCAGTGGTCAGTGGCCAGTCGTCAGTCGTCAGTCGTCAGCCCGTGTCACTCGGCTGCGGGCAGCAATTGAAGGCCGCTACGGTAATAACTAATAAAAGGGTAACACCCGACAGCCCGAGAATGGTGATGGTCAGCCTTCGAGACCTTGTAGTCGGCAAAAACGGGGTTTACAGCTAGTGTTGACCTTTAATTGTCACGTCGAATTAATAAATGAACCAAGTTATTTTCTCTTTCTCTTCTCGTCCCTTGCAATCCTGAATATTGTTAGACGCCTAGCAGACCTTTCAATGTTAGCACGAGCCGCGTAGTAATCTCGCTTAGCCGGCGTTAGTGAAGTATCAAATGCCTTGATCGAGCCTGTCGAATCCCCCGCTATTCACAGTGATACTACCTGACGACCTCATCGCTGCAACTTCAAGAATCAGAGTCTTTCAAGGTTGTCCTCGGGTGTTCGAGGCTGGCTAGGCCTCACACTTCAGTTCACGCTAGCCCACGTCAAGCACAGCTCAAACTATATCAGCTGACAAAACCCACTCGAGATGCATCATCACCACCTCAGCTCCAGTCTGTCCCGGCCGTATCGAAGGAACCTCTAGATGATCTCCGTCCCCGCTCTCACTTTGAGTTGAAGGGGGCTTACAGATCTAACCGTCCGTGTGGATGGCGCCCCGAGAGATCTTGCTGATAAGGACGGACCGAGGAGTAGGGTAATTTGACTTCATGTTGCTGGACACATCGGGATTGGCAGGCTTTGATAGACTGACTGTACGATGTCAGACGGGGCAGTGTCATCCTTCAAGCCTTCATACACTCGGTAAGATTTTTGGCGTCGTTCGTTTCCTGTCGAAGGCTGCGTGATGGACAATCTACACTCTTGCATAATGTACATATGTACTGGGTTGGCAAACTGTGCCCAGGGGCCTCCGTACATCTAGGATGGGTAGCGACATGTTCGTTCGAACTCTGTCGCGAGCTACGGCAGGAACACAGCAACCAACAATAATAATAACACCAGACTGCGACCAGGACCAACACCACAACCATAACTCAAGACCGGAAAAAACCAGGGTCCAAGTATTCTAATGGGCGGCTGCTTACCTAGCTATACGGGAGACGCACCTGGTGATGTACAGTATCGCTGCCTCGGGAAGGTCGTGCCACAGAACGCATGCCCCCATCAGGGGCGTCTGGTCACACCGGCTACGGTCTTTCCATACATCACCCATCAGCACACCAGCACCACCCTATGCTTCTGTAGTATTTCCGGCGATTATCAACGTCTTCCCACTTTCTCCCCCCTCCCCCTCACACGCATCATGCACGTGGCGGGCTTTTTCGACAACCGGACGATGATAGTGACGTTGCTGCCCTCTGACACTTATTACTGACACCTGTCTACTGCTCCGGACGCACATCTCTCACAAGCAAGCAACCGCACTTGGCTTGGCTTGGCTTGGCTTGGCTTGGCTTGGCTTGGCTTACCAGTCCGTCTGACTGCCTCGGGTCCGTAGCTGGTGCAGCATATATTGACCGTTTTTCCACCCTCGGTTGTCCGGCCGTGTACTTCAGCCTCGACCTAGCATCCCATATAATCCGAGCGAGTACTCCAGGCTCGACCCAGCATCCGGGCATATAATCCCCCAAGGCTAAAGGACCCGCCCGTCTTTCAATCCCATGCTGTGCGTGCAGATAAGGCTCGTGGTACAGCTGCAGCCCAAGGCACCCAATTGCAACGGAGCCGGACATTTGAGGCGTCGAGCTGACAATATCCCATTCCTACCCCTTCCGGCAGGCAAACAGTTTGGCTTCGAGTAAGCTGTGGTGCGGTGATTACTATGACCGGAAATCTCCGGACTCCGAGTGAGGTCAAACCGTGTGATGACGGTCAACGGACTCCGGAGAGTGGGAAAAAGAAGAACTAAACGCAGAAGAGACAAACGGATGAATCTATGGCCAAAGCAAGCGCTTGTAGGATTCGAACCTACTACCGTATATATATGTCTTATGTGTATCGGTCGGTCCATAACGCAAACTGTGTCTTACAAGAGTACGAACCAGCAACTGAGTACTGGTTGCCAGGTCGCGCCGACACTACTCCTCATATATGAGAGCCGTGCCATGTTCAAACCATCGGAGACAATCACAATACTCAGCAGTGGCCGTCGGCTGAAGACGCAAAATTGTCTTCTATTTTTTGGTTTCTTTTCTAATTTTGTATCCGAGACCGCGATCGGTCCAGCTCTGTAAAAGTGTAGCTGCCTAGGTACGAGTGTGAGATGTGCTTAACTGATACCATATTTGTTGCTTGCATTTGCAGATAGCGTGTGGCCAACGTGGGCTACTTACTACCTTCTCGGTGCCCGCGAGTCCAGAAGTCCTATCTTTGCCTCAGATCAAGAATCTGCATCTAGAAAGGAAGTAAGAACGGCCAGCTGTCCAGATGATCCCACTGACCAATAATCGCTATCTAGGAGGAAGCGCTACTCGCGGCTTCTTGAGACTGCTCGTTAGATCCCGGCGCCGGTTCCTCGTCGGGAAAACGAATTGTTCGGTTGGGCGGTTGGACGTTGACCGGGGTAGAAGTGCCGTCCACATCCATTCTGTCTCTGGGCGCGAACTGTTGCGATGGCCTGCCTGACTCGTCTTGTGGAATGACCGAGCCGCCAATCTTGAATACAGGCCGGGTAGAAGTCGAGCGTGACTCAATCGGGGTGTTGTTGCCTTCTGTGCCGGCTCTAGAGAGGCTCCGCGGCAATAGGTCGTTGATCCGTCCCCGAATCTGAAATGGTTCATCTGTACCCCCTGGCGAAGTCATAGTCCTTGAAATGGTTCGAGGTAGATAGAAGCCGAACTTGCCCAGAGGAATGCTAAGCCCATGGACAACCTTGCGGGTGGTTAGTGGCAACTATGGTCCCCAGGTAAGAGTCGACTTACAACACTGCAGACGACCATGAACCAGACAACGACATTGACAACCTCCCCCAGGTTGGCTACATCCGACCTTGGTTCGTCTCCGCCGTCAGGGTTCAGGGTATCGATGAACTCCAGAGTAATGTAAAGATAGAAGATGGCGGAACATCCAACAGGGCCAAAGAAGCCCATGAAAGTGGCATGTCGGATACCTTCAATCTGTGGGATCTTCTTGTGTAGAGCCAGTATGAAGGGAGGACGCCTGAACAACAGGATCAGGATTCCTAGTGGGATGAGCCGGTATATCGGGATGACATCGTTTGCCAGGAAGCTGTGCCATGGGCAAACGGCCCCGTACCACATGAAGATGGTTACGTTGAGTAACATATCAATAGTGGGCTGAAGAGAGCTAGAGTAGACATGAAATTAGCAAATCCCAGGCCATGCCGTTATTTGCAAGGAATCTGGGGTTGAGCCGTACTATACGTCGGTTAGTGAATGTGGCTATGAAATTATTGGAGGTAAGGTGGGTGTCACAAACCTCATCAAGTGTTTCCAGCCGGAACCAGTCATCCCACGTGAACACGTTGCCGGCAATGAAGCAAGCCAGGATGTCATCGCTGCCAATCATACCGCAGGTCCCCACGATGAACAAGGCCAGAGAGAGGGCGAAAACCAAGAAGCTCTCGCGATCCACATACTTGCGTTCCTCGCAGAAGTGCAGGAGCTCTTTCGCGATCCATCCCACAACCGCGCCGTATATCACACTCAGGATGATCACGTATCCCCATGTCTCTCCAAACCAAAGGCCAATGGCGAGGCCACCACCTCCAGACTGTTGCACTCCACCATCACCAACGTACTTGATGAGATACAGAGCGAGGTACAGGAATGGGTAACCGAGTCCGTCATTGGCTCCAGACTCGGCGATGATGATCTTCTGAAGGTCCTTTGGAACGTTGTGGTCGGCGAACTTGCCCTTCACTATGACGTTTGACAAGACAGGATCGGTAGGTGTCACGCAAGCTCCAACGACGAGCGCATGGAGAAAGGATAGATGCGGTACCAGCGCCCAGACCAAGAGGCTGGTGGCCACCCACATTGCAGTCATGATAGGGCCGAGGAGAAGAGACAGTGGCTTCCATTCTTTCTTCAGGTAGCGACTTGGCAGCTGGACGCCAGCCAACACGAGTTGAACACCAAGGACCAAGCGGGTGAAGTACAGGGTGATGGTGTTGAGATCTTCCTGAGAAGCGCCCGCGTAGTCAAGCGGGCGAATGAAATTGGTAGCGTGTGGCGAAAAGGCAACGCCAGCGAGGAGTGAGATGACTAGAGGCGGATCAGCTGCGGTCAGGACGACTTCAGTCTCGGCTCAATTCACTCACGGGCTTCTGAGAGGTAGAAGTTCTCCTTGAGCAGGTAGGATACCAGGCCAAACAGCGATATCCATCCTCCGAGAACGCTGACCACAATGTTGAAATTGCTGGTGTCGAGGGTAGGCATATTGCTCTACTATGTGAGTCAAGTGACCCCCGAGGCGTCAAGTCAAGTAACCCCCGAGTCGTCCTTACAGCTGCGCAAGGCCGGCCGACAATGGTAAGCTGGAGGGAATGGAGCGGGTGTTATTGAACCATTTGGACGTCCTGAGGAATACGCGACAAGTGACAATACCGCCACTTTGAAGAGTTCGCACTTTGGCAGGTCGGGAAGGTGCTGCCGGCCAGGGCGGTCGAAGCAGACAAACGAGGGTTCAGGTATCTATGCAATGGCGGGGTTTGCGGTGTCTCTCAAGTGTAGCGCAGTGAACGACTCTGGATGTGTACGATGCTCAATGTTGCCGTAGGCTTTATATGTCTCCTAGATACGCGATGGATGCGATATATCGAGCGGGGCAGTCGGGAAGAAAGAGGATGTCACCAACAGCAAGCAAGTGCGGAGGGGGTCGGAAGTTGGACAACCACCCAACCCACTTTTTTTCAACGTCGCGACTTGGCGGATTCTAGGTAGGAAATGGCGTAGTCCATCGGTCGTTATTTATGAACCCTTTGTCTTTTCGTCGCGAGAAACCGGGCACCTAGAGATACCACATGCCTGATCTGTAAGTGCGAACATGCATCTTGGATTCATCTTCGACGATGATGCAATCTATAGAAGCATGCACCTTGGCGACCAACCTCTATTCAACACGCAGGTAGTGAAAGCGTGTTTGATAGCTTACCTGCTAAGCTTTACGCGCGTGGCTTCAAGCTTAAGCTATACATGCAGTCCGAGTACTAACAGCTTGTCTTTCTTACTCAGGCTTCTTGGCCAAGTTCAGCATCGAGTGTCCAAGACGAATGTGCTCGGGCGAAATGGCACACGTGCATTATGATCAATCACTAAGTCGAGCTACAGGAGCACTTAAGCAGTCATAAACATTAGACGATACCTAATAGGTATTTATCACAATAGAGTCAACGGATATCATCAGCTTTATACGATGCCCCCATCCGGCTCAGCATGTCACATCTCAGATACTCGTCTGACAAGGTGAAGTCAAGGGACCCTTCAGTCCCATAGATGGTTTGAAGACATAACACAACGGTCATGTATGGGTATTGTAGTCTGCTACCATCCCCGGTTCGGAAACAGCGTCTGAGAAGAAAGCTCGCATATGAGCGCCACACATCCCTGACAGGAGTCGCTCGACAAAAGCACGAGATTTCGCTTATCGTATATAGCCGCCGGGCGTGGTGCTTCACCGATCAGAGGCTTCAGCTCAGGTTCCTAACCTTCTTAGCACCCGCTACAGCGAGCTTGTCCGCTTCTATATTGCCAGCAGAAGCCGCATGTCCCTTGACCCATTGGAACAAGGTACCCGTACCGGCTGCCTCTCGCTTGTCCAGTAGGGTCTTGATTTTCTCAACGAGGTCTCTGTTTTTCACCTCTCCCGCTTTGGTCTTCCATCCATTCTTCTGCCAGTTGTTGACCCACTCGGTCACGCAGTTGATGGAATACTGACTGTCGGTGATGATACGCATCTTCTGTTTGGTAGGTACTGCTTCCAAAGCACGAAGGATGGCGGTGAGTTCACCCCGCTGGTTGGTTTGTGCCTCCCCCTCAAGGCGTTCGGAGACGTTACTGGAAGATGAGTTAGTCAAATACACCCAAGGTTACTCGTGAGTACATATACGGACCGCTTGTCATTCTTCCCAAAGTAAACGCCGGCGCCAGCAGCCGCGCCCTTGCGGCCATTGGCAAGGCTGCTGCCGTCTGTGAAGACTTGCAAGACGTCCGGTTCATCCTGAACGGTACTCCCAGTGTCGGTTGAGGTCTTCTTGCTCTTCTTGGCGGGAGGCTCGACGCCCTCTTCGTCGAGGAGGGTCGCCTGCGCAGCTTCGTTGCCATATGCGCGAATATATTCCACGGCATCAGCCCGCGTGTCGAACCGCTTGTACTTCGGAGCCGTCGCTCCTTTGATGGCGAGCTGTGCGTCCGGCCACTTGGTGTAAATCCCAGGCGCGACGCCAACAGCCACCCCGTAAAATCTCGTCGGTTCGGCGTTGGCCTCTTCGGAAGTCTCTTCGCCAGCTGCAAATGCCTCGGCGTCCTCGCGGTTGTCGAAGCTCTTGTCTGTCGGATTCTATTTAGCATCCAGCCATGGATGGGTTGTAGGGGTGTCCATGTAAACGTACGAACGCAGCCCTTAAATCCAGCAATATGCTTTTGACACTCTTCCCAAAACAGATACACGCCTGGCCTATGTCCAGTACGCACAGCGTAGTATTTCTGGCCACCCGCCTTTCGTTTCCTGCTGGTTTGCGCTGCGGCCGCCTGCGCAGGCTTGGAGGCCTGCCCTTTCTTCGCCGGCATGATGCTAGGTGGGAGTATAATCTCTGGAAATGGCGGTGGTATCTCGATGGCCCATAGCAGCCTGCAGGAGACCGTCTTTGCAGGAAAGGGTGGTATTTGTTCGTGTGGTGCGCCTTTGTTCGCGACAAGGGAGAACCGGTGACAAAACGAGGGGCCAAACGCTCGTAGAAAGCGGGTGCTGGGCAGTAGTCAATGGAAAGTCATGGTGGTCGACGTGGAAAGGGAAAGGCCCGGCAACCAGGGCAGTTATGCTTCTCCGTTCTCGTCAAGCCTCGCTGCCTTTTTGTTCTTGGTGGTGGTGAGTGGTGAGACAATCCGCTGTTGATGTGTTAGAAGCATGTGTTCAAGGATACCCGCAAGCTTAAAGCTGTTGCCCCAGGCAGCCCGGGTGCCCAGGCCCAAGGCGATAGATAAGATAAGGCATCATCCACATGCATGCATCATGCTGTGACCCCTTTATACCTACTCATCCATTCGTACTACGTGCGCGCCTTCTGGTGCAATTGTCTGCCTTCTGGTGCAATTGTCTTCAATTACAAGTGCATTTTACCTCGCTTATCTCGTAAACCACATGCATATATCTCCACGCAAAATCTCACATTGCAAGGTCCTGGTAATGCATCATTTTCCTAGTCTGGGTTCTAGGTATCAAGATATGCCCTGATTCTTCCTGCCCTTGAGGGCCTCTGACTCTCTGGGCTATGGTCGACCTATCGAATGCAATAAGGGCAAGCCATGCCTAAGATTCTCGAGGTATAATGACCTAGCTGTTCTCATCGTCGCCTGCACATCGACTCCTTTCTCCATGCCACACCTCTCAATGATGCCAAATGCCGACAAGAGGATTACCTAATTCCCGTGCTTGCCTCAACCCAAAGTCATGCGTTTTGTATCAGGATTATCGAAGATGCTCATGCATGCAGATGCGGGTCAACTGTCAAGCGCTCGACGTCGTCTGTCTCCCACTCCCATCCCAACATGCTCCAGTTCAGCTCCTTGCGCCAGTGAAGCCCGAGGCCTTGACCTCCGCCACAGGGGCCACGGTCACACAGCTCAGACGCACCGCACAAGTCGTGGCCGCGGTCTTCTGAGCTCATGCCGCCTGTCAACGGCATACGGTGACGAAAGACGATCCGACCCATTCGCGAATGCAAGATTGCCATGGCGCACATGGTGCAAGGCTCGTGAGTCAAGTACAGCTCAAGTTCGTGACACAGGTAGCCATCGGGGCACGGGTGCTCTGCCTCGAAGACCAGAGCTTCGTCCTGAAGTAGGGGCTTATCTTGGAATGTCTCGAAGTCCATGATGCCTGGCTCGGATTTTGCCCGGTCCTCGGCTCTGACCAGCTTCTGTGCCACCATACTGATGGCTCTCAATGCAGCGTGGGCCATCGGGTTCCCAGTTTGGCCAGTCTTCGTCTGCTGATGCCAGCGAGCATCGGCTGCAATCGCGACGATCTGTGTTGTCTCTTTTGCCTCGGGATCTAGTGCAGATGTATCTGACTCGTGGGAGTCTGGCTTGGTTGAATCTTCGTATGTGTTGCTGCCTTCTACGCCGTTTGTGGTCTCTGGGATAGTCATATTTGTCTCGGCAGCGACGTGTTCAATGGGAACATTGTCAAGACTGTCGCTGTCTGTAGTTGTGGTATCGCCTGTGGCACCATCTCCATTCATGAGCTCAAGGCTGGTTGAAATGGTCGCAGCCTCATCTGCCTTTGCGAAGTCTTCCTTCGAGCCTGAGCCTCTCGCGGCTTCAGATTTTCCCGGGACTGTTCGCTTGATGATGACAGCGCCAATAGGTTCTCCGAACCCAGCTTTCTGGGACTTCTTGGCGATCTGGTGGGCGAGGGTCATCCAGATGGAGGCATCACGGGAAACCACGGATGTAGTGCGACAAATGTTGCTAGGATGGGGGCCTAAGGGGTTGTTCTTGCGGTAGACAGTCTGCCAGAACTGCTGTGACCACATGTTGGCCTGGACCTGGGAGGTAGGTGCCAGTAGCGGAACTGGAATGATCCCGATGAAGATGTCATCCCTAATGCCATCAACATTGACGAGACCTCTCAACAGTTCATCGTACGGCATCTCATCCTTCGGGCCCAGCAGAATGTAGAGCCAATTGGACTTTCCAGTATGTATCGCTCTACCGTTTCCTTCGTTCATGAATTCTGACTTGAGGTGGGGAGGCAGGTCTGAGGGTTTCGAGCAGCGGCGCAGATGAGGAAGGTTCTTAGCCGCATCGTCACCGGCCAAGGCTCGAGCAATCCTAGTAGGTCAGAGGTTAGTTGTGGCATGCTGCGATGTAGGTTGGATACTCACGTCACAATGTCATTGGTAAGTCTGGTTGGGGCTCGCGTGACATAGGCGAGACCTAAGGAGAGGTTGTCTCGCAGTTCGAGTGTGGTCTTGAGTGGTACTAGGGCTCCTAAGTCGATGTTGGGAGGGACGAGCCGTCTGGAGACGGGGTCGAGCGACTCGACAACTTCCTTCATGGAATCGCTCATAGCGGATACCTGCAGCAAGGAGACAAGACGTCAAGTCTAATCCGAGGTTCAGTGCAGAAGAGACAGCGACGAGAATGTGTTGCACGTTCAGGACCACGGTGACCGGTTTAGTGAGGTAGACGATGATGCAGAGGATGGGGTATCGAACTGGTGGTGGTGTCGGCGATGTTCAGACCGAAGAGGGCAAGGAATCCAAACTGTCGTCAAGGTTGAGGTTGCGAGCATGGTGCCGGGGGGACTTGGCTTGCGCTGTGAGTGAACAACAAGAGACCGAGGCGGCACGGCAGGTGGACTGTCGGAAAGTACCTAAGTAGGTACCTAAGGTAGGTGGTAACGAGTCAGGATCTGTATAGATGTTAGAGTTAGAGGCGGAAAGCTTGAGGTGCTTTCGAGGAGGGAGGAAGGCGCACGATGGTTGGTTTATTGTTATGGCAGCTCGATCGGTGCTTTCCATGCAATGTGATTCGTGAAAAGGTTTCCCTGGTTGCTAGGGGACCGCGGCCAGGGTTTCCATCTCAACCGCACAGAGATAGAGCTTGCAGCTTCCCTTTTGTCGTCTGTTATAGACCGTGCAGAGAAAGACACGAATGAAGTATACCTGGGGCACTTGCAGTGCAGTGAAGCCTTACTACGTGTATGTGAGTGTGAGTGAGTGCAGCTGGTGCCGTAGCTCTGGAAAGTTGAAACCTCTCCAAAGCATGGAGGGGCTTATCGATAAGAAAGTCCCCGCAGCCGGCCTACCCTGATTATAGGTACTTATGATCCTTGATGCCTGTCACGGCTTCCATTTTTAGCTATGGTACCTTACCAGCTTACCTAATGTGAGTACTCAGGTACTTACATCAGGTGTATGGTACCTAGGTAGATTCACATTGCAGTTTCCAGAGCTTGTCTTCCAAGACTTGAGTCTTTTGACAGCTTGACAGCTCGATCGTAAGGTAATGCCTCGGCTTGGCGGAGGCAGGCTGTCACCTACCAGGTCATCTGCTCGCCAACGTAGAGAAATGCCTCTTGGAAGTGGTGTGAGCACTGGATATCTGCCAAGGCCCAGACTCTACTCGCCTTCTATAACGTCTGGCTGCCATCTAGTCTCCTGAAGAGCATCCATGCTTGACATACGCACCCTCAATAATGCCTCAAAGCTTGTCAAGGGAGCAGACCCGATTCGCGGCCCAGCCTTCTGGTTGCATCTCAACGGCTCATCAGCTCCGAGCTTCGAAGAGGCTTGTAAGCTACCTACTGCAGTCACTCTGCAGAGATCTGGACCGCGAGCGGCGACGACTCCGAGCGCCACCTATATCCAGATGTGCCCTACCGTATACCAGGCCAGGCAAGCAAAGCTCATCACGAAGGCTGGGGTAATGCGGGGTTTCGACGCTTCTCGGGTCCTCTCTCATCATTCATCCCTCGCTGTCCAGCTCCAGCACTTTCTTTCCGTCGTACACCAATCCCCAACCTGGCACCGTGACAGCCCCGGCGAGACTGTCGGACGATGGTTGGAGAGATGCGATCCAGGGGCCGTATCTTGTTGCCCTGGGCTCTTTTCCACGAATACTGCGGTTAGGTTGAGCCCCCGTGTGCTCGCTTTTGGAAACAGGTGCCGAGACCTTCACCCAGACACCATTGGTGTTGCGTGGTCATCTCACTGCCATGGTACCGAGCGAGTTACTCGATATCGGATACCGAGCTCCGAACGAACTTCCCAAGGGTGCCATGCCATGCATTTGCCCGCGGAGCTCATGCATCTCGACCATCATGTGAGCTGATTCTGCAGCGAGCGGCAACCCGTCATCAAATAAGATAGATGCAGGATAGCTGAGCTGGGGAAGCCGCTCACATCCCAGGTGCTGGCATGGTCGATTCCGTAGGTACGGTACAGGTATGTTGTAGTCTGATGGCACTCCCAGCTTATCAGTGCCGCGCACATTTAGACACCATCCAGACAAGCCAGAAAAGGGCACTGGTTTCACTAAAACATAAACACCGCATGCTGACCTCGGACTGCCCGGCTTCTGCTGCTGGCGCTCATTGAAGAAGCCCGATGGATGAGAGGAATACTCCATCTACGTATTGCCAAGCCCAATCTGCTGGTAGATGTCTTACTGAATGTTTAGGCACCCGTCCTGCCGTCTCGGCGCCCAGTTGCGCCATCCGAGGACAACCTATTCACGTAGGAGTTGAGTTGTGCGAAAGGGCCACTGCCAAGTTCGGTGTCAGAAGGAGAGAGCCAATAATAATAGATACCTAACTGTTGGGCAAGTCCCAAGACGGGAGGCTTGCCATGCACCATACATGTCAACTCGAAGGTATTACAGCCAACGGCTTGGTCCCTGTCGTGACGCTTTCCAAGACAGCCAAGGCGGCGACCAGGATCTGACCTATATGGGCATCAACGATGTACCGGTATGAGCGCCTAGGTAAGGTAAGGACAGGCGACAGTGCGGGTGCAGTTGCCCGAGTCGGCACTGCATGAGATCCTGCACACACGCATACCTATGGCTGAGAAAATAGGTCTTATTAAGACCGACTGCAGCAAAAGCCTCATCTGTCATTGGGAGTATAATAACCTCGCAGTTGGTCAGGCCGGGTGCGTTGTGCGTTGGTCGGTCAACTTGGCTGCCAACTCGAACTCGAGTATCAGGTATCCAGATATCGTGGAACTGTCACACACGTCAACATGTTTAACTGGCTCAAGCCCGTACAGTATTACTGAACGGAACACGTCCCAGGCGTCACAGTTGCCTCTGGACTATACCTTACCTTACTACCTAGTTGTACGGAACTGAAACGTTCTTGGGCCTCACCTGCAGCTATCGGCTCATGCCCTTCGATACTTCTTATCTCTCCCGACGCGCTGCTGAGCTTCAACAGTGGGGGCGCATTGACCTCTGGGTCAGCCCGAGATAAAGCAGAGCCTCGCCGACTACGGACAACCCTTGAAGACTTCCATGTTCGCATCCCCCCAGCACGGCGGGCACAGCCAGCACAACCACACCGCATATTTCATGGTTGTAACTTGTAGCGCACTGCGCGGCGACATCATCGTCCACCACGCCCACATTTCACAGCAACATCGCCCACAATAATAGCAGCCAGTGCGCGCGCGCGTTGCCGTCGTCGGTCTCCAGTATCGTCTCCAGTCGCGTAGCGGCCAAGACGGAGATGACGTGAAGGAGAGAAAGCAGTATTCCCGCGCCCACTCGCACAATCCGCATCCAGACGTCGCAGCCAATCGCCAGTCTCGCGCACTCCATTTCGCTCCAGCTGCTACTGCAGGGCGCCCCGTTGACCCGCTGCAGTGGATGTCACTGGAATCCCAGCCCTGACACCGGGCCCTGACACCCTGAAGAGAACTTCGAGAAACCTTGGAAAGACATGACTCCCCGCCTGAAAACCGCCGGCCCTATGGTCGCGCAGCCCGCCACAGACTGTTCCACCACCGCCAGTACCACGGTCACTACAGGTGAGTGAGATACTACCAATACTACCAAGATCGATGTTGATGCTCCATCGCCTTCTCCCCCCTCGCAAATATTTTCCCGCGATCTGCTAGTCAGGCAGAGGGCTCACAAGTTGTGCTGCCCGCCATCCACCATCCGATCCAATGTTGTCCTCGTCCCGTTGGCATCCCTAATCTCCTCATTGCCTACCTACATACGCATACCTTACTCCAACGCCACAGTTCCTCAGTGAAGGGCTTTCTTCATCCCATCTTTACACGTGCCAGTTCGATCCCTTCACCGCCCGACCCTGACGATTGCCCTCTTATCGTGCCCCCCGATCATCGGTGCACTGCCCCTCCGTACCTTACTGACAAGTATTCTTGCCAACTTCACAGAGTTCCGTTTCGCACGCACACAGTCGCAGCAGTCGAAACTTGCCGTAGCGGCAATGAGCAATCAGCGGCTTGTCGCGAATCTCAATGCCTCGTCGACAATCCCGCGATCAATCCCGCAGAAGCCCCCGGCAGCGATAGCTACAGGCTTCGACGTTGCGCTAGTGACACCGCGTGATGGCGTGTCCACAGGTTCCTCGAACGGCGACAGCGTGACCTTGCCGCTCCGCCCCGCGCCCCGTGATAAGGATGATTACTTCCCTCCTCCGCCTCCGCATGTCAGTCTTGGACCCCCAGCAAACCCAACGTCTCTGGCCAGCGCTCTTCGTGCGATCAACGATGAGTCCAGTGTCGTCCCTGCGCGTGGGCCTCCTGCGCCTGACGATTCGCCCTACACCAAGAGCATCTCCTCTACTGCTCCAGGCTCGCCCCGAATGTGAGTCCTGGTATTGCTACAAGCTGGATCGACACGGCTGCTAATCATGTATACGACAGACCTCCTATCCGACAGAATTCGGGCTCCCAAACGCCTCGGGTGCGACCCCATGCCACTACACTCAGCATCCCCGGCATGACGCGTTCGCTCATTTCACCTGATGGGCGAATCGCCGATAGGGACGTGGCAGCGAAGCTTGTTATTATCATGGTAGGCCTTCCTGCCAGGGGAAAATCATACATCACGAAGAAGCTCAGACGCTATCTCGCATGGCAACAACACAACACCAAGATCTTCAACGTCGGAAACCGAAGACGCATTGCCAATGTGGCTTCGCCGATGAAACAGCGTGACAACCCAATGGACACGCCAAGGCAGGCTGCTACTCTACTGTTGAACGGTGACGGAGCACACCCCGAGTCCCCAGAACAGCATGAATTGCCATCCTCTGGTCAGGATGAGAAGAACGGGGCACCGAACGACCACTCAGCTAAATTCTTCGATCCTAAAAACGCAGAGGCATCCAGGCAAAGAGAAGCTATGGCTATGGGTACCCTGGATGAGTTGCTGGATTATCTGCTCTGTGGTGGAGGCTCAGTCGGCATCCTTGATGCAACCAACAGCACGGTTGAGCGGCGGCAGGCCCTGTTTGACCGCATCAAGGCAAGAGAGCCCATGCTGGGAATCCTCTTCATAGAGAGTGTTTGCCAGAATCCCGACGTAAGTCCCAGAAGGCTCCAGTTTTCCAGGGGTCGATGCTGACCAGCTTAGTTACTGGAAGCAAACATGCGCCTGAAGCTGTCCGGCCCCGACTACAGGGACAAAGATCCAGTCAAGTCGTTGGCAGATTTCAAAGAACGGGTAAAGGCTTACGAAAGCGCCTATGTGCCTTTGGGTGATTACGAAGAAGACCACGGGATGCAATACATCAAGGTTGGTGTCTTCCCGTTTCCTTGCTGTTTGCGCGGGAGCTAACAGCCGCTCTAGATGATTGACGTGGGCAAGAAGCTCACACACTTTGGGTTGGGAGGCTTTCTCAGCAGCAACATTGCCCATTACCTGTCATCTTTCAATTTATCGCCGAGGCAAATTTGGATTACTCGACATGGTCAATCCGTGGACAACCATCTCGGCAAGATTGGCGGCAACGCTGAATTGACAGACCGCGGCCATTTCTACAGTGAGGCTCTGTACAGATTCATCACGTACAAGAAGAAGGAGTGGACGGTGGACCTGAAGAACAGGATGGCGCACTCATCATTCCCCCCTGCCCCAGGAGACGAGTCGCCGCCTTACCCCGAAATCAACGCCCATGTGGAGGAGAACAATACTTGCGTCTGGACTTCGATGATGACGCGCAGCATCCAAACTGCCCAGCATTTCGAAGCTGACGAGGATTATGATGTCAAGAATTGGGAAATGCTCAATGAACTCAACGCCGGCAAATTTGAGGGCCTGACCTATGAGGAAATCGCGCGCGATCACACCGACGAATATACCAAGCGCCAAAGGGACAAGCTTCAATATGTCTATCCAGGTGTTGGTGGCGAAGGCTACCTTCAGGTTATTAGTCGACTTCGGGACTTGGTCCGTGAAATCGAACGCATCAAGGACCACCTGGTAATCATTGGGCACCGTTCAGTCTGTCGGGTGCTGATGGCGTACTTCATGGATCTCACCAGAGACGACATTGCGGATCTCGATATGCCGCTTGGCATACTGTATGCCATCGAGCCCAAGCCCTATGGCATCGAATTCCACGCGTACAAATATAACGAGGAAATGGGGTGGTTTGATGAACTACCTGATTACAAGCCTCAGAAGACAGTCGACCGCGATGCCTGATGCATTGGCTTTGCGCGCTGTCGACCGTCCCGTGCCTGGACGGTCGTGTATAATACTGGATTCTCAACATGGCGAAGGCGGACTTTACGAAGGGATACCATACAGAGACGGCGGTCGGTGCATATAGAATGCATCAAACGAAGGTGCACGACACATCGACTGGCTGGCTGACGGCATGCGTTGGAGTTTTGGCGTTTTGGGGAATTCCTCTCAACCATCACGGTGGCCATGGCTTCTCAACCTGTGACAAGAGTGCTTAGTGCTTCAAGAGGTGCAATGGGTCGTCGCCGGCCATTTCATGTTGCTCCACCCGGCATTACTGGCCGAAGCTCCAGAGAACTTTTTAGACTAGCATTTACCTTTAGATTCTGAGACTCGCCTTGTCAACTGTATATACCAAAGAGCAGCCTCTAAAACTTTCTTGTCAAATGCGTGACGTGTGGTTGGTAGGGCTTGCTTCGAATGAAGGGGGTGACATGTCTGGCTCCTTTAGTCCTCCCGCGCGAGTAGCTGAAAATAACAGTCCGCACATCTAACTGTCATCTGATTTGGACTTGATGCCTACAGGTATTTCTTTCAGGGGTAGTTAGCTGGCTGGGATAAGTACCGGACCGCTGCTTGTTCTGCTGTGGTTGGGTTCCCCTTTCTTGATAGCTCCCTGCCTGAGACATACGGTATGTATCGTTCAGTTATTATTGATGAAATCAGAGGGTTGGAACTAGTATTTGATCGCGTATTGCCTAGAGCACCAACTGCGGACTGTGTGTGGTCACGTTCCTCATATGAACTACCTGCTGCTGCCCTCAGGATATGTACTCGCTTGAGAGCCTTACTTCGTCGTTCCAATTCTTAGGTATTCATCTGGCTAAAGCAGTTATATGTGACCAACTGGTTTTATCTGACCAGAATCTGCACAGGGGAGTACCGACCCATCTAGTCTAGATCCTCCTCCGAACTCAGTTCTTCCCCGTGTTCAACGAGCTGTTCGGGTCGAAGACAGCAGTGGTGATAAGCTCAGGGTATTGCACATCGCCCTGCTTCAGCGCCTCCTCCATGACCTCCATGATGACGATGCTCTCGGACAAGGGCAGCGTGGCGCTCTCCTTCTTGCCGTCGCGCAGACAGCGCGCGCACTCGTCGGCCTCCCAGAACATGCCGTGACCCCAGTACCCACGCTCGGCGTCCGTCGGAATGGGGCAGTCGACGACCTCGACCTTGCCGTCGCAGTCCTTCTTCACGATGCGATACTGCTGGGGCCGGAAGGCCGGGCCCACGACCTGGATCTCGCCGAGCGGGCCCTGGATCTTGATGGCCGGCCCCCCGCTATTCTTGCCGTCGGTGTCGGTGGCGATCCGCAGCGCCGTCATGGCCACGCCCATGCTCTTGTGCTGCGGGAACTGCAGGATGATGTTGGTCATCTCGTCGGCGCCCGTCCGGTACTTGTTTATGGCCGCCACGGTCTTGGGCGCCTCCTTCTGCGACTCGGGCTGCAGGTGGTACAGGATCTGAAAGAGCCACGTGAGCGAGTAGATGCCCAGGTCCAGCAGTGCGCCGCCTGCCAGGTCCGGGTTCACCATCCGGTGCTCGTCCGGGAAGGTCACGGTGCCGTCGGGCCCGTCATTACCAACCGAGTTGTCGGCTAGAATCACAATTATCAGTATGAAGTCAGAGGAGCAAGATAGTAGTACTCCCGAACCCGGGAATCCGAGAAGTTCGCGGTGCTGCTGAGTACTCACCAATCACACGGTAGACGGGGCCAATGGCACCTGACTGCACCAGCTCTCTGATTTTGACACTGAGAGGGAAATATCTCGTCCAGACGGCCTCCATCAAGAAGAGGTTCTTCGCCTTGGCCGTCTCGACCAGCTTCCGGGCCTGCGCGGCATTGACAGTGAAAGCCTTCTCACAGAGGACGTTCTTCCCGGCCTCCAGCGCCAGCATGGTGTTCTGGAAGTGGTGGCTGTGAGGCGTGGCGACGTAGACGATGTCCACGTCTGCATTGTTGACCAGCTCGGCGTAGGAACCGTACGCCTTGACGCCCTCCGGCGCCTTGACCTTCTCGAGGAAGGACGCGGCGCTGTCCTTGGAGCTGGACGAGGCCACGGCGACTAGCTTGTGGGCGACGTCGTCGACGTCGCGGCTTGCGGGGTTGGTGAGTAGATCCTTGGTGAAGGCTACGCGGGCGTGAGTGTCGTGTCACATGGCGTCTGGATATATGGGAGTGGGCGACTCACTCTGAGCAATGCCTCCGGTGGCCATGATGCCCCACTTCACGGTAAAGGGTTGCGACGCCATCTTGGATATCCGATCGTGCTTAAGTACCGGGCTGTATGTACCTCTGGAATAAACGTTCACTTGACAGATAAGACCCGACGAGAAACCTTAAGAGTGATCCATTGATTGTTGATCCGTGTTTGAGGGTTAGGAAGCTACGATGTGCTCCCGTCACCTTTCCATTGCGGCAAGCACGAGTGGGGTAAACTGTAAACTGCCCATAATACATATGCATCCATTTTCATTGACGTCGAGGCAGTGACGTCGAGGGGGTGGGTGCCCGCAGCAGCGTCTCCTTCCCAACCTTAGATCGTCTTTTTCGGATCACATAGCCGCGCAACCGGAGAGGTGGTTCAGCAACTTGACCTTAGCCGGAGCTCTTCACCTGGCATGGCGTGGAAACCACCTCCTGCAGCCTGGAGGTATACTATTCGGTCGGAAATACTGTTTCGGCTCATCAATGAGCCGAAATCGCTCTAGCGACTCTGCAACCCCGAGAGCGGTGTCTATATCATTACCTACTCATTCGACGTTGCTCCTCGCAAACACATCTCACACTCATCTGCGTGGTCTCTCTGCTTGACAGGCCCTGAGTCCGTCGTCAGCGAATAACCCAGCGTTCGCATTGGCCTTTCCTGACTGGCTTCGTGCTACACCTTGTACCTGTCACTGACATGGAAGAAGAGATCTAACTGCTATACGCTGCCTTGCAATTCGGACGGCGAGAGAAAAAGAGAATATGTCAGCGATTTTAGCTTTCCAATTTGGTGTAGATGACGTACACTGCTCCAGTCTACTTACCTACATTTTCGACGCACGACTCACTCTGGCTGCTGGACAACAGGGAAGGCATTCGACAGAAGCGGCAGGGTAGAGCTAAGGATGACTCAGAAGCGACTGCTAGAAATAGGCTGCCTGTGCAAAGCAACGTCGACCTTCCTCCCCGTCTTCGCCGAGTGGATACACGTATAGGTAAGAAGAAGAAATGGTCGTTGCACGGGCAATGAGACACGCAAGTGCAAGATGCCTCATTCCCCGCGTCGTGCTACTCGACAGCCAGGCTGTTGCCCACTTGCGGTCCTGGCCACGCCGAGGAAGGTACAAGGCGTTACAAAGACGAAATGTCACTGTGGACATGAAGCAACCTCGTTCTACGCCTGGCAAATCCACCAACCAAGCATTGACGCATTTCCTACAAGCGTCGAGAACAGCATACTGCAAACCCACGCATCTCCTGTCAGCTCACCAGCTCCGCCCTCGCTGTCAATTCCAACCCTTCGCGTCAGCTGCAATGGTCGACTGGTCAGCACCAATGCCGGATCTCCTGTACGGGACAGCGTGGAAGGAAGATCAAACGGCAGTGCTGGTCGAACAAGCCCTGAAAGCCGGCTTTCGTGGCATCGATACTGCAGCTCAGCCACGCCACTACAATGAGGCCCTGGTAGGTTCTGCTGTCAGAACAGCAGTGCTGACTGGAGTTGTCGAGGAGCGGAGAGCCCTATTTGTGTGTCGTCCTCAACCACAGCTACAGCGCAGGTCTCAGGCAGTGAGTGACTGACATTCATGCAGATACAGACGAAGTTCACACCCATCGGTGGGCAGGACCTCGACAACCTGTCATACGACCCGACCTCATCACTAGAAGACCAAGTGCACGCCTCGGTTATGTCTTCGCTTGGCAACTTTGACTATATCGACTGCCTGATCCTGCACTCGCCACTGGACACACTACCAGAGACGGTCAGGGTCTGGAAGGCTCTTGAGACCTACGTGCCACACTGCATCAGGCGGCTAGGGATTTCCAACACTACCATTCGCACGCTCGACCATCTGTGTACCGATCCCGGGATCAGGGTCCGTCCGGCCTGCGTGCAAAACCGGTTCAGTCCGGCGACGCGTTGGGATATCGTGATACGGGCCTACTGCCGTGAGAGGGACATCAAGTTTCAGGCATTCTGGATCTTGACGGGAAATCCCGAGCTGCTTGCGAGTAAGCCGGTGCTGGAGCTTGCAGAGGGTGCAGCCATCGGGGCCCCGATTGCCTTGTATGCACTTGTGTTGGGATTGCAGGGCACGGCTATTTTGAGCGGCACAACGGACTGGAAGCACATGAATGACGACCTGAAGGTGACTGAAGTTGTGGACGTCTTTTCCCGGAGTGAAAGCGGCCGGAAAACCTGGTCGGATTGCCTTTCCGAGTTCAAGAAGATGATCGGGGAGGTGCATTAGCCGGATCAGACTGTAAGGTGGTCGGCAGAAATGAGTCAATTGAGATAGAATAGAATACGGAAACCCTAGAATATCATGGCGTTGTTCATATGAGATTGGTGAGACAGTTCATGTGGTCTTGACAGAGTGTGGGTATGTTGACTCTGCGAACTTCATCAGCCACACGCGCCAATTTCAAAACTGTCCACCCACAAAAACCCTCTCCGCCCGGCCCTCGCCTCTCACGACAATACGCCCGTCAGCATACCAGACCGATATTCTGCTCGTGCAACCCAAGAGCCAACTGTCCGGGGTCCGGGATCTATCCGTAATCGAGCCATCAGAAGCACGCAGGTGGCAGTCAGCCATTGAGCCGACCATCTGGTTCAGCGAATGGGAAGAGATACGTCACGAGTCACGACGTAAGATTCTGGCCAAAAGCTCTTGCGACCTTGTGTACCGTACCGTCCGCAACGAATTGAGCAGTAGCAGCAGTAGCAGTGGCTTTCGGCGGCTGTTCGCCATATCACCCTGCAGGAGCCGGCCGCCGACTTGGAGGCCTGATCATCTATCGAGACGCATTGAAGCGCGGTGTGGGTTGGCCAACCTTAACCCGACTGCACCTGATCCATCCCGGGGTACACGCCCAGACTTATTATTACGTGTGACCCGAGGAGGGTTTCGGAGTACCACGCAACACCTTACCCTGTGGCCACCGAGCTGCGGCCGACGATCCATCCCATTGTTCTGGTACTCGACGGCGTCGCGTGCTGCCACCAGATCTAGTCTGTAGCAGCGCGGCCGTGCCGTCATGCAAGAGAGTCAGGGCCAGCATATGCAGCCGTTGCAGATGCAGGCGCAGGCGCAGAGCCCGGACCAACAAATCAGTAGCTCAGCCACTGGTGCTGCAACATACCCAAGTGCTCCCGGCACCGGAACAGACAAGATGAGCACCGCAGCATCACAGCAAGACGCGGCCGGCTCTTCCGGGCCCGGCCCCGTCCCCATCCCAGCGCCCGACGTGGCCGAGTCGTACGAGCAGCAGCACGTGCACAGCGTCTACGAGTCCATCGCGCCGCACTTCTCGGCGACGCGGCACAAGCCGTGGCCCGTAGTAGCATCCTTCCTGTCATCGCTGGCCCCAGGCTCCGTCGGGCTCGACGTCGGCTGCGGCAACGGCAAGTACCTGGCCGTGAACCCAGCCATACACATCCTGGGCTCGGACCGCAGCGCCCAGCTCGTGCGCATCGCGCGCGACCATGGCGGCGAGCGCCGCGCCGACGTCGCCGTTGCCGACGGTTTGGCGCTGCCGTTCCGCAACGGGCGGGCGGATTTTGCGGTCTGTATTGCCGTGTTGCACCACCTTTCGACCAAGGAGCGGCGCGTCGGGGGCGTGAGGGCCCTGCTGGACGCGGTCAGGGATGATGGCGGGAAGATATTGGTTTTTGTCTGGGCGCTGGAGCAGAGGAGTAGTCGCAGGGGCTGGGACGAGGGCTCGGACCAGGACCAGCTCGTGCCGTGGGTCATGAAGACGAATAAGACGAAGCCGAAGCCGAAGAGCGAGGTGGAGGGGCAGGGGGAGGGCGACGGCGACGGCGACACGACGTATCAGCGGTACTACCACCTGTACAAGAAGGGCGAGCTGGAAGAGGACGTCGTGGCGGCCGGGGGCAGGGTCCTGGACAGCGGCTACGACAGGGACAACTGGTGGGTGGTAGGGAGCCGTGGGGAACAAGCGAGCATCACCAGCTAGATTGGTCCCCAAGGGACAGTAAGATAACATGAACATCAACCACGAGAAGACTACAATACATACCACAGTACATAGGGGCTGTGTGCATTGTGGGTATTGTGTAAGTTAGGTACATATCCAAAATGGCAAAAATCAGATGCCGGGCATGTTTTGACCCTGTCTAGACTAAGGCACCCATTCCCCCTCACCCCTTTTCGGTCTTGATCTATCATGACATAAAGCTGCAAAGCAAGCAAGGCTTTGAACACGCTCAGGCACCCCGAACCCAGACCCCGAACCCAAATCCCCTTGCTCCTGTCCCTGTTCCCGCTTCCACTCCCGGTTCCCCATCCCCTTTGGTATGTATGTGCGGATAATAATGATGCTGCGCTGGAGAGTGTGTAAACATGTAAACATGTAAACAGAAGAAAATCAAATGCAAACGGAAATCATAGCCTCGCACCGCCCGCCCGCCCGCCTATCCTGCCGGATCCCGCCTGCCGCTCCGACCAACCTCGTCGTTTGTTTGTTATCCGCCTCAGCCGTACGCCCCCGTATCGCCAGAACTGATCGCCAGGACTAGCAGAAACCACCAAGAAAACGTTTTTGAATCCTCTTCTCTCCTCTCTTGTGCGCCGATATTGTCTCGTGTACGGTAAGATACGGTAAGAAGGTAAGGTGGAGAAGGTATGGTGGAAAAGTAACCTATCTCGACAATGAGGAAGGGAGTAATGACATGGTACGAATAGAATAAAAGCTCTCTCTAACCGACTTGCTGCTGACAACACACGGTATATTTATCTCTATTGCTTCTGAAGTATTCGCCCAGTGGATGTGGGAAGGGGATGTTTTCGTCAAGTCATCTGGTCCGTCGTCAATGCGTTCGTTGTAACATGTGTATGTGCGCGCGCGCGCGCGTGTGTGTACCCCGTGTGCCACGTTTCTTGTGACATTTTCGCCTCGTAGATGGGTAGGTAGGTAGGCATGGTCGAATGGAATGGAATGCTTGCTCGGGACCCAATGCGACAGCGGCGGCGAGCGTGCTTGGCTGATTGCGTCGACGCGAGCGCAGTAGATGATCCAAGGCGGATGGGTGTGGGTGGGTGGGTGGGTGATGGTGCGGTGCGAAGCTTGCTGGCAAAACGACGTTAATCAACAGATGGAATACCGATGCAAGTCCCCCTGAGAGACACATTCCCCTGAGACACCTGCTAACTCCAGAGAGAACTCCGAGTCTAGTTCGAACCGCACACAACCTTCCTTGGCCCAACTCCTTGCTCCTCTATGTTCCCCCTCTTGCATGTCCATTCGTTCGTTCGTTCGTTCGACCGACTGACTCCTTTTCCGAGTTGAGCCACGCCGGTATCTACATCCGCCGCGGCTGCGCCGCATCGTACGGGTCCGCACGGGGATCGAGATGTCGCCGCCGACTGCTGCTGCTTCCACTCCCACCACCGCCGCCGCTCTCCTCGCGCACCATGCCCATGCTCATGTACTCCGGGCTCCGCCGCCGCTTCGAGGAGCTTCCAATACCACTACCACCCGGCTCGGCCAGGGGCGGGTACCCCAGCGACGGCCCGTACGGCCCCGGGCTCGCGGTCCGGGCGCTGTGAGCGGGACTAGCGCTCGGGACGCCGGCCGAGTACGCCGGGGTGCTGTAGGGGCTCACGCCCGTCGAGAGCTCCGCCACGCCGGGCAGCACCATGCCGCCGCCACCACCCTGGCGCGACGCCTGCTGCGGCGGCAGTTGTTGCGGCGGCGGCGGCGGCGGGGGGCCCTGCGGCTGCATCTGCGTCTGGATCGGCGCGAGGGGCCCGCCGTGGTGCGGGTACGCGAAGACGTCCGGCGCGTGCGGGTGTGGGTGCGTCTGGTATTGTTGGAATTGCTGATGCTCGGGGTGCGGCGGCAGGTGGTGGTGGTGGTGAGGAGGCGGGAGGCTTTCTCTTCGCGAGGCGAGGGAGCGGCCAGGGGGCAGCGTGCCGCTGCGGCCATAGCTGCCGCGTGGGTGGCTATGGCCCAGGTCTCCTCGTGGCAGGCTTCCTTGCGAGAACGAGTGCGCGTGATGGCGGGCCGATCCCCCCCGCGCGCCGCCGCCCGGTTGCCCCTCGTAGCTCTGGGCTGAGAGGGAAAAGGGGGTCACGCCTGCGCGGCGCGCCATGTCTTGCTCGCCCAGCTGCCAGTGCATGTGCTCGGCCGCCCGCCACGGTATCGCCATCTCCTCTGCGATTTTTGCCCACATGTCGGGTTTGAACCTAGACTGTTTGTTAGTGTTTGTGATCGTCGATTTCTCCCGGCTTCTCCCCATCGAGCTGCCGTCGTCTTCTGATTCAGGGGGGGCAGGTCCGCAGAACTGGTGACAGCTTCCTCCGGTTGTTCTTTGGGGGAGACTTACCTCTCGTACAGTCTGGCGAGCTTGTTCTTGCGGTCCTCGTCCCAGTCGAGCTTTCTCTCGAGGTAGTTCTGGTAGTGGAGCCGACAGCTGATGGCGCTGCGTCCGGGCAGCCTCTTCGAGATGTCCTCCCACTTCATGCCGCCGCCCCGTAGCTCGATGATAACGGCGTCCTCGTCGGGGGACCACTTGCTCTGCCTCTTTGCCGGGGACTCTGATGAGTGGGGTGGCATGTTGCGCTTCCCGGCCGCTCCTGCTGCTGCTCCCACCGCCACGGTCGCCGGCAGCCCGATTCCTAGTCCCAGTCCTCCTCCGAAGAGGCGAGGGGCGGCATACAACGGGGGCCCGAGATACGCCGTCGTCGCGACCGCCGGATCCACAGGGGGCGGTACTGGGGCGGTTCGGCTGTGCTGAGGCGGAGACACGGAGGACTCATTTGAGTCGGAGGCCTTGAGGAGGGAGGCGATATCCACGATGCCGGTAGGTCACCTAACGAGCCTTGACAGGCTACTGCGCATGGAGGCGTTATCTTGGGGATGGTATGCGGGTCTGGCCGGCTTCGAAAGGGGTTGTTTTCGTGTTTGGTAGGGTCTCTCCTGAGCTCTTTAAACGCGTTTTCGTCTCTGTTTGGTGCACTTCTTGCATTCCCGTGGGCTGAACGAGGAAAACTGGGGTTACGGGGAGACTAGACTTCCAGGCCGAGTCGAGCTGGGGCTGCTTAAGGTTGAACGAGCGAGTGTGTGGTGACTGTTGCGTATGACAAGGAGCTGGTGTAAGACGAAGATGGTTGTGCTTCTATGGTTCGGGAGTAGTAGTCGAAGAACGTATCGAAGAAAGCCAGATAGATCAATGTACCACGCTCGCGTTGTTCTGGGTGTCAACATGATTGGGCACAGCTCAGTCTACTTTCCAACCAATAAACGGACAAAGTGACAACCTTGGAGGCTTCGACAACGAGGCGCCAGAACGGGTGAATACGTCAGTCGAACTGGGTAGCTGGTAAGTATCTGGCCAGCGGGAAGTACTTCTTCTGGCAGTCATAACTTCCTGAGGAGTGTCATTATAGGGTTATCAGGGTACTAGAGGGATCACGTCGGGTTCGTGCAGCGTAATTTGATATAGGAAGAAAATAAATACTCAAGTGGGATTTCTGATGAAGGAACTGGTGGACACCTGGGTCGACGAAGTGCAGAGGTGTAGTAGTAGCAGTGGGGGGAGCAAGGCCAGGGTTCAGGTAACAACCCATCAAGCAGATCAAGCTGACGTGTGGTATGTACCAAGAACGACAGGGGAGGGGGTGAGAGCTTTGGGTGTGTCGAAACATCGAACTGTGGGGACCACATACAGCAGTTTCTATATGGCAAGTTGGACAGGTATGATAGAGCCAGTAGTTCGTATGATGAGGTTGGGTAGCACTTCACTCACTACATCTCCATGGAGCAGACTGTATTAGTGGCGGTGGAGGACCTGGTGAAGCAAAGCTATTCAAGACACCCTCTCTCTGTCTCTCTCTCCCTCTCTCTCCCTTCTCCCTCTCGCTTGAACGCGACACGCTGCCTCGAGTACGCACATGCTGTAGTCGCACGTCTGCCACCAGAAGTCTTAGATATGAGGTCAGGATTTGGACACACGGCATGCTAGCCATATGAGCTGCTAGTGACTGGGGCGTTGATGACACTGCCACGATAGCATGCATGAGCTCGCAGAAAACAATTCACCACTCCCCATCTTTCTGGTTAGCACCGTAGAGTAGCGACAGACCGGCGGATTAATGACGCAAAAAGGAGCGACGAACTGAAGAAACAGAGCGGAAACTAAACGAACGATGCGTTCCGGGTTCCCAGACAGCCCGAACCGGTATGGCTCAACCAGGGCTTTGCTTGCACGGGCTTCAAGGAGTTGCCCTGAAGTCTGGACACGACACTTTGGAAACCAGGATTTACAGTGCCAGACCAGACCCTCAGGTCGCAGAAGCACTGCAGAACACGCACATGCAAATGAAGCACCACCTGGCTTTGCAATAGGGCAGCTCTGAGCTGGTAAGCCCGGTGCCGGCCAGGGCTTGGAGGAACCATGGCGATCCATGTATGGTAGGGCAGCACATGGGCTTGGAGGAGATCGATTCGGAGAAAGGACCAATCCCGGTCGAACGATGAGTTCCAGAAGGCCCCAAGGACGAAGAGTTCAAGCGGCGGTGGCTTCCATGAGACCGCATGGGGATGGGTACCATGAAACCGACTGCCATATGCTACTTACTGCCGATGTGCATATACAGCCTCCCTGGCAGCTGGTTACCTTGAGACCTGCGGTTGCTAGACAAGTCACTCGAAAGGGCAGACAGGACTGTGTATTGCTGTGCGCTGTGTGTGGTCGGCCGCGAATCGCCTGCGCCTATTTTTCCGGACATGGGTGGTCCTTCGTGATGGACGCATGTGGGTATGTAAGTGGGTGTCCGATGTTAGATCGGACAGCGTTAACCGCAGAAGCGAGGGGGTGATCTGTCGTGTCGTCTGTCGTCTGTTGTCTATATAGTTCTTCCATGACAAGTCCCCACCCAGCAATCGCTCCAGCACGAGGTACATTGTCCGATTGTCCATCGCCCAGTGTCCGTTGTCCATTGTCCATTGTCGCAAGCCCCTTGTCCTACCTCCCTCGCGCTACAAGGCTTTTGTCTCCCTCGGGAGCGGGAAATGGGGCTCTCTCTTCAACGCAGGACTGCAGACTGCAGACTGCAGAGCCTGACCACCCTGACGTCTGTGCGGCGCTCCCGACCTTTCGGCTCACACTTCACACTTCACACATTGTCTGTCAGATGAGGCATATCGTAACGCTGTTCATCCGGTAGTCTGGCAGCTGCCACAATGGTTTGCAAGGGGACTACAGCTACGGCAACAAGCAGTTCCTAAGAGCCTGGTTGCTGGGATCAGGCCGCTTGAGCTGGCAAACTGGCGGTCAGCTGTGCATACCGGTACAAGAGACAGACTTCTGCAACTTGTATGAGAAGTACCTTTTTCCTGAGGCGGTACCGACCATCTGCCCTGCCTGTCCATGGCGTGCATTGCGACAACTGCGATGAACCATGATCTGCTTTGGGGGAGAGAAAGTTGGCCCATCCTCATGCATGCATGCCGGCCCAGAGACAGACTCTTCAAGCCACAAGAACCCGCGTGCTTTATCTGATGTCTATCTGATGAGATCGAGGCCCCTCAGATGAGGAGAAGGAGAAAAGAGCTGTGCCAGTAGGCGCAGTTCAGGGTCCAGGCAAACAGGGGGAATGGCTATCCAGCTGGGGTGGGCCGTGGATAGGTCCACATCAGGCATTGGACACTGAGACTGGGTAGTTAAGGCCGTTCTTATTTGTGCGCTGCACAGCTGGTAGGGCATACCCGGCACCTAAAAGGGCCGGACTTCGTTCGTTCGTGCGTTCGCTCACGCGTGCACTTGCTGCTTCCTATTTGTTGCTTGCCTGTCATTCATTGCGCTCACACCGGCCGGAGCGGAGCGAAGCGTGTGGGGTGGTGGGTTGGTGGTTGATCGACAACCGGCGTGTTTGGCTGTTGGTGCCCGAACAAAGCGGATCGTGTCTTTTGCTTCTCCGTTTGCGCATCACTTTATTAGCAACATGCGCCATAGCCCTACTAGGCCACGAGGCGAATTAGTAATGGTATTGTTGCAGTCGAGGGTAGCCGAAACAGTCGAAACCTGCGGAGGACAAGGAACAAAAGAAAAGCGACAAGTCCAATGCGGCAACGGCGGGTAGGCGGGCTTGAGGCGGTACGGCACGTTCCTCCTATAATTGGTAGCGTATGGCCGAGCGCTTCACGATATTGCCTTCGTTATGTCCCCGTGAAGCACTCTTGAGCTGATGCGGCCTTGTGGAGAGAGGCGCGTGCCACGCCAACTTGCTACGCAGCGAGTGCGACATCCGAGGTCCAGTGAGGCGACGTGTATGTAGGTGCTCCTTTGTTTCACCCCCTAGGTTCCGACAGGCTGTTCTGCCAAAATTCCCCGTGGCCAGTCAATCCTAGGACCGTCCGGTTGGGCTCGCCGCTCATCAGCCCCCAAATCTTTGAGCCACCATTTGCCCAATTGAAGTCATTGTGACACAAGCCGCTCATGGTGCCCTGAATATATTTCATACCTGGCTGCCGGACGGTTGCGTTGGCCCTGCAGCGGTGCTGGACTCGGCTGTCCAACTTCACTGTTGTCTTTGTCGAATAGGTACTTGCATACACCACTTAATGCCCGTATACCCACCCATCTGTGTGTCATCTGCCGGCTTGCGACTCGCTACCATGTGTGCGACCACAATGTCATAGTCCTGTCAATTCCGGTAGCCGTCATGTTGCAGGTCCGCCACCGTGAGGCTTTTTGCAAACCTGGCTATTGTGGTGGAACATAGCCCGGTTGCTACCTGATATCTCGACCTGGGTTCCCAGTCTCATAGATGCCAAACCGCCACAATTTCAAGCCCAATGCGAACAAAGCCTCTTTCCGCAAGGCACCGAACGAGTTCGCCACTTTCCTGGTGGGTCGGGTCGTGACAGCGTTACAAGTTTGGGTGAACAGCGCACATCATGGGCTAACGCGGTACGAACCATGACAACATACCGTTCCCGCATGTAGGGGTCGCCAGCAAAGGTGCTTTCTTTTCGTATAAGCCGAACGAACGGGCATCCAAGAACCGGTAGACGCATGTACTGAGCTGTATCAAGTTCAGCCATCGTCGACGCGGCTTGTCTGCTCGGCAAGCTGGCCTTGCAGGTTCCGTGATATGAGGCTGCTTTGTTTGCTTCCTCTAACAATAAGTCACTGGGTCGTAGTTCCCGTCTTCCCCGCGAGGCCTAGCCCGGAAAGCGGCTTAACATCAAGGGCGGGCGAACGAGACAACTGGCAAGGCGGCCTGCCTTGGATATCACTATCGTTTCCTGAACAAGGTCTGCCTGCCATGAGTTTCGCGGTAACTGGAAACCCCCAGAAGGCGTTGACGAAAGGCGTGCCGTTATCCGTTCGTAAATGGCGTTTCTCCCCAGCGCAATCGCATCCATCCCGCCATCTTGACGTGATGTGTCGATGCCGCTGAAGGTCAGTCGTGTACCCAGGGGATTGGATCTTGGACAGTGATGCAAACGGCGCCGTCCAATGAACGAATCGCCTGCAGCATGCCGACGATGAGTAGGTGCATATAAGTCCCTTCCTTGGATGCGGTAGATACCCATCTATCATTCGGTACTTTACCTGGCCACCTGCTTGGGGATATGCCGTATGAGGTTTGGCGACCAAGATGCATGCAGCGGTCCTTGGGGAGGCATGCTACGTAATCGAATGTCGAAATCTCACTGGAAGACTTGTTGCAACTTGGAAGTTGTGAAATATCGACAAGACTCAACCTTGAAGGGGTGAGATGAGGCGGAGGCGTCAAGCCACAGCAGTAGGGTCCTTATTAGTTCAGGTGACAGGGGGGTCCACACAACGGTTGTTCGTGCCTGCCCAGTGCCGGTCCAGCCTGCCAGTGTGGCTGCGGTTGCTACGACTTCCGTTCTATTCAACACGTGCCGTCCAAGGCTGCGACTTCCTGGATATCCACGACTCTTCACCTTCAGTGCACCGTCGCAAATATTACCCAAGTTGGCAAGTCCAGACCATACGAGCGCCACCAATATATCCTGCGTTTGGCAAATTGATCCCTTGCAAGGAAGACCTCCAGTGTTTGGGACGATACCTCAGCCCTATCTTTTCTGCCAGCCTCAAGGAGAAGAAGCACAAACGTGCTTGCCCAGTGCCTGCCTCACCTTACGGCCTTAGGTGAACTCTTGCGGTTGCCCGTCCAATTATAGCCTCGATCCGCAAAACATGGCCGACATACCACTCCTGGTCATCTCCGAGAACTCGTCGTCCGAACGACGGATCACCCCGTCATGGTCTATCACTCAGCTGAAAAGCAAACTTGAGCCGGTCACTGGGATTCCGCCCTCGTGCCAGCGCATCAGTCTGAAGACTGCGACCAAGGAGACCGTTGCCATCGAGGCAGCGAACGAGGACCTACAGTTCCTGTCGAGCTTTCCGCTGTATGCGTATGCCGAACTACATGTAAGTGTTGACAATATCATCGAGGCTCCGTGCGCCACACGTTGCTGGCGAATTGGAAGCTGCTACGACTCGGGCACCCTTCCTGCTTTGACGACGGCTTGCCAAAGTACAAGGCTGACACTTCCTTCAAGATATCCGATACTCGACCAGCTGGGGCCAGGATCAATTTCAACGACACGTCTGGTGTTGAGAAATATGTAATGCCCCCCGAGGAGTACGAGAAGAAGTCCGACTCGGTCTTGGCGTGGAAGAAGGCCGAAAAGCTTGGGCGATTCAACCCTGATGCTCCCAGCCTGGAGAAGGCCAAGCTTGAGGCCTCTGATTTCGAGGTCAGGAGCCGAGGCATCGAGGTAGGAAAGCGGTGCAGAGTGGGTGGTGACGACTCCCGCAGAGGCGAGATCAAGTTTGTCGGCGAGGTCAAGGAGATCCCGGGTGTTATAGGTGCCTGGGTTGGGGTTCACCTCGACGAGCCAGTCGGGAAGAACGATGGTTGCATTGGAGGGACGCGCTATTGGGGTACCGAGTCACAGCTCAAGCATGGCGTCTTCGTCAGACCAGAGAGGGTCGAGGTAGGCGACTGGCCAGTGCTTGACGATCTGGAGGACATGGAAGAGATATGATTGTACGTATCCTTCACCTCCACACCAATGGCAGTATCACACCCGCGGTCAGTCGTCTTCCATGTCACAAGCGTTGGCCGTCATCAAGGTTATCATTAGAGCTTTGGTATCATCGTCACACATCAATCCTCGACCGCGTGAAGTGGGGATGACGCGCCTCGCGCTGGCAAAACCATTCGAAGACAAGGTCCGTGACGGATAGCTATGCCTTCGTAGTCGAGCTCGTGGAAGCCTACGGTTCACCAGAAGATGTCGCGTCTTGCTTCATGGACCTCTGATGGTGCGCACGGCAAAGTAGTCCTCAATGTATTGTCGTACTCCAATACCTGACAGCGGGAAACATGCCTCCGGAGGGTCAACAACAATGAAACAGTCATCTCGAAACATTCTCGTCGCTGTCCACGTGCTTCAGAGACAGCTACCGGTAGTTGTGATAAGCAGGATGCCGAAGTTTTTGCTTCGCCCTGACACAGCAATGCGCCTGCCGGCGATCACAAGGATAATTGATGTCCCTAACAGATGTTGCGTTGCACTGTTCAAGCCTCAATTCTTGGCTTGGCCTGACCGGGTCTGACGGCTAGATACTGTGGCCGTCAACGGGTTGCTCCTGAAGGAATTTGACATCGGCTACGGCGCCCATCTCACCAGGGCTGATTTGCATTCTGTCGCATAGCCCTCCCTATCTGTCACCAACAAGAATCCATTCACGTGATCGGATAAAGCAAATCGTATTCGATACGGCGGTCCAAGCAGATGACGCCGCTCGCATCGACTACGACCTTACCAGCATGGAGTGCCACCTCGAGGATACGGACGCTCGTTGCGCGGAGAATATCAATCCTTCTGTAAACATTGCGACAAGACGGGCAACGCGAGGATTCCGAACTGCGAAAGGTTCTTTTTCCCTCTCGCGCTTTGGGGGCGGGTTTGGGTATTTGACACAAATGGCGATCCTCAGGGGCCCGGCTCTGTGGCGCAGCGGTTTATGGGGATGGAGGGATCGTACCATGGTTGCACGAAAACTTTCCGAGTCAGCCGAGAAGCCACAGCGCAACACTGGAGGTGTCGTGATGAAGTATTTGCAAGGTCAGCGGCGTCCTGTCAAACAATGTTTGTGCAGGGCCGTATCTTGCAGGTATTCTTCACGGATGATGCATTCCAAGTTCGCTTATCAGATCCCCGTGGTCTGAGGCTCTTGTATGCAGCCAACCATTGTCTCACGAAACCACGAACCCACGATCCATAGACTCACCGCCGACTCCGGCCACCGGAATAGTAACATCCAAGAAGGGAAGTTACAATAAAAGAGCTGCGGGGAAGTAAACACCATTCCTCATTGGAACACGGCCGGCGATATTGAAAGGGCATAGCAAGGTTTGTTATGAGCGCTGTTATACCGGACCCGGCCCGTGCGCCTGGCCGGATCGGTCGACTTGAATCAACGATGAGGAGATGTCATGTTTGAGGTGCTATACTCCTTGGTTGCTAATTGTTACATCTGACGAACCGTTAACTTTGGGCGTGAATATTGGTTATACAGCCAAAGGAGCGAACTGCACCATCATAGATAGAGGCGAGGGGCTGGCTGGCTGAGGGGTTCGGTGTAGACAAACAGTAGTGCGCAAACTCTATGCTTCCATACATATATGCCGAGGAAGCAAGTTGGGGGGTTCTCTTGTCTATGAGTGTTCGGTAAGTTGGTGTTTCCACGGCCAAGGAACCGAGAGCTTGAGGCGCAGCTCTGTAGATCTGTAGGGTTTGGGGGATCGTCTGCTTTAACAACACAGATGGCGCTAAAACGATGCCCGTCTCGGAATTGCCCATCAAGCCACACAACCGTTGGTGACGCTCAACCGGGGGAAGGTGGGGACGGCGGCCCCGCCTGCGATAAGCGATAGGCCCGGGCGTTCATCGGCTACCGGACTAAACTCACAGGGCCATGTATGACTACATCTACATGTATGACTACCTCTTTATGCACTGCACAGCATGCTAGCTGGTTAGGTACAATCCATTGATTACGTCGACGTCCAAAGGCACCTCATACAGGTAAAGTCATTGGATCAATTGCGGAACAGGATGGCTCTCGCATAGGGTAGGGGCTCTTTGATGAGTGTACTGACACATCTTGGCGGCCTTGTTTGGACAGCGCCCCCGCTGATTTGGAATCTTGGCGGTTACTTACAGGCCTACCACAGCTCAGCACAGCCTTTGGATTCTGGAGTCTGGGAATCTGGAATCCAAATACCCATCCACCATCCCTGTCGTATCTGTCGTATCTGTCGTATCGTAGCCGGCGCCCGTCTACCCCACAGCTCAGCCGGACGGCCATACAGCCATACAGCCCACCTCTGTCATCCGTCATCCGTCATCCATCATCGACGCCATCCGTCGACTGCTCCGGAGTTGCCGCCTCCTATTGTTTCCATACAACTATGCCGCCTCCCAAACCTCCTCCAAGTTGAGACCGTCAAACCGCCCTTCTTGTTGTCGTCGACGCCGATCAGGAAGACCAAGAAACGCCATCGAGAAAATCCCCGGCCTGATGTCTTGTTTCCGAAGAAGAGTGACAGCCTGAGACGCGAAACCAGCCTTTAGGCTAGGTGTGCCGTTTCCCACAAACCAAGCGCTTTTCGCTTTCTGCCGCTGCCGCTGCCGCTGTCTTGGTCCTCGCGCTTCCTTCTTCCCTCTTCCAGCTATTCCACAACCGCTGGTCGATCGTGTGAGAGCCAACCTCCAACCCCGCCGCGACCATGCCGAGCATCGCCGCTGTCGCCAACATGGCTTGCCTCCTCCTGGGTCTCGCTTCCCTCCTCCCGGTCGCCTCCGCCGACGATGCCATCGTCACCGCCATGGAGGGCCTCCCCGCGTACTTCACTCAGTTCTATATGACCCTTTCGTTGAACGCCGCCGGCGCCCCGGTCCCATACGCGTACAACGTCGCGCCTTTGACAGAAGAAGCTGGGTTGAATCAGACTAACCAGAACTCGGGTGAGGTACATAGTCTCGTAAACTCGACGTGTTGGAATGAAAGCGCTAAGACCAATCTCAGACATTCAACGTACAAGGCAACGTGAACCTAGTGGACCAGGCCAACTTTAACAACCTGAGCCTCCAAGACTCGATTGTCTACATGTCCTGCGACTCGAATATCGACAGCTCCAACATATCTCCCAGCTACATGTTGAACCAGCTGATGACACAGCAAAACAACCAACCGAAGGCTATATTGCTTTATAGCGCTAACGCAACGTACTGTTCTGTTGGCGGATCCAACCTAGCCTACACGGCCATTTGGACCATGACTGTCCGAGAGCAAGTCCTGGCTGTGAAGACCCTCGCCTCGGACTCGACAAACACTATTCGCGGCACCATATCGGGCAACAACACCTCGACCGATAATCCCCAAATGGGCCAACAGGGAGGAAGCAACTCGGCGGTGGCCATGAGCATTCTCTACAGCATAACAGGACTCATAACACTGCTGTTCCTGGCCATCATTGCAACCGGAGCAATTCGCGCCCACCGCCACCCCGAACGATACGGTCCCCGAGCTAGCATCGGTGGAAGACCTAGGCAGAGTCGGGCGAAAGGTCTCGCACGAGCTATGCTGGAAACTCTGCCCATTGTCAAGTTTGGTGATCCTGAAGCACCCAAGCCCGATGCTGAGAACGAACTCCAAGGTATTCTGGTGGACAGGAAGGATCCAATACCACAAGTACGGGTCGAGTCCGCCAATACCGATGAACAACCACGGACGTCGGCCGAGGCCTCGAGCAATGCCGCCACTCAGTCTATGACGACAAAAGACGCCACAGCTGCTGATGCTGCTGCTGATGCTGCTACTTCTGAGGACAACCAGAAGGAAGAGAGCCCCATCGTCGATGAACGTCTTGGTTGTTCGATCTGCACTGAGGACTTCGTTGTGGGAGAGGATGTGAGAGTATTGCCTTGCGATCACAAGTTCCACCCGGCCTGTGTCGACCCGTGGCTGGTTAACGTCTCTGGCACATGCCCACTGTGGTAAGTTCGCTTCTGTTCATATCTCGGGTTACATGACTAAACGTTGGATAGCCGTCTCGATCTCCGACCTGAAGCGAAAACTGGAGACCCTGCGAGCAGCGAGGCTCCACCTGAGGATGACCCTGCTGCCGAAGGTGCACCAGCACATCCGGTTGAGCCCTCTTCAGCCGAGCCCGCTGCGGTCAACGCTACTCCAGTCAGCGCCGCCACGGCTGGTGCCGATGGAGGTGACGTGGATGCGACGCAAAGGCGGCGTGTGTCGCGCCTGCTGGACTGGAACAGGCTACGCCACGCATCGGTTGATGAGCGCATCACAGCTCTTCGGCAATTTCGTCAATCACAGCAGGCGACGTCACCAGAGTCCGCCACAGCTCACGACGAGACACGACGTGTCAGGCTGGCAGATCGAATGCGCGAGAGGTTCCACATCCGGACCCATCGCGCGCACACACCGGGGAATACTCGTCCGACGAGTTCCTAAATAGGCTACTTGCGCGAGGGAACACTCTTTCAAATCTGCGGTGCTAGAATATAGCATGACGCGGGTGAGCTGTACACGACGAAATAATGCAATGATGTGTGTTGATGTGGTTGCTTGCTGGTATAGCTGGCATAATGTCTATATAGAGGTTTACAGGCGTTGATTTGCCGCTAAGGCGAGGGTTCATGATGATCGAGGAAAGGCACTGCGCATGATGCATTGTTCGGCGTTGGAAGGATCGCGTTCACATGGTTTGCAGCGGCGGCTGCCCGATACTGAAAGGCGTGGCGTTGGTCGGATAGGAGAGCATTCATTCCTTTGCTCTCTTGAGCAGTGTACTCAGAGCGGGGGAAAGGGTAGAGCAACCCCTTTTCCGATCAGGGGTACAGCCGGAATCAAGAACTCATGAACTCAAAAGATGACAGGCCAGCATGTGATGATCCTTCATGAAGATCCGAAGCGACAGAAATGTGGCACATAGGTAGGTGTACACACTGATTTTTGCTCGGGAAGAGTCAGGTCTCGATGGGTTTCGTATATGCCCTGCGCCTGGTTACCTAGTTAATATCTCGCAGGAACGTAATGCCGAACCGTTGTGACGATAGTATCCAGTTGGCCCGAGCAATAACGGTTAAGTTACCAATAAACAGGATTGCGGAAGATAGTGACGGTACCCGAGATCGTTACCTACAGTACCTATCCAGCCGAGCTTCACGAGCAATACAGTTTACAAGCTCTGGATGGTCCAAACTCTCGCGCTGCCCTGGACTGCGGAAGATGCGGAACAACGAGCGCAGCTACATGTAGCCGTTGAAACTTAGTAGTCCGGACAACTTGGTCCTCTAGGCAATGATCACCTCCTGTTAGGTTTAGGTAGCTGCGGGAAGCCGCGGTGCGGATCTAGGGTACCTAGCTGACCATGGGCAGATGCCGTGTCATTATAAGGTTCCGAGTGGCCTCATCAACGTCGGGCAGCCCAAAGGTCTCTCAACTTTAGACTTTCTGTCCCGTGCTGACAGGCCCTATGTGCCATCCTGCTTGGATGGACGGGACTCGTCATACGGATTCGACCATCGACAAGCCAGCCATCTGATCCCAGGCTAAGCTGGCGTAGCAGCACCGTCCCACGCAGCAAGGCACAGCTGCTGAGTTTCCCTGATACATGTTTCCGCCCTGCCGATATGCCAACTACCAACCACCAACCACCAACACCCTTACCATTCAAGCAAGTAAACTCTAATAAAGTTTCTCGGTGCGGCCACAATCGATGCGGCCACAATCGATGCGGCCGCACATGGTTTCTTTCCCAGAGGGTGGTTGATGGTCTTGACGAGTTTCCTCGGTATGTTAATAAGATCTCTTCCTCGACTCTACGGCTTTAACTGACGCTTCGGATGCCATTAGCCCAGAGGTTCCTCGCAGTCAAGTCGTGGAGACGATTGCCGTTCATTGTATGGGGTGAGTGTTTTAGGAAATGTTGTCTGGCGCATACATGTTGATCAACCGGCATAACCAAAGTGGTGTTCGCCATATTCACCGATTCGTCAATCTTCGTATTCGCAACAGCCGTTGTGACGTACGGAGTCGGGGTCAACTCGGGCTTCGACGTCTGTTCGGCGGCGAATCTGCTCTGTTTGGTCTGTTATCTGACAACCAAGGTATGTCCGCAACTCCTCCTGGGCCTCGCTGGTGCGGTACTTCTGACAACGTGCTAGATAGTGAGCGGCGCTTCCGAGTAATACATCGCTGGACTGAAGCTCACGGGTGACACAGCTGATATATATTTTCCTTGTTGAGAAAGCAGTCAGTATAGTCCACCTATAGCCTTCGCTCACATATGTGGTTGACCTTTGACTCGACAGTTTATCATCCAAGCGAGAACAAAGCGACGTCTACAATCGAAGCTCTACATATTCAACTCGTTCGGGATGCTGTGTATGGCGCCAAGACAGCCCCCTCTACCAAAGAGCATATACTAACAATTATGTAAGCTATCTATGTCATTGTGTGCATCCTGAACTTCGTCTAGTAAGCCCCCAACCTATCTATCATCCGGGAGCTTCCGCTGATCTTGTGGCGATAGCCGCATCACGATTATGGACAACGGACACTGCATCATTGGCATGCAGAAGAAGGCCATGATACCCTTGATCTCGTTCGATCTCGTGGTAAATGTTGGTTGTTCGTTACCTGCCTTCGAGATTGGTGGCTCACATGGGCCACACAGGTTTATTTGACGGTATCGTTCCTGCTCCCGTTACAAGGTGAGTTATGGTCGCCAGAAAAAAGGGAGGTACCCCAAGCTGATAGCCTTTCTCCCAGGGCTCTACTCGTTCGGGCTCCATACAAGCAGGCCGCCCAATATCAAACTGTGCACAATGGCTGTGCGAACGTTTGTCGGGGCATTGTGTACTACAACTTCTAGCGTTGTGTTAGCGATACGCTCAGTTCTGCTTGCATGACCTCCGTGCTGACTGTACTTACTGCAGTAATCTCGCCGTTCTACTTACGCTGAATGGGCAGCCAGGCTGGGTGTGCCTCATCAGCTGCAATGCCGATAGTAAGCCTCCTGTGGACATGGCAGTCGAAAACAGATGGGAATACTGCTTTGCTCTTGAAACTCCAGCGCTGCATCTGGCTAACATTCCCACGCGTACAGTCCTATTCTCTGCCATAGTCATCCAGTGGGTAACCTCGCTAGACAACGCCGGCACCGCATCCGGCGCGCCGGAACCGTCGGTCGAAACACGGGAACGCACGCTGGACCGTCTCAGCGCCAGTCGCTTCTCGTTCCCGACGCCTCTGCGGCCCACAAGCCTCATCCATTGCAGCCGCGCGTTCAGCAGCAAAGCCGAGGATCGGACGAGCGCCAATTACGGCCTCCAAGAGGTCGACATAGCGACGATCCACTTCCGCGGCCCAGCCTCTTACGGCGAGGGTCCGCGGGTAGCCTCTGGGAGCAGCAACAGTCGCGATAACGTGATTGAGGAAGACGACGAAGACGACGACGACGACGAGATGTTCAGATCCAGATCCTGGGCTGTGTCCCGGTCCCCGCATACCACCATATCGTCCCTCAACGGCGGAGGCGGCAGCGGAGGCGGCACTGATGACGGCACGGACCTCGAGAAGGGGGTTGGGTGCGGGGGCGGCGGAGCCTTCCGGGATACGAGCAGGTTGGCGGGTGAGAAAGCGAGCAAGGACGAGGGCGAGAGCGAGCAAGCGGATGATAGGGGACAGGGACGGGGACGCGAGGAGGCGCCGACGCAAGCAGATTACGCCGCCGTGGCCGTGGCGGCCGACCTGGAGTGCATCCGGTGAGCAGGGGGTTTAGAGTGCGAAAAGCGCCACAAGGAAAGACCAGTAGGTTGTATTATCTAACAGTATATACCCTTCAGGATGCTAGGTAAACATTAGAAGATGAATAATAAACATTTAAGCTTCTATCTCTTACAAGACATATTTTCTATTTCTATTGTTAATAACCTAGCTCTATTGTAAGTATGTAAAATCAAGAAGTAGGTAGATGTGGAATTCTTTTCGTTCTTTCTCCAGCGCGTGCTACCTAGGAGACCGACGACAAGGTCTGCGTTGCGTACATAGGCGCGATGGGACTGCCGTCGGGCATTTCCCTGCTGACTCGTGCTACTCGCCAGGGGGGCCCTGACGAGTACAGGGACTCGGAGGAGACCAGGAACCATGGAGCCATCACGGAAAAGTAGACACGAGCTCGCTCGACTGCGCCAACCAAAGGTGGCAAATGGAATGGAATGGATGGATGGATGGATGGATGAAATAGGAATCCGATATGGGGCTTTGGCATAGGTAATGTGGCAACTTGATCCCCCAGGCTCGGCATGCCTGGTGACTCGTGACTCGTGGGGTTCCGCAATGAAAGGGGTCCTATATATGAAACAGACCCATGAGTAAAGTTACCCCGGAAGGAGCTTCGCGGTGCCTTCGGAACTTTGTGACTGACATGTGGTGTTGGCACGGCAGACGTACCACTACTGTGGCATGCTGCCGTGAGCGAAGTGGGTAGGAGAAGTCGATGTGACGCGAGATGAACTTGCGAGTTTGGATTTGGAAAGAGATGAAGCCGCGGGCGAATTTCGCGATCACCATTGATAAGGTAGACAACTCTTTCATTCCACTATACAAGTCACGAAGCAAGTCAAGAAGTCGGTGGTACATAAATGATGTGTATGCTCGACGGAGCAGGCATGTAGCCTATCAATTGTCGCATTTCGCTGTTGCTACCGATCCTCATGAGCTCATGAATCTATCCCCTGATCCTTCTTGGTGCATCTCAAGGCAAAACGCCAGATCCTGGTATGGTTTGGAACCAACACCACCAAATACCCAGTGACCTCAAGTGGAAGCCGGGTTAGAAAATATGTACAGTTGAAGTGAATTTATGGTTTTTGAGATCCATCCAAATGCAAAACAGACCCTCATAGAAGTGATGGTACAAGAAGAGTTCCGAAAGAGTCCCACCACTATCGGAGGAAGTCTTACGAAAGGCCGGCAAAGATCTTGCCGAAGGAGCTGAGTTCGGTGGCCGAGGACATGAGGCTATCGGTGGACACCATGAAGTACGAGTACTTCTCCACGAAGTTGTACTCATCGCTCTCGAGTTTCTCGACGACTCTGCTCATGAAGTCATCGGTGCTGCCGCTCTCAGCAGCAAACTCGGTCATCCAGACGGGCTTGCCCTCGCAAGCAGTGTGAACATCCGTGACATGCTGAAGGAAGGTGTCGGCACCGTCCGTACCACCCGGGCCGTACCAGTGCGCAGTGCAGAAGTCAACTTGGCATTTGCCATCGCAGGCCTTGAAGAATTGGTTGAGCCAGTCGATGCCCTGGTTCGCATTGTTACTGCTAGTGATGGCAGGCGACGAAATTCTGGCCTTGCTCGCGTACTTGTTCATGAAGTTGATGTGACCGGTAGCAGCGTCGGCAGGAGACATGTTGGCTTGGCCAGCGTTGTCTGGCTCGTTGAAGCTCAAGAGACAGTCGGAGCCTTTAGAAATGGCCGCCTCGGCGTTCGCGTCCCAGTCTGAGGAGTGGTCTGAGGCCGTAGACCAAAGCATAGGGTAGTAAGTGATGCTTTCCTCAAGGCCATCGCTGTAAGAGCCCCAATTGTAGGCCCAAGAGATCTGGCTACCCAGCCCGACCATGGCCTCAACAAGAGAGGCACTGTTGTACGCAGCACCACGCTTGCCGGTGCTTGAGCTGCTGCTCGAAGCAGCAGTGGGAGTGGCAGCAGCAGCGCTCGACGTGGACGTGGTAGCGGGGAGTTCGAGGCTGGTGGTAGCGGCAAGTTCGAGGCTGGTGGTCGCGGGGAGTTCGACGCTGGTGGCCGGAATGTCCACGGAAGTAGCGATATCAGTTGTGTCGCTGGCGACGGGAGTCTCGACAGGGGCCACAACAGTGGGCTTGACCGAGGTGAGCATGGTAGTCGGGCTGGCCACGGGCTCCTCAGCAATCGTCTCCGCAGCGGTCGTCTGTACGGCAGCTGTCGTGGTGGTTGAAGGCGTGCTTGCCTCAACAGTGACTGAGGAAGACGATACTGCGGAGCTGGTGACATCAGAGGTGGTGACATCAGAGAAGTGGTGAGGGTGGTTCCCTTCCACTCCCTTCCCGTTGGATTCGGCTACCACGGCAGTCGTAGGGATTGCCTGAGCAGTGGCTGACTCCTTCCCTTCGTCGACGGTGACAGTCACATAGTCGGTAACGACGTCGGTAACGGTCTCAGCCCAGACGTATTCCCTCTTGTGCATGTGGCGGTGGTTGGCCGGACCAGCAGCGACCTCTTGGATGGAGGCAGCAGCGCAAAGCGCAATGATGCTGAGTTTGGTGTACATGTCGAATAGTTTCTAGACGGTACGAATGTGGCGGGAAGTATCTGTCGAGTATTATGAACCTGAATCGAGTTGAGCGGCGTCGGCAACTTTCTTTGTCTGTGTACAGGTAGGTAGATATGTATAATCGGTTGGCTGATTGCCGTTAGGCTTCGTTGTTGTTTCAGTGAGTGAATGTTGCGAGTGCCAGCAATTCGCAAGGAGGGTGAAGACCTATCAGAGATAGCGTCAGCGGAAAAAGAATGAACAGGACCAGGGCCCAGTCAGGTTTGTAGGTAGGTACGCTCTGCGCGGTCTAATGTCGGCGTGGGGACGGGAGATGGGTTACGCAGTCTATCAAAGACGCAGAATGAGTGGTGCGAGTTTGAGGGCGCAGATTGACAAGTAGTCGAGTTGGACGTGACTGTTGAACGTGAGTGGAGTGTTTCGTAGGACAGACAACACAGCAGGGCAGGGCAGGGCAATCACGAAAAGCAGGTGTACGGGGTGGAAGCTGGCGACCTGGGAAAAATGAATGTACGTGGAAAGAAAGAAGGTGGTTGTTCACGGTGGAAGACCGGAAAGGGAAGAGAAGGCCCAAGTGAGTGAGGCCGGGGGGAGGGGATTATTTATTAACAGGGTGACAAAAAACGGTGAATGTGATGGAGGAGTTGGTTGGCACTGGGCAGAGGATCCCCTCGTACCTTGCAGATTCCTTGATCCCCTGATCCAGTCCCCAGGCGACGGCGGGGCAGCGGGGCGGCGGGGGCCAGACGGCGCCAGAGACATGGGTACGCCAGCAACGCCAGCCACAGGGGTAAACGCGTGCAAGGACCCGGCCAGCCCGGCACACTAGTACCTAGGTAGGCAGCTAGGGCAGACGGGCGTACGCCCAGACGCCGTACTGTAGCCAGTGGAGCTAAGGTAGTGAGGCTCGTTCTACCCTACCTAAAAGAGATTAGGCGCCGAAATTGGCAGGACTCGTCGTCGCCTTCAGCCTTCAGGTCCAGACACGGGAACCACGGACTGGCACTGTGCACTGTAACTGATTCGTAAGGGGTTCCACCGCCGGCGCCGAAGAAGAAGCCAACCAACCAACTCGCCAGGATCCATCCAATCGCTCTCGATCCACCAAGTGTTTGCTTCGCAATGAATCCACCCCAAACGGCACGTTGCTACTGTGTACAATACTGTAGTGAAAGGTAGTGCTGGCTCACGCCTTCGCACCCCTATTCCTCATTCTCGTGGTGGGGACTACAACTACGAGGACAAGACGACCAACGTCCAATTCAAAGACATGCGCAGAAACACAAATGACAGCGAGCAAAGTATGACGACAATGATGAAGCTGGCGGCCGGATGTCCTGGCGACCAACAAACGGCAAGTACTGCCCCCTGAAAGAAGCCCAACCTCTCTTAGCCGGGTTGGGTGGTTTTATGTGGCTCTGTGGCTCTTCGCACTGTAGTACCCAGATACCTATGCAGGTACGAAAGTCAATACGTGTGAGATGGGCAGGTCACTGAATGGTCCATGAGGTTGTTTGAACTGTGCGTTTATTTGCTGCCCCCGTACAGTCAGAACTTTGGTTGCTCTTTATCCCCTGGTGGTTTCGACCAACGATCAGTAGATTGCCAAGTCCCCAGATTGATGAGATATATAGGTAGGTTGTAACGAGTCATGACCGTGCGTCGTTTCTTCTCTCGCAAGGCAAACAAACACACAATTGTCAATCACAGCTGGAGCGTCTTGAGGTCCGACTTGTTGAGTCCAGTCTGCAGTGGCACCACATACCAGCGCCAACAGACGATAGCGATGCGCTAGCTCTCTTGACAAACCGTGCCGCGCGCTCCCATTTGCTCAGGCGCTGGAAGGATGGCTGTTTCAAACCTGACTCCACCCGCCCGTTCAGATGAACCATACCCACTTCCTTCGCGCGTATTCTTTCTTCCCGCTCGGATCCTGGGCTCCAGGGAGGAGGGGAAGCTGGCAGGCTTGCTAATAATGCTTGGCGATGGGAGGCGTGGCCCCTTGGGTATGGGACAAGCTTCATTGTGGTGAAACGAGGAAGCGAGATTGTTCCCGGCGCCACAGGTGCTACCCCCACTCCGGATACTACTATCGAATTGTGGTGGTAGTACACAGGTGTCGTGGTGCACTGGTGGTGATGCTGGTTTGGCTGTTGGTGCGGTGCCAAGTTGTCCAAGTTGTCGTTCTCTACTCATCGACAAAGACACGACAGAGCCTCCTAAAAGTTCTTGCCAAGTCGGCAGGAGCCACGGCCCACGTGTGACCCACCGCTTATCAAAGCTTGGCTTTCCTTTGGACCCACTGCTGGGCTGACACTGGTCTTGAGCCGTTGAGCGCCGCTCAGCAGCCATCATTCCTGTCGACGTCTAAAACGCAGAAGGGAACTTGAGATTTGGAATTTGATGGCTTCCCGCATGCCACCATATTCCACAACTAATACAAAGACAATATCAATATCGCGTTGGTGTCAATTAAAAAGGCGAGTCACACGCGAGGGCACCTGTTGAACCAACTTGCAACATTTGACCTGTTGCTATCCGAACAGCCCCTGCCGAGAAGGGCGAGCCGAATTCCTTCTGGTCAACTCCAACCTGTTGGTACCACCAACACTCCGAGCTCACACAAGACACCTATGCACCTTTTTGAATCGTTAACTCGCCACGTTTAAAGGTGCGGGCGCTTGCGCGAACCACGCTATGCTTAGGCGTTTTCTGCTGTGCCCGGCCGCGACTCCGGACAGCACATAGAGGCGGCTATCCGGTGAGAAGCAAGGCCCCGAGACGTTGATGCTCGGCAGTTGGAACCGATCCCGTCAACCTTCCTCGATAGATGGGACGTCTCGGGAGAGGGGCAGCATCCGACCCTATTTTTGCTGGCTGTGGAGGGTTCTCTGCCATCTTGAGTCTCGACTTGATACACACCTCCACGTTTTTCGATCACTGGCCAAGATACGTTCATGTTCAGGAAGGGCATCCTTTTACCCCAGACCGCCACGGAAGGAGAGTCTACGGAACCCGGCATCAAGACCAGAAGCTCCGGGGAGTGTGGCTCGACTATAGGACAGACGTATCCGTTCCTGTCATTTTTTGGGTTGCTTGTCTCCTTCTCTGTTTTATCTCGTCAATCCTTGTTGAACCCTGCGCGTTCAGGAGACACCGTCTCTCAAGAAGAATCATGACTCAAGGTCAAACACTGAAACACTCTCACGGTGCCAACAGGGCAAAGCCACTCTTGGTGGCAACGTTCCTTAGACCTCTGAGCCGATACTGATCGTTGTTACGCTTTTCGGTTTTGAGACTTTTGCAATGCCCACCGTCGCAAGAGCATCTCCGGCTAAACAGGAGATATGTGTCGAGTGGCCTCTTCACAACCAACAACTCGGGATCCCATGAGCCACGCATGAGCTTGTACGGTCACTGCTTTCGGACACAGTTCCTATCAGCCCTGGAGGATATGTCTGCCTGAAATGGTCGATCTCCCACAGAATGCAATAGCACTGAACCTGGCAAAGATCATTTCAGATTCCTTACCATGTGCTCGACAGGGCTGAATGGCTTTGCCGCGTTGCGCATGCGTATGAAACCCAATAAGTTATGGCGGACGATTACACGGCGTCCTGGTTCGGCCTTGATAGATGACACGCCTCAGACCGCGCTCTTCCCTATGCTTCAACGTGGTGTTCTTGAGACGGCGTTGCAGCTCGCTTCGTCTTCCACGATCTGACTCACCGGTGTATCCAAATGGGAGCAAGTTAAGAGCAAGTGTAAGTATGTGATCGAATTTGGACTGACTAGCCGGGCGATGGGATATCTCAGCTCAGCCTGGAAGCGTGACGTTGACGCACCAATAACAGCAGCCAGGAATGCTGTGCCTCAATTGACAACACGTGATGAACAAGGGACAAGGAGCTGAAGCTTGTCGCGGCTTGGCAGCCGAACAGTTCAACCTACCGTACTATGCAATAGGAGGCTTCGAATATGTCGACGGCACTTCTGAGATTCCCTTTTGCATCACAGCTGCTTTTCGAGGCCATTGTTGAGCTCATTTCTGATCGACACGGTCAGTCAGTCAATAACACACAATAAAACCGACCCATACTGTAGCAGGAGTCGAGATGAATCCGACAGACTTGAGTTCATCCACTGCCCTTCCCCTTATGCTCTTGAACGGCAATATCATCGACTCTGATTACGCAGCCTTCCTCCAAGAACGGGATCTCGACTACGTTGGCGAAAATGGCTCATCTGGGCCAGTATCAGCAGCGGATGAGCAGCCCCCCTCAAGCATCATCAACCACCGCGTCTGCCAAACGCAGTCAGAATCAAAAGGGGAAAATGGAAGGAAGGAGCCACACGAAGAGTCGTCGGGGTTGCTACAACTGCAAGAGACGCCGCGTTAAAGTAAGGCTCTCGAAGGGACAAGTCCCGTGTGGTTTCTGTTAACCGCAGCAACAGTGTCAGGAGTCGCGGCCGTCGTGTGCGCACTGCGTGAAGGCGGGCTTGGGGTGCGAATATCCAGCTGTTCCTCAAGTTATTCATCAAGTACAATCCATGATACTCCCTCCTGCCCAGGTGGGAAGTGCTGCTAATTTGGAGACTAGCCGCAAAACCAGATTCCGCTCTTCAGTCTCCAGGATATGCGGTTCTTCCAGCACTTCCTGCTACGTGCACGCCGCACCAGCCCCTGGATAATGAGTCGGTCTGGACTCATCAGGTCCCGTGTCTGTCTCAGAATGTACGTGATCATGAGTGAGTATGAAATAGTGATGAAGAAAAGCAGGCTGACTGGTTGTGCAGTACGAGTTTCTCAGTACGTACTTAGGGATTCACGATCACGAGGAGATCCTAGATTAGGTATCGTCCGCTGATCCTGCCCTTTTCGTGTAGTGCACGCCATCCTAGGCCTCGCGGCCTCCGACCTGATGGACCAGGACCCGAGCCTAGTGACCTTCGCCATGATGCACCGCCTTAAGGCCATCAAGGCCATCAAGGCCATCAAGAGGGCGCTGGCCGACGTCACCGAGGTCAACAACACGGTCGAGGAGGGCAACGCGCTGATGGTGACGTGCTACGCGCTGACATTCCAGTCCGTGTGCCTCGACGACGGCCTGGCCGAGTTCATGACCTTTTCAGGGGCATTGTGATCGTCGCCACCCGTATGTTGCGCGCAGACTGCAGCGGCGCCCGGTTCCTCTTCAGGAACATTTTTGGCGACGCCCAGCTCGCCCTGTTGCGCCCGCTGATGGAGGCCCTGCCGCTCATCGACAGGGACTGGACGGATCGGGCGGCGGCCGCAGTAGGCGCTATGGAGCCGCTCTGCGGAGGGCAGGTCGAGAGCGAGTACCATCGGCTGCTGTCTGATGTAGTCGAGGCGCTTTATAGCTTTTCTTTCTTGGGTAAGGACGCATGTGGGGGCTTCGAGTTGATGGGACGGGACTGACTGTGTGACAGCTTATCAGATACTCTGCGAACACTAGTGAGTAGTCCTCCAGCTTATTCGGCCCCTGTTTCTTCCGCCTCCCGGAGAATCGACCCCGTGACACTACAATGACGGGAACTCTACTAATACACAACTGCAGCGGCTGGTCGGATGCAGATGCCGCACGTACACTTCCAGCGCCTCGTCGACCCGAACAACCAGGTGAGCCTGCTGCTCGGCTCGCATTGGATTGCGCTGCAGCAGATCATGGGCATGATCACCGAGGTCCAGCGCCACACCGGCGCGCAGGGGAACGGCGGAAAGACGGGAGTATCAACTTGGGGATCATCCGATGGCTTCGGTACATCAACCGCCAGATCGACGCGGACCATCAGGTGTATAATCGGTGGCCGGTGTGGGTAGAGGAACAGCTCGATAGGGACCTTAGGTTCTTTGGCAAGTATTCACATGTGGATAGTTAATGCTACAGTAAATGCCATCCATATTGCTACACTTCCAGCCACATCTCAATCGCGTGATATCCCACCTACCACTCACTATTATAACTTGTATATAGGTTTTCTATAGCCACAGTGTCCAACTGTTTCCGTGATATAATAATAGCGCTCATCCACAGGCGCTCATGGGGTAGAGTGGGCGCCAGGTGCGTAGCTGTCCGGGGCCCCTTTGTCGTGTCTCCACCTCGAGTCCAAAGCCGAAGTCACGAGCATCTCACCCTCAGCGCCTCCATACCGACGAACTCTGGAAGTTCCCAGCGCAAGGCGATTCGGCTCCTCAGCACGGCCCCCTTGGACGGGAAGCGAGGCCCTCCAGGCAGGATTTGGACATGCATTCCTTCTCTGCGAGCCCCGCCACCACCGCGTACGTGACTATCTCGTAATGCTGGGAAGATCCCACAGCATGTGGCACCCTCGGCGTCGACGGGGCCTCTTGTCGATATTTCCCGCCAGCACAGTAGCAGGCCTCCATCGCCTGTATGCGCCAGATAGACGTCCCCCGCAAGCTTTAGGATTGAACTCTTTCTCTGTGCATTAACCAGATGGACCGAGAAAGGAGGGTCGCAACAGCAGGTGGTGGAACTCATGGCTGCCATCTAGGTATAATTCTGCGAACGGGCATTTTTGATATATTTCGGAGAGGAAGATGGGGATAGATACTTAAAGTGGCTGTCAGGCAATGGAGCGCGTATCTAAGCACATAGGCACGGCTGAAGATGTCCGACCTCGTCGGGTTTCGTGGACTCGTGAGGCAGCTTGCAATAATGGGGAGTATGGGATACATCGACGAGCCTCTCGAGTGCCAGACGCCGGTCATGTCAACCAACATGGCTTTGTGTATGATCCCCGGAGTGGTTTCAACGGCCATGACCACGTTCTCGAGGAGGTTGGGGCCTTTCGATCGTGTTGGGTAGGTAGAGTTATTTCAGATCCTTCTTCTTCATGGGACGAAGACGGTGAGAGAGACTGCACCCTACTTCGCGATATACGTCAGAACCGGGGATTATTTACTAGAAGTGGCCGTCACATGGGCATGGTGCACCGCTCTGCTCAGCCGGGAGATTCGGCTGCTGTTCTGCTGGGATATCCGGTTCCATTCATACTGCGGCCGGTTCGAGACAGTGAGAATGACGATTTGTCAGTCATGATCTTCCCACCTCATTATATCGAAGAGGTCGAGCATCACAAGAGATTGGCTTCTTCTCCAATGTGACGTATGTGTTGTTGGTATCTCAGACCTCTAGAAATGTCACTTGAATACCAGTCTCTCCTCCCAACACCCTTTGTCCTTGAAAACGTCTAGGTTCACCTCTAGCTGGCACAGTCACAGCAATTCAGCCTGTCGCGTTGCTCGTATGTCGTATGTCGTATGTCGTATTTAGCACTAGGCTCCTGTAGTCTTACGAGGTTGGCGTTAGATACGCTACTTTCATCTCGATATATCAAATGTCCTTCAACACAAACCTAAGCCTCATGCACCTTTAAAGCACTCGCACAACTCCTTGTTTGTGTAATATATTTATAGCCGTGTCCATGTCATCTAAAGTAGCATATAAGCTGAAGATTCCCCTGTAGAATGGCATTATCGAGCATCTCCGGAGTCCCAAGACAATGATGAGATCAGAACACGCATGAAGACTATAGCACCTCGTTCACGCACACCGCTACTGGATTAGCCACCATGGTGGCATCGTCATCCCCTGGTCGGCCACCAATAAGCACCTCGCATGTTTCACTAGAAGCGACTACTCTTCCTTCCACCTTGCTCCGGAGACCCCCAAGGACAGACCTAGGACATCGACTTCGCAAGCCTCAGCTCGTCAATCTCAAATGCGTGCGTAACACAGGGTCATGATGCGCCAGCCACACTGCGAAGCAGAGCCGTCGACCAGCCCACCGAGCAGCAAGTTCACACCCACACTCTAGCTCCAGATCCAGTGCTCAGGCAAGCGCTGGCTCCCCCTCCCCACGGTAACCAAGCCAGACCCCATCCCGGTCTTCAAACTCACAACGGACGGGCGTCTAAACCGCCTCTCTCTACACAAAAAAAATGTAAAAACACTACCCGTAGTACGTGGATAGAAAAAAAAACGTATTCTCGATTGTTGAGAATTTCGAGGTCGGAAACAAGCCAGCCGAAACGATCTCCGATCACTACTCGAACCGCTGGTCTCCGAGGTTTGTGGTTCGAACTCAGTACCCTAAGGCCTGGCCATACCGAACGTGAGATTACTCATCCTAACCACGCCACCAAGGTGACGCTGCTTGTGTCCTTGGGGAAAATTTTCTCACATTTAGATACAAGTGCCCCTTTCACCTAATCACCCGCCCATGCCACGTTCACCTAGTCACATGACATGCATCTATAGATTGAGGGTGCAAATACAGCAACCTCAGCATCCGTCCATAAAGGAGTTCCCGGTCCTGCATCCTCGGGCACGGCGACAACGAGACGCAGATGCCCCTGACAAGCACAACGTACCGGTTCGGTCCCAGTCTCCAGAAGTCCACCCGTCGTCAGACTTGGCGGCGCCAACTCTCCTGAGCAGGACGAGGAAACCTTCGAGGACACCGGTACACAGCGCCCGCGGACAGTCTCCTTGTCTTTGAACTGCTGGACACCCACCATGCTCCTCGCGAACCTGGTACCGGTAACAAGTACTGGAGCAAAAGCAAAAGCAAAAGGACCAAGGAGCCCACCCGCACACGCGTAGCACAGCTCGTGCGCAACGACACGCACCGCAGCCCGGGCAGCACGAGGGCCACAGCGGGGAATTGCCGCGGCGGGTGGCGGTGGATCGGCATAGACTGTTGGGTTGGTATGTTGCTTCAGGGACGGTTGGTAAGCCACCTTGGCGTGAAACGTAGATTCTTGTATTGGTGTTCTGATGCCAAGGGTCACGTTGATTCCGTCCGTAGGGTGCTATTGGCAGAATGCTTTCAATAACTTCATCCACGCTTTCGCCCACGCGTGCTTTGGTCATCTGGTTCCCGGGCTTGAAGCATTGGCGAGTCATATATGTCACTAGACTGACTCGATAGTCAGTGGCGATGTTATAGGTCTTGGATTACTCCTTCGGCTCTACATAGTCTTCCCGAGAACTTGTGAAGATTATATATGACCCATGCCTACGCCTCATTGCCTTGTACCTCCACCCGGGCCCATTCACTCTCTTCTCTTACTGCCGTTTACCATTCCGACCCACCAACAAGCAATGTGCTCAAGTCTTTGGGCATACTTGGGAGCATCGCGCGAACGATCAAATTGGAGGAAGAATTCTATATGTCAGCCATAGCAAGAGCGATGGATATACAAGCTACTGTTTGGCTATCAGTCTCTTTTTCTTGCCCTTAATTTAATAGTAGCAAAAATCACAACATATCTCAAAGCACTGTCGTGTCACTATTGTCGCTTTCGGCGCGGGACCCTCACAGCAGGACTACTTTTGCCTGGATCTCATTGGGCAAATATTGGGTCTGCCCTCAGTGTAGCCATGATGCATTTCTGAGAGGCATTTGACGCATGTCATATTAAACATCCTCATCCACTGCCGTACATACAACTGGTATGGACGATGATGACTAGACTCAGACATACAGTTGATATGCGCGTACCCTCCCACAAACTGATATCAACCTGTGTGTGTATCGCTATTTCCTCTACTAGCGTGTGTATATCAGGGGCTAACTACAAACCAACAATGGATACACCAGGGAAAACATGACTGTTGATTGTACAATCGACGGTATAGTCTAAAGGTGATTCACAGGATGACTCCTTGGCGTCTGTCAGTATCCTGAGAGACACATATATAGGCTAGATGTCGCCCCTGAGTTTCATACAGTACTGATTCTCTTCATAATCCGCCGCCCTCCCCAACATCACTGATTGGAGGTCATCGTAATTTCTCCTCTATTATACCAGCTCGGCATCAAGTCAACCTTGGCTATAACTCGAGAGACACCATCTTGGTTCCCTTATAGGTCGGCCATCTCACCTCGTCATGGGATGCCAACTCCATATGATTATCAGACCAGAAGTTTCTGAATCGTATGAGAGTCTATTAAGCAAGCTGACCGACATACCGGCCGGCGTAGTGGACCCGTTCAATCACTCCGGAGCAAAAGCCCCTGATCCGAAACCAAGTGCTCATTCTGGTTCCGGACATGGATGCTGGTTGGCCTCCGCTGCCAAAGTTTGCTACCGGGCCTCTAGACTCCTGTACCTGGCTGCGGTCCAAGGACCAGCTCAACAGGGCATCAAACCAATGGGATCACAGCGTACCTCGGCCCTTGAGACCGCTCTTCTGGGGCAGGTCAAAGCCCAACCAATGGGCCCAATAAACATTCTCGGCGCGCGGTCCAAGCTCGATTCGGCTGATCTTACTCGCTCCCGGGGCCGGGGCTGAAGCTCTCGTGGATCCGGCTCCGTGGGTTTGCCACGGACGGGGCGTACTGGCATGGTACATCGACTCCGGGCTGTTTTGGTAGCAGAACGAAGTACGTTGAGGTACCCAAAGTCCATGACCGGGGCGGCAGGATGAGGTAGTTTTGAGTTCAGTGTTGTGCAGTGTCCTTTCATGTTGTGTGCTCAGGGCTTCTTGCCCCGACTGGATGAGGGTCTCCCACATATAAATATACCCCATCTATCCTTTGATGCTCTTCTTCCCTTCCTCCCGTCTTCACCCAACTTCACATCCGCACTTGCTTCCACAATTGCTTCCACACATGCTACCAATTCATCCACCGAGAACCAAGACCTGGCTACTGCCGTCACTTACAGACAAGTCTAGTAAGTTGAAACTGGAGCTTATCCCCCCACATCACCCACCCTGTTTCTAACATGTCGAAGAACCACACAGACCAAGAATACCGTACCACCACCACCGACGAGATGGCTCCCCCGACCAATGCGGAGCTGGCTGCTCGCGAAGCCCATATCCGGCACGCGAAGCCCATATCCGGCACGCGATGCCCCACCTGGACCCGGCCCTATCCACGAACTGTTGGTCCAGGCCGGAGTCGAGCATGCCACCACCCGCGGACACATCGTGGGCACGAGCAACCGAACCCAGCTGCGGGCCCGGCAGGCGGCTGCTGCCGCGGCGGCGGCCAACGCTGGACAGGGCGGAGGACAGTAGGGACGAGGACATGCCTGACAGTTGAATGGGAAACACGATGAATGTACTATTAGATAAATCCCAATAAACCCACCCCACTAATCTTCCCAATAGGGTCTTCCAGTGCTCACGCGAATTATAAAACCCCAAAGGAAATACAACCCCACAACCCCGCAACCAATCCACAACCGCAAGGGTCAACTACCAGACCTGTTTCTATCACTACCAAGGATAAAGTAAGTTCCCCGAGCCTAACCTTATTCCATCACTACCTACCTAGGGAAGGGAACTTTTTCTTTCTTTTTCTTCCAGTTCCTAACTTCTCAAAGCACCACCACACAAACCACATAAACCACGGCCATCGACGAAATGGCACCTCTCACCAACCAAACCAAATGCTAGCAGCCCGCGATGCGCACCTACGCGAGAGAATCAGCCGACTGAACGAGCAAGGCCCAAGTGAGAGAACGACTCCGCCAGTGTGGCATGATGGACACCGCTTGTGGCGGAATCATCACGGGCGAGGCCAACCGGGCAGACCTGCAGGCCCAGCAGGCGGCTGCGGCTGGCGCCGGCGGAGGCGACAACGCTGCCTGCCGGTGGCGGAGGTGCTCTTTCCCATACTACCCCAATGGGCCCATTGAGGACACCACGAACCGTATCCTTGAGCACTTGAAGCCCCTCGAGAACTTGAGTCTGAGCGGCTTCGTTGTCCACGAGACACTCGATATCGCCGTACGGTGCTGCTGGAGGCGGAGGCGGACACGGAGGAAGCCAATAGAGGAGAGAAGGAGAGGCCTACGGGGCGTTTCAGACTCGCCGGTACAACCAGTACCAAGGGAAAGTAAGCAGCATGGCACTATACACTATGAGGCAGGTATAGTCATCCCGCGGCTGCCAGCAGAACTCCAATGCAAGATTTGGGAGGACGCCATTGAGGGAGAGAGAGCGAGCAACGCGTCATGATTATCGCGAGCCATGTGCGGCGTCTCATGCCCACCGAATGGCTCATATCTCCGTTTCTGTCTGTCAACAAGCAATCGAGAAGACCACAAGCCAAGTATCAGAGACTAGACTTCACCAGAAAGAAAGCTATAAAACCACCACTGAGTGACTTCGACCCCTGGGGGACTGGCATAGGACCATACATGAGAGTTGACTACCTACTATGGCAATTGACACGAGGCGCGACATGAGGCCCGACACTAGAACAGCACAAGTATATGCCTATATTGTGATGCCAATGTCGGTGCTTTCAATCAATGATAACGGCTTGGTATGTGTTCTTGTCTGCGTCCATGTTGATTACCTCGTATCGATGTATATGTCAGTGCTGATCACGATGATCTTTCACAAAAGCCATCCATGATGTGTCATCGTCACGGGAGAATCAGCTTCGTCTGTAGTGTTTATTCCGGCCATTCAGCCCACGATGTGAGGTGGGTGGTTGTATTGCCTCGTGATGCACCATCGTAGGACCCCATGCCACTGCAAGAGGAATCGAATTGATAAGCAGGGCAAGTAACAAGCCTGGTTCACAGGAAGTGAAAATAACAGTTGATCAGCGTGTATCATTACTATGTCATTATCCTCGGGTCCTAGATTGACTTTGGTCCGATCAAACCACCAGAGACTGACTGGGTGGTGAAAGTACTACGATGGACCATCAGTATCCGTATCCTGTCCTCCCTGTGACACTGACCCAAAGGGATAAATCACCAAAATCCCTGCATGAGTTGCCGCAACGCCGAAGATGCAATGATTCGAGTCCCTTTACTCAGGAAAGGCGCACTGCCGCAGTGGACTTGGGAGCGCACGCTATGCAAACTCTGTCTTCATCTTCCCTCGTACGGAAGATAGCTCATCCTGCTTGGTGAAGTGTGTTAGTGTAACCCTCGCGGAGATCAGAATGAAGTACTAGAAGTGACTCACTTCGGCTTTCCGCTTCCCCAACACCGGCTCTGGCGTACTTCTCGCGAATACCATCGGTGTGTTTCCACCATCTTTGGTTGCTTCCCGGTGGCAACTGGCATGGTAGATCCGCTCGCCCACCTTCATGGCATCGGCCCAGACGAACTCCTGGGCATCGTCGAGCCATCTCGTCTCGAATCTGTCTTGACAGATCGGGCACACACTTGCTGCCAATGCAGCATCGTCGGGAACCGGTATGTACTCGACCTTTGCGGCCTTCGATGCTGATCCCCCCGAGGCGGCATCGGAATCCCCTGGATGGCCAGCGTGGTCCTTGTCAATGGTCTCTCGAGTATTGATCCAGTCCTAGCATCATCAGCACAGCCTCTTGCAGATCACGACAGGCAACTTACCACTTCATCGACCAGCCAACTTCGATGCTGCCCCCGCTTCTCGGCTTCAGCGATGCGCTGGTTCACCTTGAAATGCCAGTCCATATGGGCAGTCTTCTTTCTCTTCCCTTTCTCATCTCTCGCAAAACGCCGACCACATTGTGTGCACTGCGGCCCCTGAGCCTCAAAGAGGAATGGAAGCAGCTGTGGACGAAATCTGCGATGTTGTTAGTTACTGGACTACTACGAACGCATGACTGGGACGTACTGCTTGAGAGACGAGGCCTTGAGGGCTATATCGCCGGTGAAGGTCTCCATAGTCACGGGTCGACGAGACTGGTTCCCCATAGTCGCTCCGGGTATAGGAAGAGGGATAGGGAATGGTAGAGAAGGCGTCGGAACGGGGACAGGCGTCGAAATGGGGACAGGCGTCGTGGCAACCGCAGGCGTGGGCGGTGGAAGCATCCCAGCTTGTCTCAACATGTTCATGAGTGCCATTGGGTCAGGCGTTGCTGCGGCTGCCTTCTGCGGCTCAGCTCTCTGAGGCGGCGGTGATCGTGTTGCGACAGTTGCCGGAGGAGGTTGAGGTGTAGATACTTGCGGGGTGGAGGAGCTTCGTGCCATCAAAGCCGCAAGAGCACCCGAGCCGAATAAGGAATCTAAAGAGACCTTCGGCGCTGCTGCTGGCGGCGGAGGAGCTACTGCTACGGGTTGTGCTTTGGGTATAGGTGTAGGAGGTTGGGCTGGAGATGCCCTTATTGTCACGGCGAGATCAGAAATTTGATTCTTAACAAGCACTAACTGATCCTGCGGCAGGTTCTGGGTCTGAAGAATAGTTTGCAAATCCACCAGTGCCTTCAGCCTAGTCTGTATAGTTGGATCATGGGGAGCTTGTGCGATTTGCGCCTTGAAGGCCGTGATCAGTCTTTGGATATCATCATTCAGCGAGCCTGTGCTGATTCCAGCTTGCGACATGCCATATCCTCCCACGGGAGGGGGTTGGAAGGCGCTAGATGATGGCATGGGTTGAGGTGTTGACCTGGATGGGAAGGGCATGTTCTGGAGACCAGGTCAGTACCAAGTCGATTGCTACAGTGTTCGTCTGACTCACTGGGTGTGACTGATAGTTGGGCGGCAGCGGCTGCGTAGGCTGACCGTACGACATGCCGTTCGTGCTGTGATTCGGAAGTTGATAGCCATGCGCTTGGGGCGGAGGCCGAGCACCTGGTGGTGTGGGCGTTTCCCGGTAAGGCATGCCTTGTGCGGTTGGTCTGCCCCGGCCAAGCAGTTGCTGCTGGCTTTTCATGTGCGCCTGGTGTTGTTGCAGAGCAGTCGTCCGCACTTTGATGAGGGCATTCTCAATGGGGCGAACGACATCTGGCGGGAAGACCGGGCGGGTGTCGATAGAGCCTGGGACGGGCTCCTTCCAGGTTTTCAGCATCTCGTCCATCTTCCTGCGGGTGCCCATGTCGACCATGGCGTAGGCGTCCATGAAGGTGTGGTACAGTTTGCGGCCGAAGAAAAGTGTGTAGGGCGTGCCTACGTTTTTGACGATGGAGTCAAGAACATACAACGAAGGCAGTTTCTTGTGGGGTGCAATCTGAGGCACTTGTTAGTGAAAGGTTCAGAGGTTACATTATTTGATTGTGCGTTCTCGAGCAATTGCCACCACCTGACAGGTGAGGAGGCCTTGCGCAGAGACTCGCTGAAGAATAGTTCTGCAACCTACTCGTTTAATGTGATCGACCAGTGCTCCAGAGATAGCGAGCGCATGCTCCGTGTTTTCTCTCGCAATCAAGGTCAGGTTCGAAATTTCATGGCGATCATTTGTGTTGACATCTTCAAGGGCCTCGCGAAAGTCCTCGGCTACCGCTTCAGACTCTGAATAGGATGTCATTGTTGCTTAAATGCAGGCACAATGATCAATGGGTGAGGAAAACTATGGAGGGAGAGCTCGTGCAGAGGTGTGGGTGAAGCAAGGGCTTTGTTGCGCGGCTCCTTGGAAGCGTTGCACCCGTGCAAGAGCTGCGTTGTTGGGGATGATCGATGATCGAAAGAGATGTCACAAAGATGGAAGCCAAATGCCCCTCACGGAGTCAATATCTTCACCAGGAACGGTACGAAGAACTGGGATTCTGAATGACTCCTGCGCCCACGTCGCCAACTGCTAAATGCCCGCCACAGAGGGTTAGGCACTGAAGTTCCGGTGTGCTCAACACATTCCTCCTCCAGATCCCTCTACCACGCGCCACACGTATATTGCCTACCAAGCACTACTGGGTTATTCGGGAGTTGATCGTTGAGACTGCGCGCTACTATTGCTGGAGCCGGAGGGGGTCGGGGAGTGCCGAGGAGGATCGAAGACGAAGGGAGTCGGGCCAACGTAGTATGCAAGTCGACCAGCCGAGTCTATCCGTGGTTGCAGGTCGAAAACAATAGGGAATAATTGTGTCGCGAGAGAGGAGAACGATGCTGAGATGGGTTGTTTTGTGTGTGAGCAAACGGAGAAGGGTGATAGCAAGGTTGGAGGTGGGTACCTACGGGAATGAAGGTTGACGGAAGGAAGGAGGAAAACAGCAGGCACCAGGAGGAGCTGCACCGTGCGCCGCGCTTGCACTGGTCACGTGCCCTGTGCCGGCGGACTTAACCTCCTCCTCAGGCTCCACCACCACCTTCACCACCGCCAATGCCTCAGGCTTCACCACCTTCTCCACCGGCCAATGGAACGAACATCAAGACCACGTTTACAGCAGGCCTTAGGCACCTGCTATCATACATGCACGATCAAGGGTAGCAATGCTGCAACAAAAAGAAAATGTTTACAGAACGATAAAATACTGTTATTGAACGCTAACTCGTCTGGACTTTCGAGATTCCTCGCTGAGCTTGCTAATTACCAAAGTGCAAATGCAGAATGTCAATGCTCCCCCCGAGACCAGGGTATATGATGATAGGTATTCCTGAAATGCACCAGCCAAGAACGCCTCCTGGCAAGAACGCCATGCCTCCTCCTCATTGAATCATTGGTGATCGACCGACCGACGTGTTGTATCGCCCGTCTAGAACTTGTTCTCCGGAAGCTGGGTAAAGCGCGTGAGGTGGCTGGTTTCAGAGTACGAGCTTGATCGGTTGGCGGGATGTAGAGCAGTATCCGGTCGCTTCAGCTCCGGCATGATCGGACTGCGTCGGTCGTCTTCGGCCAGAGTGTACTCGCTATGAGAGTAACCTTGCTCGAGGTCTTGGTTTTGGGGAATAGGACCGCTGATGTTGACGCGCTTCTCATTGTAAGACGGGCTGCTCGAAGTGCTGTAGTTGTCGTGGAATACGACGTTGCTCACCGTCGCGCCCTCTTTTCGGACCGCGCGAGCTCGCAGGCCGTTCTTCTTGTTCCGGAAGGCAAGCGAGGCGATGACGTTGCTGATGCCGAAGGTCAGGCATATGATGCCGGAACCCATCATGATCTGCGAAACCTGCTTGGGAACAGATTTGGAAGTGTAGGTCTCATTGCTGAGCGAGCCAAGGAGATGGCAGCCCATGAGCGAAATGATCGCCCCCAACCAGGTAAAGCCCTTCGACGGACCCAAGATGGGCCAGGTCGCCGCGACGAACGCCTGTCCCTTCTCCCATAATCCGACCTCGGAGAAGATGAGGAGACCGGCGACGCTCAGGACGAATGCGAGGGTGACATCGTCGAAGAATTGCCAGGCGCTGGGCATCTTGGCGAAGATCATCATGAGGACGCATGTGACCATGACGGAAAGAAGGACGGCGATATTGCAGCAGCGAATGACGTTCAGAATGATCCAGGCGGTGCCTTTGGAGCCGAGTTGACCGGATTGGCCGGTTTGGCCGGATTTTCCCTTGAAACCGAGCATTGCTAGGAATTGGTGATATCTAATGTCGTGTCTCTGGGGGTGTAGTAGTTAGCGTTTTGATGTGTTGGCATCCCTGATATGCACAGAATGGTAGACCCACGGATTGAACTGCCTGCAGCTAAGTTGTGGTGTTTGTTGGATTTTCCGAGATTGGACTGTTGACGCTGAGAATCCGGATCTGGCTGGCAGATGTGAAAGAATCAGGCGAAATGGGTTGCAGAAGAAATGAAGGGTCTGGTAGTGAACGTGGGTGTGATGTGGAATGGGATGGAAGAGAGTGCGAGCGTGCAGCCTCGACCAAAGCAGGGCGGTCTTTTATATGCAGAGTTGGGCCAACTGAGAAGTGAAGGAGAGATGTGGACAATAAAGGTTAGTGAAAGGTCGAAATCATTGTTGGTCGTCCGTCGAGGACAAAGAAGCCGATGCGGATCGAAAATCGAAGGACCGTGAACAATGAGCGAGTTTGCGAATCGGCAGCTCCAGAGCTTTTATTATTAGACGGGATAAAAAGGAATCTACCTCACACCAGATGCACAAGGACAATGGGGAGAGTTATTAGGGGACCAGCAGAGGCCCAAGTCAACCCTCCACGACGGGGATATCCCAGATGTTTCGCATTGAAGAGATGTTTCCTAGCCCAGGGACCAATGGATCTGGTCGGGCGCGGACAGTCTCGAGTTTCTATCGAAGCCTGATGCACGCTGCCAGGCTGTCAGGTATGTCAACGGAGCAGCGGAGCAGCCGAAGCCATTGGCAGATCAGAACGCGTGGGCCGTTGGAACTGGTCGAGTTTGGTTATTCTTGGTGGAGTGAATTGTCGTGGTCGATGATCCCCCACAGCAAAGCCGCGACCCCTTGACACAAATCACCACTGAGGTTCGATTGGCCATAAAGCAACGAGCTTTGTTTCAGCCCTCTCTTGCCAGCGGCCAGGCCCCTCCAGATAGATCCCTTTGAACTATTATATACATCATACATGCCAACACAACGGAACGTCTGTCGAACGAGACCCGTTCCTTTTGCGAATAACTGAGGCCCATACCCGGAGGATTGCCTGTGCCTTAAGTACTTCCACCCAGGGCAATAATAACTGATTTGTGTGACATGCCGCGAACCATGCGGCACGAATGAGATCACAGTCTTCGATTGGGATACCTTAGGTTTTCTGATCCGCAGCCGCAAGGGAAGACGAGGCGAAACGTGACTGACAGCTGAAAGATACCTAAGGAGCGGGAGAGGCTTGATATCTCGACAGATTCTGCGTCAAACATCTTGTCCAGCTTACCGTACGGTACCACCGAGAACGATGCCCACATATGTGCGTCTGAACCAGGTCAAAAAATTTGAGAGCAGCCCGTGAATAGTATGGCATAAATCAATTTACAGTTCAGATCCTATATACAGCACCATTGTTGCAAGTGGAAGCACAAGTGAGCCGAAGGCCTGGTCCCAATGCCCTTTGCTTCCAGTCAATACCAGGTCCCTGCAAGTACTCAAGACAAGACGGTACGGGAGCGTCTAGGAGGTCCATGCTGATTGGCCACCATCTCACCCCGCCAAAATCGCGGCGCTAGCACCGCGCCAGGGGTCAATGCCGGGAACGGGGAACCAGAGAACCTTTTTGACATTTGTACTGATGAGATGAATGACATTGACGTTCAATGTTTCTACCGCCTCTGTCCTCTCACACTCCTTCGTTCTCGCCTGACCACCCGTAGACCCCGACCCATCACCCGCGATTGCCTCTGACACGTTTGACCAAGCGCCCTGTCCGCTTCCACATCCCACAGGAACAACGCTTGTCATCTCCCTGCCTCTGTGCTACTGCTGGTGAAAATGACCCGCGGCAACAGTCGCGAAAAAGCGCGAGGGAAGAACGCCAAAAAGGCCAAGGAGGTAAGTAAGCGATACGAAGTCGCCCTGGTGACACAGCCAGTCCATGCCTGTCGTCGCCCGGGCTTGTATCTATCTATGCTCTGGTTTGTTCGTAAGGCTCGCCGGCGCGCGGGGTGTTTGCGTGCGCCTCTCGCTCGACCCATTCGTCCCCGAGACGCCCCTTGGAAACACCACAACGAAGTATCCCTACCTAAGCGCCGAAGCCACCCCTGAAGCGACGAGTCGCCATAGCTGGCTGCACGCTCTCTTCGTTGCTTGGTAGGAGGTACTGACTCGCCTAAAGACGAAGACAAAGACCGAGATGACGAGCTATGAGCTGCAGCGCGCCAAGGAGGAGAACGCCGAGAAGATGCGCCTGAAACAGGCTGCTGGTTAGCGCTCTCTGCACGCCCGCTACATGCTCCTGATAACGAAGACTGACACTTGCTCTGCCTTCTGCGTAGCCGACGAGAGGAAAAAAGCTGCTGGCGATGGCACGAAAAGCAAGAAGTGAATACGAGCCGTCGCACAACCCACGACCGATCCCACGCCGAAGATACCTTAATAGATGGCTGGATGGGCATAAAGAACGACTCAACGATATGATGAACAAGGGACGGAGTCTTTTGGAGGACGGGAAGGCAAGGCGTGTTTCGGCGTGCGTGCTGGGCTTCTATACGCTCTTCCTTTGAGGCTTTGATGAAGTGCCAATATACCACTATTACCACACTACCTGTCACATCCACGGATACATCTTCCAGTCCGAGCGGGCCTGTTGCGTGTTATTGAACACGCTACCACCCATGTTCAACTGTGTCGTGGGCCAGGGCGATCGATTGGAAGCTTCGAAAAGATCGCCAGAGGTCACTTCGAGGGTGCCTATACATGATGCCCAGGGAACCGATTTCTATGCCAGTACCGATACCGCTGCACCGAAGAAGCGGAAAAAGGGACGTTCCCCATCATGTCCTGCGGCTTAACTTCCACCCAAGGAGCATACTCCAAACCGATCTTTAGGTATTGTATAAGCAAGATCATTTCAGTGGTCTGTCCAGTCCCTCATCCGGTACTCGGTCATTGCCATATACTGTTCGGAGGCGTCCTGGCGCTGGATGAGCAATGTAATGATACTACCAGAGCTATCCCCCGGGGCTCCCAGGATCTGGTTCTGCATCCATGGGCTGCGGCCTGTATAATATTGTCCAGAATGTTGTCAGCCTTGGTCATTTCGACTTTCCGAACATTGACAGTGTCGACTGGCATCTACAGACGGATGTAAGCCAACACGGGTGGATTGGCTACTATACGCGCATACGTCCCTTCATTATTCGATGGAAGCAAGCTAACGATACCTACACTTTAGTACAAGTGCACAAAGCAAACGAACCAAGAAGGATTTTTTTGTTATTTTACTTCATCTTTTCGATTCAATGACCTATTAGTTTGTGCAATCCAGAGAAAATACGATCCAGTCATATATATGTAAACCTCCCATGCCAGGTGGTAGTAAAAAGAAAATCCATCCAGAAAGTCTAGGGGGCCACCTTCTAGGGATAGGTAGGCAGGCAGGCAACACCCGCCACCACCTCCCGAAATAAGTACTACAACCACACATCTTTCTAGACGTTCCTGCAACAGCAGTTTCTTTGATATCAAAGTCGCAAATCCAAGCCTCGTAACTACTACATATTGCCCCGCGCGCTCTCACATTAGATGGTTTAGATGGCGGCTTCCATCATGCTTGCGGGTAGGCTACCTGTTGTGGGGTGTCAGTGGCTGTTTGGTCCTCCCGTGAGATAGACAAGGGTGAGAGCTGCTTACATACCTGCGAAACCACCGAAGTTGGCGACGCCTTGGGCGTTGACGGCCGGGAAGCTGCCGCTACCGCAGGTGACGGCGCAGACGCAGGCGCCGGTCTGGATGGCACCGGTGCCGGTTGAGATGGCAGTCCCGACGGCGGCAGCGGCACTACTCGCCGATGCGACGGCAGACGCGGCCGCGGACTCGCCAGCGGACCCTGCGGACCCCGCGGACGAGGTGGAGTTGCCGGTGATGGCACTGCCAGCTCCTGCACCCTTCTGCGCAATGGCGGCAGCCTGGAACAGGGCCTGGGTCTTGCTGGCGGTAGGGTTGATGGACATGGCCATCCCCTTGCCGCAGTGGCCCGTCTGCTTGCAGTAGAACCCTATGGAGCCAGTCAGTACCGTAGCATTTGGGACTGGGCTGTAAGTAGTTCAACTTACAAAGGGGGCCAGTGGTCATGACTTGCATGGCGACCTGGGGAGCCGGGCTGACGCTGTTGTCGGGGTTGGGCATGAAGCCAGAGTCCATGCCACCATCCATGGCGGTGCAGGGAGTACCGAACGAGGACTGGGTGACGGTGTGGTTCGTGCTCTCGAATGTGAAGACGACCATGTCACCAACATTAGCGGCAACCTGATCGGGCGTGTAGACGAGGCCGGCGGCTCCGCCGACGGTGACACTGTGGGTGGCTATGGCAGCGGCGGCGGCGCTCGAGGCGCCAGCAGTCACCGTCTGTGTGACAGTCACTTGCTGGTTCAGTGTCGTCGTCGCGGCATTGTTTCCCGGGTTAGCCCAGATGATGATGATCTGGGTTGAGCTAACCGCTTCGATACCCGCGAGCCCTCCGAGCTCGATACCGGCGGCGCCCTCAAGCTCCGACAGGTGACTGCTTCTTCGGTGTGCCGGGTAGACGTTGTGAACGGCTTTGGCGATGGCCAGCGGGGCGACGGCCATCGAAAGAGCTGCTGCGTACTTCATGGTGATGGTGTGAGGTATGGATGGGGATGGGATTAAGGCGGGTGGGTATGCTGTGGTATTTCCTGAATACACCGTACTGAACCTGGCAATGAGAAAGCTCTGGAATTGAATTGGCGAGGGCCTGCTCGTGACGAAGAGAATGAATGAGATGAAGTTAGGAAGTAGGGAACAAAAAATGAGTGAACACACAACTAGTCGTCTAGTGAAGAAGAGATGGAAAGAAACATCACCCACTGGCGGCGCTTGACGGGGGACGTCAAGGCTTAAATCGAGCATGAAGATCGAACGACATATTGTTAGAGACTGGGTTGCCTGTCTCCTGGACCGGGAGCTGACGGGGAGCTGGTCTCGAAACAGGAGCAGAAAAGCCTCCGTGCAAAGGGCATCCAGGAACTGCTTCGTGGGGCCATGGGCGTCCGATCATGACCATTCACGGCACTGGCAGAATGAGCCAGCCATCCCATGTCACGGGTGTGAAGTGTCAGAGTGTGAAGGGCAGGGGCTGCTGTGATGTGACAGAGTCGTCTCGGGTGGTGTTTTGGGCACGTCGCTTAAACATGCGGGCGCGGTCATAGCTCCAGACCCTTGCCCTAGGCCTGACCTCGAGCCTCGAGATGGCATGGTCGGCTTCAGCAGCTGTACACAATTCGCAGTAAGCTGTATCCTGAAGCGCGATGATGGATTAAGCGTGATGGTCAAGCAAATCACAAGAAAAAAGATAATAGTCTACATCAGAGGCGGAGCTGTTGGTGGGTGCAGTTGACAGGTGAATTGAGTTCCAACTTCCAATGGCTGACAGCTGTGGCCAATGTTAAGCTTCTCGGCAACTAAAACCCGTTAGAAACCTTATTCAAGACCGTGGCGCTTGCGACATCCGGGGTCGTGCTTGTTATGCGGCGCCCCCCTCTGGTCTCCCACACTCTAGACCACCGCTTCATCAGAGCCGTGGTATCCATTGCAACCCGACGTTTTCAGCTGCGGCATGCAAGCAACGGCAGCGTCGGATCTGGATCCTGCCGTTTCCACTGTCAAGTGAACGAGGCTAGAGGTCAAGACTCAGAAGGAGGAGAGAGGAAATGCCCCGTGGTTCATCTGGACCCTGGTGACTTATACCCATGCACCTCATCCCGGCATCACGAGAGCCTAGAGGAACCAGCCTGTGAGCCTGTGCCAGCTTCACGAGGGTTTCTAGGCCTTTTGCATCATTGCGGACCCCTCCATCTTATAGCCTTGCACAGATCATTTCTAAACTGACAAGAACGCTTCTTTCCATCCCCCCCGAACAGCCGATTCACGTCTCCACTACGGACCTGGTAACGAATGTGACAGTAACGAGATATGGCCTGTTATCTTGACATGGAATGCTTGAAGAGACGCGGAGGCCTCACCGCGGAACGTCGGCGTCGATAATAAAGCAGATATCGCGTGACGCGTAATTATGCGGGTTTGCGCCGCAGACACAGACGATCGCCTATTGGAAGTTCAAACATGTCAATGTTTCGCCAAGCTGACACTTCTTTGGGGGTGGCTCCGACTTCGAGGGCGACACGAAGTTTTCGCTTGTAACAAAGCCTTGTGAGACGTTGTAGACTGTAATCCCGTGGCTTACGGAACCTTTCCTACATGATGGGGACTGCATAATGAACATCAGCTTTGGAAGCAACGTTGGGGTGTGGTCTTCAAGGGACTCACAGTCGAGCAAGCACATCCATCACTTTGCGTGACCATCATATTTCTCGATGTTTCCCGGGCTCTTCAATTTAACTCCCTGCTGAAACGAACCACATGCCTGCTGCAGCACCTGCGGACAGTTCGCTTGACGTCAAAATCATGAGACGATGCAACAAATACCGTTACAGATCCTGCTGTCTCGTCGATCAGATAGAGGAATCGAGGCTGCATCTTCCCAGGATCAACGTAGCCTTGCTTGCTGAATCCCTGAAGTCGTTGGCCGTCTTTGTAAAGACTACTCGCGCTGCGGTGGCGCATCATGCTGTCCTTCGTAATAGCCAGTGTAATATCCTGCGTAGTACCAAGACATCAGCAGTCTCTTGAGGCCTTCATCACGAACTACAGCCGAGTTAGTCCCATCCTTCTGTATAGTACGATGTTCAGATTTGAAGCACCAGGCGGAAGTGTACCTGAACCGAGCAGTCCTGCCGGCACGGGGCCGGGACCAGCACCAAGCGGATGGCTGTGCTGGGTAGCTGGCCTTCCGCCGTCTTGTCTCGTATCCTGCGTTTCGTTCGTCAGCAACCTGGGAAGATCTATGCCAAGCTTTTTGATCTGCTGGATTATCATCATGGTTTACATCCAGAGTTGGACTTACATCAGCTTCTCCTCTCATCTCGGAGTCTGTTTTGACTGCGCCAGGGTCTGACGGCTCGTCGGCGTCGTCCGTGCTCTGCTTGGCATCCGAAAGCTTCCTGCTTTTGATATTCCTGTCAGTACACCCAATCCGTACCGCAGATGCCATGAGAACTGCAGTGGTGAAAAGGGGTCCAAAGATGTAAGAAACGAGCAGACAGACTCATCATGCTTGTGCTTGGGTTCCAAGAGGTCGTCGACGTTGCCCCCATTTCTGTGGATGCTGTGATACTTCTTTTCAGAGGTTAGCTTGCATGTGCTTTCAACCCTGAGGGAAATTTGGTGGTACCTTGTACTCATCCAATGCGTCGTTCCAAGAATCCACCAGAGCTGAGTCGTCCCAGATTTCGGTATGGTCCAATTGGTGGGGAGCCATCTTGATCACTCAAGAGATTTTGATCAAATGCGGTGAAGGGCAGGAATCGTGTATACGATCAACAGACTGACGCTGATATCAGACTGCAGACAGTGTACCGGGAACACAATGCGATGAAAGCTGTAAGTGTGATTGGCCTCCGAAGAGCATCTCACACCTCACTGGACTGTTGGTATCATGGATGGTTTCTTGATGAAGCGCAGGTGGATTACCGGTAGCAGTACCTGTGGGCTCAAGGATATCCACCGCGAGCGCTGTTCACTTTGCTGCGCAAAGTGGGGAACAAAACCCTGAAACAGTTAGAAACCTTGAAATATAGATTTATATATAAAATCTCTACTTTTAACAATAAATAACTTTGTAATTTAAAAAGTATAAAATAATAAAAGGTTATTATATTATTCTTTTATTTTTTTTATAATCATTAGAGTTTTCCCGTATTTTTAAAACCTCACGTCAATATTTAAGGGATTAATCTTTTAATACGGGTAAATTTTAAAAATAAAAATTTGATAGTATAAACATGTTTAAATCTGCCAAAATTCAGGTTTTTGAGCTAAAAATTCTTTAAAAATATCTCTTAGTAAGATCTAATTTTTCGAATGTTTAGTTTATTTTTAGCGTCTTTTGTTCCCTAGTTACGTTTTGTTTCAGGGGTTTTGACTGTTTCAGGGTTAAATCCCCCATTTTGCGCAGCAAAGTGGCAGGTGCTCGCGGTGGGGCACATCACCCTTGAGCCCACGGGTACAGACTTACAGTAGCTCCAGGCCCCATCGGCCTATCATCGCTATCAATGGTGGGGCTCAAGGTTCTAGCTGTTCACCGCCAAAATTTCAAGGTGGCAGAATCAACCAGAGGAAAATCTGCTGCACGCCTCTCTGCTTCAATTGCCCAGGACACGCATATAACTGCTGTGTGAAGAACAGCTACGCCTCGCAATGGCGCCTGAACTAAGATCAAGAAAGACGAAAGGTACTTGTCACGATCACCATTTCTCCTCCCATTGTGTCTAACAATACTGCCAGAGCCGGCCATGTCAGCCGCCATACCTGCCCCCAAAGCCAAGGCGACAGCTTCAGCAAGCAAGCGGAAAGGTTAGTCTGTGAAGTCTGCCTTCTGGAAGATTGCTGGCTTACCCATACACTATAGCTGTCGAAGAGACGAGTCCAGTGGCGACGAAGAAGACCAAGGCAACAAAAGAGGAAGCCCAATCCAAGACCTCGCAGACCTCGCGATCTTCTGCCACGAAGAAAAAGGCGCCTGGAGACGCCGATACCGATGACGAGAAAGACCAACCCTCTGATGACGAAGGAGACGACGCGCAAGCTCTTGCGCAGGTTATCGACGGCGAGGCCGAGGAGGAAGATGGTGTCGTAGGCGCCGATACATATCAAGAGGGCCAGGACGTGGGCAAGATCCCAGAGGTTTCCAAGGAGCTAGTGAAGTCTTCCAAATCGGAAGGGAATGAACCTGGAGTCGTATATGTATGTCGGACTACCTGGAACGTTCGCGAGCAAACCCACTAATGTTGAAGACAGGTCGGCCGAATACCCCGTACGACAAACCCTCGTTGTATCTATCAGTTTGGATTAGTCGAACTTGAGCTAACTCGGGTCCCTATAGATGGCTTCGAGGAGCACGGTATGCGCTCATACTTTTCACAGTTCGGCGCGATCAATAAGCTTAGGTACGGATCGAAACTCCCAGGTCTGGCTGTCATTGACTAGTCGCTAACATGCACCACCTACAGAATGTCGAGGAATAAGGCTACTGGTCGATCGCGCCATTTCGCGTTCATTGAGTTCGCAGAGGCAGGTGTAGCTGATATTGTCGCAAAGACCATGGTAAGTAGCGATGTCACTTGCGAGATGGCAGGAAGCTAATCCGTTTTACCCCTAGGATAACTACCTTCTGTATGGGCATGTACTCAAGGTCAAGGTTGTTCCCAAGTCACAAGTTCACCAGGATCTATGGAAAGGTTCGACGAACAAGCGCTTCAAGAAGATTCCCTGGAACAAGATGGCTGGCAACCGCCTGGCCAAGCCGTTATCAGAGTCGGGCTGGACCGAGAGGATCTCAAAGGAAGAGCAGAGGCGGAACGACCGAGCAAAGAAGTTGTCAGCGATCGGCTACGAGTTCGATGCACCGAAGATGAAGGCCGTCGAAGATGTGCCCAGGAATGCTGTGACACTCGAAGCAGCTCATGATGAAGCACCGGCAGCCATTGAAGCAGCTGCTGATGATGATGCTGAAGCTAAACCTGAGCCAGTGGAGGTCGAAGAGGAGACCAAGTCGGTTGATGAGGAGCTGGCTGTGAAGAAGCGTGCCAAGGTAAAGTCTACGAAGAAGACGAAGAAGTCTTCGAAGACGAAGACCTCGGCGTAGTCGATGGCATAGGATCGTGGAACTTTATGACAATTTGGCGGCGGCTTGACTTGATTGTACGCGGGCGCATGTGCTCGTGAAGCTGGCAGGCGGAAGACACAATGGTTCGCAGTGGGACAAGCAGCGAATTGGTAGTAATCGTTCCAGCAAACAGCCCCTTTGACAGTTGCTCAGATCCGATTGTGTTCATGTGAATCATCATTTCAGCTGGTTGACCGGATCACATATTTAGGTATGTAAGCTCAAGCCGAAGGCATTCAACCTACTCTAGAAGTCGAACCAAACTCTTAAGTCCGTCTTTCAAGTAATCATGAGCAGGAGTGCTAGCTGCGTAGTAAAGAGGTTTGTTGAATCCCATCCAAGGTCAGCCTAACTATCACCTTGATGAAGTGTGGCACTGTATGTATGCACATAGCGAATCCGCGATACCATGGACAAAGTCGGGCAAAAGCAGGATTATAAAAGGCAGTGTTCGCTCTGCTTCAACCGAATGACATGAATCAGCCAGACAAGGCGTGACGCCTTGTCGTAGGCAGCTCCATATATGTGATTCCGGCGAAGGGAAAATATGTGAAGAGGAAAAGAAGAACTAGAATTGGCTCGGCTGGATATTTTTTGGATGTCTACCAGGTCAGGACCCGCCTGCAGTTGAGTGCTCACGGGCAGAGATGGATTCTTCCGCGTTACAATGTTTCCGACACCACAGCGGAATGTGTTACGACCAGCTGCCAATTGAGAATGGTCTAGATTTACTTGTACTTTACCTGCATCTAAGAGAACTGGAATTGTTCTGGTGAAAGGATTCAAAGTCACATATAAGTCGAAGCCCTTCGTTGCTAGGTGGCCGCAGCTGCCGCCAGACGTTGTCTTGGGCCGCACTGTGTGCTGTGCGCGTGATTAAACCCCCGCTGCAGCTGGCAGACCAAGCTCAGCTGTGCATCCAGGCCACCTCGTCAATCTGGTAGATCCCGCGAGGCCATCGAGTTGCTAATAATAACCCTCCAAAGGGCGTACGTGGAAACTTCGCAACGCCTTCCACCGCCAGAGAAGAGACACGTACAACTCAATGCTACCAAGCTAGGAGTCAGTTTTCATAATATTCAAAATGGCCCCTCCTGAGCCCCCCCAGCAGATGGGTGCAGGTCAGTCGCGACGGGAAAGACACGTTGATGTTCAGGTTGAAGCGAAGAGCTAACCCTTCCACGGTAGCTACGAAAAAGAAGAATAACAAGAAGAAGAAGAACGCAGCGAAGTCGAAGCCGACCGAGGAAGACGCGAAAGCCACCGAAATACCCCAGAATGGCGAGTCGCGCGACAAGGAGGGAGATCAATCCGACGATCCGGATGCTCCAGCCGTGGTAGTGCAACCACACATAACCCGCATAGCACACTTCAAGCGTCTAACATTGAATAGAATGCCCAACGAGACTCTCCGAACGGTCATGCCAGGTCAACGTCTACCAATGGACAACCCTCTGCAGCATCGCCATCGAAACCCGTGGTTGAGCAAGCGGACGAGCCGAAAGAGGATACAGCCAGTGCAGATACGAGCGCCAGGTTAGAAGCAATGACGACAGAACGGCAAGCTCTGAGAGCAGAAGTAGAGGAATTGCGGAAACAACTAGAGGGCATACAAGCAACACATACGCAGGAGACGACACAGCTGAAGTCAGACCTGGAGGAAGTCGAGGCGGCCAAGGAGCATGTCGAGGAGCAGTACCAGACCCTCGTTGGCAGAGTCGAGAAGATCAAGGAGAGCGTCGGCAACAGATTAGCCAGAGGAAAAGAGGAGCTAGAAGAAGCGAACCAGCGCATCGACGAGCTCGAGACACAAAACGAGGAACTCCAGAAGGGCACTCACGGCTTCGAGGACGAGATCGCGGGGCTCAAGACTGAGCTGCAGGATGCTACAAGGGAACTGTCTAGCCTGCGGAGTCGGAATAACCTCTCACAGCATAACTCCCTGAAAGAGAAGGAGGACATGACGCGACAGATCCAGCATCTGAGGGAAGAGGCAGAAGCGGCCAAAGACGCGATGGGCGACTGGGAAGTCCTGGCAATGGAAGAGCGTTCCATCCGGGAAAGTCTCACCGAGAAGACGGCGGCACTGGAAGAAGAGGTGTCGACGCTCAGGGATAGTTACGAGCGAGCAGCTTCTGAGCGGGATAGTCAATCCCAAGCAGTGGACAGTCTCCAAAGGGCCCTCCAAGAGATTCAGGAGGCTCGCAAGAAGGAATTAAGAGAGATGGTCGAGACATCCGAGGAACAGCTCCAAGCACTGAAGAAGCTTGTGAAAGAAGCTGATTCAAGGGCCTCGGTCGCAGAAACTGCGAAAGATTCGCTGCAGAAAGAGCTAGAGCGTACAGCGCCGTACGAGAAAGAGGTGAAAGAGAAGAATCTGCTTATTGGCAAATTGAGGCACGAGGCTATCGTCCTCAACGATCATTTGACCAAAGCATTACGGTACCTCAAGAAGTCCAAGCCGGAGGATAACATCGACAGGTTTGTTCCATCCCAACCAAGGCCATCTCAGCGGCGTTGCTGACTAGAAGGACAGGCAAATCGTTACAAACCACTTCCTCCAGTTCCTCGCTCTAGACCGTTCGGATCCCAAGAAGTTCCAAATCCTGCAGGTCATTGCCGGACTGCTCAACTGGACGGACGAGCAAAGAGAACAGGCTGGACTGGCACGTCCTGGCACGTCCAACAACTCCCTCCGCCTTCCTACGTCTCCATTCCACAGGACGCCTAGTACGCCGTCCCTCAATGCCGAATTCTTCTCGGAGCCCACGCCCACTTCGGCGCACAACAAGGAGTCTCTGGCGGACCTCTGGGCCGGGTTCTTGGAGAGGAGCGTGGACGAGGCATCACAGGCAGGCGGGTCGAGGAAGGGCAGCATGTCGAGTATAGCAACGGGCAATACCAGGCCAGAGACGAGGGGTGCCCCCTAGATGTTATCATGTAGATTATCTCATTCTGTCTGCATACCTTGCATGCGTGTGTGTTTTTGTTCCTGAGACAGCAGCTGTGCGATATAGAGAACCAAAAGAGAGCATTTATCATGGCGTTACTGGATACGGACAAGGATCGAGGATCAAGAGGAGAGTCCTGGTAGGGGTTATTTGCGCCATAGCGGTTGCGTTGATCAACATATCATCTTGTTCGAGCTCCGCTTTGAAGAGTTTCGCTGACCTACACCCCTTTTTTTCGTCCATTGGCATGTTTTCCACTTACCTGCGTACATATAAAGCAGACAGCTATCTTGAAGAGAAAGCGATTTGATTCACTAGTTCTCTTCCGAGACTCGGAACACGAAATGAGATAAATGCATGTAGTTGTGGTACTATTCGCTCATCTAACGGGTCCCGGGCATCTCTAGTCTAACAGCGTACCAAACAACACCCAACCTCGTAATGTACATGGGGATCTCAACCATAAACCCGCTTTCTTTCATCATCATCACCATCGTCATCCCACAATAGTCTCGGGCGCTTGCTGCAGCGGCGGCGTCGGCACGCGGGGCAGCATGTTCACAGCGTAGGCCTCGGCGTCGCGCGAGATGTCGGCGATGTTGACGCGGTTGGCGAGCGCGTCGTTGACGCCCTCGACGACGTCGCGCTCCTCCATGACCTCGCGCATGAGGCGGCCTTCGTGCTGCCAGTAGGCCTGCGTGCGGGCGCGCAACTCCTCGTCGCGGATCGCCGTGTTCTTGACGATGCCGACGGCGCTGAGCCGGCTCTTGGTCGCCTGCAGGCGCCGTGTGACGGCCTCGACGCGCTCGGCGGGGGTCGGCGGCGTGTAGAAGGCCCGGTTCGTGGCCGAGAGGTAGATTAGTAGTGTGAGGACGGCGTCGAGCAGCGCGAGGCCGAGGGCGCGGTACGCCCGGCTGTTCCAGAAGAAGAGGTCCAGGTCCGACAGGCGCGTCGCGCGGGAGTTGAGCTGGTGGTTGTAGGCGTTGGTGATGAAAATGTCTAGTACGACGGCGAGTGTGCCGACGATGGCGCCCGTGGTGCGCCAGCGCGAGGCCGCGGTGCCGCCCACGGCGCCCTCGGTCGCGACCGACATGGCGACGACGCTGACGATATGCGGCGTCAGCAGGGCCGGTAGCGCATAGTAGAAGTAGCTGCGCGGCTCGTCGGAGCTGCAGAACGGGCACTCGGCCAGCACCTGCGGGCCGAACTGCAGGTACAGCAGGCGCGACTCGAGGTTCACGAACTTGGCGCGCAGCGCCGTGTCGGACGCGGTCAGCGCATTGTCGGGGCGGAGAGAGGATAATCGCGTGAAGAGCACGTCGGTCGGGATCTGCAGGCGCGACTGCGTGAGCGTAAAGATGTTCTCGGGCGCCAGGGGCGGCAGCGCCGAAAGCGCGAAGACGAGGGCGACGCCGAAGAGGATGGCGATGGCGCGGAGGGCGCGCGGGGGCAACGGCTGGACTGTCGTTGGAGGTGCGCTGCGGATCGAGCGGTAGTAGCCGATGGCCTTGGGCAGGAGCATAGGCCCGAAGAAGATGAGTAGGGACTTGACGCTGTGAGGGTGGTGTCTGTGGTTAGCTCTGGTGTGTAGGCGTGGAAGGGATGGTCAGCTACTCACGTCCCCCAAGATATCATGGCCATGGTGTGCTGCTATTGCTATCTGTGCCTCATGTCGTTGTGTGATGTAACAAGAAGAAGGTCTCTCGCCGACTCATCCTCTTCGTTTTGAGGGATCAACCCGTTCGTTCTGGCCAGATGTCATGCCGGTACGTAGGCGTAGGCGTTGACCGTCAGCCTTGTGTGCTAAATCCGTCGCGGATCCCAAAGAATCCCAACGGGCTGAAGCCACGGTCGCATTGACGTATCCCGGTTTCCCTGTGGCGTCGCAAACAAAGGCAGGCTTGCATTGTGGTTGGCTCAGCTGTGCGACCCACTATTCTCCCCGAAGCTGATTTTCTCGGACCTTAAATTCTCTCGAAACCGATTTTCTTTTCTGTGTTCTGCGAAAAACAACATCACCAAAAACCTCAGCAACGAGCAACCAGAGCACTCCTCCAGGTTTTGGAAGCCAGCAAGCATGTTGCACGATGTGTAGACCTGTCGATGCTGCTTTCATTGCAATTTTGCGTCGATGTCCATTCGGGGTCTGACGGACGGACAGTACAGCTGTCTGCAGCCGAGCTATATAACTACGTCTGTCTGCACAGGTAAGGCCTTGTGATCGTGACACTACAATTGGCACTTTCGAAGCTTTGGCGATCTCCTTTCTCGATGGTCGCTAGAGTCAAAAAGCATGCCTAGAGCGACCCAAAATACTCTGCCAAGAGTCATCTCAATCGTGTTACAGAGTTCCAGCTTCGCGCCATGACAAACTCTGCGTCAAATTAAGATGAGAGACATGCCTCCTACATATGATACTCTCACAATTCCTTCTCCCTCTTTGCTCCCTGTGACACTGCTGCCGCTCCCTTCTTCTCCCCGCCGGCCTTCGCGGGTTCCTTCAGCTCCTGCTTCTGGGCCGTCTTCGCGCCCAGCATCAGCCCCAGGATAGCCGTGATCGTGTCGTTTATAAGCATCACCACCACTGTACACGCCACCTGCCATGAGCCGATGCTGATGCTGCCGAGAGGCGCTCGTGGGAAGCACAGTATCCATTCGACGTAGTATGGGAACCAGCCATGGGGAAGCCAGAACATAGGCTCCTTGCCATAGATCCACGGCAATATGAACTTGACCCCCGACGTAGCAGACCATCGTATGATTCCGGCGGTGCGGTCGAACTTCGCTTTCGCGGCTTCGTGGGTTGATTCTGTGGCCAAGCGTAATTAGTGACCAGCCTTGTTTCGCATGGGGAGGGTGTGTTGCGCTCACTCGTTTTCTCGATCTGTTCAAGAACTTTGTCATGTTGTCGTCTGAGCTTCGCCCACTTCGCGAACTGGTCCTGACTGCTCGTAGCGTTGAGGTCGCGTCGGAGTGCCAGGGATTCCTTCTGAAGCTGTCTCTGCTCGGCGCCCAGTTTCGAGGTTTGGGTCGGTACGGCCAGGTATAGGTTCCATAGCTAGATGCGCTTCGTCAGTCCTCTGTACTGCGCCTAGGTCTTCGCGGCTAAAAGTCAATCTTACCATGTTGTTTAGGGTCGCTGCGCCGATGGTGTTCACGAGGTGAACAGCCAGCTCGACCAGGATCACGACGAGAAGCAGTGACGGCATCTTGTCGGTGATTGTGCTGGGCGAACTGGTGATGAAGAAATGTTGTTACGACGAGTAACTTGTGGCTCGAAGAACTTCATAGGTACTACCTGGTAGTATCCTCAGGAGTGGCAGACGTTGGAGAGGTTTCTGACTGCTGCGGTCTACTTCTGTGGCCCTGTCCGAGGTGACGCAGCAACTTTGGGTCTGCGGTAAACCGACTATTAGGTTTAAGCATAATTACATATATATGCAGTTGAAAGAGTGGATGCCTTATATTGAAATTAGCCCCACCATTAGCTTTAATCAGATGCAGTGTTCCTCCATGTGACCATGTCCAAAACCACCGTACAGGAAGTACACGAGAAGACCAGTCATCCTTCGTCACTTGCCAGCATTCAATAACAATGCGTACCTACTGATTGGCAGCATGTCCCGTTCGCTGGACAAAGAAACCGCAGCACAACTGAAAGCCCAAGATCCCAAGCCGGTATACCACGATATCTCGTCGGTTCTCAGTAACCTGCCGGGCTCTCAATTGTTGGAGATCGAGTTACTTGGGAAGAGTCTTCCTCTTGAGCCAGGAGTCAACTTCCTTCAAGATGGCGCCGCGGTGGCTATCCCCAAGCTGAGGCTTGTACAGGCGTTCCTCGTTGCGCGCCGGATCTTGCAGAAACACCTCGAAAGCAGTCCGAAATCGATCAGCAGTGACGTCCTGGCTGCGACCGCCGTCCTCCTTCTTATGGATCCAGAACATCTCACGGCTGCCAACGTCAGGAAACGTGCAGTCATTATGATAATGGAGGACGGGGACCAGGTTGAGCTTGTTTTGAAAAAGGACAAGCAATTTGTGGACTCGCTGCTCACAGCCAGGCTACATCGTCACACCAAGTCTCCCAACCTGTGGTCACATCGACGTTGGTTACTCAACATCTGCAAGGCTCATGGCGTTGTCCTTGACGTCCGACACGATATCACCCAAGTCGTCATGGTAGCTGGCGATAGGCATCCTCGCAATTACGTCGCTTGGAACCACGCTCGATTCCTCTTGGATATGGACTCTCGTCTCGCTGCGTCTATTGCTGCCGACATCAAAGAATTCTGCCTGAGACACCATACTGACACATCCGGATGGAACTTCCTGTTATGTGCCATCGGGAGGATCGACGATGAGCACACTCGTCTGAGGACGTGCTCAACGCTCGTAGCAGACATTCTTGAGGTGGTCGAGTCATTCCGCTGGGCGAATGAGTCGGTCTGGGTATTCTTACGTACGATCATGGCAGCGGAAGGGGTCAGGGGGCAACAGTTTGAATCATTCATCGCCATAAACCACAAAATCTCTTCTCTTATGTCAGAAGACAACCCCCATCAGAGACTACTGGGAAGGGCGCAGCGGTGGTGCGATAAGTATCGCGTTGCAGGATGTCTCGGTCCAGAAGGCCAACGGCAACTTGAATCCCCACAGGCTTGAATCAGCCAAAATTCTTGAATCAGGTGCACAGTGTCAGGGAGAAGAGCCGTGTGGGCACATTTGCACCAGCTGGCAAGCAGCGGCCTGATATTCTGATAGCTCAATATCTCAACTGATCTGGCTTGGTACCGGACGATGTCGCCAGCAAGGCTGAGAGATTGCAACTATGGCATCTGGCTCTTCCAGCGGTGCGTCCGGGCCGCCGATCACAACTCAAGAATGGACGGGTAGGAGGCTGAAACGAGCCAGTCGACAGCGTCGCCATGCGCAATACTACGAGGCTCACCAGACGACCAACAGCGAAATTGGCTTGGGAGACGACCTAGGACAGCGTCGAGTCTGCGATAAGAAGCGGCTAATAAATCAGGTATTGAAAGGCAGCCTGGCCAGTATGGTATTCGGTTACCAACGCGAAGTGCCACATCCAGAAAAGGGCCTCTCGAATGCAGTATCTCGCAGTGGTTAGTTATCTTTAAGTACGTGGCAGTGCGCATGTACGTTGCATGGAACCTCCTTGCTTCCATCCATTCAGCAAAGCCAGGCTCCAATCATGAGGTGCTCTCGCAGACTCATGCCTTGAACTCACCAGCGCCGCCTGCGCCGCCAAGCAGCGAGAGGTTTGACTCGAGGGAGACGCTACGCTGCGATCATCCGATCTTGGCAAAGTGCATCTTCGTCCGATCTGGAGACTCAAGGGGCCGTTCACGACGGCGTCGAAGGCCACCATGAAGATGACAGGCGAATGATTTTCAGCCATTATGATATCTCAGCTTCCGTGTCCTGGCGGCCTGGCTATGAAAACCGCGTTGATATTTTGCACATTTCTCCTGAGTCAAAGATGGGATGGTTTCCTGTGGATCGCTCCCCCATCCGGAGTCAGGACCACATCCCCTGTCTGTTCTGGGCCTGTCCTGCAGACGGTAATTTGCTATTACTACCGGATGTGGAGAGCCCCTTGCCGCTTGCTGCCCTTCCGTCAGCGCCGGTTGGTCTCGGCAGCTGTACTACAGTATGCCGTAACCCCCCATCTGCACAGGAACCTTGGAGGCAACTCGACGAGCCTGCGCGCTTGTGAAGCTCTTTATCTAGAGGGATAGGACTCTGAGGGGAACCATGTCAGCCACATCAGGGACCGAGTTGTTCGCATTGTCAGACTTCCGACTCTGCCTCGCCTCAGGTTCCTCGAAATCAACACGCCAATCATTGATTTGACAAGTTGTAACTGGGGCCCTCTGAGCTAATTGAGCTTAGTCGATCAGGATCTCAAAGTTACTGTCAGAATACTCGTCCGATCTCGTTTTGACGCCGAGCTTATAGGTTATGATAGGTTGCTACGAAGTAGCCCCCGAGCGGGGGCCCGTACCAATAGCGTGCTGCCTTCACTCCCCCTTGTCAACAAGGGGCTACAGTTGACCACTGATACTCCCTACTTTGAAGTCTTTTTTGCGGGTGAGGCGGAGAGCTGCCTCGACCCTGGTCATCGCAACCACCAACAATATAAAAACGGCCGATGGCAATGTGCATGCAGGTAGCATTGCAACCCCGTCTGGAAAGTCGGGAAACGGCCTCCTGGCCTGTGCTCTCTACCTAAAAACCCCTAGCTTCTGTTGTCAGGGGTAGAGTCAGTAGCTGGGTCCAGGGTGCCCTGAGTTTCCTTGGCCCCAACTCTGTCTCTATCGGCCTCCACAACGCGAGCGATTCGGTTCACACACAACATCATACCTCTCCACCATCCCTCCCTTCTCGCTCCTCCATCCCGTCATCTACGGTATCATTGTACATACATACCGTACCTGACTAACTAACTCTAGTACCTAATCGTTCATTGCTTTGCTTTGGCTTGCTCTATCGCTATCTTAATAGAGGGCTGCCCATTTGACACTTCCTCGTTGTCTCATATTCTTCCCATTGTGTTTCTCTCGGCGGCACCTGTCTTGAACTTCGAGTCGCCATATATTGGACGCGATCCTAGTCATCAAATATCGAGACCCTACATTCCTTGTCTTGTATTCACCACTCACTATATTCACTTTCTCTCACCATTGTTGACGAGGGACCTCCTTCTTTGGACCTCGACACTACAAATTACGATACCGTTATAATATTTTTTTAATACGACAGTTGAACCCGAGTCTGGCACTCTTGGCCCCTGGTGATACACATTCACCTGTACCTACGCAGTCCCTCGCTATCAGTCGCTCTGGGAAGCTTGCTACTGCTGGCTTAGAGACTCAGTTTGACCGTGACGTTTGTTTTGGATATCCACGCAGATCTGGGCTGCCCATTGACAACCCTGGCGAAAGCTATTGAGGAACGAGCGCCTCGTTTAGGGAGCAAGGACAAGTTGTGTTGACTTGGACGAAAGGCCAGTTGAGTTGTTGAGCTCCTCGGTGGACATATCAATATGCATAGGGCCTTGATCTTCCTCCAGCTTTCATTATGGATCACTAGCATCCACGCTCTCTTGCCATTGGCATCCGAAGGACATGGAGAAGCAAGCAAGAGAAGCACCACGACTGGTGCAACCTTGGCGAAACCTAATGGCTTCGTCACCTTCAAGATGGTCCAGAAAGCTTCAGGTGTAAGTTTGTCCCTTCTTCGTTGTCGGGAGGATACTGACATGGTGGTTTCTGTTAGTCTGGCGGATCGATAACCGACCTGGTCACTCGAGCATCAAGCAGTAAGACCTACAAGCACAGATCCCGGGCATCGTCACGAACCATCAACGGGGAGTCAACCGTGGCTGCTAGAGACAACGATTATGCGGTCGACGTAGCCCAGGACCCAACAATGAAGAACAGTGCTGGCGTCGACCAAGACGGGACAGATTATTCCTATTTCGTGGAGGCGAAGCTTGGCTCTGATGGCAAACCGTTGTACATGCTTCTAGACACAGGTGCTAGTACGACCTGGGTCATGGGCTCTGGTTGTACATCCGACGCCTGCAAGAAGCACAACTCCTATGGGCCCAACGACTCCAAGACCTACGTCGACACCGGCAAGACTTATTCGGTCGAATACGGGACGGGGAAGGTCGGTGGGCATGTCATCGAAGACACCATTTCCGTGGCTGGATTGGCGGTGACGGTATCTTTCGGGGTTGCTAATACCACCTCGGACGAGTTCACCGAATTTCCCTTTGACGGTATCCTGGGGTTGTCGATGAGTCCGAACACTTGGCTATCTGCCGTCAAAGACGCCAATCTGATTGACGCCAATGTCTTTGGAATTAGCCTGTCCAGGCATGCAGATGGCACGAACGATGGCGAGATTGCCGTTGGCGCCCCCAACCCGGACAAATATGATGGAGATATCTCGTACGCGTCTATCGTCTCCGGATCGACCTGGACTATCCCGATGGATGATATCATGGTTGGTGGCAAGTCTGCCGGTGTAACTGGCAGGCATGCATACATCGACACTGGCACGAGCTTCGTGTTTGGCCCTCCGGATGATGTCAAGTCAATGTACAATATGATCCCAGGTTCATCGTCGAGTGATGGCTCGACGTATACTGTTCCTTGTGACAGTGACGCTTCTGTTGCTCTCACATTCGCTGGCAAGAGTTGGACCATCTCCTCCAAGGATTTATTGTCTGCACCGGACGGCAATGGCCACTGCGCCGGCAACGTATACGGAATGGAGTATGTGGCTGGGGCCTGGTTGGTCGGGGATGTTTTCCTGAAGAACGTCTATAGCGTGTTCGACGTGGACCAGGGACGAATCGGTGAGCTCGCGTTATGTCCATACATCGCCCTCGGCCTCTGCTAACCTCTCACAGGATTCGCCGCAAAGCAGACAACCACTAGCACGACAACAGGGTCTTCAACAGCAACATCCACGGGTACAGCTAGCTCTACGGCTTCTGGGGGTCTCAATGGCCAGGAAACTCCTACAGGTACCGCGGCGGCAGATACAGTTAGCGCTACTCCCACTGCGTCAGGCAAGGACTCCTCCGGCGCCAGGTTTGCAGGAGACATGTATGCAATCATCGCGTGCCTGTTCACGATCATCGCCATGATTGTTTGAGCACCACAGAACACATTCATTATAGATCATAGACTTTATTCTTCAAGTCACATATTACCAATCATGCAGGCGAGGAGTAACCTCGAGAGGGCTCAGGCACCCCGAACATCCCTGCCAAAGAGCATCATAGACGAAGGGTTGTGGTATCTCACAAGCCGACAGATCCGATCACGATGCAAATGAAGAGGTTTACAGGATAGGGGCTCGCCACTTTTGGGTGGTTTATATAAATGATACCCATGGCGAGAGTTTGAAAAGATCAGCAGAATCTAGGGCCAGCAAAGTAACGTCTGGCCCCTTGTATCTACGAGCATGTAATAAACAACCAAATCTTCATTTCACGACTGTCATCAGCTCTTCCCTGTCTGGGAGCGTACTTACCCTGATCCAACATGTAAGGAGGCGGTCTGTTGGATGTACGTGCTATGCTTATGGACACTTGAATTAAAACGCCAAGAAATCAAGTTTTGTACGGTGGATCTGCTCAGCATGTAGACGGGAAGGGATGACCCGTCCGTTTCACCCACCCCTGCATTGATACTGCGACACGTGAATTCCAAAACGTTGAGCTAGGGGCCGGTATTCCGGTATTGTACAGTAAGTAAGCTACGTACCGTTTTTCGTAGGAATCGCGACTTGTAAGAGACCAACCTGACCTCACATTGCTGAAAGTTCCCGATTCGCAGCCAGCGCAAGATGCTCCCGCGATAAGACAATGGCCAAGGCCAAGATCCGTAGCTCCCAGAAAGAGCACTCAAGCAGCACCGACGACCACCACTCGGCCGCTGCACCTCGAAACGAAGAAGAGCATGGCTTGCTGGCAGGCGGCGGCGCCTCGGACGACGAGGACGAGGACGGCCTCGTAGTGCACCCGGGACAACACGACGACGATGACGATATATCCCCCGGCACAGTTCCAAAAGTAGCTCCGAAAGGCGGGCATCGAGCCCCCCGAACCTCCAACCGAGTCCGATTCGATCTGGTTCCTACCAATATCCCGCCGGCCGCCAATGGCTCCCACAGTCCCCTGCCGCCCGCAGACTACTTCGACGTCGCGGAGCCCGACAGCCCCGACGGCGGCGGCCGGGGCGGACACGCGCGCTACCCACTGCTGACGGACATCGAGGCGCCGTCGGTGGCGCTCGCCAACAGCCTCGACGGCGACGGCGACGACGTGCACTCGTGGGCGGAGCGCGAGCGCACGCGGCCCAAGTCCGGCTTACAGTCGGCCTTCATGAATATGGCCAACAGCATCATCGGCGCGGGCATCATCGGGCAACCGTACGCGTTTAAGGACGCCGGGCTGGCGGCGGGCGTCATACTACTAATAGCGCTGACCGTGGTCATCGACTGGACCATCCGCCTGATCGTCATCAACAGCAAGCTCAGCGGCGCCAGCAGCTTCCAGGGCACCGTCGAGCACTGCTTCGGGCGCCCGGGGCTGGTCGCCATCAGCGTCGCGCAGTGGGCTTTTGCGTTCGGCGGCATGGTGGCCTTCGGCGTCATCGTCGGCGACTCGATCCCCCACGTCCTGCGCGCCGTGTGGCCGGCGCTGCCGGACCTGCCCGTGCTAGGCATACTGGCGGATCGCAGGGCTGTCATTGTCATTTTTGAGCTGGGCATCAGCTACCCCCTGACGCTGTATAGGGATATTGCTAAGGTAAGGAGAGGAGAACGAATACCACTGCTCATTTGCGCGGGATTGTGAGAATGCCCCCTTGCTAATGTGGACGGTGCGTAGCTGGCGAAGGCGAGTACGATGGCCCTGATTAGTATGGGGGTCATTATTGCTACGGTTGTCATACAAGGCGTGCTCACTCCGAAGGAAGACCGGGGATCATTCAGCACGCCGTTGCTTACGATCAACGAGGGCGTATTTCAAGCTATTGGAGTTATATCATTCGGTATGCGCTCCCCCTTTCCCCTGCCACAAGAATCCAGGGGTACGGTACTCGAGACTGACCAGAGCCGCCAGCCTTCGTGTGCCAGCACAACTCGCTCCTCATCTACGGCTCCCTCAAGACGCCGACGATAGACCGCTTCACGACGGTGACGCACTATTCGACGGGGATCTCGATGGTGGCCTGCATGGTGATGGCGCTCGCGGGGTTCCTGACGTTCGGCGACAAGACGCTGGGCAACGTGCTCAACAACTTCCCGGCGGACAACACCATGGTGACGATCGCGCGGCTCTGCTTCGGGCTGAACATGCTGACGACGCTGCCGCTCGAGGCCTTTGTCTGCCGTGAGGTCATGCTCAACTACTGGTTCCCCGGCGCGCCCTTCAGCATGGTCCTGCACATCGGCTTCAGCTCGGCGCTGGTCGTCTCAGCCATGGCGCTCAGCCTCGTGACGTGCGATCTCGGCATCGTGTTTGAGCTCGTTGGCGCCACGAGCGCGTGCGCGCTGGCGTATATACTGCCGCCGCTTTGCTACATCAAGCTTAGCTCCCGGTCGTGGAGGACGTATGTGGCCTGGGGCGTCGTGGTCTTTGGGTGCGCTGTCATGGTCATTAGCCTTGTCCAGGCCGTGGGCAAGATGATCAAAGGTGAGTGGAGAGTCGTTCTTATGGTGGAGGGTCGTATTGTGCTAATCTTTTGATCATAGGCGGAGGCGAGACCGTACAGTGCATGTGAACCCTTTTACTGCAACTGCGTAGGCTTCTTATCGTCTTGTAGGTATAGTATGTATTACTTGTTTGCATTTACACGGAGGTATCAGGCCGTCCCTTGGGGTAGGGATGAGATGCATGGTTGGCCACGGAAAAGGGCCCTTTTGCGATAGAGTTGTGTTTCTATAGAAAAGACACTCATATGACTCTACCTACCTGCTCGTGATATACGGTCTTGGATTCCTTCTGTGAAAGGGCCCCCGACTTCAAAGGAGCCCCGAGGAGTCCGAATCTGCCCGTGTGGGGGGCAGCTATCCACGCCCTGCTTCTTTCTACCCTGCTTCTGCTCGTGTAACGCAGCCAGACTCTCTTATATTAGCCGTTCACGATATCTTCAACTTTTCACTTCTAAGATCCGCCCCTGGCTTCCAGTCACAACTGGAACCTACAAGAGCCATCATTATGCCTGGGCAAACAGGACATGACAGATCCGCTTCACTGCTCGAAATGCATGGACCAGGCGGAATTCCTGCTTCCTGATCATGCATGCAGATAGGTACCTAGACAGACGACCACGTCCTAGCATGTCGTTAGGTGTCACTTAGCGCGGCTGCAAGTAATACCTAAGTACACACATAATGACAAGCTGCGGTACTTTACTCGCAGTCCAAGGGCTCCTGATGTTGGACTTCCAACACATGATATGTGAGATAAGTCCTATATACACATGCACGTATTGCATGCTACTGCTGCATCCATGTATGGAAGAGGTATACTGCTGTATCGACAGCGATACAATACATACTTGGCGTCTCTCCTGAGGGTGTGCGGACCGGTCTATCAGGCAAGCACATGATTCGGTAGGTAGGTAGTACATGCAGAGTCGTGATCCAGACCGGGCTCGCATCCGATAGCGAGTATATGTGTGTGTGTGTGTGTGTGTGTGTGTGTGTGTGTGCTATGTAAGCTAGGCAAGGTCCCCCTTCAGACTTCTACGCGCCATCACCCGCACGCGCAGGTGACCTATCGTGCATACCAACGCCCACGCACACACCCACACGAGTTATCGTGGCCAAGTGAGCGGGAATCTAATCGGATTCCGGCCGTCGAGTGACCACCGACCGCCCACCCGCCCGTCCGCCGATTCCCGCGAAACCCCGCCTCTTTATAAGTTCGAGGTCTCTCCCTGACTTTGCGATCAACACATATTCATCCTACCACTCCTGCCGTAACGTACATATCGATTTCGTTTACCTTTACTTCCAAGCAAGCAAACAGTAAGTCAAGATGCCGTGTTCGTATGCCTGCAATCAGTACATACGGACTACACGATCTGACGATGCAGATGGCTGACTTACACGCCTTACAGACACCCTACGATTCTACCACAACCCAACCCCATCTGCCAAAATGCACAACTCATCCTGCCCCAGGTGCGGTGCCTCGTTCAGCGGCGACAGCAAGTCCTGCGGCTCCTGCGGCGCGGTGAGTAAACCCATTTCCCACCCATTTCCCCCGTCCTCCTTTGCCCTGCAACCAGCAAAGCCATAGTCGTCCCCCGAAAGCTTGGGAAGCATGCTGATACAGTTCTGCCCCCACAGACCTGCCCCCAGTAGAGCAAGGCCAAACGCTGCCACGAGTGAGCGGAATGGCGTTGTTGTGAGAGCACGGGGATCCATGGTAGCGAGCAAGCGGGCGTATGGCTGGAGTTTTGAGGGCAGACAGTGTATGTGCATAGGCTGGTATGGGACGGAAGGGGGACATTGATCGAGCAGGACGAATCAAGGACAAGTTTCGCCTATTCATGTTCTCAGCAAAGCCCAGACCGGGAGGACGTGTACTTACTGCCTCGAAGTGAAGTCCATGGGTCCGTCAGCAGCCACCAAGGCGACGGACAGGCGAGCTGGACAAAGTAGACAGACTCCGAGCTGAGTGCGTAGTGGAATCCAAATGACTTTCTGTCGACAGCTGTTTAGAGAGACTTTCCTGTACAAGCTCATGCCTATTGGCTCATTGATATCTACATGATGCAGCTTACAGGCCTCATTACGCCCGTTCTGAACCTATAAAAGAGTCATGTTCTCCCTTTACTATATCGTGGGTTCGATGGCACCGATATGTTTCACTGTCTGTTTGTACGACCAGCATCAGATAGACTAGGTCACACGGATTCAGCACGTCACAGCAACACAGTCAATATCCCTGGTAATATACCAGAGCTTGGTCCGCACCCGAGAACAGCTTCCAGCAGCTGTAGCGGCAGGTGAAGAAAATCAGGCCATGAGCATTATCAAAGGAGTATGGTTGGAGAAAGACAGATAGAAAGAGTAATCCCAAAGCAGCATGTGTCCATCTCCGGTTGGCCTAACGCGGGATCGTCGAGAGAGCTGTAAAAAGGAGAAGATGTATGATATAGCCGTTTCTCTTGGGCTGGCTCGCCAATCTGGACACACACAAATACGCACCCATGCGCACAAACTCACACACTCATCCCACGCCTCTCTCTAACAGCATCCCATGCCTGCCTTCTCGCTTCTGCTCGTAGAGCCCGTGTGCCAACAATGGACCGCCGCCTGTCACTATTACCCTCCCGATATACCTGGGAGGTATGTGAAAGCCAACCAGGTTAGCACGCCGGCCAAAGAAGCAGTTACGAGTAGAGGGATCAAACTCCAGCCGAAAACCATGATGCAGAGGCGCTTCAATCCTACCCGTCCGTTCAAATCCTAGTTATCCGAGGTACGTCCTTGAGATTTGAAAGACGATGTTAAGCCGCGCCGGGATATCGAAGGTATCATCAGGGATCGTTGTTGATTTAGAGGACTAAGCACTTGGAGTGCTTCTTGGGGCGGGTGCGAGACAGCAGAGCGGCGCGGGTAGCGTGCTCAAAGACCTCACGGACACCCTCGTTCGTCTTGGCGGAGCACTCGAGGTACTTGTAGGCACCAATCTTCTTGCGGATGTCCTCACCCTGGTTCAAGCGAGTTAGCAGCAATCCGGAGAACACATGCAAGGGCAGATTGCAATGATTTGGCTTGGACGTTTCTTGTGCTTAATAACACTCAAGCGCAGACCGGCATAGGTGGCGTGCGATGACTTACCTCCTCAGGAGAGACGGGCTTCTGGCTGGTCTTGCGGAGCTCCTCGATGATCTTTGCGTCGTAACGCAAATCCTTCTTGCAACCAACAAGGATGATGGGCAATCCCTGGCAGAAATGAAGAACCTCGGAAATCCACTGTGAATAGAGATGCGTCAGCAGGCTGGCTTAGCTTTGAGAGCACAAGGCATTGTATATAGGGGGGATGGGAAGGCTGACCTTCTCCTGAACGTTGTCCAAAGAATCCGGAGAGTCAACAGCGAAACAGATCAGGATAACGTGGGAGTCCGGGTAGGACAGAGGTCGGAGACGGTCGTAGTCTTCCTGGCCAGCCGTATCCCATAAGGCTAGTTCGACGTGCTTGCCATCAACCTCGACATCGGCGACGTAGTTCTCGAAGACGGTGGGGACGTAGACCTGGTAGAATATTTGGTCAGCATTCTCTAGGCCAGCACACGGATGCGGCAGGTCGGCAGTGTCGTGCAGGTGATGATAGGGCATTGCATTGGGCGAACAGCAGCATCTCGCTATGCGGGCTGGTAGACCGATGTGCCTTTGTTTCGGTATGACGCGGGCTGATCTTGGCGAATGCGGAAACCGATGACGACGAAGAAGCTATCTTACCTCGGGGAAGGTGCCCTTTGAGAAGACACTGTTTTGAGGTTAGCAACGAAGCAACGGCAGCGAAGGTGGTAAATGTGCATGGAGTAGCGACGTACATCAACAGACAGGTTTTACCACAGGCACCGTCACCGACGATGACCAGCTTGCGGCGGATCTCAGCCATGATGGATGCGATTAAGGGTGAAGAAGAGCTTTCGGTCGGTCGGTATTCAGAGAATATGCAAGAAGAAAGCCGTGGTCAAAAGGATCGATGGACGATTGTTCGCCGTGGACCGAGGAGTTGAGTCGGTGGATGGGTCGATGATGGGGGAGACAGATAGATGGAGGAGAGATTGGGAGATGGATGAGAAGGAGAAGAATGGTTGTCGCTCGGTTGCCTGCAAGGTCGGGTCAGAGGCAGGTGGTAAAGGCAGGCAGGCGGAGTAGAGGTTGGCCAGGTAGGCTGGTAGGCGATAGGCTAGGGGAGTAGTAGGCAGGCTGGGGGAAGACAAGAGCGTGTCTTGTCTTTGTAACAACGTGGTCCCTGCGTCCCACCCACGTCCAGGTGCCGTGTCTTCAATCTTGCAGGCGTGGCAGGCTTGCAGCCCAGTACCAAACCCGAAAATCGAGAGGCAACCAACGCCTTGGATACCGGTTACAGTAGGAAGTTCCACCATACACACTGTATTTACAGGCGGTGTACTCACTGCTCGCCCCTGGAATACAGTGGTAATAGCCGCCGACTCTAGAGCTGCAGCCGCCCAGCATCCACTATGCCACCCAACCGTTCTGGTTGCCCTTTTTGATCACATCACACTGTATAATTGAGAATCGGCACCACCCCTTATCCCAGTATCCCCTTATCTTCACAAATCCATGGGCTCACACCCCCCCAACTTGATCCATATTCTAACTCTACATGAGGTAGCAAATGTCAACAGGGTTCACACGTCAAGAGACACCGCAGTGTTGAGTTACAAACAGTGCCTGGGCCGATCGACGAGCTATCATTTTCACTGGTTGGCGAGGTAGCCACATGCTGATCCGGGCGTGCTCACTTCTCAGCTGAGATATGGTGGCTCAGATGGCTGTGTCCTTCGTTCGTACACGCGGCGGGCCGGCTTCTGTCAACTCTATTGTGGGGTTTCTATGAGCATCACCATAGGCATTCAGACCGCCGATAGAACTCTTTGTCGCCCTGGTTCACGTTGATGGTTACATCAACATACGGCGCCAAGGAGATGGCACCCCCAGCCCTGAGCCTGGGACTCAACGCAAGGACTTTTATACCTTACCCTTACCGATCCAAGGGCTTGGCCAGGTCGTACACAGTACAGCAACAGCAAGCAGAGCTGAGAGGAGGTCTCATGGTCCTGTCTGCCAGTCCTTTGACGGCAACAAAGCACAATCCTGTCAACAACGTTAGAGCGGTCCTCAGAGGACTGACTTAAAGGTGAAACACATCTAATCCCACCAGGCGGACTCTTTGAACAAGACCGGACGATCCACAGAGTGCTAAACCTGCTAGCTAGCTTGTCGCATCGTCGGTCTCAACGATGGTTTAGCAGCTTTGGTCAGGCTATTCCTCCTCCCCTACCTATTGCAAAAGTTGGCTTGCATCTGATACCCCAGCAGGGCTGCGCGTTACCATGAGAGAACCACGTTCATCCCGGCTGAGGGACCCTCACCCAGTCCTGGTTGATCCTACCGGACACAGCAAGACCTTTGCAGGTGACAATTGTCATGGGAATCGGAGCTTCTGGTATTACTGAAGTCCGATGTCATAGTCACTGAGCAACTGCCCAAGAAAGTGGTTATACCAGAAAGTGATTATATCATAAGCCTGGAGGAGTTGAGTGCTGATACCTAGGTACTGTAGGATTTGGCGATAGCGCAGCTTCATTGCCTGCCACTTAAAGTGAAGCAGAACGTACTTAGTCAGTACATGGGGAAGCCAGCAGTGACTTTGGCTTGACCTGTTAGATACTCCTAAGCAAAGAGCCAGAACTGCCTTCTTCGACGCCTTGATTGCATGTTGTCGTACACTCAAGAGTTGAATTGCCAGCGGCCGCATGTCATGAGAACGAACTACACCAAGCTGACACTCCCGGGGATCGTTGGTTGTATCCGGTTCTTCCATCAAGGCATCATTCCTGGAGTCCTATCAAGTAGGAATAGGTCAACGGTGCGTTTTTGATTGCTTCACATGGTGATGAAGATTGCACATTGAAATACCTACTAGATGCCAGTTGCAGCCGCATCGCATGATTCCACTGTCAGGGGGTCACGTCCACTACCTCCGGGCGGGCCCGGGTGGGCAGCCCGACCTCGGGAGCGGGGCAGAGGCAGTCGGCGATTGGATAATCCGACTCTCTGGTATCTGCGGGTGATTGGTTGGATTCGGCTGTCCAATTGACCTGGAGCACCCAAAAATTTGGCCCCATGGACAGCTGCTAGCAACCAGGCACAGCTTCACGGCAATGCACACACGATGATCTCCTGAGCGTCACCACTACCACCGAACCACCGAACCACCCTGTCTCTCTGCATTCCCTCGACCCCCTCCACCAGGATGCAGAAGATCCTCCGCCGCGTGGCCACCGCCGAGCGGGTGGCCGCGAAGCGCAAGAAGGCGAAGGACCTGAAGTTTTACAAGAAGGAAAAGAAGGAGAGTGTGGGCCAGAGCCGCCAGCAGCTCGGCATGGTGCGGGAGGACTTCGAGAGGGCGAAGAGGGCAATCCGGGACGACTGGGCTCTGGGCCCGCTGGCGCCGCGGAACGACGTCGGCGAGTGGGACAGCGCCCACGGCACCGTACACGAAGCCCGTTTCCGCGGTCAGGGCGGCTTGTCACTGGCCATGCGCAACCGCCGTTGCCAGTGGGCAGGCGGCGCCTACAACTTAAACATCGCTGTCGGTGACCGCGTCGTGCTGCTCGACGGCCCGGATAAGGGACGCATAGGCCTGATCCGGGAGATCGACCCCATGAGGGCTGAGGTCGTGGTTGCCGACCTAAATAAGGTGCGTTCTGATCTATGAATACAGAGCGACAGAACAGAATCGGTTGCTAACGACTAGGCACGATAGAGCAATATCAGAATAGCACAAGAACTACGCCCAGAGGGCGACGAGAAGACCGCCGCGCTGAACATCGAACTCCCGATCCCCATCTCATCCATCCGACTCGTACATCCGATGAAGGACCCGACGACAGGCGTGACGAAGGACGTCATCATCAACCAGCTGGTGCACGGGAGCAAGCTGCACGACCGCGTGTCGGGCAAGAAGGCGTGGAAGCGCGTCGTGCCCGGGCTCAACGTGAACATCCCGTGGCCGCGCAAGGGCGAGGACTCGACGCGTGACACCAAGGCCGACACGCTGCGCATCGACGTCGAGGCCAAGACGTTCGTGCCGACGCTGCTGCGCCCGCCCATGCCCGAGACCGTCATCGACGAGCTGCGCGGCCGCTACAGCCGCTTCCGCACGCGGCACGAGCCCGAGTACATCGCCCGCCTCGAGGCCGAGGCGCAGGCCAAGAAGGACCGCGCCAAGCTCATGGAGAGCATGCGCACCCCGCTGCAGGAGCTGCACCGCGCCGAGCGCGCCAACAACAAGAAGAAGGGCAAGCCGCGCCTCACCGTCGAGATGCTCGAGAAGATCGGCGAGGTCATCGCCAAGAACCGCGAGAGGACCCTCAACGCCGCCGGTGTTTCAGGTGCTGGTCGTGCGTCGACGAGTGGCAGTGGTGGGGGCTTGCCGCCTGCACCTCAGGTCGGTGGTGAGGGTGTTGTACCGCCTACGATCATCGAACCGACAAGTCAGGAGACAGCTCCGCCTTCACCGTCTGCGTAGGATTTACTGTTAGGACCTACGTGTAATGGTTAGGGCGGGCTGGGCCGGCTGTAGAATATCCATCCCCCTATAGAGATCTGTAGACATAATTGTATATATGTAACATCGACATGTTCAAGACAGACAGAACCAGAGCAGAACGTGCAAAGTGCAGGTATATGATGGAGGCAAGACGCAGTCAGGTGGAATGCACGAACTGTACATGGCAAAGTCATTGAATACATGGAATAAAACCTTATCCTTTTGTCTACCTACAGCCCTTTTCCCTACCTAGGTTCATTGCCATGCACAATGTTACATGCCACAAACTACGAACCCAGCAAAAACAGTCTCTCCATGGCAGTAATCGCAGGCGGCTTCTGCTTTCGCCACGCCGCTTCCAGGTTCTCAGCCAGCACCGCACCCGCCCCCAGCGGCGTCCAAGTCTCGCCTCCCTCTCCGTCTCCTTTATCCCCGCCTCCCATCTTCTTCTCACCACTCCCAGGAAACACCTCCCCGACCGCGGCCCGACACCCCTCGACGACCTCATCCACCAGACCCTCAAGCCCGCGCGCGCGCTCCAGCATGCCGCGGCGCACGAGCCCAAACACAAGACGCGCGACGTCGGGCCGCGTGGCCTCGACGCGGTCGACGAGCCGCCGCACGCTATTAACCAAATACTCCTCCTCGTACACCGTGCCCTTGCGGCCCCGGGCGCGCTTCTTCTCCTCGCGCTTGCGGTTCTTGCTCGTGGCGCGGCTGACGCCCGTGCCGACCGTGCCGACGCTCTGTCCTCCCGCGCCCTTGCCCGTGTACCGCGTGAAGAGGCTGCCGCCGCTGGTGCTGACGCGCGAGCTGGCCGCGACGGAGACGTCGTCGGGCAGGTCAGCGAGGGCGCCCGAGCGCTCGCCCTCGTAGAAGCCCAGGGGGTCCTCGGCGGCCTTGCGGCGGAGGTCGAGGATGCGCGGGACCTGTGCGCGCAGTTGCGCCTTGCAGTCCGCGAGGAACTCGGTGCTGCTGCTGAGGGCGTCGGCGAGGCCGCTGTCGACGGCCGTGGAGAGCAGGTCGGAACGCCCGCGCAGCAGGGCCAGGCGCAGGGCGTCGGCGAAGAGGTAGCCTTTACATAGGCAGGGGATGGCGCTTTCGATGGAGTTGAGGTGTTCGAGGTGGATCGTCGCGGCCGCTGCGTAGTCCTTGGCTTCGTAGACGGCGTCTGCGAGGGTCGTGGCGAGGTCCGCAAGGGCCTCGGGTGACATGGGCGGCGTCTGCTGTTGTGCGGTGAAGAGGCATTCGCGCCAGCATGAGACGCCGGCAGCGGAGTAACATCTCGTCGCTGCGGTGTAGTCATGGAGGGATTCGTAGGTAAGTCCTGCCTCACGCTTGCGGGACGTGGTTTCGAGGTGTAAGGCATACAGGCCTGTGAGGATGGTGAGGTTAGGTTGGTCGTAGCGGTATAGCTTCAAGGCTGCCGTATGAAGCGAGTGCTTAACGGTATATTCTTGAACTTCCTTGTGGGCGTGTATGGCCTGTAGGTGAGACAGAGCTTTCTCATGTCTGTTGAGGTGATCGTCGATGGCAAATTTCCGCCGTAGGTCAGGGAGTTGGTGTAGATTTTGGATAAAAGGAAGGTATTCCCTAGGGTCTCTTTGCGACTGTTGTGCAACGAGAAGTGCCAGGTCCAGGTGGTAGAGACCCAACGCTCCATCGTACAACGTGTTTACATCTGCGAGGAAGCAAATGTGTTCAACAGCCTTTTCAGCAAGCTGCTCATCTTCCTGCATCAACGTAGCAACGACCAGAAGCCCATCTTCGTAGGCTGGTGGGGCCTTGCAAACATTGGCGGTTATGATATTTTGCAGAGTGCCATGGTCCATCACCTTGCGCGAGCGAAGATGAGATAATACGGCATCACATATCGTGTTGACCTTTGAGGTTTTGGTACCAATGGTCACTTCATGGGTGGGCTCTTCCGGTAATGGTTCGCCCTTGGTACTTTTCGTGTCTCGATACACCGTTTGCGTGACGTCCTCGTCTCTGTGCCGTGTTAGACCCACGTGTCATGACACGTTCAACAGCCGTACTTACCGTAACGCTGAGAGGAAGAGATCAATGTTCGCCACGTCCGAGACTTGATCAAGGAACAGTCCAGTATTGCTAAGGAATTGCTGAGGTCTGTGGTCGTAGAGGATGTTCATGTCCACACGCTGAGTCCGGCAATGGGAGAAGGCTTTTCGATAATCAGAGGCTTCGATAAGTTGTCTGATCCCCGCGACGACCATAGCTCGAGGGAAGATGGTCTCTAGGTTTCCACGAGGCATCTGTAAGACTAAGCTCATGTTTGTGGGCATGGCTGTTACAAGCCGGGCGCCTCTCTCGATGCTTCGACACCTTTCGTCCTTTTCAGGGTCATCCGGAGGTACCTCTAATTCTAAGCTTGGTCAGTATGCCGTGACAGCTGAGATTAGATTTGGTGATTACCGTCTACCTCAGTCAAGTGAATGAACTTGACAAGGTGATTTGTGGTCGTAATGACTAGATGAGCTGGTGTGACGAGGAAGGAGGTACAGTTTTTGAGAAGAAGGCGGGGATTTGCGTAGAGATGTCCATTCCGAGACAATCCTATGACGATGACGCTCCCTGCCAGATCTATTACCTCGCTCCACGGAAGCTGAGATGTGAGGCGTACTGAGTACATCTCATCTTGCTGGTCAACTACGCCGTGCAGCCTGCCTAAACCGTCCTGGACGAGGACATCCGTAGAACTCGCTTGCGTCACTCGGACGAAGCCGAACATTGACCCGGCGTATAGGGTCGAGCTAGACAGGAACTCCCCAGTGGATGGATCGAGGCTGTGTGAATGGATTGTTGGCCCCTTTCCGGAACACAGACAATGTATGGTATCGTTCTCAGTGACAGCTATCTGTAATGGCACAAGAGCTTCACCTGGGTTCTCCTTGGCAAATGACAAGCTGCCAATCAGACGAGGAGGTAGGGACCGCTGCTGCTTTGTCGTCCACCGATACACGTCAAATCCATTCTGATGCAGCACAACCATGAAGGTGTTTGCGGGAGAGAACGCGACATCGACTGCTGGCGACGACACCTGAAGCTCGAACATGGCCATGGGAGGCGGCACATTGGCTGTCCGGAAGGGTGTGATTTTGAGTTTGTTGCCGTCAATTACTGCAACTGCTCCGTAATCATATGGTGGAGCGAGGGACCCCCGAGACACCTCGAAGATGTACTCTGCCAAAACGAACTTGCCTAAGATACTATTAGAGTTGCGGTCAGAGAATTTGTATTTCATACATACCTGAGATGGCAGCACCGAAACGTAATGGCTTCTCGGGGTGCCACGTGAGGCACTGGAGCCTGTCCTTGGTGAATATCTCCTGCTTCAGATACCAATGGTAGTTGCCCATAGTCCAGAGCTGAATCCTGTCATCCAAAATGACGGCTAGGACAGAGGAGTCTGAGTTCCAGTGAAGCCGTATCTGGTCCTGTGCCAGAGTTCCTCCTCCAGGGGCTCTCAAGGAGAACTGTCCATGTCTGAGGCCGTTCCTCTCGAAAAATATGACGTCCACCCGGTCCTCCAGACGTTGAATGCCGACCATGAGGTTGCCGGACGGCCGCCAACTTAGGGCGCCTTCCATGCCATCGACAGGCTCGCTCACGCTATCGAGCACTCCGTCTCGAGAGTAGACTCGGATGACCCTCCGAATGCCCTCCTCGATCGAGTTGACAGCGACATATGCGCCGTCTCCCCTCCAGCTAATGGCGGTGCTCTTGTCGTCATTAGAGCTGGAGACGCCCTCGTCCACCTTCTCCGGTATCGTGGGATCCCGAAGCGCTTTCGCACCCCTGCCCTGGAACTGGGTCTCCTTCTTGCCCCAGCCCACGGAGACGTGCTTGGAGGCCTTGAGGTCGTCCGCCGTCATGGTCATGTCGGTGATGCCATCGAAGTTGCGGCTCATGAAGACCATGGTGTTCGCCTTGGTGGTGATGGCCAGGAGTTCCTCGTCCGGCGACCAGCTGGCGGCGGTGATGCCCTCATCTATGCCGCCCATGATCTCGATGTGCACGCCGTCAGCCGGGGACGAGCCCTCCGTTTCCTGCACGATGACGATGTCGCCTCCTTCCAGCACCAGACATGTTGTGAGGCTGTCGCTGAAGTGGTGCAGGCTCACGACCCTGTCGACGGCCAAGTCTGGACTGGGACTGGGAGCGTCCCATGATGCGACCTCTCGACATTCACTACGCCGTGGTGAGCATGAATGTCCCAAATGCATCGATGTTTGAGGAACTACTTACACGTCTATCGAAGAGGCTCTAACGTGCTCCAAGATCCTTACAAGCCTAATCCGCCCATCTGTTTCTCGGGGACCTAGGGTGCACAGCACTTCGTCCTTGGCTGGGTCCCAGCACGACGACGTGATGAGCTCCCCATCGAGGTCTGTCGATGAGGTCCAGACGTTGTATCGAATATTGCGCAGATTTCGCATTATGGGCGTGACTTGGTCTGAGCTGGTTGCAGCTACTGTACCTCCCTGCGGCGCTTCAATGAGTCTGCGATGATGCAGCCTCCAATCTGATGAACTAGACCGTGTCTTTCGAATTTTCTTGTAAAATTGACACTGTACTGCTGTGCAGGAGTGCCCCCCAATGGCTAACGTGAGCGTGGTCCGTGCGCGTGTTGCTCTACCGTAAACAAATACGGTTTACGCACTATACGGCAGATGCTTCAGTTCTTCGGGTGACTGGAGTGAACAATCACACAATTGAATGCATGTGCCTCGGCCTCGGGAGAAAACGCTATGACAGGCTTCTAGTGTGGCTGAAGCTCCAGCACCAAGCTTTGGGCCTTGGCTCATCCCTGCCCAGCGCCAGAAGATCTGCAAGCCATTCAAAGGTTATCTCCACACGAATTGAGTTCGTGGTGACCCCATGCTTCCGAATCAGTCAGTGCCGTACGTCTCGTAGCCGGGTCGCACCATCATCTGATGATCCCCTCTACTGTACACCCTCTGACACCGTCAAGACATAATACATGTCAAGACCACCTACTCACCTATGTATCCCGTCTCTTCCAGTTTGCGAACGAGTCTGATTGAAGTCGTTCAAGCTTATTAGTATCCAGCTGATCGTCCCATTGTTGATCCATCTACCCTAGGTACTCACCTATAGCCGGGCTCTGTCCTCTGTCTCTCCTCGCGCCATCATGGACGTCGCCTACAAGCAGCACGCCAACCAGGCGCGGCGAAAGGGCAGGTCCTCCACTAACCTCCACCACCTCTCCCTCGCACCCCTCACATCCAAGCTGCCGCTCACCGATCCCGAAGACCTGCCCGATCTCGTCGGCGCGCCCCTCCAGCACAACGTGTCCTACCTGCAGGGCAAGTCCGCGCCCACGACCCCGAGACTCCTGCAGTCCCCGCCTCGAACCCGCGGCAACTCGCCCCGCCGGCGGGCCTCCATCCCCGATACCTCGGACGTCCAGCTGCCGAAGAGCAAGTCTACAACCCACCTGAGCGTGTCCAAGACCCAACGCCACGGCCCGGGCGCGCTGTCGCCGCTGCCACGACGCCGTCCCGATGACCACGAGCGGAATGATAGTGATTGGCTGCTGCGCACAGCGGCCCTGGTCAGTTCCGAGGCCCGCGAGTCCAAGGGACAGGCATGGCTCGTCTCCAGAGCCAGCTCGACCAGCCTGACCGGCGTGCGGGATGCCGAGGAGGAGGCCTACCAACGGGAACTTGCCAGAGAGAGGGAGCTCGCCAGTCTACGAGGCAGCCGTCGGGGCAGCCGTCGGGGCAGCACAGCTGGGGCAGACGAGGATGTGCTCTTGCCACACAGTCGGTTTGGCAGTCGTTCACACAGCAGGGTGGGGAGCAGGTCTCAACTAAAGATGCCGTCGCATACACCTCTGCGTACACCTTTGAGGACGCCCTTGGAGCGTCTAGCTCGGGAAGGTGGTTATTTCAACCACCACGAGCTATCACTCGAGGAACACATTGCCGGTCCCGACTTCGTCAGCCTAGACGAGAAGCTCGAGTCCATCGAGATAGATACGAGCCAGGCAGACGAGGCAACCGTCCGGAGATTAGTCAGTCGGAGAAGCGTCGGCATGGGCGCCTGGATGTGGTCTCTCTTCTCGGTCGATGAGAACGACGAAGACTCGGATAATGCCGACGACGACATGACGGATGGTGAGACAGACAGCCAGCTTCCACGCACTCCGAGCACCGTCGATTTCGAAGGTTTCTCAAACTTACCTGACGAGCGGGTTCCACCCCCTAAAGACGACGAGGGCAGTGGCTGGGGAGACGCAGCGTGGCTGCTCAGCGTGGCGGCCAAGGTGTTGGTGTAAGATTTTGAGACACCGATTCATTCATTGGCCGAGCGTCAGGGAAATCCGAGGTGCTGGGACAGCATGGTTCTGGTATCATGCATCATGTCCGCGTGCTCATGTCCGCGAGTTGGCATGACGGCACACGAGCAGCATGCTGCCCACGTGTGTGGCGGCCACTATGTCTATGCAACACATGTTTGTGTACGGAGTTGCTCTGAGCTTTTGGGTTGGTTCGGGCTACACTTAAGTACGGCAGTAATGAGGATTATACGGAGCTGGTTCGTTCTGTTCTGGTTAGGATTAGACGAAGCGATTGATGACTCGTCAATAAAAATAGAACAATCAAATCTGATGTTCGCCCTGTTGTTCTACGATGGATTATACGCAATTGCCAATGCCGACGGAGACCCATGCCCTTCAGTAAACCCGGGTCTTACAAGTCGACCATAACCATATTCTCACAAGAAGTACATGTATGCAGTAAGCACAACTTCAAGTCACAATTTCAACGTCGGGACAATGAAAGAGAAAATGCCGGCTTGCCCGTGTACCCTCAAGCAGCTACAGTGCGGGGAAACCTCCACGATAGAGTCGGTCAGACCGGCCGTTCGACTCCTGGTCCGGCCATTCTCGAAAAAACAGGTTTCGAAAGTCATCGTTCATGCAGTCTCTTATGCATCCACGGCTGGGTTGCTTTGTGACCATGTCTGAGCTTCTTGTATTCGCGAGACGAGAGCGAGAGGAAAACAGTGAGCCGTTGAGCACCGGCAGCAGGAGATCCTCATCAGTCAGTGATAAGGGTTCACAGAGGCCAGCAGTCCCAGATAGGAAAGTGAGGCCAGATCAGATCCCTATCAGGCTCGGCCTGCGGAATTCACTCGGCTAGTGTGGTGGATAGCAGGGTACGCTTGTAAGCACATGCCTGTAATATCACGTTGCTCCTACATAGCGACTATCAGAACTAGTAAAAATGTGTTGCTCCTAGCGACTATCAAGACTAGTGAAGATGACGCTGTGTAGTCCATGAGAACGTAAGGCTGAAGAGCGGCTATATCAACGTTGGCAATCCGGCGCTCCAGCAAGATGCCTGTGAAGAGGCGGGTTTGATCACCCTACGAGCAGGTGTCTCGTACGATTGTGCGAAGCCGCATATCGATATCCACGCCGAGTGGCCGAGATATGTACGAAGAGCAAAATGAAGTGGACCTGGGAACTATTAGATTGGGAATGTCAGCCTGACAGCTACGGAAAAGGGGGGAGTTAGCCAGGTTGCATGGAGGCCCACGGAGCATCATGCGGATGCGTAAGTACCGTGATGTGGAACAGCCGTGTCCCTCTCTTTTGTTTCCAGGCAAGCAAAATGCTTGGGAGGATAGAAGAATAGAAAACTCAAAAGGCCAGTCCGAGGATCCTTGGTACCTGCCCTCGTGCTGCCTCTGACATGGGAGTTTTGGCTATGAAGTCGCACAGGCCGGACTGCAGTGTCACGTCACATGGACTGGAGGCTTATGACGTTATTGGTACGTTCGTGTGAGCCCCACCAGAAAGACGAGACGAGACGAGGCTGCAGAGAGAGCCGAGAGATCAGAGAACTGAGAGAGAGAGCAGGGCGAGCATATTTGCTTGAAAGCCAGAGGAAGATGAGAGCCGGCAGCGCTTCACCATTGACGCCCACCTCACGATGCCTCCATGCGGGTATGTGGAGGGGCAGAGGTCCCGGTTCTGCCCCTCATTGACGGTGGAAATGGGCTGTCTTGGCGAGGTTTTCGCTGTGGGATCGGACGGATGTGTGTGGTGGTCTTCGGATGGTATTGAGCCATCCCGCTGCCCGCTGCCCGCTCGTGCACTGGAGGACCCTGCATCGGCGCAGGCCTGCATACGGGCTGCATGGTTTTGACCCCAGTTATAACGGAGCCGAGCTGCCGAGTATCTTATCTCATAATAACATGAGGTGTTGAGTTGAGATACTCTGTAGAATATTGTTGCACCACCAAGCTCTGACTTCAGCAAACTTCCTTGGCGGACGTCCCTTGATACTAGGAGTGTATCTGGCTCTTTGCTTTGGATCGTTGCTTCCAATGGCTGGAAGGCGAGAAGACATGGTCTTGGTTCGCTTTGCCCCTTGGGGCGTGACAATGAAGACCGAGATGCTCATGGGTCATTCATGATAGTACACCTAGGGCCGAGGGCAGATGGAATGCTTGCCCGAACCACCCGAGTTGTAGGTAATAGGATCTGCTCTCGTCCGCATGGCAGGCCTTGCTCGTGCAGGCTAGGAGGCAGCTTGACGGGAAATGTCATGACAAGGCGTGGTGCGTTAGAAGCTGTGCCGCTGTCTATCACGGAAATTTATAGTGATCAGTCGCACCTGGACATGTGAGGAAATATTGGTGGACATTCCCGCCTTCGCGTTTGCCCGCATTTATTGCCCTTCGTGGCAAGGATGACCATACATTCGCTCTTCGACAGCCTTGGTGAATTTAGCAGATAGAGTCGATGCTTCGTAGGGCTACCAAGATGGTGTTTTAGATTGACCAGAGCTGCCTTCAACACTCGAACAAGGCTATTCAACTGGTTGTTGGTTCTTCTTATCTCTGGGCGTCGAGTGCGGCTCTATGTTGGTGTTGGATTGGGTTTTGGTGTCAGCAGTGGTTTTCGACTTGAATGTGACTGTGAGGGAAGTTGACTGGATCTCATTCCATATTCGCACACAGTGTGAGTATCTTACCATGACTGCCCTGGACCCTGACACGGAACTGGGGGTGAGGTGAGGGGAGATTTATTAGCCCCGCCGTTGATCTATGTCGTCAGTTGCGCCTTCCACTTCAGAACTCAGGCTGACAGCCCTAACCAGTGAGTCTCTTCGTAGCCAGCCGTTGCTTCTACCTACGGTAAGGTATTATTCAAATTCAGTACTAAACATCAAAGGAAGCCCTAGAGAGGATGGGGGGCGCTTTCTGAGAAGAATCTGACTGGCGTCACAAGAGTTCCGGAAAAAATAAAAAATGTTCTCTCTCCATCCCATCGGGCCAGTTGCCGACATCAATGATGCAATCCCGAGTCCCTGACCCTGACCCTCATAGCCTCCCCACGTACCTACCTAGCAACGCCCTACGTACCACCTGGCGAGCTAGGTAGCCCGTCGCCGGCCTGACCTCGACAACGCGCACCTCCAAGTTCTATGTTTTCATGAATGGCCCTACGAAATGACCTACATATGGCTGACAGCATACCCGTGCCTGAGGTATCGTGGTTACCAACCTCCAGCTTCGCCCGCCTAGGAACCTAAAGCACACCTCTAGCGCCTGCATGCCTCGTCTTGCCAGCATCCTCTCTTTTCATTACCTTACAGAATAATTTATAAGTATCCCACGAGTCTCGGGTCTCTATCTGTCTCCGGTCTCCAGCTCCGGGGACAGGCGTCAACAAGCCGAAAACGAGACACTGTGCCTGTGCACCACCACGTCACTAGACCCCTACTTCTCAGCTGCCTGCCTGCCCGCCCGCCGCCCACCCGCCGCCCCGTCAGCTGCACAACCTGCACCAGCACCGGTAGACCAATACCCCCACCACACCACCTTGGAAGGCCTTTTCCATCATCACTAAACTGGCTGTTCGGGTTAAAGTCGCCCTGCACCTTCACTAATTCCACCCACACGACACCCGACACACACACACACACACACACACACGAGCGACTTCTTCCTAATAAGCTGTGCCCGACTCACCTCGTCGTTGCCTGTGCCTGTGCCTGTGCCTGTGCCTGTGCCTGTGCCTGTGCCTGTGCCTGTGCCTGTGCCTGCGCCTGTGTCGCAAGCAGTGAGACCGCGCCGTGCACACTCTCACCACAACCGAAGCTGCTCGACCATTGACGCCTTCGCATCAGCATCTTGCGCATAGAGTCCATCCATCATGGCGGCTAGCGACCAGGTATGTACTTCCTTCAGCCAGCTCACTAGCCTCACCAGCGACAGTGCTGACTCGGTTGTTTTGCTTCCCAAAGAATGACGATAGCCAGGACACCGGCAACATGCCCGACCTGGGCGATGCCATTGACATCGTCACATTTGGCCAGATTCTAGAGATGGATGACAGCGAAGAAGATCGTGAATTCTCCAAGTCCATCGTTTTCGGTTTCTTTGAGCAAGCTGAGGAGACATTTGAGAGCATGGACACAGCCTTGTGAGTCGCATTGCATGCACATATCGCTCTGCCTCACCACTTTAGACTGACCTGTCTCGTTTGCCTAGGGAAGAGAAGAACCTTGACGAGTTGTATAAGCTCGGTCACTTCTTGAAAGGCTCCTCAGCTACACTTGGTTTGACCAAGGTTAAGGACAGCTGTGAGAAGATACAGCGATATGGGAAGAAGGAGAATGAGGACGGCACCCCGGAACCCGACGAAGCGCTCTGCCTCCGCAGAATCACCGACACGCTTGCTACAGTCAAGACGGAGTACTCAGAAGTCGAAAAGATCCTCAAGAAGTTCTTCGATTCTGCCTAGGTCACCATCTAGGGGCGGACGTTGTACCAATCCTGATAAGCCACGTGGACAGTCGCATAGCGACCATCGGCAGGCAGCTCATCCTTCATACGGCGCTCGTCACAAGGAGCACTCTGGACAACACGAGAAACAAAGGTTGTCCGAAGAGTTCCGAGGGACCGTGGGCACCTAACGCTCTACCTAGCCTTCAGCTGGCTTCCAAATACCCGGCCGATCTTCCCATTGCCACCATGCTATAGAGAACTCTTTCCCCTCAAGACAGGTCTAGTGAAAGCAGGCGGACAGTTTGGCGGACGCTAGAGCTCAGTACATAGAGTGCGAGTCTTTGGAGTCTGCGGTTTTAGAGGTGAAGAACTTGTGTCTTTAGGAACAGGCACGCACGTGGATTGCGCTCTTTAATACAACTTGGATCGATCTGGTCTACCTCACAAACTGCCTTCTCATTCGCAATAACCGCTTCTGGCCTCACAGAAGCCCATCCAGAGCTCACCGACTGGCGACTGCATCTTTGGGGGTCTCTTGTGACGCCATATGACGTCGGTCGCAGATGTCCTTTTGTGACGAATGAGTGCCACTTCTTTATGTTCTGGCCATGCCTATGCCGATCTTTTCCATTCGGGGTGCCCTCATCAGTGCAGCTGCATACCTGTGTGGTTGGTTTTGTGACCAACTGGAAGAGCTGAAGGGATGGCGGGACTCCGAGTGAGGTTTTGTGGATAGACTTCTCACTGCAAGAGCACATGCAGATGAGCCGCATTGTTCTGTATGAAAGGCATCTACTTCGTAGTAGACTTGTGCCTAGCGGGACAACCCTTTTCAGGCCCGGGGTGGAGCTTCCCATGGGTAAACATCTAACCTAACTTTGTACGCACCTACCTTAGATGCATATATTACACACCCGCCAACGACATGCACAGGGCCGGTCTCCCCTCACGGCTTGCGATATGCGCACACCGTCGTACACGACATCTTACCGGATGAAGGTCGGGGCTATATGCGTGCTGGACTGACTCCAAAGGCATACCTCGGCACAGCGGCTCCTGTCAATACCATAAGCCTTGGTCAAGAATCTCAAGGTCAGATCTGCTCGGTCGTCACAAGCTAGGTGTCTCTTCAGGATGCCTCCGCGGCCATCACCCACGCACTTCCTGTGCATACAGCTCGTCAATGCCGCCTCACGTCACCAGCTCTCGGCAAACCTGGCATCCTTCACTGCAGACGTGACCAGTCCCGACAGCTTTGGGATACCAGAGCAGGCAATCCGACCAGTTGGTACCTTGCACCTGACTGTGGGCATGATGAGTTTCCCCAAGAACGAGGGTCTCGACAAGGCGGTGGCACTCTTGAAAACATTGAATCCCAGGCAAATCGTGAGGAGTGTCCTTCCGCCTTCGACGACGGATGCAAAACCAACCCCGGATCACCAGGTTACAGAGACAAAGGAGCTTTCGGGTCCGCCGTCGCCGCTATTGTCAGTGACACTCAAGGGGCTGCATTCAATGCAATCGCCCTCGAAAGCATCCATCCTCTACGCACCACCAGTCGACGAGGAGGACACCCTGATGAGGTTCTGCGAGAAGCTGAGGTCGGCGTTCCTCGAGGCCGAGCTGATGACCGAGGAGAACCGTCTGCTGCTCCTCCACGCCACGGTCGTGAACACCATCTACGTCAAGGGCAGGAGTTCCCGGGGCGGAGGAAAGGGGAGGAGCCGCGAGAAGCTCACTATCGATGCACGTGGCATCCTGGAGCGTTACGATGAATTTGTGTGGATGCAGGATGTCCCGATCGAGAAGATTGCGATTTGCAAGATGGGTGCGAAGAAACGGGATGATGGCGATGAGGCTTACGAGGTTGAGGCAGAGATCGATATGACCGGATAGCTTCTAGTGATGCTGGAACAAAAACTAGGTAGGCAATGGGTTTATTCCGAGGCTACTGGCATGTATGGTTCGGCTGGTTGTTGTACTTTCTACGTAGCCTTGTTTATTCATGAGTCTACCTGACTCTAGGTAGGCTCGATGAAACCATCCACATTGAGGTTGCCAATTATGTGAATAATCGGCCGCGAGATATCAATGTTGGTGTTGCTTACCCCTGTTCAGCCCCCCTAACGTACACCGGTAGACACCCGGACTTAGGCCGACGTCGGCCGCGCTGGGATCCGATACCGAGAATAGATGGAAGCTGCGGCCTCTGTGACGCCGACCCTCCCCTGCTTGCCTGCCTGGTCAACTATCCACAGTACTTTCAAGCACAACGTTCCCGAAGGAATTCGGTGCCGACACGAACGTGGCCTCTGACGAGGGAACCATATCCAGGCCTCATCACGACGATGCATCGACTCTTCCTGCGTACCACTGCCTCTCTGCTTCGTCGTAGAAGCGACCCCGCGCCCTCACCAAGATGAGCTATTCCGACAAGCGCAAAGGCAGCACTCATGCCCTGCGCTCCTCGGCATCGTCACGCAGCAGCAACATTATCGCACCTCCGCCACGTGCACAACTTACTCGTCCGGCATCTTCGTTATCCTCACCCACTCCCGGAAACGACGCGGCACACGAAACCTCAAACTCGTCTAATAAGGATGGCGGCGCTGCGTCGGCGGCAGAGGAGCGGGAGAGCATCCTGCTCAAGAAGAAAGACGACAAAATTGCCGAACTGAAGCAGGAACTTGTAATCATGGAGACCGAGTTTGCTCGGGAACTCGACCAGCTGTCCCAGAACGAGAGCGGGGCCGCAAGCTTCTGGCAAACGAAGCATTCAACCGTGAACCAGCAATTTCTGCGCATGGAGACCGAGCTACGATTACTGCGCAACGAAGTCGACGTGAAAGAGGCTGAGCGGACAGAGCTGCGCGAAGGGTGGGAGGCCCTTCGGAGGGAGTTGAGGGATCGCAATGAGGAGATTCGCTCGTTGAAAGGGCACATCGCAGGGCTCAAGCAATGGGTGAGCACAAGCACCAAGAAGAGCGATCAGACAAGCGACGAGGAGTTTGGAGAGACGGTGGCGAAGCTGCGCAACGGCTTGCAGAACTGGGTGGTTTCTCACTTTAGAAAGTCAAGCCTTGGTAAGCAGTTCAAGTGTGATTACCTATGGCAAACAGTGCTAACGGCTAGACAGATCTGAGGAACGCCGATCAAGAGATCATCTACGAGCTCAGTGAGCTCGTGCCCATGTACGAGGAGCTTGCCATCGGTGAAACCAAGCCGCACTTACTGCAATCTGTGGTCTCGAGTATTCTAGTCGAGATGATCTTTGATAAGTACTTCGTCGGCCTCACCGACGAACAGTCAGCTCAATTCGAGCAGATGGAGAAGTATCTGGCGTCTCTGAGTATGTCTCGACCATTTTGATGTTTATTATACGTGGCTGCTGACCCTTCAAGCAGGCTCACCCGAATCGGTCAACCAATGGCGCGCGACGACGTTGACCATGCTTCGGCAGGCTGCCACTTCGGAAATGCAAACCGAAACAGCAGTGGTGACCGAGAGCGTCGTCTCAAGAATCAACCACATCTTGAACGCGATCACAAATGCCATGGCGACCGATGCGAGAGATCAAGCACTGCGCGTGCTCGTGAACAACTCGATCGGTCTAGCAAGGTTACTAGTCGTGCAGAAAGCCGTATTCAAAGTAATCATGCCCAAGTTCCTGCCTCGCCAGCGGGAGTCGTTTGATGCGGCTACCATGGACCACGTTGGCGAGGAAGACGAGGAGAGCTTGACGGCTCGCGAAATATGCTGCGTCACGTTTCCTGGGATTATCAAGACCGGGGACGAGAACGGAAGCCATCTGCAATTCCGCAACGTAATCGCCAAGGCAAGAGTCTTATGCCGGCTTGAATGAACACAGCAACCAAAGTCATACGTGGGGGTCATAGCGATGACTCAAACGTTTTGATCAAAAGACGAAAAAGAGTGAAGCGTATGGGGTGCTGTGCCGAAGTCTGTAGTATGCCGAGTCAAACTTGCAGCCCCCGGTCCACGACGCTACGAGAGAGCGGAGCGAAAGCAGACAGCGGTGCGAAAAGAGTGGGAGGGCCGGACCGCGAAATTGTTGGAGAAGATTGAGGCTCTGCGATCTGAGGGATGGTGGTATGACACATCCTCCACTCACACCATGCATATCCCTCCAGTCAGAGGGCGCCCATTATGAGCAGTCCGACGGCTGGTCTATGTTCCTATGCAATAGGCTTGCATAATCCAATCATCCCCAGCAGCCACCCACATCTCATGGGAACTGATCGACCAAAGAAGCCACAGCAAAGATCAAGCGAGTCATGCAGCGAATAGCTTCGTCCCAGTCAATACTATCGAAGACTCTCGTGTCCAGCTTATCTGCGCTTCACCGGTCTTGCCACCCGTCAGCAAGCCATGCGACCGACTCTGGAGTTTCTTGTCTGGTCTCTAGCACCGGACCGACGGCTCGTGTATCTATCTTTCCCGCATGTGCACGCGGTGATTCGAGTGATCAGCCTCGTGGCAGATGACACTCGTTTACAGACCGGCATTGCTCTATCGGTCGTCCGAGACTCGAGCTCAAGGCGCAGAATTGAGCCGATGATTCACGGGGATTCGAAGCAGTCACCAGGATCACGAGAGTCTGTAGCTCGCAGTCGGTGGCCTGGGATAGAATGCCGCATCGTTTGGACTGACCGATCCTGCAAAATGGTCCGTCATAACAGACAGTCCTGCGTTGAGCAAGCGCCCTCGTACGACAGAACTAAGTTGGAAGGCTTACCTCGGAATCGATATTGTAGAAAGTAACAGGACGACACGGCATGACACGATGAGGAGCAGGACGAATCTTCTGTAGTAAGCATAGCGAGAGCTTATCCTGTGTGAATTCACATGTGGTAGAACCATTACACCTATACTCGCTTGTGGGGGACAACCGGGGAAGAGAGCCGTCACACCGATTATTGGCTGAACTGGACACCCACGACATCCCAGCGGCTTGATCAACCATTTGCAATGTCTCGACGGCGTGACAAAGGTATGACGAATCCCGCTGACCGCGGCGTGTTTTGTAGCAACCCAGCTCCTCCGGGAGCTGGGTTGCTATCCCCATATTAGCGACCTACCTGGGTCGGTCCCTCGCCTAACCGATGAATGCCGTCGAAGCGGGAGAACGGCAACTGGACTAGGGATCCTATGTTCGTTCTGATGAACGCTGAGTCATCGAACACTTGGCAGCACGTTGGCCAGCGCATCGTCGTCGATCTCGGATAGCAAGCAGTCGTGGTCATGGTCTCAGGTTGATAGTTCCGCATGGTGTCATCCGAGCACAACATCTTCCAGTCTATCCCGTATGGCTTTCCCGGGCCGTCTGTAGGTGCAAGTTGAGCTGCCGCCCTCATTCGTTCTGACAGAGTGGGATAAGGGTGGGATAAGCAGCCCCCCATACTGGATGGGTTGCTGTATGCTGCTTCTGCTGATGGCTCGGGACCTCTGATGGGGGCGCCAAAGCCACGACTTGCAACGCGGCATTAGGACTGGTGGGAGTGGTGGTAGACCCTGTCGAGCAAACCCCTGCAACCTGCCAGGCCCCTCTTCCACTTCGCCCATATGAACTTGGTGATTCTCGCGCATCAAAGAATTCCCAATAACTCACCTGAGACAGGTGTAACGTATTGTCCATCTGAGTCGCGGTGACTTCCCCTGAAAGGGCTTTTTCGCTGGTGTCGTCTGATCTCGTTGGATGAGGGCTGGTCCGAGTCAGGATCCGTCCAAGGCCCTTATAACCCATCATTCCTGGCAGCTTCGGAGACGGTCGAGTTGGCGGAATCTACCCCTCCGCAGTATCCAAGACTCGACAGCACCAACAGGCCATCGAGCCAGCACCACTGTACCACAGCCGCCATGCCGCCGGTCGATGCGAACGAAATCCAACAGTTTGCTGCCGACTACGACAGCGGTAGTAGCGATCGGCTTCGAGAGTATGCTTTTGCGCCGTCCACGGACCAGTACCACTACGATACCACGCCACGACAGCCGTCACACTCGGCACACTCGTCGTATAGCGCCATGTCCAGTAAACAGGCAAGGTCGTCCAGCTTCGCGTCCACTGCCGGCACGGCGAGTAGCCAATACAGCGACCAGTACAGCGGTGGTAGCTCCTACGCAACTGGCAGTTCTGGATGGTCCACCTCACCTTCGACCACGGCGGAGACGTATGCTGAAAGCGTGACAACATACACCATCGAGCCCGATACGTATCTTCCTGCGCCGGCCCAAACCGGAGCGCTATCTTTGCCATGCGAATTTGTTGGTCTGGCCTCCTGCGCGTATAGTTTCGATCAGAATGATACCGCGGCTTGGATCGAACACACAATCCAAGTACATCTTCATGACAGGCTCCCGAATAAGGTCCTCTGTTGGTTCTGTGACGAATATAGTTTTGATGTCAGCCACCTGGAGGTTGGAGGCGATCGCCGTCTCAACTTTGAGCAACGCATGTGGCATATCCGCGACCACATCATGGAGGAAGGGAAGACAGCTGAACAGATACGCCCGGACTTCCACATGCTGGAACACCTCGATCGCCATGGGCTGATCACCAAGGCGGTGTATACTAGAGCCAAGAGGTGGCGTGAGAAAGTGCCCCCAGTGACCGGAATATATGCCCCTGGCTATGTGCCCGAGGAGAGGCGGGTCGAGAATGAGCGACGTAACCGGGTCTTAGTCGACCATGATAAAGAGGACAGACACCACCGAAGACGGCACAGGAACCACCACCGATAAGGGCCAGACGCCTAGTCGCCAGGTGGTATGGAGTTCGGTCGCTGACCGGCTGTGGTCACTTCGCCGTTGAACAGGGTGAAAGGAGAGAAGGAAGGACATGATATGAAGTAGGGACCGAGGAGGGAAGAAGTTTAAAGAGGCACGTGCCAGCAGGTGCGGCTTGTCCGCGACCCACTGGTCGAGCTGCGACGAGAAGGCTGCGGACCGGAACGCTTGGGGCCCGACTTGGCCCGATTTCATTTCCGTTTCATTGATACCTTCTGATCCCGTCTATTGGTTTTCGTTTTCCCCCATGGACACTTGGGGAGGGATTGGGGACATGATGTTTCCTTCGGCGATGGTGGTCAATATGCAAGTTCGGAACCACGCGGTTCCAGTGGTGGGTGCTCGGATCGGCAAGGCAGAATCGTGTTCAGCCTTACAGCCATCCCGTGTTGCCAGATCGGGCACCCTGCGTCGGGCATCACGCATATGCATGGCGGCTGTGTCGGTTTGAATGGTCGAACGTTCTCTTGGGCTTTCTTTGGATGGGTCCTTGCATGTGACGAGTCTCTTTTGTCTGCAGGCAATAGGCTTCCGCCGAGAGGGGGAAACCGACAGGCGAGCGATCTGCATGCACGTCGAGATGGTCATAAGGTCTTGTTGGAGAAGAGAATTTCGTGTGCTCCTTCTTTTGTCCTCGTTCTTCTGCTGGGAGGGGGGTGTTTGCCTATTGTCTCGAGAGTTTCATTGGCTGCCGGTATGTACACAACGTGGAAAGGCGGGCGACTCTTCTATGTGCTTGCTGTTGGGCGTCTCTCCGACCAGGTGGGTGAACGTCTGAGCTCGTGGACGAGCCAGACTGACGATGTCATGATACACACGAAAGGAAGCGGGTTGGGTTTGGGAACTGTGGGTGAAACATTGGGAAAGATACCACTCCAGATTGTCTGATAAATGATGAAATGCTCGCTTCTCTCCTGTACACCGCAACCCGACTCTGTATTTGTTGTATTGGCGAAGAAGGCCGTGGAAGCAGAGCAGAGGACACTCACCGCTTGATGACTGAGCCCAGCTGAGCCGGTAGCACTTATTTCAGAACTCGCTCGACGGGTGAAGCATGGTTCATATAAAATATGTCTCAAACCCCAGGAGATTTTCATGGGAGATGCCGCTGTTCTATGTCTAATTTTATATACCCAAGTACGACCCTCGGCGAGGCGAAGTCGTGGATCTCTGCTGCTAAGCACAGCCCCCTACCTAGTGGCGATGTCGCGCACTACGTACACGCCGTAGCACCAACCGCTGCAGAAAACTCTTCTCTGTCCCTAGCAAAGCCCTCTACAATTCCCACCGAAATTGTCCTGCTTTCAGTGGTATTGTCCTCATCTGGTCCTATCGTGGGGTGGTTGGTGTGGAGGTGGAGCACCGTCCTGGTCCGCGAACCAATTTCAATGTTCACTCAGCCTCATCTTGGTTGCCTCGTTGGCCGCCCACTCACTGCCATTGGAACCCTCACGGACAAGGATCCAAACCAGGCACAGCAAACAAAGGTACTAAACAACCGGGCGTAAGGCAACGACAAGGACATCTCCATCCCCAGTTTCCATTGGTCGAGCGTGGCGAGGCACACCCGCCTGCAGCGTGTGCTCAAGCTGCACGAGCCAGGGGTTGTTGGAATGGACGACTTTACTCGATGTTCGCTCTGGTCTTTGCTTGTGCTTCGAGTGTACAACAACGGGTTACGGCCCCTGAGAAGCAGGACTGCCTATGGATCATTGATGATCAAGTGTCTATTGTTGAATATAGTACTGCTGTCTCTGCCGGTGCCAGTGCCGAGGCGGTCGCTGCGAGTGTGAAAAGGGTATCTCTCATCGTACATACCGGCCTATCGAGGGTGTCACCAGGGTGGGCCGTCTGCGCCCTACGATGTACTTGGACTGCATTGCCTGCCCTACGCAGACTGCTGCCTGGAGGGGGTGTGCCCAATCAGATTTGGCCTGTTCCATCCAGGCCCTTGCTGTTCCTGCTCCTGTTCCGCCTTAGGTCTGCTGTCTTGACTGTATGAACCATGTCGTACTATCAGAGTCTCCTCGCCGCCACGGCTTCTATGTCTGCACTGCAGGTCTGTGAACATCCTAATGCCGACGCTACCCCGGACATCTTCTCCTGGCGTCCTGTAAGCCCGTTCTGTAGGTAGGGAAGTAGCATGGGACGTCGGGTGCCTTAGCCTATAGTGGCAAAAGGTCAACAACTCGCGGTCCCGTCTCGGCCAGTCTTCTCCGTTCTGTCCCAATGCTTCTTGCCTGTCCCCAGTAGTATCGGTGACAGTTCATACATACACATGTCCGTCGGTCCAGAAATACTACGTCAGCTCGCGGATCGGGCGTCCCGGTCTACACGGTTCAGACCCCTCGGTGCCCCCGAGCTCTACGTAGGCATACCCTGCGCCCTGTGTGTGCATGATGCTACCTAAATATCATACCACTGACGTCCTTCCTAGTAGATATCGAGGCCGAGAGAGTACGGTGCTTGCAATAACATAACTTCCAGCAGCCAGGGTGAAAGCTGTTATGTTTCAGCGGCTTGTGGAGCTTTGCTCTACACACGACACTATCTACAGCGATCAGCTTCGAAATAGTCAGTAGCTCTTTTTTCCAGTTTCATATCCTTGTCATTCCCTCTGGTTCCCCATACGGCTCAAACCTACCCGTCCATCATCATGAGCTATAAGCGCTTTCATCCTGTCCACGGCCCAAGCCTGGCATTCTTCTCCGTCCGAGACACACGATCTCATAGGGAGAGGTTAGACGGCGACGAGCCAGGAAGTGTAAGAACTCGGAACAACATATTGAACTGTATTTCGTGGTGCGTCACCAGGTTATATCTGTCCTCCACCGTATAGATGGGACACCGCAACCAAGAACACGATGAACCGCAAGGGGATGACCACATCAAGAGCGGCTGCAATCATCGTACATGGAACGTTGGTCCTGTGATATCATCGAATGTATCCAGAAACGATGACAAGTGGCCCATGTTCAGCTACGGGAGCAATATCATCCAAAGCCTCATAGAGGCTCCTATATGCCTCTTCAAGCTCGCCAACCAAACCACCCAGCCCAAGAGAGAAAAGCTGTCTATGTACTATTTTCGTCCGCTAAAAAGAAAGCCCCCGGTATCCTTAAACAAATCTGCGCTCCGTCGCGAAAGCTGTAACTGTCTGTCATTCGGCTCGCAGCGCTATACGGATCCATCGCACCCCGTCCATCTCTCCTTTTCCCTTCCGCAGCGACCAAGCCATACCCCGAATCCCATCCCTCTACCCCCCCTAACCCCCCTACCCACCTAACCCCCTACCACCCAACCCAATCAATGAAACTCAGCCTCCACCCTCCCGTACCTCACGCCGTCGACCTTGAGCTCGAAGCCAAGACCAGCACTATCGACGATCATCTCGAGCGTGAAGTCAAGATTGTCGAACTCGACGCCGCGCGTCGTCGTGAGCCGCGTGAACAGGCTGCGCGGCACCGCGCCCAGGTCCGTCGTCAGCGTGCACACGTGGGCCAGATCGCGCGCGCTGTACGCCGCCGGCGGCTCGTCGGCGTCGCTCGCGATCAGGTCGTCCGTCACCACCAGCGACTGCCCCGGCCGGAAGTTGCGCGTGTAGTGGAAGGCGATGGGCGACAGCGGCGAGATGGCCTCGCCCTGTTTTCCGCGCGTGGCGGTTTGGGTTAGTAGTCTGTGCCTGCCTCTGCGTGGATGGGTGGATGGATGGATGGATGGATGCGAGCAGGTAGACAGACGGTGCTGCGGTTTGAGTGATCGTCATGCCGCTTGGCATTTGTACAACCCAAAAAAGGAGGGGGCAAAGTCAAGGAGATAAGGCAGATGAACATAAGTAGGGGAAAGCTAGAGATTCTCCAGCAGACATTGAGGACTCACCTTAGCGATATGCCACTGCATACGATCACTAACCATCCAGCGCTCCCACAGCGGACTCCAGTAGCGTTCGCTGACACTGTGCTTCTCCTCGTCGTACACCGTGGCATACGAGGTGCCGTAGTGCATGCGGGCCTTGCGACTGATGACCATGCTGCCCTCGAGCCCGCGCAGCACGGCGCCGCGGACGACCGCCGTCCACGCGTACACGGGCTGCATGACCTCGATCGACCCGTTCTCGCCGACGGCGCGGACCATGGCGTGCGTCGGGCGTTCCGAGTACGGCGGCGGCGCGCCGCTGCTGAAGCGCCCCTTGAGCCGCTTGTACAGGTACTCGCTCTGGCCGAAGCCGCCGACCAGCACGATGCCCGACACGATGCCGCCCTTGCTGCGCAGGGAGTCCACTTGGCCCTGCACCAGGTCGCACACCTCCTTGACGACCGGTTCGAATATGTCCTTGATCTCTGCTGCGGTCAGGACTAGGAAACCCGAGTCGAGCCGGGCTTCCTCGTCATCCGGCAGTCCGGGGAACCTATGGACAGTCAGGAGAGCTGGCTTTTGGACAGACAGTGGGAGGGGCCACCAAGGGGCATCATGGCCAAGGCACTTACGGCACGTTCACTTCCTGGTACTCCTCGTCCTCGTTGAAATTCCGCTTGACAAACTCCTCGAAATATCGGAGGCCCATCTGCCACGTCTTGGCCTTTTTGGTCTTCATCTCCTCGAAGCGACCGACGCCCAGCCGGGTTTTGACGTGTTCTTCAAACCTGTAATTCAAGAAGGCACTTCCACATAGACCGCCTGTCCCAACGGCCGATTCTTCGACCTTTAGAGGCTTCAGTGATATGATCTTATAGGCAATCAAACTGTTTCCCTGGTTAGCCGTAGTTCATAGGCCATGCTGATGAAGCTGGGATGGCACTTACTCTACAGTACCACCACCGGCATCGCACACAACAAAGTTATCGCCCACATTGAGATGATTGGGCTGAATAGCCTTGAGTGTATAGACAGCCGCAGCTTCAGGCTCACTGATCATCTGAATGTCGGACTTGGAGCCCATCCCCGCCCTCTCAGCAGCCTGCAACGTGGTGTTCTTGGCCGCGTCGGACCACACAGCCGGGCAGGTCAGGACAAAATCCACATTCGTCGACGCCATGAACGACTCGCCGTATCTGCGCGTGAGTGTGTCCATGGTGTGCTTGTATACCTCGGTGAGGTAGTCGCTGACGGCGTCGACGACATTCTTGTTGAACGTCTTCAGCTGCGTGGCCGTCTCCTGGGGGCTGACGTAGAAGGGCAACTTCTGCGACCGGTCGAGAAAAAGCTTGATGCAGCGTAGTCGCGACTCCTCAGGCTTGAATTGGAAGCCCCATTTCACGTTGGCCTTGGTGCCGGGCTCCGCGTTGGGCGGCACGACATACGAGATCTCGGTCGGGACCTTGTCCGATGTGATGCCATTTCCTCCCGGCCACGTCTTGATGATTTCGATATCATCTGGTGTTGACGTATATACAGCAGCAACTCTATCTATGGGTCAGTATACAATGATTCCTGTGAGGGTGACATAGAAGAAGGGCTATCTCAAAGCTCCAAGAGTCCAATGGCGCATCCTCCCAGGGATACACCGTGTGCCGCAATTGACTCTGTGCCACCTGCAGGGAGATTGGGGGTACAAAAGCGTTAAACTCACCCCGAAAACGTGGTGCCAAAGTCGACGCCGACTATAAGCCGGTCATTGATGGGCATAAGCTCCCTCGCGGGCTCACGCAGCGGGCCATTGATAGCCTCTGTCGACGAGGGCGGTGTGTAGTTGGTGAAGTAATTCCTGCTCGCCTGGTTCCTCAGACTCGGCGAGGACCGAACCGGAAGATTGATGTTCATGATGATTGCCACCGCTCGCCTGCTTGCTGCTTATAGCCCCGACTTAGGGGCAGCTCATCTCAGTCTCCCGGCCACAGCAGGTTTCGGGTGGCGGGGTCTCTGCCCTCTTGGGACAAAGACAGTCCTAGCCCTGTTGCCAAAACGACGGGAGCCGTGCTTCGAGTCCGAGCGGTACAGCCGTGAGAGACGACTGGCCGGTTCGATATCGACGCAATGATTCGGTTGCTCGGTGAGACGAGGAGAAATTCCGTGGACTGGCCGGGATGCACTTGCGGGGCTACCTATACCTTTTTCTCAGCCCTCCAGGCTTACCTAGGCCGTCAATGCGTCGATTGTGTGCTCAATTGAAGCTTTACCGTCAAGGAAATAAACGATAGCCAAGGAGAAGGCTCGTTATTACTAGAAGCATGAGGTTTAATATGATTGATCACCTCAGCTCACGGGCGTCATGGGGACAGATACGTTGACCAGTTGGTATTATTATTCTGCTGCCTGACCGAGAGGACAACGCTGGCAGCTGCCTGCAGCCGCCCAACGCCTCAGAATCCGTTGCTCCACCTGCTCCGCCTGCTGCCTTGCCATCTACTGTCGCCGTCCTGCCTCTTCTGGACATGGACAAGCAAATCATTCGGCCGAAGGAATCGATTCATCCTGTCAGCCCGTTGGCTATTATGACCAGAAGAATAGTGTTCAGTGTTCACGGGGCCTACATAGATGATTGATAATGTGATATGTGATTCTGTGAAATAGCTCGACGTCATGCCGGGGCCAAACTAGTTAGCTGTATATATACCCATCGCTCGGTCGTTGGCCTAGATGACAGACTATGGGGTGGCGAACCGCTCGAGAAATATGTGCCTAATCTCGAGTCCTGCCCGATCGATTCCAATAATAGCTGATAATCATATACTGATGTTTTGTACAGTCGAGTAGCGACTGTTGGGAACAGCCGAAACTGCGCCCTGGATAATCTCCTGCGCAGAACATATCCCGAAATGTAGGGATACCTTCGGATCGAAGGGTTCCGCAGCCTTGGGACCATCCAAATCTAACAAAAGAAATCGCCTTGTGCTTGGGATCCGTGCCCTTTTACATCCTTCCAACCAGGTCTATAGGGGGTATTCTCGATGTCGATTGAAATGCAGAATCAGTTGGAGCTGGAGCTGGCGCTAGCTCAGGTATTGGGGTATTTGATTGTCGAAATTTTGGCGTCGCAGAATAGAAGAATGAGTGGTTGCCGAAGAAAATTTCAGATCGACCAACTGAAACTGAGCCAAGATCTAGAAACGTTTGGCGCAAGAAACAATACCGCCGCGGAGACGCCTCGAAGCCTGGGACGCGCACCAACCCGGAACACCGTGCAATGAGAAAATGATACAGAATGTGTAGCTATCGATGGCCACTTGGGATGACGCGTTCACCTTCAAAATCTGTTGCCAGCGGCCCAGATACTTGCAGACGCCGAGGATGCCCACTCGCTCTCCTCATATGGGGGAGTCGGCCATTTATACTGCGCTTCTCTACCCGAATGCTTCTTGAGATCTAGAGGTCGGGGTGTAATGGCCTCGTTTCCATCTCCAAAGAGAACGTTATTTCCGCTAGCTGAAGGAGACGGCGTCGGATAGGGATTCGAGAGCACGACGTTGCTGGCAGATTGTCGAAGATTGGGTTTGCCGTCCTTGTCCATGCGCTTCATCGCCCGGTGGGTTGAATTCAAAACTTCATCCAGGAGCTCGTCTTCTTCTTCCAACGCATCCCCTTGGACGCCATGCGTAGCTTGCGCTCTCCTTGTCCTACTAGAGATAGGCCCAGTAGTACGAGCAGCACCAATGAGGTTGTCCACAGACCTGGGCTGTTTGTGGGGAAGCGAATGATGTCGTTTCAGGTGACCACTAGAGGAGACCATGTGGATGGGCGGGACTGGTGGATGAGAGGACTCGACGTTGCGATGCGGATCCCGCATGGCCCTATCAAGTGAGTCGTAGTTATCGACCTTCGTTGCCGCACCTTGTTGGTCAATGACCATTGATGATCTGTTGCTGGCCCAAGGCCCACAGCCTGCCTGCGCTTCGACGTCGTCGTAGGTAGGAGAGACAGGTGTCTGGTGCCTCCCAGAAAACCGCCTTGCGCGCTTTCGGAGATGTGAGAAGAAGCTTTCCTTCTGCCCACTTGGCGGTGATGCTAGACCGGTACCGTTCAAGGCCCGTTCCGCCTGCTGTCGATGAAGCTCGGCGTAGTGATTTGAGTTGGATGCCACTGACAATTGTCGGCCAACTTTCTTCCCTGTGCCGTCCTCGTTTGCGAGGCGTTGGGACCCGTAGGCATACGAGTCATTGTAGGATGGCGTGCGGTTTGATGCTTGGGCGGTTACCGCATCCGACAACGGTGAAATGGGCCGAATCGTTGGTAGAATTGGCATAGGAGCCACGTTCGAGGGACCATTAGTCCATGTCGTGCGCTTGCCAGGAACCGGTCGCGATTTGGCGACATGCACTTCATTCATTGTGGATGAATGGACAGGAGACGGTCGAGGGGCGGCCATGACATCCTTCACACTGACCTGTGCAGCTGGGAGATCCGTGCTCTCCGACCTGCCGATCAATGACTTTCTAAACCACGAAGGCTTCGATGAAGTGGGAGTTGACGAGTTGGAATCCTTCGTACGTCCAATGTCAGACTGTTTCCGGCCAAGTATTCTTGACGCTGATGACTTTGGCCTCAATGGATCAACCGCGTCGGAAAAGTATTCGTGAGCTAAAGCCTGAGTGGATGTCGGCCTGCTCTTTGGGTCCCACATCAAGCACCAAGTCACGAACTGACTCAGTGATGCTGGCCATTGTGGTGACTGGAGTATTGTGTCCATCGAATGGGGAGCCATCTTGGGGAATGAGAAGCCCAACTTGCCGGCCAACCGAGTGCCCTCTCTCCAGTCTCCTCCGCCTACCCGAGCGCCTGCTTTGCTGTACCAGTTACCGGGGCTGCCCATTATCTCGCACACCCTCCACACTTGATCCACTTCATTTCCCCCAGGGAATAGCGGTTTCAACGTGGCAACTTCCACTGCCATGGCTCCGATTGCCCAAATATCGACGGGAGCGGAGTATTCTCCAGCACGAAGCAGAACCTCGGGAGCACGGTACCAGCGTGTTGAGACGTAAGTGGTGTACGGTAGTTTCGAATGTGTCTCGCGGGCTAGGCCGAAGTCTGCAATCTTGACGGTGTAGGTTGGCGGTGTAGAAGGCGGGGTCATCAGGGCCGAGTATCGTCTGAAGGAGTTGACCGAGTCTTGGTGACCAGATGTGGTCACCAAGATGTTTTCGGGTTTTATGTCGCGGTGGAAGAAGTGGTGGGCGTGGATGTGTTCCAGTCCTTGCATGATTTGAAACAGAATGCTCTTGACACTGGCATTGTCAAGACATTTGTGGTCGCGCGCTTTCATGAGTTGATATAGGTTGCCTTCCATGTATTCCATGCAGATGTGAAGCTTCTTGCTGAACGGGTCGAGAAATATGTCCAGTGCGGGAACCAGGTGGGCATGGGGCGGCAGTGTCCTCAGGAAGACAACCTCCCGAAGTTCGAGACAAGGCGAGAACGACTCGAAAGTCTTCTTCATCGTCTTGATAGCGATCTAGACGATCGGGGTCAGCTAATTCCAACCTTATCCAGATCATTGGTACATACCACAGTTCCACGGCGAGCAACGCTAGCACCAGCCGTCCTGACTCTCGCTAGCGCGACACTTCCAAAGCTTCCATCACCGATCTCCTTCAGAACCTCGAAACGATCCTGCAGAGCCATGCCGGCAGTTCCCTGTGGAGTTGAAGACCCTCGATGGGTCAAATCGTGTGCGACCGTCATACTGGGATGGTATGCAACCGCAGCTCTATTGGCGATTGAATAAATCCCAACGCGACACTGGAGTGGCTGGTTTCGACAAGACTGCGCAGTCCTCCTAAGGCTGTCGGATTGTATTAAAAACTCTTTCCAGGAGCCATACGAGTTTGCTGTTGCATGCAGGTCGATCAAGTTTGTCGAGGACAGAGTCGTGTGGTCGAGGTAGCCGGAATGAGTGGGAAGGGCCGAGTCAGGTTGGTGTTGTGGATGTGAAACGCAACGCAATAGCTCGGTACAACAGAACACGATGAAGGAAGAAGGAACACAAGATAGTAATACTGAGGATAGGAGAAACAGGTCAGGCAGAGACCGGATTAATTGCTTGACCTGAAGGCGGAAGGGGTCCTGGTCCAGGGGCGTGATGGAACCAGAATGTCGGGGTGCGGGTCTGGTGGTAGCTGGCAGATTGACGGAGCTTCTGGAAATATGGCGCGCCTCCTTGCTAGCGCATTAGATGCCGGTCGAAAAGGGATTGACTGGTTGGATTCGCAGGATAATAGGAGAAAACCGAGAAATTGATTGTACATTCGAAGACTCAAAAGGAGCGGATGGAGGGTCGAAGCCTCGGGGTGGATATTCAATTACGGTGAGTTATTCCCAGTTGCGATTGATTGCGCGGTAGTTGATGTGCAGGCCGGCCGTCGCGCTGAGCGGTATGGAGGGGGCTAGGAGTCGTCGCAGGTTGGATAATAGCATGGATAGAAAGCTCGGACAGAGAGTGTGGGTGTGAGAAACGAAAGAAAAGGGCAAGGGAAACGGTAGGTGCAGCAGAGTGCTATTGGACTCAATGGTCCAGCTTCAATACTTCGCGTGAGCAGATGCTGTCCCGTTTGTGAGTGAGTCCGATTGCGTGAAGCGAGCGAGCGAGCGGAAAAGAGATGAGATGACGGGAAATGGAATGGGAGAGGGAATGGCCGGCGGCGGGCTGGCTGAAGGGAGACGTGCGATTCGACGGTCGGATGGATTGATTCATTGGGTTATGGAAATTGATTTCAGACGTGTTTGACAGGTGCAGTTGCTCAGTCGGCCCAGCGAGCCAGGCAGCCCAGGGCAGCTCCTGCCAGTTCCTGCGCTGGACTGGCAGACTGGACGCGAGGGTGGGACCCCGGGCCCCTCGCTGCCGCTGGCCCCGCTAGGTCATGTAAGGTACTTGCCGGCCGGGTGTAGGTTTACGGTCCACCCCAGGTACCGCGGCCATCCGCGAGCCTAGCGGGCTTAGCGGTCATTGGCCTGACCGTAGCTTGGTACCTTCAGGTACACATGTGGTTAGCATGAATAGGGTTCTCGCGGTGGCATAGGGGCCGATAATCTCGCTAATCCTGAATAAGCTTGCGCCAATTTGCTTTTGAGCCGGGGTCCTGATGAGCCGTGATCGTCCTCAGAACAGGAGGCGGGAGGCGCGAGGCACGAGGCAGCGAGGTCAAACCCGTAGTGCTTTCCAACTCCAGTTTGATTAGGGGTCCGTACGTTCCTGTCTCTTGCCTGTCACAAATGCCACCACCACCTGCACCGGCTTTCCGTTTCCTTTTCCTTTCTTCTTCTCTCGTGTGTCTCTGTCAATTGAAGTGTGGTACGCGAGACCAAAGGCAAGGTTAGTTTGTTGTCGCTGATGGTCAACGAGTACAGTACACTCAAAAATAGCTTAGAGTTGCACCAGCATCGGCTGTGCTGGCTGGCGGGTTGATCTAAGCAGGTATGCATGAGTTGGCAGGGAAGCCTCATTACCAGTGCCTCATTGGCCTCCCAGTGCTGTGGTCACAGTGTGGTGTCGCTGAATGGCGGGGAGGTGAGCCAGGCAGCCAGGAATCCACCGGAGCTGAGAGCCCAAGACGTTAGGAACGGGAGGCGGGATTCGGCAAATAGGGCTCAGCCGGGCTGTCGAGGAACGGGAGGCATCATTGTATGCCACGAGGTACTTGTCATACGAATATGTTCTTCTTCGTGTAATCCACCATCCTTCGAAGGCATATCTCAACGCAGTCAGCATGGAGCTCGGTCGTGATATTAATATCTTCATGCGCCATTTGCACCGGTGTGTCACCTAGCAAATCACTTGTCGTTGGGGAAGCGAAGCAGAAGGGAGGGAACGATGCTTGTCTAGTCGGGAAATATTAATAAATAAAATGACGCGCGGATCAGGACGTCTACCCTGTTTTGATCAATGCCAACACACACAGGCATCATTGCACCCAGACAATACAGGGTGCAGATACTGGCTCGACGAAATGGTCGTTTGACGGGCTGGCGGCGCCCCCAAGGTACAGCTTGTACCTTAATGAGATAGTGACATCCAATGCTGCCAGAGTGCTGTCCACTCTGCCACTGTCATCACGAGAGTCAGGTCAACGTCGTCATACCTCCATGGAGATGACTCGCTGCAAGCTACCTATTCCGGCATGCTCTGCCAAACCGCCTTCCATTCTCGAAATATCGAGATGGGAAGAAAGAATCGACTTGGCTAGCAAGTGGACCGCAACGCTTTTGTAAATGTGCATGAATTCCCTTCCGCTTGGCTCATTGTGAGGACTCCGGAGGACTCTGACTAAACTTTCATGGTCAACCGCCACCGAACATAGAAAAGGGGAAGGTCCGTGGTTCATTGCACAGATCACTCATGATTGACACACCACGCCTTGCACGGATCAATGATTGACACACACGCCTGTCCCGTCCCATGAATTCCGGTTTGTGGTGTGGAGAGTCGGTCAAGTTGGGGCAAATTCGGCGGCGATCCTCGGAGAGTCTGGGCTGTAATCACTGATCGCAGAGGATTTTGTAGGATGCTCAGGAACATTTGCCCTTTTGGCCTCATCACGATGCATTGGTAAGCTGGTGCAAATCTTGCAGTCTGACTCAGCATCCTAGACGATACGCTGCGTTAGTCGTTAAATCAGTAAGAGGTGTAGTATCGTAATGAGAGCAGTTATGCATGTATCGGGTATGCCTGTCTAGTTCAAGAGCGACCATCTGACGGCCGGGATGATCAGAAATGGTTCAATGGGGAGAGAGATACCCAACCTAATAAATAAGAGTTGAATACCCGGCCGAACTACACCACCCACTTGAACTAAGCAGCCACGAAAAAACTCTATTATTCGAGACACAGTGATGATGCCAGACGAGTGCGTCCGAGACTTCGCCGGCATGGCCGGCTTAGTGTGAGTGTTGGGTTGCTCCTATTCCGGCCCGTGCTGCTCTCGGTTCCATACCAAATATCAACGAATCCCACATGACACATCCTTATTAGCAAAGCACGACTTCTACAGATAAAGACTCTACTGAGATACACATCCCGTTCTCGTGGCTATCGAATATGATTACACGTTTCCCGTGAAGAGGAAAACCCCGAGAAACACAGCATTCTATGTTGGCTCATCCTTCCCGTCGCCCATGAGCAACTGCACTACTCTTCCTCGGCCAGCCTCCGGGCCGCATCGAATGGACCCTCAACATTCCACAGCAGAGCCTTCTCTTTGGTAGCCCTATTATTACCTCCGATTGCATGCAGCAGCATGTCGCCCACTATACCGAAATACATCCTAACTCCTCCTCCAAGACCTCGAGATCCCCCGTCTTCAGCGCAGACACCGTGGTGTCGATATCTATGAGCTGCTCCAAAGCGATGAGAGGGGGGATGGCTTACTCCTGTTGCCTTGGGAGACATGAGCCGGAGGTTGATGAAGCTTCTCGTGATGAGGTGGTAGGGTCGCTCACTGCATGCGAGTGGTCTGGCGACCATGGTGGTGGCTTGAAGGAGACTCTGCACGTCGTTGGCGTTGCCATCCCTACAAGCGTCGAAGAGCCTGAGTGGGATCAGCTATGAAGTCGTTTCTGCAGAAATGATGATGGGATATGACTGCCGAATATTCCGTGTGATCAGGGGATGGAAGCCTCAATGTTTTCAAGTAGGTTATCTTTGCTTGTCTCTTGCAGTGGTGATCGACAAGTGCGAGGTATCGGCGCGAGAATGTGTGACAGTCTGGTAGGGCCCAAGCTGGCAAACCGAAACTTGATGCCGCCAGGACCGAGCTGCTCTGTGCTGATCATTGCAAGGCTATGGTGTGCCACATGGGCTCTTAAAATAGACATATCATGGCGCGAGCAATCGTGTCGCTCCGAACTCATGTCAGCGTGGCGGATATGCCTTGGATGCAAGTCTACAGCTTCAAACCCATGTGAAGTGGTGGGTTCACCAACTCGGTCCTGCATTTCGCCGTTATTGAAGTTTGTGCCCCTTCGAGAGACTGCGTTCGTTATGGCTCTCGAGTCAGTCAATCTGTGAGATTTCAAACCGTTCTAGTATTGAAAGGAAAAGAGAAGAAGATCTATGGGGGAGAAGCCCCCATATATATGTACAGGTGTGCCATCAGAGTGACTAGATCATCATACGATAATGGTGCCAGAATCCTGGTGGCCTGAGGGTCGGCTGACTGCCCTCAAACCAAACCCATTAGCGCATTCAGCCCCGAAGGCCTCGTCTGGACCTGCTATGATATCCAACACAATCCCTTGTATAATCCTGGAGTGTTGTTAAGAGGTGAAATAGGCAGATGAGTTAGTCAGGCAGTCAGCCCCTACTCACAACTCAATGCACCTATATAGTGCCTAAGTCGCTTTAATACCACGTCACGTATGTAGGTTGGTTTTTTCACGTATGTAGGTGTGTAATAGCTCCACGAAACCGGGCCATTCCACTCGAGAACGGGGTCAATCCCTTCGGTGTAGATGGTGGCGACTGGTACCTGGCGAGGGGGTGATAAAAGATGACTGAGCCCATAGTTCAACAAAATAATATATTTCCTTTCTCGAACCACATAGCATATCATGTTGTTTTCTCATATGGGCTATGGCATTCGATCTTTCGGCAGTGCTCTCGCAGTCTGTCTGCTGGCTACCGCGACGCTTAGCGAAATTATCCTTACCACACCAATCGGTATCAAGGCAGATGGTAAGGGCACTGTCTACTGTCGTAAGCAACAGCCCACACTAGTTACACGTTATACACCGGACGACGCCGCGGACGCTGCCACGGTTGAGGATTGGCTGCGCAGCTCAGAACATTGACAATCACGATGAGTTTGGTACGAGACAGCGCCGGCCAGGCTAGCTACCATGTCCTGCTCTGCTGATACTTCACAGTCTTCTACACGGAGGAATCGTACGGCATTACCGAGGGGAAGGAAGCCGCAGCCGCCTTTGCAGATGCGAATGGCAAATATACATTCCAGGACCTTTTCGGCCCCAATACCCTGCTCGACACTGCCTTTGGGAACCCCAGCACGGATAATCAGGATATATGCTGGGCGTGTTCCGAGGCCATGGCCAGATATGCAAGCGGTAAGTAAGCCTTGAACTCCCAGTCAACCTCCGCTGGTTGGGTTATGATGAGACGAATGTCTACTATAGGGAAGACGTGGGTGTTCAAGCACGATAAGGGCAACGAGTACAGTGCCTGGGCGTTCATTGAAAGACCTATCCTCCATGAGGAGTGCAGCTGTTACCAAAATTTTATGTAATGTAAGCCCATACCCAGCAGCTTCCATAAAATCTGCTCGTGGGATGCACTCTTGCGTATATCACGCATCTCTTCCTTGCTCTCATTTTAGCTTATAAATAACTCAGAAGTCCTGATCACGGAGTGTTGTTATCACAGGGACCACCCAGCCGACGAGCCCGAAGACTTCAAGGATGATATCAAATTAGACACTGAGTAAGTGGCAATTGCAGAACATCGCGCGAGGGCAAATTCCGAAGCTTGACCCCGTTCGGACGATCTCTGACTCTGTATGCTGCAGCGCGGAAGGGGATTCAGACGACGGTTATTGACGACGGCTAAAAATTTACAAACGTACTGTATTCCATACAATCGTTTGGGTATCAAGAAGGAACCGCATGACCACTTTCACTGCTTGAGGAGAAATGGGAGCATAGGTAGCTAGGATATAAGCGTTGGAGCGCTCGGGGACGGCGTCTTTCGAACGGGGAACAATGCCACTTTTTCAGAGTGAGCTATATATACTTGAAAATGAAATCGGACCAGCAAATCGATGGCGCAAGGTGGTTCTCACATGTTCGTCCTCTTTTTCCTTCATGGGCTTGATGTAGAAAGGGGTTACCAGAATCTCGCTTGGTACATATGTGCCGATATGAATATGCAGTTAGACACAGCCTCATACCCCACCGAGCCAAGCATGCCGGTATGTGGTGACTGTATCTTGCTTGGCAGGCCCCATAAAGGCAGAACACGTGGATTTGCACCCTGGGACACGCGTGTAAAAAGGACAGAGGTGCGCGTTGATGGATCAGGGATGGAGGTGGTTGGTGCGGGTTGTTTCAGGACTCGTGACGTCGCGTAGGGTGGTGCTGTTTGTCTCCATATACCCACACATATACCCATAGGTAGCACTCGAAGCGAGCTTGTTGACGCGGGGACGACTGTCTCCAGGACTACCGACGACGTCCAAACGGCGCTGCCAGCGTTTCGGATGATCATCCGACCAATGACAACTTTTTTGTTCGTTGATGCCGCGATTCATGCTCTGCATCGCGTGGCCACTCACGGGTCACTCGCTACCTTGGACCCTTGGCCCGGCAGCCCGGGAGACTTTCGCCTGGTGCCACTGTCAGCGCGGGATCGTAGTGTGACGGACAACAAGGATGTCCCCTCAGAACGCATCTCCCTTGACTCTTGCCGCATAAAGCCGGAAATTCGCTACTCTTATTGCGCATTGAAGTACGACGGCGAAACCAAGGAAGCATCCTAGGCAATGCAGAGCCGGAGCTTTATCGCGAACCCATTCGCATGAGAATCCTTCCGCGGCATCTAGGCTCGTGCGGCCGGGCCAGTCTGCAGATCAGGATCTGCTTCCATGGCCGCCTTCTAGAAGCACCAAAAGTCCGACGACACACTATCAAGCTGGTTTTCCGCTAGGCGCTGCGTTACAGGATCCCTGATCACTGAACCCTGCGCGTGTGCTACGCACCTGAACCACAAGCGTCGAAAGTAAGGGGTCATAGTGCTGCAAGACACGAGATAGGTGAGAACTTTTTTTCTGGTCCAGTGCCCATGGTTGACTAGATCATGGAACCCCCACTGGGTATGTATGTTTGGGTATCCCGCTTGGAGACCCAACGGTGCGGTCTGACCCGTCGGTTCACCTGGTGCTTCAGACCGGTCGCCAATCAGACCGTGCATCCAGTTCTCGTCCGAGTCATCCCAAAGTCCCTACGGTAGTTGCCACTGAAAACCTCGGCATCCCCGCGCGAGAGTGTTGCTTCGGCTCCACTCTTGACCGTTGAGATATCCGACGACGAACTTGTCGGCCGCTTCGGGCTTCCTAGGCAATTGGCGGTACAACCGGACGCTTCGGTCCGATGTAGCAGCATTTCAGACTGGATTTGCTTCGCACTGAGCGGGATGGACGCCGCAAATCGCTGTCCCAAGTGTCTTGGATCCATCAGACGGCAGTCGTGGAATGCCTTACGAAGGGATACAGGACACCCGTGCTCAGCTCGAAGCTCGAACTTCAGTTATCACCAACCCCTTGTCTGTAGGCATCATGTCGTCTGGTGGCTGTAATGATCGCTGCGGATGTCGTGACCTGGCATCAGGAGCCTGCTCATTCGAGGGCAAAGTAGGTATCGCTAAAGAATATCGTTCGCTAGTATCGTTTTTGTGCCGGGAGTGCGTTCGAACATGAGCGAGATAGGGGCTTCCACGGGGTGTATTCAACGGGGTCGAGATATTGATGGATCTACTTCGGAATACCGGTGAGCTTCAGAAATGGGAAATATGTTCGGGGCGGCTTACTGTCTTGCTTGTGATGCATAGTCAATCTGTTCCCATGACCAGGTAAAAACGGAGCAGCCATGCATACGCGGTCTCTTGGGCCGGGATCCCGGAGGCGGGCCGTGTAAAATTCTTACAGCAGCCGGAGGCAAGCCCACGACCCCGTAACTTGCCGACTACATGCGGCCGGTACTCCTTGATCCCCGGAACCGAGACTCCTGCCGAATAGCGACATTCGGCCTGGTACCTCCCACCTGCAGGGCCACCATACATGAAGGTACTTGCGTCAGGTACACAACTCGGGCGAGACAGTGAATTTCTCTCTGTCTGCCTGGCACCATCCCATGCTACTACTACCTAGGATCCTGTCTACTTTCCTTGACTGGCTCATCACGTCCGCGTGAGATCCCCACCAAGCCGCTGCATCATTGAGCAACGACAAACAGAGAGATCCACCACCACCAACCGGACCAACAACTCTACTGCCACTGCACTGCAGCAGTGCCTTCCGTTGTCATCTTTCTTTCTTGAGCTGGAACATCTCAGAGTAGGGCTGCTGCATAAAGTATTCACCTCCCTTGCAAATCCCAACAATAAAGGGCAGCCACGCAGCCATCCCGGCTCCCTTTCGTTCCTTTCTCGGAATGCAACAAACAACATTGAACCAGAGACAGACTGCATCTTTCCACCCCAGGTTCTCTCACACCAAAGCCTTGCATCAACTTCCAAAGGAAGGCACGCAGGTAGGTATCCACTCCGCCTCAGACACCATACCTATGCAGCTGCCTGCCGCTCAAACACCTTGCATTCTGCACTCCAACAAACACACCTACCATAACCTTTGACAACAACCTCAGCCTGCACCTGCACAAGCAGCTTCAGCCTGACCTTAACCTTCACTTCCACCTTGACCTCCACCACTTCTACTTTACCTTCACCACTTCTTCACCTTCTCTCCCAACTCATCACGTGCATCTCCTCCGTTTCCCATCATCACACTGCGAAGGTCTTGACTCCTGCACCCGGAAGTAGCACCAGCAACCCGTGCCACGCGCATCTACTGGACTCTCTGATATCGAGGTCTCTTTCATTGCCGTTGGCTACCTAGGTACCTGCACACTTCCCACCGACTCCGCGGCATCTCGTTGTCTCGGTGAACCCGAGGTCTCGACTACATAAACACACCGCCATCAGTTATCTGGTGCCAACTGCCGGGCCTTACTCGTCATCCATCCACCTCCTTCTTCCACCTCTACCTTCGCGTTCGTCCTCCTCTGGACATACCTCCAGGTAAGTAAGCAACTTCATCCAACAGGCGGACGCACTCTGATCTTGCACGCTCCTTCCTTTCCCCACGCAAACACCCTCACTCCCTTGTCCCCATATGCCCTGGCAATCGCACCTTTATCTCTCGGGGTGAGCGCGTATCCACCTGTTGGTACCTGCACCACAGAGACTTGCCTACCTCGTTACCTCCCTTTAGCTACACGTCTTTCGCCCTCGACATTTCGTCTTTCATCCGTCGACACTGCACCTACCGCCTCTTCTGATCTCGCAAAGCAACCATATCCTTCACCAGGTACCCACACCTCTCTGGATACTTACATGTAGGTATTGATACCAATCCTCCTTTGCTACCGTGTATCGCTCACCCGCATCTAACAACATCCTTTCCCACTGGCCGTACTCTTTCACCTTTTTCTCCCGTCGCCTTTGGTATCTCACTGGCCCCTTGTTCCCTTCGCAGGAGATGCTTAGCAGGTATCCACCCCTAGAAGAAGATTGCCCATGTTTCCCATTCCTTCCTTCCTCTTCCTCGATCGCATTTCTGTTGCTCAACTTCATGACACCTCCAGTGATCTCATCAAGCAACTCCACTAACTGACCTCGCTGCAGTCCGCTCACAGTTCATACGGCCAGGAACGAGGACAACACCAGTCAACATGGCAACCGGACGGTATCCCAAGGGATTCAACTCCCAGCAGTATGTTTCAATCATGACATTGCCCATATTATTGCGCGTGCGTACTGACATTGTGTACATAGGCGGTCTAACGTAGCGCCCTCTTCGTAAGGACGAATCAGCCTCCTTACATAGTCTACTGCTAATCATTCCTAAAGCTTCAAGTGCAGAATCGGTGGTGAATGGAAGCCGTCCTCTGGCTTCTCTTCCGCACAACTCGCCAAATGGCACCAGAAGAGAGGCCAAGATGGCATCAACCCCATAACCATCGGCCTCACATGCCTGGAGCACGCACAGGGGTTTGGACGTGAGAAAAAGTGCGGTGGCCCCTGTGGTAAGAAACTACAGAAGGAACGGTTCAGCAAGAACCAGCGGAACAGAGAAGACGCCGTAAGTACTGTCAATCCCATGGCAGACCACCAGCACTTTATCACTGACTGTTTGCTTCAGTGGTGCATTGCCTGTACCGATTGGAAAGGAGAGGTCGAAACTACCGAAATTCCGCCCCCCGCACCCAATACGCAGATCTCACCAGATGAGATGTCTGGTGACATCGTGGTTGTCGGTGAAGATGAAGATGAGCATAACCTCGAAGAGGAGAAGCCTGTCGAGGACCTGCCTTACAGCGAGAGCGATTCCGAAGAGGAAGAAGAAGACTATGGCGGTTTGAAGGCATACATGGATGCGGACACAGATGTCGAAGACAACGATGACGGAGTTCACACCGCTGACGCCTTCAGCCTTGACACCTTCAGCGTCACACAGTCACGGAATGCTTCTGGCCGCATCGAGGACGGAGATGATGACGATGATGATGATGATGACGATGACACCGTAAGAAGCATTCTGGTACACACCATAATATCAAGCTGACAGTCTTCAGGGACTATTCCCCACCCGGGATTCGTCCATGAACATGCAGGCCCTTCAAAGCGATCTGAATTCGCTGTCAGGCTACAGAAACGTAGCCTTGCGTGGCAGTCGTGTCATCTCTGGCAGCACAACCGGCAGCGCGTCAGGTTCTGTGAGCACGGCTATACGAAGACCTATGACCCCGCGGGATGAACCCGCTCGCGAAGATGTTCGTCGCCAGACGGCAGGAGGAAACCCCGGACCCTCCGCTTGGCTTCCGCCTCACCTGCGACATGGCGGATCTTCCGTCGGTGGACGTAGCCAGCAACATAGCGCCCAGGGACATGGCTCACGGCTATCCGTCGCTTCTAGCGACTCAAGGGACGGCCTTGAAAACTTGTCCAGCCGATCGGTCTCGGCGTCTGACGCCACATCTGCGGCACGACCCCCTCAGGCCTACACGGCATACAACCCGAGCGGCGGAGCGGTTCAGCGAACCACTGCCACGGCCACGGAAACCCTGCGAAATATCAATGCGCTGCCGCCCAAGCCTCACACTGGTTTACCCCAAAACCTCGACGCGATGGCTCCTCCGCCCCAGGCTACGGAGAAGAAGAAGCAGAACCCCAACTTCCCGAAGGGTGTAAGTGTTGCAATAGGCTGTCCTCGGAGTATAGTAAACTGACTATGTGTATAGGACACACGCAAGATTTTCCGCGCGGCCCAGGGAACGGCATTCCGGTCGGTAGAGTATGTGCCAGAACCCGAAATCCGTGTGGAAGACTCTGATAGTTCTGATGAGAACTGAGTTACGTCTTCGGCTGTGGTCAGGTTCAGTATGCAATTACTGGAACTTGGCAAGCATGGCGAAGGCCATCTCTGTCCCGGCATGACAAGTTATGGTGCGATCAACAACCCGCCTCACCAATCTTTCGACATTTTTCGATGTCCATGATGTTGCCTCGTTGACGTCCAGGCTGATCAAAGTGCTGGACCTACACGGACTTACAACCTCAATCTCTTTCCACAAACAGCACGGTCGCTGTTTTCCGGTGCCATGATTCCCAGGTCAATCTGGGTATGGTCATATTCGGCTTCTTGTGCCACCGGGCTCTGCATTCGAGGTTCTTCGGACATAGTTCAACAACACATTAGCTGCCGATGGCCAACTGCTAGACTCGGCAATTAGGTTTGATAGATACTGCGAACTGACTTAATTTGAGGCACAAATGACGATCCTGCTGGGTGACCTATTTATGTCATTGTCATGCTGTAGTTCTTAACCCAGTACGACTGACGAGCTTCCGTGGTCCACACCCGTTGATATAGGCAGCCTCCCGTATTTGCAGATCTCCAAATATATCCCTGCCTTCCCGATGGCGGCCCAGCGCCATGCACGAGAACCCAAGTCGTTCGTTGGATGATGCAGCCTCGTCCTTTCCGATGTGGTAACACCAACTCCCTGTCGTGCTTTGGTACCTTCCGAGCCTCGGAGTAAAGCAGCAGGAATGTCCCCTTTCAAGCGATCTTCGACATGCCATCCGACGCCCGGCTTCTGTGGGCGGCATGTCCTCCCGCACTCGCCCACGTCGTGCCAATCCCGAGCTGTATAATATGGGTCTCATCTGGGAGAACTGCGCTACACATCAGGGGATCACGCGGTGTGGTATAAGTGATACAGGTTGCTGCTTCTCGCTTTCTTTCGTTCTCTGCGCTTGAATAGACATTTGATTCCCATGACCTACGTGTTCGTATATCATGAGAAGTACGGTAGATATGCAAGACGACACGAGCTTTCGACCAGAACCGCATACCACCTGCACGGAACCACCGAGTTCTGCAAAACGAAGTGTAACATCTTTGGAGAGCACCGAGGCCCTGCGCAGCCAGAACCCGGATCTGTATCCAACCTCAGACGTCATGCTGCTCGAACAGGATGACCGGAGCGGGTCGAATACGTCGACCCCAATCCCCTCGTCGAGACCGACTCTTGGTACCGATGGAATCTCACCGGTCTTTCTGGATGAGATACGGAAGGTTATCAGGCAAGAAGGTGAGGACTTGTGTCTACCTGTCCACAGTGCTAGAGCTAATACTATAAAGTCATCGAAGCCACGCAAAGGGGTCAGCCAACCAACATCGCTAGCAAGCTCTCCTATTCTAGCACCTCGGACTCGAATGACTCCTCAACTATTCCGAGTCCGGCCAGTGTTTCTTCAGTTCCCTCTGCCCCGAGTCCGAATGCCGCTACATCAGCGGATGGTGCGCAGCCAGGAGTCCGCGTCAGTGAACGTGAACCGCCTCGGAGTACCCCGATGCGCCCTGCCACATATAGACGATCTAGCTCAAATAGAGAGCCAGTGTCTGAATGGGGCTACCTCTTTGACGGGAATGGCGACTCAACTCATCGTTGGGACGACTTCCTGGGAGCACTGGCCCGCCGTATTGTGATTCCGCCTTCATCTGGACCGCCTGTCAAAGCATGTGCTTACCTACCCATCAATAGATTGACGAGTTTACCCCGAAAGGTAGTCTGGTGATCACACCGGAGAAGCTCGAGACACTGTACACCATGTTCCGCCTTGATTCGGAGAAAATTCCATTCGCAGGTGAGTGTTACGTGCTACATGGAGAGAATATGTCCTGGAACGAGAAAGTGACTCGTGCAACCTCTGCAGACATCTTCAAGCCCGATACGAACGACGACCTTGATCATATTGCCGACTTCTACAGCGACCTGGGCTGTCAGTACCATCTTGTGCAAGCCAATACTCGCGCGAGACCTCGAGTTCCCGCTTTGACGGCAGTCGGCTTTGTCCAGTACTTTACAACTTGCGTCTTCGCCCATCCCGATGAAGAGTCTCGTCGCCTCGACAAGATCGTTGCGGATATTCCCTTGGCGCTTGGTAGTACTGGACCCGATAACAGGACCGAGAAGCTGCCACGACAGTTCTTCCGCAGTCTGCTACCCGTCAAACCCGACCCTACCGGAGCGAAGACGTTGACTGCAGCCATGGACGGTCTTATGCACAGCCTGAGACAATCGGCAATCCGTCAGAACACTTCTTCAGCGTCTGCGCAGCAAGGCTTAGAAAAGGCAAGCACCGTCACGACGTATCGCGCAACCCGACAGCGCCTGGCGCCCGAGGTCCTATACGGCAGTTCCAGTTCAGATCGGTACAAACCCGAACCACCAGAAGCCAAATCCGGTCGTCGGCGGTTCAACCCAAGCGCCCTGCAGACGATCGGTGACGAGGCCGCGATGGAGAACTATCATCACGAGGGACGGCAGGACCGCCACGAGTTCCACCGGAAGCTTTCCCAGAGCGGTGACGCAGAGACCACCAAGACGCCACGGCCTGCTCATGACGAGCAGATGGCCTCGCCGACAACGCGCCCTGGTATGGCAAGTAGAGAACGCTCCAACTCCTACTTCTCGTACTCCACCAACCCGCTGCCGATCCCGGCGCCGCCGGTCGGCAGCGCCGCGACGTCGCCCACAACGACGTCGACGTCGTCGTCGCACCGACGATCTCGCAGCCCGCAACACCAGGGGTATCGGGCGTCGGCACCCGGCGTGCCGTCTTCTTCCGCGACTGCTGGATCTGGATCTGGATACACGCCCTCGAAGTACGCGCCCGCGCCCGAGCATGGGGCTCTGGTGCGTCGAGCATCGGATCATACGTCGAGCGAAGACTATACTCACCCCCCCCCTCCAGCCCCAGCACCGGCCCCGGCCCCGGCTCCCGCTCCGAAAGCGGTCACCTGGACCGAGCCGGTGGGCGTCGTGGCGACGCTGACGACGATCCAGGACTCGGACGCTGGGTTGAGTAGGAGACATGAGCGGCAGCATCATCACCGGCGACGTAGCACGGCGCCGCCTGTGGATGATAGGGGACCTACTTGGGAGGAGGTGCTGAAGTCGCAGAAGGCGGGCGGGGGTGGGAGTGGGAAGCATGGGGGGAATGGGAGTCGGGGGTATAGTTTTGGGCACTGAGTTTGATGTGCGTTTGGGTTTGGTTGGGTGGCTGGAGGGATGGTGATGATGATGATGAACGATAAATTGGCTGAGGATATAGCTTGTCCTACCGCGGGTTATTGTGTGCCTTCTGCGTAAAATGTTTTTCCCCCTTTCCAGAACCTCGACTGGCCACTGCCACTCTGGGGATTTCCTTCACCAGCGGTTACTCAGACTCGCTGGACTGTGGTTGGAGCAGTGTGGTGGTATATTGCGCGGATCCCGCGTGATTCTTGGGGCCCCGGATCCCAGGTTCCAACATCGTTTACTCCACGAATTTGATCTGGGTTTCGCCTCTCTCGCTACGCTTTCTGGCCGGCTTATTCATGGGCTTTGGTTGCGCGGAACTACGCCTTCGATTCGAGCTCCCGAGGGTCAGGGAAGCCCTGGAAAGTACTGACTGACCTGAACCTCAAACTCGAAGTCAATGTGCGAAGCCATCGTCCCGGCTGGTTACGAGCGACCAGCCCAGCCCCTATTCGCCACGGCCGTTCGTTCACAAAGTCGCTTCGAGGCAATAGCAAGCCTGTCAGAACATCCGATGGTTGAAGGTCACAATGGGATCGCGAGGTCCTAGGGATTATGATCAAGGCTCGTATTCACGCCATACCTAGACATCACTCAACTCCACTGACTTGCTTGACCCCCAGACTCACCACTCAGGGGTAATGTTCGTGTCCGGCCTAATGTAGTCATCCAAGTCGAATGAACCAATCCTACCAGCCCTCGCTTTCATACTGCTCCATACTCTTCACAAAACCACCCATGTGAGCGATCAGGACCACGGCGGGTCTGTCGTCGGCGTGCGTATTTTATACTCGCTCTGGCCTATTAGCAAACTAGAGTCAGCAATTACTCCTTTCAGACACTGTAATGAGAAGTAAGGAGCCGAGATGCATGTCTCGGGAGCGTAAAGCTCCTAACACAGGCTAGAATAGTAAAATGGGCACCAAGGTATGGCCATAAGGGGCAATAACATACCGACGTAGGTCCTGTAGTCGTTATTCTTGTTGTGGCCAGCAGCAAAGTGCTGTCCTATCACGTCAGTCCCACCCCACCCACTCGCTGTGACATCTTGGGTTAGCAGGCAAGCTTACGCTCTCTGGCAATCACGTACGTATTGATCAAAAATAGGGGGCGGGGGAGGGTGGCGTCGAGGGACACCAGTAGCCTGGGCAGATGTACCCCGACCTGGAGGTGTTTGCGTGCGTATAAAGAAATAAAAGACGACGAGGCACGTACTGCAGTATTGCAGGATTTGCTCCGTGCCCCAGGCCATCGCTGTACAGTCCTCGGTGATCTCGTAGTCGCGCAGGTTGCACCACGTGATAAAGTGTCCGTTGTACCTCTCATGGCCCCTTCTCGCGCATTGCACTACGGGAAAGCGTTATTTATGGGGTCAGTGTCGCGTCATGACTTGCGTAAAAAGTAAGCAAGCTCGAGAAAAGGCTACTGCCCGGTGGTGTCGTAGATGTCGAACCTCCCGACGACGGCCAGGTAGTTAGTCGCCAGAGATAGGGGCTAAGAAGGAAGGGAAAGGTCTGTTCGGAACCACTGCCTCACTCACCCTGCGAGCACGTGTTCGGCCTCTGCGAGCACTTCACCTTGATTTTCCACTGCCACTTGACTATGCGCCTGATCTCCACTGTATAGGCCTTCCAGGTGTCCCTGCGATCGCGAGAAGGTCGTGTCAGCTCGACGCTCTGTTGCTACCACAGTACCCACGTTGAATCCACGAAGACGGCCAGGGGAACCATTCCAGCTAACCACGACCGTGCCACCTTCCTGCGTGGAAAGCCGGCTGGCTGTCGGGTATCGGACTTACGAGTGACAGGTAACGTATCCAAACGGGCCCTCGATGGGGATCTTCTTCATCGCGAGCGCCGTGGCGTTGGCGTTCGGGTCGCTCATCTGGAAATCAGGGTTGACCTTCTGGGCTTGGGTCTCGACTTCCTGCACTGCAGTAGAGTAAAGGGTCAGTCAGTGAATCCGACATCAGACCCCCCGCGAAAGCTTGGATCTGGCGTGCTACGTACTCGTGCCGTAGAACGAGTACTCCTTGCCCGAGTCGTCGATCTCGCCCGTCCACTTCATCGGCGCATACGAGAAGCCGTTCAGCGCGACCTGCTCCTCGAACGTCAGGCCCTCGCCTCGACCCTGGAGCTCGTCGCCCGGCCCTCGAGCTCGTCGTGCACGGCCGTGGAATCAAAGAGCAGGGGCCCCAGCTCGGTCAGGCTGGGCAGTCGCATGGCGTTGGCGAGTCCGCAAGCGGTGGCCGCGAGGGCTGTGATGCTGGTGCTGGGGATTCTCATCTTCGCGAGTGTGGTGGTTGGTAGCGGGATGTCGAGCGGTACATCAGCAGCCAGAGAGGGTGGATGGGGAGAGGGTTTAAATAGAAATCTGTTACATTATATGGCGTTGGACATGGGCTTGGTTCACTGGCAGACATTTTGTCGCGGGCCCATTCACAGTCAGTCATCGGAACACTCACCACAAGGTACCCCCTCTGCTCACAAGAATGAAGATTTCAGTCATGCAAGCAAAAACGACAGTAGCAGAGGGTGAAAAAGCCCGTCGAGTCATAGCATATCCGATGGGCGGCTACGCATGGCCATGCGTCCCAGTTCCGGGCACTTGACAGCCAAATTCATGTACAAATAGACCATCTCGCAGACAGTAGACCATGACAATAGACCATCGGCCTTCCAACTCACGCCATCCATCTATATCATCAGGCTGGAAACGAGCAAATGCGACTCGATAAGTATTCTGGCATATAGTCACTGAAACGACTGCCGAACCCAGGTTTTGGGAGCGAATCATCATGCCCACCATGTGCTCGGGATGAATCTATACTCACCAGGTAGTAGTAGCAGTTGCCAACAACATGCCCACAGGCCGAATGTAGGGCGGATAGGCTTGGCAATATAGGTAAATGAAACCAGCTACTTGACAGTCAGCTCGGCTCCTTTTGCGAAGATATCCGCACAAAAAACCGACCCCTTCGCCGAAGAGCAACATCGACGATACGAGCCAACCCAAGTCCGGGATAAGGCCGGAATATAGAATGAAAAGGCGGCAAAGAACAGGATGAGCGACATCAACTGCGATAACATATCAGCCAGCGCGCCCCGGCCAAGTCCCTTAGGGGGGAGAGTCGTTGCCGCTCGCCCGCCGCAGGCCTGACACGAGGATCACGACGTCGACGGCCCCAAACCACGATACGAGAGAACCCCGACGCCTAACATACATCGATAGAAGGGGCTGAAGAACGCGACCGTTCAAATCGCCGGCGAAGCGCTACGGTGGGAGGAGCCCGTGACAGGCGGTGACCTATTGGCGGATGGGAGGTTGGAAGCTTCGTGTCAGCTCTTCGGAGCCCCGAAACACCAGACACGACGTTCTAGAAGGAGTGAACGCGTCGCCACGGTACCCTGGCCCTTATGGAGGCTCGACTTGGTTTCAGAAGCCGCTTGTATATACAGGTGGACTGCTTGTCACGTCCTATCGTCCTTTGTGACCACTTGCTAGACTTTAAACACTACAACCAACCAACTAACCAACCCGTCCGAGATCTGCAAGCTACGGCGATACTCGCGGGAAACATCGCCGGGAGTAGGTTCCTCCGCCCGTAGGTGTCGATGGTGGGAAAGGCCTGTATGGCGGAGAGAAAATCGACGATACCACAACCGAGCGACGCGGCCAGGGCGGCCTTCTCCTAGAGACATTGTCGATATTGGATGACTAATATTGCGTGCTGTAGTGACCCATCGCATTCACCCCGCAGAACTGCTCACTGCGGCACATGACGATCTCGGACGCCGTGTGCTAGCGGAAGAAACGGAGACCTAAGAATCCGTCAGCCTGTCGTGCTATGAGACATGAGACAATAAAGGCAGGGATCCATAGGGACCGCTTCAAGGCAGCCTCCAAAAGGCCTCTATCTTGACTGCAGCGGCTGGGCTGCAAGCCGTTGCAGCCATTACATGAAAACGTGGTTACGCAACTACTGAGTTGGTCTGTGATGTCACAAGGGACAGAGAGAAGTGCGAGAAGCGATTCAATTTCACAGACCGGCCTTGTGGTTACAGGCTTCCCCGGGGTATCTACAGCATACCAAACGCCCGCCATGCAAACACCTCCCATCGTACAGTTGATCACTGGAACAAGTATTACTCGAAGCCCCTAAGCGTCATGCGCCAGGAACAGCTTCCGGGTATGCGATACTTGCGTGCTTGACACATAGTACCAACTGCCTTCGATGTGCCTACTTGACAAGCTCACTCGCGGAAAGGCGTTCTTCTTCTTCTCGTTGCAGGAGTAGGAGTAGGAGTATCGTCTGTTCCGAGCTGCTCGGCTTTCTTCTTGGCTCGTCTACGCTTCAGCGTCGACCACTCTTCCTTCCAGACAGCGATACTTGCTCGAAGGTCTGGATCTGCATCCTTAGGTACGTAGCTAAGGGACTGGACCTCGATGGCCTTTAGCTGGATCTGCAGGTTGAGCATATCCATCTCACCTTCGTTCCGCTCACTTTCGCTTTTCAACACCAGTCAGCACCATGGTGGGCACGTAGGAGATATGCAAGACTTACAGTTCCTTGAGTCGTGCCTCCAAGCAGATGATGTGTTGGGCAGCACGCTCTGCGCGTGTGATGAGGAGTCCGTGAATGTGCTGGTGTGAGAAGTTAGCATGTAATCTTATCCAGAGATGCAAGGGCGGAATGATCTTGCTTCGGTCTCTTCCTGGCGGGCGCGTAGGCTTATGATGACTTCCTCCATCCCTTTGCACAAGGTCTGGGCTTCCGCAACAACTTGTTCTGCCCGGGCCTTTGACATGCTGGGCGAATGCGAAGCATCTGTCTCGGTTGGATTACCGTGGTGCCCTCCTCCAGCGTTGACTGACGAGGAAACTTGTGTAGGCGATGACTGATACGAGTCGTCAGACAGCAGCTGACCTAATCTTGGTGATTCCCATGAAACCTCAGGGTCGTGTCTGCTAATTCTGAGATTTAAGCTCTTAGGCTTAGACTTCTTAGACTTTCGTGATTTGAAACTGAGCGGGTAGCCGGGGGTGAGCAGAACGTTCTCCATTTCGTCGACCTTGGCGTGCAGACTGTTGACATTTTGCTCCCGAACATGGTCCTGCTGGCTCAGCTTGGCAGCAAGATCGTTTAGTCGCTGTATGAGAACGTCCTTGCTGTCTTGTGCAAGGTCCTCTTGCTCGGAGAGTTCTGCGTCAGAGCGCAGTGATGAGGATGGTCTGGCAAATGGCGGCGTAAAATGGCGCCGCAGAGGTGAGAATGCAGACATGCCGAGTGATTGAAGACTCATGGATGGGGAGACGGGTGAGGAAAATTGAGAATAGGTGGCGTCTGCATCGTCGTGACGCGGGTGGTGATGGTAGGGCTCTGTTGGAGAGTTTCTGGTGGGTGTTTGTGGAGCTGGGGCATTTTCAGAGCTGGCGGGCTCGGAGGCGGAATCAGTATCGCTCATGTGAGGCAAACGTGAAGGAGCACACAGTGAATTAAGAGAAGAGATCAGTGGATGGGCAAGCTTGGATTGACTGCATTAGGTAGATAGAAACGGATCCTTCATTCAGTATCGGTATCAAATGCTTGCTTGCTTGCTGAGGTATGTAGATAGACGGGAGTTGCCGGATTGGGACGCTGTCTGAAGCTCGCGAGGCGTTGCTGGATGGACAGCTAGGGGGCCGTCGTGAAGTTGCAGCAAGACTGCCAAGGCCCAAGACACCGTACGTGGAGGGGCCACTTTAAGCCGCTGAGCACTGACCAACCCAACTTTCATAAACCCCCCTGAAGCCACTGCTCACATGTAATCCCACCGTCATGTCGTTGATAGCTCAACCTTACTGCAATAAGTATTGCACTGGCCTCGAGCCACGCATAGCCGGCCATTCGAAGCTATTGGGTCGCATTCGCAGGAAAAGACCCCGTGGAAGCTGACTTTAATGTTTGGAGACTGTCACATTCGGAAATCGGAAGGCTTCATCGAGTGACATGCCGCATGGAGTATCCAGTCCAAAGGCTTGCACGCGCGCACTGGGGATTTAAGAACTTCATGTCGTCGTTACGGACGTTGACGGACTCTCGCCGCTCAAAACGGGCAGAAGGATTCAATGTTGGCAACCAAAAGTAATGCCGCATGTAGGTATTTAGGGGCGCATAGGGAATATGGGGGATCTCGTGACTGGAGAGCTAACCTGGAAGAGCTTGGCTGTGGCTGGAAAGATGTGGGGCGGAGTAGTACGGCTGCCCCACTGTCCAGTCTCCTTCCCTAGGTTCCGCCCGTCTGCCCGTCCACTGTCCTGCAAGCCAAAAAGCTCCTCGGCTGTGATGCCCTGGATTCGGCAACAACCTTAGGTTGGAACCAGTCTGCTAGTCAATCACACAGCTTGGGGTTGCGAGCGAACGCTCGAGTCGTCTGGCCGTGGCAGTCAAGGCAGTGTCCCCCGCGAACAAACGAGCGCATCTCCAAAACCCCAGTTGCCCAGTCCTGCAGCTCTAAGGAACTAGTTCCGGGGCACTCACTTAGTAACCCACGCCCAGTCCATGGACATTCTTTATTAGCTTCGACCAAGTCGTTCGGATAGTCATCCATTGTGACTCGTCCACCCTCAATGTGAAGACTACCAAGTACTTACCTACTTATCAGTTGATTTGTTTCCGACCTCGTGCTTCCGCCGTTCATGTTTCATCGTCCATTTTCGATCCTGGCAGCCACCTGCACTCACCTCGGTACTTACAATTACCCCAAGCTACGCTCGTCAGGCGTCATTGCTTTTACCGCGGGGTCCCAAAACACCCTGAGATTCCCGAGGTCGCTGGTCGCTGGTCCATCAGCATTGAGCATTGACTCTACAGCGCGAATTCCTATAGGTACTCCCATGGCCTCCGACATCACTTGCGCCTGAGATTGCAAAGGTCTTCAGGATCAACCTCAACGTTATCGATTCTACCCTTGCTGGCCAGCAATCCTTGCCCAACATGTCGTGGAAGGCTTCCGAGAGGTTGATGGACACCATCCGCCATTATGCCAATTTCCCAGCTACCGGTGTGAGCTTGCGGCAGATGGTCCAGTTCGGCGAGAGGCCTTCTGTCGGTATGCTACCATGCTCGTTGCTATACACGCCGCGTTAGACAATTAGTTCGATCGCTAACTTGAAGCTCTCTCCTCTCCAGGAACCTTGTTTCGTGCCTCGCAATTCCTCGCCGAAGAGCTCCCTATTCGCCTTGCCCACCGAGTTCAGGAGCTCACGAACCTGCCAGATGGACTCAACGAGATGCCCTCAGTCAAGAAAGTCCAGGACTGGTATGCGCAGTCGTTCGAGGTGCGCAGCTGAGACCGCCCGTCATGGTTTGCATGACTCAACTCATCTGACATGTGACAACAGGAGATCACTACCCTACCACGTCCCGACCTCGGAAAGGAAGTACGAGAACGGTTGCTGCACACGGGAAGGTTCCAACATAATGGCAGAGGGTCAATACTGTCCGAAGCCACACCGAACCCAAGCATCCGCGAAGGCCAATATGCGTCGTCGCCCTACGCCCAGTCGGGCGCCAACAGCGGGAAGAAACAACAAGCAGCAGCTAGGAGATATTTCGCAATGGTCGATGACACGGGCCATTGGCCGCCTGACCTGCAGGCTTACAACTCGAGATTTGCCCAGACTTTAAACAAAATAAAGAGGAGGCATGATGGCGTTGTCACCACCATGGCGCAAGGCATCCTGGAGTACAAGAGGAGACGGCAACGGATGCAGATCGATAATAACATCCAGTCGTTCCTGGATCGTTTCTACATGTCACGCATCGGGATACGCATGCTTATCGGGCAGCACATTGCTCTGACCGACCAGAACCACCACCGAGACCCGACCTATGTTGGTATTATCTGTACCAAGACGAATGTCCGAGACCTCGCCGAGGAGGCCATCGAGAATGCCCGGTTTGTTTGCGAGGATCACTACGGCCTGTTCGAAGCACCCAAGATCCAACTCGTCTGCAACCCGAACCTCAACTTTATGTATGTTCCGGGCCATCTGTCGCATATGCTCTTCGAGACTTTGAAGAACTCGCTACGCGCTGTGGTCGAGACTCACGGCCAGGACAAGCAAGATTTCCCGGTGACCAAAGTTATTGTTGCCGAGGGGAGAGAAGATATTACCATCAAGATATCTGATGAGGGCGGCGGCATTCCACGGAGCGCTATACCACTTGTTTGGACGTATATGTATACCACAGTGGATCGGACACCCAACCTCGACCCGGACTTCGACAAGAGCGATTTCAAGGCACCGATGGCTGGGTTTGGCTACGGCTTGCCCATATCGAGGTTGTATGCTCGATACTTTGGTGGTGATTTGAAGCTCATCAGCATGGAAGGGTAAGCAGAGATGTCTCCCTACCCCGTCGACGTACTATACTAATCAGTTCTTCAAAACAGGTACGGGACCGATGTTTATCTACATCTTAACCGTCTATCAAGCTCTTCGGAACCTTTGCAATAGCAATTAGCAGTCATGAGGGACTGGACATCGTCCCGAGGATTGGCGATGCCTAAGAGAATGATGCAGAAGCGGCTTAAGGAACTCGAGGTGTCAGAGCGTAAACAGGTCGGCGACGCCGAATCCATGATGGTCCAGGAGAGCGGAAGGTTTACCCGTGATCAGAGCGGTGGTGAACTGTGAGCACTTCTGCGAACTGTAGCCACTCCACTCTGATCATGGATAGGGGTAGACCAACAGGGGAGGAGGTAAGGATCGCCAATTAGGGAGTCTCTTGTAAGAAGCCCTACTGGGACATGGATTAGCGGGATATGGGAGAGGTTGACTTTTTGGTGTGGTCTTCCCAATCTAGGAGGTAGACTTTTGGCGCAAGACGGGGGGGCCCCAGGGGTACTCATCATTGGTACAAAACATAATCAACGATGGGCTTCCTTATGAACAACAATATTGTATGTTGTTATGTTTGTACTGCTGGTGCCAAAAAGCAACCTGTTGAGTCAAATATCTTTGCACTGAGCCAGGCAGTCAGTCAAGCCAGACCTATGTATGTGTGTTCCCCCCGCCAACCCAATATCTGGCCCTAATACAATTATATACGCCGACGATGCTTAGGAACTCCCCATCGCCTGGTAATGAATGGACTTTGTACAGCGCTTGCCGCCGTCTCATACAGCAATGTCACCCAATCTGCGTGCACCCTTCTGCTGCCAAACGCTACCAAACCCCTCCATACCTTCGCTCTCCCAAACCCCCGAGCAATAACACATGACAAAGCCAACGTAGGATCCTTTACATCAGACCCGATCCTACACAACTCTCCTCTGATCCCTTCCACCCCCCTACGCCTTATACAACAAATCCAAGAACCCATTCGCCAAATCGACCACGACGGCCTTATTCGGCAGCGAGCCCGCAACACCATAAAGCGCCGCCGTATCGCCCGACGCCTTACCCTTTGGGCCACGGCCCTCGACGGCGCGGACGCGTTCCTTCTCCCTCTCGGCCTCGACGACGTGCTCGAGGTCCGCAACCAGACGCTCCCAGACTTTGGTGATCGGCATGGTGACGGCGACGTGCATGGCGGGCGGGTTCTGCAGCGCGTTGAGGTGCCACCCTTTATGGGACATGCCGTCGGCCAGGTCGTAGATGTCGAGGTTGCGCGCCGTGAAGGCCACCACGGAAACTAGAGGGCGGCCGACGAGGTCGAGCTCCGCGGCTAGGACCGGGGATGAAGTGACGCTCTCGGCGATCTTCTTGGCGCACCCGACGATCTTCACGCAGGCGTCGACGTAGCCGGCCTCGCCGACGCGCATCATGCTGGCCCAGGCCCCCGCGATGAGGGCCCCCGGGCGCGAGCCCGCGATCCCGGGCGAGGCGTACACGCCGCCCGACCAGTCGGGCGACACGAAGTACTGGTACGTGCGCAGCTGCTGCGTGCGATACAGTACCGTGCTGTTGCCCTTAGGTGCGAATCCGTACTTGTGCGTATCGCAGCTTATAGACGTGACGCCCTTCAACCTAAAGTCAAAAAGCTCCGTCTCGAACCCGGCCCGCTCGAGGAAGGGCACCAGGAACGAGCCCAGGCAGCAGTCGACGTGGAGCGGTAACTTGCGGCGCAGCGCGAGTTTGGAGAGTGCGGATATGTCGTCTATAATGCCGTGCGGGAAGTTGGGCGCCGAACCGACAAGGAGGATTGTGTTGGCGTTTATCAGCCGCGATACGCGGTGCACGTCGACCTGGTGCGAGGGCGCTGGGCACGGCACTAGGTGCACTTTGATCTTGAAGTAGTCGCCGGCCTTGCGGAAGGCTGTGTGCGCGGTCTCGGGCAGGATCCTGTGTCTTTCTGTCAGCAAGGCGAGTGTGACGACTGGTTGGCTGAAGAACCATGTCTGTCAAAACCTACATCTCGGGTTCTGTGACGCCGCGCTCCACGTACGCCTTCTGCCTCGCGCTGTAGCACGCCATCAGGATGCTCTCGGTGCCTCCACTGGTCGACACGCCGGCCGCGGTCGAGGGCGCATGGAACAGCGACAGCACCATGGCCACGACCTCGGCCTCCATCTTGCGCACGCCGGGGAACACGTCCGGATGGATCGGGTTCGCGACTGTGAACTTGCCATAGGCCTCCGTCTGCAGCTTCAGCAAACCATCTTCCCCATGATACACGGCGCCAGACACGAAGCCGTCCTCCCAGCGCGTGTGGTCCATGGCGGCCAGGGCCTCGAGCTCCGTGCGCAGGGCCTCGTCGGTCCAGCCCTCTTTTGGTAGTGCTAGGTACCGCGAGCCGCCGGCGGGGATCATCTTGGCCTGGACTTTTGCCAGCGACTCATTGACTTGTTTGCGCACCTGCGAGCGCACGCCCGGCGCCCGCAGGAAGTAGCCGTATAGTATGCGGCGCGTGTCGGTGTAGAGCTCGGCGATGGTGCCGAGGAGCCCGCGGCCCTTGAGCTTCCAGAAGGTCCGGCGGACGAGGCGGAGCACGAAGAGGAAGAAGACGATGTTGCGGAGCCTGTTGTGTCGTGGAAGAGGGGGGTGGTTAGCTATCAGTCTCCCTAGGGGTTTACCAAGAAACGCTCGACTGATTGCTGAGGATGGGCACGACTTACAAGTCGAGGTTGATGACCTGCCACGGGTTGCTCGGCCGTGATCGCTTGACGCTATTCAAGCTCTCCCGTAGGCTGATTGGCATTCGCGAGGAGCCCGGCATGATGATTGCTTTGCGAATAGTAAGTAGCAACAGCAATTGGCGTATACGGCAAGCTGCTCGTCTCACAAAAGCAGTCGTAAATCCAACGTCTGAAGACTCCAGGTCTCGAGGCTCACATCAAGGAGCTTCGGCGGTTGCTTATTTCGCAACGCCGAGACAGAGACGTTTTTGAATGGGGAACGGCCCCGCAGCAGCTTCGAAGCCGGGCGGTTGTTCGTCACATGCCGAAATCGTACCTTATTCATGACTAATTGTAATCAACAGGGGAACAGGGGAACAGGGGGTAGGTTGCAATGAAGCTGGCGAATGCCATTTTATCTGATCCGAGGTCCCTCGTCACTGGTTGCAGTCTGTTTACTCATACTGCCAGACCCAAAGCAGCTATGTTCATGATGACAGAAAATAACTGGCGTATGTCTAGACAAATCAACGCAGGTTCTTCAGATTATCGTTAGAAGGTAGAGCACCTCGTTGTGTTGTGTAGTTGTAGTTATATGAAGGCATGTAGTCGTCGGATGGTGGCCAACGCCCTAGGTAGCGTTGAAGTCCGAGGCATGGCCGTCCCCAATCGACCCTCCAGCCTCGACAGACAGAATGCAGTAAAATGTCAGAAATTATGACAAGGCAGCAAGCACTCAAACACCAGAAAATGCCCGACTCCATCAGACCCAGCCATGGGCCGAAGTAGGTATGCCGCACGTCTATCATTAACCCCCCGGATCCGTAAAACGCCCCTTTCCATTAAAACGTCCGGGTTTGTTCCCCGTCATATCACGTTGGCGTCGTCGGAAAACGCCAGTGGTGGCCGCTGAGTAATCTCGAAAACGCTCGGCTCAGGCTTTAGAGAACGAGGTTCGCCACTGTTGCGAGAACCGCTCCGACACCCTGGCACAACTCTTGTCTCCCGTCCCGGAGCAATGGGGGAACAAAACCGCGATATCTCCATCCTTGTATTGTTCGCCGTGCGCATCCCCTGCATAGGCGTTGATTGTCCGTTGAGGCACGATCGCTAGTTTCGAGAGGATCGTGGGATGCCATTGCACGATGTGTTCCTGATATGGTCAGCAAGAAACCTTCCCCTGGAGGCTCGATATGGAGACGGAAAGAGAGTATGGGACATACCAGAGCATGCGCCTCGGCTTTTTGGAAATTGTAGCTTCGATACAACGGGTCGAACCAAGTGTCGAGAAAGAACTTGGCCCATTCACCATTCCTGATGACGAAGCTGCCCGCTGCTAGACCTTCCTTGTCTTGTGTCAAAACGAGCTCCACGTCGCCACCCTTCAGATTTGCAAAGGTCTTGATGATACTGTCTGGCGGGACGACGGGGAAGTCCTTGATCATCGTATCTTCGAGCTTGGTCGAGCCCATCACAAAGTCCTCCACCTTTAGGTACGGGTTCATTATAAATGCATTCTGGTCCAGATACCAGAGGTACTTGCAGTCGGGGTATTTCGTTATCGCGTGTCTCATCGCCACCACTTTCGACCACGACGCTGGCGAGCCCTTGAGGTCATAGTCGCTGGCACTCGTGAGCAAGGTACCGTATCCTGCGTAACTGTAATCAGCAAGTATTCCAGTATCCCCAGAGACACCCTCGCCTTACCGTGTTTCTCGGCATACCGTGACCGATTCTCCCTGATGCTCTTGATGTATGGACTATTGTCGTATTTGCCGTCGAACACCGTGACAACCACAACCGCCGGCTTCCCAGATATCACACGGCCCCCCTTGTGTTTCGAGCCGCCCGAGAACAGCCATATTAACCCCAATACTGCCAGTGCCAACGCGGCAAACGGCTTTAGGTGTCTCCTCCGTATCTTCAGCCACCGTGTGGAGCGAGGTAGGTAAGGTGGTGGGTTCGAGTTCTTCCGCGCAGGGTATGCGAAGTGCATTGCAGCTGTTCGCGGGCTCGTGGCCCAGCTGGATCCCGCGTCGCAAGCAGCCTGTTACTGTCGGTTTATGCGCGGTCGCTGAAGGGTCGGAACGCCCAGGGCCGCAGGTCCACAGCCAGGTCACCCTTGCTTCGAAGTCGAAATCGCAGTGACCCAGGTGCGCGAGGACTCTCAGTAACAGTGTAGTAGCAAAGACAGCGGTCGACAAATTGCGGTTGACAATCGCTGGATAGGCAATCCTGAGCAGTACGTATCTCGGGAGGGCCCGACGGTGTGGTCTTGGGAAGGAGTGTCGTGGCAGAACTTAGGGAGGGATGATAGACTCGCGACGGCGGTAGGTTTATTAGGTACGTGTGGCTAACGGTGGCACCAAAAGATAGCTTTGTCAAAGTGTCCACGGTCAGGAGTGAGTCTGGGCGCTCCAATCATTGCTGAAGACAATGAACAGTTTCGGCTTGAGCATCACTACAATGGTCAACACGAGAAACTATCGTATCTCTGCATCCCATTGAATCGCAGGTTAGCTTCTATCTACGGCAGGTCGTCTTCGAATTACGCGCAGGTTGAGGGCGGGACCCTTTAATTTCTGGACCCACCACGTTACGGGAGAGTATCACATTATGCGAGTATAAATACATCATAGAACGATGATATATTCTACTACCCGAAGTATACCGACCAGAATGCCAACGCTGTCGCAAGACACTGCAGGTGCTCAGGCCAGCTTGTGTAAGTCATCCTAGTATTAAAGTACTACCCACATCTGCAATAAAGAGCACACGGCTCTCGAAACCAAACCAAGACAGTTGAATGATATCACAATGTGAAATCTGAACAGACTGAAGTTTATTTCGTTCTCTATTGACTCCTGACCTAGTGCTGGGAAGCAGCAGTAAGTCTAGCCATGCATGTATCGAACTCTCCCAAGCCATGCCTTCATAGGGGAGGCCAAGAACGGCGAAGGGTAGCTGGATCTGTCAAATCAACCCATAAGAGCTGTTGACGGCGGGCAGCATGTCCGATGCCCCTGAACTTCTGTATGTGAGCAAAGACAAGACGCCTAGGCTCGACAGCTTGTACCAGGGGATCAATCTTTGCACACAGACTAGTTGACAAGATGTGGAAGAGTAGCTTCGAGGCAACTTAAGAGTGTGCAAACGTATCGTTACATTGCAAATGGCAAAGCGTGCGCATCTGACAAAGCATTCGCATCTGCGGGCTAGACAGAAGCCACTCCTCAGTGGTTCGTGTCTTCATTCCCATTCGCATCATCATCATTTACACCGCCATCCTCGTCATCACTGTCATCGCCAGTGTCTTCTTGGACATTGAGGATTCTCTGGCTTGCCCTGTCTAGGGTACGCTCAGTCCACTTGCGGGTACCTTTCCACACCGTCTGAGAGAAGCGTGTCAGCGTATTGTTTCGGAGCCGAAGACTGTGCACTTACATAGAGGAACGTGAGGACGCCGATGAGGACAAGGGTCAAGTTGATGTTCTCCATCCTGTCGCGTCCCGTGCCTCCACGGCGGCCGGTTCCACCACCTACGATACCGGTTGTTCGCAGATTCCACCATTGCCAGGGGCTCATCGCAAGGAATGCTTTGGCAAACCCAAGCAAGCCCAGAGAAAAGACACCCTTCAGGAGATGCTCGAACCAGCCGTCATCCTCATCATAGAAGCTGTTATCTATGTCCTTGCCACTGCCAGAGACCTTGTCCGTGATGGTCCCGACGGGATCAAGCCAAAGGCCAAGGATCGGATCGGCTACGAAGCCAAGGAGGAAGACTGTAGCGACGAGAATGAGCATGGTGATACCCAGAGACAGCAGTGGGCTGCGAAGACGTTGGGCCCATGTGAGACGGTCCATCCTGTATTCGTAGTGGCAGCGACTGCATTTGTAAGCATTGGGGTTCTCGTTCATCCACAGCTTCAGGCAGCCTTCGTGGACGTATTTGACGGATCCTTTACAGCGGCAAGGGTTGCAGAGGCGATCGCCATCCTCAGAGATGTAGTGTCTTCTGCGGCGTCTGTTCCGCATGCTGCCGATCATGCCGGGCTCTTCCCAGGTGGGCTCAACCTCATCACGGCAGATCCAGCACATCCGGACATATTTCTTGGGGTCTTCTTCAGGTCTCGCTTCTTGTTGGGGCGGCTCGGAAGGATGGGTCTGGTCGTTCCCACTGGCGGTTGCGGTGGAAGGCTCAGGGTCGGGCGCGGGGTCTTCAGGCATGTCGGCGGGCCAGTCCCATGTTTCTGATGTTGTGGCCATACTCGAGGGATCTGTGTTTGGTGAAAGGTGAGAAGTTCTCGAGGCAGTGTGCAGTGTGCAGTGTGCGGAGTGCAGGAGACAGCACTGCGTCACCGCGCGTAAAGGATAGATTTCTAGGTTGAGAGGGGGGATGACGAGCTGACAAACAGTGTCAGAGAGGTCCAGTCATGTGTCGAAACTTCTCACCATTGGCGACATGCTAGACGCGATGACTGAGGAGTCTGGTATCGCAGACCATTACCCCCAAAGAACACGTTGACGGATCAAAGGAGTCAGGCGTTAGCATCAAAGACTCGGCAGAGTCTGGGCTGCTGAAAGTGAAAGAGCTTCAAGGTTTCTCGGAAAGTCTCCGGTGGTGGAAATAGCACCTCGTCCAGGTGGCGTGCTTAGGTAAGCTCCTCGCAGCAAGCCTTGGCGGGCAAAATTGGCAGATTGGGTGGTTCATCCGACTCAGAGGATAATCAGGTCGGAAGATGCGTACGGGTGTGACCAGGTACTTCCAATTACCTACTAGGTAGAGAGTTCAACATGAAGTTTGCGAAGTCTTGATGAAAAGGGAAGGAAATACTCCTACGTTTTGCTCAAAGGCAGAGAAATGGTCTTCAAGGCCACTTTAAGCTGTGAAGATAACAATTGCACGATTGTCCCCGCTGAATGACCAGCGGTGACTGCAAAATATTATGTCTGCTGGTGGATACGGCCTTCCGGAGCTAAGGTACGAAGGTACATGGACCTAGGTAACGCGCAGTCGTCGCGATTGCCTGGTAGGTCGGTCCAGGTAGCTGAAGCAATCCGAGCTCCACCCAGAGCTTCCCTCCAACAACCACTGCACCCTGCCTCGATATTGAATCTTGCGATACCACGACGGAAAAGAAAGAAAGAAAGATAGGAAGTAAGAAGCCATGGCAGACCGCTACTCGTTCTCTTTGACGACATTCTCGCCCAGGTAAGTCCACCGCACTCCGTCCGTTGGTGTCGAAGCAACCAAGCTAACCAGATGACAGCGGAAAGCTGGTCCAGATCGGTATGTTGACTTCCCTACGACTTGCATGGACTCGCCGGCTAACGAGTGAATGAAGAGTATGCTCTGAACGCAGTCAACCAGGGTGTTACCGCCCTCGGCATCAAGGGTAGGCATCTCTTCCGCACGCTACCATACACATGCGCTGACTCCGAATAGCCACCAACGGCATCGTGCTAGCGACCGAGAAGAAGTCGTCATCACCTCTCTCCGACCCGTCCTCGCTGTCCAAGATCAGCCACGTCACCCCCAACATCGGCATGGTTTACGCAGGAATGGGCCCCGATTACAGAGTACTGGTCGACAAGGCGCGAAAGGTCTCCCACACCGGCTACAAGCGAGTCTACAACGAGTACCCTCCGACCCGAATCCTGGTGCAAGATGTCGCACGAGTGATGCAGGAGGCTACACAGTCTGGAGGTGTCCGACCCTATGGTGTCAGTCTTCTGATTGCTGGCTGGGATGAGGGCATCATGCCGGACGAGGAGGCTGCGGCCGAGGGCGAGATCGAGGCTGAGGGCGAGAAGAAGCCCTCGGGCAAGACCGGCGGTATTCTCAAGGGCGGGCCTATGCTTTACCAAGTCGACCCCTCCGGAGCCTACTACCCCTGGAAAGCTACTGCTATCGGCAAGAGCGCCACGACGGCAAAGACATTCCTGGAGAAGAGATACACCGAGGGTCTAGAGCTAGAAGACGCTGTGCACATTGCATTGCTGACGTTGAAGGAGACCATTGAAGGCGAGATGAATGGCGAGACGATCGAGATCGGTAAGTCCTCTCGCGGGCAGCGTTCCATACAATTGCTAACATTTGGAAAGGTATCGTTGGCGCACCAGCGGATCATCTTCTCGGCGTCGAGGGCGTCCATGGAGCAACAGGACCGCGGTTCAGAAAGCTGACTCCTCAAGAGATCGAGGATTACCTGACGAATCTGTGATCATTGGCGTTACTGGGTTTCGCAAGACTACACGTGTACCATAGAGCAGCATAGAGAGGGTCGGGCAAGGCAGTTCTTTCCAGGGCCAAGCAAGTTATCCTTCTGTCAGTATGAACGAGCTTCGCTGTCCTGCTCTGACAGCCACTACAGGATGTCCCTCTTCCTGAATTGCCGATAATTTCATCCATGTAGTCGCCTTGTCTATAGGCAGCCCTAGCTGACCGTTCGTATTGTCACCAATGAGGTATGCATCACCGTTTGTAGTGAGCACGATAACATGTGACTCGCCAACGGAACAGTCTAATATGTCGCATTCCTCGACGACGATGGGCATTGGGCTCTCCGACAAGCCTTCCACGATAGCCCGGCGGCCTGGATGACCACCCCACGCGTAGAGATCATTCCCTTCCGTCAGCGCGAGAACGATGTAGCCAGCGGCGGCAATTCTTGTGATCTTGCCTGATGGCAGGCCTTCGAGTTCCTCCACGACCCCTGGCGTTTCTGCTGGACTGTTGACTGTCAGCAGGTTGTTTGCTCAGAGGCCTTTAGGAAGTACAGTGCTTGCGCGTACCTTGAATGTGTTTCCCTTCCGAGGCAGGCGGCATACCGCTCATCACCCCAAGTCCACACACGGCCGTCCTCAGTCAAGGCTACGAACCCTGTTTCGTACGCTTCCAACTGGACGATTACTCCTAGCCCAGTAAATACCCGGGCCTCACTCCCATGGGTCAACGAAAATGGTGATGGCTGCTGGTGAATGGTCTTCTCGGTCGTATGATACTCTAGGGCCCTACATCAGTTACATCCCGTACATGAGCTGTGCTCGTATGACTTACCTGCGACGATGCCGTTCCCTGCTCTAGCTGCTAGTGATGACAGTAGCTTGTCCTCGAGCCTAGACGATCGGATGGCTTCGTCAGGAAAGCCTGCATGCTGTATTCCGGCGTCCGTTCGGACTGTTCCAGTTCAGCTCTCGATAAACAGAAGCCACACGGCTGACCTTACCAAGAGTCCATGACATTGAGGACCATGGACGGCCTATAGAACTGCCCGACAGAACTAGCTGGAACGAGGCGAAATCGTCTGGCTCGTTCGTTTCCTTGTTCGCTTTGAACTCTAGCTGCCGCCAGCCGTTAAAGCCAGAAGCATAAAGCTTCATTGTTGTTGAATTATGGCGCTGCTTCTCCAGGTTGGCTTTGGTGAATGCCTGATACAGAGTGAGGTAGAGTGGAAGGTGCGTGTACTGTGCGAACTTATTCTCACACGTTTTTGCACTGTTAACTCCCACCACCAATCTTGATCCAATGGCTCCCTTCAAAACTGTTCACCTCACCACCGTGCACCGTATATCATGTCGGAATGATTGCACGATTGCCATTCGCCTTTTGTTCTTTCGGAAAGCAAGTTGCCTTTTCTGTTTTTGTCATACAGGAAACTCCTCTTCTCAGCTTCTCATTTTTGCAGCATCGCCTCTCGTACCAGCAGTCTGCCTGCAGCCTTGCCTCGACTACGCAACGAACCAAGTCGGGACTCACCAGCTACTCATGGCAGCCTACGGACCATCTTCAACTTACCCAACCTCCTTTTTCTCTGTTATATAGTGCTGCTTATACATGACTGGGAGCCCACCAGCTTCAACTCGCTAGCACGTCCCGAAGTCTGCTTGGGAACCCTTCGATGGGCCATTACTTGAAGCTTTTGCTTTAGGAGTCATATTGTCTGAACACCATGGACGAGGAGGCGTCTTTGTCGGAAAGCTCAAGCTCCGAGGAGCTGACTCCAAGCCCGGATCGTACATTTGTTTCTCCTCGAAGCCACGATGACTCGCCCACCTCTTCAACCATCGAGCTCACCCCTCGAGCTGCGGAGCCTCCTGCAGATAGCCAAGTCGACGGTCAGGTCGTCATCAACGCTCGTGCGTACCAGCTCGAGATGTTTGAAGAGAGTCTGAAGCAAAATATCATCGTTACTGTGAGTCCGGTCTGCTAGCTGCTCGTGTTTTCATATCTGACCTCCCATCGTAGATGGATACAGGTAGTGGGAAAACACAAGTGTAAGTTAAAGTCCCGAGCCACCCCCTGCAGAAGCTATGGCGACTTCTATCTGGGCTTCATTCCCCTAGCTCGAAGCCCTCTTCTTCTACAGCCATGAAATTGACCAATATATAGTGCTGTACTGCGCATCCAAGCCGAGCTTGAGTCATCATCAAACAAAGTGATTCCAGTCCATCTGCATCTTTGCGACTTATACTGACGTCGAGGAGATCGTATGGTTTCTAGCCCCGACTGTCGCTCTCTGCGAACAACAGCTACGGGTTCTCCAATCCCAGATACCAGCTGCTCAGATGAAGTCTCTTAGCGGTAAGGATGGCGTTGACACCTGGTCGGAAACCAGAATATGGGACGACTACTTGAAGAACGTTCATATAGTTGTATCCACCTATCAAATCCTGCTCGATGCTGTTTCACACGCATTCGTACGACTAGATCAGCTTTCACTCATAGTCTTCGATGAAGGTTCGCACCCCCCACCCCCTTGCCTGGACACCGCAGTTGACGTACTCAGCACACAACTGTACCGGAAAATCTCCAGGAAGCAAGATTATGGAGCATTACCGCATAAACCAGGCGGCTGGCCTTCCATGCCCGTGGATCCTGGGCCTCACGGCAAGTCCGATTATGAGATCAAGACTTGAGGCTATTGAGCAGATCGAGCGGACCCTAGATGCTGTCTGCAAAAGCCCAAATATCCACCGAGCACAGTTGATGTCCGCGGTGAAACGCCCAACCATGTCATGTATTAGTTATACATTCCCGGAGACGGACCCGCTTACCAACAGTATGAAGAGTCTAATAGGCGTACTGCACAGCTTAGACATCTTCAAAGATCCTACCATACTACGTTTGAAGACTCGAAACGACGAGCGTAGTCAGGTTGCTCTCGAAACACACCTGATGAGGAGAGATACGTATGTCTCGAAGCAGATGCAGTCCCTGTGCCGCAAAAGCGTGGAGATTCGGAAGGAGCTTGGATCATGGGCGGCAGACTACTTCATCAATATTGCTGTGAACCAATTCCTACATTCAGTCAGCCAGAACGACTTGTGGTTCGACACCTGGCAGACCGAGGAGAAACAGTACCTCGCACAATACCTGAAGAAGGTCGAGAGAATTTCACCTCAGCCACTCGAGGAGCACATATCGGACATGTCTAGCAAGCTCACGGCTCTCATACAAAAACTCTCATCGGCAACGAAAGACACTGTTGGAATCATCTTCGTTCGCGAAACAGTTACTGTCGCCATATTGACGCAGATGCTATCGGGCCTTCAGACCATAAGGAGTCGCTTCAGGATCGGTTCTATGGTTGGCACCAGCAACTACGGTGCACGCAAGCGAGACCTCGGCGAACTCAACCGAGACAATAGCTTCCTAGATCTGGAAGATTTTCGGGCAGGTAGACTCAATCTTCTGATAGCCACGAGCGTACTCGAAGAGGGTATTGACGTGCCGGCTTGTAACTTGGTCATATGTTTTGACAAGCCAGCCAACTTGAAGTCATTCATTCAGAGACGAGGACGAGCCAGGATGCAAGATTCGAGGCTTGTATTGCTCTTGGAAGGAGCATCAACCCAACAAGACGAGTGGATCGCCCTGGAGAACGAGATGAAGAAGCGATACGAAGATGACATGAGGCAGGTCCAGAAACTTGCGGAGATTGAGGAATCCGACTCGTCTCCGGACATCAGACCCCTATATATACCACAGACGAACGCACGCCTCGACTTTGACCAAGCTAAGTCTCACCTAGAGCACTTCTGCAATGTGGTTGCATCGCGCCGCTACGACTCTCAGCCGTATTATCGCATACAACATATGGCGGCCTCTGAGGACGGCCTCCGGCAAATCAGAGCGACGGTTGTCCTCCCTGGGTTCTTACCCCCTACTCTCCGTCGGATAGACAGCAGTGGGGTGTGGCATTCAGAGAAGAACGCCTGCAAGGATGCTGCTTTCCAAGCATACAAGAGACTTCACGAAGAGGGATTTGTCAACGACAATCTGATGCCGCTTAATCGCGAGATAATGGAAGGAATTGAGCCTCGAAACTCCAAAGAGGAAGTCAATGGGCTTTGGGATCCATGGCAGCCAATCGCCCACGCTTGGGGGAAACCTAAGGAGTTGATACAGCGACCGCTACTCTTGAAGGACAAAGAGCAAAGAGTTATATGCGAGTACTACGCAACATTACCATGCCACTTTCCGAAACCTCCTCCCTTCAACGTCTTCTGGGATGCGACAGAAACTTGGACAGTTGAATTCAGGGAGGCCATCGTCGTATCGGAAGAAGACCTCAAAGCCGACCAGAGCACAGCTTTGCTTGATCTAGCTTATCGCCATCGCCGCCGCCCCTTGAAAGACGTTCAGCATGTTCTACATATCGAATCATCTGATCAGATCCCATACCAGCAACTCGTTGGTCAACACAGTATCGAAAAGGACTTACTTGGCACTAATGCCCTGGTACGGAACCGTGGAGCACCTTTTCTCTTCAACGCATGGATGCCTTCCAAGCCTCTTGACTCAGCGCTACATGTTTCAAGTATGGTACGCGATGAGCCAGCCGATGTGCCTTGGTTACACCTCAAGAAATGGCCAAGACGGGAAGACTTTCTCCATCCCGTGCACTCTAATCCCTCAACGGCAACAGTGTCCAAGCGAAGACACGTCCTATGGCCAGCGCATCATTGCCGCTTGGACGGCGTTGGCGTGTCCAAAGTGCGCTTCGGAGCTCTTATTCCGTCGATCGTGCACATGATAGAGATAAATCTCATAGCGCATGAGCTCTGTAATACCGTACTGAGAGACGTAGGCTTCTCCGATATCTCATTGGTCGTCACAGCCCTTAGCTCACGCGCAGCTTCCGAGTCGACGGATTACGAGAGGCTGGAGTTCCTCGGGGACTCGATCCTGAAGTCGTTGGCAACAGCATGTGTGACAGCCGAATGTAAGTCCCGGTACCCCGGTGTACAGTCGGGATGCTAACATTGGTAAGATCCCGATGACCCTGAAGGATATTTGTCTGCAAAGAAAGATCGAATCGTATCGAACGGGAGGCTATGTGAGTCTTGCAAAGACACGGGTTTAGACAAGTTTATTCTCACCAAGGCGTTCACTGGTGCGAAATGGGGGCCTCGGTACGTCGAAGACATTGTTCAGATCGGTTCGAACGCAACAAACAAGAGGATGATGTCAACGAAGACGCTAGCAGACGTTGTCGAATCCCTGATAGGCGCGGCGTTCGTGGATGGTGGAATGCCTAAAGCTCTGGCGTGCTTGCGAATATTCATCCCGGACGTCAATTGGCACAGTCTAAATGATGCCTGTATCATCCTGTACAACCAGAAGCAGATGAGTTCACAGCTTCCGTCGATCCTTTCTCCCCTGGAAGAGCTGCTCGGGTATAAATTCCGCAACAAGGCGTTGCTGCTCGAGGCTGTGACGCATTTCTCGTTCGACCTCAGCACCTCAACAGATTTTTCCATGGAGCGGTTAGAGTTTTTGGGTGACGCAATCCTCGACAGCATCGCCGTAGCTTCTCTTTGGTCTCACGAACGAGAGTTCTCCAACCGGGAGATGCATCTGCTCCGAACCGCTGCGGTCAACGCCGACATCCTTGGCTTCCTGGTGATGGAATGGACAATCACACAGGAGGCAACGACCATCACAGAAGATAGAACCACCATCACCTCCCAGACGAAATTGCCTTTGTGGAAGTTTATGCGGCATACACGCCCCGAGGTCGCTACCATACAGCGAGATGCGGAAGAGAGGCACAAGGCCGAGAGAGAGGCGGTTCTCCACGCCTTGAAGCACGGAATCGAGTACCCTTGGGCGCAGCTAGCTCACCTTCACATCCCCAAGTTCTTCTCCGACATGTTCGAGAGCCTGCTGGGCGCAGTGTGGGTGGATTCCGGCTCTATGGAGACCTGCACAGAGATGGTCAACCGGGCCGGCATCCTGCCTTGCCTACAGAGGTTCCTGAGGGACGGCGTCGATGTCGTGCACCCGAAGAACAAGCTAGGAGAACTGGCGGCTAGGGGCCGCAAGAAGGTCAGGTACGAAGTTGATGTCCGGGACTCTGACGGTGCTGCTAAGGAGCTGTGCTGTAAGGTGTTTGTGGGCGAGGAGCTCGTGGTCGAGGTTGGGGCTGGTGTTACCCCCGAGGAGGTTGTGACGAAGGCTGCGGATGAGGCTTACAAGCTTCTCCGGGCCTCGGGGGCGGCTTCTGATGAAGTTATGATGGAATGATGGAATGACGAAGTGACGAAATGGTGGGATGGTGGAATGGTGGAATGATGAATCTATGGATCCATGCGATGACTTGATTTGAGGAGTTTCTATTAGTCTGTCAGCGTCGATCATGACCTGAATTTTACGACCCCTTGAAAATCATCAGCAAAGACACACTGAGAGTCTGGAAGTCTTCCATATACCCCTTGTTCAGCAAGCGAGGAATATGCAAGTTTCGAATGAAATAAGCACTCTGGAATAAGCATTGAAGATGACTTTCTAGACCAACGCTGCTTATCCCAGGGTGTTTATTCCTCTAGAGGCTCATCTTTAACGCAACTGTCGCCAAGGTCGACACTATCGATGCCCATCTCCAGTCCGCATTAATATGAATATAGCACTGTCATTCACCACTTGATAGAGGGGCGCCAAACGGAGACCTACGGGGTGACTTTAGCATCGGAAGTAACTAGCAAATCACAGCACAAAATTCAAGTCGAAGAAGTGGGCAGAAAAGCCTGGTGATTCTCTACTAACATATATATCGTCAATTTGCTAGATTTAGCCTTCATCATTCGTGATATCAAGCAAACCGTAGAAACCCAGTGAATGTGGTAGACCTAGTAGTTGTCATCCGTGCAAACCGTTGAACACATTTCAACGGCAATGTCGGTTTGAGAAAGAAAGAGAACTAGAACCCTGCACATATTCTTTCTGAAAGAAAGGTGCGTGCAATGGATGCCTCACTCACAAGTCCTCACTCCTTCACTCATCGTCAGAGTCAATGAGATCGATGATCTCCTGTCCAGCTGCAGTCTTCGACTTCTTGTGGGGTCGCGGACGCCAGAGCGGAGCTGAGAGGTCAACCTGCTCGTCCATCTCGTCGAGTTGTCGCTTTGTGAGAATCTCTTGCTTTGTCATGGTGCGGTTTCTGCCAGAGGCGTTGTTGTTGACAGACGGGGTCTGAGTTGGGAGAGGGGCAGGAGCTGGGTTGAAACGCTCAAAAGACGGGAGAGATGGTTGGGCCGGAGCTGCAGCAGGTTGCTGGCCATCGAGAATATTGAACATTCGTTGCGAGAAACGTTCAAACTCCTGGCGGAACACCTCTACGGGAATGTTGCCGGCCTGGTCGCCGAGAACTTGGTCCGTGTCGTTCATGAGCTGTTGCGGGGTGGCGGACTGGTTTTCTCCCACGAAGATAAGAACGTCATCCTGATCGTCCTGGGCAGGCTTGACTTTTTCTTCCTTAACCATGGGTCTGACGTCCTCGTTGTCGTCATCATTATCGATGACCATGACTTCAGGGATGTCAAGATCCATGGGTTCACCGTCCAAGTTTTGGTCGGCTGCTGCAACAGGCTCGTTTGCGGCGACAAAAAGCTCGTCCTCGGCGACAGGCAGCTCCTCCTCAGCGACAGCAGGCTTGTCTTCGGCGACAGCAGGCTTGTTTTCGTCAATAGGCGCATCCTTGGCGATAGGGACTGCATGTCCATACTGCATACTTAGAAGTATATGTGCCGCCTCAATATCTTCCGCCGCATGAATGCCAGAGGCCTGCTCATCATGTGCAGGTTGGAATGCCGGACTGGGTTCCTTGCTGAGTTCGCTGTGAACATTGCCTTCTTCATCAATGAAGAAGACACGAGGCTCGGGGCATTGCTGGCATTGGTCCTCAAGATCTTCCTCTTGAGGGTCTTTGTCTTCTTTGTCTTTGGCAGGAGTCTGGTGGTTTATCGCGTCCTGAACTGGTGCATTGGGCTCTTGCTCGATGGTAGGTTCGGGTTGCTTGTTCTCCTGCTCGATGGCAGGCTCGCGTCGCAAGGAACGCTCGAAAGATGGGAGAGTGCGTGCCTTAGCCTTGCCTTTGTTCATGGCACGGGTTCCATAGACAATCGGATCCCGATCGGTCTCATCTTCGTCGTCAATGACGATGGCTTGGTTCTTGGAATGACGTTGCGCACCCACGGCAGGCTGTCCCTTGGGAACAACCTTCTCCTCCTTATCAAGGACGATTGTCTCCCCAAAGCCTCTGGAGATCATTGCCTCAGGGGCCTGATGTATTTGAGGTTTCTCTTCGTGACCCTCGTCTTCGCCGTCAATGACTATTGTCTGTCCAATGTCACGGCTAATGGTGGCATCCGCCGCGAGACCTTCAGACTTCAGGGGGACATCGTCAATGTCGTCGCCCTCCTCGAGGTTGTCAATCCTAGTAAGGGTTTTCTCTCTTGGTTGCCGCTGTTCTCGCTTGACGGGGAGGATCTCAGGAAAGGAACTTTCTTCTCTCTGGAAGAAGCCTTCAGGCGGCGGGGCTTGGCGTTTATGCGTAACCTGGGATTCTTCCTTGATCTTGAGGAGTCTGTCCTGGAGTACCTGCGCTGCTCTCTCTTTGGCAGCATCTCTCGCGGAAATCTCGTCCTTGACCGCCTTCAGTCGCTCTTCAAGTTCATCATTATCTGCAGACCCTGAAGCTGCTTGCTGTAGTTCCGTTAGGTTATGATCTTGCCAGCAATGACAATGTTGAAACATACCTTGCTGCGGTTGAGTTGCCTGTGCGCAAGACCGTCTATCTCCTCCCGAGATAGACCAGGCAACCCTCTGGATTGTCCACGGCTGTGACTGGGGCGAGGGCTCACGCCCTCTTGTATGAGAGCCTCTGCGAAGGAAGTCAGTGACAAGGAGACTTGCTTGTTGGTACAGTGGGTGGACAAACCTCGCGATCGATAATTGAACTGGAAGACGGCAATGGGTCCGTGATCCTCCTCAATGTTATCACACTTCACGTATGATGGCTTGAGCGTTGGTGTAGTATTGGCGTAGCTGTTGGTTCGCGTAAGTGCAAGTCCAGGTTCGGGGGAGGGTGTGGTGCTGGTTGGTATTGGTAGTGATACTTACCTAGTGCCATGCGAGAGAGCCATACCCTTCATGGACTCAGTCGAGACCGCGACCTCCTTATCTTCGTTGCCCGAAGGAGGAGGCATGATCTCTCTGCCATCAGTTTCTACTGTTCGGTAGAAGAGGACTTCAATGGAGCCTAGCTGCTTGGCAAGTAGGGCGTCTTCGTCAATCTGATCTTCGGCTGCATTCTCGACTTCACACGACTGTGAGCTAGAAGAACACAAGGTAAACATTGGACCTGACTTACTGTGCTTGATCGTCGTAAACTCGAAGGTCTGAGAGACGTATCCCGTCTGGGCGAGGGGATTCTTGATGATTCGATGAGAGATATCACGCTCCCAGGGCCTCGTGTGAGTGTTATGCGAGCGACAAAGCTCTCCCTTGACCCACTTGCCGTCGATCAGAACAGCAATGTTAAGACTGTGATTTTTGTGTCTCCAGTCATAGTCGCTGGTAACCTTAAGGCGGATGACAAAGCCTTCCTTGTCTTTGGCTTCAATGAACTTGGATATTCTCTTGATCGCGTCTCCGATAGCGCCGAGAACGCCGCGCTTTCCACCAGCAGGGTCAGAGTACTCGTGAACTACAAGTTCTCCAACGGCGATGGTGACCTCGACACCGGGAAAGCCAGGGATGATAGCCATGTAGTTACTGGACGGAAGCGCAAAGTATGTTGGGAACCCGTGTGTTGCTAATGGCTACTGTCGTAGGTGAGTACTTGGTGGCGAGGGGACTTTGAGGTCGCAGCGTTGGTGAGTAAAAACGGAGTGTGAGGTGGATGGTTGGATGCAGAAACCTGGTGGTCGCCTGAGGAAGCTAGATCTCCTGACAAAGCTTGGAGTGCGGATGGTCCAAGGTTCGATCCAATATTGAAGGAGCAAGATGCGGCCAATGCAAGGACTGCAAGGATGCAAAATGCGTGATTGCAACGATGTAGGAAGGCGTGGACCAAGCGACTGAGTGCGACAGGTATCTGAGTGGTTGATGTGAAGGGGAGGTAAGTTGGAGATGGCCGGCCTGACTGAGTGCGACAGGTATCTAAATGGTTGGTGTGAAGGAGAAGTGGGTTGGAGATGGTCGACGTAAGGAAGTTGTGGTTCTCGATCCGATATTGAAGGAGCAAGATGCAACCAATGCAAGGACTGCGCGGATGCAAGATGCAACAATGCAACAATGTATCAAGATGTGGACTGAGTGACTGGGTGCGACGGGTCTTTGAGTGGTTGACATGAAGCAGAAGGGTGTTGGAGATGGCCCGAGCGAGGCAGTTGTGATTTCCTGTTTGCAAAAAGTCCTGCTATCTGCACCTCGTCAAGATTCCTTATTTGCACCTTGTCTTCTAGCCACACCTACAACCACTTGCAACCAGTTACAACCCCTTATCGTGCAGCCTCCCTTATCGTGCAGCCCCCTATACACCAATCCTTGGATGCTAGGCTGCCAGGCTCAATAGCCATCACGATCAGCTTTTATATAAAAATGACATTCAGTTCCAGATCATCATGCCCGTCACAGCTGGATTCCCCGAACTAGATAGCCGTCACGGTCGGGTTTTAGGTAATAATGCCATACAATATCGGATTATTATGTCCCTCGCAACTAGATGGCGATTAATTGGGGTTAGTTTGGCAGCTTCCCAGCGTAAATGGCCACCATGATCAGGTTTCATATAGAGATGCCATTCAATTCCAGACCACTATGTCCCCTACAGCTAACTGAATTAAATAGCTGTCGGTTACATTTGGTAAAATGACTATTAGTTGCGTTTAATTGTAAAAAGCTTCCCAGGGTAGATAGTCACTACGATTGGATTTCGTATGAGGATGCCATACACTTTCAGATCATCATATCCCTAGCAGCTGGGCTGGCTGGAGCCTGGCTGGCTGGCTGGCTGGTTGGTGGTGAGCTTGGTGACTGCCAGCTGACTAGCAGGTGGCGCAGGAAGACAAGGTGCAAATAAGGAATTCTAACAAGGTGCAAATAGCAGGACTCTTTGCAAAATGCAAGATGTAACGATGTAGAAGACGTGGACTGATTGACCGAGTGCGACAGGTCTTTTAGTGGTTGACGTGAAGCAGAAGGATATTGGAGATGGCTGAGTGCGACAGGCCTTTGAGTGGCCGACTTTGACGTGAAGGCGATGTGTGTTGGAGATAGCCGGCGTGAGGAAGTTGTGCTTTCCTGATGGCGGGGAGGAAAGGTGGCGGGTGTTGTGGGTTGGAAGAGACAACACTTGATATGAATGGGCGGGGAAGTGTCAGTGGCAGGAAACATGAATGGGTCGCAAGGTGTCAATGGCAGGTAATGTGCATGGGCGGCGCAATATCAATGGCAGAATTATGAATGGCATCGAAATGTTGGATAGTGGGAAGAAAGCTCCGGAATGTTAGTGTCGAGGAGATGTAAAGGAGTTGAAGTCGAGAGATCAACGAGGTGCTCCGCCAAGATGATGATTAAATGTAGCAGGTACTGGAAATGATAATTCAGAAGCTGTAGAAATGGAACGCACCTGTTAGAGAGCCCAATGAGTAGCTTGATAGCACTTCTGACGGGACTCCGGCTGCACTGGAAAAGTTGGGCTTGGAGGAAGGAACATGAGGGGTGGGCGGGGGGGAGTTGGAGCAAACTCGATCCCTAGCGAATGTTCTGCTGCCCTTCAGAGCAGGGGATTCCACTGGCTCAAATAAAAAGCATTTACTTCTGCACAGTGTTCCGAGGTCCAAGCTTGCATGCCTCAGACGCTGGGATTTAGCTCTGGCAGGACTTCAATGCTGATATCTAGATTCGCGACCTGGACCATGTATGCAGTTTCGTGTTCGTGAGCCTCCGACTTTGACTGATCGTATGCATCTGTATTGCAAAACACTATATCCTCAAAGCGTCTCGACATAGACCGCTATTGACGTATTACGTGTTGAAGTACTCTAAATATGGAGGAACTATCTGCTGGCTTTGATTTCTATGAGATGTAAGATCTGGAATGAAGATGCCGCCAGGCACATGATCTGCAGGCCAAAGTTCAGAGTCATCGAGGGAGATGTCGTGGTTGCCGCACATCTAGTCTACTATATTAAATGACTAAGTGCACATGTCCACGCTCTCTTGACTACCATATCGTAGTATACTCTCTTCCTGAATCTATTCCTCTTGATGATTTCTTTTCCGAGGTGTGCTAGGACTGTGGGTCGTTACCATCATCTTGTGCCAGGCTGCTTTGAGTCCGTGGTTGACCGTATCGTACCAGTTGAATATCAGACTCAGTAGAAGACTGGGACAAAACACGGGTTTTCATCATGCCAATCCTGCACGTGTCAGTGCCACATTTGCCTCATCGGAAAGCTATAGGTAAATATTAGACCAAGCAAAAAGGACAAGATGAAAGCTCGCACGATTTTCAAATGACACCCCATTGCTACGAGATGTGCCGTTCGGCGCCCTCGTAACTCCATTCGCGGAAATGATAAGACAAGAGAAGGCTCATGAAACTTCGGACATCAGTCTGCTGAGATCAAGCAGGCAGCATACACTTGATAACATCGTGGGAAATCTACAGTACCGTATATCTGCGTAACTGAATTCGTCATTTAAGGGAATCGGCTCGAATGGTGGTTGAATACTTCGTGGTGAAGGAGGACGGTAGCGACAGGGCTTTGAGAAGTTGCGAGTTGTAGCCCCTATTTACCCCTGAAGCTGCTGATTGGCAGGTTGGTTGGGTCATGTGGAGACTTTCCGACCTTTGGGGGTTGAGACGCACTGACCACGCTGGCTGAACGTTGACATTGGTGCCAAGCCTTCAATGATCCCTACCTCACCCCTGCCTGCCGCCTGCCTCTAGCCGATCGATGTGCACGCAGCATTCGCGACTCTCTGTTGCTTGGATAGAATAGACGGTAGCTTCTTGCCATCTTCCTCCATTGAGCAGTCCCTACTGAACAGTTTTACAAAAGCATCAATGTTTTGCCGACGGTCTTGACGAAAGCACAGCTTGTCCCGCAATCGAGACTCGACCATTCCGAACCCGAACGACTGCCCCCGGCCCCATCCGATTGTCGACGTACAAAGAGAGTCGACCTGCAAGCCTGCTCAGCTCAAATCGACTCGGTAGCGCAACGGGAAGCCTACGTTGGCGGGACTGGTGAACGTACAACCATGTGGCTGCGCTCATGAGCTCTCTCCTTCTACTGAAGGAGTGTCATCATGCCGCCCGAAGGAGGCTTAAGCAATATCCGGGTCTTCATCAAATGGGATGATCAGACCGTGTTCTCGGGCGAGGAGATACGATGTCAAATCACATTCAAGAACGTGGCCACCAGCTCCAATCAGACAAGCTCCTCCTCGATTCAACATCAACATCAACTTCCAGGATCGCCCCGTACGGAACGGCCGAGGCAGCCATCGCCACTGCTGAGCCCTCGAGGCAAGCCGAACACTGGACTGACACCCCCCTCGTCAGGAAGGGGTCATCGCTCTACCTTATCGCTGAATGTGCCCGCTGGCAGCTCGCGCTTGAGAGGCAGTGCACAACAATGGACTCCTCCACAACCGCCGCCCTTGTCGCAACGACCAGGCCATGCGCACAAGCGATCACTCTCCATAGTGTCGATAGGCTCAAACGCGACTGTCGAAGACCAATTGCTGAACAAGGGGAGCCCGGCTAGGAGCCAAAGGCCTACCCGTGGGCATGGGAGGTCTGCGAGTCTCCAGATAGCTCCAAGAGGCGGCGTGATTAATGGACCACAATCAGCATCTTTACCGCGGCGCCAGGCTTTTGGCTCGGAAAACTCGCCTGTCTTCAACCACTCATTTCCTCCGCCAAGGCAAGGCTCTTCGACCGCCCCGAACACACCCGGCTTTAAGAGAGTCCATTTATCAAGAAAGAGTTCAGGAGGGATACCGGATTTCAAGTTTCCAATGGCCCAATCACCATTGTCCGAAACTACGCAGTTTGATGAGTCCGTAATGTCTCCCATGTCTGACGCTACAGAGACTGTCACTCTGCCTATACGCCCAAGAGGTTCAATACCGACCATCACGGAGCATTCAGCACCTGTGGCTCGAATATTATCTACCTCAAGCATTGCTGGTGGCACTCCTAGGAGCAGTGGTGAGTTCTACTCGCTTAGCAATCATTCGTCCGAAACCCTGGCCTCAGAATACGTCACGCACCCATTGCAGAGCGGGCGACGGCCGGCCCACATACGGCGAGGCTCTGCCATGTCCGGCATCAATCAGGCGAGACTCCCAGAATCTTTGATGATGGGTTATGCCCAAGTTCAGGGCTCTTTCACCCTGGACGGGTCGCTCATCAACCTTGGCCCTTTCGAAGCAGTGAAGCGAAAAGCTGTCCTTGGCGGACAGGGAGGTGGTGTCATTGGGGTTGATACGGCCAAGAGAACTAGTGGGCTCTTGACTGGCTTTGGCTGGGGAAGCCTCAGTAGCTCCATTGGGGAACTGCTTGGTGGTGGCGAGCTCAGCAGCATCAAAGACATGCGCGGCGTCGCCGGCTCCAAGTCCATCCCTCTCCTGTCTACGCCGCAGTCGATATTGTTCGTGGACCTGCAACTAGCCCCAGGCGAGAGCAAAACCTACGAGTACTCATTCAAACTACCAAAGGGCTTGCCCCCAACACATCGAGGCAAAGCTATGAAAATATCCTACAGTCTAGTGATTGGCACCCAGAGAGCTGGTGGAACCAAGGAGCAGCAGGTACGGTCGGTCGACGTCCCGTTTCGCGTCCTGGGAAGTGTGAACAGCCATGGCGAGATCCTCGGCCATGACTTACTGTCACCCTATATCATCCTTCGAGACCTAGCTAAAGTCCAGGTATACGACAAAGGGGCAAGTGTTGCTGCTTTCAAGAGAGGGCACAAACCCGATCACCCGGGTTCCACGATAAATGGCTTTTTGATGTATGTCGAGGAACTGCTGGATCGTCCTCGAAACGGAGTCGGTCTCCTTTCTCCGACTGCTACAGCTCCGCCTTCACGTCGGTCGTCTTCTTATGAAGAGGCTGCCTCTGCTAAGGAGGCCATCGATTTGGCCATTATGCGCTCCAACCTCTCCTCCGAATCCGGACAGAGCAGCAATCGCTTCGAGATCGCTCGCAACGGTCAGCGCGTCGGTGTGGTCATGCTGGCTCGTCCAGCTTACCGGCTGGGCGAAGCAGTCAGTATGGCCATAGATTTTACAGGAGCCGAGATTCCATGCTACGCCGTGCACGCAGCGCTCGAGACAAGCGAGCGCGTCGAGGCAACTTTTGCCCTCAGGAGCGAGGCTAGCGTCCACAGAGTTACCCGTAAGGTGTACGGCAGCTCCAGCGAAGCTACGCTGTTCGCTCGGCGGGTTGTGTTCAATCCTACGATCCCTATCAATGCGACGCCGGAGTTTGTCACGAGCGGGCTGAGTCTGGAATGGAAGATCCGCGTCGAGTTCGTGGTCCCCTCGTCGGTCAATGAAGACTCAGACATCGCATCGCTGCAAGGGGCCGAACCGCACCCACTATTAGAGGAGATATCCCGAGACGAACGCGGTGGGCTTGTGCTTGTCGCGGCCGAGAACCTCGAGTGTGAGAGCTTCGAGGTCGCTGTACCGTTACGAGTCTATGGTGCCGTGTGCAACGGACTAGAGCGCCTGGAGAGGGACGAGGCGTTGGAGGAAGGCCTTGTAGTATAAAGCGCAAAGGGAACTCCGTCCCCTGGTAAGTATGTATATTTTGGATCACAAGGAAGCGTTACAGAATGGAGGCATGGCCGAGGCGATGGCAACAGCGTTCTGACTTAGTAGTTGTAAAATGCTGGTTTCGGTATGCAGGATAGAGAAGCTATCCAGGTATATACGATACGGAGATCAAATGGAATCGAATCCGTTCAAAGCCACTCGGGCGTTCGGCAATGATGCATATTGATAGACTTGTACTTGAGATCAGAGGTCAAGTCGCGGATCCTCATCTAGTCGGCGATCTTAGTTCCTAGCGCTAACAACGACCATTTCGACATTCGGGCAGCAACCAATTTCCGCCAGTCCCGTTGCCCAGCGGCAAATGCGCCCCAAGAATGTGGGAGAGCAGTCTAGTGACGGAGACGATCCGGGTAGATCGATTGCCGTCGTGCATGCGGACGATCTCGACGGGGTTTTCAGCCTCGGCGTGGTTGCTGGGGAGCCACTCACATCACGCGCACCCTCCCTCGTGACGTCGAGGATATTACTTCGTGTGTTCCGGCTGACCAACCTGCACCAGCATTGGAACGTTTGGTCGTTCGAAATGTGACGCTACGCTTATGTATCTCGTCTAGGTATGTAAGCCAGTTTCCTACAATCACGCGATTTCAACAGTCTTGGAATTGGTTATCACCTCATCAACAACATGGCACATACAAACCGTGAGATGAGCTCTGGACCACCGCCACTCGACGATTTGCAGCAATCGCGGTATTACTATGCGACTTTGACTATTTCGCCCGACTCTGAGGATAAGATGCAGACCGTGAAGATCAAAGAGGGACCGGCATACGTGCTGCAGTGGACGGACCGGGAGGTCTCTAGGGATTACCTCAATAGCGCCGGGGAGCTGCGATACAAACTTCAGACGGCAACTGGGGCGGAACGACAGTTGTTCGTGATGCATGGCCTGCCGGTCGACTATCTCGAGGTGCTGGGGGATATGCTGGATATTGATCACTACTTCATCGAGGCCCATATTCGCAGACGGAACTACAGACCTCTGATCAATCCCCGCCGAGACAGGGCAGCCTCTTTCGCACATTTCGATTATCCGGAGCTGGTGCAGACCACTGGGGTACAGGCCGAAGAATTAGACGGCACGTCGCATTCGGACGACGTCGTGACGGATCCTCCCAGATACATGCTCTCGGATGCTGTTGAGAGTGCGGAGTTCTGTCGTGCTTCGCTGTGGCTGGGCCAGAAGGCAACCGGTATGTCAAGTCGACCACATCGTCCCGTCTGGCATCTGACCTGAATTAGTACTGTTCTTGGATCGTCCGTCTTGGGACATTTCATCCTCAGGGCTCTGCAAGGCGCAATACTGCACAGGGCTGAGCACGACTGTCCCAGAAGAAATGGACATATCTAGAACTGCCGCTGTGAGGGAGACACCGAATCTAGAGACCCTACTCCACGACAACCTCGTACAGAACTGTGCAGGTCCCGGCGTCATAGCACAGCTGCTGGAAGATATCGCTGTGCGCCAGTGGCTCGAATTCTTCGAAGCCACGTCCGCGTCTATCCCAGCAGACTCGGGCGAGGCCACAGCCCTCTTGTACTTGCAGACACAGAACTGCCTAGAGCGCAACCTCGCTGCCTCGAACTTCAGAAACCGATCGCGCGGACCCGGAGTTTCGACATCTGAATGGGAAACACTGCTAACCCGCGCGTCCCGCAGGGCGCAACTACTAAGCCACCTGATTCCTCCCATCGCCAGCATCCAGATCCCACCACCCGTACCCCAACCCAAGATCAAGACATCAAGAAAACCCGCGAATCCCGATGCAGACTCTTCCACGGACGACAAGAAGTCGGATTCCGAAAATACACGCAGTCTCGACCGCGTCTCCTACATGGGCGGCGTCCTGCTCCCGCTGTCCATCGTGTCCGGCATCCTCTCCATGGGCGACGACTACGGGCCCGGCGGGCCCGAGTTTTGGATCTTCTGGGCCGTCGCCGTCCCGCTGACGCTCGTCACGCTGCTGGTCATCTACGCGGACTCGATCCGCAAGGCCGAGGTGTGGATCATCGAGGACGCTACTGGTTCCGGCCCCGGCTCTGAGGTCGAAAACGAGATTGTGAATGAGAAGCCGTCGACGCCGCGGCTGGAGGCGGCTATGCCGATGAGCTATAGTGCGACAGTGCCTCCTGTTAGTAACCGCTTCGCTACGTATTCGCTTCGGCCGGAGGATACACACGGGGACGAGGACAAGGACGAGGATGGGGGCGGCGAGCAAGCGACGGTGGTGCAGAAGATGTGGCCTGCGGCGAAGGACGGGAGGTGGTGCAAGAAGGAGCTAGGGTGGATGGGCGCGTGCGCTACGGTGTTTCGCGTCTATAAGCTTAAGAAGGGTGTGCTGCCTCCAGGTGCGAGGCGTTCGAGGACTGCTTAGGGTTAGGGGGTGAATGGGTCTTATGGAGTTGACTGAGTTGGAATGGGTTTTGGGAGGAGTTGTTGGCCTGAGCTACTGGAGGCGCGGTTTGACGATCCCCTGTGAATAAGCATTGGTGGTTTTTCTATTTGTATGTTATTACCAAGAGAGATGGGTGTCTATAGTAGTATATTTGCTATCAATGAGCCATTCTAACCCTTGACTTTCAACTGCCTTGCCCAGTAGGAGATGGCCGTCGCCGTGAATACCCCTTGAGCGTACCCAAGACAGTGCTCTATTCACTTCGAACTACTTCTCTGGCGACACGAGGGTCGTCCTGCCTATGTCTCATGGTATAGGACAGGTGCTTAACCAGACGTTCCCAGGCCATCTTCCCCAAGCCCAGAACATCCGCTGCATAACCTGCTATATTCAAGTGCGTGATCATTATGCCCGTCAGCATCGATACAGAGCCGGTCGACTCCTATTAAACTTGTAGGTGGTTGATCACTCTATACCGGAATACCAGCTGGAGCTATCGGTCGTGGCTGTCGGTCTCATCGACTACATCAAAACCAGTCGTGCGGCTTTCACCACTGCGTCTGGGGGGACCATCTTGATAAGGAACCTCGTGAGTTTCGTCAGCTCATAGGCACGAGAGGATACTGGCAGGGTAGGTACTCGTCTTTGAGACGTTGGTATGCTCAATGGTCTAGGTACCCGTGCATAAAGCCCGTGGCCACAGGTCTGTAACGGCGGAGGCCCCCCGAATGGGACAGCCCCCCCAATGGGACAGTTCCCCCACCAAAATCGCAATATTGCAACCCTTATAACTTAGCCGAGAATAATCGCACGATATATCCGTTTAAACGAGAATATTCGTATTTTTTTCTAAATCTGTAAAGCAAAGCTGCTCATAGTAACTTATGTATATAACAAAAGTTATAATAAAATGAAGTTTTACCCTTACTAAATTTTTGCGGCAAGGCTGCGGCAAGGCTGGTTTTCCAGACCTTTTAGTGGGAGCAAGGCATGCTTTAAGTTCATAGTACCGCTATTTAATCAATACGAAAGCGGTACTTAATAGCCTACATATCACGAAAACACCAAGGAAAGGGGATTCCAGCGTAATATTTACAATATTTACAGCTCCATTAGTCATGGAGATATGTAAAAGTGAACATGGTGATATTTAGTGTGGGAACTGTCCCATTGGGGGGGTTGTCCCATTTGGGGGCCCCCGCCGTTACCGTAGCAGTCGCTTCGATAATCCACAAGACGGCATTGTCTCTCTCTCCTTCAGCTGGCTACTTGACAGTCAAAGATGCAGTCGACATCGAAGACTGACGATCGTCATTCACTCCAGTAATCTAAAGTCCTCCGACAAGTGGAGGTAAAGGGGGCACGTATGGTCTCCTGACATGAATAAGGGGGAGCTCCCCAGCAGCCACAATAGGGGGGGCGGGGCACCACTGCCCTTACCTCAGTTCATCAGCAGGATGGATTGTAACGACATATGGCCAGCCACCACCGAAATCCACGGACAAGCCATAATCAGCCACATCCCAGTTGGCTGACCCAGGTCGCCTGTACTGAGATAACACGTGATCTCGATAACACTGCACTTCATCATGCATCACCGCGGGCAGCCAACCACGAAAATACCTTAGCGAAGACTAACTGCGCCAATTTCACCAGGGTATCATGAGACGGCGCTGTATCAAGTCGTTCAACAAGGCTGGCTCGCTTGCAGAGATATTGCGGTCGCGAGTCGAGTGGCAAAGAGCTGTGATGTCTCAAATCAGATGTTTTTATAATGGAAGTGCAGCTTACCACGAAGGTAACAGCATCAAACTATAAAGCGAGCGACAGCCACGAAGGCGATATGAACGAAGCGAAGGCGACATGAACCAAGCGAATGTTACGAGTATATTCCAAGCTCCCAGTCCCCCATGTTTTCATCCCCCTGGACCTCTCTCTCTTTACCGCATCTCCTTCAGAAGGCAACCACAAGCCATCATTCTTGTCATCCCGCCAGAAGGTGGGCCACCGTGAAACGGCAAAAGGGGCAGCCACAACCCATACCAGTCAGGTACGCCTGCGTGCCCTTGCCGGCGAGGCCATGGACGTCTTAAGAGCTGCAGGTGATGTCGTTCTCGCTGGTGCAGGCGCAGTGCGTGCCAGCGTCGCAGTGTCGGTCAAGGGCCCACTTGCCATTGACACAGTGCAACTGTGATGAATGTGTTAGCAAGTGAATGGCCTCTCGCTGCAGACAAAGGAAGCATGGAACGAGATGTTGAGAGGTGGATGATGAACTTACGATAGAGCGGGGGTTGACCCTGCCGCAGATGTGAGGTGCGTTGCCACCCGCACCGACGTTGCAGCTATCGCCCTGGTCGGCCTTACGGCTACAGATGTCAATGCCGCGCTTGAAGACGGTGTCCTCGGCGGAAAGGGGCCCGGCCATGGCGGACAAGGGCATGAGGGCGGCGAGAAGGCCGGCGATCTTGATGAACTGCATGGCGATGGTGGGGTGTTGCTGTTGCTGTTTGGCTTGGGCGTTGGAGGTGAGCTGGGTAAATAGATGGTGGATGAAAGTCTTGTGCGATGATGAGCGAGAGAAAAGAAGTCGAGAGGGTAGGGTGAGGATGGCCCCTTTATACACCACGGTCGGCAGTCCTAGCCAGTCCTAGGCCGTCGAGCATCGTGATGTACTAAAGTCACAGAGGCGAGAAGGACTCTTGCTTGCCTCCTGATCGCCGGCTCAGGTCGGCGACCAATACTTGTCTGATTGTACCAGACTGCTCGCGCATCGGATCGTCGGTCTTTGGCGTTATGGATTCAATGCTCCAAGGCTGAGCTCTGCAAGGCTGAACTTGAGGAAAAACATGATGTTATCAATGCGGTCAGCAGCTGGGCAGCCTTTAGCGTAGAGGACACAATCCTCCAAGCCTTGGGAATAACATCATGTTACCTGTCAGCACTATTTTAGCCGGTCAGGTGGCTGCAACTGAGAGGGGATGAAAGGGGTCAAAGGGGTCCTTGGATGTACGGAGATAAAATGAGCCTTGGATGCCAGATCAAAGGATATGCCTGACCTTGTCTCCAGAGTGTGTATTTAGTGGTAGATGCCAGCCCCTGACCTATGGGTTGATCTATCCATACAACCCACCATCACCCCCACATACATCTGTCCCTGACTTTCCACATAAGCCATGTAACACGGGCAGTCTCTGGCAGCCAGAATACAAATACTTGAAGCCCCAGGACTAGTTAGCATTATGGGGCTCATGTAGCAGACCGGAAGGCTTTGGTCTAGGACGAGATCTTTCGGGGATAATCATCTTGCAGTCCTTTGGGTTTTATGGTGGCTGTTCTTCCAACGTTTACTGATGCTGGATGTGGTGGACATCTTACCACAGTGGTAAGATGTCCACCACATCTAGGCTGCCCTATGTACCCTAGGGAGAGCTGGGTCCTGCCATCAATGAATCAATGATACTCGTAAAAATGCTGGGCAACGTACCTGCGATCCGAACAAGACTGAATCTTTTCTGGCCGCCATACCAGCATTTCGAGAGAGTAGGGCTCAACATATGTGTATGGTGACATGATGGGTTACTGCTTTACCAGAGAAAAGTCTTTTGTTCATACCGACGAGGTCTAACAGATCTGGACCCCTGGCTTATTAGAACTGTCGTATGACATGAAGCTGCCGCAACCTTATCAATGTCTAAAACATGGGGCAGTGAGCAGCTGAAGTTCTATGTAGTACGCCTCAAAGTAGGGGTTAGTAAGCAGCTGCAGCTATGTGTACATATGATATGATCGAATTCCAGGCGAAGCGAGGTGCATTCTGTCAATTAAACCAATCAAGATGCTAAGAACGTCGTTGTCAACTTGTCGTTACCTAATAATTCCCTGTAACACGACGTTCTAGAACGCCTCATCATATTCAAGACGTCACGGCAAGCAGCCGCGGGTGGAGGGCGGATAGCAATGAGACCAAAGAGCGAAAACATCGCAACGGTCTCGTCACCGTCTTCTTCGTCGGTCCCGGGAAAAGGGGACAGTCCTAGGTCGTCTATGTCCTAATACCATACCGGAACTTGCAGGTCTTAGTAAACTGTCGCTCAACCATTCCATAGGTTTCCAATCTCAAAGTGAGCTTCCGCGGATCAAAATCATAGTCGGTAGGTATTTTCGACGTTTAGATTGGTTTCAACTGTCAAGTGAACATCCGTAGACTGTCGATTAATCGTGGTTTCTCAATTTGAATATGTGTTGATGTTAGGAAGTACGAACCATTAAGCGACGGTTGGATCCGCCAACTCCTGGTATGGTAAGCGAGGATTGGGAGAAGGCGTCAGCCACGTGTCAATCGTGGCGCTCGAGGGAACGCGTCTTACATGGGGTACAACAACCTTGCATGTGAGATACCCGACTGTCAACCTTGCAAATGGGATCCACAACGGTTACCTATCTACCAGGTACTTTTTGATCCCAACCCACCTGCATCTCTTTGCTGCCCCGATCACGCTTGCGGCTCGCGACAGCGGTCAATCACCACCCACCATGGACCAGCCAGGCGCCAATCCGCTGCTCTCGCCGCCGGAGCTCACGCCGCTCGAGCAGGAGGTGCTGGACGAGTACGAGCGGCTGGCCGAGAACATGAAGAAGGCAAGCTTTCTACCCACCTACCTACCTGTCCCCCCCTCCCTCCACCTTCTCATTACTCAATATCAGCCAAACCCTGCCGTCATCACAAACTTCCAGACCCAAAACAACCAAACCAAAAACGCAATCCAGCTAACCAGTGGCCCCGCGCTCAAAAACAACAGCTCGCCTCCATCCTCGACACCATGGCCGGCCAGCCAACCACAGAAATCCTCGACGGCCTGCGCGAGCTGGAGCGCAAGACGAGCCTGGTGTTCACGCTGCTCAAGGCCAGCGTCTACAGCATCGTGCTGCAGCAGGAGATTGACTGGGGCGACCAGAACAGGCGTTGAGCGTAGGGCAGGGCCGGCCCGACAGACGAAACGAGAACGAGAACAAGCACATGAAGAACACGTGGACTGGAAAGAGTTATTAGTTGACTTGATGGCCGGGAGCGGATCTGTGCTGGATTGGGCCTGGGCTCGGTCGGGTGGTAGTGACCAAGTACCCAGCCGCAACCCACCGCTGTGCCACACCTTGTGCTTACAAGAAGAACTGCAATGCTGAGAGGACGCTGGCTCATGGTGGTCACAATGCGGGCATACAGCTGCTGGAAGCTGGCGGATTGCAGGAGCTGAAGGCTCTGGTCTAGGATATGCCAGCCGATGCCACCGCAAGACCTGTGTATCCCCTTCCCGGTTTGCGGCAGCTATGACAGGGAAGGATGAAGACGACTGCGACGTGTTTGACGACCCGTTCAGAACTTTGGTAAAAATGATGAGACTGTGGAAGATAGCAGTGGGAATGACCATACAACGATGTTGCCCATACAGCACACGGAGATGAAGAGAGATACCCCAGACCAAAACAGATGCAATATATACACAATAGAAAAATGCGCCGCGCAATGCGAGTTTGATTGTGACGATGGGCTTATGTGCGTTCTTATCTACGCGGATTTGATTTTGTACATTGGTACAGTACACCTATTAATACACGTTGCCGCCGTAGTACACCTTACGTACATCCACCAGCTTCTTGCCACGGCCGATGGCGAGCTCATTGGGGTCTTTCTGGCTGGTCAAGGCCTGCAGGCAGGCCTTGACCGAGTTCATGGGGTTTCGGGCGCGCGGCATCTTGGCGGCGATGTCGTGGATGCCGACGCTGCGGAAGATCTCGAAGAGCCGGTGGGAGGCGCGGAGACCGAAGCCTGCGAGAGGAGAGGAGAGTGGGTTAGCTTGCGGTTCCATGTACTAACTCGGTTCTGATCAGGGACTGGATGGATGGAATTACTCACCGGGTGGACGCGAGTCGATCTTCACGATGGTGGCGCCGACCTTCGCCGTCACGGAGCCGAAGATGGTCCGGTCCTCGTACCTGCGTATGGGCTGCATGTTCTGGATGGCTAGCAGTTTGGCCTTCATCTGCGCGACGGCAGGCTCGACCGACTTGGCCTCGCCGACGCCGAGGCGGCCGTTGCCGTTGCCGGCGATGGCCAGAACCCACATGCTCCGGATCTTGCCCAGACGCGTCTGGTTGTCGACGTTGCGGATGACCAGGATCTTGGTCGAGATGCTGAGGATGTCGCGGACGCTCAGGCCCGTCCGCCGCTTCAGGTCCTGGTACAGGCCCTGGTCGTCCAGCCCTTCGTCGGCCGGGTCGATCGGCGGCTTGTACATGCCCTCGACGCCGGCTAGCTTCTTGCCCAGCCCCGGCGCCAGGGCCGTGTTGGACGGCTTCTTGTCGGTCATGGTCGTCGGATCGTTCCAGTACTTGGCCTGTTCCATTGACAAGTTGACGCGCTCGTTCAGTATTTTCTCTATCTCCTGCTCCGACATGTTTTCGAAGTTGACGTCCTTCGGTATCAGGTTCTCGAGCAGCTTGGTCAGGTCGTCGGCGTGCTCCTCCTGCGTCATGAACCTTCCGTTCGGGTCGGGTGGTGGCAGAGTATTGGGCCGCTTGTCGATGATGGGTTGGATCTTGCTGAAGTCGTCCAGGTACGGTAGCCTGTAGGGGTCTTTGCGTATCCGGCCTTGTATCGTCAGGTCCTTCGGGTCGACGGCCGCCTCACCCGCCTCGAGGGCTACCATCTGCTCCGGTGTGTACCTCTCCCTCAGGATATCCATCTCCTCCGGCGTGTACTTGGGAAACATCTTCTTGCTGTACTCCTCGACCTTCTCCGGCGTCACCAGTCCCATCTCCTCGGCTCGTATGCTCTTGAAGCGCGACTTATGTTTCGCGGAAAGCTGTGTCGAGCTGTGGAAAGGGGCGGCATGGCATCTCGGTGTTGCGCCTGCTGCCGGTTGGCCCGTCGCGGCAAAGCGCCGCGAAAGCAGACATCGTGCTGGTCGTACGACGCTCATCGCATCTCTGGCACCCGTAATAGCCGCAGTCGGATCGGGTGACTGCAATTGCGACAAAGGAATGGTCGGTCGTGGTCGCGCAGGTAATGAGAGCTTCACTCAGTCGCTAACTATTTTTTCAGAGCTGCCGATGGATGCAGCTGCAGGCCCGGGCCCGGTCCACGGTGCTGCCAAAACGCGGGTTTATTGTTCCGCCGATTGCCCCTGCTGCTGGAGAACGGCTACCGCGTATGATTGGTCGAGCTCTGCAGGTGGTCGTTGAGCCCCTGACAGGGGTAGCTCGACCAAGAAACCTCAACCTCCAATTCTTCATCTCGATGGTGCACTTACAGCTTATTCCTAGCTTCCTTCCCCCGGATTGCAATTGATGAACTCATGAACAAGTGTTTAGGATTCCATCTGCATGTCCAACTGAACCTCCCACGCGCTCATGATTTCCCCAATTTGACCCCTAACACACCCCCAATTGGCCGCGCAGCATCAGTCGACTGTGCCGCAGGTCTGAAACGCATGAGTTTCATAGGGTTCAAACATCACCACCGTCCCTCAGCAGTGGACACGGCGACGGGCCAGGCCTCGCACAGAGACCCTGTTCGTAAAAGGTATCGGAAGATATCCAGACGCCCTCTGGTTTCGAGTTGTGACTGTCGTACTTCGCCCGACCAAGTCTGGTCGGCCGCGTTTCTTCTTTCTGTCTTCTCTTATCTCCTACGTCTTGAGGCTGGTAATCTATCACCATCACACCTATTCCGTTCTTCTTCTTCTTCTTCTTCTTATGCGTGTGACTGGTGCACCCAGAATCCGTAATAATCAACTGCTGGTCAATCTACGCTCTTTAACCCATCCGCTGCTCTGCTCCAGACGAGCTCGATATCCCACCGCCCCCGAGTCAAGCGCAATCGTACCCACGAACAAGCCCACGCCAAATCCACCTCAAGTCCGCAAGCCCAGCATACATAAACCCACAACAGCAGCCACCATGTCCGGCCAATTCGGGTTCATGTCCAAGATCGGCGCGACCGACGAGGCCGTCGCCGTGCTCAACGACCAGCCCTACGTCTTCACCATCCTCGTCGTCGTGCTCGTCATCATCATCGCACAGATCACCCTGCACTGGTACATCCACTACGCCACCATGAAGCCCGAGCAGAAGAAGAAGAAGGCCGAGAGCAAGGGCCTCTTCGGCCTCTTTGGCGGCGGCGGCAAGAAGAAGCCCACGGGGAAGCCGCCGGCGATGCGATGAGGCGGGGTACCTCCTCGTATGGGGTCTCAAAGGAGGCTTGGAAGATACTCGGCAGCGCACTACTCGAAACGTCTCGGTTGACCTCGATAATACATCAGCGAGTACGATGGCCATCACACGATGAGCGCAACTCGCAAGCGGACGCATGGTGTGCCAAGTTGGAAATACGCAGTGAACAGAGATGGATGGCATTTCAAGGGTGATTGCGAGCACGCATCATAAACTTGGAAGGTCCGCCATTGGGAGTGCTGGATGACTGCAGGCTGTATCTGGCACTATAATTATTATATGTTCGCTTCTTCTGTTATGTACAGTCAATATTGCTCAAATGACCCTGCATTTGCGTAGTCCATTGCTCGTCATACTGTGGCAGCTCATCTTCGTCCAACTTCGGATATGACTCGAATCCTCCGTGGAATCATGGAGATTCTCATCGTGCAGGCCTTCTGATTCTGTAATCTGCCAGCAGTTGCCCTGCTTCACCTCCCAGATCTTTCATAGACAGCCATCTGCAGTACTGGCTCCCCAGTCCGATGTACTCGACCAGATATTTCTTCTTGGAAGCATCGTCCTCAATGATTCGTCGTCCGTAGGACTCTGCGTACACTTCCCCCGCGGGTGGAAGAGTCCTGGCGAATACGTCCATAGGAGGGGCTGGTTCCAAATGATCCACGGATATCACGTCATGGATCTCCTCCCTTCTATATGTAGCCTCTCGTCGATCTTGCTCTGAGTATGCATATTGTCGTGGTTCTGGCAGTTGGTGTCCGCTATGCAAATCTCCCGGTAGTGCATTGTAATGAGCGCCATTGCTGTACTGGTACTTGTCGTCGTGTGGGTGTTCAAGCTCTTGGCTATCCATGACAACATCTGTCTCGCTGTATTCGGACATGTGATGGTTCTGTTGCGAGTTGTGGGTATGTGGTATAACGTCTTCATCATAAGGCTCTGGGTACCACAGACCGGAGAAATCCATACTCAAATCCTGGTCCTGCAGATACTCGACCTCCTCTCTTGGTTCTAGAGCTTCCATGGTTCGGTCTCTTGTAGGATACGCATGTTCTGCATCCTCGTGTCGCCATTCGTGATGTTCTGCTGTACCCAGGTCAAAGCCATCATCTGGGTGGTAGTGTCCCGAGAGATCAGGCCACGAGTCTGATACCCAAGGCTCCCATAAATTGTCGGATAGTGGCTCACGTCCTCCCTCTTCGAGGCCGATGCCTTCTTCAAGCTCAGATGCATTTCCAACTGCTTGCATGCCTGCTAAACTTGAAGCCAAGACGGAACCTGCCGTTTTAGTTTTGAGGCGCATGGTTGGCTTCAGAGAGGTTTGTAGCAGGTCCCATAATCGCCACTGTATCGAGGTCTCAAGAAGGGAGTTGTCATCAGCAGTCGTCTTGTCCTCGAGTGCTTGGTGGTGCTGAACGAGATCCTGATCTAACAGCTCGGCTCCTTTTCGCCTGAGTGTTGGCGATTGTCCTTTGATAGCAGTCATCAATATGCTGGAGATTACTGGGAAGTTGTCTGTATGCCTTGCTATTGACTGCATCTCGATGTTAGCGTATCACCGAGTCCAATCGGGTTACCCGTACCTGTAGATAGTTGGCATTCCAGATAGCAGGGGCTATTTCTAGCAGAGACAATGTTCCTTTAGGTCTGCGAAGCTTCAAATTGAGAAAGCGCTTTTGAACACCGATAGTCCTGCGCAAGGTCGCTTCAATCAAGCGAGCCACAACAGCCCAGTCGTCCTCATCTTCCGCTCCTTCTAAGGAAGAGGCCCCCTCTGCCTGGTCGACGTCGCCTGATGGGACTTGCATTGTGGCGTCAGTCGAGGGCTGTGTGTTGCAATGCTGTGTGAAACTGCCCGGTACGACACCAGCATCAACGACTGCACTGTTGGATGTATGGCTGTCTTCGGTGTCATTCTCTTTTGGACGACTGACGTTGAACTGCAACAGACATTCCAGTCCCCGAAGGGTGGCCGTATGAAGATGCGGAGGGCATAGCAATACACAGGTTTTGTCTAGGTGTTCGAGCTTGAGACATATGCTTGAGGTGCCATCGTACTCCAGTGAATGCTGGACATCCAGAAGCTCGATGGTGAGGCCAAGCTTTGGCCATAGCTGGATAGAATGAGTAAGTTAGTTCAGAAACTGATACCGACAGATATAACTGACCGGGCACTGGCGGATTGTCTCAGCCATGAAGTCCAAAGCATCCGCAGCGTCCGACTCGCTCATGTGGCACTGCCGGAGGTCGACGATGAAGTCCAGTTGGCAGAAACCTGGAGACAACAGCCACAACTGTTTCGATAGGAGTAAGTCGAGTAGATCATCGGGTGAGATATCGGGGATCGGGGCATCCGTGATAAAGACACGGGAGGTGGTGAATAGAGATAAGTTGGAACCGCCTTTGCTGGATATTTCAACGGTCTGAAGCTCAAGCTCAATGCAATCGGCCATGTTATAGCAAGGGAGTTGGCGAGCTCCACATGGCCATCAGACCTGGCATTCAGACGGACTGGCATTCGGGACTGCACGAGGTGTTCTGTAATGCGGAAATGGGACGAGACAGAGTTTGTCGAAGGCTCTCCCCAACCGCGGTGCCTCCAGGGATAAGGTAGAGAGGTAGGCCCACTCGATGGTACGAAACGGCAAGTGAGTTCTGCGTTGGCAAGAACAACCAGCCGCACCTTCCTCTTGTAAAGCCCACCGCCCGCACAACCTACATAGGTCACGTCACTGGTGTGTACATGCCCTAAGCAGGTCAACATGTACCTCGGGTCCTTCAATGTTTCGGTTCGCTGTTTGATGGGTGAATGGAAAGGGGTCATCGGTCCTTGGAAAACAACTTAGGCCCACGCATACCAGTTCTGCAAACATCTAACCTCAATCCAAGTCAACCTGAGCCGTATCAAGAAGATGGAGTACCATATCACCGGCCCAGTGGTTGAAATAACGAGTTACATGATCGCCTGAACTAAGCAATCATTCCAAGACAGTCTACTGGACTGAAACCTGGATAGTTCCTCTGGATGGTTCCTTATCCCACCGCAAAGTATTGACGGCCGTTCCTCGACAGCTCCTATTTGAAGGGATGCATTTTGTACACGGGTTAATATGTTACACGTACAGGTGTCTTTCCATCTAGGGAAGATCTAACGGTGTGCGGTGCTCTTCCGTCGTCGGAAGTGGTACCAGAGTCTCGGCAACAACCTTTCGTCTCGGCCTCTTCAAATCTTCCAGTGTGACGCCATTTTCCAGTTTGGTTATGCCAACTATTGCCGGCTCTCCCTTCTTCACAAACTCCCATTGCCCTGATCGTCGTGTTAGTGGATCTTTGGTCCTGTGTGCACGTGTGGAGCTTACCAGGCAGCTTGTTGCCCGCCAAGCGGAACGCATCGCGAACGACCTGTTCGTGAAGCATCCCTCTCAACTCCAGGATGATTTGGTTAACGGCAACTCTGGCGGCCCAATGGTCAAATGAACCTTTTCCTTTACCCATACGCATCTGTAGTAGAGTGTGAATAACACATAGGCGCCACGGGGAACCTGGGAGTGCCACCAACCTCGTTACCGCTCACGTAGACACCCACGTTACAGCATACCCTCTTGTACAGCCGATATTTCTGACCACGCAGCCGCGCCTTGATGGTATCTTCGGCGACCTTGAGCTGCTGAGCACTGATCCGTCGATGGTGGTCGGTCATGCGCAGACCGTAGTCTCCCCATTGCACGGTCGTGCCCTTTGTAGATCCACCGGTAGCCACCCGTACCCGACCCTTCATCATCTTCTTCTTGCGATCCAGCGACGGCTCCAGCCAGTTGCCAGCCATGGATGCCGACGCAGAGAACAACCTGACATTTTGAGGACCGGGGACGATTCGAGTAGCAACGCCGGTGCTCGGTAATATCGATGGTCGCGCAGTCGGGGTGTGGGTTATCCGCAAGAAGCGAAAGGCGTTCGCCAAGCCCGAGGGAGCGTTCGAGCGCATTGTGCTTGTGGTCGCGAGAGTATCGCAGCGACCTGTTGAAGCCCGGAATTCGTAGGTCGTGTTGGTAGCTCGAAAAGTGAGGTTCGGACTTGAAGTTCAAAGCTTCCCAGGTTCAATTGATTGGCTCAGAGATTGCCCAAGACTGGAGCTTTCGAGATACAAGAGTACATCTTCAGGAAACCAACTGCTGGAGCCTGCAGCTGCCTGCACCTTGACCCCCCTAACCGACCCGCTTTCTGCCTAGCCCGGACTTAAAGTGGTCTGTGCCCCTGCTAGTGGCAGTCTCGCGAATTCAATTTAAGTCAAAGAAGTGCATCGCGTCATCCAAGGCCCCAGTTCGCGTTCTCGACGACCTTCCCGAGCTCGACCGTCTACTCTCTGCGGAGCTTCTGCCGCATGACCACCACAACCACCACAACCCTCACTGCCCGACCTTGACTGTGAGGCCGCTCTAGCATTCGTTCAAGATGCCCGACATACGCTCTTTCTTTGGTCCCAAGGGCGGTGCGGCGCCTGCGAAGAAGCCGGCGCCCAAGAAGGAAGCAGAGGAGCCGCCCAAGAAACGTGGCAGTACGTACAGTTCAAGGCGTCAAGATGACCATTGATGCTGACACCTGGGCTTAGGACCCCGAAAGGTCATTGACGACAGCGACGACGAGGATGAGCCGGTTGTCGAGTAAGACAATCGGTCGACATGTGTGTTGTGGGAGAGCGACTAACAATCCTGTCTAGGACGGAGAAACCAGCTACACGATCAACACCCAGAAAAAAGGCCGCGTGAGTATCTCTACCGCACTTACTGCCTTTTCCACATCTAATCTCTGCCACTAGGGACCAGAAAGTCGAAGGAACTGCTACCACAGCCAGCGAGTACTTTGCCTCTGGCAAGTCCAAGGGCCCGCAATCCACCAAGTCCGAACAGAAGGCGCAACCCAAGCCCGCAGTCGAGGTACGAGAAAGCCCTAGAAACAAGCCGAGCACCACGAAAGAGCCTCCTGCCGCCACCAAGAGTGCCCAGCCAGCACCGAAGAAACGCTCAACGACCGCGTTCAAACACCACAACTTGGACGACGACGAAGACGCCTATATGGAGGATGACGCAGACGCCGGTGACGATGTCTTCGCCGCTGATGCTCGGGGTACCAACAAGAGAAAGAATGACGATTATGCTGAGGAAGAGAGCGAAGAAGAGTTCCTTCCCAAGCCAAAACGAATTGCTTCTCGAAACAAACCTGTCGCTGAAGACGACGATGACACACCTATCACCAAGACTGCAAAGAACGGAAGAGCCTCTACCACCGCTAGAAAGCGAAAGACTCCTGAGCCTGACCCTGACGATGAGGAGGAGGAGGAGGACGACGACGACGTGGAACCGCCATCGCGCAAGAAGCCCGCCCCAAAGAAGCCCAGGGCAGCGCCCAAATCCAAGAAGGCTGACCAAGTAGAGGACGCCGGAATTCAAGCCATTTTCGATGACATCCCTACCATCCGAGCTCCATCGCCACCGGCCAAGGATCCAAACGCCAAGTTCGATTGGCGAAAGGCTGCAGCTGGTGGTGGAAACTCCGGCCCTCCTCCCAACCCTGTTGCACAAGACCTTCCTACAGGCGAACCCGACTGTCTTGCCGGCTTGACCTTCGTATTTACCGGTCAGTTGTCTACCATCGCACGCGAGGAGGCCCAGGAACTGTGTAAGCGTCACGGCGGCAAAATCACGGGCGCTCCAAGCAGCAAGACTAGCTACGTCGTACTTGGAGATGATGCTGGTCCAAGCAAGCTTACGAAAATCCGTCAGTTTGGCATCAAGACCATCAACGAGGAGGGCTTGTTCGAACTCATCCGTCGTCTCCCCGCTGGCGGTGGTAGTGGCAAGGGCGCCGAGAAGGTGCGGCAGAAGCGGAAAGACGAAGAAGAAAAGATCAAGCTGCAAGCTGTCGAGATGGAACGAGAAGAGAAGGCCAAACGCGTAGAGGCAGAAAAGGCTCAAAAGGCTGCTGTTGCTCGAGGAGCCACTCGCCCTGCCCAAGCTGCTACGCCCGCAAGTGCTCAGCTGTGGACAGTCAAGTATGCGCCAACACAGCCCAGCCACATCTGCGGTAATAAGGCCGCGGTGGAGAAGATCCAGAACTGGCTGAAGAACTGGGCCAAGCATAGAAAATACAACTTCCAGAAGCGAGGAGCAGATGGTATGGGTGGAGCACGTGCCATCATCCTGTCTGGTCCGCCTGGAATCGGCAAGACGACAGCAGCTCACCTCGCAGCACGGTTGACAGGCTACGATGTCTTGGAGAGCAATGCCAGTGACTCACGTAGCAAGAAGCTTGTGGAAGCGGGTGTCAGCGAGGTCATGAACAACACCTCGCTCCATGGCTTCTTCGCTGGCGATGGAAAGAAGGTCGACAAGGAGAAGAAGAACATTGTCCTTGTCATGGATGAAGTTGACGGAATGTCAGCTGGTGATCGCGGAGGTGTTGGCGCTCTTGCAAAGTACTGCAAGAAGACCGAAGTACCCCTCATTCTAATTTGCAACGAGCGAAGGCTGCCAAAGATGAAGCCTTTCGACTTTGTAACATTCGACATCAAGTTCCAACGCCCCCAGGTTGATCAGATCCGCTCGCGTATGATGACTATCTGCCATCGAGAGGGCCTCAAGCTGTCGCCCCAGGTGCTTGACGCCCTCATTGAGGGTAGCAACCGGGACATACGACAAATCATCAACATGATGGCCACGGTCAAGTTGGATCAAACTTCCATGGATTTCGATCAAAGCAAGGATATGTCCAAGGCCTGGGAGAAGTCTATCGTCCTGAAGCCGTGGGACATTTGCCAGAAGATGCTTGGCGGTGGTCTCTTCTCTCCAGCAAGCACATCGACGCTCAATGACAAGATTGAGCTCTACTTCAATGACCATGACTTCAGTCCTTTGATGATTCAGGAGAATTACCTGCGGACTAGGCCATCGGCACTGGGTCAATACAGCGGCAATAAACGCGAGCAGAACTTGAAGACGTTGGAACTCATGGACATGGCTGCAGAAAGCATCAGTGATGGCGATTTGGTGGATCGAATGATCCATGGCCCACAGCAGCACTGGAGCATGATGCCGACCCACGCAATCTTCAGTACAGTCCGACCAGCCAGCTTTGTTGCTGGCCAGCTGATCGGATCCAACTTTACCAGCTGGCTTGGCAACAACAGCAAGTACGGCAAGCTGGGCAGATACACCCGTGAGATTCACTCGCACATGCGACTGAGATCTTCGGGCGATCATAATGAAATCCGTCAGCAATACCTGCCGGTCCTCTGGACACGGCTGGTCAAGAAGCTCGCTGAAGAGGGCAAGGACTCGGTTGAGGAAGTCATCGAGCTGATGGACAGCTACTACCTCACGAGAGACGACTTCGACTGCATCAAGGAGCTTGGCGTTGGTCCTCAAGACGAGGAACACGTCGACATCGAGTCCCAGACCAAAGCAACATTCACGAGACTGTAAGTCAAGAGTGGTCGGTCACATCACGTTTGGATCTTCAACTGACCTCACTAGATATAACCAAAAGTCTCACCCGATTCCGTTCATGAAGGCCATAAGCGTCGCTGCTCCGAAGGCGGCGGCAAAGGACAAGCCGGATCTAGAGGAAGCTATGGATGACGATGATGAGGCCGAAGCTGTCGAGCCCGCTGAGGCTGTGGATGAAGAAGACCAAGACATCGAGAAGGATAAGTACATCAAGAAGCCAAAGGCAAAGAAGGGTGGCAAGAAGGCTGCTGCCAAAGGGGCTGATGATGGAGATGACGATGCTAAACCTAAGAAGGGACGCAAAGCTGGTGCAGGTGCAGCGAAAGCAAAGGCCAAGAAATGAGCTCTTGCGATGTATGAATTATGGTATATCTTGGGAATCAGGTGGTGTATTGCAGCCGAGAACCCCCGAGCTGGGAGTGTGCGTGGGCGAGGCCGGGAGGGAGCGCATAGAGAGAATCCTCAAATATTTCCTCCTAATGGCTCCAGAGGGAGACCAGTGTGATATTCCTTTCCGTCTGATGTTTGCGTAGCGGCCAAACCGCTTCTCTGCTCAGGAGTGAACTGCACCACCCAATGCCCATGCTCTCGACATAACTGCGAGCGCGGACTTCACCCTCGAGTCGATGCAGACAACATCAATCCTCTGTAGAGTTCCAGTCCACCATCAGCAGCCTTTTCAATCATCCCCTCAGGCTGCAAAACACATCTCTCCTATTCCCGTTCCCAATCCACCTCCATTTCCCTCCCACTTCCCTTTCCTCCTCCACTTCCCTTTCCTCCTCCACCTCCATTTCCCTCCCACCTCCCACCACCTCGCCTTCTGCTGTTGCAGCTTCTTTTCCAACCTTGCAGACTGATCTCAACTCTGCAATCCCTTCATTTGTCCAATCGCTCTGCTTGCACTTCGTATTCAACACGCGAACCAGCCTGTCATCACTGTCCGTCCGCAGCTCGCTGTCGCTTCGGTGGTCGTCACGTTGGGTCACAATCTTGCAATCATGCCGTCCCGCATTGGAAACAGAGGATTGTCCACGGGTCCGGGCAATGGCTACGAAGGTCAGTCAATTGAATATGCTGTCCTGACAACGAGACTAACTGTGAACAGCCCACTGCGCGTCGAAGGGGAAACACGTCCTCGTCAAACCTCTCAGCATCCCACAGAACCCCGTCCTCCCTACCGTCAAGCGCCGCGAAGTGAAGATTACCAGATCTACCGCTAATTTCTCACGCCCTCTGGAGAAGTGCAACGACCACCAACATGCTCTCCAGAAGCCCACCGAGCCGCCGATGCGCGTCCAGGTCGAAGATGACGTCTCCAGTACCGTTGCGCAGGTCGGCTGCTCAAGTACCGTTGCAGGCCCTGGTGCCCGCTTCCTCCCTGGCTGCTCTGGCGGAAAGCACAAGGAGAAGCAGATTGTCTCGAATGCCATGATGCAGGCCTACGTCAAGATGCGCGGTCCTTGTATGGGAGGCAACGAGGACCCTCTGTTCGACTGGATTCGACTCCGCGAGGACCTGCCTGCGCGAGAATTCCGCAAGGGTCACAAGAAGGACGTCTCTAGGTACGTTCCCACCCATTTCCGTCCCTCCTTGACCTACGACATGCCTGAATTCCCACTATAATTCAAGTTTTTGCATAACTAATGTCACACTTCGACACTACAGAATGCTGGAGTTGATCGACAAGGCTCTTGATCCCCTGAACGGGGGCGGCGACTCTCCTCGTGACGCCGTCTTCGAAGTCGAGCGACCCGACATCCAGCACATCCAGCCTCCCGCGGACATGGACCTCTCTCTTCATGCTATGACGGCTTCCTGTGCCGACTTTGTCCTGGACGAGGAAGACGAAGATGACGAGGAGGGCAACATCCCCAACGGTCGTATCTCGCCTTGCACGTTCCTCGACTGGGCCAAGGACTGCAAACGTTGGGACGACCAGGAGATCAAGCTCCCGTTCGAAGTACGTGCCACACACTACAACTCCTACCACCAAACCTCACGAATCATCACATTGTACTGTACTAACCTGATATTCTGTAGGAGGTCGGCGATAAAGAACGACAACGTCCACCCACGCCCCTGGTCCCCGCCACTCCCAAGGACCACTTCCCCCATTACTACAACGGCGCCGTGGATCAGGTCGACGAGGACTCTGGCGAGATTCTCTCGCCGGCCTACGATGTACCCTCGAGCCCGTCCATCATCTACACTCCGCCGGGCGTTGCTACGAACCTGTTCCCGTCGGCAACCTTTCAGGCGTCGTACACCCGCATGGCGCCTCTAGCAGCCAGGGAGTTCCGAAGAGCGCAGTATGGCGGTCCTGATTGCAAGAATAAGGCGCCCGATAAGGACGAGTACTACTCATATGTACGTGTTACCAAGACCACCTTGCCCCTATCCAGCCCTCTCATTCCAAATCCCCTGACTGTCACCTTACCATCCTTACCGCTCCACAACCACGTCTTCCACATCTCCCACCCCGACTAACCCTCCCCACAGACCGAAGTAGAAACCGCCGTAGCAGCCATGCCCGACGCCGGCTCCGAGCTGCCCCACTACCTCTCGCAGCAATGGCTCGCCGTCCGCGCCAACGAGGCCACCGAAGCAGTCGTGCACACGCAAACCATAGCGCAGCGCCAGCGCATCGCCAACCTCGAAGCCGACATCCAGAAACTAACCCAATACCTCCCCGCGCTCCAACAGCAACGCGCGCGCCAGGCCGGGTACGCACAGCAGCGCGAGGCAGCGGACCGCGCCGCGCGCATCAAGGAGCACGTCGCGGCCCACGCGCGCGACGCGCAGCACCGCTTCGATCTGAGCTGGTATAAATTAGTTGTGGCGCAGCGGCGCGCCGCCAACAACGAGGAGCGCATCGCCGCGCTGCGGAGGGAGATCGACGGGCTTTGTGCCACGGCGGGCAAGAGGGAGCCCGGACAGGTGTTTGAGGAGGTCGATCGCGGGATGACGGTCGAGGAGATGCGCGAGCTGGATGAGGAGGTCGATCGGATTGTGGATGACATCCGGGATGGTGGCGGGATGCTGGGGCCGCGGGAGAGGGTGCCTGGGTCGTTTCGGAGCTTTGCGACGGATTTGTGAGGGATTTGTTAAGGTGATGCTTGCTGCTTTTTCTTGTTGGAAATGGCTGCTCTGCTCTGTCCGATGTGCTTGGAGCTGTTGGACTGGCCCGGCCACTCACCCACTCACTGGATGAGGAAGCGTTGTTGCCTCCTCTGTATACGTCTTATGGAGGCATACTCACGATATTGGTCGTACGACCGATGACGAGAAATTTTGTCTGTGGCTCGGTAGCCACGGCCGAGCTGGATATTGACAGGGTCGGTCAGCTGAGAGAAGGGGATGACGATGTCACGACTGATGGTATTACGACTCGCTAGACGACTGAGATACCCCGAACTCGGAAGTTCACTTTGTACGAAGACCAGACGCTTGATAGCAGGTAATGAAAAATTTAGGAGATTGTTCGCGAATGGTCCGTTGCTTTACGTATCATCTTCATTCTATACGAGTGAAGGCGAAGTGAAGAGTATCCATGGCGTTTGATGTTGCCTGCCGTCCACTGGCCAGCACGATTTGGTACACGGCTATGGACGCTCAGGGGATGCTGGCTGCTTTCCCCGTGGACCCTTTTATAGCAAGAGCCTCTCAAGCCAGGGCAAGAGTGGATGTTATCATAATACAGTTGACTGTATTATGTCAATGTCCAACACGTGTACGTCCTGGCTGTATGGGTGGGTGTACGAGTGAGCCTGGGCGACTGAACGATACTACATTTAATACGATTCCTCGAGTATCCGAAGCCGTTCATGGCATTCAAACCTGGCTCTAGCTGAACTTGGAACACGACACGGAGCAAGTAGGCTGCATCAAAGCTGAATTGAAATTGTTGGTTGGCCGCATGCCGGAAACCTGCGTCAAAACTATTTCGAATTGCGATTGGAAAAGTCCGCCGCGCGTTGGGCTGTCGAAACGTCGTGCCCCCCATCGGTTCCTGAGCTCGGCTTTCATGGCCTTGGGACACCACCACAAAGTGATGGGCAAACCAGCTACAACACCACCGAACACAACAGCAAGCGGCGCACATACATACAAGCTCCACCATCGTAACAGTGTACCTGGTAATCGACTTGGATTTGCTCCATGCTTGAAGATCTAGTTATACAAAGGACCATAACAACGCCGCCTCCTGTTTCTCAGACACTCTTCTTACATAATACATAAGTGTTACAGTACCCCCAAAACAAGGATCACTCCGCCCTCATTAATCAGAGGATGATACCGGCCTTCTTAAGCAGCCTGAGAGCCTGCGCGCCGGTTAACTCGCCGAGTTTCTTTTCGATGCTCTCCAAGATCCCCTTGGCCTTCGGGTTCTTGCTCATGGCGGCCGCCTCGTCCGCGTTGGCCTTGGTATCCTTGTCGTTGGCCGTGCACATCTTCTTGTTCTCGCCCGTGGCGGGGTCGGTGGTGAAGGGAATGGAGATCTCCTTGCAGAGCTCCCTGCCGGCCACGTTGGTGAACGTGATCTTTGCCGCCTCGCTGACTTTTCCGTTGTGGAATACTGACTCGTAGGTGAGTGGGAGCTTATTTTCGACGCCCGTACCAAGTTTGTAGATGCAGGCGCCGCAGGTCACACCCTCTAGGAAGGCGTTTCTCTCTTCTATCTGCGTTGTCTGTGTCGTCTGGTCTACGGGGTTGCTGGGGTCCACGGCCCTCCTGTCTGTGAGCGCTCTCGCGTTTGTCGAACCCACGGCCAGCAGGCCGGCCAGGACCTTGAGTGCGGTTGGAGCGTGCATTCCGGTCGCGAAGTCTATATGTGTCTCAGGGGAGCGCTGGTCTTCGGGATTGGCTGATGAAGCGAGTTTCCTTGAGCTGGATGATGTTGCAGAGATAGGATGGGGTGATTAGGGAAGAAAGGACTACATGAGTAGGGAGGGATGAGCCTCATCTATATATGAGGCATCGACCAGCATTCGCGATCGTCATAACTTACTGACGCACATGAGGCACATAGCGATTAAATGGGCCGTCGGTCACTACGTATTGATTCTATCAGCAGTATACTAATTTTATAAACCAGGAGTAAGGCGACCCGACAGGGCAACAAGCAACACTTTGGCTTGCGGCCCAGTGAAGTCGCCACCAGTCACCGAGAAGCCTACTCGCCCATGTCAGTGGCAAACAGCTCATGTTAAACCAAGCTTTCGTGGCTTGCCATCGGGGATGCCTGGGAGGATTTGTCCGGACTGTGGGTGTGCGAGTGGACCAGCACTCCTACGCAGATCTGGCCTGCTCAGGAGACACCGCGTCAGAAACGGACGCACGTCATCCTACAACTGACTCAGTTTGAATACTCAAAATGCTCTCAAAGTAGTAACTGAGCAAGGTACTTACTAAATTGTACTTCAAAGATGTCTTCGGCTCTCTTCAACTGGCTACATACGATGCCTTGTAAGTATAGTCAACTAGACAGCATTAGCAAACCCACCTATATCGTTGACATAGAATCCAAAAACCGAGATATTCGACGAAGGCTATAATGTAATGTACCTGATCATCGTGAATATCACCGTTTATAGTAGTGACGGAACTTGTTTGCCTAACGGCGACCGAGGCGGCTTCCTACCGTAATGTGGAAGCGGCACATAAGAAGGATCTAATGTGCCGTTGGGTCGCAATCCTTTATCGGAGGCCCCGATGACACTCATACGTTATGTAGCAAGTGTTGCGGCAAGGCAAGTCTCATATAACAATTTCTTACTATCCTAAGCTGTTACAAGTGACAGCCAGATGACGTGACATCCTGGAGAGAATCCAGCAACACGCCGAGCATGCGGCGCATACAAAGGCACAGAACCACAAGGTAAGGTAGCTACGATCCAAACGCCGTCCAGACACAGAATCCAATACCGCGATCTGTCCTCGCCCGCGCCCGCGCGCTCGCCAGCGACACTCAACCCTAGCTGTACCCGTCCCACTCGTCATACATGGCCACAGCGTCGACCTCGCTGCGCGTGCCCTGCGCACGCACTCTGTCGCCCCCGAACCCCAGCCTCATGTGATCGAACTCGCCCTTCACGCGCCCGTCGCCCAGGAACCTGATCCAGCCGCGGTTCCCACCACCATAAAACATCTGACCGCCTTCTTTTTCTTCTTCCTGCCCGCGCCACGTGAAGTCGAGCGACGTGCGCGACGACTCGTAGGGGCGGCCGCGATCGAGCCGCAGGATCCCGCGGAGGACGCCTAGGTCGAACTTGCCCCATAGCTCGCTGCCGTGCAGCGTCAGGATGAGGCTGAAGTCGTCGGCGTACCGCGAAGAGACGTCTTTGGAGACGAGGTTGTAGCGTCCGTTTAGGAGACAGAGGGGGCGCAGGTCACGGTCGTTGTGGCTATCGTTATCGGAAGAGATATTACTGCTGGAGCGGGACTGAGGGTAGCCGTGGTCGTAGTCGGAACTGCTAGTCCCGCTGGATCGGGCCTGAGGATAGCCGTTGTCGTTGTCGGAGCTGATGTAGCCGCCGTCGGCGTACTCTGTATACGGAGGCGGTGGCTCATCATATCCGTTGCTACTGCTGGACTGCGGTTGGGCAGGTGCCCGGCCTCCTTGGGCGGCGAAGGCGCCGCTCCGACGGGCGGTCTGCTTGGTCCGAGGGGCCTTGGGGCTCGGGGCTGCTTTTGAGGCACTGCCGGCTCGACAGGGCCCCTGAGTGTGTCCACCGCGGCGAGCTGTCTGCTTCTTGACCGTGGAAACAGATGGAGAGGGTACTGCAACAGCTGCTTTCTTTGCTGAAGCGGCCTTATATTTCGTGACTGATGTAGATACCTTGGGCTTAGCCGCGCTGGAAGTAGTACCCTTCGGAACAGCGGCCTTGGTCGTCTTCGGCGTGGAGGTGACTTTGGTCGTTTTGGCTGAAGATGAAGTCGAACTGGCCGATTTGGTGGTAGTCTTCGGCTTGGCAGTCTCCTTAGCTGCTTTGGTCGTAGTCGTAGCCGTCTTGATCGTCTTTGCCTTCTTCGCCGTCTGGCTAGACGACGATGAATGGCTGGCCGAGAGGGACACACTGAGACCGCCAACACTGAGGTTGAAATTGACACTCGAGGACTCGGCCTTGCGCTTCGTGCCCCTGGCCACCTGCGCTGTCGAAGCAGCCGTCAAAGCCGTCGACGTCGAAGAAGACCCTTCCTTGAGCACCTTCTTGGCCTCGCGCTCCCGCTTGGTCCACTCCTTCTTCAGGTCGGCCTCGAGCTTCTGGATGTGCGCCGGGACCGTCATCTTGCCCGCGTTGACGGCGTCGTACAGGCGCATGCGCGCGACGGCCTTTGTCTTGGACGGAGGCAGGCCGTAGTGGGTGAGCTGCGCCTCGAACCAGTGCGCGGGTCTGTCCTTGTCCGACCCGTTCTTGAAGTGGTCCTTGAGCTCCGCGGCCGTGGCGCGCCGATGCCGGTTGTGGCCGCTCGCCTCGGCGAAGAGGTCGCCCGCGAAGGCGAAGCCGTCCTTGGTGGCAGCTGGCGCCAGCGACATGGTGACAGAGCGATGAGTGTGCGCAGCCTGGTTTGGACGATTGAAGAGCTCAAAGCTGGATGAAGTGAATGTGTTCCCCACGAGGCGAGGGGACCGATGTTATGAAATGGTGTGTGCATATGAAGAGGGGCCCAATCAGCTCCGTGGTGACGCTTAAAGCTTAAACCTTCTCACACTCGTTTCGCAGCAACTGGCGAAGCCCCCGATTGCAGTTGGTGAGAATTTGCGAATCGCCCTAATGGAAAGCATTCGGTTGCCGTGTGGACCAGGTCGAGTGGGTTCGTCACCGTCTACATGAAGGCCCGGGCCACTGGTAACTTGTAGGAAGACCGGGCATCCTGGGGAGTGCAAGTTTGTAATTCACAGCGTTGTTATTCAGCGGTGACAGAGCCATATAAGGGCAAGTGAGGTTCGAATCGAATATCTTTATTGCAGGGCTGTCCTTATTATCAGGGAACAGCCCCGGATCGCTTTATACAAGATCTCCGGGACCTAGCTAAATCACACCTATGTTGCTCCATCAGCAAGCAATCGAGATGCATGCTATGTAACGAGGACTCTCCACCAGCCGGCCTTTTTCATGAGAGGAGCATATTCATACATATGGGAATACCAAACGCCGCGACCCAGGGCCATCCGATGTCGTACAATGGTGTTTGTACAGTGAGCAGTTGCTGCTCCGTCATTATTTTCATCGATTATTAGTTCTTGACCACGCCGACCTTGGCGGCTCGCAATACCCGGCCGTTCAGCTTGAAACCCTTCTGCTGGACGAAGAAGACGGTGTTGTCCTCCTTGTCGGGCTGCGGCGTCATAAACGTCGCCTCGTGCTCGTTGGGGTTGAACTTCTCTCCTTCGGGGTCGAATCGCTCCAGGCCATGTTTTGTCAAGGTCGAAAGCATGTTGGTTTCCGTCATCTTGACACCCTCGTAGAAGCTCTTGAGGTCCACGTTCTCCTCTTTGCCCTCCTCGGCCTTCATCTTCTCCTGGCCCATTATCAAGGCACGGTCGATGTTATCCACCGTGTCAACCAGGTCTTTAGCAAACTTCTGGATTGCGAAGTCCCGGGCACCTTTCATTTCCCTCGTTGTTCGGTCCTGGAGATTGCGGAAGTCGGCCACTGAGCGAAGGCACTTGTCCTGCACAACACAGTTAGTGTCCCGTATGCTAGTATGCTGCGACAACATTACGAACCTTCCACTCGGTAGCTTCTTTCTCCTTGGCCTCCAGCTTTTTCTTGAGCTCAGCCTCGACGGTTGACGGAGCACTGTCATCTTTGCTGCTGTCCTGTGCCTCTACCTGTGCTGTAGGCCCTTCTCCTTCCTTCTTTGTCGCTGAATCCGCTTGGTCGCTGTACCATCTTGTACTCGGGAACAGTGCTGATTGGAGAGAAGTTGAAGGCGCTGGGGAGAACGGTGCGCGAAGTGCAGGCCGTTGCGCGACCGTCCTCGAGCTAGAGTAGAGAGCTCTGGTAGATCTGGAAAGTGCTTGTCTGAACATGGTTGATGGGTGTCGTGTCGTGTCGTATCGTGGAAGGTTGTGAAATAGAGATGGAGATCGGTCGCGTGTGCAGAGGGAATCATGCAACAGCTTCAATGTTCGGCTCAGAGATGATGATGAACTGGAATATTTTTTTGGCCCCATCGGAGCTCTTCCACCAGCTGGACCCGACCTCCAGGGTCGCCTCTGGGCTGCAGCTGATGCCACCTGCAGTGCCCCACGGGCCGCCCCACCTGCACACTCCGACTGCCGGCAGAACTCTGACCGCCCCGACCCGCGACTCACCGCCCGAGAATCGTCCATAAAAGAAATCGCAGTCCGCCCGCTCCAAAGTTTGGATTCTTTCTTCTTCAGCTCTGTAAATTTCCCAGAATCGCCCCCTATAAATGGAACGTCTGCTAACATATATCGCAGCTTTGCCTTTTGGCTTAGATCAAGTGTAGTATCTGTTCTTTTCAGTTTAATCTCTGAAAGAGTCACATAGTGGCTCATCTTTGATTATTCTAATTTTTGCCTCTCGGGGGCGTATCCTCTGTGCTTGCGCATGATCGCTTCCATTGTGTCCCTGGTATTACACTGCCTCCAGGCGACGCGAAAACTTTCATTGCTATCTCTGGTTCGTCCAGTGTTGTGAAGAAGGTTCATTCTATCCAGCGCGCAGATGCTGCAGTCTTCCATTCATGTCTGCCACGTCGGAGTTCTCAATCGCGCAGAGGAGAAGTACTGTAAGGACATTGGCCAACGGATGCTGATTGACCCAGCGCTGACGATTGTATGGCAGTGAGAACAAGATGGGATGGACTGCAGCGCCACCCGCAGTATTATAATGCCCGCACGTCGTTGGTACTATTCGTGACGATCGTCCACCTTGGACCTTGTTTGTCATGCCAGTCGGGCGTCCTGGACTGCCTTTGCTGGACAGCGGTTGAATGAAAATTTGCAGTGGGATAGGCAGCACTTTGCGACGAGAGGAGGCTGATGATGACTACGATCGAAATATCGTGTTGGAATGCTTTCTCAGTACTCTCGATGGCAGGCAGCATCAAACAAGTCAGACAGCCTGCAAATAGACATTCTCATGCGAATGGCAATCACGGAGCAACTTTGCTGCCTCATGTTCACTCCCTGTCTACATCTACAGCACATCTCACGATAGCTTCATACGTGGTGATCAAATAGTCGTTTATCTTGACCAATCTGCCTTACTACTGGCACCCTACTACGTGTTCTGCACTCCAAGAATGGGTACATCTACATAGCTTCACGATAGACATCATGCAGGGGGCTCCAAATACCTACAAGTCGCTGCTTACGCGCTGCTGTTGCCAGCAACTGGAGACGACGGGATTTGCAAAGTTCATTGTGGGCGTGCGTGGGACCCCAAAATGGCTGACATAATAGCTTGCATAATTGCGTAGCATAATGTTTCGTCCCCGCTAGCGGCTAGCCTGGATCCAGAGCTACAACTCAGCCTCAGCCTCGAGAAATCCAGTTCATCTTCTTTGACAATCTTCAAACCTGCGACTCCCTTCCACCTCGCCTGCCAGCGGCTTCTCGCACAAAGGTTACGACATCCCGGCTCGCTGCAGTCACCGCGCTGGACCTTTCGACAAAATGGAGTATGACACTATGATGATGGACGGTGAGTCCTTGGGACCGTCCGTCAAGATTTCTGCTGTAGGTCATGGACTTTGGTCGCATTGACTCGACCGCTGCTCTAACGGTCGCTTTGATGTAGGCGGACGATGCGTACGTCAATTTCCAGCTCAGTAACGTTGACCTGTCCTTTGCGAACTCCCTCCGACGCGTCATGCTAGCCGAAGTACCTACCGTCGCCATCGACCTCGTGGAAGTCGAGATAAACACCTCCGTCCTCGCAGACGAGTTCGTCGCCCACCGACTGGGCCTCATCCCGCTCGACTCTCGAGAGATCGACCAGCTCAACTACACACGCGACTGCGATTGCGACCAGTCCTGCGGAAAGTGCACTGTTGTGCTCACCCTGCATGCGAAGTGCACCGGGGACGATGTCATGAAGGTCTACGCGCGCGATCTGATCGTTGGAATCGACCGGCCGAATAACCACATCGGAAACCCAGTCATCACGGATCCGGACGGACTAGGCTCCCTTATCTGCAAGTTGCGCAAGGGCCAGGAGATCAAGCTTTCGTGCATCGCAAAGAAGGGCATCGCAAAGGAGCATGCGAAGTGGTCGCCCACTTCCGCGGTGGGATTTGAGTACGATCCCCATAATAAGCTACATCATCTGGACTTGTGGTACGAAGCAGATGCAGCCGAAGAATGGTCAGTTGTAGCCCCTTCGCCTGTTTGGTATCTCAGAAGACTGACATCAAGCTAGGCCTGCGAGCAAGAATGCCAACTTCGAAGAGCCGCCTGCGGAAGGCGAGCCTTTCGACTACGATGCCGTCCCGTCGAAATTCTACTTCGAGGTCGAGAGCGCAGGCAACATCGAGCCGGATAACATCATCCACGAGGGCATCAAGGAGATCCAGAAGAAGCTCGCTGGTCTCATCCACGGTCTGGGCGAGAACGATGGCATGGACGCCGGCTACGATGGCCCACGAAGCCCCGACGGTATGGACGGAGGTGCAGGCTGGCAAGACCAGGGGTTCACTACCCCGTATGGCAATACTGGAGGTACCACTGCTTGGGGAGGTGGAGGAGCAGCGACTGCATACGGCACGACACCTTATGGTAACTCTGGCTCGGGCGGAGGCTGGTAGGGACGGGAAGAAATCGAGGCAAATCTGCCCTCTTCGGGAAATCCTACATCCCCTACCCTGGGTTGTATCATACATGAAAATCGCTTGGCCCCGATCGCCGAGGAAGGTCTTTCGCGTGCTTGTCTTGTCGCAAGGAGTTGGGGCAGGGGATTTGCATCTTGAGCATATAAAAACCGGTATACACGCGCATCTTCGGCTAGAGCGCGATAGGAGATACCGGGGGGCCGTGAAAAAGATAATCACAGCGGAATAAGCAGCCTTTTCAAGGTTAATTCTTCATCGCGCTGTCCGTATGATTATGCTATTGTCATTTCAAAACTCTGGATGCCTTGGTTCGAGTCACGAATAGGTCGAATCTAATGTGGTCTTACGGCTGTGCGTGGCACCACGTATGTTCCAAGGGAGGAGAAACTATGAATATATTCAGTAAACCCATGAAACAATCAAACGCCGGCAACCATGCTCTATGATGCCAATGCCTTCCTCTGGACGCCGCTGTGACAGAAATATGATACAATGCCTCTATCGCTGAAAAGTCTATCCATGCTAAATCCAGGGCCTGACTGCTGCCGATGTGGCTCAGTCCTCGATCCCCTTGAATCGTCTATATGCCGTGCGGTGTGCTTCTAGGAACAAAAATGTACATATCGTTTGCCTGCCCGTGTTGTCAGTATTTATCCGCTCGCTTGCTCGCTTTGCCATCGATCGCTGGAGTCGAGCTCCAGAGATAAAAGGGGAATAGGGGGTTGGGAGTGGGGGTTGGGGATGGCATCATTAAAGACTTACGGTCCCAGTCTCAAGAAGGCCGGCACCCAGCCCTTGAACATCCAGGTGACGCCCTCCTTGGCGTAGATCTCGGAGATGAGGCTCACGAGGCCCTGCTTGGTGTGGGCGCTCATGACGCGGCTCTTGATGACGTCGACGGGGGAGCAGATGGTGGTGGCGACGAAGCCGGCCATCAGCGAGGCGGCGAAGTGCGTCGTCGTGGTGTCGCCGAGCGGCGTGTGCGTCATCAGCGCGGCCTTGAAGGTGTCGTACGAGGCCAGCTGGCTGGCGTTCATCAGGGCGGCGCGCGTGCTGTTGGGCCAGACGCCGCGGAACCAGCTGCGCACGCCCTCCTCGCGCAGCATGCGGAACATGCCGTCCAGCCCGTGCTTGTAGTGCCGCCGCGCGCCGGCCGAGAGCGCCGCGTCCTGCTGCATCCGGACGTTGGTCACGTCGGCCGCGTTGCCCGAGATGCCGCCGAGGAAGCCCGAGAAGGACGACAGCCCGATGAGGAGCGGGAGGGAGGGTTTCGTGCCCTCTGGTGTGTACCGTCGCTTCAGGTCCTCGTACACCCCGAACCGCACCGTCGAGTATGTCATCTGCCGCAGCAGGGACGCTGTCAGTCCATTGTAGAGGCCGGTCGGGCCCGACGTCTTGTAGATGTGCATGAAGGTGCCGCCCATGTTCTTGGGCGCGTCGCCGGAGCGCAATTGGAGGCGCACCTTGACTGCAAAAGCCGGTAAAAAACCGCGTCAGTTCAGGGATCCCGCGTCGTCGTATCTGTAGGGCTGGACTGGACCGACATACCGAGGTCGAGCGGGTGCGTCACGCAGGCCGCCATACTGCTTGCGCTGCCGCCGAACCAGAAGGGATAGTGTATCTGCCTAGGTATCACGGCCTTCTTCTGCTGCTTCTTCGGCCTGTCGTCAGACGCAGCCAGCACGGGCGCGGGTACAGGCGGCGGCGCATTGGGTGTGGTGGGCGGCATACTGGCGCAAGTGTGGTTGGTTCAATTCGCAGATCTCGAAAACATAGCCTGAAGCGTCCGTCGGAAGAGTAATAAGTGTAGCAAGCGAAGAGCAAAAAAAGACTACCAGTAACAGTGAATTCAAGCCATAAAGAAGGGATCCCAAGTTTGCCCACGGTTGAAATAACCAAAGCTGCCAAAGTGACGGAGGCACGATGGGATGCTACTAGCAACGGCAACTGGGGGGCGGGTGCAGACGGGCACGACGGGTATTGATTTTCAAGCGGACTTTTCCATTGCGACTGATAAATTGGAGATTGGAGAAGGTACGAGTTACCTCATCGTGCAGCAGGGGGTTACTAGCATATCTGCATCGCGTGCGGAACTTGCCATGCCTCTCCAATGGGTCGATCTTTCGAAGCCGTGGTGATTTTTTGCTGCTCACGGCCCTTTCAATGAGGCTGTCACCAAACTCGTCCTGAACCCACACACATCATGTGGGCGTCTCGGCTCAATGTAGCTTATGGATGCGCTGGGACAGCAACGGCCTCTGCTCTCAGGAGTAGCAGTCTGCGTAGGGCTTCCTCTGCCCTGCGGTTAGACCGCAGGTCCTTGTCGCAAGGTCGGTACACACCTGCACTTGTTGGCTTCCGGGTGTCGAACAAGCTCTCCCTAACTCAGCTGCAGCTACTCGGGACGTACCATATCAGCATCGCACGAACGCGACCACAGCCGAAACCGAGACCAAGGTCAATGGCAGCACTTACAAGACGGATTCTTGGTTCAACGCACCACCGAACATCATAGAGAAGATCCCGCGACGCCTGCACCTACAAAAAGACCACCCCGTCTCCATCACCCGACAGATCATCGAGTCTGTGTTCCCAGCCCCGACCTACGAGTACCACAATGACTTCAACCCGGTCGTGACGACACACCAGAACTTCGACTCCCTAGGCTTTCCCAAGGACCACCCCGGTAGAGCGAAGTCGGACACATATTACATAAACAGCGACACGCTGCTACGGACGCACACCAGCGCGCACCAAGCTGAGACGTTCCGCGCGAACCTGAGCGACGGCTACCTGATCAGCGCCGACGTCTACCGCCGCGATGAGGTCGACCGCAGTCACTACCCCATCTTCCACCAGATGGAGGGCGCGCGCTCGTGGGACCGCGCCGAGGTGCCCAATGGCGACATAGCGGCCGCCGTCTGGTCGGACATAGAGAAACTGCCGAAGCACCACATCGAGGTCCAGGACCCCAACCCGCCCTTCCACCAAGAGAGGAACCCCCTGCAGGAGGGCCACCACTCCGCGGCCGAGGCTGAGGCCGTCGCCGCACACCTTAAGAAGTCGCTGGAACTCATGGTCGTCGAGATCTTCACGCGCGCCAAGGCTGCCGCGAAAAAGGCCGACCCGGGGTTCGTGGACGAGCCACTCCAGGTGCGCTGGGTAGAGGCATACTTCCCTTTCACGAGTCCCTCTTGGGAACTCGAGGTCTACTATAATGGAGACTGGCTCGAAGTTTTGGGCTCCGGCGTGGTCAAGCAGGACCTCTACATCAACGCGGGGGTGCCGAGCCAGCTAGGCTGGGCTTTTGGCATCGGATTAGACCGGATTGCCATGCTGCTCTTCCAGATCCCCGACATCCGGCTCTTCTGGTCGCAGGACGAGCGATTCCTGTCGCAGTTCCGAGGCGTGTCGGACAATCTGGACTCGCTGCGGCGTTTCGTGCCGTTCTCGCGGCACCCGGGCTGCTACAAGGACGTGTCGTTCTGGCTCAAGTCGACGTCGGCCGCGGGCGGCAGCACCAAGGCCAACGCGCACGACTTCCACGCCAACGACGTCATGGAGATCGTGCGCGGTGTCGCCGGCGACGTCGTCGAGGACGTCAAGCTGGTCGACAGCTTCACTCACCCCAAGACGGGCCGCAAGAGCATGTGCTACCGCATCAACTACCGCAGCCTCGAGCGCACCCTGACCAACACCGAGACCAACGACCTCCATGACGCCGTCAACACCGCCCTGGTGCAGAGGCTGGGCGTCGAGATTCGGTGATCTTGACTCAGCTGACTTATACACCACGCGTGCGTAGCAAGGCCGAGTAGGCCCCGGCTGGAGATCGGATCCTCGGGAGCTACAGACTCGCGAGGAAGATCGGGTGGCTTGTATACCACGCCGAAGAGTCACCGAACGGCATCATTACTGTATAACTAGCACGAACAGCGTCGCCTTGTGAGAGGCACACGACTCCAGGACATCAGTATGTACAAATCTTGCTGTATAATATTAGAAGGATGAATCTGAGCTTCGTGGCGGAGTTCAGACACGACAGCCATCTAGTAGTCGAGTAAATTGCGTGGTTGTACGATCACGTTGGATCGTCAATAGTGTAAGCAGCTGGCTGAATTGTAGTCATGCTCTCCGGCTGAGCTCCTCTACGGCCACTGATTAGCAGTCATGCTGAACTTACCTGAGCCTCGCGGGCGGCGTGTCTTGGTGTAAAGGGCAAAGCTAAAGGTCATCAGCCTTCATTGCTGCGCTCATACCGATGATTATGTCAGGCATCCCTGATTATATTGGTGTGGTTGTAGCTTGCGAGAGCGAACGTCCCGTGCATGCGTGTGACCTATTGCTGCGGCTTTGCATAGTATATTGGCTGACTACAAGGCGCATTCCAAATCGTCGGCTTCGGTATCGTCTGCCAAAGTTTCAAGAAGGCCAAGGCCACGAGAGCTCGCTTCAAGGTGGAGCGCCGGATCCGTCGCTCTGGGTTTGCCGGATCGAGCAGGCGGGATTGGAACTTGGGAGTATTGCGGCTATGCAAGACGACCTCGAAGCTTGGCTATCAGAGATGTTGGTTTGGTGATAGCGTCTTCGCTAGAGGTATCAAAATTGGGGTTGGCGGAGCCAGGCAAACTCGATGGCAAACTAATAACTTTGGCTGACGCCGTCAAAGAAGGCTGAGCAGAAGCTTCAAGTCTCCCGAGTCGCTGGCGCTCGCTTTCGAATTCGCTCCAACGCTGGGTGGGCCGGTGGGTGGAGGCGCTTCTGCCGGTGTGGGGTGCCGCACTGCCGCCGATCTGGTGGTCTCGGCTTTCTCGAATTTCATGTCCCCACTCCGGTCATTGGCTGACAAGCTCCCTCTGCCATCTGAGAGTTCCCACCGCCAGAAGCCGATGCCCGATAGGAGACCAACGAGGCTGTGCTGGAGGTCTGTTTGCACAGATTCCATCGAGCTCCTTCAGGGATCCTGTGGCAAATCCCAGATATCTCTGGGTTCGTATCAATGTTTCTACTATTCGACTAGGATAAATGACCTGTTTTAACCCGTGTCGTGGCGCCGAACCTAGCACGGGCTGTTATCTCGACGCTCGGGATAAGGAAGGCGACCGATTCATGTTGAGAATAACTGGAAGAGCTTGTGCTGCGCCCACTGCCTCGGCAGTACATCGGAATAATGATACCTTTCAAAACTCAGATCCTCATGTTCCATCATTCGATCCCGTTGGGACGCCTGGATGATTGCGCCACGTGGGGTGTTGAGTTTCAAAGGTTTCCCATGTGATGGCACGGGATCCCTCCCAGAGGCGTAGGTAATGAATGAATGAGTGAAGAAGTAAAAGGAGTGTCGCAAGTATTGCTGCGCCTTGAACCAGTGGCGAGCTACATAGCCCAAGGCGTTACGCAAGATGAAAAGTGCCAAGGAACCACCTGCACTTGACGTCCCCACAAGGAATTGAATACCTATGCTGGGACCATCTTGGTTCGAGAACCTGCCAGAGGAGCCAGAGGCTTGAGAGAAGTGTGCCTCGTATCACGACTCGCAATCCTGGTGGACATGATCCATGGACCGCCCGTCTGAATTATGAAGATGAAGAAGCAGAGGCAGCGTAGACTAGGTAGCAACTGGACGAACGGACAGAATAACACAATGACAGAATGATTGGTGCTGGTGTTTACCTATGCAAATCATTGTCCCAACCTGGCGGCAACGCTTGCCAAGCTCCAGCCAGCATAGCCGCCCCCGGGCCCTGTAGAAAGAGGGGCCAGAAGCCGTAGCCAAGCCGGTTCGCCGTATCGATTTCTTGTCCCGTGCTGCGTGCATGTGTTTTGTCTTCCTGCGCAGCCACACAGCAGCCCGCAGAAGTCCAGTACATATTGCATCTACGGCACCTCCCCTCCATCTATCTGCCTTCACTCTTCTTCAACCTACACGAAACGACACGGCAGACCACTGGGAATACTAACTTTTACGAACTTCACTTCTACGTTCGCAGCCATCCAACACATCCCGAGTCGCAACCATGTCTGCGAGCCAGTCGCTGACTTCCTTCCCCTCCTCGCCAGCATCTGGAAGACCCATCATGGATCGCAGAGGATCGTCCAAGAGCTCCCTCAGTCTCGACCTCTCAAGCTTACCGCCTCTGACGGAGCCGGCGCCAGCTACGAACACCTTGCTCCTGACCAACCTCAACGATCTCGAGATCTTCCGCCCCGACAACCTGCAAACTATCCGCGAGCTGATCGAAGCATCCGCGCCGATATATACCTGGTCGCCACTGAAGTCCTTCCGCCGCATAGTCGTGTCCTTCCCCGACGAGCAATCCGCCATCAAGGTGCGGTCGATATGGGACGGTGAGGCCATCATGGGCGAGCGATGCCGAGTCTACTTTGGCCAGCACACGCCGCTGGACTTTGCCAAGGACAACCACCTAGAGCTCCCCGACGCCGGCAAGCTGTTCTTCATCAGCCCGCCGCCCTCGCCCCCTCACGGCTGGGAGATGAAGATGGAAGACGCGCCAAACAAGCAGGTTCACGCTGAGGACTTGGCGGATGCTCTGGCGAAGCTGCACCACCGACCGGCGCAGGCGGACATGTCACCGATCTCACCCACCGAGGGCGGATCTGCCCGGACCCGGAGCCGGAGCAGCACCCTTATCTACCAACCTCACGAGCATGGTGGCAGCCCTCACTTACCTGCTATCTCTGTCGACGACATGACTGACGAGCCGATGGCCATGAGCCCGACTCTCGAGGCTCCGATCAAGGCACACACGGCACGACCACCTGTGGAGCTTATGGAGTGAAGCATAATTGGTTTTTGCACGGGGAGTACGGAAAATAGAGGCATCAGAAAAAAGTGTATTACTTGGTCCATGATCATCATTCTTGCGATTCTTGGCAGTACGGCGTTACGGAAGGGCACCCACTGAGTGTGGGCCCTGGTCATTGCTCCTGTTACAGCATGCCTCTTCTTTCACGCATTTTGGGTGGTAGACAGGCTTTGGGCGAGGCGTTCTGAGAGCAAATGGACATAGAGTGTCAGAGCTGGGGAGGTCCTGATCCTCTAAAGCTGGGAAGCAGATAGGGGCACCTGTTACATACTGTACGATACCAGAATCTGATAATATTAAAACAAACTATAAATACTTCTTCAGATTACCTCGTTCAGAAACGGAAAAGTAGACGTCGGGGAGGAAGACAAGCATTATCGGTTTTTGTTGGCTTTGTGGAAGCCCACTGGCCACGGTTCCCTAAGAAATGCATTCTCCTTTCGGTGCGTCCTCATGTGATGAACACCAAGAAGCATGACAACCCAGTGCAAAGAAACCAGCTCTGTACATAACAATTGACAGTGGCTATTAGTGTTGTGCCTGTAGTTTGTTGAGTTCCTCCACTAGCATATGGCAATGGCTTGTCGTCCAGAATGTCGCATGAAGCACTACCGTGTATACGAGATGCCGTTCCCGGTTTTCTGGCAGTAAATGATGTGTATATACCACTTTATTCCGTAACATTTCATTGTCCAAAGCCGGAAGCAAGTCCGACATAGTATATCCTCCAAGGTCACCGGTTCCCTCGGAGGGTCCTATTATATGTTAGCTATCTCCTTTTACTTTCATAACGTCATTATCATTTGCCCAACTCACGTGAAGTCTTCGATATGTAGATACTGTATCTCGGCTGTCGCTACTTACCTGCGCGCCACTTGACCCTATTGTTGAAGGGCAGAGGCGGCAGCAACAACTTTTGTTAGTGATGGCCATGTGACCTTCCAGACAGCGAGCATCCAGTACCGAGTGAGCGTCTAGCTGGCTGGGCAGCTGATAAGACATAATGGGCACCGTTACATCTGACCTTGTCGACAACGGGGAGGAAGGGGTCTGTATATGTCTGGAACGACCAATATTGTAACACGGGATATGGTATATTGAGTCCACCTCTACGCACATGTGGCGCCAGCAAGGCGTTGAATATAGGAACATGAGATGATATCCTCTGTCCAACTCCGTTGTATCCCGGCCGTACGGCCCGGCCGGGGTAAGATTTGGGACAGTGGGGGGCTGGGCCGCTGAGTCCATCGCAGGAAACCCAAGAACCTTGGAAATATGAGATCTGTTGTATCCCGGCCGTATGGCCTGGCCGGGGTAGATTCAGGACAATGGGGTGGCTGCTAGATCTGTGGTAGAAAACCCTTAAATCCCAAGGTATGGAATCTGAATATCTCCTATCCAGCCACCTTAACCCTAGCCCTTCCCCGGTCAGTCCTTACCTTCCGTCCCCTTAACCCCTTAACCTCGTAACCCCTATTCCCTTTCCACGCCCCCCATTCACCTCCACACCCACCGCACAACCCCAGCCACAGCCCTAACGCCACACCACAGCACCACGCCAGCCAGGGCCGAGAACGACAGCAGCGACAGCAGTGCGGTGCGCTCGATGCCGGGCCGCCGGACGGCGCCCGAGTCGGCCGGCGCGAGACCCCGCTCGGTCGACATCTTATCGAATTCCGGTATGTGCTTGAAGTTGAACTTGGTCGTGTAGCCCAGGCCGCCGATGGACTTGTCGTGCAGGAGGACTTTGAAGAAGGCCCTGCGGACGAACTGGGGGAGGTTGGGTGTTAGCTTAGGGGGCTTGTGTTTGTGTGTCAGAGTGTGTGGTAGGTAGGTGGTCTAGTGGGGGTGGAGGCTGGGGAGGTTGGTTATGGGGAGGGTGTTTGATGGAGGATTGGGCTACAAGAGCAGCGCATATATCAGCCAGGAGGGGTTATAGGGATGCTAAGGGGTTATATGGTAGGGTATACATAAAGCTCCGGTGTGTACACAGGTGACGAGCTCGAGGTAGGAGTCCAGGGACAGTCTCGACAGAATTTGTTGTTGCAAAACTACTCACCTTGATATTCCGCTCATCCAGATAGGTGAAACTGCGGTTAATGTAGCTCAGGGTCATGAAGAGTAGATTTTGTCCCAGCACAAGCGCGAAGTAATACAAGCTCGGGCGCTCGACCGCCAGTGCCTTCGCGAGCTCGCTGCCGTTAAGCCAGTACGTCTCGGCGCACAGGAACTCCCGCGAGGCGAACGTCGGCGCCTGACCTGCGAGCCCCGTGATGATGTTGTTGGCCAGGTTAGCCGACGCCTTCGATGGCCTGATCTCCGACACTAGAAGCGACTCCATCATGCGTTTCGCGGAATCAGGAGTCGCCATCCAGTCGTGGGGTGTGCCCATGAGGTAGGCGACGTACCGCCACAGCGCGAGGTAGTCGAGGATCTCCTGCTGCCGCAGCCAGATGCCCTGGCGCGGCAGGCCTAACCAGATCACCGTAGCCGAGAAGGTGTTGATGGTGCCGATGCAGTCGAGGTCGTTGACGGGGGCGCCGTATTTGGCGACGTTGTAGTAGTCGGGCCTCTGCTCCGCCATATGCAAGATCCGCCGGCGCACTGCCGTGTGCAGGAGTCGCACTCGAACTGAGTTTACGAAACCGTCGCCGCCGGGCTTGATGGAGTCTAGATCGCGGTGTACGTTCAGAGTATGCTGCGTGGTCTCGAGGAGCCGGCGGCGGACGACGTTTACTCCGAAGCCTCCTGTGCGGTCCAGAGTCTCGACTGTTCTTCCGCTGCCCATACCGCCGAGTAACGATAAGAAAGTCAACTGTTACCTGTTAGTATTTCCATCTGCTTGTCTTTCAAGGCGAAACTGACACTGGTGATAGCCGGACCCCCGTACCGAAAGAAAATCTTTTGACCCCTTTCTATTTGCTCCCAGTCTACCCACTCCGGTATCGTGTTGATTTCAGTCCAAAATCTCCCAATCTTGTCGTCCGTGGATGCGTGCTCCTGTACCAACTCGTATAGATCTCGACGTGGTCTCTTCTCTCCATCCGGCTTGAATCCCCCCTCGATATTTCCATCCTTGGGTGGCGCCAACGCATATGGTGGTGGTGCTATCTCATCCAGCCTCTCGACGGCATCTTGGCCAACAGTATCGTACGTCTGGGTCAATGGCTCCAAGTCTTCGGGCGTGAGATGTTCTGGTGTCCATTTTAGTTTTAACCCCCAGTGTCGCCTCCAGCCATATTCACCGTTTCCCTGATTGCCGTATGAGAAAGGCATGGTGTGTGATTTAAACAATTGAACACTCGGCTTCCGGGTGACGAAGTCTGCAAACGACGGGATGTCGTTGCTGGGTTTCTGAAGTCTCCTATTTGATAGTGTGGCGGTCATAGACGAATCAACACTTGGGTGGCACCGTACCCTAAGTGTGGCGACTCATGAGTAGTAGTATGTAGTCACTGGATGAATAAGAAGTCATACAGTAGAGTGAAAGGAATTGCAACAAGCAATACAAACAGATTCTATACAAGATATCGTGACTGATACCACAGAATAGGAAGTCGCGTCGTCAAACAGGAGTCTCAGCCCGGACAGACAGAGCAGGAAGTCGGGTGCCGAGGCATTTGAGATTACTACAATGGCCTACCGAGTCAGCATTAAACTACTGGGAGGCGACAGGGCCAAGAGATGGAATGCAGCCATCTGTCGAGAGGGCCCCTGGCTGATGGGACAAATCAGAAACTCTTTGACGTCTTGTACCGGTCTACCGGCTTTCGATGGACGTGAGGCTTGAAGTGGAAGGGAGATGCACTGACGTACCACAAAACCCCAAAGCCCCACACGAAGAAGGGGTGGGGTTACTGCATTGGGGCACGAAGATCTGCATAAATGGCCCGTGTGCTTCCTACATCTTAATTATGCATCGCCTTTCAAGTTCTGTGCTTCGTCGCCGATGAAAATCTGACAGATGAGGAAAAAGCCGCTTCCGTCATCTCTCCCAATACCCACGATTCAAATGTCACAACGCCTATGATCATGAGTTGCGCCTGCCGCACTACACCCCTCCGGATCTTCGTGCAGAGTCTCACCGAACTCCGCCTGTCCAATGCAGCAGTTCCGCGATCAGCGCCGTGCATCCAGTCGAGCTGGCCATGTCGTCGTCCCCTTTCGAGGCCCCTGAGCACGACCTCGGCATTGTACCGCCCACCCAGACAGAGGAAGCTACGCATCGTCGATGATCCTCCGCTGCCTTCCAGAGCCGAGGAGGAGGCCCTGTTGCAGGCAAGAGATGAAGACTCACCTGCGAGCGCCTCAACACTCCAAGCCTCCACCGCGGACCTCAGGCGGGCGAAGCAACATGGCGCCATCTTCGACTACTCACCCGAGTCGATCGACGAGCTCGTGGCGAACCTAGAGGACGACCAAGACACGGTCGTCAGCCCTCCCGCCGACCTCCCGCTATCCGACACCGCCCCGCCCAGGACTTCCAGCAAGCTCAAGCGGAGCAAGATCATAAAAGCAGACCCCAAGCCGCAGCCCCAAAAGAAGAACGGCGAAGACGACGCGCCGCCCCGCGAGCGCGAGCAGTGGCAGATCCAGAAAGCCGCGCTGCAGTCCAAATTCCCCGAGGGCTGGATGCCGCGCAAGCGGCTCTCGCCCGACGCGCTGGACGGGATCCGGGCGCTGCACGCGCAGTTCCCGCAGCAGTACCCGACGGCTATGCTGGCGGCGCAGTTCGAGGTGTCGCCCGAGGCGATCCGGCGGATCCTGCGGGCCAAGTGGGCGCCGCGACCCGAGGAGGAGGAGGACCGCCAGGGCCGCTGGTTCAACCGCGGCAAGTCCATCTGGGGCCAGATGGCCGAGCTGGGCAAAAAGCCGCCGCGCCGGTGGCGCCGCGAGGGCGTCGTCCGCGCGCCGTACTGGAACGAGAAGAGAGGGCCGCGCACCGAGTGGCCGTACATGCCGCGCAGGCCGCCGGCCGAGTCGGGGGAGGAGTCGATATGGCAGGCGGGGGAGACGTCGCAGTCTAAGCCCAAGTCCAGGTCCGAGAGGGAGGAGCCGCGCGAGAGCGTACAGCGGAAGCTGTCGGAGACTCTATTGTGAATGATTTAGAGTGGAACTGTATAGAAGGAACCAGTCTTTCGGAGTGTGTACTATGGTGTGGGAGAGCACAAGGTCTGTAAGATAAGTATATTGTAATAGGTCTATGAGTAAAGGACGGGTATAAAACTCTGCTTCGCGCTTTACAGAATGAAACGTAATACAACAAGCATATGTTTTAGTTTGTTCTACTATAGCGCGAAGCGAGCTTCTGTAGAGGGTGGTTGAACTACTCTTTCAAACAACATGGAACTTATATCGTACCGAACACAACGGGTATGTAAATACCATCCTCACTTATGAAAACGCAAGTACTCGCTCATAGACCTTTTCCCCGAGACGCTCCTACGGCTGGCTTCAACATCAGCCCCCAGATAGCCTCAGGGTCCTCCCCATCCCTCGATTACCGTATAGGACTGCAACGACGGCTCCTTCAGGTACTTAGAATTTGCATTTCGCTATCCTGCTCAGGGGCGCGTGGAACGCGCCTCGGAGAAGACGTCAGGGCGTCGAGCAGCATTCCCCTTTCGCTCTCGGGTTTTTTGAAAGTCGAACTCCTGCGTGAAGTGCCGCGAAAGTCCCTCCGGATCTTGGTTTTCTATAAGCGTCAGGAGTAAGCTCGGCGCCGTGATCTCAAGCCTACCTCCTTGGACTTCTCCGAACGGCACCATGGCGGTCAGAGGCGCGGCCCCCACGTGCGTGATTTTTGCTAGTTGGCTGACATCTTCCGGATGGAGCCTATGATAGAGGATTGCATCGTCGACAACCGCCCAAGACCAGGTGATAGCTCGGCTCCAGCGCATCTCCCGCAAGCTTTCTGAGCTCGATCTGAAGCCCACGGCAGGTCTATTCCAGCTTGCTCTGAACGAATGACCAAACTTCGATTCCTCCATCGCTGTGTGTCATGTGCTGCATGGGCCGCGAAGCGAGCAAACCCACAAGTTCTACAACCACCTGGCCAGTGGCGGCTCGACTCGTGAGGGAGCTGACATTCACTCACTGATCACACCCCCGCACCCTCGCTGCCTCGTCCATTCACCACAAAGTATATGTTCATGTAACATCACCACCAACAACCATTCGTCGCATAGCAAGTGCTAGGTCCACAGCGGCCGTAGGTCTACCGTGCTCGGTCACCTGCAGAATGGCGACAGGCCCGGGGGTTGGTATGCAGTTGGCAGCACGATAGGGCTGTGTCAAGTGATAAGGCGGACATCATCAGACTCCCAACTCCCAACTCCCAACTCCCAACTCCATACCTTAGACATGCTAACTTACACAGCATCGAGATCCGTCTCATACCAGTAGACTCTCGTCAACAGCATCCACGATGGACTTGCCTAGCTACCGCTCCGACCCTACAGTCGTCCGCCCCACGGCAAACCTTCCCAAGGCTGGCAAGTCGCTCAAGTACCCTCGATCACACGCCAGGCTCAAGTGCCCTCAATTACGCCATTATGCATACCGTTATGGCTGTCGTGTTTCCTACGCTCCGTCGACAGGCTGAAAGCACGAGCGCCAATCGCGAGGACCAACCTCAAGCCGCTCATGGCATTGGAACACTCCGCAACGTCTTCAATTCCGCTCTAGGGCTCCTCGGTCAACGTGAGGCTTGGACATCGCCGAAGACGGTCACTCCGGATCTAACACCCTTCGAATACGACTCACTGCCTACTTCTGGCCGCCAAGAGTCCTCCGGGTTCTACGTCCTCAAGATACTGATGAGCCCTTCCTGGTCAGATGCGAGATCTTGACGCACGAGACTTCAAGCGCACCGGAATACACCGCGCTGTCATACACTTGGGGCGAAGTTAGTGACTACCCCATTGTACTCAATGGCAAATTGGCACAAGTGCGGTCTAATCTCCTTGCCTTCTTGCTCCGTGTCTGGCAAGATGCGGACGCTAAGAACAAGATGTACTGGATCGATGCCGTGTGCATCTACCAGCAGAATATACCAGAGCGGAACGAATTTGTCTCAAGAATGACAGAGATATACGAGAAAGCTTACAGCATTGTCGTCTGGCTTGGTCCTGGCAGTGCAGAGGAGGTAGCAAGTTCATTTGATGCTCTCGATACGCTTACTGGTCTCGCGGTCTTCGAAGGGCCTGGAGGCACCCGCTACAAAGCCAAAAACACCTCCTACAAAACCAAAGACGGTATACATGTAAATTCCCTTCCGGACTCGTCTGTACTAAAAGAACGCCTGCTGGCAAATCCTTACTGGCAGCGAGTCTGGATCCTACAAGAGGCCTCAACACCCAAGTTGACTGGTCCAGGCACGACTTCCGTCTGGTATGGCGACCGCACTCGCAATTTTGGCGAGTTCATTATCAGTATGTCGACGCTCACGGGGAAGTACAGAGGGAGCAAGGAAAAATTTGGCATCCACCTTAGCCCTCCATTGGAACGTCTTGGGCTCCTCTGGATGCAACGCGAAAAGGCGAGAGCGTACCTGTACCCGCCAGCAAACATGATGAGTTTGCTGCAGCATGCGCGAGCTTCACGCTGCACAGCTGATAGAGATCGCATATATGCCTTGCTGCCAGCAGCTATTGACTTCGCTGGCTATCGAGCGGATTACTCGAAGCAGATATCTGAAGTATATTCTGACTTAGCAAGTCATTTAATTACGCAGGAAAGCAATCTGGACGTTCTGGGCTTCACTGACGGACGGAGAAACATCAATGGACTGCCTTCGTGGGTAGCCGACTGGACACATCCTGACGTACGTTCAATGCTGCTTCTGTCCATCCCGTACCTAGTGTCCCCCAGTAGGACCTGCCACCGCCGGCTGCTGTAATGTCCTATCGACCAACAATGCGACTTCACGCTTGCGGGGATGCAAACCCATATGCTAACAAGTCGTTGTAAAGGTTCCAGCAGCTTGCCCGAAATCAAGGTGGGAGCAGCAGCAAGTGAGTGAGCAGCAACGCAAGCAGCTTGACAACAAGTTCAGCCAAGTACCACGAGAAGACCATCAGCCGCCACCAAGTGAAGCGATATGGGAGAAGAGTAATATATACAACGCTTCCGCTGGCCTCCAGTCACCATCATCGGGCTTCGTCACAGCGGATGACCCTTCAGCACTTCGTCTCCGAGGCTTCACACTCGACCATATAGTCTCAGTCGACTCCGCATCTATCTTCATGAATCACAGGTCTTGGAAGCCATACGAGCATGCCAATTGCAAAAAGTTCGATGCGCTCATGACCACGGCTTCTGCGGGAGTGTATTCCGAGCCATTCGAAATGCATGCTCGGCTCGACATCCAATTTCCGCAGCCACAGGAAGACCCTGTAGACACCAGATCTCAGATGATGATGCGCTTTTTGCTGTACCGTTCGCTGCGCATTTCGTAGCGTCGGGTGATAGGGAAGTTTCTGCCAGGTTTGAAGGAGACAACAAGGAGTCGGACGCTTTTCGCAACGAGTCGAGGCTATGTCGGGCTCGGTAGCGATCGAATCCGTGCAGGCGATATGGTATGCGTGGTTGCTGGTGCGCAGTTGCCACTCATACTTCGAAGCTTGAACAGCGAGGATACCGATTTCGAGTTCTGCGGCGAGGCATATGTGCATGGTGTGATGGATGGCGAAGCTGTGAAGGATGACATCGCGGATACTGTGAGGGCGTTCGTAGTGCGTTTAAGTTCCAATAGTTGTAAGTACGAGGGTGCTTGACACGAAGCGTTGCCGCTTTCTGGTCACGTTACCACAGGTCAGCTTTGACGCGCAAGCGGGCCTCTACTGCTACTTCACAAATTGTGATTCTGACTAGAGAGCTGGCCAAAGTCTACAGAGATTTGTCATCGCTCCTGTGCCTAAAAGGTACTGGTGGGCCGACATAACAGCGCCAGCACTGTCTGGTATAGGATGTTAGGGCGACAAGTCTATTCTCAACAAGCCTCGGACATATTTCGTTCCCGTTTGAACCTCAGCAGGAATAGTTCGATTGTTAGGACTTAGGACATTGGAGACCTATACAAGGGCATCCGAAGATTTGTGACCTCGCAGGTCGGGACACACCATCTCAGGGACATAGTCTTCTTCCAGCAGCCGGATGAACGATACGGCAGCACAACTGAATATCGAGAAATGGTGGCAATGTCCACTGTGTCTCGGCGCCTTGCTACGTCGATCTCAAAGCTGGCTGGAAGACCCGTGCCGCTTTGGCGTGCCTGGGAGGCGCGTGGCTCTTCATCTGCTAGCAGTCTTCAGTGTTGGCACACTCCCTGCATCACCGTGCTTAAGCCTCTTTCGAATCCTTGCGTGAGGCCAGAAAAGATTCCGTATGCTCTAAGGAGAGCAAGCAAACATCACTGCTCGAGTCCGCAGTGCAGGGGCTGGCGCCCTCCTAGTGAGTGCAGAGCCGGGAAGAGAAGTACATGGAGAACTGTGCCGCTCATAGAAATGTAGACATTTGAGTCCGTCCGTGTGGTGGCGCACGGTAACTGTGGTGATGAGCCTAGGCTACGTACAGGGCGACCACGGGTACATAAGGAGAGGTAAAATGCTGTTGGGTTAAAGGTACGCCTAGAAGTCACCTTGACAGGTAGACAACGGAACCTAGTTGTTCCGTCCCGATCCAGCCCCCTCTGGCACAAAACTGCCACGGTCGCACAAGGACACTCTAGACAGACGGAATACACACACACTTCACTCTGACGATTGGCTCAAATCTGACAAATGCCGGATTCTAACATTAATTGTCATAGTTGATTTGGTACAGCACCTCCTATAGATAAATTCCAGGTAAAGATTTTCCATATTAAAAAAAATATTATACTTACCGGATTACTTCTAATAAGCGTTATGCTTTAATTAAAAACTAAGTAAGTTTATAACTATTAAATCGATTATAACTACTATAAATTTTTCTTTGGAAATCTAGATCTGTGGTCGTTTTGCCTTGTTAATTCTCCTTGCACTCCTTGCCTTTTTTTGGTGGAGGTTTGAAGGGGGCACATGCGTCCGTCGAGCGGATGGACGACGACAGGCAGAGTAGGGTGCATAACAGGCTGGGAATGGTGCAACATGCTAACATCTCACCCCCCCTGCGGACCACCCCCCCACGGACCACTCCACACCACACCACTCTCATTCAGATGAAGCCATCTACAACCACCACAGTTGCTAAATACACTAAGGTCTTGGTGTTCTAACCATAATACAGCTCCCAGAATCCGATTCCGACCCTAAATCTTCACCAGGGACCTCTTGTGGGACCTCTTTGCCTGTAGCGGAGTCCCTATAGACCCTCTTGTTCCTCAGCTCTATTTTGGCCTCCCTTATGTTAGCCATTGTGACGAATCGTTCCCCTGGTGTTGGTTTGACTGCTTTTTGAGTGGTATTAGCCTTTTTAGCCACTTGAGCCTCAAGCAGCTCACATTTGGCCCGTAGATTTGCAATGGTAGCAGCCTGAATATCCATGGCCTTGCCAGCCTTCCGCACCAACAAGCGTTCAGAGGGCCCCCCAAAGGAAGGGTCCTTTTTTTCGAGTTTTCAAGCACTCTCCCGCAAAGCCCGGCTTCTAGAGGGTGTTGTGACAATGGTTTTAGCTACCATCTCGAGAAAATCTGGTGTTGTGGCTTGCTTGGAAGCCTTAGGGTTCCTCTGGCGTGCCCTGGCCACCCCCTTGTCCTCTAGAATCACATATTTCGACTTCAATACCTCCGCTCTGTTGCGAGGAACAATCCCAGTCTTTTTCCAGGCAATTCTGATGTTGAGGAGCGTCATTGTGTCCTTCTGGGCCTGCTCGTAGCACTCCAAAACCTCCTCCTTAGATGGCCTGAGTCCCAAACGGCCGTTGGGCGTCTCCTGGAGTAAGGTCTTTAACCTTTTCTTCACCAAATTGAAGACTCCCACATCTAATACCTGGACTACATGGGAGCAGTGAGGTTCATAAAAGATCAACCATACTTTGTTTCTCAAGCAGGTGGCTAGGAACTCGTCATTCGTGTGGGAGTCGTGGCCATCACACACCAAAACCACCCATGTGTTGCCGTGGACCTCCCGAATGTGAGGAATAAAGATACATTGAAGCTATTCTAACGTAATGGGATTCAAGGTCCATCCATTGGGCGACGTAATAAACCTCCAGTCGGTGAATTTGCCCTCATTTTGGTTGCTAAATTACTGGGCTTGTACGTTAATCACCTTGAGAATCACCAGCGGCGGCAAGGTCTCACCAGATCCGCTCACACACTATAGGGCAGTTATCCATTCACTCTTTTCGACCCCTTTCTTCATAGCCACGTTGCCGGAGGCCTCGGAGACCACCCAATAGGAGTCCCCAATCCCCTGGGCGATTCCCATTTCGTCGACGTTGTACCAGCGTGCTGGCATGAGGTTAACCACGTCAGGGGCGTCACACTGATCGAAAAAAATGTTGATATTTGCCGCTGTAGCACCATTCATTCGGTTATAGTCGATAATACGAGACTTCATTATCTTGCCTTCCGGGTTTCGAGACAGGAACTTGGATGCCCAATTTTTCCCTAATTCTCGAGCATCCCCGGTGGCATGGAGCATCCGCTGGGCCATGAGACGGAACTTAGAGACCGCCGGAGAATACCCTAGCCGTGCTTGCCCCAGGGCCCAGCTTGCCAGCTTATGTTCGAGATACGGTGAGAGAGCCTGTTGGAGAGCGCTGGTCTCATTCCGCGTTAGGGTGCCAGAGATTTGTTGGTTGACGTACGAGCGACTGATTTGCCATTCGAGGGCTGACGAGCGGACTGGAGCTCCGCGTTGGATGGCCAAAATGGCGGCTTCAGCTTTTATTTGACGGTCGTAAAATGACATCATGAGATTCAGCAGTGGATAAGGATTCAAATAGTGTGCTTTGTGAAAAAAAAGATGCAAAAGTGATGGTGTAGATGGTGGATCACCATAATCCTGGTGGTTGGTGAATCACGCGTTTGTGGGTCAGAACGCGCTGGTCCGCGGGGGGGTGGTCCGCAGGGGGGTGGGAGATGTTAGCGTGTACCAGAACAAGCCAGCGACAGAATGCCCTTTCGTCGTTTCCGAGTCTCTCGTGCTGCGTTCGGCAATGATTTTGACGATAGGCATTGAAGTGTGCTGCGAGACGCCATCTTCCCACATGACGCGAGTCAAAGAACGCCTCTGGAAAACAAATGACTACCGTCCGTATACCAAGCTCTTACCAAAACATGTAGAGCATATGTCATAGCTGTACCCCGCGCGACTGGCGCATAGGCTGCGCTGGTAGAATGTGTGTTGCTTTAGCCCCTATGTCTCTCTTGTGTTGGGACGCGATAACGCGAGTTCCATATAGACCGCAGACACGACTCCATGACAAGTGGGTGTAATAGTCGTCAATCCGGTTTCTGGCTGGAATCATCATCGCTGGAATCATCGCTTGGCAAACGGCCGTGAGATTTAGCTCGGGGTAGAATCTGTTGACGTCGTATCGTTTTGATCTTCTTCGCTCTCGGAGTCATCATCCTCTGCCCCCCACGGATGGCACCTAGAACCTGTTATCCGAGCTTTCATCGGAAATATCGATGTGCATAGATGGGCTCGAACAGAACACTTCGGCAGACGACAACGGATCCTCGGGGTCTAAAGCCTTCCTCCTCGGACCCGCTGTCAGACTCTGCCTCTGAAACACGACCCTTTTCTTGGGTCGGGTTGGAATCGGAATCGCAGTCTGAATTACCAGCGGACTTGGTTGAGGAAGTGCTTTCATCCCCCCCTAGTTATCATCCCTCTCGGACAAGGCCGTGGCTGGGTCTTCGTCGGATCGGGTTGGTAAAGCTGCCCTCCCTGAACCAGCCTCTACCCTGATTTGCTTCCGACTGGATGGAACAATCTATGGACCATGCACTGGAATGTCTTCCCAGTACGACTCATCGCGGTCGTTGTGAACTGTGTGGGGGACTCGTGATGTATTTCCCCTGGAGAAGTGCTTGTGTAAGTCGAGGTTAGACCGTTGGAGTGAGCACAGGCACGTGCTCACCCTTCTCTTATCGCTCGAGGCGCCACACTGTGGCTACCCGCAGTTGCTGCATTACCGAGCCCGGTATCGGCGTGGGGATTGATCAATTCATGGTAGGCATAAAGCATACCATCCCATCTCGAATGATTGAAACATATGTGTGCTATAAATTGGCATAATAGGGGGAATACATGATAGGCTCACGGACAATGTGATCTAACCATTCTAATGAGGGATTGGTGTGATGGTCCCTATCGGCCTGCAGAGTCGGGGTCGATACCCCTGGAAACGCTGTCACATCCGGAACGGTCAAGATGTCCCCTCTAAAAAGCCACTAGTCCCCAAGAATTGTCCAATGCCGTGTTATGCTCGGTTTCCCCCATGTAACCCCCGTGTAGCTGCTTGCCGGCCACCGAAAAAATAAAACGGGGACCAAGCTAGCCCAATATCGTGGTGGAGAGTCGAGTTCTCACCCGCACCGTCGACCCTTCTTCACGTTTGGCAAGCGTGAGCAATGTTGAACGCCAGCCTCCATTGCCAGATACTGCCTGGCTGCCTCCCCTACCTCAACACCTCGCTCCGGTCTGTAGTCGGCTTAAGACACACTCCATCTTCCATCACGTCGCTTTGTCTTTCCTTCACTTGCACACCCCTTTGATGCCCGCTTATTATTAGGCCTCCTCGCCGGAAAGATTCCTTTCCTGTCATTGTAAGTCAGACTCCAGTAGACTCCAGCCAGGACAAGCGCTCTTGTCGTGTAGCTTCCCGAATTGACTCTGTTTCCAGCGTTTGAACCCTCGCGCCCTCTTTGCCTTCGTCATCCTGCGTCATTCCTGCCCGAGACTACAGTCCACTACCCACGGACGACGCTACCTGACTCAGTGCTGCCTCGAGCCGGTTTTCTATACTCCTACATAGACTCTTCTATCAACAGTTTGCGCCTCATTCTATAGCATCTCAGAAATTTGACCAACTACTTCCATGACGCTCCACTTAGTCACCGAAGCTTCCAGCCTCACCAGTATCCTTTCGAGCTGAACCTGGTGGCTATTGCCTGACCACTACCTTCCACAACCAATGGCAGCAAAATGGCCTCTACCCCTTCGAGTCGCCTGCGATTGACACCGTCGAACTCGCCTTTCCTCCCGCGACCTGCCCGATCTCCGAAACGCGGCCGAACCCCGCCAGCTCCCGATTCACGACTGTCCCTCAGACGAGTCGTCGGCACCACCTGCGCCTCTCCAACCGGTTTTGATGCCGTACAGTCTTCCTTTGCCTACATTGCTGGAGGAGCCGCTGTCGTCGTAGACGTAAACGGAGACGAATACTCCCAGCGCTTCTACAGAGCCCGACCGACAGCCCAGCCGCTCTATAGCACCCCGCCACTTCCGTACTCGCCCTCTACGCCCAACTCCACCCCGAAAGCGAACGATAGCCGGAATAGAGTCTCTTTGCGGGAATCCGCGTTCGGCGCCGAATCCCCCACCTCCAAAACCTGGACCAGCCGCGAGCGTATCAAGGCAGCGACATGTTTAGCTCTAAGCAAGCAGGGCCGGTTTCTTGCTGTTGGCGAGACGGGGTACGCCCCTCGCGTGCTCATATACAACCTTGAAGAGCGCTCCTCCGATACTCCGCTTGTCTCTATTAGTGAACATGCGCATGGGGTCAAGGCGGTTGCGTGGTCCCCCGACTCCAAATACCTCGCTTCGCTTGGGTCCGCGAACGACGGCTATCTCTACATATGGAGAGTTGACACAAAGACAGGTGCTGCGAAACTGTTCCAGCAAAACAGGTGCACCTCTTTTATTCGCGGCATGGTCTGGATGGGCAACAATCTCATCACGTTAGGCGTGCGTCATGTCAAGATATGGCGTATTGAGGAGGCGCAAGCGACATCTCCCATGAAGCAGAAATTCGCTGGAGACTTGAACCCTTCTACCCAATCGTCTAAAACATTGCCCGGTAGAAACGTACTACTCGGCAATATGATAGACGCTACATTCTCTTGCGCTGCTGCCATTGACGACACAAAGGCCATCATCTGTTCTGAAACGGGGGATGTGTGCCTGTTCGATGACACTGGCAAGCAGATGAAGATGGCACCGATCCTCGAAAGTGGGTTTGTAACAACTTGCGTAGCCGTTCATGACGGTGTCGCCTATGTTGGCGGCAAGTCCGGGGGTTTCGTAACCCTGGATTTGGTATCCTTCATGAGAAGCAATAAGTCCTGTGTTCGGACGACTACGGAATCGTCTCCGTACGCGGGGCTATTTGCTCTGGGATTCCTGAAACAGAACATGGTCACAGTCGACGCCAAACGCTCCATACACATCTGGAAACTCGATCCCATCCCTGGGGATATCAACACCAAGTCGACCTCAATCCCGATACCAGGACACCAAGATGCCATATTGGGCATCGAAAGTCTGTTTCGCCCAAACCCGTCGGACGCTGATTTCTACAGTTGGTCGGGGTCGGGACAGGTCGTATTGTGGGATGTCGATGGCAATACCAAGTCGACTTTCCAGGTTCCTCTGGAAGAGGCTTTCTTTGAGGAGGAGCCTGACTTCTTCAACCAAATGACGACCATCCGAGCTACCAAAGGCGGCAAGTTCTTCGTCACCGGAGATAAGCTGGGGATCATCAAGATCATCGACTTCTCCACGTTCAAATGTGTTTCGTCTATGAAAGCACACTCATCTGCTTGCCATTCTATCACCGTCTATGAAGACGAGTTGAGATGCCTCATAGCAACCTCTGGCCGTGACCGTACAGCACAGCTATTTCATAAAACAACAAGTGGCGAGTTCGATCATTTCCAGACGTTGGAATTTGCAGCCAGGGTAGCCCAAGTCTTGATTCCCTCACCCGATATGGTCATCACCTGTTCCCTGGACAGGACTTTGCAAATCCATGACCTAGTCACCAAAGAGGGTGACTCAGATGTTCTGGCGGCTATTCCTTCCAAATCTCTTCCTCTGAAAACATCACCCGCGTCGATGGCCATGGCGCAAGATGGAAAGACCCTGTTCGTCTCGCTGTCAGACCGTTCTGTTTGTCTGTACGACATGGAGCACAAAAAAGTCTCAACCACCTTCAAGTGCCTCGACGAAAGCGGTACCGAGTCAGTCGTTCTGGACTCGCTGATTACCCGTCCGGCCAGTGAAAGAGAACCCGCATTCCTTCTCGGCATCTCGAACACAGACAAGTCTATCAGAATATATGACGCCCAGACAGGCCGCTTCTTGGACAGAGAATGGGGTCATACTGAGGCCATCAATGGCGTGGCATTAGTGGAAGAGGATGACAACCGCCGAAAGGTCGTCAGTGTCGGATCTGATGGAACAATCATGATATGGGACATGGACTTGCAAGACCGGACTTGCGGCTCCGTTAGTCGCGACCCCTCCCCTGTCAAGGACGGTTCAGCTATAGCGCGACCGACACTGCGACGCGTCTTATCCAAGGCTGAACTTGCTGAATTCCAACGTCCTTCGTCGGCTTCTGGACGCAGATCACCACCGAGAACACTCGCAAAAAAGAGATCACTTTACAGCCTTTCATCGGCAAGACCTATGTCGGCACTTCAGTCGAGTCCACTTATTGCCGAAGACGGGCCCTCGAGGAGAACATCGGCCGGCAGCCGAAATGGCAGCCCTCCAGTCAGTCCTAAGACGAGAGTGACTAGGCGTCCATCTTTACCGGCACTGAACTTGGCCAAAACCAAGAGCAACAGCAACCTGAGAGCCTTTGGGTCACTGAACATGGCCACCGAGCAGACCTGTCGGACCCTTCGCACATACCGGAGGAAACTTGCCTCGACCGATCCCATAAGCCAGGATCTGCTTGCTGAGTTGGACCAAGAACTCCGCCTTACGGCTGTTGCCTTGGGAGACCGAGCGACAAGAACCAAGGCGCTGGGTGATACCATGTTGAATGGTCTTCTAGACCAGTACTCGGAGCGATTGGTCTCGCTCCTGGATCAAAAGCTTCGAATTAACCGCCACTCGTCAGTGGATCCAGAACCAGAGTCGCCTGTAGGTGGTGCTGGGTCCTCTGACGCTGGCTCGAGTATCGCTAGTAATGGCTCGGCCGAGACTCCCACGTCCATCTAACACTATGTTTGTATTACTGTTTTGCATTTCTGCAGGGATCGGCGGATATGGGAGGCGGCCGTAGGGCCACGGTATAGGATCGGATGAAAGAAACAGGGCGGCGTTTTCCCCGTACGGCATTCGGGAATCCATTTACCACTTTTCCTTCTCACTACGGGGCAATGTCTGAGGGAACAGACTAAGGGTTGGCGTTGTAGGATATGGGGACTCTATTCATCGATTCGGCTGCCTACCCAACATGATACCACCTGGCAGGAACCCAAGGAGTTATAGGGGTTTGCTTGCGCTCTGGTGCGCCTCGGGACTTCTACTTTAGCCAAAGTTTACTGCATAGACTCAATTCATATGCCCAACAATTAGGCTCATCATATCTAACGTGATCAATCTGTTGATCTGTCTACCACTTGCCACCGTGACCCTATTTGTCCTTCTCAAGGGGAGTCAGCACTGGTTTTCTATCTGTACTCTCAAGCTTCCTGTTGCTTCACCTCGGGAACGTAGGCACGAAGGAGCCTCCTCGCCTAGTCTAACCGTCACCGGATCCATTTGAGACGCCGTTGCAGAAACGCCACTAGCCCGGAAAACGTGGTCGGATGAAAGATGCGTAGCTAGGCTGCTAGGATGATGGCGTGGGCCGAAGCCGGAGCCGGAGCTTTTGTACCAACATGGCTGACTGGCTGGCGCTGGGCTTGGGTCGTCTCTTGCTTTGCTGGCTCCGGCATGTGTTGCGGGAAGGCAGCCACCAAGAAGTGCGCGCGGCTGGATGGCACAGACGTCGTCGCCAGCTTCGAAGGTTCTTTTCTTCTTCTAGGGCGAGTCCGGTCTCCTGCTTAGTTTACATATCATCACCAGTCGCCGTTGGCCGGAGCTTCCGCTAATTCCTCCTTTGTCGGCTCCGCTCAACGGATATCCCTGGGTCGTCCTTGCCGCCTCGCAAGCGTCAGGAGCGTAGGGTGGGCGCTCGGGTATCAATGACACATCTAACAACGACGACCTTCCTCGAGAACATAATGTTGGCCGGGCAATAGATAGCCCTGCCGACTCGGTGAGTTTCCTCCGGAATATTGTGATCTTCTGCCTTGCGGAAAATATCGCCAACTGTTTCACGCACTAAAGCCAAGCGTTTGATCCGGCCGTTTCGCAAAGTGGGATAGTCCTACGGTCCCCATGCCTTGGATTGATGAGGCTGAAGATGTCAGGCTGCTAGTGGCACAGCCGAAACACCGGTCATATAATTGCAGGTCGAGTCTGGGGTACAGTAGTGCTGTCATGCGGTCCAGTAGAGGTCGAGGCTGTGATTCTGTGAGGCTCCTCAGTTTGACTGTTGTTCGCAGCAAAAACGCGAGCTTTGTTCTTGACTTCAGGTGGGTAAGGATACTTTCTCATGTACCCAGACAGTGACACTCATCACTGACAACTGGCAGACAAGACCCCGATCGCGGGCATAGCTCAACCCTGTTTGGCCGTTGACACGTGGCAGCCGATGATCAGCGATCGAGACATGGGCCTCCCGAGATCTGTTGGCGCCGGTTATGGCCCGACATCGACGGTTTCTTGAGTACGACTTAGGGAACCTTGCTGGGCACCTCAATCCTGGCAAGTCGATGTTCCCCTGCTTGAAAGTTACTTGATCATGATTACCATGAGGAGACACCAGGTAATCGAGCACGACGGCTGACGGGTAACATGAGGCGACGTCTGATCTCAGGCCCTGGCTTATCTTGAACTCGACCTACCGGAGCTTTGTGCCTTCAGTTGATTGCCCGAAGGATTCCTTCGGCTCTCCGAGTACACGTGTGCAATACCAGCGTGAGACCCGGGCATCGTGGTTGTCGAGGATCACCATGCTTAGTAAAGCTGTTCGTCCCTGGGAGTACCCAGGAGAGCTGCCTTTTCTCGACATCATCGTCGCCTGTCCTCACGTGGCAGCTCAAGAGATCTCCATGTAGCTCAGTTGCTGTGGCGATTGCAGATCCAAACATCAGCCCAAGAGGCACCGGAGATGGTGAGCAGAGCTCTCGTAAGGGGATATATATTTCCTTTACGAGTCTCCTCGCTGAACCAACCTTTCGAACGCCGTAAACATCACGTTCGAACTCTGTGCACTTGATTCAGCTATCCAAGACCTGGTCGACAAATATACATAGCTGATAATTTGTGAGTACTCTTGGACAAGAACACAGTGGCTGACTATCACCAGGTTCCTCCCACGCGCGAGCTGTGTGCCCCCCTCCGTCTTCGCCATGGTGGGTTCGTACAGAGAGACGCCCGGCTACGAGCCACTCCGCCGCAATGACCCCCCTGGAATAGGGCAGGCAATCACAACGCCGACGCCAGCAAGCAGACAATTCGACCGAACCCTTACGGATGCAGGCCAGCCGCCCCTAGAACGTCCTACACTCGGAACACCTTCAAGTTCGGCCCAACCGAGTACCAAAGTCACCACGCCGCCATCAGGCCCGCGCTCCTCCTACCATGCCCCCTCCATCGAGTCTTTTCCCGCCCGTGAAAGAGACCTGTACAACGAGCGCAAGTCCCATGATAGAGATTTCTATAACGAGCGCAGGTCCATGGACAGCAAGAACCCGCTGCTGAACAAGAACCGATCATCAGCTGCCACCAGCAGCAGGCCCGCAACCGCTCTGACCCGACAGCTCTCAGAGGACATGGCCGACGAAGCGGCAGACAGAGAGCAGCCCGGCTCCTACTTCGAGGGCGCCGCGATCCCCCAGCCCGGGCAGTTTATGGCCAACCGCGGGCGCCCGATGTCCTTCTACGACATGAAGGAGCAGCAGCGGGAAAAGAGCCGGCAACAGCAGCAGCAGCCGCCCCGGCCGGCACCGCAGCTACACCGGCAGTCCTGGCGGTCGGGCGACATGCCGTACAACTACGCCGACATGATTGGCGACAACCGCTATTCGTACGCGCCGCCTCGCATGGGGAGCAACACGCCGCAACGGGGCTTTCGCGGGGGCAGCGCCAGCGGCGAGCCCGAGCAGCCCATGCCCGTCCGGCTGCCCTGGACCATGTGGATGAACAGCAGCGCCAAGAACCTGTTCGTCGCCGCCGTCGGCGAGTGGGTCGGCACCACCATGTTCCTGTTCTTCGCCTTCGCCGGCACCCAGGTCGCCAACGCCAAGAGCGACACGCCGGCCGAGTCGACAACTACCAACGCGACGACGGGCTTCGATCCGGTGGTCATGCTTTACATCTCCACCGCGTTCGGCTTTAGTCTTATGGTCAATGTCTGGGTCTTTTTCCGTATTTCTGGTGGTCTGTTTAACCCTGCCGTAGGTCCACCCCCTTTTACCCCTTTTCCAAGGGTTTCAGGTTTTCTTAACCGGGACTAGTAGTGCTGACCACAGCCGATGGGAAACAGGTCACGCTCGCCCTCTGGGTCACAGGCGCCGTCAGCGCCGCGCGCGGCATCTGCCTCTTCTTCGCGCAGATCGTCGGCAGCATTACGGCCTCCGCCCTCGTCCTCGCCATCTTCCCCACGCCGCTCAACGTGCGCACGACGCTTTCCGCGGGCACGTCGCTCGCGCAGGGCGTCTGGATCGAGGCCTTCATGACGGCCGAGCTCGTCTTCACGATCCTGATGCTAGCCAAAGAAAAGCACCGCGCGACCTTCATCGCGCCCGTCGGCATCGGGCTCGCGCTCTTCGTCGCCGAGCTCGTGGGCGTCTACTACACGGGCGGGTCGCTGAACCCGGCGCGCTCGCTCGGCCCCTGCGTCGTGTCGGGCAAGTGGGACGCCGAGCACTGGATCTACTGGGTCGGCCCCGGTATTGGGTGTGCGTTCGCGCTGGCATTTTACAAGTTCATCAAGATGCTCGAGTACGAGATGGCGAACCCGGGCCAGGACGGTGATGATGCGAATGATCCGACTAAGAACCCGAATCATGCCGTGCGCGAGAAGCAGCGCGAGGTCACGGCGCGCGTGCTCGCTAGTCTGGGGATTGATGCCAACAGCCAGCAGCAGCAGCAGCAGCAGGCCGACGCCATGGCTGCTGAGGAGGGCAGCTACTACGGCGGCGGCAGGAATTCGGTCATGGGCGACTCGGACAGCGGCCACCAGCAGCGCGTCTATCCCGGCGGCGGCGGCGGCATGCATGCGCTGTCGACGGTGGCGTCGATGAGCGACGTGAACAGCCCGACCAAGGCGTACGCGCCGCAGCCGCGATCGTCGTTCCAGGTCGATTAAGCGGGTATCTAGGTGGAAAACATTATGGATTTGGACGATAATGAAGGAAGCATGGAATGCTTAAACGGTCGACTTTATTGTAGCATTAGCGGGATCAAGGATTAAAACGGCATCTGATGAGACGGACGCATCACGCATGTATGAGTATCATGGAACGGCGCTTTCTTGGTGCGTTGTCTACCTGCCTACTACCGAGGTAATCAGGTGGTATCATTGCGGAGTTTGGGCACGAAAGGGGAACGGATGGGAAGGCCACGGAGGCCGTGTTGTACTAACTGTGTATGTTTTGTGTTAGAAGGCTAGGCTGAGTGCCTTATATTGTATTTGTTCTTGTATAGGAGAGATAGGGGTCGAAACGTTGATGGGGAACCATGCCTCCTGAGTTCAGTCAGTCGATATTGCCGCCCCTAAACCCTTTGAATCTGTGGAGGTGACTTGCATGTTAGACAGCTCTGGCTCATCTATGCCTTCTAGAGAGTCACTCACCAGGTAATAGGTAGAGCGGGTTCCATCTTTAAACTGCTCGGTCCGTTTCGTTGAGCTTCAGTCCCTTGTGACCGTCGTCAAAGCTGCTCACCTACCTAGGTGCTGCCTACTTGGTCAGTGTAAACAGTCACTATCATGGTTGGTGTCATGTGCAGTTCGGTTCAGACACCAGCACCCGTTTACTCGATTTTCTCATGAAGTTTGCACGATTGCCAGCAGAGTGTTTTAGGCACCTTTGAGAGTCTGTTAACCATGAGCCCAAGACCGAACCAGTTCGTCGGCAAAATAGGCCTTATGAAGCTTCATCAGTGAGGCACACGCGACCTCGTTCGGTCGTATATCCTCAATGGAGCAACACATATCAAGTGGATGAACCGACCCCAGGCGACAGTTTCCAGATGAGGATCATAACACAAAGATAGCAACATGCAGGATGCCATGGGGTGATGCGGCCGTGTTACCAGACTCCGCACACATCGTCTTCACTTCACAACTTGGAGGCATAGATGGGCAAACCATATTTGCAAGCAACATACACATAGGTCTGCTCGTAGCTAGGCGCGCTTCTTTGTTCCCTTCAGTCTCCCATTCCGAACTCCTAGCACCAAGACTGAACGCCGTCCATATGAAGAGCGCTCGATGCTGCCATCCGGCCCCTTGTTCCCACCGTGTCCCATTCCGGCATGACGATCGTCTGAAATGAATGGCAGAAGAGAAATGCCGTAAATGCATCGTGTGTGGTTGCTTTTTCAACGGTGGTTGATCATAATACATCCCAGAGGTTGATGGGTGCTCGTAAATGCCATGAGACTAACACCCAGGGCAGGGTTCAATATACGAGAGCGTCCGTCTATAAGCAGGCTTGTTGGTGGGTAGGATAACGGCGCACAATGCAGACATGCACTAAAGATCGAATCGGCCGTACCAATGGCTACCGATGCGAGCCCTGGCTGTTGTGGTGATCGTCGCCATCGTGGTGTAAAGTTACACTGTTGAACTCCTCGAAGGGATCAACGGCTTCGACGCCCGGGGTCGCCAGTCCGCTGTCTAACGGCACACCTGGCAACCGTGACCCAGTGATGTCAACACTTTCACTCTCCTTGACGTTCCTAAAGTTGATGGTATCGACGCCATTTCCAGCATGGGGTACGATAGGTGGCTTCATGTGTCGAATGAGAGCCCATTGCGTTGTCCGGAAAAAGGGGTGTCCTTTGATATCAGAGGCACCGGCTCTCGCACCTAGCCTTCGAGTCTCATCCTTGATGAGCAGCTTCCTGACAAGTGACTTGCAGAGACTAGCACAGGTTAGCATCGTGTATGAGTTCTGGAAATTCCAACGTAGTTACGTACTTTGAGACCTGGGGTGCCCCAGAGTGCTCTGGGAAGGGGATTTCTTCACGAAGGATGTTGGCGAAAGTCGCATTACGATTCTTGCCTTTGAACGGAGTGGTTCCGTAAAGCATCTCGTAAACCAAAATCCCCAGAGTCCACCAGTCCACAGCACTGGTATGCCCACTACCCTTAATCACTTCTGGGGCAATATACTCCTCAGTGCCCACAAACGAGTTGGTCCTGAAATTGGCGATACACGACTTGGTGTCTATGGTAGGCAGTGAAGAGGTGCTGGCACCGTTCTTACCCATGATCATAGTAGGCTTACCACCAGGATCTGACTGCTTCGACAGATCGAAATCCGAAAGCATGATGTGTCCAGACTGATGCAGTAGAATATCTGAGGGGCATGTTAATGCAAGCGTACAGGAAGGACAACGACTGCAACTTACTTTCAGGCTTCAGGTCGCGGTATATGAAACCCATCAAGTGAAGGTATTCCAGAGCAGCAGTGACCTCTGCGGCATAAAATCGAGCGTCATCCTCGGGGATGCATTTGCCGGGACGGGTTTGCAATGCGCGGAAGAATTCTCCACCACTGCAGTATTCCATACACAAGTAAAGGTGGTCCTCGGACTGGAAAGAGTGGTATAGGGTCACAATGAACGGGTGATTACTCGTTGCAAGGATCTCCTGCTCGGCCAAGGCTCTCTTGATCTTGTTGCGCTTGATCATCTCCTTCTTGCTCAGAACTGTTCTTGTCAGTCAAACCAGCAAACTGGTGTGAAGCATAGTAGAGCACACACCTTTCATGGCGTAAAGCCTCGTGCTCTTCTTCTCTCTGACGAGATATACCTTGCCCACATCGCCCTTTCCAATAAGCTTGATCTTGTCGAAACTGGCGGGACCAACTTCGACGGTGCGGACCTTGATCGAATTGGAACTGTACGTTCGGCGGAAGGCCAATGGGTGGTGGCCCGGCGGAGGCAGGGCGGCCAGGCCATCACTATCGGGTACGGCGAGAGAATCGGTGGGCGAGGTTTTCGCGTCGGCGAATCCCAAACTCGAGGCATTTCCATTATGCATCAAAGGCTCCTTTCCAAGCTCAGCGGTGGCCGGTCTCTCGCCATCGCCTTTGCCCTGTTTCGAGAAGAGGCCTTGTGCGTTCGGGGCACTAGCAACCCTCCGTAGCTTCCTCGCCAATTCCTCCTTCGTAGCGTTGGTGGGCTGTGGTTTCTCGCCATCTGGACCGTCAACTCTAAAGCTCGGTGTATCGGGTGGACTGGGCGGTACGGAACCTTGATTGTGATGGCGGAGGCCGGGCTGGCCCTGGTGAGCGAAGTAGGGGTTTATGTTGGCGGTAGGACTCATGGCGTCGTCGAGGGGGTTTCCTTCGCTCGCGGTGGTGTTTGTCCTCAGCCTGCCGACGGTGGTGAAGAAGCGCCCTCTAGACTGGCGGAAGCCGGCCTTGTTCTCCGACTTGAGAGGGTGGTCGCGGTCGAGCGACTTCTCCTTGTCGGCGTTGCCACTGTGGTTGATGCGAAAGAAGTTCTTCAGCTTCTGATTGAAATGGCCAGGGCTGTTGCCGGCGGTGTTCGGGGACTTGGAGGGCATAATGCCGGAGCTGGTGTCGGATTGGGACTCGGTTTCTATGTCAGGAGTCGGGTGATGCCATGATGCAAAGCGTTGTTTGAGGCGAATCGGAAGAAGAGGCCCTCGGCGGTTGCGGTGGGAGGACGAGGTTGGTGAAGTGGAGGAGGGATGGTTGACGAGACTGGGGCTGGGACTGTGACTGGGGTCGGTTTCCACCGAAGGCACTGGTCCATCGGAAGCCATGGCGGCGGCTTGCGGCTACCGTACTGCAACAGTGCTGGCAGGCTGGATCTGGGCTCAGGGCAGAGACCCAAGTAACAAAGCTGGGTAGCTGGGCAGCTGGATGGAGCCCGTAACTGATGAATCGGGTCTGAATCGGGTGGACTGGCCGACTGGCTGGTCTGTGGTCTGGCTCTTTGAGCAATGAGAGAGGGGCTCGGAGGCTCGGGGGTCGGGGGGGGCTGAGTCCACTAGGATAACGTTGCGTTGAGCCCTGGGGTTCTGCTAGTGCCTTTGCTTGCTAATCCAACCCTGTCAACCCAATCACTGCCAAGGTTGTTCTGTCCTGACGGGGAATCATTGGACGACTGGACGAGGAGGAGCTGGTGCCAGCTGCCAGCTGCCAATGCAGGCAGGCAGTTGCGATGGCGATGGCGATTCCGAGTCTTTCTTTACCACCCGCATCCAACCTGCAAAGCATCCCAATCTCTCTGTCTCTCTGTCTCTCTGTCTCTGCCATACGGGGTCAGCCCCGATAACTAGCACAGCCTGGAACACAGCACACGCCAGGTTGGAGAGTGTTGGCGGTAAATCGGCAATGCGCTGTCAATGGTCATGTACTGGACGGGTAGCCCCGGGAGATCCAGGAGACGGGAAGGGCTAGACCGTGATCGTTCGGGTTGATGTCACAGAGATCCCTGGGCAGGAGGAGGTAATATGTACCTCGAGGCGACAGGGCTGCTAGGAAAACATTCGACGTGAAAGAATCGAACTGAGGGCGTGGGAGAACTGGAATAGTAGGTAGCACAGATGAAGGATCGTAGGTTGTATGTGAGGAGGGCTCTTCCTGACCGGGCTTTACAAAGAGAGCAACGTGTTCGCGCGCGTTATTCCGTTATTCCGTTATTCATAGGCACTTTTCAAGTTGACAGTCACCTGCACGTATCTCATGCGTTTCTTCAAGTGCTGCGCAGTATTGTACGGTACCCGTCAAGCCCGTTAAAGACATACACTCACTCACTACCTTATGTATGTAGCCGGCTTAGACCCCACAGTTCGGCATCACCGTGACACAACCAGCGTCTTTACTATTTAGTTACCGAGATCCAACGCATTTCTTCTGTGCCTGCTTGTATGAACGGATCCTCCGATGCAGGATTGTCAGGGGGCTGACATCATTCCCATTGATATTCGCGAGACGCATCAGCAGGATGGCGTAGGTTTTGCCTCTTGAGCACACGCTGGGAGCAGCAACAGACCCCATGACGTTGGACGTGTGCCACCAAGGGCGAGAATATTCCACCGAGTCATGGACTGCCTGTTCAGGCTCGAATAGGGGTTCGACTGATCTATCATTCGGTTGCCCCTATCCAGTACCCGAAATGGCCTGTTGTCAACGCCTCACTCTACGCCTTCTCTGATAAGACAGCCCACAAGACAGTCCAAACAGCAAGTCATTTCAGGAGCCGCATCCTTCTAGGCGAGCGCCGAGACATGGCAGCTAACTTGGAGGACAAAGCCAAAGTTACTCTGGCGTGGTGCCCAAACCTGAGATATGATAGGGGGCACTCATAAAGCTTATTGCAACCTGGCGGATAAGAACGGTGTAATGGGAAAACATCGCGTCATTCGCTCGACTGATATGAATGTCCAAAGCAAAGGTTTCCCAACTGCTTGGCTTATGGTAGTGTCTCCCCTATCCTCAACTCATCACACAAGTGCTGTAGTCTTTAATGACGCCTGGAAAGACGTCGGGGAGGGAGCAGTCGTAGGAGGTATTGATCATCTGAGAAGTCGAACGACAACACTATCCTGGGTCTCCAGTTAGAGAAGCCACACCGTCCTCCACCATCATCACCCCGAAATCCCCATCGCCTGCTTCAGATAGTCGTCCTCGGAAACAGCATTCTCGTTCTGCTGAATCAGCAGTTTCTTCAGCCGTCGCTTCCTCTCCTTGTACTGCTGATCGTTCTCCTCCTGCTGCCCGCGTACCGACGGCGTGACCTGCCTGCCATCCTTGTCGAAGAGGTAAAGCGGCAACTTGGCGTCATCCCGCTCGAGCGTGCCGACGCCCTCGTTTTGGTAGCCCTCGCCCATGTGCCACAGATACCATTGGAAGTGCTCCTCCTCGATGTGCTCATCAAACTCCTCCGGGGTCGCGAACTGCACCGGCGCATCCTTCTGGGCGCACTTCGGCCACCTGCAGATAAGGGGGTGGGCATCGCCGTGGATGAACGAGACGTGTTTGCGCAACGTCTCCATGTTCTGCAGCTCCGCCGGACAGGGCGAGATCGGCCCGTCGGCTATCCACTCGCACTTGTAGGGCTGGTACTCCGGATTCGAGCGTAGATACTGATTTCGGGCTGACGGCTCTGGGGCGCGCGGTGGACGGCCGCGGCGCTTCGGTTCCTGACCTTGGCCGTTAGCTGCTGCTGCCTCCTTCTTCTTCTTAGGCTCGCGCGCATTGGTGTCGCCGCTCGAGCTTGCGTATGACATGCCCGGCTTCCAGCCCTTGGGTCGGCCCCTCTTCTTAGTCTGAAGTGCCGGTCCTTCGCCCCTGCTTTCATTGAAGGCGAGTGCATCGGTGACTTTATCTCCCTTTTTCGCCATTGTTGCTATTTGTTGTTGCTGTGATTTTGGTGGCGGCGGTTTCCGGGCCCGATCTGAGAGGACAGCTGTTCCGCCTCGATAGGGCTGGGTGAAGGGAGCGCGGGGGGTTGCTGAGGAAGATCGGATGTGGACTGCTAGTCGAGTACCTGATGGCGTTGATGGGTGTTTTGCAGAGGTGAGGGGTGAATTCATTTTCAGCTCTCCCTGAGGTGTTTGTTGTCGTGAATGAAGTGGCCTGGTGATGTTGTTCGGCTGTGGTTTGATAAGGTCCGAGACCACAACTGGCAAGAATCCATCCTCCTTCATTTCCTCGTCAACTGAGCCAGGAGCCATTCTGGTATCGCCCTTGCTCGTTACCTCGGCTTCATTCTGACCAGCCACATGGTTGTCGGCCATGGCGCCTCGTCCGGAGTTATGAGATGGCAATTGCTCAAAGCACCGCACCTACCAAGAAAGCTAGCTATAGGCTGAGCGCCTTAGCATGTGAGAGCAAATGTATGAATGAATGGCACTAGTGAGGGTTCTTTGAGTCGGCATTTACGTTGGGACATCATCGTTCGGATGCCAAGGTTTGTGAGAGAAGTCAAGTATGAGATGAGATCGTTGGAAGGTCCTAACGCGCTTCTCGTGCGCGTCTGAGAACCTGGGGAATTCCAGTGGTGGGAAAGCTCGGACAGTGCTGAGTGAGAGTCCGCACTGGGCTTCCATGCACAGCAGGCAGGGTGCTTACAGCGCTAGAACCCCAGCCGCATGCAACTTGGAAGTTGAAGGCACCCCTTGGCCGACGGCCTCAACATTCTCGAAGCAAGCAAGAAATAAATGAAACCACTTGCGAGAAGACTTCACTTCGGTCTAAGCGGAATGTCTATTCTGACGGTGTAGCTGCCTAACTAACGAGCAATAGATCCCCGACCCGGCCACGGCCCGTTCCTCGTCATCACAAGCTTTCCTTGATCAAAGAGGCCGCCATCTCTGCGACGCCATACACAGTAGCCTGAGCGTTCGTGCGTGGAATGATGAGCACAATGCTCGCATCGCAAACGCGGAGGTTTGGGCAGCCGTACACACGAAGCTTCTCATCGACCACACCTCCAAGTTCGCGGGACATCATGGAGCAAGTGCCCATGTAATGGGTTTGCCCCTTAGATGTGCGTTTGACATAGTCTCTGGCGGCCCGCATGTCCGTGAAGAGCTTCTTCTGCGGGTCCTTGAGACGGCTGGCGAGCGGCTCTGCATGACAGATGCTCTCGTCTATGAAGCGGATATGGAGCGCTAATACTTCGAGGTCGAGGGGGTGCGATAGATAACGCGGGTTGATCACAAGTCCGCCGTTGCCCCGCGCGCTGTCGGGCTCGGAACTGGTGATGTGCACTGAGCCACGCGAGAGCGGATGTGCAAGCGACAGCACGATCGAGAAGTGATTCCCGGGAGGCCGATACGCCGGGTTGTCCGAATCAAATGGCGAATACGCAGGCGCTGCGAGATACACACCGGAAGCCTCTTTCGGATCTGTCAAGACGGCGCGTATGAAGGATTCGTGGACTGAGGCAAAGGCTCGCGTACAGTTCTGCGTCACCTGAGCGTGCTTGGTGTTCTCCATGACGCTCAAAAGCTCATCGATGTCTTTGCTCGGCAATGGCAACTGAGCCGATGCGACGATATTGCTGCTGGCCAAAGGACCCGCACCTCTGCGGTAAGCCTCTATAGCGGCGGCGGTTGCGGCTGGATCTTTGCGTAGAAGAGGGTCAAGCGTCTCCTCGTCGTCTCGTATCTCAAAGGTCACGCCAGTCACCACATGGTTTTGTAGGTTCTCGCCCACATATGGGTTATCAATGACGACGTCGATACCCAGGCTTCTGAGCAAGTCACTGCCGCCGATGCCAGAAAGTTCGAGCAGCCTTGGAGAGTTGATGGTGCCTGCAGCAAGCACCACCTCTTTATGAGCCTTGACGGTTTCTGTCATCCCATTTCGCACATACTGGACACCACCTGCAACGATACTGCCCGGGCTCGTGCTCTCGAGGAGGATTTTAGTCGCTGTGGCTCCCGTAAGCACGGTGAGATTGGCTCTCGTGCTCGCTGCTGTGAGGTACGTGTTGGCCGAACAACTCCTCTGTTTCTTTACTGGGTCCACAGACTGGGGGATGATAAGAGAGCCAGACACTCGACCAGAAAATGGATCCTCTAGGGGAAACCCGAGCGTATCCAGAGTGTCCGTCCAGACTTTGGTCCATCCACTTCCCGAGTCGGAAACGTTCAGTTGGACTGGACCATCCCCCACCGTCGTACTATCCAGCTTGTGCAAGGTACATGATTTTCTGACAGATTTCTCGAAAGTAGGCCAGTCCCAGCCCTTATTTCCCAGTTGGCTCCAAGCGTCAACATTGAGCTTGGAGGTTGGGGTAAAAAGGTAGCTGTTCAATGCACTGGAACCGCCCAGAGCGCGGCCTTGCGAGAATGTGAGCTCCTTGCCGCCAAGGCCCTCCTGTGCAAGAAAACGTCAGGTCGTCTCGGAAATCCACCCACTGTATGGACTGGTTGGGTGAGTGGAATACCTGGGGGGCAGTACGAAAGGCCCAATCGGCGGAGGAATTGGCTAAGAGTGGCCACATAGCAGGTGTTAGGAACTGCGGCTTCGACATCTCGTCCTCGCCGGCCTCAAGGACAGCAACAACTAGATTGGGATCCTCGGAAAGGCGAGCAGCCAGTACAAGGCCGGCCGTCCCCCCGCCGACGATAACGACGTCGTAGCTGGCAGTCGCCATAGCTTGAAGCCTTGCTCTGATGCAGAGATAAAGCAGGAGAGAAACAAATGAGATATCTGCGGCAGAAACTTTAGCCCGGAACTGAAGCTCGTTTGCTTGGCATAAATACCCGTGATGAAGGCAAGGGGCCGCTGAATACCTGCACGTAGTCTTGCTTGCTGAAGCTGCCCAGAGAGATATTGGTACCATCTCTCCCTGGTATCTCAGTACCTGGGTGGAGAAACCCTGTTTCTGCCTGCTCGGGTTTCACAGAACACCCAGGATGAGGTCGTAATAGGTGAATTGCGCAGAGGTGGCCGGGTAGTTCATGCAGTTGGCTGTTGATACATCAAAGGTAAGGGGTCTGCCTATGCCGGCAATCGCCAACAAGATGGTGGGAGGTGGAACACAGAGCGGCCGCCGGACGGGAAACCCCCTCCCCGCGCCGCCCCCAGCTTCATATTATCCCACAGATAGGGGTACCGTCGTGCCGATTCGCCCCTGAAGGTCGGTTGTATTGACACCAGACTATGGACGTTCACTACCTACACATCTACTCTAGGTGCTGCATGCTGACGCGCGGCGCGATAAGTAGGACTCTGGCTCATATCACATTTCCCCAAAGCCTGCTTCTGGCACGGCGCGTCAACAAAGGCAGTGTGTCTCCGAACGTAACATTGTGCAGTACCGAAAACATGAGTAAAAGACGATGAAGGCCCTTGACTTTGGTTGTCTTGGGGCATGCTTTCTGTTTTCACAGTCGACACAATATAAAAGGTACCATTATGACTTGGACTTCTAATGGACTCTAATCCTCCCTGCGAGTACACTTGTCCGAGCTACATAACACCATGATGTCTTCCCAGCTGTTACCGCAGGCGCAGGCACAGGTAAGCCACTGCATCGACCTGATACCCCCTAGCTTGAGTACCTTTCCAAGTTGACACTAAGCAGGTCGGACATGTGTCCTTCGGCTGGAAAGGGCCTTTCAGCCAGTATTGCTCATCTCACGTTGGCCAGAGGGATGTTAGGATACCGTTCCAGATACATGCCTATCAACGACTCTGGAGCCAGAGCCGTTGGTATCAGCGCCGACGAGACGGATGACAAGACCAACTTCTCGACTTCCGAAACCATCCTGGACAATTCCACCGGCCTGAGACTCGTATTTGCCGGTATGCGAGACAGTCATTTCTTGAGGCGAATATGAACGCACAGACTACGGCGAAGAAGGCTCATCGTCGCCATGCGTCATCTCGGCTGCCGCAGCTGTAACACCTGTACCTAGTCATGATACTCGTCTGCTATTCCAGCCGTCTATATCTTGCCAACGTGAGCCGCTGCGCACGTAGGTTGTTATTACATGATACATTTGTCGTTGGACGAGTGGTCTTGTCTCTCGAACGTGTCACACAACAGCCCTCTTTGAAGACCTCAGCATCGTCTATCACCACATCGCATGGGCCCATAGTCTCTATTTAAGGGGCCGATCCCAAACCATTGGGACAATAAGCATCAAAGAAATAAACCCCACCGGGCCTCTGATATACGAGACTTCCCTATACACTCGCACCACTCCACAACGCCAGCCAGCACGAAAGACAATGAAGTCCGTCAGCCTCGCTTCCGTCGCCCTGCTCCTCGCTTCAGGCATCAATGCCGCCGGCAAGTGCAAGCAGGGCGAGAACTATTGCGGGAGCGAACTGCTCAAGGCAGGTCAGTATCAACGTCTTCCATCGCGTAGCCTCTCTCTTCTCCTTCGGGTTGATTCCCGCCTCCTACGCACATGGGACAAGCGCCAAAGAAAATGCCCTCAAGGTGTCAGTATCAACCGACGCGCTATACGCCAATCCAATTGCCCTTTTTTTCTTTCTTACCGTTCGACTGGTTCTGATATTATTCATAGACCACGACCAGTCCCAGATAGACCAGTCGCTGTTCGACGCCGGCGAGGACAACTACTACGCGGCCGATGGAGGCGACGATACGCTCTTCTACTGTTTCGGCGGCGAAGACAACGAGGGCCTCATCAAGTTCCTGGAAGTATGTGACTGGAAATGCGACGACGCCGGGCAGGGCAACGGCGATCAGTGCTACTGAATGTTACCTTTTGACACGGGCAGGGTAACACCGGTGTGAAGGCGATCTGAAACGGATGTTAAAAAAGTCCTGGTATTGGAATAAACACTCTCTGTCAAACACAACATTATCAATCTTCTTGATTTCCTGGCTCCTGTGCAGTCTGACCTGTACATATCTCGATTCGGAACGAATGCTATGTGCTGACCCAAACTGGCCTTCCTCCATCGAAGGCGGATGGCAGTGCCGTAGTAGTGCCTCGAAAGATATATTCACTGTACTCCCTTCACAGGGAGTTGTATCAATAAGCAAGCAGGCGTAGACAGTCATCATCTCCACTGGTGTCACTGATGGTGGTGCGAGCAAGGCAGGTGAGTGAACTGTCCAAGGTCTCTTTGTGAAGTAGGACGTCTCGTAAGATTCATAAAACCCTAAGACAGATGACTGAGTTTGGTTATTCCATCAACAGCTGAACTGTTGTGCCCGGCTCTCGATGGAGGGGCAACAGCTCAAGCTGGGGAATAGCTTTCGTTCAGGTTCAGAAACGATAGGCACACCGAAGCCAAGGTCTCCATATCTCACACATTCTTGGCTCGTCGCTTATTTCGATCCGCATTGATCGTAAGATGATTATCTCAATCCATCTCAAGTGTCCGTCAGGCGATAGTGAATGGTGAGTCTCATGCCCCGACGCCAGCACCTTCGGTACCGTTCGCGGCGGCCAGCCGTTCCGCCTCATTCTTCTCTCGGAGCGCTTCAGTTTCCCGTCGCATTTTCTCCAAATTCCAGGCGTCGTCGCCGTCATCGCCGTCGTAATCGTCCTCAGCCTCGGACTCGTCCTCTTTATATCTCCAGTCACCACTTTCGAACAACGCACGGCCAGTGTGTTCCTTCTGTTGACGGGCTTGTTCTTCGGCAGTCTTCTTGTCCATTCGATCCTTCTTCCATTTGGCGAAAGACTCTGGAGTCACCGGCGTAAGTGTGCCAGTAAGCTTGTGTCTCTCCGACTCTAGGAAATCCTCCAGGGTCAGAGTCTTGAGCGGGGACTTGTCCAGAAGAGCTTTCTCGGCGGCACGCTGCTCTTTGGTCTTGAGGACGAAGCTGCAAGAGTGGTTAGCGGGAGATCTTGGGACAAATGCACCGGAACTGAATTGACTTACCCTGGTGGAAGAGCATGCTTGTATTTGCAGTCGTTACCTCCGTTTGGGCACACCCAGAACCAACCGTATTTGCCGTCCTCGATAGCTTCGATGAAAAACTTGCAGACCTTGTCGGTGCCGGTCTGTTGGTTGCCCTTCTTGGATAGTACGACCTTTCGTAGCTTCTCCTCGTCCCAGTCGTCGTTTGTCTCTTTCTTTTTCTTCTCCTCTTCTCCGGCTCTGTCATCGGTGTAGAGGTTTATCTTCTCGGTCTTGCGCTCAACCGACAAGTCGTGGGAAAACTTGCACTTCTTTCCCTTCTCGCAATTCCCCTTCTTGAAGAATATACAGACGACGGTCTTGGGATCGACGCCGAACGGAACCTTCTGGACTTGGACGGGCTTAGCAAGCATAGCTTCGGCTTCGCGCTTGGCGTCTTCGGCGGCCTTCTTTTCGCGTAGGCGTGCCTCTTTCTCAGCTTGCTTCCTCTTCTCGTCAGCGGTACCGCCGGCTTTGGAAGAAGCCTCGATCTGCTTGATCTGTCTCTGAGCTGCTCCTCCTTTCTTGTTCTTCATTCCAAAAGTCTTGTCCACGGCGACTTTGCCACCAGCAGGCTTCTTCCCTCCATCGTCCTTCTTTTTGGGGGGCATTTTGACCGCTCGAGGGAGTTGGTTATCTCTGTCGGAGTGAGGTGTCGCGGATCGACTTTTGGGTTGCAGCAAAGTGGAAAGTATTCGGAAAATCAACTTCTGGCGCTCCGCAGATGAATCAGTGAATGAAATCGTTGGTGGGCTGTGAATGATGCATGTGGTGGGGAAAGCTGATCCAAACACCCGCGTACGCCACATGACTGGATCGGACTGTAATCATAGTGGCGCAAACTCTGCACAGCCACAGTCGATTGTTACAGGGGCTACCTCTCGGATTACGTACTCATTGCTGGAGCTGTCAACCCAGCAAGCTGTCCTCCCACATGCATTCGACCCCAGGCCAGTACACCCACTTTCCTTCGAGTCTTCGCAAAGAGCAACATATCGATCACCATATCGCTGCACTGTAAGTCAAAGAAGGCTGGTAGCACGAATCTTGTAAGAGTCGCAATCTGACCGTACACATAGAGCGTTGATCTGCTGAAGAGGCCCGAGTCGCATCTACCCTACTACAACGACGTCCTTCGTGCCGACTTCACCATGATCTCCGACGACGACCTGTACCGACTCGCCATCTTCCTTGGCTCGGTAGCCATGGTGCTGATCGTCGTGTACCACTTCTTCGAAGTCAATTCCCAAGAAGACAGCGCACTCGCAGCGAAGGCAGCGAAAGCCACACCAGTGCAGCAAACCCCTGCTGTAGGGAAGACGTTGGGAGCAACAAGATAGCATGGGGCTTTTGTAGGAGACATGATGGAATTTGCTGGCGTTCACTGGTTGTACATCACAAAAACAAGGACGACGCCCCTATTATGAGGTTTCTGTTGTCGATTCTACCTGCGACACCTGGGAATGGCCCTGCTATGGACTTGACAGGTATCAGGAAGGAGAAGCCTCTTGATTCACTCGATGGTTACCTCCCAGAGCCCTTGAGGTATGGAACCAATGGAAGGCACTACACACTGGGTTATATGAAATATATCGACCTGCGGCGGGTGAGCGAGCTGAGGGAGCATACTACAACCACTCACAGTGGATTCATAATCTTGGACCGAGACGGTATCGCGCCATCATCTTTCCACTCGAGTTCGATGCTTGACCTCTGAACAGAAATGCAATGTTACATACTCGGTACATACCTAGGTTGGGGACGGTGGTCTAGGTACACAGGTACCACTGGTCACTCTACGGGAACGGAATCCACAGACCTCTCGGCATGGCCCAAGCTTCATATGACAACATGCAAGTGGGGCTAAACAACCACTATCCGCAATCAGACTAGCGTGAAATGAACGGGCCTCCGTTGCCAAATTGACCTGCCTGCCCTGCCCTGCCTGCTGCCTGCCCTCCCGCCTGCCAACCCATTGTTCCTTCCTCCTCGTCTTGTCGCGACTGGAACCACCTGCACCGACCAAAACACTTCTTCAATTCTTCGCCATCTCCCACTCATCAATCTCACCATAACCACCATTCTTCCATAATCTCCTTTTGCAAGGCACGCGTACGCAGAAGCAATTCATTATTCTCTTCTTCGATTTGCGGCTGCATCCAACTTCGACAGCCAGTTCCGCGCTCTGCACTCCGACTGACTGCCAAACCAACCAAACGAGTCAAGAGTCGCAGTCCCGCATCACTCCGATACATCTCTTCTGCCATCCAACCATCCGACGCTGCTTGATTCGATTCATCCAGCGCAAGTACCGACACTGATCTTCCGCCATCACATCCTCCATCTCCCCGCGTCGCGTCGCGTCGTAACAAGTCCTGCGCACTTCTGCCGCACGCATCGCGCCTTCCACGCCACAGTAGCCTGATCTCGTTCACTCGTGATCACCTACCATACACCATCTAATACATCCACATTACCAACACTCGTCTATCAAGATGTCCGGAAAGCTCGACCAGTCTCTTGACGAGATTCTCTCGACCACGCGTTCCACTCGTGGCGGCCGCCGACAACCTCAACGCCGCGCCGCTAGACAAACCACCACCGCTGCTCCCGTTGGTGGTGTTCGCAAGACATCGAAGCAGACCCGTGGTGCTGCCACCAAGCTGACTCCCGGTAGAGCCGCTGGTGGTCACGGAGAGAGCAAGGTTGTTGTCAGCAACCTGGTAAGTCTTCACCCTTTCAGGAATCTTCAGTAGGTCTGTTTACTGATGTCGCATTAGCCCAAGGATGTGAACGAAGGCCAGATTAAGGTATGTTTCCTACGGCTTTCGCCTGTGGAATTTCGTCGACATCTTCCATGAACCGCACGAGCGTATCCCATCTGAACGGTCGAGATGAATTTCGGTCCAAACGGGTGATCCTCAGCACCTGGCGTTGTCACCATGCCCAATCTCCTTCCTCAACTACGCAAGCGTGCTTTGCACAGCCGCCATGTCGGAAGTCGAGCAGGTCCTCGTCGCGCACCTATATTGTTGATCCTCTGGAAGGCTTGGCAACCTCCATCGCAGGCTACAATGCGTAGACACTATGGACATTGGCACGGGTGGCAGGCCAATCACTGGCTTGTTCCCTCCGAGGCTTGCTTTCTGCAAGCACTCCAGTTATCCATTATTCGATTGGACGGCTGCAATCAAGCGAGCGCGAGCATAGCAGTGAGCAGCAGCATTACAGCAGACGTCCAGGGTGATTTCTTGGACGGCTCTATATATCCCGTGGCGACAATGGCCAGCAGCACCCTACAACTCTTCCGTCGTGTCAATAGCAGAATGATGAGTGGTTACGGGGAGAGGGATCATTCTGCTCGACGTAGAAATTGGGTGCGCAATGGGAGTACAGGTCGAAGAACACTTGGTAGTCCGTGGGAACGAGCTGGATGAGGTGGTTCTGGGGGGGTATACCTGATGCAGCTGATATGGGGCCGGGACAAGCGGTAATGGCGGGCCTTCGGCATTTCGTCGATATATCCGTCATTGCCACCTTGTCACGATTCGGCACTGGCACTCTTACTAACGCTCACTGTGTGCTCGCTGCTCATGTCTATGGATACATGCTGTGGACGACAAGTGCTCGCCGATTCTCTTGGACGTCGATGTTGGATCACGCCCGTGTGCGCTTACCGATGGGGATCATGAGACTAACATTCATGCCCTCCGTAGGAGTACTTCACCACTTCAGTTGGACCGATCAAGCGAGTGGAGCTTTCTTACGGCCCGGGTGGTGTCAGCCGTGGCATCGCTACCGTCATCTTCTTCAAGCCTGATGGTGCAAGCAAGGCTTTCAAGGCGTTGGATGGTCTTCTCGTCGACAACCGACCTGTCAAGGTATGACTACATGGCATTTTCCAATCTTCTGCGTTTAGTAACATGACCAAGATCGAAATCGTCGTCAGCGCCGACAAGGCCGCTTCAATCATTCCGGCTGCCAAGACTCTTACTGAGCGCATCAGCCAGCCTAAGGCCCAACCGAAGTCTGCCGCAAACGACAAGAAGAAGGAAGCTGCTAAGTCCAGCGGCTCTGGCACTCGCGGACGCAACAAGAGAAAGCCTCGCACTGGTCGTCCGGCCAAGAAGACCGCCGAGGAGCTAGACTCCGAGATGGCCGACTACTTCGAGTCCGGAAACCAGAACGAGAACACTGGTGGTGCTCCTGCTGCCACCAATGGTGACGCCCCAATGGAGGATGAGATGCTAGTATGTATCTACATCCTGATCGAATCAGGTCTTGACGCTAATATACCTGAACAGTGAACGAATCACAGGATCATTCCATGGACGATATTGCGAAGGCAAGGCATTTGGGATACAGGGTCAAGCTGGTTTTTTTTTCTAGTCGGGTCCTCCGGTTGCTCATTTCCCCCAATGATCCCCATTCGACTTTCTCCTTTCAGTTTGGTTCGGCGGACTTGATATTCGGGCTTGCTTTACCTCGCTCAGGTCGGCCGAGTCTGTAGCGGCACAGATTGTATTACGTCGCACTCCATAGATAATGCATGGCAGGGGAAATTCAATGATACCCCTCTAAACTTGGTCTCTTCTACTGAGATGTCTGAATTACGAAAGGCTGACAGCTATGAGCTCTTCTGTTCTATTGCTTGACCTATTCTCCACACCGGTGACTAGGGACGACTTGTGTTCGGCATACAATGCATATGACCATTAGTGTTTCGTAATCCACGAGATGGTTATATGCAGGAAGGACGACAGTTCGGTTATATTCTTGTCTGTCTAAACCCATGGAAGTCCACAGCGAAATATGGATCAGACCAGTCCGTAAGGAATCTCCAACCTAATCTGAGAGAGATCTATCGAACCTTTGTATCCTTCCTGTCGCGCGTCAGACCGTGAATGTATGGTGCCCCTTTTGTCTCTCATCCCCGATATCACAGCGAATTTTTGCTTAATCCTTGAACTTCTTGAACCTGCCAGAAACGTGTCAGTAAAGTGAGGCTGATTTCGTCACTTCACGTCGTTGGCTTCTTTGACGTACTTGCCGACCACGCGTTCGATACCATCACAGCCCATCTTCAGCTGGTCCATGCGGGGACCGTAGGAGAAGCGGACGACTTGAAGGTGGGGAGTTGCAGTCAGCATTCGTTTCGTGGGGGTTTTGGGGGGCTTTAGGCAGGGCTTACAGTGGTGGCAGGGACTGTCGAACAGGTCACGACGACGAGCCGGGTTGAGATCGAAGAAGATACCGGGCACGACGATGACCTTCTCTTCCAGACAGGCCTGGAAGAAGTTCAGACCGTCGGAGATGGGGCCGGGCAGGCCCTCCAGGTTGAGCCAGAGGTAAAACGTGCTGTCCGGCACGTACTTGATCACGAAGCCCATGTCTCGCAGTCGCTTCACGACGTAGTCTCGCTTGTCCTGTAGGGGTAGAGAATACTTGTCAGACCAAAAGAATACAAGGAGGGAGATTGATTGAGTTGCTTACGCGGAAGTGTCTCTGGAGCGCTATCATCTCCTGTCGCACGAGTGACGGCTCCAGCATCGGGACGGCCGCTTCTTGGAAAGGAGCATTGGCTCCTCCGTCGAGATACGAACCACAAGAGCCGATCCTAGGATTTGTTGTGTTAGTAAGATTTGGCGGACAGTTGCGAATGATAAACAGGGTAACTAAGGGCTACTCACGCCTTGATGAACTCCTTGGGTCCCAGGATCCAAGCGATACGCCAGCCCGGAAGGCGGAAGCGCTTAGTCAGTCCATCAATGATGAGGACATCGTCCTCGTCCACATCCTCAATGTTCTCAGCAGTGGAGATGGTCGATCCATCACAGTCACTGGTGTAGTTGTAGCCAGAGTAGAACTCATCGCTGATGAGCGTAGCTCGTCCACGGCAGATATCCTGGATCTCAGCCAGCTCGGGGTTGGCGACCACTCGCCCCGTGGGGTTTCGCGGGTTCGAGGTCAGGATGACTGAGGTTCCTCGCTTAATCTCCTGGGCAATGACATCCGGGTGGATGTGGTAGCCATCCTCCTCGGAAAGAGGCGTAGGGATGGCAGCAAACTGAGTTCGGTCAGTCAAGTTCATACAGGGGTGGCGCTCGGGTGACTTGCGTTCTTGAAGAGCGACAACATCTCGTTGTATGCTGTGTAGTCAGGAATGAAGAAACCGACATAGGCATTGTTAAGCACAGCGGCAATGCGAATCAAGCCCGCTCGTCCACCAGGGACGATGGCAACGTTCTCCCAGGAGTACTGGCTTTCCTTTCCCTGACGATGCATATCGTTGTACATTCTTGCGACGGCAGCGCGGAGCGGCTTGATACCGGCTGTGGGGCCGTACTCTCGGAGGGCGACAGAGACATCTATGGTGGTGGGGCGCTGGAAAGACCCCTCAATGTCGTCCTCGACCTCCGGGGCACCCTGGCCTAGGTTGGCCCATTTGTCAGGCTCATCAAGAAAGCCAAACTCGGCGGCTCGCTCCGTACACCAGACGACACCGGTGGAGGCTCGGCTGGGGTCAAGACCGGCATGCGGGAGATGGCCCGGGTTAGCGGCACGGAACTGACGGTGAATCTTGGAGCTTGTCTCTGCCAAGACGGATGTGTCAGTAACGTTGCGACAGCGTGGTCAACGGGACAGCCATGCTCGCCAAGAGCCAAGGCTAGCACCACAACGTTCTTCAACGGCTATAAGCCACGATTGTGTGTGCTTGGCGGTGTGACGACATGGCATCTGACGAAGAGCTCAAACAAGCAGACTGGGGGAGAGATGTAGGAATCCAGGACCATACCATTGGCGCTGGGGTCTCCAACACTGAATCGTCTTCTGGGAACACCCGTGTTCCGGTTCCTGTAAGGTGTCAGTAATTTTCTTGTCATGTTTGGGAGGGCGTAAGCTGGTTTGAGTTTGAATTTGTATCGTTCCGCCACAGCACTGGCAGAAGCAATCAAGTGCATCCCAAGCATGAGCAACTTGGCATAGTAGATGAATTGATAGATGCGAGTGCATAGGTTAGAGAGCAGAGACTTACATGGAGAACTTGCGTGTGTTGAACATCTTGGCAGACTGTGGCAATGAAGCTGCACGAGGGGCTATTGAATCTGCAGAAGAGAAATTGAGACACAGCAGTAATGGAGGAAAAGATGGCAACGCGATGAGGGGGAGTGTGTCCTTGTATGGGATCTTGGCAGGTAGAACAAGGGAGCACAAGGTCTCAGGTTGGCACGGTAAGAGAAAGAAGAAAACAGAGGATATCACCACCTCTTGTTCGTCGGTGAGAACAGAGTAGACGTCGATACCCAAAGGTAAAGTGGGGGGTGAGGCCTATTAGGTAAAGTGGCACTCCAACAAGGCCACACCGGCCAGAACCAGCATCACACAAAGGAGGAATGTGGTGCTGGGGTGGACCGTCACCTGCTGGCGCCGATGAGTGGCCAGCTGGGGCAGCCAGACAGACAGCCAGAACAGCCCAGACTGGTGAACGGATCAGGAATCAGGATCGGGACTCATAGGGCTCATCAGGATCAGATTCATGCACGTCGGTGATCAATAGGGCATCTGATCTATCAGCTCCCTGGTTGAATGCTCGCCTTCCCCGAGGCCACGAGGCTCATATTGCTGGAACCAGGGATGATATCTGGCTGAATGTCGGAAGCACGAAAAGTTACCGGCCTGTAAATTGGCACATATTGGTTATATGGAATTCTGATATGTTCCATCTTTTGGCAATGATGCTTCTCCTACCCGGACTGCAAATCATCTTGGCCCTTTGGTAAAAGTTGGCGATGAGTATGCTGGTATGGTGGGGGAGGCGGGGAGGACGATAAGTGATAATCCCGTCGGGCATGAGGGGCAAAGTCGGGGTGGCGGTCCCGGATTGCCCCGACATCGGGAGCGTGCTACAGGGCATGGCCTAAAACGGCAGGCGGCAGGCAAGTGCAGGAACGAGGAACGCGCCAAGCATCACTTAACGCGACTGCACAATCGCTTCGGAATCGCACGGGAGATCTGCTAAACACCAGCACAGCACCAGCACCAACAAACGGGACAATCACAAATCACAAGCAGGCAATCATGGCGCTCATAGTCGATAAGCACCGTCCCCGGACTCTCGACTCTCTGACCTACCATTCGGAGCTGTCCGAGAGACTGCGATCTTTGGTACGTTGCTCCAAGCCGCAACGCGCCTGGCATCCTTCCAATTTGTCCAAACTGACAGGTCTGCACCACAGGCCCAGAGCGGCGATTTCCCTCACCTTCTAGTATACGGACCTTCTGGTGCCGGAAAGAAGACACGAATTGTGGCCACACTGAAGGAGCTGTACGGGCCTGGAGTCGAGAAGATCAAGATTGACGCGCGAGTCTTCCAGACCAGCAGCAGCCGCAAGCTGGAATTCAACATTGTAGCCTCCGTCTACCATCTGGAGATAACCCCTTCGGACGTTGGAAACTATGATCGTGTCGTCGTACAAGACCTCCTCAAGGAGGTTGCCCAGACCCAACAAGTCGACCAGTCCGCAAGACAAAAGTTCAAGGTCGTTGTCATCAACGAGGCAGACCATCTGACCCGTGATGCCCAAGCCGCCCTGAGACGAACGATGGAGAAATACAGCCCGAACCTTCGATTGATACTCCTGGCCAACAGTACGGCAAACATCATCGCACCCATTCGAAGTCGAACACTCCTCGTCCGGGTTGCGGCTCCTACAATAAATGAGATCTCGAGTGTGCTGGCGGAATCGGCCAAGCGCGAAGGATGGCCAGTCGTCAAGGGCTTGCACAAGAGAATCGCAGAGGAGAGCGGACGGAATCTCCGAAGAGCCCTGCTGATGTATGAGGCGGTCCATGCCCAGAAGTATGTCTTGCCGCGAGCCCCTCCATATACACAGAGTACTAACAGGCGTTTCCAGTGAGAAAGTGACGGACGATACGCCCATACCGCCTCCAGATTGGGAAGCCCTAATATCCCAGATTGCGAAGGAGATCATGGAGGAACACACGCCCGCCCGGATCCTCCAAGTTCGATCGAAGCTCTACGACCTCCTGACCCATTGCATACCTCCGTCAACGATCCTCAAAACCCTGACCTTCAAGCTCATCCCCCTTATCGACGACGACCTGAAGTGGGAGGTGATCAAGTGGTCGGCGTTCTACGAGCACAGAATAAGAATGGGCAGCAAGGTTATCTTCCATCTGGAAGCCTTCGTGGCCAAGTTCATGAGAATATTCGAGCAGTACCTGATGACCATGGACATGTAATGGCCTCGGCTGGTTGGTGGACAAAGTGGCTTCTCGGAAACGGGGTTCGTGGAGTAAAGGAGTTCTTGAAATGAAATCCGAGGCAATGATATCCAGCGCCTGCTTGCGATTTCTCGGTTGATATGACGATGCGTCGGAGCATGGGCGAGCAATCCAATGACATTTAGTGTCCTTTTTCTCCGGACCCGGTCCAAGAATTCGTCACGTAGGTCCGGTCCCGAGGGACTGGGTCTGCTGTCGGTGGAGAGGATCTATCTGGTTTAGACTAATGAGGCAACCGGGAGGCGCGGAAGTTTGCTGTCATTGTGGGGTAATCAATGACTTGCCCCGGCCTTGGTGATTTCTCGAGCAGTTATGACTGGACCTTCTGACACGCTCAGACGCGTCCGTACGTGAAAGCACGGTAAGTTGACAAATCTGTCCCAAGGGTTCCGATGCAGAGGGTACTACACCGCCCATTCAGCCATTGCCCCGGCTGAGCGGAAATTGGCATTGGCGGAAGGCTACCTGATGATGGGGCCCAGGATGACAACATCAAAGATGCATTCACAGTCTTGCGAATGCAGCAGCCCGGGTCTTTCCCCACACCCCACACTCTGGGCTGACCACCCCGGCCTTGGCATATTACCTGATTCGCAACCCGACTAATGAAAAGGGTCATCTGATCGCAATAAGCGTCGACTTGGCCGGTAAGCATTGGGTGCAATCCGCGTGCGGTTTCCTTTTCACTGATGATTCCTGTCGTGTTTCTTCTAGGCGGTGAATATTGCCAAGGGTCTTGGTGACTGATGCGGGGTCCTCCATGCAAATATGAGGGGCGCTTTTTGGGGTTCGGGTGACTTGCAGGTACGGTCGAAGGTGATAGGAGTGCAGACTCATTGCGTCCTTGCACTTTATGCAGTTGGTGCGCCGCGCTCTTGGGTTACATTGACTCGGTTTAATTCCCATCAGCTCTCATCGAGGCGAGTTACAGTGAATACTTGGGTACGTGAGTCAAGGGTTGAGGACGGAGTCACGTATACGATAGGAAGAGTTCGGGGAACGTTGCGCAAGATTGGGATATATTGCATCTGCATGTAGGTATGGAGGACCACCTATGCCAGAACATGGTGCATAAAGAACCTCATTGTACCCGAAGACTTGATGATATTTCCCATACAATATTGAGACAAATATCTTGTCGACCTGTCACGTATCTCATAGGCCGGCTTTACAGAGTCGACAATGCCCTATTGTGTCGTTTGCAAGGGCATGCCACATTGAGTAGTCAAATGCGGTGTTGGCGGATGCAAACGTTTGATGTTGGCCGTAACATGACTTCGACCTCAGCTTGCAGCGTGTAGTCACGGAACTCGTTCCCTCTGGGCCGGAAGCGTCAGACGAGATACGTACGCGCCGGCGGCCGAGCGGAAGAAATACCTGGCAGCTGCCTGGTAGGGGATCTGCCCGAACCCCGGTGCGAACCCCAACTGCACCTCATGAATGGAGATCCCGAGTCGAATGCAGTGGACAGGGCTCATGGAAGGCATCTAGCTCCTACAAGGGTATTCCGCCATTGTTGCAGGCGAGAATATGCTTGTACTAGGGTCATCTGTACCAGGTAGGTAGCATAACTGTGACTGTAATTGGCATTAGCTGCATCCCGACTGGGCGTTGGGTGTTCGCATGCGCGGGGTGGGGAGTGGGAAACGACCTTCCTGCATTTCACCCCCCCATTCGGGCCATTCTGCCGCAACAATACAAAACATTGCCGCATCCCCGGGCCTCCTCGTCAACAATACTCGGCCGTCCATTCACACAATCCTCTCCGTCTTTATATCTTGCGCAAGCTCTCGTGAAGCTGCGGCTCTCTCTTGTACACACAGCCAAACGGTTGGCTTCCATTGCCCGCTTCTATTCTTGCACGCGATCGAGTCCCATCCCCAACCCATCTCCGCGCCGAACCCCGCAGCCAGCGCGAAGGAAGCGGAAGCACGACAACCACCTGCACCTGCACCCCGCCAACATGGGTGAAGAAAGCAAGACCCCCGTGGTCGCGGAGGCCCACATGGTCGACACATTCCGTAAGAAGCCTCATGTGTCCCAGCTGTTTTAGCAAATCTACAGACTCGCAAGAGGCAATGGCGCTGATGAAATATGAACAGACCCTCCGCAGAAGATGCTTGACAGTAAGGCCATCCCTTCAGCCGAGACGGTACCGGGTAGGGTATGTGTGAAGCTAACATGAGATCAGAGCATCCCAGCAAGCCTCATATTGGCAGTAAGTTACGAAATCACGAAATTGAATATGTGGTCTGCTATGACTGACATCTCGTAGGCATGGAGGAGTACCAACAAATGTACAAGGAGTCTATCACCGAACCCGATAAGTTTTGGGCGAAGAAGGCCAGAGAGCTCCTGACCTGGCAACGAGATTTTGACACGGTCCGCACCGGATCGCTCGCCGAAGGCGATGCGGCTTGGTTTGTCGAGGGTCAGCTCAACGCCTCCTACAACTGCGTCGACCGGCATGCTATCAAAGACCCGAACCGCGTCGCGCTCATCTACGTAGCTGATGAGCCGAGTGAGGGCCGCACCCTGACCTATAGCGAGCTCCTCCGCGAGGTCTGCAAGGTCGCGCATGTGCTCAAGAAGATGGGTGTCCGAAAAGGAGATACCGTCGCCATCTACCTCCCCATGATTCCTGAAGCCATCATCGCTTTCCTCGCCATTATCCGTATTGGCGCAATCCACTCCGTCATCTTCGCCGGTTTCTCAGCCGATTCACTACGTGATCGGGTTATTGATGCTCAATCCAAAGTCGTTATTACCACGGATGAGGGAAAGCGAGGTGGAAAGCTGATTGCCACCAAGAGAATTGTCGACGACGCCCTGAGGCAGTGCCCCGACGTCACCGGATGTCTCGTCTACAAGCGCACTGGCGCCGAGATTCAATGGACAGAGGGTCGTGACTTGTGGTGGCACGACGAAGTTGAGAAGTGGCCGTCCTACATCGCCCCCGAGGTCATGAACGCCGAGGATCCCCTCTTCTTGCTGTACACCTCTGGTTCAACTGGAAAGCCGAAGGGTGTCATGCATACCACGGCCGGATATTTGCTCGGTGCGGCAATGACTGGCAAGTACGTGTTCGACATTCACGACGGAGACAAATACTTCTGTGGCGGTGATGTTGGCTGGATCACTGGCCACACGTACGTCGTCTACGCGCCTCTCCTCCTAGGTATCTCCACGGTAGTCTTCGAAGGCACACCCGCCTACCCGAATTTCTCTCGATACTGGGAGATCATTGCCAAGCACGAAGTCACCCAATTCTACGTAGCGCCGACCGCCCTGAGACTGTTGAAGCGCGCGGGTGATGACTATGTGAAGGCTCACATGCCTAAGCTGAGAGTCCTCGGATCAGTAGGAGAGCCAATTGCGGCTGAGGTCTGGAAGTGGTACTTCGAGGTTGTTGGAAGGGAGGAGGCGCATATTGTCGACGTAAGTTCAAGCCATCATTCGTTGCCGTGTATTTCATAACTAACAAAGTAGACTTACTGGCAAACCGAGACCGGGTCGAATGTCATCACACCCCTGGCTGGAGTGACGCCGACAAAACCCGGAAGCGCATCCCTACCGTTCTTCGGAATAGAGCCGGCCATCGTCGACCCCGTTTCTGGCGAGGAAATTCACGGGAACGACGTCGAGGGTGTGTTGGCTTTCAAGCAGCCTTGGCCCAGCATGGCTCGTACTGTATGGGGTGCCCATAAGAGATATATGGATACCTACCTGAATGTCTACAAGGGCTACTACGTAAGTCTGATCTTATTTGTGCAAGCAACATTGCTAAGAAAATCCTAGTTCACTGGCGATGGAGCCGGCCGCGACCACGAGGGTTTCTACTGGATCCGGGGACGAGTCGATGATGTTGTCAACGTCAGCGGCCACCGTCTGTCAACTGCCGAGATCGAAGCTGCCCTGATCGAGCACCATGCCGTAGCTGAGGCCGCCGTAGTTGGCGTTACTGACGAAATGACGGGCCAGGCTGTCAACGCGTTCGTGGCCATCAAGGATGGTAACGAGCCCACAGATGCCTTGAGAAAGGAGTTCATTCTTCAAGTGCGCAAGAGCATCGGACCTTTCGCCGCACCCAGAGCGGTGTACATTGTGCCTGACTTGCCCAAGACCCGAAGTGGTAAGATCATGCGTCGCATTCTGAGAAAGATCTTGGCTGGTGAGGGAGACCAGCTTGGCGACATTTCTACGGTAAGCAACCCAAAAATCATCGATATGATCAACGCTGACGTTAAGCGCACAAAGCTCTCGGATCCTTCGGTGGTTGATAACATCAAGGCCGCGGTTCTCGATGGTAAGAAGAAGTAGAGCAAGCGAGCATGGATGGGTGTAAGCTTAGTTGGAAGGGTGCTTTTTTCGCGATGAGCTTCTGATACCAAAACGCAGGATGATTTCAATGAGACCCAGGTGTACTGGATGTGACTGAACGTGACCTGTAACATTAAAAGCAAATGTGCTTCCTACCGTGAACTAACCGTCGCCTGTCCGGTGAGTCTCAACGGCCCTTGGCAGAGAAACAAAACGAGTAAACTGGCGGCTGGGCAGCGGCGATACGAGGCGTTGCTGATGCCATTCCGGGATGGATTGACTCGACCCATGTGCAAGTTGTAAGAAGCCGGGCTAACGGCCATGAATGACCACCTGCACGCCGAGCGCAGCGGTAGGCCGAAGCGCCGCACAGCACAGCCCGAACTTTGCCACTGGCACATGACACAAGACACGGCCTTCACTATCGGTGTCCTGCTGGCGAGTCGTGACGGCTCAGGCCTTGCCAAGTCGCTGGGCGTGGTGCTTCATGACGCGTACCGCTTCGCCGCGGATACTATCAGCACTTGCGCCTATTTGCCGAGGGTCTTCAGCTCCGGATGGACGGGAGCAGATCTAGTGATGTGCAAAGCTTTCTTTGATATATATGTACTGTATCTGTATGAGCTACTAGCTAGCCGCGTGTTGTGTGTGCGACGCCACGCCATTAACCAGTAGGTAACCAGTGGCAACTACCATCATCATGGACGTATCACAGATGCTGGCCTTGTCTGGGCAAACCTGACTGGTACAAGGTAGGGACAGCTGCTGTACTCAGGGGTCATCTGCGCCTCCTGAAACGTGTAACACGAAGAAACACCAACACGAAGCCAGAATGGTAGCCACAGGCATCTCCAAAAAGAAACGAGCAGACCACAGCCGCCGCAGTCTGGCGCCAGCCTCGTTATGATTGGCAAGCAGTTGCCGAAGGGCTTGTAATGATAATACGCCCTGTCAGAGGACCCGGTCACCCCTATTGTTTCCATCTATCACCATATTCACAACATGAACACAGACGGGATCTTGCAGATTCCAGCCCTGCGAAATGGTAAAGTCAAAAGTAGCCGAAGTTCCCGAATCGGCACAAGATCAAAAGATACGGTTTGGTTCCTGGATATTACCGTTACCGTTACCGCTACCGCTAGCCCCGCTTCTCACCGTCGCTGTTACACCGGCCAGACGCCTGCTCAGCCTTGGCGCAACCGCACGATCCGACCAGGGCTTCCAAATCGGCGCCGGCCAATCACCACGGCTTGCCCCCACCCTCCACCCTCCACCGTTCTTGTGCCTATCTGGACTGGGGTGAACCAGGAGGCCAACCCCAGGTTCCGTCTCTGCTGAAACCACCGACCTGCAACCTGTGAGAACAGTTTCCCTCCTGGCCTCGCGAGACCTATCCATTTTTGAGTCTCTTATGAGAAACAGCGCTGCGCTTCACCTTGATAGACCTGCACACGAACATCGTCTCCCAACCTAAACGCTACCATCCACTCCCTACTAAGTAAGTACCTTGGACTACCACGGCTGGCAAAGGACTGCCAAGGTGGCGGACGGGCAGTGCAACCGTGTGCCCCAGTGGATTCTGAAGCCAAATCCACCTCTTCGCCGAGCCTCCAGCCATTGCCTCGTGTAGACATCCGCCACTGCACCTGTGTCTCACCTCCTGTGCTTGCCGTTTTTCTGGTCAAAGCTAGATAGATCGGTATTGGCCAGTGTCATCTACTTTTCGATTAAACAACCACAACGTTATCGACGACACTCGGTGCTTAGGTAGCTTTACATCCTGCGAGAACGACACATACGCTACGACGTCGGTCGCATCACACACTTGGATGGAGCTTGGGTACGAGAAGGCCCTCTCGCGATAGCGAATTCAATTCAATTATGCGCAACATCCTCAGGGCCGCGGCCGCCATACTATTGGGCTTTTCGCTCTCGTCAGAAGCCCATTCTGTAAAAAGGAACCCCCTAAGCTTCATCAGCCGAGTCGACGACGCCGTATTACATACGCCCTCGCACCGCGTCCACGCCTACTCTACCTTCGACCTGACTTTCCTCCTCCACGACGGGCGCGAGAAGATACGGATAGTCTTGGAGCCTAATCACGATGTCTTGTCGGATACCGCAAGCATACAATATCTCGCTGCCGATGGCACCATCACCCAGGAGAAGTTCGACAGGACACAGCACAGGGTGTTCAAGGGCGACGCCTTTATACAACACCCGGGCCACTCCGAATGGCTGAACACAGGATGGGCAAGAATAACGGTTCACCGAGATGGAGCGCAGCCCATATTTGAAGGGACATTCCGCGTGAATGGAAATCAACACCACATTGCGACCGGCTCTACTTATAGGCAGACGCGACTCGACGAGGACCCAGCAGCGTACGACGCCGATGACGAATACATGATTGTCTGGAGGGACACGGATATCCTGCCCGATATGCAGGGTCCAAGCCAGGAGCTCAAACGTGGATTTGCCGACAATGGAACTGTTTGCTCCTCTGACCTGCTGGATTTCAACAACGAGAACAACCACCCGGTCCACCGTGGCTTGGATGTCCGCGACATGTCCTCGGTCGAACTGGGCGCCCTGTTTCGCCGCGACGGTATAGATGGGACCACCAGCGGCAACGGGGCTGGCGTGAATTTGGCCCAGAGCATCGGATCTACCAAGGGCTGTCCCACTACCAGAAAGGTGGCTCTGGTTGGCATCGCAACGGACTGCACCTACACCGCACAGTTTGGCTCCGAGGCCGATGTCAAGTCCAACATCATTCAGGTCGTCAACTCGGCATCGGCGCTTTTCGAAAGCACCTTCAACATCTCCATAGGCATTCAGAACCTTACTATCAGCGACGCCGAATGTCCTGGAACCCCACCGCAAGGTTCCCAGTGGAACCAGGCTTGTAGCTCCAGTGTTACCATCAACGACCGCCTCAATTTGTTCTCGGCATGGCGAGGGCAGTTCAATGATACCAATGCGTATTGGACCCTGCTGAGCACGTGCAATACGGATGCTGCAGTCGGCCTGGCCTGGTTGGGTCAACTGTGCCAGCAAGGTTCTACGGGGGGCAACGAAACCACAGCTGGAGCCAACGTCGTTGTCAAGACCAGCACCGAATGGCAGGTATTTGCCCATGAAAGTGGCCATACCTTTGGCGCCTTCCACGACTGCGTGGATACGACTTGTTCAGACGGTACCTTCACGATGCAGAAATGCTGTCCGCTCAGTTCTTCCACTTGCGATGCAGATGGGAAGTATATCATGAACCCATCAACGTCCAGTGGCATCACGCAATTCTCCCCTTGTACTGTTGGTAATATTTGTTCCGCCATGGATCGGGGCAGCGTCAACACGGCCTGCTTGACCAATAACAAAGACGTTGTTACCATCACTGGGAACCAGTGCGGCAATGGGATCGTCGAAGCAGGAGAGGACTGCGACTGTGGTGGTGAGAACGGCTGCGGCGACAATCCCTGCTGTGACGCCAAAACCTGTAAATTCAAGGGCAGCTCTGTTTGTGATCCGACCAACGAGGACTGCTGTACTGATCAGTGTCAATTCGCGTCCAGCGGGCTGGTCTGCAGAGCCAGCACTGGCACATGCGACCCACAAGAGACATGCGGCGGTACCAATGCGACGTGCCCAGCCGATGTCAAGGCGCCCGATGGTACAGCTTGTGGTGCGAGCGGTGCTGGTTTGACTTGCGCGTCGGGCCAATGCACTTCACGTGACCTACAATGTCGGACAGTGGTCGGCTCATTGACCAACAACAATGACACTTCTGCTTGCGACTCGCAGAGCTGTTTGTTGCGATGTGCCTCTTCGAAATTAGGCCCCAATGCTTGCTACGATATGCAGCAGAATTTCCTCGACGGTACTCCTTGTGAAGGGGGTGGGCATTGCAACAATGGACAATGTTCGGGTGCCAACTTTGGAGACCAGGTTGGAAGCTGGATTACTGACAACAAGAACATTGTCATCCCGGTAGCCGCCGTCGTCGGCGGTCTCATCGTGATCGGCGTCATCAGTTGTTGCTTCAATTGTATTCGACGGAGGACTCGACGAAGAAAGCTCGCCGAGATGGCACCACCGAACAGCAGCTGGGTCGGAGGCAATCAGAATGCCTGGGCCGCCAGCGCAGTATCACAGCCACCCCCAGTTGCCCGCGGTGCGAATGGTTCAGCACGAAGTGACAGGGCACGTCAAAGAAGTGAGAGGAGCGGGAGTAGAACACAGCCAAACTCAAACTGGCAGCCGGATCAACAACCATGGGAAACAAGGCCGAGGATACCCACGGCGCGCTACGCATAATATGAGCTCACAGCTGGATCAGACCTGGGCTGGTATCTGGGGATCCGGAGGCTTGGGAAAACGATATAAATGCATTGGGTCAGAGATGGGAAATTACGGGAAGGGCTCCTGATGGGAAGGATCTCATGACAAGCATCGTGATAGCACGGAGTTGTCGGCGTTATCTTTCTCTGGGAATTAGATTGGAATGTGCTTGGGTCAGCATTCGCAATCATCGCGTAACTGGATATCTGATTACTAGCATCGAGATGTGTATGACGGCTCGGCCGACCCCCATTGCACAGCAGGACGAATGAAATGCTTACGCTTGCTTGGGAGTTCGCGATGTAGGAAACTTACGAAAGTGGGAATCGCGCTGTATATGTAAGAGTCAACTCTCGCAGCCCAAGACAACGTCGGTGATTGTGAAAGGGGTAGTTGCCAATATTATTGATGTCATGACCGCATGCATGGGTTTCCTATTCGTGATGAACAGATCAGATTATACACACTGGAGCTGCTGGTCTTCTGGCTTCCCATCTAAGTGGAAGCACTGCTTGCGCCTCGCCTGCGATTATCTGCTTGCTGCTTCACGGCGGCGGATGTCGCAGACGCGAGAGATCATTCATTCCTCTCTCCCCACCCAACCCCTTTCCCACTCCAGCCCGTACCTATATGAATGTGCATATCATAGCCTCCTTCCATCCTCATGAATCGTTTGGGGGGGGGGGGGGGGGGGGGGGGGGGAAACCCTCACCATCCAGTATCCATCATCCATCATCCAGCATTCAGCATCCATCCATTCAGCATCCATCCATTCAGCATCCATCCATTCATCGACTACTCGGCCCCGCCGACGTCGACGCTCCCGACGCGGTCCGCTTCCCGTGGTTCGGCTTCTTACGCGGCTGTTGCTGTGGGCGTGATAACGACCCCGCTGTTGTGGGCTCGGGGATGCCGGCGAGTTGGCGCTGGTAGCGGGCGCGTGTGGCGGGTATGCTCTGTTTGGGTTGGTGCGTGTGTGAATAGGGGGGTTCCTTTCTCTTTTTGTGGGGTTTTGTTTGGTTGATGGGGGGTGTGGTTTATGTATGTGTGTGCGTGCGTGCGTGTGTAGAGATGTAGCTGGGGGACTTATGGGTGTAGGGGTGTAGGGGTGTAGGGGCGTAGAGGAAATGTTGTAGGGATGTAGGGGTGTAGAGGAAAGGTTGCAGGGTAAAAGCGCAAAGCGGAAAAGCGGAAAAGGGGGGTGAGGGAAGAAGGAAGAGGGAAGCGGGAAAGGAAAAACACCATCTCAACTCACCTCGTCGTCCCGCATAGCCGCCATCATCAGCAGTTCAGGGCTGTCCAGGATATGCGCGGCGGCGCGACGGCGCTCGGCTGTCCCAAAGGGCTCGGTGTCGTCGTCTCGAGTGTCACTAAGGATGTAGGCATACAGCATCAGCTCCGTTATCCGCCGCTCTGCTTGTATCTGTGCCTTCCTCCGTTGCAGCTCTCGTATTATTGGTTTCAGCCGTTCCAGACCTTCCTGCAACGCTTGGATCTCTGCTGCTGCTGCTGCTGCGAGTGCCGCGTGTGCTGCCTGTACGGAAACGGGACCAGTGCCGGGGCCGGGGTTGGGGCTGGGGTTGTTGTCTGCCATAGTTTTGCGGGAGAGAACGGGAGGGTGGGGGCTTTAATATACGAATAGACAATGGATGATGGATGATAGATGATGGATGATGGAGGATGAATGTTGGGGAGGTGGAGATGGGCTGGGAATAGTTGCAGTGGGCGGGTGAGGAAGCGGTTGTGTGTCGGGTGAAGATGTGATACGACAAGGCCACCTACCTAACCCGTGAACCTGCCACGCAACTGCCAGGGAACACATAGAGGAAGGTGGACGGGAGGGCAGACAGGAGGTTGCAAGGCAGGCAAGCAGCAAGCAAAGAGCAAAGAGCACAGAGACAGAGGGTAGGTAGGTATGAAATAGAAGAAGGGTTACCTACCCTCCAATGCGACAGCGTCCACGGCCGCCCTCGCGTCCTTCGCCGGGCGTCCAGTCGCTCCCGTCCTCCGAGTCGTCGTAGGGGTCCTTGCCCCGGGCCTGGCGGTCCCGCATCTCGCCCGTGAACACGGACGTTTTGGCCCGCTTGGAGCTGCTAGCACTGCTCCAGCCGCCTGTGCCGACGGTAGATGCGCCGACGGCGTTCGGGGTCCAGGGCGCTGCTGCTGCTGCTGCACCTCCCGTGTGGCCGCTCATGTCTACGTTTTCTTTCACGGCAGTTGGTGCGCGTGTGGTATGGTTTATGATTGTTATCAGACCAATGGTAGACGAGGCTGGGAATTGGACGACATAGGTATGAGGAGTTCAGTTGACGTTGGAAAGCTGTGTGGGGGAATCAGCAATTGACGAAGGTTTGCTTTTTGGAGGTGGCTCATGTTGCTACAGTCCGCTCCTTCCAATTCTCCATCCGCGCACCTCTGTCGGTTTGAACCCAAGAACAGACACATTTACATGGCAGTTCTGTTTCGAAAAATCTTTCTCGGTGCTTATTTTGCAGTGGTTTATACCACAACTGAAGAATTACTACATATTTGAGACATACATAAGGACGGTTGATGGCATTAAGTCTTTCTTGAAACATTAGTAACGCCACGATTTCGCCGGCTAATTAGATAATAGAATTTGCCCCGCTTAAACTGTCCTTTTCTTTTGGGGTTTGTTTATTTTGTGTGTAACTTTTTGCAACCGGTTACGTTCAAACCGCAATACTTTAATGCATATTATCTTTTAAACAATTATTCTTTTTACTATTTTCGCCGTTTAGGACATTGGTTGAAAGTGCGAGTTATAGCCTGTGCTTAAGTAGTAGCTGACCGTAAGAGGTGTGGCTTATAGTTGATAGTTGGTCCGGATATCTCCCGACTAAGTGACCTCCGGCTATCAGATTCCAGGTCGCTAGGCAGGATCGGGTAAGTAGCGGGTAGCTACTTAGATTCATTGTGGGAACAGGTTGCGGTTTTAACGTGCAACAAGAGAATCAGGATAATCTCGGTGTTGACAAGACATAAGCTGAAGCAGCAATTCCGTAGCAGAGGGGTTCCTAAAGCCAAAAGTATCCGGACTCTTATGTACGCCCATAGCCTTCGCCTGTCACCCGATGTTATACGCCCCGCATTACGGACAACTCATCGTCCAGACGCCGGCGCCAGGAAGGTCCCATTCAACTGCACCGGCTACACTCCATAGCCATTGAAGAGGCCGGCGAAGTTCGGAGCGAGTGTGAGGATTGCTATACTGCAGGTCCACAGCTCCAAGACCGGAGCTCTCACCTGAGCCCAATGGCCCGCAAGTGCGTATAGGCGCGCCAATCTCGGCCATCCCCGGGCGAGATTCCGCCGAAAGGGGGACGTCTTCCCGTCGACGCAGACGCACCGGGCCCGCTCCAATGCATGCGGGAGCTGTGTAGTAGATGAAGGGGTCACGTCAACACTGTGGTGGAGGAAGATTGATAAGAGAAGTTGCAACCTCATCCGCGTGTCTCTCTTTCTTCTCCTTTTCTCTCTGGGAAGTTTACTTGTTTGGTTGGAAGAAATCAGATCAACATGACGACCTTCACCAATATCATCGGGGACGAGACCCCGCTCATCGAGGTCGATGCCTCCAAGCGGCTCTCCAAGATCGACCCCATGACCTACGGCGGCTTCACCGAGTACGTGAAACCCCCAGCACACGACTGACAGATCCGCTGACGTAACCTCCAGGCACATGGGCCGCTGCATCTACGGCGGCATCTACGACCCGGACAGCCCGCTCGCCGACGCCAACGGGTTCCGCAAGGACGTGCTCTCGGCGCTGCGCGAGCTCGACATCCCGGTGATCCGGTACCCGGGCGGCAACTTCGTGGCGACGTACCACTGGCAGGACGGGATCGGGCCGCGGGACCAGCGGCCCAAGCGGCCCGAGCTGGCCTGGCTGGGCACCGAGACGAACCAGTTCGGCACCGACGAGTTCATGACGTGGCTGGACGTGCTGTCCGAGGGCAAGCCCGGCGGCGCGCGCGTCGAGCCGTACCTGTGCCTGAACTTCGGCACCGGCACCCTCGACGAGGCGCTCGCCTGGGTCGAGTACTGCAACGGCACGCGCGACACGCACTACGCCAACCTGCGCCGCGCCAACGGCCACCCGGAACCCTACCGCGTCAAGTACTGGGCCCTGGGCAACGAGTGCTGGGGGCCCTGGCAGGTCGAGCAGATGACCAAGGAGGACTATGCGAAGAAGGCTGCGCAGTGGGCCAAGGCGCTGCGCCTGCTCGACCCGGACATCTGTCTGATACTGTGCGGCCAGGACGGCACCGCGTCGTGGGACTACTATGTTCTGCAGGAGTGCGTCCAGTGGGCCGATATGCACAGCATTCATGTCTACACGGCGTCAGGCGACCACCTGAAGAACGTGACGGCGCCGCTGACGGCCGAGCGGGCTATCCAGATCACGGCCAGCTTGATTGACTGTGAGTGGCCGAAGTCCTGTTACCCCTTTTCCCTCTTCCCCTTTTCATGTCCCTCTCTGTCAGGGCCCATGGCCAGCCCACCGCACAGCACCCTCCCCTAAACCTTTCAGTTGAAACCCACACAGACTGACCCTCCATCCCAGTGGCCCGCATCGAGAAGAACATCCCGCCAACCAAGCCGCGCACGCGCATCTGCTTCGACGAGTGGAACGTCTGGGACCCGGTGCGCGCCCCCGGCGACAAGGGCGCCGAGGAGAAGTACACCCTTTCAGACGCGCTGGCCGTCGCCGTGTGGCTCAACGTGTTTGTGCGGCAGAGCCGGTACATAGGCAGTAAGTGACAAGCAAGCATCAAGCACCAAGCACCAAGTCTCAATCAACATCTCGAGTCGTCCGGCCCCCTACCCCCTATCCTATTCCAGAACAACTATCATACACCCCTAGAACACCACCGCAACCAGCCAGCTAACCCTAGCCCCCCACCCCAACAGTGGCCAACATAGCCCAAACAGTCAACGTAATCTCGCCCCTGATGACCACCACCGGCGGCGTCCTGAAGCAGGCGACATGGTGGCCCCTCCTACTATTCAGCCGCTACATGCGCGGCACGACCGTCGCCGCGCACGTGCGCACGGCAACCTACTCCGGTACCACCCAGCCCGCCTGGCTGGAAAACATTTCCACGGAGGAGGGCGGCATCCCCTGGCTGGACGTCAGCGCGTGCCTCGGCGACGACGGCTACGTCAGTCTGGCCGTCGTCAACATGAGCGAGACGGAGGACTTCGCCACGGAGCTCAGGGGCGTCGTCGGGAAGGACGACGTGACGACTTACACGGTGACGGGCCCGGGCGTGGCCGCGGTCAACGTGGAGGGCAAGGAGGAGGTCGGTTTGGTGGAGGGAAAGTGGGAGGGCGAGGGGACGTATACCTTTCCGAAGCATACCTTCACTATGCTGCGATGGAAGTCTTAGCTTCGACCAGATACAGGACGTCTACAACTATATTCATGCTGCAAAAGTGCCAAATTTATTTATGTGAAACGTGGTGACAAATGAGTACTTGTACAATGAATGATATGCTAGTAAGGTATGTATACCGTCTATCATGAAGCTCGGCCGGCTGTTGGTTGTACACGAGTTAACCCTGTCAGATAACCGGACATGACCACCTAACACCCAGGTATTCGTTCCATCGTAACTCTCATGACGAGCTAATGTATTACATGAAAATACCAACAAACCAATGGTCTCTTGCACTCCGTTGGCGTTGAAGTGATGTAGCGCCGTCCTCGTTATATAAGTGTCCGAGTCGCCCTTGAGCTGTCAACGCTGGGCTGTTGCGTGTGTAGTATCATTCAAAGGAAGCAAGTTCCCAATTGAGGTAACGGTGCGTGTATTGACTTGGCGCCGCTTCGTGCTATGGTTGTTCCTTGCGCATCTCCTTGGACGAATGAATCGCGACGTACCCCATTCCCCCAGACTTGCGTTATCACGTACCACCGACCCTGCCATTGCAGGTAGCCCCACTGCTACTGACGGAGCACCCTTGACTGGTAGTTGTAGATGTCATGCCCCGGCCCCAAGACACGGCAACCTCGTGCCACCGCGCCATTTCCTCGTACGAGAGGAGAGAGTTCCAACGCTGGGCCCCAATAATTCCGCGAGCGCGGACAGTTTGGCAACGGCAACTGGCAAAGCTAAATTTACTTCGTCCTCGATATCTGGACCATTCTTCAAGGTGCCAAGCTCGAAGGCTTGTGGGGCGAGGAGGGCTGTTGCAGATGGGTAAAGTCGTCACTGTCTCTCGCGTAAATACGGTCATTAAAGCACGAGGGGCCAAGAGCCAAGTACTACGCCATCATGCTTCCCGAGTGTCCACATACGGACGCCGAATAGAGTCCAAACCCCTCCCTGTATGATGCATTCCGAAATCGGACTCGATATGATGTTGTTTTCAGCCCTAGTAGAGGGGACTTGTTGCCCGAAGTCGCAGCGAATTGCAGAACGTTCTGTCCCTGGTCGTCCAGGGCTCGTAAGTAGCCAGCAGGCCCTGGCGAGCGGCGACGTGCAGTGGCGTGATGTCCTAGGGTCGACGACCAACCCGAGGCCTGAGAATTCCCGTGGCACCAGTGTGGAACGCGGCAAGTTGATATGAGGAATCGGCTGCGTCTTTGTTAACGAGAAGATGAACAAGCGTTGAGAATATCTATAGCAGCAGGCCACCGGGCATTGGAAGGCGTTGAGTTGAGCATTCTCAGAAAGACTGGCTACCGGTTCGTTGATCGAAAGCTGCGTGCCCTGTCCGGCGACGGCGGGCGTTTGGGTCGAAGAGCCAAGGTCGTCCTGGGGAGAAGATACAGCACTGAGCCGTTGCGTTGCGCGCGATACTCTCTTCGCGCTCCTTGGGCGGTTCTGTTAACAAGAGGAAGATTACAGACTTGACGATGTCCCTGGCACCAGGGTATGACCTGCACATCAATGTGGTGATCATCGAATAGCTCGAACCAGACTTCTTTGACATTGGGTATGTTGAACATGGTTGTGAGTTGACGGGGCTCTCCATTGCTGCTGCGGTGTAGTGGACTGTGGAAAGCTCCGTCGAAGACGCTCCAAGTGCTCCTCTGAAGAATGTTGTGGATATGCGCGTGATTTTGTAGGAGCTTCGCATTATCGGAAGTTAATGACAGCAAGCTACAGTTCTGTTAGCACGACCCGAAGCAAAGAAGATAAGTAAGAACACATACCCGACTGTTCACGCCATAAGCCAGCTTATGCCCTGTTGAGTCCCAGCCCAGGCAATGCTCGTCCTCCAGATCGGATTCGGGATTCATACGTGGGCTGAGCCAGCCCGGATGAGGTAATCGACTCCAACTCGCCCGAGGGATACTGTGATCGCCGACCTTCCAAATGAGTATCCCCTCACTGGTAGCTCCAGCAATGAAAGCACCGTCAGGGGTGAAGGCGAGTGCGACTATAGGGGCACCCATGGTCATGGAGCACTTGGCCTTGCCCTCAAAAACCAATGCATTCCATATGCAGATAGCGCCATCCTCGCCACCAGAGGCCAGGAGTCTCTCCTCGCTGCTAAGCGGAGACTGTAACGGTTGCCAGGCTAATGCTGTCACCGCATTGGAATGCGCCCGGATTTCCCGCCGCTTGGAAGTACTAGCGATGTCCCATATCTGATTATTCAATAGTCAGTGAATGAGCTTGGACCGAAAAGGAAGTGCCTTTTCTCACATCGACGAAGCCTTTCTCGGAAGAAGTCGCTATTAATGATGACCGCCAGTCGAACTGAACTTGTGTCAGGCTTTCCCCCCCTCTAGTCTCGTATCTCCGAATCTCGTTGATCTCGGGACCTGCACAATTCAAAGCCACCAGCAGCTCGCCACCACACAGCAGAAACTCGTTCTCGCTGGTCCACGCAGCGTCGAGCGGCTCCGAGTCCAGGTCGTGTCGCGGCAGGAAGTAGGTCATCGAGTTCGAAGTTACAGCGTGGTAAACGGTGATAAGCGTGCCGTCATTGTCTGGTGCAATGGCAAGGATGGCGGCGTTGTGGGGGTTCCAACGGAGCTTGATGATGGGCGGTTCGGCGACTTCGAAATGGTGGATGTGGCTACCGTCGGGGGTCCAGAGGGTGATCCGGGCCTTGGACTCGGAGTCGGTGGCAACGGCAATAGCGCTGCCGTCCCAGTTCCAAGCCATGGCGGTGACGGTGGCCTTGGAAGGTATATCATCCTCGACCAGCGAGTGGGAATTGGGGGCGACGCCGTTCACGTGACCGTCTGATGCAGGGTCGGTGGTGTCGGTGGTGGCCCCACGCGAGACGTTCCAGATGCGGGCTAGTGCATCGGTTCCAGCAGCCGCCAAGATGGTGGGATCTCGGGGGTGCCACTGACAATGCAGGAGCACAGGCGCGTTGTCGCTGTTACTGTCACCTCGCGAGAGCGCCGTGGCAGGGGACGAAGCCGGTGCGTCGTCTGCGTCTGCGTCTGCGTCATCGGGGCCAGCGCCCAGCGGGATGAAGGTCGTTTCAGCAGCCAGCTCCTCGACTTTCTCGACCTGCGTGCCCTGCTCGGGGCCGTCGGTTCGAGGCGTGGGCGTGGTCGCCTCGCCCTCAAGGGGTGACGGGTAAGCGTGGTTGTCCAGGTCCGGGCCCTGGTGGTCCTGGCCGTCGAGATCCATCGGGGTTGTGGCTGCATCCACCCCATTTTCGTACCCATTACTCAGGCGTGGCCGCTTAGCTGGGGGGGAACCATTCACAAGCGGCGGCTGCTGCTGCCTGTCGACTGGTCGCTTTCGGGTATTTTCCACGTCGCCTCCGGTCGCAGGCGCTGCAGCAGCGGACGGCTCGTCGTCTACCTCGCCATCTGCGTCTGCATCTGCGTCTTCCTCGTCGTCGTGCTCGATTTCATCTGGGCGCTGCAGCAGTTGCTGTTGATGTTGCAGCTGTTGATGTTGCAGCTGCTGCTGGTGCAGCTGCTGCTCGTGAGGCGGTGGATGTGCGAGCAGTGGGCCAAACACCCCCAGCTGCAAGGCCTCGGCCAGTGCCGCGGCTGTCGTTGCATCACGAGGTACCTGCACAGGAGCCGTCAGTGCCAATGCCCATTTGGCTGGTGTGTCCCACGCAAAGATTTGGGGAAACAGCGTGGAGGCCGGCTTTCATCGCTTTCGCCGCCATTAATATATGTTGGTTCGGTGTCTCGCCTGATGCAATGCACCTCAAACCTCAAAACATAGGGCAGGATTTTGCAGGATTTTCTCGGTCTTTCTTCTTCCAGCGACGTACCTGATTTGATCGATGTTCCCGCTCTAGCGAGTTGTACAGTAGACCTTTGTTCAAAACATTGACTAGTGCATGACTTTTGACATGAGGCGCAAAATCGAGTTGCCGATGAGGTTCTTCAACGTGCCACTCCTTTTGGAATTTGACGGCCGTCTCCCGATAATCTGCAGACTCAAGTTAGTTTGACTGCGGCAATTCACAGCATGCCACAAATCACCACCATGACGAAGTAGCAGCAGCACCATCACCACCACAACCACATCGCCGCCGCGGCGATATTGCAGTGGCCAACTGCTAGCTCCGAAAGGCGGGAAATGGATGCTGGCGTTGGGGAACACGCACTCCCTTCTACTAAATATCTGTGATTTGCAGCGTCAGCCAGTGGCCGCCGTCGTGCAGTACGACGAGGACGGAAATAATGAGAGCACTGATAATATTGGGGACATTGAACGGGCAGGGCAAGCTCTGCGCGGGTGCAAAACGAACCTCCAAATCAAGAAATTGACTCGGTTGGAGTCAAGGTACTCCTTCATAGTCGGGGATTTGAAGCCAGGGCGGTGCGGGCGGTGTCGATTCGTCGTCTATCAGGTCGAGCAGGCGGCAGCAGAGCGTCGGACAAGAGCGCAGCAGCAGGAACGCGGATTCGAGTTTTGCAGCTTTTTGAGATGATGAAGACAAGAATGAGAGACGGGAGTGTTCATGAGCCCTGAACGGTCAAGGTTCCCGTTCCATGTCTCTTGCGTCGGGGCCAAGCACTCCAAGCTAGAGGCCTTCCAGATCCACCCTGCGTCCCCAATTGGGCATGGGGCGGTCCAACGTGCAGGGCCACACTGGCAGGGGCAGCAGGCGCGGGCTCGGACGGCTGGCACTGGGCTGCTGCCGGGGCACACCTGCAGTTCATTGATGTGGCAGCGCAGGCTGTCAAGTATCCGTAGGTACCAGGGCCGGGTCAGCCATCTGTGGAGGTACGTGCGCCGACGGCAGATGCGTTCCTAGGCAGGTATGAACGAGCCACGGGCGCATGTACCTCCCCTCCCGGATGAGCCACTTTCAAGATCTGAGGTACACTACATCGACTCCAGTCCCTCCTGTACCTGCAACTGATGTTTAATATGGGGACCAGCAGTGACGGGACTTCGATGTTCAACCGAAGCATTTCAAGAACAGCAGTCATCCGAAGTCCAGACGCGCAATGCCTTCAAAAACGCATATTCTTTTGATACAGTCTTGAATTTGTACTACGACCTATTTCAGCTATTGTGAGAGACAGGAACCGATCCTAGAATGCAATCGGGAGATAAGGTATCATCCTACGGTAAGGTATGGTATCAATTTTGGGATGGATAAAGTCGTCATGCGTTTGTTGTGTGTCGCTTAGGTACATGTACGTACCACTTTCGATGTTGAGCGACAAGGACATCATCTACGACGTTACTGGCATGGATGATATTTGACACATCATCCATCCATTCATACACTCGAGGTTCGTGGAAGCAGTCTACGCAAGCCGTACGAGGTGATTCAACGTGTTTATCATGTCCTCCTTCTCTATTGCATCCCGTCTGCCTGTCAGATCAACCTAAGAAGCCAATCGCCTGCAAGTGTGGCGCATGGAGAGTTCAGCGACGTTTCTTCGGGTGCCGTTTCGATACAGTGTCTACCATCGCTTTCACACCGACTCACCACTCGTCACCCGGCCTCGGCCATCTGATCGACGGGTTTCGTTTGGGCCCAAATCCAAACAAAAGCGCCTGCACTGTCCGTACCGACTTACCATCCGATCCCAAGGATCTCATGTCTCGAACAAGCTCTTCTACACTAGGACCTGACGGTGCTTCTCAAGATCGCCTAGACGGACCTCAATGGCGGCCCACGCTGTAGACCGTAGGGCGTTTCTTGTGCTGCATGTGTCCTTCCTGGTGGGCAGGAGGGGATTGACTGTTGACAGGCCAGACTTTATTATTATTACTGTAGCACCAGCCCTCTCATCCTAAGGGGGAGGGGGGGGCCGACAGGACGGCTGAGCCTATGAGGTTGCTTTGCTTCGATCAATGGGACCTGCAACGAAACTCCAGACGACCCCACATTCGCCGTGGACTGGATCTCTCATGCCTCGCTCATTACCAATACCAGTGGACGGCAGACAAGGGTGGACCTGAAACCAAACCCAGGATATCTGTCATCTGTGTCCTGTGTCCTGTCACTGTGTCCTGACTCCTCATCAGTTCCGCGCTCCGTCGTCTGCATATGTCTGGATGACTATCCCTGTTTGAACCTCATAGACTTCATTGTTGATCAACTCGTCAACAATGCCGCCTTGAATCATGACGAACAAGAATCGGATCTGTGGGAGTGGACGGCAAAGCCGCATAGGCAGACGATCCTCTGCAGACTGCCAGCCGGGCTGGCGGCTGATTCCAGCCCAGCAGCCCAGTGATGCCCCTGCCCACTTGGGGCTTACCTAGTGCATTGAGAATAGCATTGGCGCCATCGGCAATAATCCCTACATGCAAGCTCTCTAATTAAAGATCATCCACACCAGGCGCCGGCTTCCACGTCCACCACGAATGTCTTCAGGAGCGAGGATGCTGTGGTGCTTCTTCCTCTGCCTCTGGCCGGCTGTTAGATGTTGAGTCCAAACATGGCTTTGGACGTAAAGAGTGGAAGTCTTCGTCGTGTCGTGTAAGGACAGAATACCTCGACGACTGGGGGTTTGCCGGGGCTGCCCGGGCTGCCACTTGTTGGTACCGGCCCTGGTCAAATTGAAGAAAATCTCGGGGTCAATGATGCAGTTCTGGGCCATCACTTGGAGGGCGGGCTGCGATACAACCATGATCTCTCCCGCTGTCATAAGCAGCCATGAATGCTGCTTCCAGATGATGCCGACGGGAGATAGCCCCCTTTTCAACTTCTGAACATGACTTGACCAAAGGATATGAGCTTGTCTCCGTCTGATGGAGTTCCCGCGGGCTGTCGTGGCAGGGCAATTGCTAGGGAGAAAAGAGGACCAATGAACTGGCCTCATTTAGAGATGCACGGGCCATCTCAATTATCAGCCTGATGCAGCTTGTAGCTTGTCCTGCAGCCTGCACCCTGCAGCCCTGCAGATGCGAAAAGACACCTTCAGACTTTAGTGTTCTTGAACGCGACTGCCCACGCCGACTCTTCGAAGCTCCAGCTTGTTGCGAGCTCTGGAACAGCGCACGAGGCTTACCGTACACCCATACTGCCATATCACCACCCGCCATGCCTCCGCGACTGAATATCCCGCCAGTCACCCGCGTGCTGCTGGTTGTGCTGCTCACCCAATCCGTCCTGAGCGCTGCCGTGCGCTATCGCCAGTGGTCAGCGCATTCCGAGATCGTCGTCGAATGGCTCACCCTCGTGCCTCAACTATCACTGTTCTACCCCTGGACTTTCGTCACCACTACGCTGGTCGAGAACAACATCCTGACTTTGGGCATCGCCGGAGTGACATTATACCATGGGGGCAAGTATCTGGAGAGAGCTTGGTCTTCCCGCGAGTTCGCCAAGTTCCTCCTGGTCGTATCTCTGATCCCCAACGCCCTGTGCTTCTTCGTCCTGATTATCTTCTTCACCGTCACCCGTAACGAGATGTGGACGTGAGTGTTCCGAACCCCGTAATCCCCTTGCGCAGCGCCATGGCATTACTAACTGTGTGCGACCCTAGGCTGACGACAATTGCCGGCACGATCCCACTCCAGATCTCCTTCCTCGTAGCTTTCAGCCAGCTCGTACCGGCACACACTGTCACCCTCTTCCGAGGTGTCTTATCCATGCGCGTTCCTCGATTCCCGTTGATCTATACCGGCGTTGTCACCATACTAGCCCTGACACCAATCCTCACGAGTGCCTCCCTATTCCTGGCCGTCTTCGGGCTCATCACGAGCTGGACGTACCTACGCTTCTACAAGACCGTCTTCCCCGACCTCGACACTTCGCAGCCGATGTCAATGCGAGGCGATGCTAGCGAGACCTTTGCATTTGCCGAGTTCTTCCCTGCGCCGGCCAAGCCATTCGTCTCAGCCTTCACAGACCAGATCTTCAACGTCCTGGTTGCGATGAGAGCATGCACCCCGTTTTCTCAAGCCGATATGTCCATTGCATCGGGTAATACCCTCCTGCAGCGATCCGCGCCTGGACCTGGAGGCGTCAGGGCTGAAGCGGAGAGACGGAGGGCTTTGGCACTAAAGGTGCTCGATCAACGATTACATGCTGCTACCGCCAGCACGCCCCGAAGCCAATCTACACTCCCGGCCCAACCCAGCGGTCCTCCGATACAAACTCAACCGCAGGCGAATGTCCAGGCGGCAATGACATCACAGCCAGGGACCATGCTTGGGGAAACGAGTTACAATTCGGATCAAGACAACGGTGAAAAGGAGAACTCGTAAGGCCATGGTGGTTGGAGCTCATTGAGTTCATCCACTTCTTCGATCACAACATGCTTGGGCCTGGAGTCTGGATAGCTAGCCATGTATTTCTATAGGAGGCATATTTGCGTCTGGAGTTGGTCTCTCGGCATTCGGTATAGGCGGGTTGTTTCTTGGTGGACGGATGAATTTCGTAGCAGTGTTGAAGCTGGGTGGTTAAGCAATATGCTTACTGGGCGCGGAGTGTTCGGCTCTGCCCTACAGAGGTGGCGCATATCGGGTGTCTGAGTGTCACCCCAAATATTCCGGTTAACGATGAGTTTCTGTAATGAATATCACATCAACTTTCAACTGGCCCGGTGATGCGTCTACACCCTTGTGACAAGCCCGGATCCCATCTGCCAGTGCTCGACCTATTCTTAGGGGTTATAGCTCCCTACCCGCCCAGGAGACACTTTCTCTCAAGAAAAAGCTTGACATCAAAAACACTCAAGGTCGAGCATTTAGAATGCCCTCCTGGAGCTTATCGAGAGTGACACTGGGAGACTTCTTGGACGCGATTGTCTTCAGCACATGAGTCTACGGCAATTGCTAGATGCTTCCGAGTTCACACGAGGTCCTCTAGTTGGCAAGGAGGTTCTTGTTGAGGAGTCTTGCTGTTTCACTGTCTTCGGGTGTAAGCCTTAGGTTTATCAGTCATCTTGCTGAATCACGTCGCAACAAGGTTGGCATTCTGCATCTCGAGCCGTTACCGCTATCTTAAGGAGTAATTATGCGTATCGAGTGCCTATACACTGTAGTATTGCCTCAAGCTGTTTAGGTATAAATGCTCCGGCGATGTGTCTACTGGTTGAACTTCGTCTTGACTCGAACCCCACAAACCACGTCATATGAAGTGTCTTGGTGGAAATAACGTATTCTTTTCAGCGTCTGTGATAAGACGCTGCCATCGTATCTAGGGGGTCCTTCAATGCTGTTTTGTAGTATTGTTATTGTTGTAACAATACCATCTGTCACTTATACATGCTCTGCTTTCATTCAAGAGTATGGAGTGCTGAACTCACCAGCTTTCCGGCAGACGAGCCAGCGTACAGTCTGTATATTCGACTGGATGTATTTTGCCAAAGGTAGGGTGGCGCCTCGGAACTTGAAATAAACCGTTCGAGCCTTACACTCATCTTCATGTATATATAAGAAGCAGCTTTATGTCGATGGTTGGTTGGTTGGTTGGTTGGTTGCAGTGTTTAGCGTCTAGCAAGTGGTCACAAGGACGACAGGACGTGACAAGCAGGCCACCTGTATATACAAGCGGCTTCTGAAGCCAATTCAAGCCTACATCAGGGCGAGGGTATCGTGAGCACGTGTTCACTCCTGCGTGGCTGCATGCCCGATATGTATCGTATAGAGTGAAAGTGGCGTATTATAATTGTGGCTTGCGTCGTATAGCGAGCCTGGCAGGTGGTCCATCGCACGCGGGTTCATGTCGCTACCTTATTAGATCGGTACTTTATGTTGTCACAACCGAAGTCTCTTTTGGAGAAACCTCAAACAGGGACGGACTGTCTCATATAACGCAGCGGTCGCACAGCGTCTGGAGTACAACCGGATCGGCTGCACACAGGTGCACATATCGCTCGAGGTGAGGTTGCACGGCTTCTTCTCCCTCTCACACAACACTCTCTCTGTGGCCCCGGGCGTCGGGCATGGCAGGCAGGCTAATAAGTGCTGACACTGACCGGGACGTGGAAGCAGGCGCAGGCGCTCTGCGAGGTACTTGATTGACAAAAGGCTGCATGTGTGCAGGTTGTAATCTGCAAATCTCACGCTGTATTCGGGAGTGACATGCTTTTTATTGTATCAGATGTCCCGTGCTGTTCGCCCGCCCCCGCGATTACTCAGGGTGACGAGACGAGGGTGACGATGCGAGGCGATCTACACGGAATCCCTGTGCGTCGGTCACATCCTTCCCACCGGTCACCATCGCAGCGTTTCTTGTTGCCTCAAGTACGACAAATTCAGGAGCACGAAGCATCTTTACCGCTACCAACGACCACACCCCGAAGCTCTTCTGCGATGGGCATAATCAGATTAATACGATGAATTTGGTTCGACCTATGCTTCTACTTCCCAAGCACAGGAACGTAAGGGACAAAAATCCCGGACCCCGTGAAGTCACAGCCGCCTTCATCGTCGGGCAGGGTCCCCCAAAGCGGCTGTGCCTCCCGCCGACAAGGTCGCTAGGGTTATCTGCATGAGGCTCCCAGGATCAGTATCCAGGGAGGCGTGAATCCTCCCTACCAGCCTACTAGACCCAGACCAGCAGGAATGACACAACACACCGCATTCCCACTCCAAGCCTCCCCGGACCAACAAGATGCGGCAAGGAGGCGATCGAGGGCCGGCTCCATCTGGCTTGCTGTGCGGCGTGGAAGGATGCAGCAGCGCAGTGCGTGCAGTTGCAGCAGGTTACAGGTTTACGGGTAACCTATGTATGTACGCACGCAGGATGTGGAGGTAGGAGGTTCCTTATTATAGCCCGTGGCTTGCCTCCTCCTCCTCTGGACTGGACGGGCAGACGGGGCGGCCGTTCGGGGCCGTCTCGCACGCATTTATGACGAGAAGGCGGTTGCAGATGGGACCAGGTCTTGGAAGGGTGCGTGGTGCGTGGTGCGTGGCACGGTAGCGAGGTACCACTCCGCCGTGCGTACATGTTCAAATGACATGCGCACAATCATCATCGTCGCCAGGCTTCCCAGGTCCAGCCGGGGCCCGGTCGATGGCCGCCCACATTCAGCAAATGCAGGTAGGCGGGCAGACAGGCAGGCGGGCAGGCAGGCGGATCCACACACACGTACACACGCGCGCATGGGGGAGGCGTCCGGGTGGCAGCCTGACCGATGGGCAGGGTGTGGGATCTAGGGCTATGATCTATCCTTACCCGGGGACTGGTGGGCGAAGGTGATGGTGGTGATGGTTGGCGGTGGTGGTGTGGCACGTCAAATCGTACCGACCGCTTGATGCGACTTGGCGAATGATAGCACGACGCCATGCACACGCACCAACGGCTTGCATATGCGCGAGATGCAGCATCAGTCGCTTCTGTACCTTGTATGTGGCGTGGGCTTGGCCGTGGGCTAGAGGACTGGTTGGATCCCGAGGCACACGATGAACGACGGGCAGGACGGGGTAAGGTAAGGTGGACAGACAAACGAGGTGATACACAGTGACACGCACCCCCCTTCCTCCCCAGCCCTTTCATTGCTGACCTGACATGCCGAGTGCTCACTCACTGCTCACCTCCCCTGGTTATTATATTTCCACGCTCCACTATCACCCCCGGGGGTCGTCTGGGCTCACTCCTCACGTTACTATATCATTACGGACCGGACCCCTCTCCTCTCCGCTGCACGCTTATGCCGGGCAGTCACGCGGCTTGCATATATTCCTACATCTACAGTACCTCCCTACGTGCAGGTCTGCGGGAAAAAGGACCTCAACTGCCTGATGGCAACCCCATGTCTCACACAGGGCGATGCTGACCGAACCGGCGAACCCGCCATCTTCCACATGGTCAATCAATCTAATGCAGGTTGTCGAGGGCGAACCCTGCGAGGCTCGACTCATGAACCCTCCACGACAGCCATCGTTTATGACCGGAGAGTCCATCTCGGCTGTTACCGCAAAGGGTACGTAAGCAGCTCGTTGCCGCGCTCTCTCTGCTAGAAGCTCTACCACACTCCGTCGTGACCGGTCTGTCTGTCGCATTGGGTATTGTGGTGAGATGGACACCTATCTAGTATCCGGAAGAGGTGAAAGCACATCCAGCAAATTAGCCCGGTCACTACATGATGAAACCCCAGGGCCCAAACCCAGATATTGATAATAACCTCGCTACCGTACCCAGCAGATGGTAGAGCGCGCGCCACAAGCGTCAATGAAGACGCCCCCAAAAGTCAACCAACGAGCTATCAAAGAGCCGGTAACGCTTCCAGCCCCTCTTTCCCCCCTGACACGTGGACTTCTGGAAGCGTGATAGCGTGGAAGCCTACACTGCCCAACGGGGAATGAGTCTTTTCCTTTTTCCTTTTCCCCAAGTCTCAGAAAACTGGGTGCCACAATGTCGGTGTTTCTTCACTCTCGATCTTCGGGAGATGACGAGATTGGTCTCTCTTGGCTCATAACGCCGCCGGCCCAATCCACCAGTGACCACTGACCACGGCACCACCACAACTCACGAAAGCCGAACCGAACACACGTCTCATTTGCCTTTCCACTGATTCAATTAGCCCGACCTAGCGCCCTGCATGAGATACTCTTCTCATTGAAACGGGCTGGCTGTCAGCTTGGCGTTGGATCGGTTACCGCATTACGTGGTGTTGACAGGCGATGTGACCTGGCCTGACTGGCGAGTGCCGGACCGCTTCCCCTACCCAGATTGCCAGATTGCCAATGCTTCAGCGCTTGGCCGTCGCCCATTGCTTGCTCGGCTGTTCCTTTCAAGCGACGGGGCGATCTACAGGAAGTCCTGTCCCCAAGGCCCAACAGCCGCGACACAGAAAAAATTCCGGCAACGGCGGCTCATCTGATACGAGGCCCACTGGCTAACGAACATGTCGCAACACCGGGCGCAGGAAGGTATCGATCTATGGCGGACGCACGGGGATCTTCGGGGTCATGGTGTTGGCGTTGGCAGGATCGGATCTCTTGTTGCTGCGGAGCCAGAGCCATCAACGTCACAGAAATCTACGGATGTCAAGAGTGCCTGGACTGTACTCTATTTAACTACCCTTCTCCTTTCTCGTTCCCCTTCCCGTCCCCCTGGCCCCCTGTCCCGTGTCTTATCGTTTACTAGTTCCCACCTGTTCTGGCTTGTGATTGCGATCGGGCAATTTGTTTGCTTACCTGCCTGCCTACCACATGCGCAGCAATGAACGCCGATGCGTTGTCTGTGGGTGTGGGTGTGGGTGTCTGGGAAATAAAAAAGGCACGCGCAGGAGTGCTGACGGCGCTTAGCTGTCTTGGGTAACTTGAACCTGTACGCCTCGGCTCGTCACGATGGTTTGGTGAGGATAAATGCTCCGAGGGAGATAAGTGTGCCTCATCAATTTATTATTACGATGGCTCTGCTTGGGGTTCCTCCAAGGGCTGGCTGGCTGGCAGCAGCGAGGAATGATGAGGGTGTGTGTAGCATCAGACTTGCCAAGAGCTGCAATATGACCGCCCACCCCTCCCCCCTCCCCCCTATACCCTACCCTACCCAAGCCCTGCAAGCCTACCAAACAATCGTCTTCTGGGGCTCGCCCAGGCCAAACGGCAAGGTAAAAAGCGAATCCGTCCGAGCCGCGACCCGGCGGAGAAGACCAAATTTGGGATGGTCTCGGAACTTTGATGACAGGCTCTGCCAAGTGGCGCAAAGTACCTCTCAGGTAGTCCCATCAGGAACGGGCTTGTGGAGCTGCCCACTGCTTGGTTCGTGGGACCCAGCCGTAACGCATCATCTCCAGCCAGCCAGGCTTTTTCGGGGGACGACTCGCACCAGCACGGTCCCGCGGAAGGCCCGGGGCTTGAGGCTTCGAGAACGATTGGGGAGACAGCAACGGCTTGCCCTTGCCCATACATAGCACCGTGAAGCAAAGCATATGGTGAGGCAAGCAGGAAAACAGAAAACACCATCGACCTGAAGGTGACCAGCAGTGCAAGGTAATGCCACCATTGTGGGTGTTTGACGTGCTGCCGTGTGACAGAGCACACGTTGTTGAGCCGGAGGCGGTCAAGAGTCAAGACGATATGTCAGATAGAGGCCTGTGTACCGGATTGAAGCCATCGTCGGACCGAGGGTGGATAGTAAGAGTTGTAGGCAGAGCATGTCCTCTGAGCAGGCTATAAATATGAACATGACTCCTGCGGACTAACAAAGGTTGATAAAGAACTGATGCACATCGCGGCGTTCTTAGGCTGAGCGTTGAAACCCTGAACTCTAAGCGAAAATTCATAGAGGGCAAGGGCAGGCTTGAAGCTTGTTTGACTGCTTGTCTCTGTCTGTGCTGGATGTGCTGTAACCTTTATCATTCGTTGCTCTGACGGGGAACCTGGTTAAGGTATCTGGCAACATTGAAGTATGGAAAAGGTACGTACCGCCAGTGAGTGCTCGGAGCACTTGCCTGGTGTGGCCCTTGTGGGTGGTTTCACTCTGATGGCGCAAAGAAGGAACGCCAGAGTGCGGGTGTCAAGCCCCACTGTAAGCCGAGACCCACAAAAGCATATATTGGCGTGCATCGGTCTACCGCGCCGGTACATGCACGATACGAAGCCCGCCACGACATCATGTCCCAGGAACATCAAGTCCCTTCGCTCCACACGCCCACCCACGCCCCCTGTTGTCTTTGTCCATCAGACTAGGCCCGAACTCGTTTTTGCAGCTGGGTAAGGGGAGTTCACATCTGGTGAGCTGCATCGCCCATTCGAAATCTCCTTGGTCCTGGGGCCATCCGACCTTCTCTTGCCGCCTCTCATCGTCTCTCCGCCGCTGATTCTCTCCCCTCCTTTCCAACGCATTGGGATGAAGGACGCACCATCAGCCTTCAAGCCGCTGATATCGCCCTAGACAACTACCACTCCAGCAATTACTCCGGGTCTGTAGCCTTCGGGTACAGCACGATACCTGTCGATAGTCCGCAAATAAGCTTTGAGACCCCGTCACTTCGTCATCTCCTCGGTTGCGACCGTTGAAAGTTAGCCTGCATCACTTCTACTCCCGCCTCCCCGCCACCACCAGCAGTCTCTATAATTGCGCCATATCTTGCGAAATACTGCGCAACGCCTGGTTCTCTTGAAACCTCTTGTCATTTCTGTCTCCTCGATACCCAATCACCAGAGAAACTCTAAGTGGTCTCCACATCTACGAGGCGTCGGTCCATCTTTCAGCCTTTTGATACGGCGCGGTAGAATCACGCAAGATCCCGACGTTGTTGCAGCCCGAAATCTGCTCAACACCAATAGGGCCGGGTCATCGTCGTTGCGAATCTTCGACCTCTATGGCCAACCATCACCCATCGCCGCAGATGGCGATGCAAATGCAGCATCATGGCCCGTCGATTAATCCTCCTGGGCCTGCCCAGGGTGGCCAATGGGGGGCTCCTTCACGGCATATAGTTGCCGTGAACGAACAACTATGGATGCAAATCGGTAAGCTCTTCTGGGGACCTAGCCACTCATGCGTACATATGACTGACAGTATCGAACAGGCAGCTTCTCGGAACTCGTCGGCAACTTCGACGAGGCCATGATCGCATACGAGCACGCCCTTCTCGCGAATCAAAACTCAGTACCCGCGATGAACGCGATCAGTCTGATTCTTCGGACCCGCGAAGACTTTCCGAAGGCAGTGGACTTTCTGCAGGCCATACTGAAAATTGACGGGAATAATGGCGAGGTCTGGGGTAGTCTCGGTATGTCCAGTCCTGGCCTATCATGCAACATGCGACTAACCCTTCAACTTCAGGACACTGCTATCTGATGATGGATGATTTGCAGCAGGCGTATGCTGCTTATCAGTCCGCTCTGGTGAACCTGCAAAACCCCAAGGTGAGCACAGTCCGTACTCGCTCGATCTTATCAAGTCACGCGCCAGCTAATACGTTCTAGGAACCTAAGTTGTGGTATGGGATAGGCATCCTGTACGATAGATACGGGTCGCTTGAGCATGCCGAGGAAGCATTCTCTCAGGTCATGCAGATGCAGCCCGACTTCGAAAAGGCCAATGAGATCTACTTCCGTCTTGGTATAATATACAAGCAACAGTCCAAATTTGGTCAAAGTTTAGAGGTATGTGCTATAACACAGTGAGCCCGGGTCGCGAGAGGTGACTAACAACACATTGTAGTGCTTCAAGTACATCGTCAACTCGCCCCCGCCGCCCTTGACCGAGGAAGACATCTGGTTCCAGATTGGTCATGTGCATGAGCAGCAGAAAGATGTACGTATCAATCACCTACATTGCATGGGACCTATACTGACAGTCGCATAGTACGACAGCGCTAAAGCCGCTTATGGACGTGTCCTTGATCGTGATCCGAACCATGCAAAGGTTCTGCAGCAGCTTGGCTGGCTCCATCACCAGCAGAGCAACAGTTTCCAGACTCAGGAGCGGGCGATTGAGTATCTGGAGAAGTCGGTGGCTGCCGGTGAGTGTTTCAGTAACTGAGACAGCTTTGCATATTTCTGACTCACACGTGGCAGACAACAGCGACGCCCAAAGCTGGTACCTCCTAGGCCGCTGCTACATGTCACAGCAGAAGTACCCTAAGGCCTACGAGGCCTACCAACAGGCGGTGTATCGTGACGGACGGAACCCTACATTCTGGTGCTCCATTGGAGTATTGTACTATCAGATCAATCAGTACCGAGATGCCTTGGATGCGTACTCCCGCGCGATACGCCTGAACCCGTACATCTCTGAAGTGTGGTATGACCTAGGCACATTGGTAAGTTTGCTGTCCACGACCAATCCACACGTACGACCGAACTGACCACATCCTAGTACGAATCTTGCAACAATCAGATCAGCGATGCGCTCGACGCATACCAACGGGCTGCCGAACTGGACCCGGGCAACCCGCACATCAAAGCGAGACTGCAATTACTACGGAATGGTCAGACTTCGGGAAGTCTTCCACAAGCCGTCCCGACGGACGTCCACCCCCAATCCTACGGAGCTCAAGGCCCGTCTACTCCTGCTTGGCCCGGCTCTGGACCGATTCAGACCGGACCTGGTGGTGCTCACAGACCTCCACCTGGCCCAGCTACTGCCAACGGCTGGAGTCAACGGCCTCTCAATGACATTAACGCTCCTCAGCCGCCGAATCCATATGAACAGCGAGAGCCCTTCCGCGGCGGACCGCCTCCATCTATTGCACGTCAGCCCAGTCCTCGCCAAGAGATGAGACCTTATGGGGAGCCTAACAGGCCTGGCCCAGCGCCAATTCGAAGAGGACCTTCGCCCGGTCCGCCAGCGCAGTATGGCCCCCCGCCGTCTGGGCCCTCTCAGCAACCTCCTCCACCTGCTCAGGGCCCTGCTCGTGTCACAAACCCCAACTATACCCCGGCGCCGTCATCGAGCATGGCTCCCACCAACGGCCCGCCGCTCGGTCCACCACCGCCTCATATGATGTCTTACCGCACTGGCTCTCCACGTTCGGATCAACAAAGGCCGATGCACGACAACCGCATGCCATCTCCCAAGTCTGCCTACCCCCAGCACCAGCCTCCGTATCCTCATCATCAGGAGTCGGGAATGCCCAACATGGAGCCAGGCCCTATGCCCCCAAAAGGCCCAATGGGTCCTGAGCTTCATCGAGATGATCGGCCACCTTCCGTTGCTGCGAAGAGGATGCGGGAATGGGAAGATGAACCCTCCATGAAGAAGCCCGCCAATGATGAGAATCGGTTACGCATGCAAGACATCGGTCACCGCCGGCCTTCCACGCCTCCGCGTGATCCTTATCGTCGCTCTCCCGACGCCCACCGCTTCGAAGAACGTCGAATGGAAGAGCAACGACGCGCAGAAGATCAGAGACGCGCCGAAGAAATGCGTCGTGCAGAAGAGCTGAGGCACGCCAATGAGAACTATCATCCGTCGGAAGCCGCACATCACCCTCCGGCACACGCAATGCCACCAAACCATCTGCCCCCGATGCAGCAGCAGGGACCCGGCCCTATGCAAGGACCATCACCCATAGGGCCTTCACCTATGCAAGGTCTCATTCACGAGGCGCCTCAGCCCAGCCCGGCTGCTAAGGAGTACACTCAGGATGAGCGAAGGCTGGAACACCCACCTGCTTCCGCCCCTCAGATGAACGAGCCCGAGCGTGCGGCTAGGAAGATGGACGTTGACGAAGATTATGATGACAGTGGAGAGGAAGAGAAGAAGCCGGTTCCTGCGGGACCAACCTCAGGACCTGGGTCGGCAACGGGAGACATGAAGATCTCTACGCCGACCAGTGCATCGATCAACGGGATGATGGGCCCAATCCCAAAGACGGAGGGGCCTGCTTAGAGAGTTGTTTCCATTGCCACTGACGAATGCTGGTGGAGGAAGGGGAGCCAACTGAACGAACATCGATGACATACCCATTTTCTTTCGTTGTTCAGGAAAGGAATACTGTCGAATATGTATAAACGTGTCACCCTCGTCGGGGATGCTGCTGAGCTGCTGCTGTCCCAGGACTTGCAGAGGAATACCTATTATTCTAGTCTGCCCATCACTTGATGTTTACTTTACTATCTTAAGTGTTGATGAATACGAACATAAACAGCCAGAACTGAATGCATTGCGCTGCAGCGTGATGCTGTAATCTGCAATCTTCCAGGTGTGTTTCGCAACATCGTTCCTACGGCATAACCCGTTAGTGCTTGCTTATCCCAACCATATCTCAAGAGAATTACTCGACAATCGGGGCTTGTGCTCAAAGCGGTGCGCTAGATCCAGTGGGCAGGTAGGGTCAGTCACCCCACATTTTCGCAGTTTCTCGCTAAGTTTTTTTCCGCCCACAACCAGAAAGAACGTCTTCCCGCAGCGGAACCCCAAAAATTTCACTTCCCTCGATTTTCTTCCACGACCCGACATCTTCCAACTAATCACCAGGGAATCAACTTCAAGATGTCGCACCGAAAGTTCGAGGCTCCCCGCCACGGCTCTCTGGCTTTCTTGCCCAGAAAGCGTGCCGCCCGTCACCGTGGAAAGGTCAAGTCGTAAGTATCGCTGCCCGCCAAATCCTCAATCCCGCAACGTCATTACGATGGCGACATCACATGTCAATGGGTTTCATTGCCTGAGATGCCAATGGGCAATCGCGAGTCTTTCTGCGTACGATGAGTGCGAGCAGATCGATTGTCGTCACCAATGGTGCTTTAATCTCAAACTTCAAGTGCAGTGCTAATCAATTTGTCCCAACAGCTTCCCCAAGGATGACCCCAAGAAGCCCGTCCACCTCACCGCCGCCATGGGCTACAAGGCTGGCATGACTACCATTGTCAGAGATTTGGACCGTCCCGGCGCGAAGTCGCACAAGAAGGAAGTTGTCGAGGCTGTCTCGATCATTGATACGCCACCTGTACGAACAACGCAGCCCGCTTGGCTTTGTGCCTATGGCTAACATCTTATTTACAGATGATCGTTGTTGGTCTTGTTGGCTACATCGAGACTCCCCGCGGTCTGCGATCCCTCACCACCGTCTGGGCCGAGCACTTGAGCGATGAGCTCAAGCGCCGCTTCTACAAGAACTGGTACAAGAGCAAGAAGAAGGCCTTCACCAAGTACGCCAAGCAGCACTCCGAGAGCAGCGGCTCCTCCATCACCCGCGAGCTCGAGCGCATGAAGAAATACTGCAGCGTCATCCGTGTCCTCGCCCACACCCAGATCCGCAAGACCCCTCTCACGCAGAAGAAGGCCCACCTTATGGAGATCCAGGTCAACGGCGGTTCCGTCGCTGATAAGGTCGCTTTCGGCCACGGTCTCTTCGAGAAGCCCTTCAGCATCGACAGCGTCTTCGAGCAGGACGAGATGATCGATGTCATCGCCGTCACCAAGGGTCACGGATACAACGGTGTCACCGCCAGATGGGGAACCAAGAAGCTTCCGCGAAAGACGCACAAGGGTCTCCGAAAGGTCGCTTGTATCGGTGCCTGGCATCCTTCCCACGTCCAATGGACTGTTGCCCGTGCTGGTCAGATGGGTTACCACCACCGTACCTCGGTCAACCACAAGGTCTACCGTATCGGTAAGGCTGGCGACGAGGGCAGTGCCTCCACCGAGCAGGATGTCACCAAGAAGTCCATCACTCCGTAAGTCATACTTGAATGCTACATATGTGTGCTCTGCTAATATAATTATAGTCTGGGTGGCTTCGTCAGATATGGTGAGATCAAGAACGACTTCGTCATGGTCAAGGGCTCAATCCCGGGTACCAAGAAGCGTGTCATGACGCTGCGAAAGTCGATGTTCACGCACACCTCGAGAAAGGCTCTGGAGAAGGTCGAGCTGAAATGGATCGACACCTCTTCCGAGTTTGGTCACGGTGCGTTCCAGACACCCGCCGAGAAGAAGCAATTCCTGGGTACGCTCAAGAAGGATCTCGTCCAGAGCTCGTAAGAGTTTTGCGTTTCCTTGTATCTGGTCTTTGCATCGGTGTTCCTGGTTCCCTTTTCGGCTAGTGCAATGAGGCATGGCCTAAGGATAGGCATTTGAGGTCCAGTTAATGAGAAACTGCATGAATGAAAATACCACGAGATTCCCTGCCATGTGGCCTGTTCCCGTAGTGTGCTGTGAAGCCTTGGCTGTATGCTCTACGATATTGGATACACCTTGAAATCATTCCATGTGGTATAGTAGACGTACTCATCCAACCTGCACAGTATTTTTCTCAAGTGCCAGATCCTACATACATGTTACGACCAGCAGCCAGCGTGCCGACTCCAACAATGAATTGCTGGTCGTCCAGCACTGATTATGCTGGCGTGTGCTAGACAAGTCTTAGGTTAGACGTTGGAGTCCGGCCTACAGTGTTATGCAGCATCTTGAAGCTATCTACTTCCCGGATGAGTAGCAAGCATATGATGTGGTCAATGGTTTCGTCCAAAAGTACCAAGCCAGCCTTCAGACATGCGCCCGATACTGCCTTCCTGGAGTCGGACAAGGGTCGATCAATTGGAGGGGCGGCCGGAGCTCCTCAGCGCGCGCTGGCATTCTAGCCCCGCAAGCTGCAAGCCTGTATCAAAAACGACGTAACCAACTTAGAAGCTGGCCTACAGCTTGACTTGTTTGGATCAATGACACTATCTTCACTCCTTCGCAAACGCAGCACAAACTACTACTACAGTCGACTCACGTCCTTAGGCCCCAATTCGAACTTGACACGATCAGTCCTGACCAGGCCCATCACATCGCGTACAAGGAACCAGTTCCAGTCCCGCGCCTTACCATCTACCACCACCCGACGATTAAAGCCCGCCGCGCACCAGACGGGCAACGCTCGACTCCCGTTCACCACAACTACCAACGCTGCAGCGAAGATGGCGTCGGACGACGACTACATGGCCTTCCTGGACAAGGCCAACCAGGACCCGAGCGAGGGGCAGGCCAAGCCGCAGAGCTCGGACAAGCAGAAGGGGGAGTTCAAGGCCACGGACGACGGGGCGGCAGTCCCGGCCGCGCTCAAGGAGGCGACCAAGGACAGCTTCTACGTGAGCGACGCGGACGAGCCGTTCGTGCCCGTGTGTCTGGCGTGGGACGAGGGGGGCAAGGGGTTGCCGGATGAGGGTGCGTGTGGTCTCTTCTTGTTCTCTTCTCTTTCCGTTTCCCTACCTCTACCTCTAACCTTTAGCCTGCCTACCTACCTACGTAACCCTATACCATCCGTACCTTGCAATGAAGCTTAACACCCCAGGCTGACACTTGACACTCACTTGTCATTGTAACAGAGGAATTCGCATCCCTGATACACCACCCGGACCCCGCGAGCGCCGAGATCGAGATCCAGGACCCGGCCGACTGGGACACGCAGGGGCAGTACAGGGCGATCCTCGACGCGGTCACGAAGGCGGGCAAGGGCAACGACGTGCGCGTGTACCGGGTGGCCAAGGGCAAGGGCGGCGTCAAGGTCGAGTACTGGGTCGTGACGACGGAAGGCAAGGGCGCGGGGGCGAAGCTCGTGGGGGCTAAGGCGTTGGCTGTTGAGAGTTGAGGGGTGGGCGGCTCGTTGGTTTGTCGGTTTGTTGCTTTGTAACGGGGGAACTCGTCTACATGACTGGGAATACAGTCGACTGGATAGATGCTCAGGGTACGTGGGCTGTCAGCAGTTTGACTTGCTGGCCGGAGTACCGTCGAAATCCACAGTGCGAGGCTCAGGCGCAAGAGGTGATCCTATGTCATTGAGGGAGAGGGAAGGTGACGCTACAACGGACCTCATCAATCTGATAAGTGGGTATGCGGATGAAAAGCGCACTGTATTTCCGCCCCAGAAAATCGCCTGTGAACCCTGATGGACTGCTAGGAGTCCGTGTCCCAGTCTGTTTTAGTCACTGTGTGCCATGGTGCTGTGCCCCGCGGTCGGCTTTCGGAAAAGATACCTCATGTGAGCTCTCGCCAGCTTGACCAGTCATCAATCAGTGGTGAGCGTTGTGTCACCTGCAGTAACTCGAACCAAAACCACCAACATCAATCGTGAGGGGCGTCCCTTTGAAAGATGACACCGATGCTACCGATATAGCCAAATCCAACTTGAACAGATCTGAGCACGAGCACCATGGCACAAGCAGTAAGCGTTTCCTTCTACCTGTACAGTTCAGTCAATTGAGGGGCTCAGCAGTTGACAGATTTGCTTGCGTAGGATGTCGTTCTGCCGTCGCTTGACACGGTCAAGGAGCTCCTTTCGAGACCCCAGACCGGTCCCAAGAAGCCCAACAAAATCCCGCTCTATGGCCAGATAACCGCCGACCTCATAACACCATCGGCCGCATACCTGAAGGTCTCGGCGCATTCCAAGTCCGACTTCTCCTTCCTGTTCGAGAGCGCCGCAACCGAGCAAGTTGGCCGGTACAGCTTCGTCGGTGCAGGACCGCTCAAGACCCTGACGACAGGCGAGGGCCATGGCGAATCGGTAGACCCGTTGCCTGCCCTCGAGAAGGAGCTGGAACAGCATGTCGTAGTCGACGTGCCAGACCTAAGACTACCACCGCTCACTGGCGGCGCGATTGGATATGTCGGATACGACTGCGTGCGCTACTTCGAGCCCAAGACGGCGCGCCCCATGAAAGATGTCCTGAAGATTCCCGAGTCGCTCTTCATGCTGTTCGATACGATTGTCGCCTTCGATAGGTTCTACGGCGTCATCAAGGTCATTACATATCTCAACATCCCCGAGAACCCGGACTCGCTCGCCGACGAATACTCGAAAGCGACTGCGATCATCCACGAGCTCATTGACGTCCTGAACTCCCCAGAGATACCCATACCCGACCAACAGCCCATCAAGCTGGGCCAGGAATACACCTCCAACATCGGCCAGGCTGGTTACGAGGCGCACGTAACGGAGTTGAAGAAGCACATCGTGACGGGCGACATCATCCAGGCGGTCCCGTCCCAGCGGTTCGCCCGACCGACGTCGCTGCACCCTTTCAACATCTACCGCCATCTGCGCACCGTGAACCCCTCGCCGTACCTCTTCTACGTCAACTGCAAGGACTTCCAGATCGTGGGCGCATCGCCGGAGCTGCTAGTGAAAGAGGAGGAAGGGCGCATCATCACACATCCCATCGCCGGCACCGTGAAGCGCGGCAAGAACCCCGAGGACGACGAGCGGCTCGCCCACGAGCTGCGGAGCTCACTCAAGGACCGCGCCGAGCATGTCATGTTGGTGGACTTGGCGCGGAACGACATGAACCGAGTCTGCGACCCGCTGACGACGCGGGTTGACCGGCTCATGGTGGTTGAGAAGTTCAGCCACGTTCAGCATCTCGTATCACAGGTTTCGGGAGTGTTGAGGCCGGGTCAGACGAGATTCGATGCCTTCAGATCAATATTTCCAGCCGGCACGGTGTCGGGTGCGCCCAAGGTCAGGGCTATGGAGCTTATTGCCGAGCTGGAGAAGGAGAAGAGGGGCATATATGCCGGAGCTGTTGGCTATTTCGGTTATGGCAGTGTGACGGCGAGTGGAGAGGAGACCGAGGGCGCTATGGATACCTGCATCGCGCTGCGGACCATGATGGTCAAGGATGGCATCGCTTACCTTCAAGCTGGTCAGTATCTACCCCTATCCCATGACCCCGTGGAATCGCTGAATATGTGTATGCTAACTACTCCCCTTGTAGGTGGCGGTATCGTCTTCGACTCAGATGGGTACGAGGAGTGGGTGGAGACAATGAACAAACTGGGAGCGAACATGCAGTGCATCACGTCTGCAGAAAACATATATGCCAAGAGACAACAAGCATAGACAGACAGACAGACAGAGCGAGGATAGGTTTTCAATTCCAGATACTTTCAAGTGCGGGACTTGCCTCATGCGTACTATGAAATCAGTCAGTCAGTGAATGTATGGCGAGCATATTTGTGCTTTTTGCCCTTTCCTACTTCATCTCCTGCTTCTCCTCATCCCAACAGTGTCCCGAGTGGTCGCCGGCCGGCACGGCCTTCTCCCTGCCGTCGACCTTTTTGTAGGTCAGCTCGTCGAGGTCGAGGCCGTAGAACGCGCGTGCCTGGGTTTATGTTGTGGTTAGCTTGGCGCAACTTGGGTGTGGTATAACTTGAACGAGAGATATGAGATTTATTGGACGGATCTCTTTCCATACTCCCCCTGGCAGGGAGTGGGTGAGATGCGGACAGGGAGGGGTGATATGTGTAGAAAGAGCTGATGGGTATACCTAAGGGCATGGAAAAGGGCGAAAGGGGCATGGGAAGGGAGGCAAGGGAAGGGGAGAAGGGGAAAGGGAAGGGGAGGAGAAAGAGAAAGGGGCAGGCACTCACGCTGATGGCGTACCGGTGCGGCGTCATGCGCTCCCGGAGGTCGATGCCGAGGCTCGCGCCGCATTTGGGGCAGAACATCTGTTTTGTGCGTGTTGCTGTCAGTATTGTCTCTCTTTTTTCTTTTCGGGACGGCGAAGGCTATCCGAGGACAGAATTGGACGTGCAAAAGGGGGGGGGGGGGGGGGAGGGGGGGCACAATAGAAGACGAGTGAAGGGAGGCGGAGGAACTGACCTGGTCCAGCTGCTTCGTGTTGAACTGGTAATTGGCGCACCGCGCGCGGCCGTTGTTATGCCAGACGACGTCTTTGGCTTCGGGGTCTGCGATGGGTGTGTTTCGTTAGTTGAGTGCAGAGAGGTAGTGCGCGTCTCGGGAGTCAGGGGTGTGAAGGAATAGGGGTTCTTCTGTCTCATCCGATGCTGTGTTCCATCCCAACCGTCCTCCCTTTCACGCACACATTCTCATAAAATCATTCCTCTCCAACTACAGAAGTGGCAGCTTGCTTCAATCAACCAAGTACCGCGACTTCAAAACGACCAACCAGAAACCAGGGAAAATGACGGGCTGACGGGCAGAGATGGGTAGGTTTGTAACGTACACACGAGCAAATACCCAAACCGCACGCACGCCGAGCAGTTGCACTGCACGACCTGGTGCTCCGGCAGCGGCGGCGCCAACGTGACAGCGAACTTGACATAGCCGCAGTGGCAGCCGGCCTCGTAGGTGGCGCTTTGCTGGTCCTCGCCGCGGCTGGCGAGAGTCGTAAGGGGGTTGTCGGACATGGTACCTGTATATGTATATCTGTTTACCTACCTAGATACCTAGCTATACGATGCCGAATATAAAGAAGTTACTGTAATAATGAGTGAGAAAAGCTGCTCTCAAAGGCGAGAGATCTTCCTTCCGATTCGAGGTACATAGAGCGAGGTTATATATGCGATACCACGAGTGACTGACCGACTGACTGACTGACTGACTCACTTTTCATATCCGCGTATAAGTTGATGTGACATGGTTGGACCAGGCTGTATATTACCCGATCCTGCCTGCAGGAGAACGTGGTGGAACGCAGTCGTCAGATCTAGATAATTCGAGATCGCTCTTGAAACCAAGCACTCAGCCTTGTGCTGCGGTGAGACATTGGACTGCACCGCATATGTCGGATACTGCATGGAGCCTGTTTGTATAGGCGATTTGGACTACGGCTCGGTTTACTTGTTATGGTTTTATTATCAGTTAAGCCGGCGGGATCAGCCATCATTCGGGATTTAGCGCTGCTGTTCAGGGAGGCTGTACCTATTAAGTAGGGGTCCGCGACGTGAATCATGGGTAATTAATTACGTTTAAGCGGATTGTTTCGCGAAGAGCGGGAACGACGAAGCAACTGATCCGTGCAGAAACAATGAGTTGTAGGTTCGTTGATATTATGTGCCTGCTATATAGACTGGTGGTAATGCAACTGCTCGGGAGAGATGCTGGTGATGGATATCTGCTCGCTATAACAAAACGATCCCGAGTTGGTGACTCCAGACCTCTCCCACCATCTAATTCTAACCCCATATGACGGGACCTTCCACCGAGGACCCCTATGCACTTGTTGTCAAACCCCTGTTGCTAGCAGTAAAAACGAAATGGGTATAGTCTATGCCTTCTCCCCGTCCCCATGGGTCCGCGGCGCGTTTGAGGCAGCGGCATGGTCTTCGCCATCCTTGTCAGTCTCAACGGCTGTGTCATTACTAGAGGCAGCCGCTGCAGCGCCCGGAGCGTCCGTTGGAGCGAAAGCACTCTTGGCTCTGATTCTGGCACCGTATAGGTAGAAGATGACGGGGATCGGCGCGAGTATGGCAGCAACACCGCCAAGAAGGGTGGAAGCATACTGAATGCCTAGTCCGTTGAACATGTAGGTGGAGAATAGCGGGAATCCAGCACCGCAGAGAGAACGCAAGAATGTGTTGCCAGCTATGGCCGACGCGGCGCTGTCTTGATGTTAGTCGCGGTAGGACTGTGCTACAATAATGGGGGTTCAACTTACAACATAAGGTACGCGTCGACAAGGTAGTTCAAAGACTGCAGGAAGATGGCCATCAAACCAAAGCCAGTCAGGATACCGGAAGCAGCTGGTACAATCCAGTGAATGTCCGCTCGGTAACCTGACCAGCCGAACCAGAAGATACCAGCAGTGAAAGAGACTCCACCCGCAATGACCTCGGGGAGACGCCATTCTGGTACCGGCACGCCATTGTTGGCAGCCAGCTTGCGCTGGTACGCGGGTTGCATGAGAAGCACCGTAATACCTGCAAAGAGTTGACCAATGATCATGCCGAAAAAACACAACCCAGATTGGCCCTTGTTGAAGCCGTGGACTCCCTCGAAGACGAAGGGGTACGCGGTCAAGAAAAGGTAGAGTAGACCATAGATGAAAGCCATGTAGACGGAAATAAGGGTGACGATGGGCTCGAAGAACAGGAGGCGCATGGGACGAGTAAAGTTCTTCTGAAGGAGTTCCTTGAAGTCAACCTCGATCTCTTCCTGCTTGGCGTGGATTCCCCAGTTCTTGGTGCGACGACGCAGCTCGGATGCCTTCTCGATCAGAATAACTGGAGGGTATGTTTCGGTGAGGAAGAGCAGATCGAGGCCAAACGCAAACCAGCCCATGATGGACGCGAGGTACATGGTCCAGCGCCAACCAAGGTAGGAGTCGACTATGAAACCCCCGATGAAAGGCGCCAGTAGCGGTCCAGTGAAGACGGCCATGGAAAACAATGTTATCGCCACACCACGAGTCGCATTGTTAAACATGTCGGAGAAGACAGCGGCAACGACGGCGAGAGGACACGCGCCAAAGAAACCGGCGAAGAATCGGCAGATCAGCAGTGTCTGCAAATCTTTGGCTGTAGCGCAAGCGATGCAGAAGACAGAGAAACCGAACATGGACAGCACAATAGGCAGACGTCGGCCTTTCAGCTCAGACAGCGGAGCCCACAACGTCGGACCAGTCGCGAAACCCAAAACGTAGAGCGACACGCCGAGTATACCAACTTCAGCACTGACGTTAAATTCTGCGGCGACTGACGTCGTCGCTGCCGAGAAGATACTCGATGTGAAAGCCGAGGTCATAGTCGTGTAACCAAGCATAGCACTAGTCAGCAACCTATACCAGCCGGTGTTAGTGCTGTTCTACAGCCAGCTTTGCGCCAGGCACGGATCCAACTTACTTCTTCTTGGTCGTCCAGTTCTGGGCATGATAGGGGTCGTCTGGCCCCTCGAACTCAACCACATAATCCTCCTGATCGGGTAGTGGAGGCGGAAGCGGTTTGCCGCCACCGAACGCCGGCAGCGGTTTCCTGGACTCGCGGCTCCTGAGGCTCCGTCCGACGGTGGCGCTGTGTTGGCTCCGTATTGTATGTATACGGCTTAATTCGGTAGGATGACGTTCGAGGTCTCGTTGAGTCGAGACGCGACTCATCCCGTTAGCTCGCCGGGCGGCACCATCACTAGACGACGTCGAGACGGACGAGGCCGAGATGACCCGTTCGACCTCATTACTGTCGCGGTGATGGCGGCGTTGGTGTTGTGTCGATCTTCGGGGGCGATCGGCCGACTTGGCGTCCTCCTCCGCTCTCATGAGCTCGCGGTCGACGTCGCTCATGTTCATTGCACACGTAGCCCGCACTTCGAGCAGGGTGGCGCTTGGGAGTGTCGTCAATGCTCAAGTCTTTATGCGAGACAGATGGGGATAGCAAGAAAATGGTTCCTAGTAATGTAATTGGATGGTTGTGGTATTGTGATGAACAGAAAAGACAAGGTAGGTATTCAATCTGAGTGATAAGGTAGGTATTCAATCTGAGTGATAAGGTAGGTATTCAATCTGAGTTCTCATGGCGGCAAGAGTCAATATTAGAGCCGTTGATGAGGGAAGAGGGAAGGCTAAGGATGGACGAGAAGGGGAGGGGCACGTTCAGGTCGGAGGGGTTTTCTCGTTGCTGATGAATCAGTCACAAAGCCAAGGGCCAAGAAGCCGCGGCACGATGTTATTAATATTATGATTAGAGGCAAGTGGTGGAAATGGCGATGGGGCGGACCTTGGTGACTGACTGTTCGCCTGTCACCTCTTGTCGGGTCGGCTTTCGCTCTTAACTTTTATATGGAGCTTGGGTCGAGGCGGAGGACCTCAAGCTCCTCTTACTGTACCCTGCTCTCACTATGCGGTTTCCATGACGAAAGCTCGGATCCTTGGATCGGGCATGGGGTGTTCAACTTCGTGCCGAGGTGGGTGGAATTCTGCATTCCTTGGGCAGAATGCCAGCAAATCAGCGGCGATAAGCAGCACGCTCCGCTCCCGAGGTCGCCTCCTTTGAACCCTTCGGTTCGGCGCAACCAACAGCCAGACTGTGGCGCTGGTGCAGGGGACCAGCCAAGCCGCCGCACGCCGCAGAAGCCTCGAGAAGGAGCGCTAGAAGGCTACTAGACTGACAGGCTGACAGGTAGGTAGAATGCAGAAGGGCGGTCCCGTCGGATAAGCGCGCGAAGGCCGATACTCCCGTCACGACACACGCTGACATGGAGTCGCGACCCGTGTTGAAGCCTAGTAAGTCGACATATTTTGCTTACTCACTCGAGCAGTGACGTACCGCGTAGATACGCGAAAGTGATCTGTGTCGTGTCACCTTGAGTCGCGCCATGGCTCAGGGCACGAGTCAAGGATCTCGAGGAATCGAGAGATGGATCTTGAAATTTCCAGAGGGACAGGGGCAAAGAGGGGCCGAGCAAAAAGTAATAATTCAATGGCTCGGCTGAAAGCGCTTGGAGCCGGTGGAAGGTGGAAGGTGGAAGGTGGACACTAGCTGTTAGATACTAGCACGAATGTGTTGAATGGGAGCCGGAGATAGACACCGGAAGATCTCCAGTGGGGCAGAGACGCACAGGGCATCTGACCCACCAAGAAGACAGATGATCAATCTCTGTATACTGAAGAAGCAGAGCACAACAATCAATAGAATCCCATCAACATCCGTGTATTCAACACTAGCCCTCCCTGACTGCAAGTGGATGTTTCAGATGTTCCTTTTGCCGGCCTCTTCTTCTTATGCTTCTTCTTCGTTCTTGCCATGGTTTGAACTTTCTTCTCCTCGGGTTCTCCGTCTGCAACTATCTAATCCCAATATCCATGAAGTCAATTCGACATGGTTCACAGCGCAAAGGCATACGCAGTACGTCAATATACGTGCTAGTAGCGGCACCCCTATTATCTATACATAGTACTGCTGTGTGCAGGCAGAACAGGTGCGGTAAGGTGGGATGGTGGGTGCCGCTATTCCATTTGGCAGTGCCCGGGCAATGTCGGTCCACTGCGGTGCGGGAACCCCGCCGTCTCGCAGATTGCACCACGTTGTTGCTGACACATACCCGTAGCTGACTTCAACGAAAGAGCAATGTAAAGTTACACGTTAACCAGCTTACAGTGAAAAAAGGCAACCAGTATTCTCTGGGTTATTACAGCATCTTGAGTCCACCGGGAGCCAGATAGCCAGATCCTGGAACACCTGTCATGGGTCATATGTTAAGCTCGCAGCTTTGAGCCCATTGAACGAGGCCAACCCATGGCTCGGGAAGGGGCTCTGGGTGGAGGAAGCGTCATTCGGGAACACAAACGGGTTATACAAGTTTTGAGCCTTGGTATAGCTCTCGACGGCTTCCAGACAGTTCTCCAAGATTGCGTAAATTGTAGATCATCTTCAGCCATTTCACGTATATAAACCCCTATTGGCGCAACGTCCTCTCAGACGGTAATTCCAGCCCCCATTAAGACCATCTAAGTTTTCTAAGACAAAGTTCCATTGGCTAACATGATCTCATAGTAGACGACATTCTGGCAGACCCATCCATGCTCATTTGAAAAATGTGAGAGACCACGTAGAGTCAGGTGTGCGAGGGTAGGTAGGTGAATAGGTGGATAGATCATAGCGGGGAGTGCTGGACCTTCTGCTTCTTGGAGTAGCACGGGATGCAAGATGTCACAACACGTGGCTTGCGCTTGGTGGGCGAACTCATTATGGAGGTGACAGGTAGCTGTGAACCTGGACAAGATGGTCATAGAGCCTAGAGAGTTTTGGTTGAAAAATCGCCAGCTTGACGTAAGTATATCCCAAGAGCTCAAGTGGCTTCCGGTACGCATGGAGTATCAAAGGACGCACGGACTTACCTATCTCGTGCTCTGTCGTACATAGTACTGCAGTCCCAATGGTAGCCAGCACCAACCAATAGCTCTGTTGCGGCGCAGTCTGCAATTGGACTTTGGAGTTGGGACAAGCTGCATGCATGATTGGGAGCCAGATGAGGCGCGGCAGCTTGACTTACAAGCTCCAGCTGATGCCGATGTAGATTCCTTCAGCCAACACCTTGTAGGTGCGTGCATGGATAAAGTACCTAATGACAGGTGATAGGACTAAGAAGCCAACACCCCGTCGACGGTCCATTCCTCCAACCTCCCCCTCAGACGAAAGCAACACAGCAGCGTGTCAACGCCCTGGCCCTGTCTCCTCGCCAGATACGCACATCATCGAACAAGCCCAGAGACTGAGAAACCGCCACCATGGGTAGTTTTCCCGGCTTTCTGTACAAACAGATCACCTTCAAGCCTAAGCCGCCTCCACAGTCCGTCAAGCTCCATGGCCTGACCGCCTTAGTAACGGGCGGTAACGCTGGCCTGGGCTTGGAGGCATGCAAGGAGCTGGCCGCGCACGGGGTGGCGCGCATCGTACTTGGAGTTCGAAGCACGGCCAAGGGTGATGACGCAAGGAAAGAAATCCTCGCCCTTCATTCTGGTGTTGACGTCCAGGTGTGGGAGCTCGACCATGAATCTTTCGACAGTGTGCGCAAGTTTGCAGACAGAGCCGCCGCCCTCGATCGGCTCGATATCGCCATCCTGAGCGCCGGCGTGAAGAGCATGGAGTTCTCCAGGTCCAGAGCCGGGCACGAGTCAAACGTCCAGGTACGAAGACCACGAAGTGTTGCCCTTCCATCATCACCTTATGTATACCGGTTTGAGTCCACGTGGCCAGGTCACCATTTGGGGACCGCCCTCCTGTCACTGTTGCTTCTCGGGCCCTTGAAGGCGACAGCAACAGCCAAGGCTTCCAAGACGCGCCTAACCATCGTCAGCTCGGAAACCCATTTCTGGGCTAAGTTAAGTGAGGTTACCACCCCAAACACGTTTGAATCCATGGACAAGAAGGAGTCATTTGGCAAAGGCATGGACCGCTACAACGCCAGCAAGCTGCTCAACGTGCTCTGGATGCGCGAGCTCAGCACTCGAGCAGGCGGCAATGTCATCATTAACGCCGTCAACCCCGGCTTTTGCCAGAGCACCTTGCACCGCTCTGATCCCAGTGGATCTTCGTTCGCCAACCTCATCGGCTGGACCGCCAGGCAAGGTGGCCACTGCTTGACGGCCACGGCGCCTACATCAGCGAACAGACCGTAAAGAGGTGCAGTAAGCCCCTCCACCTCATTTATACGCCTGAGTGACTGATTACTGTCTTCCAGCCCTTCCCCTTTCGTCCTTTCGTCCCAGGGATGAACCGCACAGACTAAGGTCTGGAATGAAACGATCCAACTGCTGCGTGCAGAAGCCCCCGGGATTGACTTGCTTCGTAACCTGAAGGAATGAGCGATGCGAGGGCCAAGGCGGAGGGGCAGGACCAGGCGAATTTATCGTGTCATTGAAGATCGACGAGCAGCCATCGATTCCTTCGAACACGCCGCTCGCTGATCACTCACTCTGGCCATTTCCCGGGACGAGAGCACGGATCTAAGTGTCCTCCACGTATTCACTCATCCATCTCAACGGACATGTTGTAGCCTGGATTTGAAGTGGCCGGGGGTCTCCTCACTACAAGTGTCCGAGACTAAAGACACTTGTGGTCCACAGTACAGTTGGGAAAGGGGCACTCTGTTTACTCCTGATGAGATGCTGATGAGGGCTTACAATGCGCTTCAATAGTCCGAGCTAGCTTCGAGAGCAAAATCGTACGCTACTAATGTTCAAGATTGGTACGATATCCCCGAGTGCCGCCAGGACTCGCGTAGTCTGAATCCCGACAAGTTAAGGGACTGCCATGGTAAAGTGGTACAAAGTATGAGCAGCATCTAACCGATCATTGCATTATAGTCTGGACCTGTCCGAGGTATTTTCTTCTACACGCCTAGAAAGGATGCCTGCTTCTTGAAGTGATACAACCCGCTGAGGTTTTGGTTCTCTTCAAAGGCAGCGAGCGCCACCTTGTTACGAACCAACAAATACCACAGGCCCGTTGGCAGGCCTGAAGGGAAAAGGATGAACTACGAGGGAACCCAATCAGAACGGGGGCACAACACGAAACAGCACAGGGCATCCAGGCACGTGATCCAGTAATCCAGGGAGCCAGGATCACGTGACTAGAATTGCTCACGTCTGATCACGCGAGCAACAGTGAGCACGCCTCATCAGTGAGGGAGAGATTGAATATATAAGGATAGACATTTCCTAATTAGACAGATAGACAGTCTCTATCTTAGTGATCAATCTAAGCATCTTAGCCAACCCTAAGGTGAGAGAAATCTCCTGACGACTCGACTAATCAGTGATCCCCTGAATCAGACCAAGCCCCAGCATCTGAGTGTCTTCTAGTTGACAGAAGCCTCTATCGTCCTTTGTGTTGATTTACCTCAGAACATAAACCCTATAGAAACTTTTAGCCTTATAGGTTAGACGGCTCGTCACACACCTCCGGAGAGGACATGGAGCTGGGGAAATCCATGCCTCCCAGCAAAAAATAAAAATCGTTCCCTGCAGACCCTGTACTTGACAGCAAGCAATCTCCATCGGCCGCTTCTTTACACATGCATCCCTTAATTTGGATGGTGAGTGAGCTACCTTGACTTTCAGAACAGGGGCCATAGTCTTCAACGTGCCGCCCGTAAGTAGTGTTGTCATATGAACACCCGTGTGTGGAAATACTCTTATTATTTTCAGAAGATAAGCTCAGATTGAGACAGACTGTCCCTCCTCTAGCTGGAACATCTACCAAGACGTACTGGCCCCATGGTCCCTCGTGTACGAGCTGTCTATTGCGACTACGACAAATCCGCCAGCATGGTTCCCTCCTCCACTGCCAATGTTTACGACCAATAGTTACGGATCCCGAGGCTTTACTGTTAGCGAATGCAGTTTATGTTTCCGACTCTTTCAATAGTAATTTCTCATGATGTCATTGCTAGTTTCCTCGCATCCTTAGCAACAGCTGTGCCGCTGACTACAAACCTTGCTCGGCCAAGTTTGAGCCACCGTGTTGGTGAAGCGCTCGCCGTTGTCGGGCAGTCCTCCGGAGGGACCGAAATGGCATGGTATACCTTCCTACCATACTTTGAGGGACCATAGGGTCATAGGTATACTTCAGGATTCCTCTTGTTGACACAAAGAGTCGGGATGTTTTATCATCCCCCCCATAGAAGTCGGACATCCCCACTGGTCGGACAGCCAAATAGTGGGGTCACCACCAAAACACCCCCTTATTCACCCACCCGCGAATAAAGCTATTCAGATCGGAGAATTATGGCAATATTATTATTCGAAAGCGGAGAAGCTTTTTACTCGTACAATCGTGCGGGATCCCGAATGGCTCGCCTCAAACGGGTGTGCCTAGGCTCCTGTACAGCCTCCAAAACCTCCTCTTCAGCCGAGTCTTTGTCTTCGTCTTCTTTATCCTCTGAGTCAACAACCACAATTTCTGTCTCACCCGTAAGGGCACCAGGGGCGATGGTACCACCCGTACTTAGTATCTCCGTAACTGCTCTAAATTTCCTGTTGGGATTTGGGATTTTCTTCTGCTTCTTTGGCTGTAACTGCTCTAATTCAGCCTCCAGGGCCTTGATCTTCTGGTCTTTGATAACCACCTCGGTCTCCTTAGCCTCAAACGCGTTGGCTATCTTCTTATACTTCAGCCTGGTGCCTGGAGATATTTTTTTGCCAAAATACATGATCTGGTGGGTCGTAATAGGCGGCCGCTGCTCCTCTGGTTCAGAGCTTTCAGGGATATCAGACTCAGGGGTCTTTTTTTTGGTTTCTTGTATCTCTGGGTGGAGTAAGCACTTCCTACGGCTGATAAGACAACATCCAGTGACTTTGAAGCCCAAAAGGATGTTTTGCTTCATGAAAGCAGCAGTTCTGGCCCTACTATAGCATCGGATGAAGTTGATCTTGTCAACAGGCGAGGCATCCGTCAGGGAATTCAATTCAGAGAAGAACTTCTGGTAGTAGGCTTTCAGGGCGTTACAAGGCCCGTTATCCAGGGGTTGCATGCCGTGACTAGTATGTGCAGGAAAAAAACAGAGCAATATATTATTTAGAAAACATATAGTCATGAATTCGTCCTATTACACACATTAGACCATGTTAAGTCAAGAAAAATTAAACGAAGTCCATTTAAAATAAGGAAAAATCGTATACGTGCGAAGGTGTGGCTCTTGTGGCCATCCAGTATCAAGAGGACAGCCTCAGACTGGTCTCCTCCTCGTTCTTCATCTGCCTTTGGGAGGAAAACATCCTCCAGCCACTGGCAGGCTATAGCATTCAAAGTCCGGCCGTTCTCTGAGCATATATAGTGCCAATTTGCGGTCTTTTAGAACTCCTTGATGAACCACTGCACTTGGAGGTCCTTCCCCTTAAAGATAATACCTGATTTGAGGATTTTTCCAGTGGCTGAGATGGTCTCGATGAAGGAGGTCTAGCTACGGCCCTGAGGGCTCTTCAGAAAGGCTTTCTTTGTAATAGAACTATCTAGAACTAAGGAATCAATGCTGGTGAATCTAATTAGATTTTTTTCGGAATTAAAAGGGATAGATATAGTTACCAAAACCCGCCATGATGCCGCCCTTATCGACATTATAGGTGTTCTTTGGCTTCACCCAGCCGTAATCTTTGAGAATTTCAAACAACCAGTTAACTGACTTAGGCATGAACCCCTTCAATCGTGCTGCTTCCATCCTTTTGCCGACTTTCGTCTTGATCTCGGGGTTGCGGCGCTTGAAGGCTACCATGAAGGTGTCTCCTAGGGGGCCCTCATCTCCCTTCTTCTTTAACAGCTTCTTAACGATCTCACGAACCAGGGAATGCGAAGGGGCTAGGCCGAGCTTTTCCTGGAATAAAATCCACTTGACTATAGTCTTTTCCTGGGCAGGGGAGAGTCTCTGTTATTGTGTGTGGGCTTCGGCTCTGGTAGGCTTGACGTTAAGTCAATCAGATAGCGTTTGGGGCAGAATACCATGTTTTTCAGCGCTTTTTTGCAAAGATAGTCCCTTATCTGTGATATCTAAGATGGCATTCGCCACCTGATCCTCCGTATATGAATAGGGAGGCATTTTAGGCGACTATACAGTGCTGCATTGCACACAAAACAAGACTTCAAGAGAGCCTTGCGGGGCCAAAAATCTCTATTCGGTGTAGCAAAGGCGGGGTAATAGCTCCCCAATCACGTAGGCCAGGAGTGGTAAATTCAGCATTGGAGAAAACCTTAAGATCAGGGCTATCTAGAGCACTAAATACATTATGAATAGCTTCAGTATCGGGCTGAATCCCGTATAAGTGAACATATGGGAGTTTTGGTGGTGATGGTGGGGTTTGGCTGTCCGACTAGTGGGGGCGTCCGACTTCTATGGGGGGGATGGTATCGTGTCAGAAGATAGGATGCCAATGCCCAGTCGATGACTGGCGCACGCGGCACAGTTGATTTATTCAGGGGTCGACCTGCAGGACTCTAAATTCAGGCAACCTATACCATACCATTGGCGAGTCCACGCCGCTGGATGGACTGCTCTACCGGTACATATTCCTAGTTCTTTCCACTTATTAGTCGGCCGCCGTAATGATCCCATCCGTAGATCACTTCGGGGTAACCGAGTGGCACAAGCCACTCCTCTGCGTGATCCAACCCACGACACGTATTCCAAGGAAAGCAGACTTGCTAACAAAATAATCACAAGGGAGTAGTATATCCGCATTTAGGTTCAGAAAGGTTGATCTCCAGTGCCTATGAGACTTGACCAGAACAACAAGCTACTGAAACTTGCTCTGCCGACGAGATGTTGGGGGATGTTGAACATGATGTCCTATTAGCAAGACTGCGCCGCTCTCAGGATGTAAGCAGATGTCGGTGATGGCAGATCATAAGAACTTTCTAAGCTCAGGTGTCTCGGTCTATACCATCCCCGCCGTATAGTCTGCGGCTTCACCGACGTCAACCGCCTGACGTCGGCAATGGCCGTAAAGATATAAGGTGATCTTTCTCCTCCCCTTGTGAGGATACTTTATTCATCAAGCCCACCAGATGTGCCATGTCTCGAAGGTAGACCGAGCTCCTCGCGGATCGGGATACCGACGGCCACGGCACAGCACCAAGCTACGTGTAGTGTTTCCCAGAAAGGGCCCGCAGGCTCGCCACTGCACCAATTGTAGAAGACAAGACGGAAGTCGTAAAAAAGGCTACATTCATGAGCACTCTCCTCTCTAGACCTTGTACCAGAACACGCACAGGATCATTCGACGAAGGGACTACGGATCATAGCGGCTCCCCTCCCTGAACCCCATACCGCAATACGTACAGCACAGCATACAGAATAGCATAGCATACAGCACAGCACAGCATACAGCATTGCTCGATCAGCCTTTCTTCCTATATCACGATAGACCGATCTGCCACCTCGACGATAATGCAGCTAGGAGCGTTCTTATACGTCGGCTTGCTGGGCCTTTCGGGCCTGGGAAGCGGTCCCAAGCATGGTCTGGTGCAGGTGAGAACCCCCGACGACCCATACTGATAGATAGTATCTCCGTGGCTGACACTTCATCCTCACGGCTTAGGGGCTAAACCTGCCAGCCCATGAAGTCCACCCGGACGCAGTAGCTAGGAACAGCTTATCAAGCCGGGGGCGGGGGCCCGTGAAGTGGCTCAGGTCCGACATATCGATCGTGGAACGGCTCGAGTACAAGAACGGGGACGCCGAGGTGTTCACGGCTACCTGGCACGACCCTCGTTACTTTGCGGTGGTCAAGATTCCAGCAGAAAAGAGCGAGCTGGAGAATGAACTGGCGGTGTACGAGCGGCTGCGGGCCAAAAAAAGCTGACATCACACCAGTCCTACGTGCGCAGGTCATGAACGACCATGGCGAGGTCATCGGCTTCGCTCGGGAGGTCATCCCCGGAGTTCAGAAGCCGAGCTTCAGGAACAAGCAACAGTGCCTGTATCGACTGCTTGCTCTCCACGAACTGGGCATTGCGCATGGAGATATCGCAGGGAACCCGTTCTTGCCGACGACCGCTGACTGTAAGATGATCGGCTTTGGCAAATCGTACGATACCAGTGATGAGGAGGTGTTCAAGAAAGAGATAAAGTTGTTTGACGAGCTGTGGTCTTCCAGCTGAGATGCGGCCCACTGAGAGGTTGGAATGTGCTTTGGGAAGGTAGTCCTGCTGGAGGAGTACTTGTGTTCTGATTGGGGCGATCCTGTACGATAGTGGCTACACTCCCCGGCCATAAGTCTCCGAGCATCCCTGTTTTACACCAAAACACCCCAACTTTACGCGATCGTGATAAATCGAGTAAAATAGATACAACTTAAATACTTATAGTACATATAGTTAGATTTACTGGAATATTAAAATGGTTTATTTAAAAACTTTGATATCCCAAAGATAAAGGTCGTAAATGTTACTTTATTAAAGGTTAAATTTTCGATAAAAATAACTTTCTAACATGTCTATTTTTTTAAAAAAATTCTATCACATAAGGTTTTTTGTCTTATACGTGTATTACATGTCATTTAGTATTATATAACTTTATTACGACTTATACGATTTTTTAAACATTTCTTATAGCTTTATTAAGATTTAAGATTTAAGATTTTAAACTTCACTTTTATATATCTATTTCTTAATACTTTAGTCGCTAAGAAAATAAATACTTAGAAAATAGTTACGAAAACTTCAGCATTTTCAAATATTAGTTTCTTATAATATCTCATTTTAAAAAGCTTTGAGTCTTTAGTTATAAAAGCGTAAAGGTAGGGCATTTTGGTGTAAATGCGGGGATGCTCGGAGACTTATGGCGGGTCAGTGTAGCATAGTAAAGATACATCGAGCCCCTAGTGAGCCTTCGTAGAGGATCACAGGGGGCCGCTTGATCACCGAATGTTCTGTCTGGAATAAGTGCCCGCTTGTAGACTGCTCCGAAGCCTCTATTTACGCGACGTGTCGCAGGGCTCCCAGGCTTCCTGGAGGCTTAAGACATCAGACCACTGCTCCAGTCACCTAGCATACCAGGATCACTGATCCCCATACAAGGGGATCAAACCAGGTCTTCCAGCAGATCACACTTAGACCAATACATCACTTTCTTCCCCTTTGAGCTCACAGAAGCAACCAGGTCAGTGTGTGCGACACGACGTAAAATCATCGACGGGACAAGCCTCCTGAAAACTCAAGGTCCTCGTGACCGGCCTCATCTTCGTGTCAGAGGGAACGGCAAGACTAGCAGGAATGACTAGCATTTCATCGAGTTCAGAGTCAACACAGACAAACAGAATATGGCAATGCATTACATAGGCAGAGGTGATTTCCTTGAATTCAAAAGCCTACCTACTCAACCGAAGAACCGCATCTCATATCCTTGAGCGGTATATCGGATCGACCACTCCAAGTCGAGTCCACCTGCTTCACGGCCCTGTCATTGACAGCCACAACCGGTCCAAGGCCGACGTGACCAGCACCATCAGCGAGTTGCTCAAGGGAGTCGACAGAGAGGTCCGACACTTGAATTTATCGGACTTGTTCGATTCCGAAAGAGCGGCATGGGAGAAGAACGCCACCGAATCTTGTAGAACAGGAAGAGTCTCGCGACGTATCTGGACCACACAGCGCTGACAGCAGCCGCACAGCCGAAGATCAAGGCGATGCAGCTTGTCATGAATCGACGGTCGTTGTTGGTAGTAGTAATAACTCACGTGCAGAGCAACGCCAAGGTCTGATCCGTCGTGCTCCCATGCAGAAACTGCTGCTTGTAATAGAGCGAGACAATCTCGATTCGTATTCGCGAAGCTGTGCCACCACCAGTCATGCAGGTAGTCCACGTCGAAGCTGTTGCTAGCCACGATTGTGGTTGGCGGTACAGTTGCCTGCGGCCAGGGAAGACAGCGAATACGGCTTGACAACGAGCATGTGTTTTCATAGCAGCTCTCGCGACCTCGGCTCACTTTGGAGTCGACCTTCTGTGCGCCCGATCGTACTTGACACAATGTCCACTGTTTGATACTGTTGCCTCCGTTGGGGCTGGGCCATGTGAGCTAATAACATCTCACCTCACGCCCCAGCCATTCTCAAGCAAGCCAGTGGCTTCTTCTAGAGTCAACCCAACTGTCTCTGGGTAAATCAACCAAACCCCGAACCAGCCAGCGACGCAAATAATACCATACAGCACAAAGGTCCAACTTGGCGTCAACGAATCCATCAGAGGCAGGAATGTTAAGCCCACGACGAAATTCGCCAGCCAGTTCGTGGCCGTTGCCACTCCGCTGCCCAGCGAACGAACACTGAGCGGGAAGAGCTCGCTCTGCATCCAGGGGACGTTGCCGAGCCCTAGGGCATAGGAAGCCACGTAGATCATGATGCTGGCGAGTATGATGAAGGCCCCACTGCGCATCGAGTCGCTCATCTTGACTTCGGCTGGTGGTATCTTGGTAGACCGGAAACCGTATGCTGATAGAAACAGACCAATGACCATGAACGGAATTGAGTACAGCAGAATCCGCCTACGCCCGATTCGGTCAATTAGCAGCAAGGCTGCTACTGTGAAGACAAAGTTGGTGGCGGCAACGCTCAAAGAGGTCAACGTTGGAGCGGTGAATCCAAGCATGGAGAATATGGTGGCCGAGAAGTACATAAGGGAGTTCTGTTGCAGTCAGTCAGCCAATACTCAACATCACAGTCACGATCTCCGGCCGAGGAACTCACGAAGCCACAAAGTTGTTGCAGCCCCTGAAGAAGACAAGCAATCGTCAAGGCCCGCCGATTCTTTGGCACGTTGAACAAATTGTCCCATCCCGTCAACAAGCTGTGGCTACTACGTTGCCGACTGTTCAACTTGGCACTGTTCTCTTCCTCTATAATTTCAACCTCGATAGATTCAAGAATGTCATCGACTAGGTGACTGGAGGCTTGATCGGATCCCAAGGTCTTCTGGATAACGGCCCGAGCCTCAACCGGCTTCTTGGCCTTGACCAACCATCGCGGACTTTCTGGCATGAAGATCACAAGCACACATTGCAGCACAGCAGGCACGGCGCCGAGGCCAACCGTGAACCGCCACCCCATACTGGGCTCACCATATTCAGCGAAGATCCAGCCGACCACGTACGCGACCACCTGGCCCATCGTGATAGAGAGGACATTCAGGGTCACAAGCCGGCCTCGATGCGCAGCAGGGACCAGCTCAGCGATATAGAGCGGCGTCACAAAGCTCGCAGCGCCGATCGCCCAGCCGACAATCGACCGCCCAATGACCATGTTAGAGACTGTGTAGCTGAGCGCCTGCACCAGGGCCCCGAATATAAAGAGCACATCCGCCATCAGTATGACGGGCTTCCGACCGAAGGCATCGGCGAGGATGGAGGACAGCGGCGAGGCGACGAGGGCGAAGAGCGCGGTGCAGGACGTGATGATGGACTTGTCGAAGGAGCCCAGCTCTCGGCCGGAGAGAGACGTCCGAACCGAGACCAACGTGGCCGAGATGACTCCTGTGTCGTCTATGGAGGCAGGGAGGGTCAGCGAGGGGCCGAAGGGCGGGGGAGGTAGAACTTGCAGCCAAAAAGGAGGCCGCTGATACAAGCAGATAGGGTCAGGAGCCAGACGAAGGTCCCAATCGGCCCGGACTGTTGCTGCTTGTTGTCCGCCCTCCCAGCATCAGCGGCTTCTGGTTGGAGTTCATCATCGAAGTCGTCCTCCTGGTGGGCCAACAGAGGGGCTTCGGCGGCGTTGACCATTTCTCAGGCAGATGCTGTGCTCGCAAACTTACGTGAATCTACAAAGCTCGACGATAACAAGTGGTATGAGCATTGACTCGCGAGGCCTAACACGCGATCAACTGCCGGCGTTGGAGCTGCAGCTCGTGTACCGGTATACCAGCATCATGATCGATGTTTCGAAGACGAGGAACTTGAGGCTCGGCTCTGCTTATGATAGTGGTTCCTTAAAGGATGCGCATGGACCAACGGGTAGTGCCGCCATCCCTTGGACCACCGGGGTCCGCATCTGCCACGCTACCGTCGTGATCCACATCTGCCCCGCTGCCACCAGGATCCACATTTACCCGCTGCCATGGGTCCCGATGCATGTCCATGATACGCCGCCCAAGACACCGCTAGGCACGGCACTTCAATGTTCTTCATGAGTTCGGTTGGCGAGTACCTATCGATATAGCAGTTATGTCCGAACATGTATTTCCGCTATATACCTAGCCAGGGGCTCGCAATTTGAAGCTCTTCAAGGTTCTCAGCCCGCCCGACGAGCAGCTTGAGGAGGAGACGAGGGAGGTGGTGATGGAGATGGTCCGGATTCTCACCAAGTAGAGCAAGGCTGGGGCAAAATTGGATGGACGGGCTTCGTTAAGGAATGCCCGTTTCTTTCTTGACATATCACGGACAGGAAATCACGGCATGAGATGTATGAGTGAGCGAATGACGGGTGAAGGGCGTGGTCAGTGAGTCCTCCACATAGATGATTCCCCCAATGATAGATGCGTCTCTCCACGAAAGTCGGACCACCCCGATCCAGATACTGCATATGGGATTCAAGATAACGCATATCCAATCGGTGTATATCTCGCTCGGAGAACCATTGGTGGTACCTGAAAACTCCAGTCTGCTGTCAAGAATATCAAGTACCCGCCCGGACTATAATAACGTGGCCAACCTCTAGGACACCCCTCTCTTTTCGGCTCTCCATAGATTTGCCGCATTCCAGCATGGCTTCTCAACTCGCTGGCGTGCCCGCCGCTACCCTCTTCTCGACAGTATGCGTGCTGGGAGTTGTATCTGTCCTGAGTACCGCAATCTACAGACTCTACTTCCACCCTCTCGCCGAGTACCCAGGTCCCTTCTGGGCGCGCTTGAGTGTATGGCCTTCTTACCTTCACACGATCAAGCAAGACCGCCATACATGGCTTCTGCAGTTGCAAGATCAGTATGGCCCGACTTTCCGATACCGCCCCGACTCCGTGGTTATCAACACGCCTACGGGATACAGAACCATCTTCGGTCCGAAGGGCAACGTGAAGAAGACCGAGTCCTACTACCGCGTGTGGCCGCACAATGTCAACTGGACCAACACCTGGAATGTCACCAACGTCGAAGCACATGCTCGCAAGAGGCGAGTGCTGAACCAAGCCTTCTCCGACCGTACCTTGCGCGGTGCTGAGCCGCATATCCATTCCACCGTGGACCGATGGTTGACCCTGATGAAGGAGCAAATACACAATGGCCAGGAATGGACCAAGTCACTCAACATGGCTAACGAAGTCAACTATCTGGTATTAGACATCCTCGGCGATCTCTGCTTTGGCAAGTCATTCGATATGAAGGAGCCTGACAGCGACATCAAACACGTTCCGCATCTCATGGGGAGCTTTCTCCAGCTCATGAACCCCGTAGGTCATAGTTACAAAACTGCTCTTCAGCTTTGATACTGACATCTCTGCAGATTGCCTTCTCCCCGTTTGCCAGCTGGTGGGTGTGGGCGAAGCCCCGTGGTCTCGACTGGCTCCTGACGTTCGCCGTCCCAGAAGATCTCAAGAAGTGGCAAGGTTTCGTCGGCAAGAATCTCGACGACCGTGCCAAGAAGGAGATGGCCCTCAAGGAGTCCGGCAAAGGCGAAGGCGAAGCGCCCAAGGACTTCTTCCACTACCTGTTCGACGCAAAAGACCCGGAAACCGGCGAGACCGGCTACGATCTCCAAGAGCTCTACGGCGAATGCGAGGTTCTTACTATCGCCGGCTCTGATACCACTGCCATCATAACCGCAGCCATAACATTCTATCTTGCCACGAATCCGAGACTCCAGGAGAAGCTCGCACGCGAAGTCACATCGACCTTTGCCCATTACGGAGACATCGTGGCAGGACCGAAGCTGAACGGATGCCAGTACCTCAATGCTTTCATCCGTGAGACGCTGCGCATGACGCCGCCAGTGCCAGCCGACTTGGCGCGCGAAGTCCTGCCTGGTGGCACCACTGTCGAGGGTCACTTCTTCCCGCAAGACACCAAGGTCAGCACATGTCTCTACTGCCTCAGCTACAGCAAAGACGTGTATACCGAGCCCTTCAAGTTCCGCCCAGAGCGCTGGATCGCGAACACCGACGACCCAGAGGGCGACCCAGTCGAGTCGGTGGAGCTGGCCGAGAGCGGTTTCTGCGCCTTCTCCTACGGCAGCCGCAGCTGTGTTGGCATGACGATGGCTTGGATCGAGCTGAGAATCGTACTTGCGAAGCTGATCTGGATGTTTGAGCTGAAGCAGGACCCGAAGAACAAGTTGGGTGGAGGGAGCCCGGAGTTGAAGCCGGGACACCGGGATCCAGGTGTTTATCAGATCTACGATGCCTTCGCTGCAATGAGAGACGGCCCGATGGTGCGATTTAAGGAGAGAGTGCGGGCTTGAGGAGTACTCGTAAGGCTATCCAGGGAGGAAACGTTCGCGGCAGCATGACGACGGGTACGACCTGGGGTGGGGATCGAACGTCTACGAAGTAATCGAGGACACCAACGGCCCATTCTCAACATCGCTCATGCGCAAGGCTGGCCTGCTAAGGGTTAGGGTTTGGGTAAGCCTGACACGAAGACCAGATTGCAGATAGATGTGGATTGCCGATCCAAACATGATCGAAGAGTGGGTTAGGTTTCCAGGTGTTCAATGCGACGAACGATCCCATCACGACGAAAGAGCCCACGGAGGAATTTTTGAACAAAGCGGAGCCCGGGGCGAAGATTACGAGGAAGATGGGGGAGTATGAGGCGCTGTTCAGTAATCGGAAGATTAGGGAGGTGCTGGGTTCCAAGGAGGAGCACAACTGGCGACAGTATTATAAGCCGTACTGTTCATTTATGAGGTATGGAAACCTCTTCTAGCGGGCCCGTAGCCTTTTTCGAACCAAATACTTCGAGCTAGTGTCGTTCTCCTTAAAAGGCACTGTATTTTGCATCAGTGTTGGTACTCGCGCGGCTTCAGTATTGATCTGAAGAAGCTGGCAGAGAGTTTGGAAGAAGAAGCCGCACTCACCACTACGGAAAGACCTACTCCTCAACACTCCCATTTAAAGGGGCTTGATGCGAACAGTATAGCCGACGGCGCTTCGTCGAAGTTATTGCCTTGGGCCCAAGACCTGCACACTCTCCTTTTGCTGTATCGTCAGCTCCGGGTCCATGAGGGGAGTTGATGAAGGCAGTCCGTGGAAGACCGGAATTTTCAGGTGAACTGCTAACAGGATAGCGGCGCTCATGACACGTACATATCAAGCACTATCACGCAGAGGAGGCGCCCAGCAAGTGACCATATACTTAGACGAGTCAAACATTCCATTACTTTCCAGTGGGAGCAACGAACGAACAAACTCCATCCTACGAACAATGTACAACTGATCCTTGCCAGCATCCTTTCATCCTCTCATCCCCATTCCGAACTTGAAAATACTGTTTACTTGATATCTGGCCGAAGCCTAATAGGAACTCCCCAGGGCCACTTTCCGAGCCGAAGGCTAACCAACCACCTTGCCCATCTTCGGCATCATCTCCTTGCCCACATCAGCGACCTAGGATGAACATCATGGTCCACGCCAAGACAACCGCAGCGCCCAGCGCAACCTCCTCCACCGTCGGGCAGCTCGTGAAGCCAAAGCTGGACCGGACGCCCCTGAGCCCCTGAGACCGGGCTTGCGCCTGCGCCGTCTCGCCGACCTTGGCCGAGGTGACAGTCTCGCCTCCGCCGCCGCCGCCGCGAGTTGTCGATGGCGAAGAAGCAGAAGAAGAAGGAGATGAATTGCCCGGCGTCGTAGTTGTCGTCGTGACCGTAGTCGTCGTACTCGTGGTCGCAGTCGGGCTTCCAGACCCAGACCCAGCCCTAGCGGTGGTATCAGCTAACGTTGACGTTGACGTATACGTAGGTGCTGGGCTTTGGAAAGACACGAGTCCCGGGCCGGCGCAGTAGATCTTCAGACAGCCTTCCCGCGCGCACTGGGAGCCGGGCGGACAGCAGCCGCCGCCGAGGTCGCGGTCGCACGCTTCAGTCTGCCTGTCGCAGGTGGGCGGTGCGGCTGGGCTGACGGAGCAGTGCGTGCCGTCTGCGCAGCAGTAGACGCCTGATGGGGAATAGGAGGAGTTGTGGCAGGTCATGCCGGCTGCGCAGCAGATGTTCTGTGTTTTTGTTAGTCGCGATATGTAAGTTGGAAAAGCCAAGTGACAGGGGCGAGTATATAGGCGCGAGGAAAGGGAGAGGAACTCGAAGATATGGGCTTGTTAATGGGTGCGCAGGACTTGGGGCACTCACAGGTTGACCAAAGGCCGCACAGCCATGTGACTGATCACCACAAACATCTCCCGGGATCGTCTGCTGCCTCTTGCCCTTGAGGCCCCAGAGACTGCCCGTATACCCATCCAGATCCCCGTCCAGATCCAAATACGCATCATCCACACGAGTGCCACCACGCACGCCCCTAGCCACGACATCCCCGCCCGCAAGCGGAAGCGCACGCGCAAGAGTAAACGGCCCATCATCTCCCCCATCCCCATTCCCCATCCCCACCCCCAACCCCACCCCCAGCCCATCCCCACCACCCCCCTCCTCCGCAATATCATGCAACAAAAAAGCCCCCGACGCGTAATACATAGCATCATAATAAACCGTGAACACGATACCAGCAACAATCACGCCGACCACAGCGACCGTGACCCCGACCAGGAACGCCCACCGCAGCCGCGGCCGGTCCTGGAACGGACACTAGCGGTGCCAGTCGAGGCGGGCCCTGAGCGAGTTCCTGTCGATGTTCCAGAGCTGGCGGGGTTTGTGCTCGGCGCATTGCTGAGCTGGTTTTGAGGAGGTCGTGCGGGTGCGGCTACCGGTGCGGGTGCCGGAGAAGGCACTGCGCGAGAGGGCTGGCTTTGGTGCTGTTGGTTCTTGTGGTTGGTCATTGGGGGCCGCGGTGGTCGAGGAGGTGTTGTCGGGTTTCTCGCTGGTGACGGCGAGCGAGTTGGATGAAGGTTCTTGCGCCATGAGTAGTTACGTTATGTACAATAAGGGTCAAGCGTAGGGCTGGTTTCGAAGTTGCCTGGATCCAGGAACTTCAAGTGGATATAGATAGGTAAGCTAGGGTACGGTTTGAACTCGTAAGTTCTTCAGTAGGTAGTAAAGAATACTGCTGCTATAGGGTTAGGGTTCGTTCATAGGTGGTGTCGAATATGTGTAGGTACTCAGGACAGCCAAGTTGATTTCGAGGACAACGATTGGCATCAAGGTTCATACACCACAGGCGGTTACTTCCTGATATCAAAGGTACCTACCTGTCAGGCTCTCGGAAAGACACTTTGGCATCAGCCACTTGCCTTTTAAAAGGCAGCCCACTGGTTGGGCAAGTCGTCAGGACTCCTAGCATTATTGGCAGAAGGAGCAGCGCGGTGCTCCCGAAAGCATGACCCGTATACGGCATGTTGCTACATTGAACATCCAGAAGTCTCCGTACACCCTTTGTTCACCGAGCAACGGTATATCTATTGTGAATGGAACGCTCACTCAGGGAAACCATCCTACATGGCTTTTGGTGGATCAAAGCTGCGCATCCCAGGGTGTTTACTCCATTAATATGAGTAGCTTTGACATCCAACACTTGATAGAGGCATGCCGAGCGGAGATCGATGGGGGAGTGACTGTAATCTCGTACAATGCGGGATCCGAGCCTGTTACTAACAGATGTAAGAAGCGAGAATGTTTTGATGAGTAGATCACATGTGCGAGTAGTCATCATTTTGAGATTCATGATTGCTTCGTAATTCATGGGTATATCGGACTATGCTACATCAATATCTTCCACACTTGGGAGTGTGTAGTAAAGGCCACAATGTGATGTCGTTCTCTAACACCCGCAAGTTCGCCCCAACGCATTACCAGGATCTATCCTGAGGCACCGCCCTGTGGGTATACATCTATGTTCAAAGCCCTACGGCGACCGCATATGTGCATATGTATGAAGAGCATCATCCGTACTTATGCAAGAGGCCAACACTGTGTACAATGCCTTCGTGAATAGTCGTCAAAGAACCCCCAGCTCTCCAAGCATATGGTATTATGGCGATCGATTCCAGCCACGCACCCAATGCATGGAGATATGGGTATGCCGAGTTCGAAGTTACAAAATTGAAAGTATGCAAGTCCAGGCGTTTGTGACCGTGCTTTCAATCTTCAAAGCCAAAATGTGAAAATCATCATGACACCCGCAAGACCAGCCCCCATAGAGGCGATCTCCTTGGAACCGGCGACTGCATTTTTTGTCTCAGACGGGCTGGCAGCAGCAGCAGCACCAGTGCCAGTAGCAGATGGCATAGACGAGTAGGTACTGCTGCCCAGGGTAGCTCCCAAAGTGGGGAGAGCGACATTGCCCTGGACGAGCCATCCACCGGGCGTGGAAGCTGGGCACTCCCGTGTCGAGACGGAGCTGGCATCGTAGTCGGATCTGGCAACACCTGTTGGCGTGATTCTTGCCCACTGTTCGCTCAAGTTGGAAAAGTCAGGCGAGACAGGCGTGGGAGTTCCCGCTCGCGAGAAGCCACCTTCAATGTTTGCGCCCGTGGCAGTCGCAGCGACGGTAGGTCCGTATGAGATAAGACCATAATCATTGGCTTCTTGGAGCCATTCGTAGATGATAGCTCCACTCCAGTCGTGTATCATGTCTTCGCCGAATATGGCGGCCTGGTCTTCAAACAGACGCGGGCCCGGTTTGTTACACCCAGTTTCAGAGAAGAAAATGGGAACGGGGAAATTCTTGGCCTGTTCCTGGAGGTTCGCGTAGCCCGATTGTTCATAGGTGGTTGGATCGCACCATTGGTACGAGTTCAGGCCGTAGAAGTCGATGTTTTCGCTGGAGTTGCCACCACAGGTGAGGTAATCCTGGATCCACGGGCGAAGCTCAGCAATGTCAGTAGCAGAGTAGCCGACGGGGATCTTCCGGTAGCCCTTTGAATCCCGGTATGCCTTCAGATCCCGGCAGGCAGCCTTGATGAAGGGCGCAGCGTGCGATTGGTTGTTGATGGCGATGATTTCGTTACCCACGAACAAGCCGAGCAGGTTGTCGTACTGCTGGAAAGTATCCAGGACCCCGGAATAGGAATCGAACTGGTCTTGATTCCAGTAGGGGTCGTTCTATGACTCTGAATTAGCCACAGCCGCTAAGACATCAAGCTACTGCTCAGACACTTACGGGCAGGATGTACGTGGAGAAGGTATCCATATCTACCATGGTGTAGATACCAGCGTCCGAGAAAGCCTTCATGCAGCCGTCGTGGTCCCCGTTCGCATCGACGTGGTAGACACGAATGGTGTTGACACCGAGCTTCTTCATCAGTGTCGCATCTCGTGTGCATTGTTCGGTGTCGACCAAGGGATCGTCTGTCGGGATGTTGATGTTAGGTTGGAGGTGCGAAGAGTTTCGAGGGTCTTGGTCAAGCACTAACCAGGAACCAGTTGGTAAGCAACACCCTTGATGAAGAACTGATCACCATCACTGGTGAAGAACTTGTTCCCAACAGCCTCGATGGTGGGGATCGCAAAGGTGGTGGCAGCGCCACATAAGGCAGCGATCAATGAAGCGCGCATCTCGAGTGGTGGTCAAGCGAGTGTATGGAATGAATGCCGAGCTGCAATGAACGTATTTCCAATCCAGTTTCAGGCCCGTAGGGATATCAGTACAGAACCAAGGGCTGTGATGGAGCTTGAAGCACGTGAAGCTTCTACCAAGTTGACGCGGTGATCTTGGTGGTCTTGGTTGTCTTGGTGGTGGTTGAACGACAGTCGTCTGGACGATAAGGTACTGGCCGACGCAGTTGATATTGATGTAACGTATTTCAGTTCGCTATCAGCAGGCGGTTCGAGCCTTCTGTCGGGGCAGACTGTTTGCTGTTTTGGAGGAAGAAAGAAACGACGGTGATCCAACAACCGTGACCTGGGCTTGCCAGTAGGGTAGCGAGTGGACGTGGAAGTGGAAGTGGAAGTAGCAGCAACGAGAGTGTCCCTGCTCCAGCAAACACAGCAGCAAACAAATAAACGACCGTTTGGTTAGTCCTACTCAATCGACTCGGCCAGATCCGCAGGCGTGTAACTCGCAGGAAGTCGCGCGCACAACAGCTGGTGAGAGGGAAGGAGGAGGAGGAGGAGGAGGAAGAGGAGGCAGAGAAGGAAATCATAAATGGCAGTCTGGCAGAGATAGGAAACAGATCCGGACCCGCATCCACGCGCATCCTAGCTTACTGGCTTCCCCGGTTCGCCAGTAAACCTTGCTCTTGTGATGGCACCGGCAGCAGTAGCATCGGCCTGAATCAGACATGCTCTTTCTGTCCGACTGTCTGATAGGGTGAAGGCTAGGCCGCTCCGGGGGATCTCCAACACGCTGCCAGGGCGGCCGTTGTCGTCGCATCTGCTGGGTTTCATTAGTGATTGTGCCAATCCTAATGAGGTCGACAGCTCCTCGAGCCGTCCACGCTTCTACGGGCCGGGTCAGAAATCAAGGACACGCCAAGAACAAGGATTTGACCCCCTTGTACCTAAAATTACTTACATAGATCCCACGCACAAAAGATTCCGCGAAGCCACGCCAAGCAGCAAGAAGCAACCACCGAGAGCACGAGGGATCACGACGCGTCCCGCAGGACGTGAATGAGCGTTGCAGAATCGGGCTAGGGCTTGCTACTCGTGAGTGACCAAAGCACGAAGCGGCAACCTGCTTCTGTCATGACCTCTTGCACCACCTTTCACTTGCAGCATCTTCCTTGTCGATCATCCGCTTCCCCCACCCGAGCCCAGCGGCCCATGGGGATTCTCCATTTTGGAATGCTCTGAATCATTGAGGCGTGAGCAGCAGACTCTTCTCGTGGCGATAAATTTTCTAGTTCCAACAGCCACAAGAGATGTACTGGTCCTGCCCGTGGTTCTTGGATTAGCCACTTGGCAACTTAAGCGAGGCTACCTAGGTAGGCAATCTTGTCCTTTGCCGATATTAGCAGGGACCGTTTGTGGCGCCGTCCGGGGTTTCTGTGCGCATTGGCATCGTGCCGCCGTCAGATGGAAGAGATAGATCATTGTGAAACCCAGCTTTCATCACATTGGCCAGAAGCTGCAAGGTCCTGTCTGGCGTTGTTTAATAAACTTGTTTCCGTTGAAGGACCTCAAGCTGAGGATGGCTCAGCCGCGTTGACTTCTGTTTTTGAAATTGCCTACTGACGAATGAGGCATACCTGCCGGTCATATCATGACTGTTACTTTATCAATTGCGACCTTGTTTCAAGTGACGTCTGGATCATAAAGAATCTGGAGATGCAGCTGCCCGGGGCCCGGAGATGGCCCGGGGGATGTTCGTTGGAAGTATCTCAGAAATTCAAAACCTACCTACAGCGAAAGGTACGTGTACATGTAGGCAAAGGCCTCGTATGCTAAGGTAGTTCTTGTTGAATAACAAACGGTACCCCTAGACGACAGATGTCCTAGACGTTGAGATTCTTCTCATACCGAAAAACTGAAAGAAAGCCCTTTACAATTACAAGCTTATCAGCTCGCTCCGGTCTGCGCTGCGCGCAGCCCAGAGAGTTAGGGTCAACGCATCCTATTAAAACACATCCACCTGGGATGTATTTAAAAACAGGTGGCATTACTACTTCAAGGCAGGTACTATTCAATGAACGCTTCTCCACGCATACCGGTAGGGCCTGACCACCTAAGAACACTACGGGCACCTTGGAACACCACCACTTAGGAATACCATCACCTGAGAACACTATCACCTGAGAACACTACCACATAAATAATGCTTAAACACAGGTAACATTACCACTTAAAAACAGGTGCTATTTATTAAACGTTACTTTGTAATAAGTTAAATGACGTGTGACGGTCCAGCACCTGTATCCACCTGGTTAGATACTCAGTCATCAGGTCACGTGTAGATTAGATAAGGAAGGACACCACCATATGTGCTGCAGCCATTTGGGTGCACACACACCTGGATTCTTTTCCTTCCTCACCTTGTTATTTTTGGAATACCACAAGTTTTCCAGCACAACGCCGCAGGCATCGTGACATGACGCTGTTTTTTTAAAACAGCGGCTTTATTATCTTTAAAAAGGGTCATTTATTTAAATAATACTTAAAAACGGATAGTACTTTCTTTTTAAAACAGGTATTATTTATCCAGAAGCGCTTTTACTAGCCCTGGGAAAAGGTCACGTAATAATAGCTTAAAATAGCTATATTATAAAGACGTATAGTTATAACACACATATAAGCTTTATTTACACACTGTGAGAATTATGGTGGCTTTGCTGGTTAAAGGGGTCAATAGAAGCAGCTGGATGAAAGAGCTTTGTTAGATGATCTAAGGATAGGCCCTGCTTTGTGGTTTGAGTGTGTATTTAGTATTAAATTAAGCCCTCTATGTGATGGTGCCTAGCTACCTAGCCACCACCATTAGCCCTAGTCCCCGTCACGTGCAAGCCACATGACCTGATCAACATTGCTCTGTAGTCGAATTGCGGGGCGGTCGCTTAGATCTATCCCACCAGCTAACTTGGCTACGGGTCAGGATCTTCTTTTCCTTTCCCACTCAATGATTTTCATACGTATACAGTAATTAGATCTATTGCGCTCCTACTTTGTAATACGGATTGTGACACTCTGACCTATAGCCAGAACAAGCAAGCAACTAGGAAATCTACCCTTATTCCGCACCGATACAGGATTCCCAATACACACTTTAAATAAATTTCTTTAATAATAACTGTGAGATTATAGAAGGGTCACAAGCCTTGGGGTGTGAGCGGTCGCTGCAAATGTTGTTGTTGTGACGGCCTGCACAGACCTTCCCACATGACAAGTGGATACTTCCTAATAGGGGAAGGATCTGACCAGAGGATCCCCTTAAAAGGGCAACCTCCTACTGTACCTATCTCTCTCTCTCTTCCTTTCCTCTCTAGTCTTGATATTCTCGTCAATAGAGTAATAGCTGCTTGCTGCCGGCCATATCCCAGCTCCTCAGTACGCTCGCCGTGACAGTTGTCATTCTCAAGTATACTCGGCAGGGCTAATCTACAGCTAAATACCATACTGCACCATGCCAGGGTGTATCAACTGTTCCTTTGACAGCCTCCTAGTGGGTACTGCACCTAAAGGCACCATATCTGGGATCCAATATCTGACAATAACTTAAATGCAAAATCTAATAATTTAAACGGTTAAATAAATTACTTTTATATAACGTTTATATGTAAATTTTGAATAAATATACCATTTAATTATCTACTTATAAAAGTAAACGTTTAAAAATTTAAAGTAAAACGAAAAGGTTCAATTAGGTAATACTAATTATAGCAGTACATTTATATCAAAGAAGACTACACGTGTGATAGTTCCACCATCCATCAGGTCTAGCGATGGTCCCCATGGTCCCTGGGTCACGTGACTAAGCACGTGACTGATCGGACGATAGGTTGATCCATGCCTTGGTGGGTCTGGTGGGGGACGACTGCGCACATCTAGCTGCCCACCAATTCGGGTGCATCTCCAGATCTTTCTTTTCCTTCAACCAGAGTTCGTTATACGTCAATAGTTAATAAGGGTCCCTGTATCTTTACAATACATTTACGGAATCGTGACAACACGAGATAGATATAATTACAGGAAAGAGAGAGAAAGAGTCCTTTAACCAAGTGGCTTCTTGCTCGGTCAGCTGGCCAGCAGCTGCCTGTCTCCAGCATACAGAGTTGGCCCCTCCCCCGCCAGCTGTCTATCGCAGTGGGATATTGATAAGATGATAGGGTAAGATACCGCCACATCTCCACAATTCTCGAGCTTGGCTACCTTATCGCCGCGATCTTCAAGACTTTTTTGAATGGCCCATTCTGATACTATTTGACAAACCCTCTTGGGAACTCAGGCGTCGCGAACATGGTGAGAGCCGCCTATGGAACACTGCTGTGCTACTATCATGCTAACCCGGTCTGTAGAAGATTAAGGCACTGAGTCGCTCAGCTTCGGCATACCAGCCGCCCGGCTCGGAAGTGCCCAAAGCACCTCGCAATCTCGATCCCGCTATTCGTGAGCCAGAACACCGACGAGGATGTGGTCGGTGAAGCAACTGTCTGACCTGGTATAGATCCCTTCGAACGGGCACGAGAGTACAAGAGAGCTCTCAATGCGGTCAAGTTGGAACGGATGTTTGCGCAGCCATGTGAGTTGGGCTTTCCGTTTCGGGTTGCCCATCGATATTGGATATTGCGTCGCTAACGAGAACTTTGCGCCCAGTCATCGCCCAGCTTGGTCGCGGACACGTAAGAAAAACCGAGGACTCGAAGCTGGATTGGGAAGCTAACGAGGTCAGGTCGACGGCGTTTACTCGTTAGCCAAGGATCCAAACTCTCTCGATCGATTCGCAAGCGGTGCTGGTGATGGAGTTGTCAAAGTGTGGAATTTGACTAGCAGGGAGGAAGTTTGGAAGACCACTGCCGCAGAAAACACCGTCAAGGGGATGGCATGGACAAAGGACCAGAAGCTCCTCACCGTCTCCGCCGACAAGAATGCGAAGCTCTTCGATCCATACAATACCCCGAGCGACTCGGCTCCGATCAACACTTGGCTGGGAGGGCACGCACTATCAAGCATAAGCATGCATAGATCGAAGAACGCGTTCGCCGTCTCCTCCGATTGCATCTCGGTCTATGATCTGGATCGGTATACGGCAGCCCCCGAGGTACTTCGATGGCCGAAATCCGGGGAAACCATCACATCCGTGGCCTTCAACCAGAGCGAAACGTCTGTATTGGGGTCCACATGTACCGATCGATCGATTACACTCTTCGATCTGAGAACTTCGGCTGCGCTGTCACGGACATTCCTTGACTTCTACTGCAACAAGCTGGCATGGAATCCGGTCGAGCCGATGAACTTTGCGGTTTGCTCAGAGGATCATAACAGCTACATGTTCGATATGCGTCGCATGGACCGTGCTCTGAACGTCTTCAAAGATCACGTGGCAGCCGTCATGGATGTGAGCTTTTCGCCAACAGGAACCGAGCTGGTCACTGCCAGTTGGGACAGAACAGTCCGATTATGGGACAGAGATCAAGGTCATTCTCGAGATGTCTGGTGAGTACAAGCAGCATCCTTTCAACTCTGGCATCCTTGTGGAAAGACTGACTTTTCCGTAGTACGTATACCGAAGTTTTTTGCTGCTTCCGTCCTAGACACGGTCCGGGAAACGGATCTCGAAATCGCAAGATTCCAGCCTTGCGAATGGTAGCTGACACGATTAGATCATACCAAACGAATGCAGAGAGTTTTCGCGTAAGTCTCTTCATGCTGACTCTTTGTATATATCTGACCAGTGAAAACAGGACCGAATATACGCCTGATAGCAAGACTGTCATCAGCGCTAGTGACGACGGCAACGTGAGACTGGTAAGTTTGAGGTTTCTTACTAATAAAGTACTCCCTTGAATTCAGATTTGCTAACACGTCACAGTGGCGAGCCCATGCCTCAAACCGCGAGGGTGTCAAGTCAGCTCGGCATAGACAAGCACTGGAATACAACGAGGCCCTGTCGGCGAGATATAGTCATATGGTACGTCTTTTGCTGCTGAATTCACCGCGCTCAGAATTCTCGATGATGTGTTACTGACGAAAGATGTACAGCCCGAGATCAGGCGCATTAAACGCCACAGACACATCCCTAAGGTTGTGAAGAAAGCGGGTGAGATTAAGAAGGACGAGCTTAAGGCTATCAAGAAACGAGAAGAGAACGAACGTAAACACACCAAGAAGCAGTTCGAGAAGCGGAAGAGCGAACGCGAGAAGGTGGTCCTGGCCAGGGAGAAGTAATGGATCACGCCTTCGTACTATGGGACCGGTATGCTTGGGGTTTTTGCTTGCATTTGCACGGCGTTGTCAGGAATGGACAAAAATGATACCAAGGAAACTTGCGAAAGAACTGCGAAAGAATTGCATGTTAGGTAGATGCGCATAGGATACTTTCAAGACGCCATACGGCCTCATCTTATGAATTGTAACATAAGGGTCAGCCACCAAGATGCCTCGTGGTTCGTGAAGGTTGTTGAGACACGGACCAGCCCTCGGTACGGGCCGATTCGTCAGGGGCCCTCGAGTGGGGCACCGGCGTGGCTAAACGGGGCTAAACCTGCCGCACAGGAGTTGAAACCAAAAGCGCTCGGACCATGTGTTTCAAGGCGCTTACAGCTCCTATGGGGAATGAAGTTCGGGACCCTGAAAAGTGTCAAAGTGTCATAGTGTCGCTTCAAGAGGGCAGTCGCTTCATAAGGTACAGCTGAAGCTCACTTCGTCCCATCTTTCCCACGTTCTCTTCCATTCCGCCTTCATATCTCCGAAGCTTTAACGTTGTGCTAAGTTGAATTGCTTGCTGCTGGCCAGCCCTCGTCCTGACAATCCCTTCACAAATTCAGTCGTCATCGTCTCTCGCCCGACGTCCTGAATCCCCGCCGCCATGGATCATCCCCGGCCCCCGATGCGCGACTCGTGGTTTGTGCCGCTCTCAATAGATGTGCTCCTGAAGGTGTTAAACGTCACAATTCTACATCCTTTTGTAGCATGGATCATCCCGCTATGCTTTCGCGCCGAACACCAGGCCTGGGACACGCGGCCGATGGTAGTCAGTATGATCTGGGCGACGTTTGTTACGCTCCTGTGGATGGGGAACGTCATCAGCCATAAGATCGCATACGGATTACATCGAGAGGTAGACCTAAGCGAGGAAGTCATTGTCATAACGGGAGGGGCAAGTGGCCTCGGGCTGTTGATAGCAGAAGTCTACGGCATGAGGGGCGCTACGGTCGCCATTCTGGACACTGCCGACCTGCAGAGCACCGACGCTCGCGGCATCACACATTACAAATGCGATGTGACGGACAAGGCGCGAATCGCCCAAGTTGCTGCTGAGATAGAGCGCGACGTATGTTAAACCTCATGATTTGGCTCGGGTGGTTTCGACTAACAGGGGACCTCTAGCTTGGAACACCATCCGTTTTGATCAACAACGCCGCCATGGTCGTCGGCAAAAAGCTGCTTGACATGGACATGGAGGAAGTTGAGAAGAGCCTCACCACCAATCTCATGTCGCACTTCTATACGATCAAGACCTTCCTCCCCGGCATGATCCGCAACGAAGCAGGCGGCACCATCGTCACACTCTCGAGCGTCATCGGTCATCTCGGCGCCGCTCAGCTCACCGACTACGCTGCCGCCAAGGCCGGGGTGACGGCCCTGCACAAGTCCCTTGCCGCCGAGCTGCAAGAGTACCCGGAGATCAAGACGATCCTTGTCACCCCGGGCCAGCTCAGCACCCCTCTCTTCCGCGGCGTCCGGACCCCCAACACGTTCATCGCTCCCATTGTCGAGCCCATAGACGTGGCCAAGGAGATCATCAAGGGCATCGACCTTGGCCTGAGCGACCATATCGCCATGCCCCTATACGCCCGGTGGGTCGACTGGTACAATGTGCTACCTGTTGGTCTTCAGAAGATCGCCCGGAGGGTTGCCGGCGTGGACGGGAGCATGGATACGTTCGTTGGCCGGGATGGCAGCGACTTGAGCGAGAAAAATGGCACCTTGATATGAAACCCGCCACGTTACGGGTTCGCACGGTCTAGGGGATATACTAAAAGGAATCGTGTACGATATTACTAAGGCATCTCAGACAGTCGTGGCGCTGGCGTCTGCGCGTCTCTTGAGGCTTAATGTGTAAGTTACGTATGGTGCGGAGAATGGAACACACGATCTGCACGGAGTTGAGCCCGAAGAGAGGATTGATCGCCCCTATGCAATGGCACTGTTCGACATTGAGTGAAGGGCAGAACTCGAACCGTCACTGGTGATCTCTGCAACCTGACAGAAGCAGCCGGCCATCCACGAGACAGGGCTCGACAGCTACATCCGGCAAGTAGTACATCGAGGCTCGGTTGGGAATTTCGGGCCGGTCCCATTACCAACGGTACAGTGAGTTATGAATGACCGCTGGGTATCTCACACCTATCACACGGCTGCTCGCATCCCACGAATGCACCTCGAGCGAGCGAGGTGAGTGGTATGCAGATGGAGGTATTAGAAATGTTTTTTGGGGGCGGCTGGCTGCGTGCGCGTGTGGGCTGCCTCCCTGACGTCTGCACGTCTGCCGGACAGTGCATTATTTACTTTGCAGCTGGGTGGGTGGCTTGTGGTCGACGAGTATTCGTCCTGGTACTTGGAGTCGCTGATAGGATTAGCCAACGGTGTGGTGTCCTGCTCTGTGTTTGTTTGGTAGTAGATAGGTAGTCGTTTCACAGCAGCAACGGTGCTTCATGATCAGTGATCACCACTGAGCGACCTTCGAGCACGACGGCAGGGTTCCAGGCGGATAGCCCGGCCGGTCGGTATAAGTCAGGCTCGCATTCTGACGTATGAAAGCTTGGCTGCGGGATGCTGGATCTTCATGTTGGTGTTTTCAATATATTGATGTACCTACCAGATGAAGATATATCTGGGTATCGTGTGCAAGGCAATGATTGGTTTGCGGACGGCCCAGGATGGTGGGAGTTGATGTCAGCCTCCCACGTCGTGCTGTCCCCCACATGCAGATGAGTGAAATAAATTAGGAAAGTACTTTGGATACCGCGCTTGACTGGAGAGACAACGAGGTGCGTCAATGTTCCTTCATGACAGTCCGGCAGCTGGGAAAGGGGTATTGTGATAACGCAACATCATCGCGGGAACTGCAGAACTAAGGTAGTACTTACCCCAGACTTTTTAATGGAGCACATGTACTTGCAACGGAAACAGTTTCCTTGTTGTTATGACAGGTGTCGCAGTTCCGCTATGTGCCGCTACCGTGTAGGTGGCGTCCCTCTGTGGATGCTGACTTGATAGACCACTTGATAGACCACTTGATAGACCATCCCACTAACCAATCTACTGTTCGATCGAAAGGACGGCCGCCACGTCGTCCATATTCGGCTTGGGAGGAGCAAATGTAGCTTACACACTACCTTAGACTACCAGCTCTTCGGGTTCTGAGAGGATGTCGTGTATTCTTACTGGTTTTACACAAGGTGAGTGGGGGTCACCACCGTGGTGATTATTGGAAAGAGTGACCAACGAGTTGGTGGCAGCTGAAAGCTGCGGGTGTTCAGCTGGCTGCCAATGGAAGTCGTACGATGCCGGGTCGTGTCGTTCCTTCAACATTGAACGCCTCCACACAATCCTGTACCCATCATAACCTCCAGCTCCTTCGAGGTCCAACCACTACACCACTACACCACTACACCCTACGATGACGATCAATACGTCGTCAGAATGGAACACCAGTTTGCTATCCTTTATCAGAATGAGTAGGTAGTTACAACCAGTCTTCATCGGCAAGTGCCAAGGACTGGACCTCCGTCATTCTCATCTCATGCCAGCTACAGTAGCATGTCGAGTACGCACGTCTTATTTTTGATGCAGCCGTCCGTCCCCCGAGAGATCTTGATCATGATCCTCTCTGACGGGTACGTGTGAAACCAACGCTCTGCGCCGACCGTTATTGGAATGATCGCTCCTTGGGCGTCAGGATGGATCGGGAAGTGGTGTCGCACGGATTACTGTTGACCCAGAAGCGAGCCACACAGCTCTGGCTCCCACTCCCAGCCTGACGACTCACGAGAGATGTCATTCATGAATGCCGGATCCAGATTGCGTGGGGGAGCGGGATGAATGAAAGGCTGGGCTACGGGTGACCCCGCGGCGACCACACTTCTTCTTCCTCTCGCGAGTCGCGACGTGGTGCCCGCGTCGCCCGAGTCCCAATGATGTGGTAGACAGGCTTCAACCACGCCCAGGATGGTCGCGTGCGACTGTGCAGCGCCTCTGGTATATATCTGCATAACATGTGAGTATCACGCCAACCAGGACAGCCTGTAGGCAACAATCATCACTCGTCACATGCGCTGTGCAACGTCTATTTTGAGGTCTCCAGCAGCCCACGCGCCCATACGCCCACACCGCTGGGAAGGCGCTATTCCTGATTTAAATTGAGGCTTTCGAAGGCTCTGGACCTCTTCAGGCTCTTCAAGTCCTCCCGCGCATCCCCCATGGTGGCGGTGAGCAGGGGTCATGGGGGGTGTCCCGAGTCATGGGGCGCATGGATCAGATCGATATCCTTATCTACAGCTAAGTTGCAGCCAATGGGGGGCGCCAGGCACATCAAAAGGAATCCCCGTTAGCCTCCAGGAGCCAACGATAGTCGATATGCCAGCCATATTGCACACAGTCGACAAGGCCCCCTACCATTCTTGCGGCCGTTGCCTGTGCTGGCTGCGTGAATCGCCCTTTTACTACACGAGCATGGAGTACAGCCCCGGAGAACATATGCGTTGGTCGTCGAATGCCTAGCCGAGAGAGATTGCAGCGCCCCCGGACGACCGGTATTTCTTTGTGCTGACGGTGTTGCTTCTGAAGGATGCCTTCCCGGGAGGCAACCCTTTACAATAAATATCATACATGAGCCTCCCCACCCGTCTCTGCCGACGCTTTCGGCCTTCGGTCCTGCTGCCTCATGTTGTCTGCCGCTGTACGCCCCACTCCAAAACCACTGTTTCCTTACAAAGGTCAACTCGCACACGACTCGACTGGCCTTGCCGGGTGGTTATCAGGAGTAATGCCACCATTGCCATCCCCGCGGTAGTGTAGCTATGTGGTGGGACGAGTCTCGGATCGAAGCGACTGTCACCCGACAGTTTGTCAGCGCACACCTTCTCCCCGACGAGGTCCACCGCTTGGACCGACCGCTGGCTTTTGGCGGTGGCTTGACGGACGGCACTTACTGGGAATGGATCGACGAGAAGGCCAAACGCGTTTTCCTCATTTTGCTGGATCTGGGTGTGCCGGACCAGATCTTCGGGGTCGTCGACAACAGCTGGGAGGACGCCGACCTCCCTATCGCACTTGACCAGGTCGAACGCCTGGCGCTCACTCCCAACCGAGATGACAAGTTTACTAAGAAGTTCTATTCGCGCCAATTCCACTATCTGATCAGGTTCATCGAAACGGGTGATCACGTGGTATACCAAGATGCCGACGTCGTACCCATCGCGGTGGTGGATAAAAGGCCTGGGTTGACCAACAACAACAACGTCGACCGGGTTGAACTCCCAAACAGACCAGGCGAGGTCTTCTCGCGACGTCGCTTTCCGATGGGAACTGGGCCTTGCCTGCTATCAAATGAGAACCTACTATATGAGGTCAATAGTACTAAGAACGTCCAGAACGACCATATAGCGTCCTATTACGGATCGTATATCCATCAGGGCTTTGGTTATGTCATGTTCACCCACCCATGCGACTTCAACCTCAAATCCCTCCTGATGACTATGCCGGGACCTGTGAAGTCCCTTGCCAAGCAGGACCGGAGGCGTATGGTCATGAACTGGATCCACTGCCTCGCCGACACGCTTTGCTGGCTACACAACCATGGTCGATCCCACGGGAATATCAAGCCGTCGACGATTCTCTTTGGCTCTGAGAACCACATCTTCTATACGGACATATCTCGCCTCGGCGTAGACGCACTAGCGAGCGCATCGGACAAGTCTGCCTTTGACAAAGAGTCATATGACTATGCCGCCCCTGAACAATGGTATCGGCCGTCGGCAAGCTCAGGGTTACATCGCAAGAATACGATTAGCTCTCCAACATCCTCCACATCAAACACATCAAACAGCAGCACAATCTCGATCAGCCGAGGTGGGTCGGAACATGCCACCCCAGCCTCGGCGCTACACACACCAAATCCCCATCTCGACCCTCAGGCAGCAGACGTCTTCTCTCTGGGCTGTGTGATTTTGGAGCTGTTGAGTCTGCAGATGAAGCGGCAGACACGGTCATTCGCCTCACATCGAGCAGCAAAGCACAAGACGCCGGGTCGCGGGGGTGCGGTGCTGGACTCGTCGTTCCACAAGAACATCGGCCAGGTCGAATCCTGGATGACGGGACTGGCGAAGGACGCGTCCAAGAAGGATGACCAGGTCTTTCGCGGCATCAGGCCCATGCTGCAGGTTGTGGCGCGGATGCTCTCGGTGCTTCCGCACGAGAGGCCAACGGCGCAAGAGGTCGAGAAGCGGCTGTACAAGATTCTGACCGAGAGCTGTCTGATCGCCGAGCCGCACTGCGTGCACCAATACGAGGACTGGGACTTTGGCATGGGGAACCTGCATCTCAATAGGCAGAGCGAGACCTTCAGCATGGCGACCACCAGGCGGCAGAGCGGGGTCTCCCCAAGGCCCGACTCGCGGACGGACTCCTCGGGGTCCAGCAGCACGCAGGGCCGGGACATGGCTTTCGGTGTCGGTGGTGGTCGTGGTGGTGCTGGCAGGCTACAGACGCTCCAGAATCTCAGGGCCTCGAACAAGGTGCGCACTAATTGGCACGCTCCCGTCTACGCAGGTAATGCACTCATCTCTTCCTACGGTTACTGACGCGGTCACGCAGAGTGAATGGAGAGTTGAGAGCTGACGTTCCGGGTTGCGTGTCTTACAGAAACAAGCTTCGGGTGACGGTGACGATTCGGATGATCTGATGAAGGGAACATTGACGATGTGGGAATCAGGATAGGATACTTACGATACAGTAGGAGTCCGTGGTACTGTTGAATTAGCGTGGTGTATCGTGCGTGTAAGAGGTGCTTGATTGAAGCTCGGGGATGACAAGGGAGGGCGGCTTTCTTTTCACGACAAGGAATGAGGGGTCTATCTGTCTTTCATTTCGGTTCGGACATATTATTACGACGAAAATACCTATGGAAACCGGTTCAAGGTCGGAAATTTGGAAATTGGGCGGCGCGGCTCTCGACCAAAATATTTTATGGTGGATATATGATAGATCCCTATTACCATAGCTGCCTCTTTCAGGCGAGGCTTTATATTGGCAACATCAAGGGGAATGTGGACCCGTGATCTGACGACGTGCAGGTAGAGGGAGAGGAAGACGACGTCCTGTGTCAGTGTTCGGCTCCGCCACACTATCGTCACACTATCTGATGACCACGTCTCTTCTTGCAGTACTGTTAGGTTGGCGTAAGTACCGGTGGCCATATGACTATGAGGCTTGAACGCTTCCACCGGTGGCTGTCAGCTGGAAGGGCAGCGTAATTCGAAACAAGCTGGCACCCTTGAAACGATGCCTTCACGCGGGTTTGCTCACGAGCCTGGTGAACTTGACCTCATGCTTTTCAGGAGGAGAGTTAGGAGTCGACAGTCGAGTCCAGGGCGGCCCAGGTGAATGAAGCCATCCACAGCCGCAGCCATACGACATCAAAAGCTAATCCTCATCTTCCAAAAAGACCACCGCTTGATGTAGGACTTCCGAAAAGCAACGAAGTAAGTTGATTGATCAGATTACGACTGCCCATGCGCGTGTGCTTATTCCGGAAATGATATATCGCTGGACGGTGCTTCCAAGTTTGAGGGCAGGCCCGGGGGGTCCGGTGATGCAGGTGCGGACCTGACCCACTATCTACCCGGCTCGGAATAAACCTCGGCCGGCAGAGCTTCAGCTCCAGCTGCAGCCCGAGCTGCTCCAGCTGGCCGGGCAGCTCTCTGCCCGTGAGGTTGCACTTGCAGGCACCTAAGCTTGGTACGTAATCGGAAGGCAAGCAAGCAACATTGAATTTGAAGACTTATTAGAGACCAACACCAACTGCGCGACAGCACCTTCGCATTCAACACAGACACACACAACCAGCAATATGGCCACGAACAAGCCCTCTGTGAAAGAGGCCCAGGCGCTGGCAAGCACCGATTCGCGCAAAGCTGAAGGCATCTACAAGGATATCATCTCCAAGCCGCCGTCCATCACATCAGAAGCCTCCATCAGGGAGTATGAGACCGCCTTGATCAGTCTGGGGGAGCTGTACCGGGACGAGAAGTGAGCAGCACCGCCATTGGCCCCCGTTTCCGTTTCGCATGTGACCTCTGACACCCACGGCCATAGAAAGCCACAAGAGCTCGTCGACCTCATCACAACGAGCAGAAGTGTCTTGTCCAGCTTCGCAAAGGCGAAGACGGCAAAGCTAGGTACATCATGCCTTCTCCTGGGGATCCCACGAGGAGATGTGTCAATCTAACAGCGCTGCCATAGTCCGCCAGCTCCTCGATCTCTTCGAAACCATCCCGAACACAACCGATATCCAGATCGCCGTCACGAAGTCATGTATAGAATGGGCCACATCCGAGCGACGGAGTTTTCTGCGCCAGAACCTCGAGACCAGACTCGTCACCCTGTACATGGCCAAGCAATCCTACTACGAAGCTCTCACCCTGATCAACGGTCTTCTGCGGGAGCTCAAGCGTCTTGACGACAAGCTCGTCCTGGTGGAGGTCCAGCTGCTGGAATCTAGGGTATACCACGCGCTGGGCAACATCTCGAAGGCCCGGGCTGCTCTGACCAGCGCGCGGACGAGCGCCGCCTCGGTGTACACGCCGCCGCTGTTGCAGGCGAATCTGGACATGCAGTCGGGCATGCTGCACACCATGGACAAGGACTTCAACACGGCCTACTCGTACTTCATCGAGGCTCTCGACGGCTACCACACGCAGGACGCGACGCCGCGGGCCACGGCGGCCCTGCAGTACATGCTGCTGTGCAAGATCATGCTGAACCTGGTCGACGACGTCAACAACCTGATGGCGTCGAAGCAGGCGCAGAAGTACGCGGGCCAGAACCTCGAGGCCATGAAGGCCATCGCGCGTGCGCACTCGAACCGCTCGCTCGAGGAGTACGAGCGCGCCCTCGCCGCCTACAAGTACGAGCTCGGCAGCGACGCCTTCATCCGCAACCACCTGCGCCGCCTGTACGACGCCATGCTCGAGCAGAACCTCATCAAGGTCATCGAGCCCTTCAGCCGCGTCGAGATCGCCCACATCGCCAAGATGGTCGGCCTCGACGACCAGCAGGTCGAGCGAAAGCTCTCCCAGATGATCCTCGACAAGGTCATCATCGGTGTTTTGGACCAGGGCGCCGGCTGCCTCATCATCTACGACGAGACGCAGCGCGACCAGTCCTACGACGCCGCCCTGCAGACCATCGACAAGCTGAGCAGCGTCGTCGACGTGCTCTACACGAACCAGGCCTCCATGCTGGAGTAGGCCAGGGCTGGGTAGACTAGGGCAGGGGAAGTCACATGGTGTGCTAGGGAAGCCCGTGGCGAGCAGCGATCTGTCTGCTTTGCTGTGGCGTGTTACTTGTAATATTACGTAGACTAACGTAGACTACAGACCAGGCCGGATGACGCCAGCGTCTATAAAGAGGGCAATTGCAGCTTGAGACAACGTGCATACACATGCTCTGAGTGAACTGAGTTGAAACCAAGGCTTATACTCGTTTGCTGTATAGGTAGGTAGGTACGCAACCATGTCACATTGATCCAATCCGCTAGAACGCCTGTGATTATGACCATATAGCGCCATACCGTTTGCTTCATTGCCCGAGTAAAAACTACAGAATGCCCGCCCACCCGCCGCCTTTCCCGCTGTGAAGGGGTATCTATCATCAACTCTCAAAACGCCTTCCCATGCGACCAACTGGCCAAGTGACAAACGCCGCCGTGCTTTCCAACAGGGGCTCATGCATGTACCAAACAGTCCAACAGTGAATGCTCTCTCTAAATACGCACATACGCTCTTACGCCTCTACACCTTTCCGCTTTCGTTCGTACATGTAGTCATGAACACCCTTTCATAATCCAATCACCCTGGTCCCGTACAGCTCCCTCCCATTCAAGCCCCAGCCCTCTCGCCGTCTCCGCTGACGACCAGCCCCTGCCGCCGCCTCTCCTCACCCACCACGAGCGCGAACAGCCGCTTCGCGAGCGCGCGCTCGTCCCAGCCGCCGACCTCGAGCCGGAACGCGTCGACGACCTCGAGGTGCCAGGCCTCGATGACGATACTGGCGCCCTGTGCCGCGACCACCTTGCCGAGGATCGGGGACGGGCGACGCTGGTCCCTGCGCGGCAGGGGGAACTGCTGCTGGAATCGCAGCGGGTCGCGCCGGCGCAGCTGCAGTATCTCGTCGAGCCGGATCCAGTGCTGCTTGGACCAGGTCGTCTGCGAAAGGGCGGTTGCAGAGGCGGAGGCGGAGGCAGAGGCTGAGGCTCGTTCGGACGCCACGGGCAACGCAGTCGCTGCTGGTTGTTTACCTGCTGTATTGATGTTGGCGTTGATGTTCTGGCGGTTGTTGTGGGATGAGGTTCGCTGATTCTCCTTACCCTCACGAATGGATCGAAATAGAGGCCCTTGTGTAGCAACATCGTCCTCAGTGCTGGTCGGTTTGTTATTCCGAGTTTGCATCTGGACAAAAGGAGAAAGTGCGTTGCCGGTGAAAGCTACAACGCGTCCAGGCGTTTTTGGTTTCACGGGCGAGCGGAAGCAGGATTTCGAGGGGGAGAGGTGCCTATCCCATTGCGAAGGTTTCTCGCGTGGTGGCAGACGCTCGTATTCCGACCCCTCAGTCGTCAGAGATGACTCGTGTTCATCGCTTGGTACTTGGAGAAGACCGTCGTCGTCCTCGCTCTGGGTGAACGAGGGACCAGCTCGACTTGGTGCGAACAGAGATGATCTTGACTGCCCTGGTCTGGGCGTAAAATCCCGCTTTTGATGGATCGGGGGGGAAACCTGTCGCTCAGGGGTTGAAGGTGCAACCGATGGCGAGGGCGCGGCTGACGTGGAAGGCTCGTATGTATCTGCCACAGTATCGTTCGACCGCAAAGCTGGGGCTGGAGAAAACAAGTCGATCCTGCGCTCTGGGCTGGGTCGGAATTCCTTCTGAGGAATAGAGGGAAATAGCCCGGTTGACCAGAGAGAAGCTGGAGGGTCTTCTGGCACACTTCTTTGGAACACTGGCTGCGCAATTGTTGGCGCCTTACTACTCGTCTCCGCTGGTTCTGGCTTCTTCTGTGGCAATGTGGCGGGCGACGAGAAGAAGGACAAGATATCGAAGCCTCCGAAGAATCGAGACTTGGCCGGAGCTGCCTTCTCTTGGGTTGGGGGAGCCTCCTTCGCCTTCCGAGACAACATTGAGTACTCAGAAGCATCCGCAGGCTCCGAGGCCTTGTCCAGGGCCGTCCTTTGAGAAACCGGCTCATTTGGTGGCACCAAAATCGAGTAGTCAGAACCATCGGCACCGACTCCTGGTTCTTCTGGCTCTTCTGGCTCTTCTGGTTTTTCTGGTTCTTCGGCCTCTTCTGCCTCTGGGGAACCTGGAGATGCATCTAGCTCTTCTGCGTCAGATGGCTCCCCTGGCTCTTCGTGGATTTCACCTAGGGAAGATGGATCATGTTGTTCCGCAGCAGCCGATGGCTCCTGATTATTGTCTTCGACTTCTGGATGCTCCTCTTGCGCCTGAGGTGGAGGGGCAGACGGCCTCTGTACCGGCGGGACCAGCGAGTTGTCTTCAGACTCGCTTTGCAAGCTCGCTTCCTCAATCTCTATTTGAGTAGGGCTCGTGATCTCGTCTTGGTAAATGAGTCGTCGTCCACTCCTCCTCCAAGGACTTGGGATTTTGTTCCGTCGTGGTGCTGGAACATCTGGCTCAGGCTGCGGCGCGACTTGACGTAGCTCAGGTTTTCTTGGTGATGGGCGCGATGCTTCGATATCCCAAAGATCATCATCGTCTTCTCCTTCACCTTGCAGGTCGCCATTCTCCTCTTCGTCTCCGTAGTCCGCTAAATCATCGAATTTATCGTCGGGCAACTCGTCTCCTCCTGCAGTCTCCTGCGCTTGTGTAGCCATTGCTTGGTTCGCATTTGAGCCGCGAGTCGCAAATATGCTCGAGCTTCGGGAATGCAAAGACTGGTCGTCGAATTTCCGCTTAGTTGATTGCTCAGGGTTATTCCCTTCTGCAGCCCAGCTCATACCGTCCCCGCTTGGCGGTGCTGCGCGGGTAGAATTAGTCATAGAGTGATAATTGGCCGAGGTACTAGGTCGGGAGGCTTGGTTGTTGGACCTATAACCGGACTTCCTAAGTGATTCAGTATGCGGATAACCATGCATACCTGGGCTGAAAGGATCCTCAGCCTGACCGATGATGTCGCGTGATGGTGCCCCTTGGCTATTGCTGAAACTGGCCCTCAAAGATCTTAAGGTCTGATTGAACGAGGCATTGGTATCACTAGATGGGCGCGATTTGTATAGGTTCCCATGATTGCGATCTGCCGGCGCGGGTGACCTTGCCATGGATGACTGCCGAGACTGATCCGGAGGCGGTTGCTGTGGCTGTTCAGTGCTGATAGACCCCCTGAATGGGCTTCCGAGGCTGCTTTCGCGACCATCCGGAGAAGATCTGTCCGACATCACGTTTTGAAGAGTACGACCGACGCGGACGATTGGCGAAAGTGTCGGCCGTCTGCCAGGAGCTGGAGGCTCCAGGGATTCGGCTCGTTCAGATGGCCCCCTCGCAGAAGGAGGCATTTGAGGGGGTGAAGACTGCCTGTCGGGCGTGACACCCAGTTCTCTATGTAACTCAGAGGAACCGAAGTCCATAGCATGGGGTCGAGAAATGGCTGGTGGAGATGATGGCATATCTGGGTGGAAGTTGGAGTGAGCGACGGCTTGATATTCGTTGTCTGTTACGAGGCCGTCTTCGTGAGCTCTCTTAGAACCAGCAGTCGAGGACGACGTGTCATCTGGAGTTGGAAGCCTACTTGATCCGAGATTTCGGTTGGCCGAGCCTGACCCTTGCGGAGGCGCCGGGCTAGTCATCTCGTCCATCGGCATCGTGGGGCGTGCTGCTGGTGCCGGGGTGGCGGCCTCGAGGATATCTTCGGGGATTTCCGAGAATGAGTCATCGTACATGCTGTCGTCTGCATTGTTATCAGCAGCGGGCGTCGATTTCATAGGCAACCGTCCAGGAGTGGCTGCTTGAAGTACGCTGTCTGGGAGGCTTGAAAAGGAGTCATCCAGATGTGGTACTTTGGCCGCAAACAACTGCCGGCTGAGTGGTAGCGACTTTGGTCTCCTCGGACTCCTTGACAAGGCTCGTGTGCTACTACCGCCAATCACTCCAGAAGAAAGGTCTTGCAATTCGGACCGATTCTGATTTGCTGGCAGATCGTCGCTTGTCAGAGGGTCTGGCGATTCGCGCTCGGCATCGGTCTGCGTGCTGCGTCGCAATGACTCCAGGGTTTGGTTGATTATGAGGTTCGTTTCTTCGCCCATCTCCGCTTGTGGGCTCGACGGAACACGGCTGAGATTCGCTTGGAAGGACGCTTGGAACGAGGGGAGGGAATCCAATCCTATCATGCTAAAGTCGGAGTCGTGCGCGAGGGTATCTTGTCCACCAGGCTTCACACCCTCGAGATCTTCCGAGATAGACTCGATATCGCTATGGGCTTCCATCGCTGGATAGTCTTCGCTCATGGCAACATCGTCCTCTCCTGCATAATATGCTTGATGCGCCGAAGCAGGCGAGCCAGATGCTCTCTGTATGCTACCTGCTTCCCCATGCTGGTCTAGGTATGTCGGTGTCGATGTGCCGCTGCTTTCTCTCGGTGGGAAGTCGTCCAGCGGGGCATTGTGGTCGGGATATGCCTCGTCGTGTGCGACCTCCCCTCTCTGTTCCTCTAACATTGCTTCTGAAGCAAGCTCAGCACCATTAAGTTGCTCCTGCTCAGTTGTGTTTGAATGTGGTACCGCATCGTTCCCCTCTTCCCGGTCCTCGGCGATGACGGCAACCTCTTCAGGCAGAGGTGCCTTCCGCGGTCGCCCACGCTTCCTCCCAGTCGGCTTGCTTGAGACTTGCGATGATGGGACGGCCGGTGTCGCAGCAGCTTTCTTCGGCGTCTTGCGAACCTTCTTCTTCACCTGTGGCGTCTCTTCACCGCCATCTGCACCAGTATCCGTCGGCGCATCACTGAGCATGCTAGCCTCGGATGCCGGCCCGCCCTTCCGTCGCGTCTGTTTAGAGGCACTCTGTAGAGGTGTTCCCGATCTTTTGCGACCTCGTGGCATCGGCGTGCCGTTGCTAGTCCGCCTCGGCCGGCCACGCTTTCGCGGTGTCGCATCGTCGTTCTCGAGCATGGTCGCATCGTCATTCAGGGGTACGGTAGTTGTCGTGGTAGTCCGTCGGCGGCGAGTGCCTCGAGACGGCGAGGGAGACGGGAAGAGTCTGCGACCAACGATGCCTTGGCGCAAGGCATCCTCGGCCTCGACGGTTACGAGGATCTTTTGCGGTGAGTTGGGCTTGCCCACGTCGAGCTCGAAGGTCTGCTTCCGCGGAGACTTTCTCATCGGCGAGCTCCTTCGCGGGGTGCTCTGTGGTATCGGCAGCGACAAGAGATCATGTTGTGGCAGCGTCTTGCCCAAGCGCCGTGTGACTGGGCGCGCCGAACTTGGGACATCGTCGGCCAGCGGATCCGGGGACGAGGGCAGGTTCAAGAATGAGTCCATGGTTGACGTGGCAGCCCGATCAATCAATCGGTTGCCGGAGCACAAGAGAAATATACAGCCGGGCTATACATGTAGCATATGCGTCCAATAACTCAATATACTCCAGAGGTCCGAGTGTTGGGTTGCGATAATGGAGATAGAGGCTGGGCTTGTCGGTCAAGGAAATACCGAAGCCTGAAGGAGAAGTTTGTTTACTTCTACGACGACCGTGAGTTATGATTGGCCGGCTGGTATTTAACACCGTCGCGTTAATTAACAGCCCACAACCTACAGCCTTACAGGGGACTTTTCAGTGCGTGGGGGCGCTTGGGTCAGCGCCCCCACTCCACCTAAGACCACACTAAGCGATCTACGGTTACTACGGCGCCGTCTGAGGCGGCTAGCGAACCAATGAGCAGCCTGTAAATATCCCCCGCAATATGATTAGATCATCATTACTGAATAAAGTGCTGCAGGGTATTATACGTTCACGTCATCGTGGTCTCTACTTACATGCCATGTCTTACACGGATGGAAACTTGCATAATGGGGTTGTCTCGATGGCGACATTTCCCAGCGAACATCCGAACACGAATAGGCATGCCCCTGTAGTTTCTACCCCCGAGTAGGGGTTGTCACCAGATGCTTCTTCCACACCACTTTCCCCAATGACGTGATCGTACAAGCCAATCAATCACTAACATAAGCGGAAAAAGTTCCGAGGTAAGGGACGATGGATTATAAATGGAACTTTGCTGACATATAGACTGTCTACCCTCATAACGTAGGGAGGTTGGTTCATGGTGCTATGAATCAGATATTCCTTGCACGGATCTTCTCTATATATATCAGGAGTCAAGTCCAAGCAAGCATCATAGGTATAACTAACACAATCTCACCCTCTTGCAAGTAGTTGCCAGAAGCCCAGACTGACACAACCATCGCTTCAATCTCTTCCTGATATTATTTATTCACCGTCCAGCAGAGCATAGCAACCATCACAATGGCCATCTCCACACCCACCCCCTCCTCCACCATCCCCCGAGGTCCCATAACAGCCAACATAAACTTCACCCACCCACCACCCGCCGGCACCACAGCCTACAACTACGTCGACGCGCCCCCCGCCGGGCAGGCGCAGCGCAACATAGAGACCAACCCACAACCCGTGCCCATAACCGACATCCGCGGCCAGGAATCCTCCTACAATCTCGACCGCGACGCCTTCCAGATCATCGCCTCCCAACCACCATCCGCCGAAGTCCTTTTCGAAGACGACGCCTCCATCGAGTCAAACTACTACCCGGAAGTCGAGAAACTCCTCCTCCACCACATCCCAAACAGCACGCGCGTGGTAATCTTCGACCACACAGTGCGGCGCGCCGGGCCCAACGCCAAGCGGTCCGCCGTGCAGTACGCGCACATCGACCAGACGGCCTACTCGACCCAAAAACGCGTCCGCCGCCATATAGAGGACGCCGACGAGGCCGAGGCACTACTACACAACCGCTACCGCATCGTCAACGTCTGGCGCACCCTCAACGCGAAGCCCGTCGAGGCCATGCCGCTGGCGTTCGCGTCGAGCGCCTCGCTGGACCAGAAGGACGTCATCCCCGTCAAGCACATCTACTCGACGGGCTATGAGGGCGAGACGGCTGCTATCGCCCACAATCCGGAGCAGAGGTGGCACTACCTGAGCGGCATGACGGGCGACGAGCGGATCTTGCTCGAGTGCTTCGATAGCGAGGGCTTGCGGGAGGGATCGGGCGTTGAGGGCGGCCGGGTGCCGCATAGCGCCTTCGAGGACCCCAGGACGAGGGCGGACGCCGAGGGCAGGGAAAGTATCGAGGTACGGGCCCTGGTCTTCGGGCCCTGATCGGAGAGAATTATGGTTAATGATTTCATTCGTGCACACTTTGGACACTCCAGCAGGGAAAACGGCGTTTTGTTTGGTGGTATCATTAGTGCCTGTGCCACTGCGACTACCTAACTGTAAAGCAACGGATGAAACTCAATGTATGCCCTTCCTGATACGCCATTCTATGCCGTGAGATGCGTGCCGTTGCGAAAGAAACAAGTAGCAGGGGTATTTGCATGAGTAAGGTCATGATTCTGCACCGCCACGACCCTTATTGCGTAAGAAACCATAAGAAATAAAAGTGTGTTTAGCCCACACGATCAGCTGCGGAAATCATGCCTTCCGCTTGCCTCTCGCGCTGCCAGTCCGGCTCATGGCCACGCCACCCAGACTGCTCTGTCTGCTCATTGGCACTCCAGCTGCAGCCGCATTGAAAGGTGCAACTCCATGGGCGTGATTTGCTGGTCCGGCTCCGTTGGGCTCATCTCTCGCACTAGAACTAGGGAATCCCAGTCCCTCCGACAGCGCATCCGTCGACGGGCGCGGGCCCTGGACGTATGTCGCGTAGTTGCTTCTGCGCTGCGGCTGCGCCATGGCTTCCAGAAGACGACGTCCGCCGTTTGCGACATCCATGTTGGACCCGACGCCGGTCTGACTCTGGATGCTCTTGTACAATCCCATCACAGTCAAATCGTGGAGCGCATCGTCGGGCGTTAACCCAATGGGCGTATTCGATTCTGACTTGATGTATGCCTTTGAGTATTGAGAGTGGATCAGCGGTGGCAGCTTGGGTTCTTGCGAGGCCATCTTGTCCAGGTTTCCTGAGATCTGGAAATTTGCGAGACCCTCGATGCCAAGAATCTTGTTATCGTAGAAATTCTGGTGGTTATGACCTCCCCGGGTGCTTCGTGTCGCGTGAGAGGGCTGTCGCTCCATTGTAGCTGCAGACGGATCTTCCTCGTCCTCGTTCGCCTCCCCATTACCTGCATCGCTTTCTTCGGGAGAAGGAAGAACGTTGCCATTCACATCGCGGCGGGTGAGGAGATGCTTGTGGGCCGCTATAGCTGCGGTATTGTAGGTCAAGGAAAGCTCCTTGTCTGTGAACAGCTTGTCTATGCTGTAGACCGGGCCAGTCTCTTTGCGCAAGCCTCTGAGCCTGTCGCTTTGCCAAAAGGGAGTGGTGTTGGTCGGGTCGAGGGCTCTGCGAACAGGCGCCGGAGATCCATCGTCATCAGCGGCGTTCCGTTTCCTCTTCTTGTTCTCCGAGTAACCTGGCAGCTCTTCCATCTCTCTTCGGAGTCGGGTGTTTCGCTTTCCATGCGTGCCGCCGGGACTCGCGGGGTTGGTGAGGCTGAATTGGTTCGGATGTAGGAGTAGGGCGGAGCTGTCGCTGATCTCGATCGCTTCCTTCTCCTTGCCGAGTCGGTACTTCTTGGAGAGGATGTTGTTGATGAGTCGATCTTTGAGGGTGGCTGACAGGGCCCTGTGCTCTCGCTTGGCTACTTCGACTCTGTACGCATGGGTATTATGGTAGTCTTGCATCTTTCGCTCGAAGTCGTACTAGATTAATATTAACAGGCTGCGAGGGTGGGGGCAGGACCGGGATTTGGCAGAATGGTTTACCTTCTGGGTGGTCATGTCATAGTCTCTCGTCTCGAGATGATCTTCTACTGTACGGGTCCAATCCTCGGTCGTAGGGCCGGCCATGTAAAGCAAGCTTCTGTTGTTGGTGTTGGCGTTGGCATTGCTGGCGCCATTGGCTTGCGACTGCTCGCAGAGGCAATCGATACCGTCCAGGGGTCGGTCAACATAGGGATCAAAGTGGCCGACAAGGTTGACGTCGACTTGGATCTTATGGAGCTCTTCTCGGTATTGTCTATCCTTATCACGGCTGAACTGCTCGGCCAGGGTGTTCAAGCGATCGTTCATAACTTGGCGCTTCTTATCCCGCTTCGACTGCTGGGGTTGGGGAGACTGGCGAGTGGCTCTGTTGGTTGCCAAAGACGTCTGCTGCGCAGACTCGGTCGCTGCCATGTTGAGCGAATGGAGGGTGGTCTCCCGGAATGGGAACAGCTGGCTGTAGAACGGTTGCGCTGGCCAGGAGGGCAAGGCAGAGAAGTTGAGGTAAAGTAGGAGAAGTGTCGGCTGGCTCGCAAGAAAGACGGCCTGCTGGAAATAGTAACTTTCAGCTCACATTCCCGAACTAACCGTAAGGTAGGGGAACAGACGGGAAGAAGTGACGGATGGTATGTGTGCAAAGTTGGGAGGAAAACTCTGCGGATAGAGGAGGTGAGTGAGAGTTGTTTTTGCCGGTGGTTGTGTGTGGTTGTGTGCAGGTGCCTGAGGTGATGTGGTTGTGAACAATGGACTGCGTGTGCAAGTGGTCATGTCAGAAAACGTCACGGAAAGTTCCGCCCAGGACGGCACAAACCTTCAAAGTTGATAGCCCCTCCAACAAGGTACCACCAACACGGTTACCTCTTTTAACTAGAAACCCGAAATCTACAGCGAACTAATGGCAAGAAACTGATGAGTTGGAACATGACGACTTCCAAGTGCCTTGTAATAACCTGTGAGATTTTGTTCGCAAAGCTGCAGCTTCACACGGATGGCTGCATTGAACCACTCCAAGACCTCAGGACCCCAATGTAGAGTTGACTGTGTCTCACTTGGGTTCCATGCCATCAACCCTTCAAGAACTGCATTTTGCATTTTGCCACCTATTGTGTTGATTGAGCTCTGGCAGAGGAGCCTCCAGACTTCCACACCCATGATAGGGTAATCCATAAGGACTGTCAAGATGTAATGGTTAGATGTCTTTCAGGCAGCAAGCAAAGCACTTCAACTACATATGTGTAATAATGCAGCTCATCCATCGCCTAATCCCTTGCTCATGCCATTCCGTTTGATCCCCTTGCAATAGAATAGGTAGTCGAGGCGCGGAGAAACAGCTGAGTAATATGGCGGTAGAAACGGCCCCATCCGTCCGGGTTCGGCTGTCTCGGACAACCGCCTAGAGAAGCAATCAGAGTCACAATGCGTTCCTGACAGGGCAATCATGGCAGGACGATGGACTACTTGTGACATGGACACACGTGACGAAAGTACGATCAAGAAGATATATACAGTAAGGAGCGGGCGGGCATGGCAGTCACTTCAAGATCATCCAATCTCAGGTCATCAACTCGGTACGCCATCATAGCTTAAGAGTCGCGAGGGACTTATTGTGGTTTGCATACTTCGGCGCACATAATCATAAGCCTGCCCGCAACCTTTGCAGCTGGCTCATCAGGCCATAACCAGATAGGGGTTTGCTCTCCGTGCTGCTCGTATCCGAGTTGCTGCCGCTTCTCCGATGGCCACCGTCAGTATCTCCCCTGCCCTCCCGTCGTCCACCCTGGTCCATCTCCTTCATGAGATCCTTGTGCCGATCCTCCACTATCTTGGCGAGGTTGTCGATGAACTTTGTTCTCCCCTTCTCTTCTGCCGTGCCTTTCCACACCGTCGTCAGCTCCTTCAGCTCTTCTATACGACGTGCTGCCTTCTCGATGCCGTCTACTGGATCAGTGCCCTTCGTGAGAAGGTCCGAGATCTCGTCTCTGAATTGCTTGAGAACCTGCTGGCCCTTTTCTTCCGTGCTATGCGATTCCGGCCCCGGGTCTGGTGCCGACACGGACAAGAACGAGGAGCTAACCGACAGTTCGGAGGGCGGAAACACAAACTCCATGGCGTCGCCAAAGGTCTTGACTACCAAGTCGAGCCGTGAGCGCACTAGGGTGAGCGTCTGTAGCTGACTTATGAACTGCGGATCTGCCGTATTGCCATCCTGAGGTGCAGCATCTAGTTCCGCAGGCGGTGTAACGCCCGGAGCACGTCGTTGCGCAGCTGAAAGCTTCGCGTCTGTCTGCTCCTGTATCCCATCTGGGACGAATTTGACAATCTCTTCGTGCAAGCCTTCTGACAGGGATTCCGAGAGGCTCAATGTCTCGCCGCGCAACAGTTCCACCTCGTAGGCCAGTCGGCTCCCACTCCGCAGTATATCATCGGTCAGTTGTGTGAGGGTATTTGTCAGCCTCGTGGTGTGGACGTTCAACTGGGAGAGCTGTGTCTGGGCCTGGGCAGACAGGTCTGCCAGAGGCACCGAGCCATCCTGGGATCGTGTCGTCGAGGAGGTTTGGAGGGGCGGAAGCGAGGCGTTGAGATATTGGGCGGGATCGAAGGACGGAGCTAGGAAGCTCTGGAGGAAAGGGTCGGCTACGTGTGAGGACTTGGGCTGTATGGGCTGCGTGGGCTGTTGTCTCGTCTGATGCGGCAATGCTCGAGCGGAGCTGGCAGAGCTGTTTTGACGCCTTCGAACGGCCGTCTTGGAGTCCCAGGACATGTCTAAGGGAGACCGGGGATGTCAGATGGGACCAGAGATTCAATGGCTTTGCTTGTTGGATGATGCGATGTCGAATCTTTGGTTCACTCTTCCTAGAATTGTCTAGCGCAAGGGTCCCAGCTGAACGGGAACCAGCCTCGCCAGCCTAGGCAGGTACCCGGCAGGCACTAAATCCACGGTTACCCCACAAATCTCCGTGGCCAGCCGCGGCGTTGATCATGACTTCATCTAATCTAATCTAATCTCCTATGTGACCTTCGTGTGCGAATAAAGGGGGAGCCTGCACTTGACCCCTCCCTCGTTGTATTCCTTCGAAGTCTCCTGCTTCCCCTTCTTATCATCATTCCGCCGGAGAGGGCATTGAAGACAAGGTTCTGCTTTCTGGACGCATTATTCAAATGGAGATTGTACTCCGACTCGATCTTATCCGCTTCCTCTGTTGTCGCCTATGTAGGTCCAGATAGGCTACGCGCTTCGTTGTCGTATGTTCACCCCTGCAGTTCCTTCAACCTATCACGTACTTCGTCGGGAATATCCTTGCAGTCAGCCCTCGCCTTCTCGTCGAATTTTGCCTCTTCTTTAGCGCGAGCATCTCTGTCGTCTGCTGATGCATTCTCGGATAGCGTTGGCGGTGGGTGCCGCTGTTGGTATATGTCTTCAATGCAACGGTAGTATGGGCCCCAGATCTCGTCTTCCAACTGAGGTGACAACCGCATACCCCTATTCCATAGGCTCTGTACGAGTCCGGGTGGGCCACTCACTTCGTTAGAGCTCGCATGCTAGAGATGGCGTAAGCTCGACATCTGTTCAGTGCTTCGATATAGCAGGGAGGAGGGAACTTACCTTATCGGCCACGGGTGTTGCAGATACGCCCAGAACGGCGAACGAGAGTAAGACCGCAGACAGTATATACATAGTGTTTCGTTGATCGTAAACTCCCCGGTGGTGATGTGTATGACAGAGCTGGTGGCTGATGTTGGTGGCCTATGATAGTGGTCAGTGAAGGGAAAGAAGGGACGCTATCTGTGTAACGGTTCCAGAAACGCTTAGGTGTTACAACAAGCGTCTTTATAAGCCGTGTTATTCAAGTTGCCCGGTTCCGAACCTTGCTACCTTCCCTTTCCATGGTAGCTCGTGTGTCTCTACCTAAATTAAGACTAAGCTGCTGCCTCGACCAAAAGTACATTCCTTCTGACGATTGAGGCGAACTCCATTCATCGTTACGAAAGTGGCAACTGGAGCCTCTGGAATTCTGAAGCGTTCGGTGCGGGATCCGTATTAGATCCTTTGAAGGAAGACAGGAAGCCAGGCAGAAAAGGTGGAACAGGGTCCAACACGCCGTCAGCCCGTTTAGCACTCGTCATGTGTCGGAACGACCGTAAAATGGGTCAAATCCGCTTGAGGAGTTGACGGGTATTGCTAGAAATGGGTATAGTAGTGAAAGGGTGGCAAGGGTTAATAGGCTCTCTAGTGGCCCTGAAGGCAGGAATGACCTCACTTACACCCTTCTCGCCAAGCAGGCAGGCGCCCATGAAATTCCGCCACATGGGACTATTTGTCTAAACAAGACCTCAATGGGTGCGAAGATACCGCGAAAGGTCGGGGTTGGGTTGCTATGCTGCCTATGAGACCCTGTTATAGTCTACTACCTAATATAAGTCATGATAAGGCATATAATTCCCCTATCCAACAACCCTATTTCCAAACCATGTCGGCAAGGCGAACGCACACTACAACCAATCATTCGCTCTTCACCTGTCACGCAACGTCGATGCTGTGAAAGTCAACAACATCATCAATGCTCTTGTTCCCTATGCTTCGTGCTCGGTAACGTAGTTGAGAGCAGAGTGTGGAAACAAGCAGCAGAATCGCCCGAAGCGGATTGGATGGGATGTGCACATCTGAAGTTAACAGTATTGCCACTATGTCCAGTATCATCACCACCATTGCCAACACCCTAAAGAGTCTCTGTAAGAATACGTACTCAGTAGCGTATCCTAACCTTGTTATAAAGCCTTGTTGTAAGCAGTATGCGTGTCATCCTGTGAGATCACATATAGCTATCAGAGGTACCTTTCTCACCTATTTAAGTAAGACGGTACCGCCATCAGCTATTCTTCTTCCCTTCCAATACATACCATTCCTAAATTTTACAGTCTCAACATCTCGGACGGACCAGTCTTTGCCGGAAGAGGCCCGATGGCGGCCATAGCCCGCCTCCAAGGCGTGACCAAAGAAGGAAGCGAGTCCATGTCCAAATAATTGGAAGGCTTCCGTTCTCCTGATACCTCATCGACCGCTCAGCCCAAGAGACGCAGGCTTGATATTAGTCCGATGTCGAGGGGATTTTACCAAAAGTGCAGGTCCTCAACCTTTTAGGTAGCATCTCTAATGTTCTCTCTCTGGCACTTGCAGTCACTCGCCATTACCACTTATACCCTGATGGCAACTGGGCCCTTGATATCCGAAGAGGGAATCAGAGTGCTTTCCGCGACGTCTGCTGGACGGCTGCTTCTTGTAATTAGCCCACTGCAAGCTCGAACTCGATTTGATCAGCCAAGAGACCGACCTCCTAAGTGGTTGCTAAGCAGAAAACAGTTAACTGGACAGTAGCGTATACTATGAGGCCCTCCCACGCCCAATGACGGAATCTGTTTGCCACTCGTACTAGAGTCGCTGCAAGCGGGATATAATCCCCATCTTTGTGACACTTGTCCCCAAGATTGCATCAGCGGAGACTGTTGCCGCAGCCCAATGGCCATTGGCGCAAAACTTCTGCGGTTCCGTGACGACACGGGTTGACAACCTTTCCAGTCAGACTTATCAACTCGCTGACCGCCAAACAATTGCAATCAAACAGATGCTCACAGTTTCCATTGTGTCACACTCAACATCGCCGCGGCCACCATGATAAAGCTGTGTGGTCCGCCACTCTAGCATGGGTCACCACCATGTCCGACGTTGTCTCGGTCACATCGTTAGTATAAACGCAACAATACGCCATCAGCTTTAGCCATTGTCGGTCCATGCCTCAACCTGGTTCCCGAGCGCATCGTTTACCGCCCTTAATTCCGTCTAAGCCTTTAACGAAGGTACTTACCTAAGAGTAATCGTGAGACATGCTTGCATCCATTTTGCACGTATTTATATTTATGCTTGGTATTCAGAAGACTACCTAGGTAATAAGGAGGTAATAGGGCTTAGTGAAGGGTAACCCCGCCACAGTTGCAAGTGGAGGGGAATTGGTCCGGGGCAATCCACAATTGCCCGGGCCGGGGTGGGGATGCACCCCCACTCGCCTAAGCCCCTTAACGAATGTACCTAGTGCTACGGTACAGCACAGCCTAGGCAGACGCCTTGTTTGCACGAGGGGGCAAACCACGGTGCTGTGCGCTTCTTTTCTGTTGATCTTCATCATCAGGTCCAGTCGTTTTGACCTTTGACGATACCGCTGCTCTTGGCTGCCTCGGGAACCTACCAAATCAAATGTTATTTGGGCGCCCAAGTGCCTACCTACCTAGGTACCTAATCTGCAGTGGGATACGCCTTAAGGGAGTAGGTATCTTAATCGCTGGCCTCAGACAACCCGAACCTTATTTGCAGGTACGGTACATGCAGGCAGCCCTGGAGGTAGGTCGTTCCGTCTCAGCCTTGCCCTTCGCGACATGTCGGCCTGTTGCCTAGGTGCACGCACTGCACGCACTGCACGGTAAGTTGGACAGCTGCCTTATCCCATCTCATATTTCCAGCACTTCCAGCTTCGCCAGGAAAAAGGTAAAAAGAAGCCCGCCGAAGCTTTGAGCTCATCAAGGTTCATTCTTCATTCTTCATCCTTCCCATTCATCTATATGATCTATATTTGATCATTCGTCCCATCTGCTGTTCTGCTAACCACCCTCCCAGTCTCCCAGAGAACCACTCGCATGTGCACCTGCCATAGGCCGTGGCTCCAGCAGAAATAGCCTGGAACAACCACCACCCCGCTGCTCATCGCACTGCGAGTGACTTCGTTCCATATCTGGCATCTGGCATCTGCCCACAAGACACATCCAACATCCAACAGCAGCAATAAACAGCATCACCATGGCCCCTTCGAGAGCGCGCAATCGACTGCGAGCCGACTTGATGTCGGCTGCCCAGGCCGACCTTCCCATTCCCAACATCCTCGACATCAAGAAGGGAGATGCTGAAGATGAAATCGTCTTCACATTCACTCACCCACAGTTGTCCCCGTCCCCCACCGCCGAGATACACGTGCTACCTCAAGATGTTGCCGGCTACCCGGATGAGAACTTCTTCCTTGCCTACACCACCAACGACGTACCCGCTGCCATAGCAAAAACCCTCGAGGACTCAATGGGCGAGACTGCAGGCATGCGAATTGGAGACATGCTCGAAGCTCTTTCTAGCAGCCTTTGTGCCAGCTTGGACTCTATTCAGAATGGAGAACGTGAAGATTCTGTCATGACTGATGTCGATGCAGACGAAGACTTCCCTGATGCTGCAGATGAGAGCGAAGAGGATGTCAACTTCGAATATGGAGATGAGGACGATTTTGGTCAGGAGCATGCGGCGTTCGCAGGACCAGTCAAAATGACCTCAACCTCAACCTCGACTCTCAGTCGCATTCGCCAAGACCTTCGCATTGTCAAGAATGCAGGCTTCAGAGTCGGGAAGATTTGCGGTTTCGATCAAGCCAACGCGCACAGCATCGTCTCGACGTCCGTCAGGGTTAGCAACCTAGGCCTTTCTGAAGAGACTCGCGAGGCCTGGAACCTTTCGTCTTCCGATTACATTGTATTGCTCATTCGGTACACTGGAGAGTACACAACATTAGAGGATGCCTTGAGGAGACCTGCTGAACAGTCTCGGATGAAATTCCGCCTGCGGAAGTGCTCCAAGTATCGACCTACGCTTGCGCAAGCTCTCGCAGCATTGTCCTCGGAAACGAAGAAGAAATCGTCCCTGTTTCCGATCGCGACCAGTGCACCGGCAACAGAGGCAGCGGACTGCGACTTTTCGCTACTCGGAATTGGCGAGTCAATCGATATGTTCATGGACCAAGATTTCATTCCGATGATGAAGTTGAGGAAGCAGGAGAAGTTATCTTGGGACGCAGCTAAGAAGCTGCATTCCACCCTCGTCAAATCTCTGTCTTCTAGAGCCTGGAACTCCTTAGAAGACCCCAAGATGCCCGCACAGAGTGAGCTGAACCTGAACGAGTGCGATGATGAGGCGAAACTGCCACCGATCCTCGCGAACGACCATTCATGCAGCGATGGTGGAATATCATTGCCACTCATTGCGACTCAGTTCGCTTTACGTCATCTCGTCAGATGCACCGATTACTGCATGATTTGCCACGAGAAGATAGAGGGCAACTTCGAAGCACTGAAGCCGTATGTCTGCGGTAATCCACTCTGCCTTTTCCAGTACATGAGTCTAGGCTTTGGCCCAAGCATTGATCATGAAATCATCACCCAACCCTACGTTGTTGATCTGTTGATCAGCTTCTGCTACGCCAGTCTACGAAGTGGTCCAACGATCAAGATGCGAGAGTTCCCCACCGGCTTGAGCTTACAGGTTGCCAACATCTACCCCCCCGAGGGTCCATATGTACCAGACTACGAATATACCTACATACCTGCTCCTCCTCCCCTTCCTCCCCCGCCTCCTGGGAGGAAGGTTGCAATTAATGGGGCGGTTCTCATTGATCCGGTCGACATAACCCTTGACTGGGGAAGCTCCGTAGTCACCATAAAATCTGCAGTCGATGCTCACAACCCTGGGTTCAGAGAGGGACGTTGGGTGGTTCTCTGTACGCGGCTGATTGTCGACAGCGCATCCCAGAATGCGACGAGCCATGTTCTGCACCACGCTCGCATTGAACAAAAGACTGGGCCGTTACTTCAAGTACGTGTTGCGTCGCGCCACCTTATGCCACTGTCTTTCAATGCCAGCGAAGAGACCATGGGAGATTATGCCAGCACAGGCCCCATTGCCGGCCATGTCGTGTTCTGCGACCAGAACCTCGACGACTTAAGCCCGCAAAGCAAAGCCCTCTCTATGACCATACTGCTTTCAACGTTACCCTCTGTCATGGAAATGAGAGCGTATTTGACCGAGAGCCAATCACGGCAATTGGCCACATGGGATAGAATGACGCCAGGTGCGATGGGCTTGTTGAGATGGGTCGTCGCATCTAATCGATCCTATATCGTGCAAGTCGACGAATGCCCCAGCGCAGGGCAAGACCAGAATGTCGGTAAGTTCGGACGAAATCGCGAGAGAATAGCCGGTGTCGATGACTGGATCCAGTTCAGGTTTGCTCAAGGGTCTCCCGAGAAGGAAGCCCTCTTTCAGGATGCCCTGAAGCAGGTCACGAAACCACAGCGAACGCTGGTCGCGTGGCATGGGAGCCCCCTGGGAAACTGGCACAGCATCATTCGCCAAGGCTTGGACTATAAGGTCACTGAACATGGTCGGGCTTTTGGAAATGGTGTTTATTTCAGCCGGGACTTTGACTACAGCCTCAGCTACACGAATATGCAGCCCTGGAATAGATCGAACAGCACCGAGGTATGTTTCCGAGTCATTTACATCCTCAACTGGCATAATCGAACACTAGGGGTAACTTGGTGAAGTCGACACCAACCGACAGATTATTTGGTTGCGAGGTTTTCCCCTTGGAACCTAAAGCTAATCACTTTCCCTAGTCCTTGACATGGCCTCGGTCCGCTTTGAAGGCCACCGGTGCAATCAGTCTGAACGAACTTGTCAATCTACCAGAACAATATCAAGAGAACAGAACCCATTTCGTGGTCCAGCATTGTCACTGGATACAATGCAGGTATCTCTTCGTCTTGCCCATAAGTGATGTGTCTCCGAACACTGCGCACCAGAACTCAGCAGCGGTTCAGAAGCGAATCCCTGGGGAAGAATTCGTCCAGGATAGTCGATGGACGACCACAGGCCCGGGACGTGGGGAGCTTTACATTCCAAAGATTGCCATTCCATCTGCGCAGGATGGGAATAAGTCAACCCAGTCTACTTCCTCCCAGACGAACGAGGACACACCGTATGGGGACAGCGACGAGGACATCGAAGACACCCTCTTCCTTGAAGAAGATACGCAGAGCACACCTACTGTTTCGGCAGGCATGAAACATAACCTCATTGGTGGCCTGCCCCCGACTCCGACTCATCAAGAGCCACAAACGGATTTTCGACCAGGGACGCTGGATCTTTCTGCTCTCCCTCAGCTCGCACCACCGTCCTACGCCACTGAGGCCGCCCAGAAAACTATCCAGCGGGAGCTGAAGAAAATGCAACAGACACAGGCTACGACACCGCTCCACGAGCTAGGATGGTACATGGACTTTGAGAACATCAACAACATGTTCCAGTGGATTGTTGAGCTGCATTCTTTTGATCCGGATTTGCCCCTTGCACAGGACATGAAGAAAGCCAAGATCACCAGCATTGTCCTCGAGATTCGTTTTCTACGCGGATTCCCGATTTCTCCACCGTTTGTGCGAGTAATCCGCCCTCGGTTCCTCCCATTCATGAATGGCGGAGGTGGTCATGTAACGACTGGGGGTGCCATGTGCATGGAACTACTTACCAACAGCGGCTGGAGTCCAGCAAACAGCCTCGAAAGCGTCCTCCTGCAGGTTCGCATGGCAATATGCAGCTCGGTCCCGAAGCCTGCTCGACTGGAAAGTTGCATGTATGGTCAAGACGGCTCGGATCGAATGTATGGGGTAGTGGAGGCCGTCGAAGCGTACAAGCGTGCGGCGGCAAACCATGATTGGGAAGTGCCAAAGGACCTGGACGAAGCCACTCAGCAGATGCAGCCTGTTGCCTCTGGCGCAACTTAGAAGAGGAGTCGTGAGGCGACCGGCGACGGCAAAATGATTGATCGATCTGAGTCCGGCCGCGCTGTCCGCCGCAAAACCCAAGTCTCTCGCCGATGAAACTTTTCACTATTGCCCAAGATAATCCCCGAAATGATGCCGATTGAACATCACACACGGCCTAGAGGGACTGGGTCAACTGCTGGTCTTCTCAAGAAAGCATACTGACAGCTTTCTCAAATTGCCCTCTTCTCATAGATGACGAATGATGACTACGGGCTGGGAAGAATGGAGTGGGAACGAAGCAATGGTTGCCGTAGATACCCATGTAGCAAATCAGAAACAATAAACAACATACTCATACTCATACTCCCTCTGTGAAAATTGTACTCTGTGACTGAGAAACCTCATGTTCACGTGGGAGCTTCACAATAAGCAAGCGATTTACACGACGAGTTATGTAGTTCACCTGGCATAGGCGCATGGTCCAACGGCGATTGATGTCAAGTCCATCGCTACTGTCCTCTAGGGCAGACAGGTCACCCTAACCGTGCCGCAACGACAGTGGGACGACGAGGTGCCGTCCATTCCGCCTGAAAGTTGGCGGGCGTTGCTTGTCATTGGCAATCTTCTTCGCTGGCGCCCGCTTGGGTGCTGGTCCCGATAGAGTCGTTACTGCAGCGGGATACGATGGGTATTGGGAACGGTTCTTTCCTTCCTTCTGTCAGTCCTTCGTGCCGCGGTCTCCCCCAACCTCGTAACAAACCACAAGTTGAACCCGAACCATCGTCGTTTAGGATTGGAATGCAGCCACGATAAGTTGGCGTTTTCCGAACAACCTTGGAGGCATGCTGAGCTTGGAAGGCATGCTGATCTCGGAAGCCATGACAACGATCTCGGAAGGCATGCTGACGGGCGACGGCATGCTGTTAACCTTAGAAGGCATGTTAACGGAAGAAGGCATGTTGACCTCGGAAGGCATGTCGAGCGCGGAAGGCATGTCAAGTTGAGCTCGGAAGGCATGCTGACGGAGGAAGGCATGCTGCAGGTGCCATTTGGATGGGAGGAACATGCAATGTAGTATTTGTTGGTCGTTACTAACACCTCAGTCACCTCGCCGAGGCTCCGAAAATAAGGCATGACGACATCCTTTTGACATGACGGTGAGTGCTCCGAGCCCCACGGTGCAACAACTTTGCAGCAGATAGTTGACCGGTATTTGGTATCTCATCTCCCTGCAGGGTTCCAATGGGTCGAAAAACTCGGCCTATCGAGAGGGGGTGCCTGTCACATGCATTAAGACCATTGCTCAACGCAACTTGAGAGTAGAGTGTTGGTACATTGACGTGACCGGGATGTCAGGGCCAGTGAAAGGGGAACCCGAGGATACGGATGCGGCCCGGGGATGCAGGCACTCAGCCCCCATTTCTCTTCAGTGCAACCAACCGGACGGCTCCCAACTGCATCCTGCAGCTGCAGTGTAACGACACTACATCACATCTCATCAGCCTTGCCGAATTCGAAGCGTCTTATGTGCAGGTAGCCACCTTGCCTTCAATCGGAACAAGGGGACCTGCAGGTTGCACCTTCCTGTGTCGTGGTGTTGCTATTTTTACGTGTTGGTCAATCAACCCATATGCAATGGAATGTGGCCCAGCTGCTAACATGCAGGTTTTCAGCTCCGTGAACATAGTCGGGCGGCTGAAACGGGTGATACACTCCCCGACCAGAAGTCTCCGAGCCCACTTTTCGAGCAGCCCTACACGCCTACACCTTCCAACTTTCAGCATTCACCACGCACCCATCTCTCACTGTAATAATATGAAAAAAACTGCATTGTATAAGCCATTCAATAGTGTGTGTACCAACCACCTGCCCTTTTCACTGCGGCGATTCGGTTGCCGAGAGATTCGATGAGAACGCGTACATCCTTAGGATCGATCTCTGACCACGCCCTTTTGATTAACTGTCTGGCATATGCCTCATGGGCAATATTAGCCTTCAAATCAGCGAAACCAGGCTCGATTCTCTGTATCTGCTTCTTTAGAAGTGCCCAAACGTGCTCGATCGGGTTCAAATCAGGGCTGTGAGCAGGCCAGTCGATCGTCCAGATGCCGTGCTCCTCTAGCCACTCTGGAGTGCCTCCCAATCGATGGATGCGAGCGTTATCTTGCATAAAAGGATCCCCAGTCTCGTAGAACGGAAGGAGCCCTTCCTCAAGGACGTCTTGATATGAAGCTGAAGATACTCCTCCGCGAGGAACATCCTCATCGGGCTTGCAGAAGATGATTTTGCCTAGGCCACCTTCTCCGCCGCGTAACCAGATCAAGGCCCAACACATAATGGAGATACGGGGCCTCCCATGACTCCGAGGGTTCACGATATCCTGCCTGTAACGTTCAGAAGAGAGGCGGATGACCCAATCGCCCGGATTATCGGGTGAATTCTGGACCGTGACTTTGTCTTAAAAGAGCGTTCGTATCAGTTCCTCCAGAGCCTCCGGGGAGTCGTATTCATTACAAAAAGCGAGCCTCTCTCGTGCGTCATCTTCTGTAAGCTCAATCCGCTTCGCTGTCTTCCACTTATGAAGCCCGTGAGCGCGAAGAACGCGCTTAATAGTGATATGGGAGCTGAGAACCCTGCTCTCTTTTTTGAGCTCTCTGTAGGTGGCTCTGGGGTACTTTTGTGCCATTTTAACTAGCTGAGTTTCTTCGTGCTTGTTTAGAGTGCTTGTAGCTCCCTCTTGAGGTCGAGAGACCGTGGTGTTATGCTCTCTAGCAGTGTTGATAATGTCGGTCACGGTATGAGGCTGATCCAGATGGAACGCGCTCGTGATATCGTCGCGCCTTGCGCCTGCCGCCCTGGCAGCCACAATAGCTGCATAAGCTTCGGAAGTAAATTCCTGGCTTGGCCCGCGATTTGCGGTCAGAATTGTACTAATCTTTTGTAAATCCATCGTTTTGGTGTTGAGTAAATAAAAGGTGAAGAAGGAAGGGGGTCGCGAGCGCATAGACGCGTTTTGAAACTAGCGTGGTGGATGCTCGGAGACTTTTGGAGGGTCAGTGTAGCGACAAAGAGCATCACAAGAGGGCGAGAGATGGCGCCAACTGACTGCAGGAGTTGGCACAACCAACAGAAGGTAAGAATAGGAATGCTTCTGCATTGAAGCCATCTCCGGAGGGCGGAGTGGATGGATCGAGAGGTGTGTTGCCTGATCCTTGTCTTCGAGGAGCTCCTTGATCAGATGAACCAACTGCTTGTACATGATTACTTGTGTACTCCAGATGGTGGCATAGACAGTGCGTTGGACTGTGTCCTGATGCGGCTGTCATGACAGGCATAGGAAACTTCTGAGGTCAAACCACCCAGTACGGACAGCTTTTGGGCTCCATGTTTTCTCCTTCTCCCCTATCTTTGGCTTTGATACTCTCCCTTGGGATTTTGAAGCACTTTCTGGTTGTTCATTATGACGATTGACCTTCAAGTCTGGTGGGGGAGAAGCCTACTTCTCGTCAACCTATGTCTCTTCGGTTTCGCGGTGCTTCTGAATATATGGGCTCTTCGCCGTTGGAACTCCTTTGGCAATACAGAATTGCTTCAAGCCAGCAACAGCCACCACCGAGACCCGCTGGGCCATTGTAAAGCAGCCCCTTCGTGGTACCTGTGTTTCACATACTGACTATATAAAGATCCTCTTCTAGATGTAGCAACATACAGTCCAATGAGATTTGATGCGGAGTTAGGGGAACCGTCAATCTTCAAAGGCCCTCCTAGCGAACTACTTGACAATGCTTGGGGCGAACTGGTTGATCGTGAGTGCATGCTAACCTGACGCCGATGAAGCCACAGGATGGTACCCTCTTGGTTGATGCTGTTAACACATTTAACAGAGCCTATGATTTTAGTGGACAACGAGACACTACAATCTTTTGATCCTACTTCCAAACCTTCGAAGAGTGTCGACGGACATTATTATGCTACAGTTGAAGTGTTCCATCAGCTTCATTGTTTAGACATAACCCGCAAGTTCATCTGGAGGAACCACTATCAAGACGTAGACACGTTTATGGATCCTCCGGCGATGATATGGGAACACGTCAGTGAGTCACTCCCATCAGTTTAGGCCACGCGTAAGCTTTCTAATTATGCACAGATCATTGCATAGATCTGCTTCGTCAGGTACACATGTGCAATGGAGATATTGGGCTCATCTTCTACACTGATGTTGACAAAAAACAGCCTGTCGCACGAGTGTCCACAACGCACATATCAGTCATTGAATCAGTCACTGAATCGCTCCTTAGCCGAGTGCGCAATTTGATGTCCGTCTCTAGGCAGACAAGTCACTCTAATCGTGCCACAAGGGCATTGGAACGATTTTACCCCTATCCAGGGCGAGTGTACAATGGGAAGAGACCTGAATGCGTTTCATGAGAGGGCGCATGACAATGCCGGTTCGCCCTGAGCACTCATCGTTGGTGTTGGTGACACCACTCGAAAGCTTCCTGTTATTTCTCTTCGTTTCTCGCGCGTGAGCGTTGGATCAATTGTCTGTATCCACCGGGTAGTGGCGGGTTCATGGGTGGTGAGAACAAAGAATCATGACAACAACGATGCGAGACACAAGTAGTGTACCAAATTGACTATCCGAAGTCATGGTTGGCTTCAGGACAAAGGACAGGGCCAACATACTCGAGTCACCTGCCAACATAGTATCAGCCTCGTTGGTACGATTCGCAAGTTTGCAGACTTCATTGCCAGTGTTGGGGATCTTCGACCTATCAGGAACAAAGAATAAGTCCAACTAAGCGACCATGTGCTCGAGTCACAGACCGGTGTTGGAACATCCACCAACGCAGAACAGGCGTTGGACCAATCGCCAAACGCAGAACAAAGGCCCATCGCAACTCACAGGAGGTTACTATTACACAAGTCGCGCATCAAGTGTCCTGTAAGGATGAGCTGAACCGATACATCTCCTGGTCACAGCCCAACCAAGATGTTGAATGAGGCCCCTCTGGTGGTAAGTAGACTGAGGTTCTTCTGATGCTGCTTGCTTGGGTGAAAGACTGTGAGCCGCCAGTGGGGATTGTCTGCGGCACAGCCATCATTATATAGACCTGTGGCCAAGCCAAGGACAAGCGAAGGATCAGGCCTATCGACTCTGTCCATACCTTACGTTGGTTATGTTGCATCTTGACGGCGGTGGCAGGTGACTGTCCCGGACTTATCACCCACCAGGAGACCCTTAGTCAACATCTTACCTATCACTACCTATCACCAATTAACCGATGGAGGAACAAACCTCGGAATCTATATTCAACACGCTCTTTCGCGCAAGGTCTCTGGTACCTACGATGGCAAACCAAGCCGAGCTACCCCTGTTGGTAAGGGCGGAGGACGGCACAGCCGTGGTTTCCAGACAGATTCATCGCGCCCGATGGACGCTGCTCCATATGCAAAACATCAGACAACGCGACCGCAGGCGCTACACAGTTGATGTTGTGAGCGTGGATGGGACGACAAAGACATTGCAGCATTCCACGACAGACAGAGGGTCCCCGTAGAAGACCGATGCCAGATCATCAAACGCGACGATCACGGCATCGAATTCCGGCTAGCGATCAAAGATGCTATGAGAACTGCGTCGAACAGCACACGCCACAATTGCTTCTCGTATGCATTGGGCGTCATCAAGGCAGGGAAGGAAGATCTAGGCAGCAAGCACAGGACCTCCTCCAGCGGGCCCAAGAATGTCACAACTATAGGTAAGTACTGGCCGCCGCTGTTGTGCTATCTCGAAGAAGGGCCAGAGCTCCCTACGTTTTACGAGGATGTGCGCGACATGGTGCGCAAGTCATTGCAGGCCCGAAACATCCACCCAGACCGTTTCCGCGTTCTGATGTTACAAGACAAGACCGAGAAAGCGAAGAGGGAGGGTTGTCCGAACGACTGGTTGCGTGCCCCGTTGGTCGAAGAGTTGGTGGTGGATTCGCGCTCTGGGACTCGGAAGGTTGAAATGGTGGCCGAGGATCTCTCTTGGCAGAAAGCAGAAGACATAGCCGAAAAGCTGTACGGGGCCCCGTTTGCTCCGCTCCTCAGATTGGTCATGAGAGGTCTCACTACCCTGACGAACAGCATGGGTAAGTAAGCATGGCCATTGACTCTTCCCGGAGCATCTCTGGAACGCGGGCTTGTGAGTTGCTGTTATTTCTGGGACGCCTCGACGGATGGTTTTCTGGATTGCCGACTACCTTCAAAGAGGTTTCTTGAACACGAAGGAGTATCATACCATGGAATGTAATGTAGTAGGAAGAGCAGTGGTACGGTAGACGATCTAGCAACACACAGGCTGGCAGTAGCCACACATACATTAATTTAATGACCACTTCATTTTGCTACCAGCACAGGTACCTAGCATCAGCCGCCCTATTCGAGGTACTGTCTATCAAGGCTGCACGTAAATCTGATGAATCTTACTCTACATGCAGGGGAACATGCAGTGAGTCGGTTGATTTTTGGTCCTTACATGTTCTCTTCTCATAACTTAGCCACAGGTCCGCGATGCAAGACGTATGATCATTGCAATAGTGAGTCGGTGACCCGTGACTGCGAATTTTAAAGCCGCTCCTCCATTCCAAAAAAATCATCTAAAGTGACGAATTCGTAGCCTGCGTTCTGGTCAGGTAGAAACCTCTTTTTAATGCATCATCAGTGTGAGTCCCCACGCGCACGCCCGAAAGCCCGTGAGTCTTGCTTGGGGAAGAACAATATATCATCCAGCAGGAAAAAAAGATACCACTGGCTCTAGGTATTCAAAAAAAAACCCTCCTCAAGAATAATACTTGCGACTGGTAAAGAGAACTACTACACCACGGAGATATCTCAGCAGCATGACCTCCCGACACCAGCACTGGGTCGTGCAGCACACAGCCGCCGGCACCATCATCAAAACTAAGAAACCCGAGTATAAAAAGGTCGGAAGATGTCATTATGAGCGAGACGTCGTATACAATTTTACCAAGTCCACCTTGGTCCACGAGGAGGGCTTCCGTAACGGCGAATTTACCAAATCAGATTCTGATATTGATGATTGATTGATTTTATTTATCGTGGGTGCAGTCCCTCAACAGGGCAAACCACGCCTCCCAGAGCCATTGCATCGCAAGGTTGTAGAGTTTGTTTGTTTGTTTGTTTGTTTTGTATTTAACGTGGGGGGTAGCTCCTCAGTAGTGCAAACCACGCCTCCCAGAGCCATTGCATCGCAAGGTTGTAGAGGTGTCAGTCTAAATACATTCAGATCCGCGCACGAGCCCATCCTCGCTGCAGCGGTACTAACCTGGAGTGTCCAGATGGTTTTTAGTCAATACCTAAGCACGATTCTGTCAGAAAAACCTCCTGTCCAGTGACAAAGCGACCCAGTGGACCTCAGTCCTCTGGTGTACAGATCGTTCCAGTAGCCGTTCGATATATGTCGCATTGGTGGATGAAACAGGTGTTTGTTATCTACTGGCGAGGGAAACCATAAGGGAAAAAACCTCGCAGGAGTGGGTATTATGGAGACAAGCTGCTTGGCTATCGGGCTCTGCGATAATGGGGCCTCTCCACTGTCGTGTGCTGGTTATTGACTCGCACAAGCCAGGTCAGAAGGGGGCCGTAGCAGGATTCGAACCCACTTGTTCTCGTCGCCCACCGCGCAAACGAGAACACAACCAAGCGCATTTGACCATTGCGCCATACGGCCAATCAGATTCTGATAAATCGGATATTCGCCCAGGGGACACCCGTCAAGTCATCAGACGCGACGAGCCGGGCGTGCAATTTCGGATCGCTATCCGAACCGCCGTGGACAGGGCTGCCGAGATCCGAGAGCTGAACTGTTTCTCGTACAGCCCGGGCATCCTGAAGGTGAACACAACCTGGCAATACGGGCAGCATAACGTTACTCCCGAAAGCGGTCCGCCGTATGATGAAACTGTCACACAGAGTTTCTGTCCAGTTTTGCTCTTGGTGGTTGATGAGGGAATCAACGTCGACACGTTCCTCGAGAGCATGTCGGGTTTGCTCGGCAACGCAATGCTAGAGAGGAATGTCAATCCTGCCCAGTTTTACATACTCGTAGAGCAGTCGAGGGCAGAGGAACGACAGCACAAGGATAACAATCTGCCCAGGAAAGTTACGTATGGATTGGTCATCGAGGTGGACAAGGACAGGCCGAAGATTCAGATGGTGACAGACGGTACATCATGGGGCTCTCCGGTAGATATGGTCTCCATGCTCTTTACGAACCTCTTTGCCCCCCCTGCGGGCAAGGACGTAACAGCAATATGAGCGCTTTTCACCTGGAAATTGGGCAAGGGTGATGGCTAACGAAAAGCCAGCTGCCTGTATGGGATAAGCTGCCGGATGAGGGCCGAGAGCGGTCTGCTTCTCCGTAGACGATGCATGGTGAATCGTGATAGCTTCTCGGACTTGATGGCTTGCAAGCGTTGGGGCAGAGACCAGAGAGCGAGCTGAGCGCAGGGTAGACCATCACAGGCATTGAACAGTGTACCGTCTGAACTCGAGGCGTGGGAAAAATGCTGAAAAATTGCCCCGGGAAGTCCAGGGCACCAATAAAGATGTTTGTATTGGGTACAGTGGCATAGGAGGTCAGAAAGCTTGGACTCCTAGGAGGGGAGAGATGTACTATGCAATACCAGCTGACTGCACCGACTGGCAGCTGGCAGCATCCGCAACACTTTGGTCAGCCAGCCCATGTCCCCACAATTCAAAATCACCATTTTGAGCAGTGTTCAGTCTCACCAGGCCACCTTCTGGCAAATCTTTTACCACTTGGAAATCAAACTGCGCTTGCAGGCACGCCTCTGCTTCCCTTTCACATACAAGTCGGCAGTTGATCCACCACGCGAAACTTCCCACGTGCACTGCGTTGCACTACTCGCCATGAGGGTCATCGAGGCGCAAAATGCGGTCTTGACCAATGTGGAGGTCTACGAATTCCTCAACGACCAGGCAAGGCAGCATCACAAGGAGAAACGACGGGCCCCGGGCAACCTGGAAACCGTACGGAAAGAGGTAATATCTACAGCCCTGCCGTTTCTTTTTAAATGGTCAGCTCACGCATCTTCACAGCTGCTCCAGTACCTCGAGTCATCACCAAACCCCATGAGTCAGAGGCCTCTGCCTTATAATGTTGCAGCGATTCCCATATTGATCAAGAAGCTTCGCCCTTACTCGATCTCCAAGGGCGAATGCGTCATGATCATGAACCTGCGCCCCACTAGCATTGCCAACCTCAACGCCGTGCTCGAGGATATGGAGGGCCGTTTCAACGAAGACGCACAGCAGTCCATTGTCGATATTGTCATCGAGGTTCTTGGACAATTCCCGCCGCCACCGGAAGAAGAGGAAGGAGATGCCATGCAGACTACCGAGTGAAGCACGGTACATGGGCGTCAATTCCAGGTTACTGATTGAATGGTCCGCACGAAATGACATACCCTGAAATCCTATCGCTAGCTGGGCCAGGCTCCTTCACGTCGCTCTGGACCGAACATTACGACATCACACAACCGCCTTCGCTCTGTGCGCCTGTCACAGTCTTTGTCCTCGACGCCGTGTTACAGATCTCCTCAAAGGCCAACTTGAGCAGTTCTCCCGTCACGGCCGAGCACTCAACATACTTATCCACCCTCATCTCCTGCGACACCTTGTACGCCTCCTGGGGGTGGATGCTGCCTGGATCGCTTTCGGATCTCAAGTCCCTCTTCAGACCGACGACTATGACGGGAAGGTGATCGCTGGTTTGGAAGGTGCTGTGGACCTCGTTGATCCACTGCGAGAATACGTGTCAGATATGGGGGATGCTGGATATGGGAGGATATACTGACGACTCTCCGCATGTTGATGAGGCTTGGTCGCTGGCTGATATCATAGCAAATAAGGACGAGGTCTGGGTCGAGTAGTCGCCAGTTGTCGGGACAGGACGTGTCGTAGAACTCAATTCGATATGTTCGCCTCCTATTCCGTATCTCGAAGACGAAAGGCTGGTCTATGTCCCGTAGCAACGTGATGGGAACGTTGCCCTCGAGAGCGCCGCTGCCTCCACTGATGCGCCTATGGAATCCATCATTAATCACACGCTATCCGCACATCTCCAACACCGAGTGTGACGTACGAGAGGAAGGTTGTCTTTCCCACTTTCTCATCCCCGAGCAATAGCACCTTGACCGTGACCTCTTCCATGGGCGCTTCCATTTCAATCTGATCGACCGGTGACAGTCACTCCTGACTGAAATACTTTATTGAAATATTGCGTACTTGAGTACACTGGACGAGGATAAGACGCCGGACCTGCTCCAGTTTAATATAGCGCAGGTTATCACGCCTCTTAATGGTTATCGATAAGGATATATAGGTACTGCTCGATCATTTCCTTTTCTCCTCTCAAAATGTAATATGAACGATTTGAGGCACATGCGCTTGTATTTCTCTTTGATGGATTACCCTTAGACTTATATCGCAGATCAGACACCGTTTTTTACTATATTTTGGAAGCGACACAGATGCATGAAGCCTCTCAGCTGCCGATGTCGTAGCTGGCGCCTTCAAAGACTGTTTCACAGAGCTACTGCGGCCCATTCTCGGGCAGCCCGTACTACAGATCTGTTCAACGCGCTGATCGCACAGGGAGAGCTCAGACGGCCCACCATGGATGACAAGGCGCGGTACGAGCGATGGACTAAAGACTCGCTCGTGGCGCGCATCCTAGCGCTCGAGGACGACCTGCGCGCGCGCGACCACCCCGAGAGCGTGAAATCGGCTCCGGCGGCAGCGGCAGTGACTCAGACAGGGGAGGTCTCCTCCGCCTCGTCCTCTCCGCAGCCCCTACTAGCACCAGCAACACCACCAGCCAAGAAGAAGCCCGACCGCAAGATCGACCCGTCCAAGTACTCGACGCGGCTGGTGGCGCTCAAGCTCGCGTACGTCGGCAAGAACTACGGCGGCTTCGAGTTCCAGGCCAGCGGCAACCTGCCGACCATCGAGGAGGAGCTGTGGAAGGCCTTCGTCAAGGCCTGCCTCATCTTCCCCGAGCGGCCCAACGAGGTGCGCTTCGACGACTGGGAGTACTCCAAGTGCGGGCGCACCGACCGCGGCGTCAGCGCCTTTGGCCAGGTCATCGCCATCCGGGTCAGGAGTCTGCGGCCGCTGCCTAAGAAGAAGGCACCACCGCCGGCGGAGGCCCAGGCGCAGGAGGGCGAAGAAACTTCTGCTGCTACTTCTGCAGATGCCGAACCCCAGCAGGAAAGTCTCAATCAGGAGACACCACCGGAAGAAGTGGATGAGGCAGAGGAGCGCGAGTTCAACGACTTCACAGACGAGATCCAGTACCCGCGGATCCTGAACCGGCTGCTGCCGCCCGACATCAGGATACTAGCCTGGTGTCCGACGACGCCGGCCGACTTCTCGGCGCGCTTCGACTGCCGCGAGCGGCAGTACCGGTACTTCTTCACGCAGCCGGCGTACTCGCCCGTCCCTCGGAGCCTCGAGAACCCCAAATCCAAGACTAGTGGTGGTGACAGGATCAAGGACGGCTGGCTCGACATCGACGCCATGCGCGCGGCGGCCAAGAAGTTCGAGGGCCTGCACGACTTCCGCAACTTCTGCAAGGTCGACCCGGGCAAGATGATCGTCAACTTCGACCGGCGCATCTTCGAGAGCGACATCGTGGAAGTCAAGGACGTCAACACGGCGCTGCCGTACCTGGACAACGCGGACTTCAGGCCCGCCGCTGGCTTGGGGGAAGCAGGATCGCAGGACAAGGACAACAAGTTCCCCAAGGTGTACTACTTCCACGTGCGCGGGTCGGCCTTCCTCTGGCACCAGATCCGGTGCATGGTCGCCGTGCTCTTCAGCGTAGGCCAGGGCCTCGAGGCCCCCTCCGTCGTCGACCAGCTCCTCGACGTGGCCGCCCAGCCGCGCCGGTTCAACTACGTGCTCGCGTCCGAGGCGCCGCTCGTGCTCTGGGACTGCATATTCCCGCTCGACGGCGACGCCAACAACTCGGAAAACCACCGCGAAGACGCCGTGCCGTGGGTGTACCTGGGCGAGGAGAACCCGCTGAACCAGCACGGCCACACGGGCCTCGTCGACCAGATGTGGGAATTCTGGCGCGAGCGCAAGATCGACGAGGTGCTCGCGGGCCAGCTGTTCAATGCCGTCGCCGCGCGGGCCGACATCTCGCTGCGTCGGGACCCGCGGGCGCCGCGGTGCGTGCCCGTCACGCAGCGGGTGTTTGAGGGCGGGCACAGGGAGCGTCTGGTCGGCAAGTACGTGCCGATGCTGCAGAAGTCGCGGTTGATGTCGCCGGACGAGGTCTACGAGCGCGAGGCTAGGAGGAAGGGCTTTGCGAGTGTGGCCGAGTTGAGAGCGGCCGCGGCGCAGAAGAGGGCCGATGCCCTGGCGCGGGCTGCGGTTGAAGGCGATGAGTAGAGGCTTACTTCGTCTACGAGGTTCAGAGATTCCCTGGACTTGGCAGGCATCAAGAAGGCATGCGGGTGAAACGCTTGTATATAGTAATGCTAGCAACCTAACCATGTCGCTTGTATAATCTAACCACGTCTACACTCGGGTATCAATGCGGAAAATTCAGGACAACCATTCACACCAAGAACTCCATACGCTTTATGATCAAAAACCCGATCATCTATATCCATCCATCCTCAACCATAGCTCTGGCCAAATGCAATAACCGAGTGGCTACGAATCGCTCTCTTCTCGAACAACCGACAAGCGACGACGAACACCCTCACCCTCAGTCGACTAGACCTTCCCATCAGCATCGAGCGCCCAATTTCGGCCCCTCGGCCGCTCGTATAGACAGTCCTTGACGCCGCGCCAGACCTGCTCGACGACGCGCTTGTGCGGCAGCAGCTTGGGAAACACCACGACGACGTCGGCCTCGCCCTCGACGACGACGACCAGGTACGAGATGGGGCGGAAGCCGCGGAAGGCCTCGTTGATAACGACGTCCTGGATCTTGTCGGCGGGGATGAAGCGCGTGGTGGCGCCGCCGCCCAGCAGCGTGTCCTTGGTCGAGCTCGCCTGCACGCCCAGCCCGCGCAGCACCAGCAGCCGCTCCTCCGTGTGTATGCGCAGCGTCAGCGTGTAGAGCCAGGCCACGGCGGCGGGCACGAGGATCCAGGCCGGCGCGGCCTTGGCGATGTGGGTGCAGAGACGCCCCGGGACGGAGGACAGGGCGGCGGCGAGGAAGTCTTGGATTTGTGCTTTGGACGGGAGTGGGAGGGAGGACGTGGATGTATACGCCGGACACGTGCTGCGTTCGGATGTTATCCGGTATCCGGTTGCGGGTGGAGGCGGCGAGCCGTACGGGCTTAGTGTCCAGATCGAGTATAGCAGGAGCAGCACGCCGAGGCCGAGGACGACACGGAGAAGATGCAGGGTGTAGAGCGCGATGCGGAGGGGTATCGTCAGTGGGGGGAGTGTCGAGATGATGAATTCCCTTGCGTCGGGCGCCCCTCGCGTGCGCAGGTACGGTGCGGTGGTTAACATGATGGTCGGTTGGATGAGTGAACGACTTGGTAGCGAAGGAGTGACGGTAGCCTGATTTGTTGACGATAGCTTGGCTTGATGGTGATATCGGCGGCGGGTGTAATGTCGCTATAGCCAATTGTTGGTACCCTGAGCTTGGAGTCGTATGGATGTCATATAAGCAGAACTGATGAAGAAGAAAGCATCGTGGACAGCAACCTCGCTGCCGGAAGCTTGTGAAAGCCCTCGAGTTGAGTTTGAGGCTTGAAGCTTCCCGAGCAGCGGCCGAGGTCGTAACTGCTGTTCCTACCTCCAAAATGAAGGGTCCCCCAAGGCGGCTGCCGTCGCGACGACCTTATCAAGCGCGTATCCCAGCAGTGGCAGTGGACCCCACCTTCCTCAGGCACCGGAAAACCAACAGTAGACCCCGAAGTTTACCCCTAGTTTACCCGGCACAGATGTATTAGCCCCAAATAAGACCAAGATTTTCCAACTGTAATGGTTAAAGTTGGTATGAAGGCACTTGCAATTCTCATTCTCGCTATTCCCAATTCCATAAGAACCCCTGAGCCGCGCCCAGCGCAAATGCTGCGGTGGCCGCCCATCCACTTGGGAAGCCAGTGTTGATTGGGCGGTCTTAGGAAATGGAGAGGATGCTTCAGGGAGGCTTCACGCTGCAGAGTATCTCCCCCGTCGCATGGTGTGCTGGAAAACGTTGGCTTTGGGACTTGGGCTGGTGGTTTGAGATGGAGATTGTCGACTCCGTTGTTCTTTTTTGATCCCTTTTCACCTGACCCCCATTTTTTCCAAACCTCTCTGTTCTTGTCGCATGGTCAATCTGCATATATTAGTAGTTTTCCCTCATCTTGTTTTGCTGTGGGTGGTTGTGGGTGGTGCGGTTTGAACCCTCACCCTCCCGCAGTGTTGTTTTGAGGCCATGGGATTTGAGCAATATCGATCGCCACGCCACACATCCCTCGCAACACACCAGCCACCTGCACTCCTCACACCGACCTTCTTCTAGTCATGATCAGAACGCATGTCGCAATCTCAGTAGCATCATCAATCACATTAAACAGGTCGCCAGTCTGATCATAGGCAATGAGCACCACACCATGCAATTGACTACTAGCAAGCAAGACTAACAACAGACTGGCCAAAACGTGAGTTGGCATATACCCGTCCTCAATACCAGTGACCATCGAGAAGTAAGAAAGAAGAACTAAACATTTCAACACAGAGATGCCGTGAGGCAAGCAACCACTCTTTTTCACCGCGAGATCCCGCCAAGCGTCTCGTCCCTTTTCATGTTTCCCTTCTCGTGTCCGGAGCGGCGTGTGTCAAGGTCATTCCATTCTGGTGTACACAACCTGCCCGTCTCCAGACCCCCACCCGTCGTAGCCGCGTGGCTTTGCTTCCCTGTTCCGTAAACAGATAGAAAGATGGAAGGATATACGAATGGATGAGCACACCCATCGCTCAAAGTTGCCTTGTGCGTGGCTCTTCTTTTGTCTTGCTGTATGTGTCCCCCATGTGTGCCCCTTCCACCAGTGTCATGATTCGTGATGCAGATGAGATTTCCCGCCCCAAGCATGCTTAGAAGTGCAAAACAAAAAGCAGGGTATATCGTGGCAGCCCAAGGTGAATGATAGTATATGAAGTATACAAGTGATCTAGAATCGAAGTAGTGGCTGTTGCTTTTGAATCGGGTGGTTCTGATGTCGTCAAAGTTGTGTCCGCTGCTATTCGTGGTTGCGACTGTCCGGATGCAGAAGTATAAGTGACAAGGGATCGTAAAGATAGGTTGCGGTCCAAGGGAATGGTATCAATGGAGAGAAGAGTGTATGTAAACCAGAAGTGAACGCCGGCGCCATGCAAAACCCAAGCAAGACCTCGTGGGTGCGTCGTGTATATATAGAAATCAAGCTGAAAGTGGGAATGTCGAACTAGATGTGTGTGTGACATAAGGTGGAGATGTGACTAATGCTTTCGCTTCAACTTAGATCATCTCGCTGTGATGAAGTCCGTTGCCAAAAGTCTGTTGTTGCTGCTGGTGTTGGTAGGCGGCCTTTACTTCGCGCGGGTGTCGCTCGACCTGCTGAGAGGGAGTACTCGCATGTCCGTTATAGCTCACAGGCGGCAGACTCTCGTAAGGTGAAGTTTGTTCCGGGGATTTGTTGCCTTTTCCAAGGACGGAGCTAGTTCGTCCCCGACTGCCAGATCGCATGCGCTCAGTGGCTCGGCTGATCCGCCCAGCAATGCTGTTGTCGGTGTTGCTTCGCCCGCGGTTGTGGCCATTGCGCGACGATGGTGGTGCGGGAGGGGCAATGATGGGGACGACGGACTCGTGCATTGGTGTAGCGGCCGGGATCGCCGAGCTTTGGTCGTCCTCATCCATGACGATCTCGATGGAGCCCGAGCCCGGAGGAGATCCGTAGCTCGGCCTGGCACCAGGAAGTGGTGCTGGAGGCGGAGGAGGGGGCATAGCCAAGTGCTGGAGCTCCCTCAAAACCGGCGGCGGTGGCGGCGGCGGAGGCACCTCATCGCGGGAAGTCCTTCTTGAATGTCGGCCTAGCATTTCGTCGATGCCTCGCATACCGGCTGCAGCATCTGCGCTCATCTTTCTCGTCGAAACCGACCCCCTTCGAGGTGGTTGGTTGCCAGCCTGCATTCCTTGCTGGAAAGCGGGGTGAGCAGGCAAACCCACTGAAGGGTGAGCTGGGGGTTCTTCAGGGATAGGAGCGGACATGCATCTCTGGATGTTGGGTCGGGAAGGCGGCGAGTAGACAGTAGAAGGGAGCAGAGTCACGGGTGACACTTTCTCAGGAGACTTTGGCGAGTTGTTGCCGGGCTTGTCGGGTGATGGCTGCCCGGAAGAGGACGGGGAGCTTCGGTAGGAGACTGGGATAGGTGGTACCCCAGGCTTTCCCCTATTATCTGTCTGGAATTGAAGTCTCATGGCCTTGGGAGTTGCTGGTAGGCCAATTATAGGGGCGTTTGGGCTGCGCATATTGGACCCTCTTCTGGTCGGATCAGCCGTCTGGCTTCTTTGAGGCACATCCCTGGGAGCCACGAAGGTGGTCTGTGGCAATTCAAAGGCGCTGGGAGCGCGAGAGATGATGGGGGACAGCTCATGGGGATGTGGGATTGGCGGTGCCGAAGGACGACGGGCCAGAGACTTGCGCCGTTCTTCGAGCTCACGAGCTGCCGCTTCCTTCTTGAGCTGTCTCTCTGTCATAATATGCTTCATATCATCAGCAGGGGTAGCATAGGCGCGCGATTGTTCGAGCGTTTGAGCTGGTAGCGGTGGCTCTTGGTCCGCTGGCGTCTTGTTTCTTCTACGACGGCTTTCCGACCGATCCCGTGATCGATAAACAACAGGTGAAGAGGGATCCTTTTGGCTGCCGCTGCGGTTATGTCTGTTTCTGAACAGCTCCTGTGCCTCGAGGGCAGCCTGCAGGTCTGCCTCATCATCCGAACCATAGAATTTCGCCTGCGCTGACATTGGCAACGGTGATGAAGGCGATCTCACTGTAGAACCGTCGCCACGACTCTGGCTTCGACCACGGAGTTCGAGCGCGGGTGGTCGTCGATCTCGACTTCTTTGTCGACTGCCACGACTCGAAGGCCGGCTCGACATACGAGTACTTCTGGGCGAGGACCGCCGAATCTGGCTGGATTTGCGGACAGTGGATGGCTCGTTTGAGTCAAGGTTGATAGGCACCACATGCTCGTCGTTGAGTTTAGCGTCCATCTGCCTCGGGGTGCTGAGGTAGATGAGGTCTTCCGGCGACATAGGAATTGGTGAAGTCGGGGAACGTTTGGCCGGTTTCGGCGTCCAGTTCCGGGATACACCGCGGCCTCTGTCTTCGGAGCTCTCGCGGGCCATGCCTTTACGGCTTCGGCTGCTGTCGCGGCTTCGTCCTTGTCCATCATCCTGGCGTTGCCGACTACTCTCACGACTACGCTGCTTCTTCGAGTAGTGTTGCGCGGTTTCCAGACTGTGGATGTAATCAGTAAGGTTTCTACCTGTCTGATTGTTTCGGTGGCTGCGTCCTGCACTTGAGTTCGACGTGGCCGAGCTGGCTACCGATCCCGGTCCGCGACGGCGAGTTGGCCAGTGGAACCGTGCTGATGACGCCACAGACTGCTCTGGGGATGTCACATCACTGTTCATTGCAGCGTCGAGCGAGTTTAGCTTCAGCTCCATCCCTTCTGGCTTCCTCTCCCGTGCACCATTTCGACTGGTGCGACCTTGGTACAACAGGGCCTGGAATGACTCCGGCGATGGGGATGGCGGCGGGGGTTCCTTGCGGCGGTGGCTGTCTCTCATCATCATTGGGCTCGCTGTAGATGCTCTTGGAAGAGACATGCCGGCATTATATTGCTCATCAGAGGCTTTACGCGAGTGATGGGCACGATGCCTCCGCTCCATGCCAGGTACAGCGTCAGTGGAAGGCGTTAATGAATCTCCTCCCTTGAGGAGGTCACGCGGAAGCCCACCACTGGGGATCTCTCCAATGGAAGGCAGGCGTGGTCGTCCAAAGCCACCAGGTGTGACCGGCTTTGCAGAGGACGGCGTGTTGTATGCGCTGCGTTGAGAGGGACAAAGGAAAGCGGTGTTTGGATCGCGGCCCCCAGGAGAAACAGCCGACTCAGCTATTGGCGTCACACCGGCGGCAATAGGGGTCTGCCCTCCATCACCAGCGGCAAAAAACTTCGACTTCTTTCCTTGTTCACCAAAAGAGGTGATGAGCTTGAGAGCTGAAGTTTTTGCAATGCTGCGTTGGGGTCCAAGATTCAATCCAGGAGGAGACAGTGGCGGGCTAAGAATCTTGGGAATCGTCTGGTTCAGGCTTTGGAAAGTGACTTGTGCCGCAGACGGCGAGGTCCACGGCTCAGAGGATTCTATGCCAGTGCAAGCAAAACTAGATAATATCTGTTAGCTAAAAGATCGCACGTTGATGGTGAAGAGGGACATACCATCGGATGGCTAATCCTTGTTGGCCATGCTGAACAGCGAACTCTCCCCACTTCTTGATGATCTGAGCTTGACGCTCCCAGACATTGGGAAAGTTAAGGCAGAGTAAAATAAGAGCCTCCAAGTATTTCCTGTGCGAGACATAGATCTCAATTGCGTCGTTGTGGTCACCCATCCCTATCATGATAGTTGCTGCTGCGTGTACGTCACCGTTCTCGAGGAGACGCTGGACATAAGCGCGACCAAGCTTATGTTGCGAGGCCTGGCCACCTATGCCGCTGAGGGCGAGTAACATCCAGTCTGATGAAGTCATGTTCTCTGACGTTGCGGTCATTACGTCGGCGTCGATGTCTCCGAGCCACTTGGCAAGCAAAATGCGGCTTGGTGAGCCATTGGGATGACGCGCCATCTCGTCTCGGACAAGGTCTTGTACCCCTCTATTCCAACCGAAGATGGTACTTAGCATCTGCCGGCGAAGGTCTTCGTTGGTCATGCGCGATTGGTCCATCATAGGAGCCCGCTTGTAAGGGATGTCATGGAGACGGCTCCGCGTGAACTTGAACAAGTCATGAACCTTGGACTCCTCGGGACTAGGCAGCACTTCGTTCCGCAACCGCGATGGTCGATGGCGAGACCGCGACGAAGAGGTCATAGAAGCGGAGCTGACACTGCTGATAGAGTACGCATCCTTGTCCCCAAATGGTGGTGGCATGGCTGAGGATCTCAGGGAGGACCCAGCGGAAATGTAGGTATTCTCAGTCATGCCACCACGTGACTGGACTGAAGGCTGATATCGGCCTCGAGTGCCAGAACCACCGGAAGACTTCGATATTGTCGAGCTCTTGCTAGACACCGGACTAGCAGACATGTATCTGTCTTGGTCAATCGAGTCCGAGGGTGCGTCAGTCCCACGCACAATCCTCGCCAGGGGCGAAAGATGGTCATCATCGCTCTCTGATATCTCTGCATTAATCGGTATTGAGGAGTCCGATTCGGTGCCTATTATAACTATACCCTGTTCTGGCTGCTCCTCAATCGAGACGGGTGGAGACGGCGGCAACAGATTCGCAGGGTGTTGGACGTTAGCGACCATCATCGATGGTGTGTTGAGGTCGAACTGCTGGACGGTGTTGTTGGCACCGAGAGTGAAGAGGGTCGCCCCCGGCCCGTACACAGCCAAGCCACGAACGTGCTCAAGAGTCGGTATGCTGTCATAGGTGACATGCTTTGTCCGAACATCCCATGAAAGTGTCTCGCTATAACGTATGATATCAGTCAGACCCAGATACTTAAGCGCGCGCGTAGGGACTAGTCATGCATGATCGACATACCCATCAGAATACTGGATTATGCGGCCGTTCTTTGACCAACCCATCCAGTTGGGACCGTTCTGATAGTTATCAGTCCGCTTGAGAATTCGTACTACCTTGGCCGGGTCGTCGCTGTTGAACGACTTCGCCACACTCCACACCCTCAGGTCGCCGTCATTGGTCTGTACGGCCAACATGTCCGACTTTTGACGGGCGGACGACGCATGCCAGGCGAGGTTCACGATTGGCGACGGTGCCCTCGAAGTGCTGAGATTGTGTAAAATTGTAAACCTCGGCTGAAGCGTGGCAATAAGAAGCGAGCCATTTTGGTATCTTGATACTGTTAGCGTGGGTTGTCTCTTGGTTATGCGAAACGGGAAAAGGGGGGGCTTACCCAATGGCAAATGTCCTGCAATCAGCCGCAGGAGCAAGTGCCGTTATGGCGATTTGGTCGATTGTTCGTGCGGATATATGCTCGGAAGTCGTAGGCTCGAAGAGGATCACGTTTCCTTGAGTGTTGCCTGCAGACATAATATTAGCAGGACGCTGGCTTCGGTATTCATAGGTGACCTACCAAATGCGACGTTTCCGTTCCGCATCCAAGCAGCACATGTGAGGTTTTCGTACGAAGCGAATCGAGCAACTTCGTCACCTGTCATCAAATCCCAGACAATGGCGGTCATGTCCACATCGTAACTGACAACCAGCCTTCCAGCACCTATCTCGCTCTGCGTGTCCACGGCTAGTAATTGTACTTCGGCGGAATGGCGGGAGAAGCGTCTTTCGATCGTCAAGCTGTCATGATGCGCAACGACAACAGAGTTGCCCTCTTGCAAGGTTGTCAGCAAAAACTCATGGAAGCCAAAGGGGTAGGTGGTTCCACATACGCCCATATAGCAGCATTGAGGCCGTGGCCGACGTTGGCTCGAAGTACCTCATTAGGGCGGTCGGTGAGGTAAAGTTCTTGGGCTCGGAGGCGACCTTGGCCTTTCTCGAAGACCGCCCTGCAGAACTCATGGAGGCATTGCGATGTCGAGAAGTCGACTGGTGGTTGGAGGACGACATTGTGACGGTTGTTTCCTGACAATGGGTAAGTAACGATCCCAATGGCAGTGTCGAGTCTGTCTTGCTCCATGTGCGCAGAAACATGCAAGTCCCTCGAGTGTTGCGCAGCAAGCCGGATTAGATAACGTACCTCGACTTGCAACAGAAAGTCCTCGAACGAGGGTCCCCAATATCCAAGCAAGCGGGGGCGCTACACAGTTCGGCCCCCGAACATCACACGCAACACCTAAACCTGCCCCGTTCCCGAAGAGCTTTTTCTCCACGTTGCGTATGCCCGATCTACCCGGGTCGAACTTTGTGAGCACAGGACTCGTATGCGGATTGGGAGCGCCGTTGTGTTCCACGGAAGGCTGCCGATATGCTGCGCGGCGCAAGATATTACTGACTTCCTGCAACTTCCGGTCTCAGATGTTGGCTGAAGGTTAGATATGGGGAGAGTCGGCAAGAGGCGGAGACAGCGAGTTAGGTCGTACAATGAGGTGTTTGGGCCTCGTGGTGGTGGTGTGCTGCAGTGGTGGTGGTGTAACGATGTCTGTCTGTATTAGACTGTTGCGTCGGCGCTTGTCTCTTGCATAAGATCTCGTGAGAGTCGAGCTGGATCGCATGCAAGACCGGAGCAATTGGGTTGACAGGAGGCAAAGAAGAGTAGGAAAACCACCACGATCGAAGCTTGGGGGTGTGAGAGAGCAAATAAGGCGTGTGTCGCCGTTGAGAATCCCAGCGCCTAAGAAAGAGGAGGTTCTGACCTGTTAATGGCCAGACTCGCATATGCTACGTAGTAAAGAAGCGAGCGGCCAGATCAAGAGCGGATACGGACCGGTTAAGCCAAGGTCTGCATTGCCCAGCATCGCGCAGGGGTCTGATCAGCCATCGCATGCCCGAGTGGCAGGGGACAGGGCAGCAGTGGCAGGGGAACAAGGTGATCTAATTGACCTCGAGCGCTCGGGACGAAGTGACTGGCGGAAATAGCAGAGCTCCAGACCAGGGAACCCAAAGGGTACCTCAATATTTGATATAATTAGCCTCACGTCTATGGCTGATGCATTGTGGCTCGCTCCAGCGGGCGGTGATTCGACGGCTATCGCTCAGTCACTTGACAGAGAAAGCGGGACGGCTTTGTCTCGTGGCCAGAATGCCAGACCGACAGAGGAGCAGGTGAAAATGAAGGACGAGTATTTTGATGCGGCGCACTGACGACCCTCTCCACGAGGCTTAGGGCTTCGTTAGCAATAGAGTAACCGCAAGCTGCCAGCCTCCTCGAAGTAGATGTCGGGGGCGGTTTGAGATTCAACGCCAGGCTGGATGGGGGCCCTTCAGGGACGTTGGGAAGACATTGAGCCCTTCTGCAGCCCGCTCTCTTTAGCAGTGAACTCAACTGACTTGGGATGAGGTTGGCTGGCGACCAGGCATTACCCTGCCGGGATTCTGGATTCTGGAAGGGGCCATAAGAGCGCCTGGTCTCCCTCATTTTGCGAGACTTGCCATGTCCATTGTGCTCTCTCGGTCGCTCGATGATGCTGGCCCTGCCATGTGGTTGGGCAGAGATGGCGGGTTCGCATGGACGTGTGTGAACAAGTGAGAGAGGGACGTCGTCTCTCGCAGTAGCGCCAGCGGTGGTGAGAGGTGGTGAGAAGTCGGTTGAGAGCAGAGATTGGCTGCTGCCCGGCATGGGTATCGAGGGGCGGCTGGAGTGATTGGCCGTCGAACCCCCCTGACGATCGACGCGGGCGGCAAAAATGCGTGATGGGAATTCTCGTTGGTCGACGGCTGCAAGGGTCGACTCAAGTCCCCAGTTGTACCCTCCACCAGCACAATGCTTATTCTTGTTCTTCAGAAGGGGGGTTTGACCCCCGTCATGCCCGTGTACCTGCTTCGTACACGTGAATAGAATGTCGAGTAGGTTTGTGCGTGAATGTCATTGTCGAGTGCAGAATCGCTTGACTCCACTCGTACTGCCACTGGGGACGAAAACGAGGGAGGGCAGCAGGGGACCGGTGATGGATGCATCGAGTCCGGGAGCATGTCTACCCCACCATCACAGCTGCAAGGAGAAGCCTACAGTAGACAAGACGACATCTTCTCCATGTGTCTTATCTCCAACCCCACCACTTACTTATTCTCAACGTGGACGTGGACTATCGTGAGACCCTCTCCTGTCTGTACGCCGTGCTCACCGATGGGTGGCGGCATGCCCGCGGGTACCTCACATGAGCTCGTGATCACGGCTTGGGAGCATGGTATGATGTCATGCTGTGAACACCGAGAGGTCTGCTGCTAGCTGCGTCGGTACCGGTGTCGTGGCTGACGGAGAAGAGAGATGCGCATTCCAGATGCCGCCCAAAAGGACGCCGCAGCACGAAAATGGGGAAGGTTAAGGCTGCCGGCATCCGAGGAACCCAGGGTACGACCTGAAGGAAGCTGAGAACGATGTCGAATGCGACAAGACCCGGAGACTACCCCTGAAGGCAATGCCAGGAACCGAGTGTGGCATCGAAAGGATTATAGGAGCATCACTCTATCCTTGATGATAAGAGTCTTCAAAACCAGGGTAATGAAATACGATACTTAGTATCGTATTTGGGTCATACGATACGATACGAACCCATACTATCATATACGAATCGTATACGATAGTATGGGACAAGGGTATAAAAGTGTGACTTTTTAATATAAGTTATATAATTTTTAATAAAGAAAAGAAAACAATCAAGGACGTATTTAACCAATTCACGGTATTATTCTTATTTTAATAACTATTAATATTTGGACATCGTAATATTCATTAAGAATATATATATATATATATATATAAATATTATATATAATAATTATAATTCAATTAACGTAGGTCACAAGCGAGCGGCAATTACAAGCGAGCGGCAACTTTTCACCAGCCACCCAACCTTTCAATCAAGGCTCCTAATTGATCAACCAACAATAATGGCATTGCGTTATAGCGAATCAGACTTACAGCTTGCTGTCCAAGCTAAGCGACGCGACCCTCATATTACCATTGGCAAGCTTTCTAAGACTTTCTATGTCCCATACAATACCTTGAAGGCTAGAATCGCCGGCCGACCATCACGACGCGATAGCATGCCTAATTCTTTGAAACTTACGGTTTCTGAAGAGAATGCCATTTGTTCCTTTATAATCGACCTGGATGCGCGAGTATTTCCGCCCCGGTACACTTATGTTGAAGATATGGCAAATCAATTATTGGCAGCACGCGGGGCTGGACGCGTTGGAAAGAACTGGACGGCAAACTTTATCAAACGTACACCAGGCCTCCGGACGCGTTTTCATCGGAGGATGGACTACGAGAGGGTCTTGAACGAAGATCCGGACACGTATCGCGCGTGGTTTCGCCAAGTTGCGGCGGCAATCGCGAAACATGGTATCCAAGACGCGGATGTTTATAACTTCGACGAGACTGGGTTTATGATGGGCATTATTGGGTCCGGCATGGTCATTACAAGCGCCGAAAGACGTGGTAGGCCTAGACAAGCCCAGCAAGGCAATAGGGAATGGTCTACAGCAATTTCTGCTGTCAATGCTGATGGTTGGGTGGTCCCGCCGTTCATCATTCTACAGGGCAAAACCCACCTCGCGTCATGGTATCGCGACACGACATTACCACGCGATTGGAAGGTGGCCGTGTCCGATAATGGGTGGACTACGAACGAGATTGGGTTGGAATGGATTCGGCATTTCGACAAGTATACCAGACCGCGTATGACTGCCGGTAAACGCCTCCTCATCCTAGATGGTCACGAAAGCCACCATTCCCAGATCTTTGAGAGATATTGCCAGAACAACAGCATTATTACCCTTTGTATGCCTGCCCACTCGTCACACAGGCTCCAGCCTTTAGATGTCAGTTGTTTTAGCCCGCTCAAACGAGCGTACGGTCGCATGATTGAGGATCTCATGCGGCGTCATATAACCCATGTTTCGAAAGAGGACTTCCTTGCAGCATTTTATGAAGCATACAACGCTGCTATGACGCCAGGGAACATTCGAGCAGGTTTCAGTGCCACTGGGCTTGTTCCTTTTGACCCAGAAAGTGTCATTTCGAAACTGGATGCTGTCGCTGTCGTACGAACACCGTCGCCAGACCCCAATCTGCCACCCACTACTTGGACTTCGAAGACGCCTACCACCATCAACGAAGCGGTCAACCAATCGGTTCATATCCGAAATCAAGTCAGAAACCACCAGGGAAGCTCACCTACATCAATAATTGATGCATTGAGCTCGTTTTCAAAGGCTACATACGGTCTTATGCACAAGATCGCTTTGGTTGATTCCCGGGTCCGCGAGCTAGAGGAGGCCAATCACCTACTAAGTAAACGCCGGAGGACAAAAAACAAACGTCTAGTGAAAGGAGGAATACTTTCCGTTAAAGATGCAGTAGGTCTCCAGGCTGTAAAGGATGGTGGTGAGCTGGCAAGACAGGAAATGGGTGAAGGTAGTCGTCGTCCGAGGAGGGCGGCAGCGCGTGAGCGACGTTGTGGCGTTTGCGGCAACACTGGCCATAATGCGCGAACTTGTACAATAGAGATAGAAACGTCTGAAGAAGAAGAATCCGATTGATTAGATTGAATTAAATGCGTTGTGGTCGAGTTATTTGACATGTTGGTTAGAAGATTGGTGAAAAGTTGCCGTTCGCTTGTAATTGCCGCTCGCTTGTGACCTACGTTATATACAACCGTTTAAAAATATAAAAATATAAATCCACAGTGTGAGAATTTGTATGCAGAAGTATTAGTGGTACGTTCGTTCGTGGTTTTATAACTACCTATTGCCGACAGATTTACACTTAAGAAGTACAGTTACAACGCGTCCAGCTAGCATAGTGCTGGGGCTGTGGGGCAACGGTCGCTAATCGACCGTTTCCAGGGCGCTAGACCACCCCAAACCCACCTGGTCTGCGCACAGATTACCTGCAGCCACACCACCTGCACCACTCTATCCAACACACAGTTTTTAATTAATAATATTAATAATGTTTTATTATAAATAAGCGATTAATTAATATTCAATAGTAATATAATTTTATGTTTATATATTAAAGGTTATTTAATTAATATAATTAGTCATATAGTCGATACTTTTATATTTTATATATTTATAATTAAAAGTCATATAGTAATACTAAGTTTTCTTTGTAAATATTCATTATACTTAATCAGAAATAAACCCCTTATTTATTGATTAAAATATAAAAATATCGTATAATATATTAATATTAACAATTAAATACATATGAATATAAATTATAATAAAGATATAATAACTAACGGTTCTTATAACGACCGTTTATTAACCCGTGTTATGAAATAAAACATTGAACTATTTTAATACTAGTTAATTAAATGAGATGTATGTTTTATTCCCATTTTTAATTACTTTTAATACGTATTAAAAAGACCCAGGGTTTAAATTAAGCTTGAAGCAAGTATTTATATAACGAAAAGATTATAATCATAGCTATACATACTATTAGTAGTAATAGCCTTATCACTTTAGTATTACGTAACTAATACGTAACTATCTGAACGATAACTTTCTTGAAAACTATTAAAGACCTGAATTATAAAGCAAGTGTATACATTTATTTTCTTATTAAATTTAAATAACTTGTTCGATCTTTTTTCCCTTTTTTAATAAAAGATCGTTATACGTATATAGTTAATATGAGGATTTTACATCCTAACTATATATACGGGACGTAATATAAGTATTATTTTTATATAGTTTTTTTAATAATTTATTTTAAAAAATCGCTTTTTAAATATATTTTATTCTTTTTATAATCTTTTAATTCATAAAACTATTTATTATTTCCTTTATTATTTTTTAAACCGTTATATTACCCTTTTATTACCTTTTTTTACCCCGGCAATCAAAAGTAATCCAGTTAAAAAAAAAGACGGTATTCGATATTATAACTATTATTATAACGTCGTATATATAACTATTTAAAAAATAATAATAAATAATAGATACGACGTTATAATAATAGTTATAATATTAAATCCTGTATTTTTATCTTTTTATTAAAAAGTTGGGAGTTGCTAGCGATTTGAAGTGGAGACCGACACTTTCATTGAGAACGGCAGTAAATAACGACAGCGTGACTTCCAAACCTTCGCTTTAACGCATTGTCATCCATACCTTACCACTTGCATTGAGCACATTTCCACACTAACACACTCAATGGTCGGCGACGGCTGTGTGCATACAGCATAGCATGTAAGTGGTTATTTTCAAACATCAACGTGCGATCCTCCTGCGGCTTGCCTTCTGCAGCATCTCAGAAGTCTGAACGCCACCTATCCGCATGTCTGGAGTTGGAGGTTCTTGTAAGGAGTCGCAGCAAAACCGGCTGTCCTGATTCCGTAGCCCCAGCCACTCCCGAATTAGGGGTACGGCCACCACTGGACCCGTGCCAGCATGCCGTGATTTTGCGCCATACGAAGGATGGAAGGCTTCTGCAGACCGTGACTGCGACTGCAACTGTGTTTTTATTTTTCTGGACGGTACCGACTCTCCTGCAGTCCCCTTGCATATGCTGGCCTCATGTTGTCATACCCAAGATACGCTGCGAACCCAGGGGCGGACGGCGAGGTACCAACCAGGTACTCACTGCCATTCTGTGCAGCGTAGCATCTGAGCTGCTTCCCCTTTTCACCTCAATCTCCTCGTGGTAATTTTATGAAAGTTCGACAATTTCTCTTATGCTGCAATGCTTCCCATAGCACTCCCTACAACCCGAATTCGAGCAGGTGCCGGTATTTGACAATGCTTCAAACCTGTGTTCCAACGGCACAAAGCGAAATGACCGATACTAGTACTACACAAGGCTATGATGATCGATAAGCCCCTTCCCTGGACGGACCGCATCTGGTGCTGACGGGAGCACCCTCGTTGCGGTGATTGCGGCGCGGGTGCGGCCCAAGCTCCATCTAGTCAAGGCTTGTGCCGCTTGTTGGCAGTTGCTTGCCTTATATTGCGCTTGATCCCTTTTCTTAGCATGCAAGCAAGACGGGAAGCACAGGGACGACAGGCTAACCCATGTTCCCGTCACGGATCCATGTTGGCTTTGAAATAGCTTTCTTCAGACTCTGAAGAAAGCTCGGAGTAGTAGCTAAGATTTCTAGAGTTGCAGACCTGCAACAAACCCAATTCAATATCCGGTGAACGGAGAACCTGTTCCACCGTCTCAACTTGACATGGCTTACATTTTCTGCTTGGCCGAAGTGTGTCAGACATCTGCGGGGAGCTCTATCACACGGACACCACTTTTCTATCCATGCCGATCTTATAACGCTAAAGGTTCGGTCAGCCCTGGCACCCTGGAATATCACGATAACTTAAGTGCTGACATGAAGCATGGACGTCTTCAACAACGGTTCAACACCAACACTAACAAGGGGCGGGGTACCTTAGCTGTACCTTCTTCTGGACCCCGGCTCCAGGATCTGGACGAGAATGTGATATCTGGAATCACACCTCATCTCATTTCGCAATCACTCGACACCGACACCCAACCACCAACAGAGCGGAAAACGAACGGAATCACCTCCATGTGATCCGCTCCGCTCCTGGTGAGGGTCGGTGAGAAGAGAGAACTAACATAACTGATCACCTACTAGCGCGTGATGAGGCGCGCCACAACGTTGAGAAACCTGGTCAATGGTTTGTGCGGGGTGCATCGCATCGTCGCTTCGAACTTCGAAGCCTCATCTCCTCAGAAAAAAGCCGCCTCAACGGTGCGTAGATCACCTTCCCACCTAACCATTTCCAATCTCGACGTTGCGAGTCCGCCGATGACGGAGCGGCTCAGAGGCCAGCTAGACCGCTGGCTTTGACAAGCCTTCTTGTTGATCGGACATATACTCTCCAATCGCAATCTCTGGCGAAACAGATGGATTGGAAGAAGATCTGGATACGAGGCCTCGCTCCAAGCCACGAGGTTGAGTGAGTCACCCACCAGGTTACGAGAGAGTCTTTCGGCGGTGAGAACCAATGAACCAACAATATTCAATGTTCGGGCCCAACGCTATATCACTGAGGCCTCAACGAGATGCGACTGGGTCGTTATCAGGCGCTTCCCTCACGTGGTCCTTTCGACTCCACCGCTATCATCTACTCCGTGCGGGAGCCTGGCCGCCTATCGTCTTGATCACGTTCTCCTTATCCGATCTCCAAGGCCCTGCCATTTGAGAGCGATGATGCTCATACAAGTGTCGTTGGTAAAGTAGATAGTAATGGCGAATGATCGGATTATCCTACGATGACAATTACCTGATACCGACCCCCCTAACCTGGTGATGAACAAGGCATGATTCGCCCGCATCTAGATGTGATCTAGATGTGATATACTACAATAGAACAAGGGCCTCCTCACCTCTGTGCCCCTGTCAGCCGCACCTGACCCGGGACAGGCGGTGATGCCGGATGTGGACTCACTCCCCTACCCGTCGAGAGCGGTGCGGACAGGCCAGCGTAGATCAGTACATCCACTTTGTTCCGCTGAGCACATGGATAGCTTCAACAATGAGAGTAGATAGTCTTTCTACAACAGTAATACTTCCTACGAACCGCTGAGCGACCCCCCAATGTACGATGGTAGGGTCTTATCCAAAGACGGGAATAGAATACAGTACCTCTAGCAATACAGTACCTCTAGCAATACAGATCCTCCAGCAAAGCAATTGCATACAATATGTATAGCTTCGAGCAAGCTACTCGAACACCTTGCGAGTCTGGATCGCGACAGTGGGCTACGCACAAGGTCGACGCGACAGAAGCATGTGACGAAGCGAATACCCGGTTCGTACCATCTCCTACCGATCGGTCGGCCGGCGATAAAGCCGACACTATGAGTTGATGAGATTACCATATCACAGCAGCACGACGAACAGATGATATGCTGGCATCAACTCCAATCAGGTAAATAACCACGCACTCTGTATAGGCATGAAGGTATAGTATCCTCTCTCTCTCTTCTTCCCCAATTGTGCCCATCCAAGTGAATCACAGAACACACATCACCCGTCACATCCAATAGGATGCCCATCCGGGGATTTCCCTTGCATCTCAGATCCCCCTCACCCAATCGCACACAAAAGTCCGGTCTGCGGTCAGCCTCCGACATCGTCCTCCGTCCCCGTCCAATAGGCGCCGGTCGCATAACGTTTCCTCACCGCCACCTTGGGAAATGTGAATCAAATTCCCAGTCGCAGGTCCCACAGCCCTGCCTGTTCTAGGCCGCGCCGAATGCCCGACGGGTGGGACTTTGCGTGGTGGGGGTGTGTGGTCTGTCTCTCTCTGGCCAACAAGTGGCTGAGACACACACACGTTCCTCTGAAGAAGTTTGTGCATGCGCACTATAGGTAACATGACTGAGATGCAACGTGCCACACACCGCCAAATGACGGGTGGAATAGCGAGCGCAAAGCCATGTGTCGCCATCATGAGTGGCATCGTCAGGATGCAGCACTTTCCTCGCCGCCGCATTCGCCCCGCGTGGCGGGTGGCGTGCGGTTGGTCTGTATGTGCTTGTGCTGCGTCATCGTGTTTCGATGACTCATGCGGGTATCACAGGGGGTATCATGGTAGTATCATTTGAACATTATCATAAAAGCTGTTGCGATACGTCAGCAACGGAGTTCCGTGGTGGCGAGAGAGGAAGTTCAGGTCCGGCTTACCAGTCATTATGTCGTCGTAAACTCCGATCGCAGATGGCGCTCTCACTCGGTGATAGCAGACATGTGATCGCCACCATTGTTCTTGGGGCTTTTCTTGGCGCAAGAGCCTCCGCTGCGGCGCTGGCGCTTGGCCTGCTGGCGGCGGCGCTCCTTCTCGCCCAGCAGGAACTTCATGGCCTCCTGCTGCATCGCCATCTTCTGCTGTTGCCGCGCCAGCATCTCCTCCTCATGCGCGCCGAGCGACGTCGACGCGGTGCTGTCGGCGCTCGCGATGCTGTGCGCGTCGTCCTCGACCACCTCGCAGGGGAACAGGTCGTCGTCGGACAGGTAAGACGACGCCCGCTGCTCGTGCGCGGAGTCGGTCAGGGAGGATCGCTGCGGCCACGAGGGAAAGGCGCAGTTGCCGTACGAGGCCGAGCTGTGCGACAGGTAGCTGGACGGCGCGATGTCGAGTGGCTGCGCTACCGAGCTCAACGAGCTGTAAGATCCGTACGAGCTGTACATGATGTGCTTCGAAGTCGAAATCGGAATAGTTCGTGTATCGTGTATGTTGTAAGAGACGCGTTGCCAGAGTATGTGACAGATTGATGTCGCGTACGGGTGCGTGTAAGTCGCGTTGCGGTGTAGTTGTTGGTTGGACTGGTGTCTGGATCAAGGCTGGCTATATGAATAGCTCGTGATGCGTGATGACCATAGTCACAGGTTGGTGTACTTAATCTGATTGTCAAACTGGAGACGAAATGGAGTCATGGGAAGGGTGTGGCAGAGCGAGGCCATGGCAGCAGATATATAACAGCAGGATGTGTCTCCTGGTGGTGGGTGTGGGGGCGGATACGGGGTGCGTGGATGCATGGACCCAATACAGTGGACATGAATCATCTCGCCGCAATATGCTGGGTGGAGGCGCCACTGACAGCCTGGGCTGGAGCTGGAACTATTCTTCCAGATTCCCGTGTCGCTCCCCCTGGGCTGGAACCAGTCAGTCGCCTGTAGGCTAGGCTGTCGGTGGCCTGTCACCCTGCCGCCCTGCCTCCCTGCCTCCCTGCCCCCCTGCCCCCCACGCTTGCCACGCTTCGCTTCATCAGGCTGCCGGGCTGGCTCGGCCACCAGCCGCCGCGGGATTGGGCCGGCCATCCATGTTGACCGCTTGTCATGGTCGCAACGAGACACTAGTCAGCCCAGACCGCCTCCAGCTTGACGCAAGTTGACAGGAGTCAGCTTATTCGAACATGATTGCATCCTCCGCATTCCTTATTCCATTCCCCCTTTCCCCGGGCCTCCCAACCAATCGTTGTCCGTCGCGACGGTCAGACACTGTCCAAACGCAATCCCTGGACTCCTGAACGAAGCTCCAAATCAACTGCCCAGAACGGAAGAAGTAAGAAAAAGAACGCGCGCTGTATTGCCCCGCGTGGATTGCCGACTCCCCCGCCTGTCTGTCTCCAGATTCCAGACCGCTAAAAGGGGGGCCACTGGGGCAGCCCACCTCGTGGAGTCTGGAATGCAGGAATGCCACAAACGATGTTGACGAGAATGGGAAATACGATAGACGATCAGGGTCCAGAAACGAAGAAACTCCCGAGGCCACGCTATCCGAGTAATCTCTCGGCGGAACGTTCGCGCGTATCTGTGTGTTTCTGGGTCACAGTAAGCTGTTTCGAGGTGACAGATATGGGAAAACATGTTACTGTGTAAGTATTTATCCGAATGATTCGCGCCTTCCAGGGTCCTTCCCGCCTTCGCGCGGTGACGGCTGTCGCAGGCCTGGTGTGCCCCGTTTTAGGGGAGGTATGGACCACGGCCCGTCAGGTTGTTTGGTTGGGTGCGTGCGTGCGTGCGTCCCATGTTGGTTGGGCTGTGTGCAACTCATCGGTAATAAAAGAAGTTGGGGGTCACATATTCTCTTTCCGCTTGCATCCTGCCTGTTCCTATTCATCACTCACCATCGCCAAATCATTACAGCCATCGAGCGAGCGCATGCGTCATTTCGGACTTTTCACATCTCACATTTTCTGGTTTGCTTCTTATTTCTTCCTCCTTCCGCCCTCGGTCAATACTCGCGGCCTAGCAGGCTTCTTCTGGTCTCGGTCACTTGCTTTCCTCTACTGGGGGTGTTTGCTTTCTCGTCAAAATGATACTCGACCTGTCTGTTTTCATTTCCTTGCTTTTACCAGCAGCCGCACGTATCGGGCTGCGCATCGGATGGGGAGGAAACAGGATGCAGGATCTCATGCAGTTTCAATGACGATGACACCAACAATCTATTGTTGGCGGTTGAGCCCCTGCGGGTGTGTGCGCGCGGTGTGGTGGGGATTACTATTCTTGACGCTCGCGGCTGGCTTCCTTTCCTTCGCCATGTTACGTGCGAGGCGAGGAGTCAGCACAGCTGTCTACTCCTCGCATAAAGGGACTGAGTGTGCGCGAGGCCGACAGCGTTGCAACCATCCAGAATCCCATCTGGAAGTTCGTTGGTGATGGATCCGACGAAACCAGCCGGTTGGGCTGAGTGCTGACCGCTACCCAGGCCGTCTCAGCCAATGCGCGCTGTTCATCCAGACCGCCTGCAACCAACATGCTCGTAAGGTAGGTTGGCGGTCGGCTGCAGTGGCCGCCGAGACGCTTCGTTTGCCAGATCCTAAATCCCAAATCCCGTTCGGGGGGCACTCGGCCTTTGTACCGCCGTCTGCCCTATGGGATCGTGACTCAGATCCACGGATGCTACACAAGAAAGTCGACACCGCCTCTCTATCTCTGCCTGCTGTGTACGGCAGACTGCGGTTTATTATTGGCAACCTCGTCATCTTGCGGTGTTGGAAATACATGTTTTCTGGCCCAACAGGCTGTACAGGAGCTTCCCTTCATTGATTGCTTACCAACACCATGGCCAACGTGTGTCCAGTGGTGCAACTCGTTGCGTGGGGGGATCTTGCTTAGCTTACGATCATACCAACTCCCGTACTTCATAATGTTGAGTTGGTTGAACTGAGCTCCGCGTACAACCACACATCGCAACATCCTTTTACTATCATTCTCATATCAGTCAAAGTAAGCGACGGGTCGGCGACCTCGATAGGCAGGCAGGCGTGCAAGGCCGCCGCGTTCGGGCGTAAACACCGCCGGGCAGCCAGCAATCGCAGATAAGGCGGTAGCTCGCATCGGATTGCTTTCCAGACCTCCCCGAACGGCACAATAATACCCAAAGTTGGAGAAACAAACGGACAGTGGCAGGTTACAGCGACGAGACGTTCTAGAAGAAACATGTCCAGCGTTTTGACCGCCTCGTGTCGCAGACCTACCTTCCTCGCCTGCCTACCTGCAGCTGCTGGTATCCTCTCCCTGATGGCTATCCGCCTGCATGCATCATGATAGCGATACTGAGACAAATCTGGGGCCGGCTCTCGACCACGTTTTCCGAAAGCTCTAGCCAGCGCCAGATCCCGAAGTGCTGATCTGACAAGTCTCACCCCACACACCTGCTCAATGGTGCCAATCTAGACGCTGACTAGTAGAGCTCTAGAGCCGCCAGTCAAATGCCACCGAGGTAAGGCAGGAAGGCAGAAGGCCGAGACTAGAAATCCCTAGAAGTGGCTTTAGAAGGACTCGCAATCGCAATGTCCCCAACTAAACAATAGCGACTCGTAACTAGACCTTCCCTCGGTGACAGCAATAGCTCCCGACTAGTTAGAGGTCTGCCGTAGAAATTACCGAGTTGAGACTACGGCGCGACGGGGCAAGGCGAGGAGCCTGGGAGCTCCCCCGTCGGCCCTCCGTCGGTGACGGCCGGCGAATCGGTTAGTGGACGCGAGACGCGGTCAAGCAGTAGCCGAGGACCACTTTCACGGTTCTTCAATACTCAAGAAGCATTTCTCCTTTTTCTCATGTGGCACCTGACTTGACTGGCTTCGATTTACGCTGCAATCCTAGTCTCAGGCATCGCAAGAACCTACTAAATGTAGTTCGTATCCTGTGCTAGCTGTGCTAGTGTTTCGCGCAACGCCACCACGAGGTTCACAAAAGCCTAGATGAGTCCCATGTGTGACTTCGCTACGGGGAACGCGGGGGCTCTCGTGGCGTCGCTCATAGACCCTTTGACTGGCATCTGCCACATATGCCGAATGAAGCCGTGAGCCAAAGTAGGCCTATGGTCTCGACTAGGTATTGTGGCAGGCGGTCGTCAACCGGTGGTCCGGCATTTGCGATATATCACCTATCTACTGTCAACAATGACGAGTCAAAGTTGATCACGGCCATCTGCGGTTGCGAGCTGTCATTGGCAGTAGCGCGTGAACAATAGATTCAGCTCGAAGCGTCGAGCCCGGATGTCAGGACTCGATTGGATCACAGTCGGAATTGTCGGAATCGGGGTGTGATAAGCGCTACTGGCAAGCCTATTTCGGTCTCCGTACGCACGCAAACAACCATTGAGCTCATCAATATGCTCCTCTATGTTGGGAACACAAACCGACCACTTACATCACCGTGCTTCTCAGGCAGTTCCGAAGGAAAACAGCGAGAGATATCGTATCCAACTCAAGTAGGTGACGACACGGATAATTCCTCCAGCGCGGGAATGACCAGACTTACTACAAATCCATACTCACTTATCTTTCCGCTGGACGAGAGCTGTGATGTGATGCGATGCACACTTATCTCAAGTCCCATGCTTCAAGAAGTGCCCTTAATCTCCGATCTGAAATCACAGAGTTTAAGGTTCGGATAGGTCTGTGTGTTTCACAGCCGAAGAAGGGAGATCAACCGCGCAGCAGCCTGGCCGTCAGCCCTAGATCCATTAGGTCGATCTCATCAAGAGAGCGGAAAAGGCCCCCATGTCGGACATTTTACCGTGGGGTACTCGGGGTATCACGACACGGCGTCCCGGATCTGAAAGTCCGGAACCGGCGATGAGGATACAAGGCCGAGGAGGAGCTGATTGAGCTCGCTTGCGCCGTGCATGTGAGATAGCGAATATAGCCACCCTCCGATAAGACTGCCTATTGCCCATTTCGATAGGAACGGTGTGGCCTTCGGGAGTTCGTTTCGTCCTGTCGATTGACTTGGGCTGGTCTCCTCAACCGCATGCGCGTCATGATTTAGGGAGTAATATTCCCACCGCCGTTGGATGACCTCAGACCGGTGATGATGGCAGATGATGAATAATCTATCATCGAAAAGCATCTCCTCGATCTCCTAAATGAGATTACAGTCAACCCCGTGAGCTTATGTGAGATTGAGGCGCTTCTTGCAGCTTACATCGCCGAAGCGACTCTTTCGGAGGCAATAGATAGTCCAGACTCCGAAAAACGCAGATACCTCCCAACATGGCGTTGATGGTTGTGAAACTTACCTTGAGAGCGACTTACGAGATACATCTACATTGAAAGAGTCTTTAAATGTTTCCCCGATGATTGACGATTGCACCAATGAAGGGGAAGTCGTACTATGGCCGCTCCTACGGCGACCTCTGCATCGATTAGGTACTCCGATGCTTGTTTCAACATGAGATTGGGGAAGGACATGCCACATGTGTTCGAGCTGCATGAGTACCATACTGATTGATCAGTCAGCGGCACGGCCGGTGACTGCTCAACCGGGTCGCAGACAGCGAGGATGATGACGGGAGCCGGATGGTTCAAATACAGCAACACTTCCCTATAGGTTTCTCTGACACTGATCGTGCCGGCTTACACAATCACAAGCCATGCGGCGACCAACCCCATCAATCACGCATGCCAATGCTGTCAAGTCGGCGGACTACTCAGTCTCGAAGCCGTGACGACGCACCCGAGGGCGAATGTCCTGCCAAAAAGGGAGTCTGGCCGACTCCATGTCTTCCACGCTGGCTGCCAGACTGTCAGTGCCACGCTGCAAGCTGCGACATGAGCAAGGGTCCACACGAGGAACATTCTCTCCATTTCTCGAGTTATGTGCGCATTCACACACCATCACACGCCATGTATCGCATGTGAAGTAGAGTTGTTGTATCTTTCACCGCCCAGCATTGACGCCCAATGCACGACAGGGGGGGCGAGACCCTGCGCTATAACAGCCGGGCCTCATCACAAAAATCTACGACGTCCATCTCATCACGCACATGGAGATGCCACTACTAGGCAGGAGTTCACGCCCAGGCCATGGCTGTCCGTTGATGAACGAGAAGCATGTGCGTCGAAAGAGCCGGCAGGATCTTGCACCTGTCCTGTCCTCCGCTTTGCTGCGAGATCGCAATTCCTGTCATATATGACAGCTCTAACCGCCCGTCCAGACCACTAACTTAGGGCCGTCCACGGTGATGGGCTTCGGCACCGACGCTGATTCGTCACGCTGTCTTCTTGCTCTCCTAGCTCTCCTATCGAGCACTCCTATCAGCGCGAGCACCAAGTTGCTGCTAATGCGATGCGCTGCATGCCGAATCACCTCTCCAACAGCACGCACTCGCCTTCATTCGCAGCAAGCACCTGCTTTCCCACCGGCGTCCAGTCGAGCGTCTGTGGACGGACGACCATTCGCAGAGTGATATTCCAGAAAATGGCGTTGGCCAGCTGGTTGGCTGGCTGGCTGGCGGACGCATCGGGATTCGGGGTACATATCACGTCCCTCAATTCGCCCCAATGACCGTGTGCCAATTGGCAAGGACCCTGCGTGCGCTCCTCGGCCTCGTCGTGCATTGCATGCTGCATGTACCTAGGTGATGTATGGATGCCGCCGGTAGGGTACGGAGGAGGGGGGTCGCCTAGATATCTCCGGCTGATCGAACCCAACGTGTTGCGCCTTCTATGGCTTCTTCTTCTGCTACTTCGCTTCTACTTACTTCTGCGAGTGATTGTGCTTGAGGTGAGTATCGACTATGGTACTGTAACCTCGTACTGGTAAGTGCCTGGATCAGTGCCCGAGTCGCAGCCAGTGGCGGCCAGGACTCGTCGTCGCTTAAATCCGACAGTGTGATGTGACGAGATTTGCTGACGTGCTGCCGTAGTGTAGTCTACCGGCCGATCCCCTTCCATAGAGTGCACAACTCGGATCACGAATGAACGACCCGGCACACTGCTTTCATGTTAGAGGCTTAATTATATGATCGCTTTCGTATAACTGCGAGGCGAGACGTGTTTCGCTTCAGTAGCTAGAATCAACTAGGAGTCATCGTGGTGGCCATGATCACAAAAATATCGTCATTATCATCAAGCAGCTAGTCATATCAGAGCTATATTCACCTGTCATAAGCCACTCGCCTTGACCAACTGCTGGAAACCAAGTAGTCTACACTAGAAACGACAAGACTTGGCGCAAGGGGCATTGCCGAACAGACGGTGGTCGGGCTTGGTAGCTACATTTTCACACTCACTCGGTAGAGATCTGCGTGACGTCGGTCTGGATGTCAGACTCAACTACAGACGCAGTCGACAAGATTGTCATATGAGAGTCCTGTAACTGATATGTATTTAGTCGTCACAACAATGTTTTCTTCTGTCTGAGTGTTTCAAGCTTTGATTCTCATCAGAAAGGACGCCTGCCGTGATTTCCACATTTCCTGGTACGTCCTCGCACCCAATAGCGGTGCAATACTACATTCGAACGTAAGTGAAGGCAAACGTGTATATTGAGGGAGAGCGTAGGGATCACGTGGCAACACCAATGCAGCGTCTCGCAGATAGTAGGAGGTACCATCGAAGGAGCAAGACACACCCCTTTAACCATTTCATACCGTCTTGTGCTCAGCTACATGTTTAGCTTATGACTTTCTCAAATTCACAACATTAGGCATAACATAACGACTCTGGAAAGAATCATCCTCGTGGGATACATCGTGTCAGGAGTGGGCAGAACACTTGAGCCTGCTATCCTCATTGCTAAAACGATACGAGTACACAGGGGTAATAGCTAAGCCGTTTCCTAGAACAATCATTAGGTCAAGCAAACAACAGCTTCAATCAGCTTGGAACCTGGACTTCGTAGCTTATCAATGCCCCCGAGGCAATTTAACAGCACTGTGTCTAGTCCTAATAGTTTGGTTTTACATAAAGTACTACTGCTCCAGAGATGAACGCTGATGAAAATGCCTAATCCTGTTACCTACCTATACGAGACCTAGCCATACGACTGATGCCGGTGGTGATCCTGCACGCCGAAGAGCAAGTATGCATATATCCCAGAAACCCCTCACGTCTAGTTACTTTACTATCGTAGTCAATTGAAACAAGGTCGTTACGAAGCTGACATATACGGACGTTTGACCGTTCTTGTTCACCTCGTGAGACAGTGAGGTGTGGCGTGGCACTCATGTATGAACGCCATACACCCGTTGCAGACCTATTCAACCTCGGAGAGATAGGTGCGGGAAGCTTTTCCCATTGTAGACAGTCATTTTGGTGTGTCGCTGGTGGCCCATCTTATCTCTGAACAAATTCCCTCCGGGTGTCCATGGGGCAACCAAAGATTCATCCCCTAGCGTTCCTTCACCCACCCAACAATCAATCCATCTGCCTTTCTTGCACAAACCACTCGGAATTGAGAACCGAAACTTTCACTGTAAGCCCATGCTCACCTTGATTGAACCACGTCGTCTCTCGGCGGCTAATTCCACGTCTAGCCACTAACATTACCATCGGCTCTGCTCCTCTCACACTCTACCAACCCGTGCGTCATCATCACGAATCACCTCATCCCACAATGGCTTCGACAGCAAAGAAACTCGGCTATCTTGCCCGAGTGACCGCCGTCGTATCGGATTTCTGCCGCGAACTCGACATTGTCACCGCCAATGGCACGCCTTGCGCAGTCGTCCGCGGTGCCATACAGCCTGCCGACATCGTGCTCGTATTCAACACCGACACAATCATCCCAACCGCCGCAAACGAGCTGGTCCTGAACCCTAAGATCAACCGGCCCATATGCACGTCGTCACGCTCGATAGCGTCGAGGGTGTTAGGATCAAGCTAGTCATGGTGTAGGGAACGCTCTCCGCTGCTCTAGCTATCAAACTGGAGCTCTATCGTAAGCTACACGACGAAGTTTACCAGAACGTCTCCCAAGACCAAGGCATTAGCTCCGACGTGGCCATGGGATCCTCCCCTGTGTTTGTTTGTTTGTTTGTTTGTTTTGTATTTAACGTGGGGGGTAGCTCCTCAGTAGTGCAAACCACGCCTCCCAGAGCCATTGCATCGCAAGGTTGTAGAGGTGTCAAATTAGATACATTCAGATCCGCGCACGAGCCTATCCTCGCTGTAGCGGTACCAATCTGGAGTGTTCAGATGGTTTTAGTCAATACCCAAGCACGATTCCGTCAGAAAAACCTCCTATCTAGTGACAAAGCGACCCAGTGAACCTCAGTTCTCTGGTGTACATATCGTTCCAGTAGCCGTTCGATATATGTCGCATTGGTGGGTGGAGTAGGTGTTTGTTATCTGCTGGCGAGGGAAACCACAAGGGGGAAAACCTCGCAGGAGTGGGTATTGTGGAGACAAGCTGCTTGGCTATCGGGCTCTGCGATAAAATGGGGCCTCTCCACTGTCGTGTGCTGGTTATCGACTCGCACAAGCCGGGTCAGAAAGGGGGCCATAGCAGGATTCGAACCCACTTGTTCTCGTCGCCCACCGCACAAACGAGAACACAACCAGGCGCATTTGACCATTGCGCCATACGGCCGATCCTCCCCTGTGGAGGAGAGCTTGGGACTGCGAGCCTGGACGCAGAAGGTCGCACACGAGATCGTTTATGACCGACCGGATTTCGTTCCCCTCACTCTGATACCGGACATCGGTAAATCCACTGAGGTCTTCTACAATGCTGTGAACTATAACCTCGACTTCCAAGTCACCGCGCAGCCGATGGGCCAGCCTATGGCCGTGTAGTACCTGAAGAGAGACTCAAGTTTCGCCGGAGCTATTGAACACCGCGATACCGGGCGTAAGCACAGACATCGTGGAAGAGTGGGTGTATGCGGCGAGAAGCGGGATTTTGAGGAGATGTTTTCGAATCACTACTGGCGATCGGTGCTCACCACTGACCTGATTGGCAAGCTATCGAACTTCGACCGCAACATCGTGCTCCAGGGATACCAGTGCGAGAGACTCGTTGGCATCCGAAAACGACCAGTCTACAGCTTCGTAGTGACCACCATCTGGGATCTCGACACTCAGCTGCGCTGGAAGCAGGAAAATACGATCCAACGACTGGCCCAATGGGGTCTCCAGGCTCCTCGTATGCTCGGCAGGACCACGCTCTGGGACATCGGGGCGGAATTAGCAAGAGCGAAGTATAACACAGACGGCGCGACAGGTCTGATCTTCGAGAGCACTGGCGGCGAAATCATCTTTTCCCAGCAGTGAATAGTGAGTTCAAGCAATGGACAGCCCTGCTTGGCCGTTCACAGCTGACACTTTACGATCATAACTTTCCAAAGTTGGTCGGGGATTGCCGCAACCCGACGCCTCACGGCGTTATCGATTGTCTAGTAAAACTCCCAAGCTCTTACGCCGACGTGTTCATTCTCTGACGACACCTGCACTGTGTGGCATATCGTGGTCGCAAACGTTGCGTAGAAGCCGCTGCAGCAGCAGACGAAAGTGCGCAACAGATAATCCGTGAGTTCATCAAATACATGCTTAATCCTGTCTGATGGTATCTGACCATATCCCGAGGCTGAGAACATGAAGCATCCTTGACAGAATCTCTTTCGGAACCGTTGTGTATCCTGCCATATAACGGTAGCTTCAACCATACCTACCCGCCACAGGTAGCGAACACCATGGACCGATGGATATATTCATTAGGGCTATTACAGTGCGTACTAGCCTATGAAAAGGTCTCATACCCATAGCTCATCACGACCCTCGGTACATCTCCGTCCCTTCCTCCTATACACCCTGTGACTCGTCGGGCTCGATCATGGCAACAGCCAGCGTAAGCTTCTCCGATTGATTGAAGAACGGGCTCGACTAATCCAAGGCAGAGAGCTAAGTGAAAGGCAGCTCGTCCTGGCGTTTCCCGCTTCAGATGATGATATTTGGGGATAAAAAGGGGATAAAAAGGGGATGGAGAGAGCAGACGAGCATTGCTGTCTGTCAGCACCTTGTGATCGGATGTTGGTACAGAGTAATAATTCATTTCGTTTTTCCTGAGGTCGTGTCTTGGATCTCGTATCCCCAGGGGGCTATCGTCTTCGTCAATTTTTGGTAGGTGCTGCGAACTCATCCCTCCCTCCTACTATATCCCTTGACACTCGAGCGTGATCTCGATGGGGTACTACAATGGAAATGGAAGTCCCAATGCCCGGACTATACATATGGACCCGAACAGGCACATGGAACAGGGCATGCACATCACGGAAAATTCGGTATACCTGGCTCTGTCGCGACGGCTGTGGGCTTACGTGTTCGAGCGGCCACACGACGAAGTATCTGCTTCGACGAGCGGCGTGGCGGCGGCGGTCACGAGGAGCGCCTTCCCGATCCCGAACCCGACCCCGAAAACCTTGTCGAAGGCATGATGTCGCTACCCAGACCCTTCAGCGCATTTCATCAGGCTGCGCGACTCACGCAAGGCTGAGACTATCAGGGCTGAGTGGAGTAAGGTCGCGCAGCTGCTTGACGAGGACGGTCAGTGGGTGAAGGTGCCGAAGGGTCTGAGCTAGGGAGATGAGTAGCCGCAGCTTTCGGATTAAATGGAGATGGTGCGATGGACACTGCTGAGGGGACGGATAAAGTGGGCGATGTTGATTTGCCTTCCCACGGATGGCATTTCTTTCCCTTGCCATGGTACGCAAGTGTTACCGGTGCAAATATTTCAAACCCGGCGTAAATTGCGTCCAAAGCGAGACCACCATGTCTGCGGCGGATATACCTACAACCTCATGCCTCCCTTTACTTTACCTCAAGGCCGAGTACACAATATATGCCACCTCAACTTGGTATTCCACTTAGGCGTAGAAGTAGAAGAGTTTTGGTGCTTAAGAACGTCGCTAAGTCTTGCAGAGGAGTGCTTAGACCAACACACGTTCACTACGTGAAGCTATAAGATGACTTGGGCTGTATGACTAGGGTTTTTGAGAGAGATTACTTATGATCATTGACTATGGAAACAGTCATCGGCCTACTCTTGTTAACTTATTTGCTTCCAGGGACTCCTCCGATACTGAACGGATGTATGGCGTCATGTATGCCAGGACAGGTCGCAGGTAAAGGACGCAACCAGGCTCGTCTCAGCGTGAACCAGAACAATAAATATCAAGAACAGAGATCACTGGTCTCCTCACGCCGTGCCACGAATTCCATCACTAGACCACACAGAATGGCGGACCCTGTTAGCAAAAACCCCTGGGAGAACCACTTCCAACAACTAGCCGGGTCGTTCAGCTCGACGCTCATCACCATGGTAGCCACAGACCAGAGAGATCCGCCCACAGCAAACACATAGTACAGCAGTGACATGTGCCCATAGTATCCCGAGGCTACCAGTGAAGCGCTCATGCCAATGACAAGACACCAGAGGAACGCCCTGGAGTGGTTTTGAAACAGCACAGCGGTGCTCTTAACGCCCACCTTGACGTCATCGGCAAGATCCTGATGCGCGTAGATGGTGTCGAATATCACCACCCACGAGATGGACGCTGTCAACAGACACAAGGTCGACGTATCCATCCATATCTTGGCGACCCCGAGGGCCGAACCCCCAACCAATATGCCCCAAGAAAGGCAAAATCCAAGAACCAACTGCGGGAAATAGCTGTGTCGTTTGGAAAAGGGGTAGTAGGCAGTGCCGGCGATGTTGGGAATCGCAGCTATGGCAGCCTCAGCCGGTAGAAGGAGCAAAAAGGCCGCAGCACCAAGTGCTTGCGTGATGGTGAAGAGCAGTGCAGCGGTCCGTGATACCGCTCCCCGCGGAATAGGGCGCGTGCGTGTGCGCTCGATGAGGGCGTCTATTGGGGCCTCGATGAGATCATTCCAGGCATGGCTGGCGTTGTTGCAAAAGAAACTGCCGCCGAGGAGGACCAGGGAAACGCGTAGCACATGGAAGATGGGATACCCGTGGATGATGGCTGCGTGAAGAACGCCGAACATGTGCGGGAAGCATATGAGAAGAAGTGCGGCTGGCGGACAGACGGCAAAGCTGAACGTAGGGGATCCATGAGCTCGGAAGGAGATCAACCCAGCCTTTGACATGGTGGCCGCCATACTGCTGGGACATGGAACTCGCTTTGGAAACGCCATTGCCAGGGATATCTGGCTGCTCTGTTGCTGGCGTTTTCTCCATTTACTCCTCGACTTGATATTGCCAAGGCTTAGGACTGATGGAGCTAGCTCGGTTGAAGATATAATTACCTCGCTCAAGTCCCGAGTGATACGCGGTAGAAGCACTATTATGTAGAGAAGCATCATCTAGAGCAAATGTACTGTCACGGTCTGCCTAGAACAGTTCGAGGGCTGTCATGCATGGCTGTGAGGTGACATGTGCCCTTGACCTTATCGTTCTGTTTGACACTGTTACAACTGGACACAGCTACCAGAGTGACCAGAGTGACCAGAGTGACCAGACAGCGAGTGGACGCCGAGCATGCATCCCGGTTCACCAATCTGGCCTGTGACTGAAGCAGCAACGGTGGTGGTCCGACTGCCTAACTCACTGAGCCGATCGATGATACAGAAGACCGAATTCCGTAGCCACAGCCAACGAAAGATACAAACCTTCGGGAGCACTGCGTCACCTGGATCCAACGATACTACTTCGCACCTCCTTGTGTGCCTCTTTTGACTGTACAGATACACGCACAGCCGCGAAGCGAAGCCGAACTGAGTGAAGTCGATGTTAGCTTCACCGCCTCGAAGGCAGACACGGTGCATGCAAGGCCTTGATTAAGGTCCAACACGTCGGCGCCCCTGACAATGTGGTGGCATTGCAGCAACGGCGGGCGGTAAAGTACTGTGCAGTTGGTGCAGGGGACCTTTCGACACGGCAGGCTGTGCGGGCCGCCCCCTTGCCCGATGGCCCAGTGAGGCACAGTACCTATGCACATAGGGGGATTCGGAGGCGGATCGGGTGGGGATATGAAGCACTTGGAATGCTGGGCTGCTAGACTGGGCCTTGGAGTCGTATATAGGGCACCACTGGCACATGCAGAGTGTTGGCTCGTGACTGGAAGGCTTACAACACGGGAGCGTTGCATTGCATCTCGAGAGACAGGAGCGTCGCATCCCCGACTTGACACTCAAACCAACAGCGTTGGGCCATCACCAAGGTAGAGAGAGGTGCTGCTGTATGCAGTGAGAAAACAGGGAAACCAAGAGTTAGCATGATATGATTTTGTAAACGAGGTTGCAACGACGCCACCCACACTGACGAACATAAGATTGCAGTTGAGCTGGAGGGATTCGATACTGTTACTGCTGACAGTTCGGATCGCATTTACGTTTAGCCCCACGCCCCTCACGCCACGCCCCTATAATATCAGTTGGCAGACCACTTTATGCAACTGCAGAGCGGCCAAGGCTTGACGTTGGAAGCGGGTGCAGCAAGCAGCACGTTGCAGGCAATGTGTGAGAAGGAGATGCACTTGGCTAGTCAAAAGTCGCTACGTAGTGCATGCCCTGAAAATGCTTCGCAGGAGCTGGAGAGACACGTCGAACGCGCCATAGTCACCCGTGGCTACAGTGAGTAAACCAGTGTTATTTGACGAGTCATTCGTATGAATGTTCAAGGCGATGAGCTAATCAATGAATATGGATACGATCTTCGAGCAGGAGGTCGTGCCCGCATGGCCCCTAGGCAGGGTCAGGTACAGCCATAGTTATGCGCCGTCGAATCTAGGCTATGATACATCCACACATTCGTTGAGTCCGACGCGGAGTATCAGACGGGTATCTTCTGACCTCCTGGTACCAGTCGTTGGAAGACATGCTGCGGATCGTAGACCTGCTGGATAGCACGGAGCCGCTGCACGTTGTCTTCCCCGTATGAGGCGATCACGGGCTGTTTGGCGTTGGCGTCGTTCATGAAATCATACTCGAGTATAGCTCCCGCATCGCTTGCAAGGGCGTCAATCTTGTCATGGAGTGATTCAATGGCAGCATTGGCAGCGGCGTCGTCTTCCACGTTTGCCCATCCTAGGTTGAGCGAGAACCATGTCTGGTTCACAGGCTGGAGGCCTAACGCATTGCCGCCACTCGCCTGTCCAGCCCGTACCAGGCTCTCACTGATGGGCTGCACCGCGCCAACTATACTGCCGGCCTCCAGAGCACCTATGTCAGCTATCTCGGGCGCGGACACGAGAAGGTCGCTAAGTTGCGCATAGAGGTCGCTGTCGGGCGTGAACGTGTTGGTGTACCACGTCCATCTTGCAGTCCCTGCTGGTGGAAAAGCGGCCATCAACTCGTGCAGGGTCATAAAGCGTGTCTGGTCAGACACGGGAGTCAGATCGTAGAAGGGCGCATAGGCCGCAGGACGCTCTACGGGCTTGAGATAGACCAGGGTAAGCAGTACGACCCCCAGGTTCGGGGCGAGGTTGATTATCAGGTTGGCATACGGATCCTTGTTCGGTGTTGTCTGGTATTGGTTGAGTGCCTCGAGCACGGCGGGCATCTGATCGAGACTGAACATCTGGGCGCCACCCCAGACATTCTTGATCGGATACGTCGTAAACTTGAACGCAGTCACTACGCCTACGTTGCCAGCTGTCAGCATGAACGTCATGGAGAGCCTAGGGACACGAAGGTCATACCGAAGTTGTTAGCACCTCCTTTCAGCGCCCAGAACAGGTCCGGGTGCTCAGCTGCGGTGGCTTCCACAACACTGCCGTCGGCTAGAACCACCTGCCAGGCTTCCGGCATGTTAGCGAGACAATGTGCACCACGTGCAAGGGCGGTACCCACCTCAAAGCTCACTACGCTGTCGCATACCGAGCCGTAGAGGTCCGATAAGTAGGACAGGCCACCGCCGAGGATGAGCCCACCGACGCCGACGTCCATGACCCGCCCGCCGACGAGGGTCACATTGTACAGATCCAGCGCCGTGTAGACAGCGTCCCACCTTGCGCCAGGCCCCAACGATGCGAGGCCAGTCGCAGCGTCGTAGGTCACGTGGCTGAGTCTGTCGGTCACGATGAGAACTCCAGTGTCGATATTGGCATCGAAGGGATTTGGCGAATGGCCGCCCGACCGGATGGCGAAAGGCACGTTGCTAGCGACGAGGGCGCTGACAACCTGCTGCACGTCGGACGCTGTGGCAGGCAGTGCGATGCACGTCGGGCGCTTCCAGGCCGTGCGGGACCAACTTTCCTGGGTCAAATTGGTGTAAGAGACATCAGATGGCAGCGTGATGACCGAGCCGAGATGGCCGCGGAGCTGCTGACAGGTCGCCGCGGCGGCTGCATCGGGAGCCGACGTTCCATTCCAGGCGTACGAAAGTGATGAGGGGTACAGCTGATGCCATGCTATAGCCAGAAGCCCGACTGTAACCATGGTGCCCAGAGAAGTGATGGCTGTTGGAGAGAAAGCGGTCCTGGACAGAAAGTGCATGACTGTGTAACTGAGTTGGTTGCAACTCCGTCGTCGCCTTACCATCCCCCCCATAGAAGTCGGACACCCCCACTAGTCGGACAGCCAAACCCCACCATCATCACCAAAACACCCCTTTATTCACTTACACGCTTTCAGCCCGATATTAAAGCTACTTAGAATGTAATTACTGCTCTAGATAGCCCTGACCTTGGGGTTTACTCCAATATAAAATTTACCCCGCCTAGCCTATATGATTGGTCATCTATTACCCCGCGTTTCCTACCTCGAATAGCAAATCTACGGCCCTGCAAGGCTCCTTTGAAGCCTTGTTCTATATGCAAGGCAGCATCGTATAGCCGCCCAAAATGCCTCCCTATTCGTATACAGAGGATCAGATGGCAAATGCCATCTTAGATATCACGGATGAGGGCCTGTCTTTATGAAAAAGCGCTCAAAAACACGGCATCCTGCCCCAAACGCTATCTGATCGACTTAACGGCAAGCCTACGAGGGCCAAAGCCCACACGCAGCAACAGAGACTCTCCCCTGCTCAAGAAACCACTATAGTCGAATGGATTTTGCGTCAGGAGAAGCTAGGACTAGCCCCTTCGCACTCCCTAGTTCGTGAGATTGTCACAAAGTTGTTAAAAAAGAAGGGAGATGAACGCCCTTTGGGAGACACCTTCATAGCGGGCTTCAAGCGCCGCAACCCTCAAATAAAGACCAAAATTGGCAAAAGGATGGAATCAGCGCGCTTTAAGGGGTTTACGCCCAAAGTAGTTAACTAGTTCTTCGAAATTCTCGAGGATTACGGCTGGGTGAAGCCAGAGAACACGTATAATGTCGATAAGGGCGGCATTATGACGGGCTATGGTAGCTCTACTTACCCCTTTAATTCCGAAAAATTCTAATCGTATTCACAGGTATTGACTCTCTCGTTCTGGGTTGTTCTGCTTGTGATGGATCTGACATCCATCCATCTATTCACGGTGGTACGTGCGCTCATCAGGTGATCTGGTGGGGTGGACGCGTTGCCTCACTGCACTCACTATAGATAATTGTGGAGCGGGATTGAAGATCTAATCCCCACCAGAATTGGCTGGTGGTTCTGATCCTTCTTCCCTCCTCACCAGTAGATTCTTATTCATCTGGAGTAATAGATGGGCATCTTCGTCCTGAGCTGCCAGCTGTTCCGTGACACTGCTACCAAGAAATCCTTCCCGAAGAGCCCCTAGAGCCGCAGTTGGACCTCCTTCATCGAGGCCATCTCAGCCACGGGAAAAATCCTCAAACCGGGCATTATCTTTAAAGGCAAGGACCTCCAAGTCCAATGGTTTATCGAGGAGTTCCAAAAAACCGCGGATTGGCATTTTATATGCTAAGAAAACGGCTGGACCTCCAATGACATCGCCTGCCAGTAGTTAGAAGACGTGTTCATCCCACAGGTGGACGAGGTACGAGGAAAAGATCAGTCTGAGGCTGTTCTTTTGATACTAGATGGCCATGGTAGCCACACCTCTGTATGTATATGATTTTTTCTCAATTTATTTAGACTTCCTTCAAATTTTTGGAATTAATCCGGGCTAACGCGTGGTAATAGGACGAATTCATGGTGTCACGGCGAGTGGCACCTAAGACGAGACAAAGCAGACGACAAGGGGGTAACCGACTGTATAGACAAAAATATCGAAGATGAAGAAAGGAAGGAAAGAGAGCTAGATACAGGTGAGAGACAGAGCCATCTAGATGAACCCTTGGCCAGGGTGTGATGTGGGGCGCAGTAAGTTGCGCTGGTGTGTGCCTTCACACTGCCCTCACACATGACCATGTGTTATTTCGCCAACATCTTGCTCTGTTTCTTCCCTGCCCACACCAGTCACGGCATGCAGCCCCTGGATAACGGGCCCTATAATGCCCTGAAGGCTTACTACCAGAAATTTCTCTCGCAGCTGAATTCCTTGACGGATGCCTTGCCTGTTAACAAGATCAACTTCATTCGGTGCTATAGCCAAGCAAGAACTTCTGCTTTTACTAAGGCAAACATCCTCTCTGGATTCAGAACCACTGGATGTTATCCAATCAGCCGCAAGAAGTGCCTAGCGCATCCAGAAATCTAGGAAGATAAGCAGAAGACCCCTGAGCCTGAGACCCCTGAAAGCTCTGAACCAGAGGACCAACGGACCCCTACTACAAGTCGGGAGATCATGGATTTCGGCAAAAATAAATCCCCTGGCACCCGCTTGAAGTACAGGAAGATAGCCAACGCGTTTGAGACTAAGGAGACGGAAGTTGTCATCCAAGCCCGGAAGATCAAAGCCCTGGAGGCTGAACTGGAGCGGCTACGGCTCAAGAAGCGGCAAAAGATCCCTAATCCTAACAAGAAGTTTAAAACGGTGACAGAGATCTTGTCTAAGGGAGGTACTATTAGCCTTGAGACGCCTGCAGAGGTACAAGAAGAGATGATTGTTGAGTCGGAGGATAAAGAGGAATTGTTTGTTTGTTTTGTATTTAACGTGGGGGGTAGCTCCTCAGTAGTGCAAACCACGCCTCGCAGAGCCTCTGTATCGCAGGGTTGTGGAGGTCTCAAGATAATAAGTACAGTCAGTCCCGCTCACAGGCCCATCCCCGTTGTTGCGGCGGTATGACCTTGGGGTCATCCATCTGGTCCTTCAAGAAAAGCTATCTATCAGGGGCAGATTGTTGAAAAGAACTTGCTCTTCTCCACGAATTTTGCTCATTCTGTGCTCCTCTCCCCTAAGTATTGTAAACAAGCTGCCCTAGGCGAGTACCTAGGCAGCAGCCGGTTTTTCCCCAACCTCTTACAAAAGAAAATGTGTTGTGGTGTTTTCTTCTTACCACAGCTGTAGTGATCATTCGAGTCTGTATGCCCAAAGCGTTCATGGTATCTAGTAAAGTTGCCATGTCCAGATTTGGCCGCTAGAAGTCTATGTAAAGTACTCCTCTTAAAAGATATAAGGTCTCTTTTAGTTACTGCATGTGAGTATACTTCTTGATATCTAGATTCTGATTGGTCTTTTTATCATTGGTTGAACTCTTTCTTGCCCTTTCTTTTAAGATCTCTCTTGACCCAAGAGATTATAAGAAGGTTTGTTGTGTCTGTTTCTAGCATGGCACCCTCTTTTGCTAGTGTGTCGGCAGCTTCGTTGCCATCAATATCTCTGTGTCTAGGAATCCACTTGACAGTCACTCCAGGAGTGTGTGCTGTGGCAAGTTCTTGAAATCGTAAAAAAATGTTTTGTGATGTCTCGGGTGGAGTCCCATTGAGCCCATCTACCACTGACGTGTTGTCCAGGCAGACATATAGCTGTTTTCCGTGTCCAATTACCCTGGCTGCTACAAGACCTTGGAGAGCACCATAGACTTCAGCATCTACTACTTCTGCTCGAGTCCCAGGATGTGTCGCCAGCATTGAAATCTCCAGCTATAACACAGCCAAAAGGTGGAGTCCATACTTCCAGAATGTCATCCACTTCCTGTGGGTTGTCACATGGCCGGTAGACACTGGCAAATGTAATGCCTTGTACCTTGACCCAGGTGATGTCTCGTGTAGCATAGGGCCGAAGTTGATCCATTTAAAGGTGTTTTCTTACATAGATGAGAGATCTGGGTCATGTACTGTTGCTGTCCCAGGAATCAACCGGGGAATATATATCATAATTTGGGTGTGTCTTTACTTTCATTTTTCTGCCTGGTATTGTGCTGACCTAGGGCTCTTACATTAGAATGATGTCTGCTTGTTCTCCTTTGTAGTCAGCCAGATTGATGGCTAACTCTGTAAGGCCTGCACTCTTTTGTCCTCCTGCTGTATTCACAGAATGGATGACTAGATGCCCGTGTCGATGTGTTTTGTTTGATGTATCTAACATTGACTGACAACAATGGTATCGGCATCTCTGGGATGAGTTGTATCTGTTGTGTCAATTTGCATTGTGATGTCTTTGTTATTGTTGCTGGGTGTTGACCCAGCTTGGTTTCTACCTGCTTTATTGAACGCCTTGGATCTGGCTCTTTCTCCGGCCAGCCTTATTTCCTGGATTTGCTCTCATGTGTGCTTATGGATGATACCTTTCACGACCTTGGGGCGTGCAGGGCATTTGTCGAAGTCGGAAGCATGAGGTCCTTTGCAGCTGACATACTTTGGGATTGGTTTTTCGCAATCCCCCTGGTGTACTGCGCTGGCGTAACGTGCACATACTTGCTTTTCATATTGGTAGTTCTTACTATGGCATCTGAAGCAGCTCGTACACTGGTGAACCTTGGAGGAGTATTGAATGTGCCTCGAGGTCATTGAGTGAGCAAAAAGCATGAATGGTTTCTTTGCTGCACGGGGCAGAGAGATCACCCATGTGGTCTCTGGATCAGAATCAACTGTGTTCCTTGAGAGTATGTACCTTGAAGGTCTGTCACCTGTTTGGGCTTTAACTTAATTAGTAACAGTAATGTCAGTAATGTCGATTATTAACCCTTCCACACTGATAACCTTTCTTGGGCATCCATTGACCTTGTAGTGATGCCAGACCGTATGGATCTTGATCTTTTCTGCCTTGAGAATATCAGTGATTTCTTCTTGGAAGGCCAGGAGCTTAGCCTGAGTTGGCTTGTCCTTTGGGTATAAGGTAAATCCGGAGGGGCACCGGGTCACTTTTCTAAGCTCTTGAGGGTGGAGCTTAAGTCTTTTGTTCAGTATAGACTTTATTCTGTAAGGCTCTAGGTGGCTATTATCTATGCGGACAAAGACCCGGAGATCATCCTGCTTCTTCTTCAGTTAGTTGGCAGTGATAAGGGCGCCAGGCTGTGTTTTCTTTATGGTAGTATTGACTGTCCGTGGATGCTGTCGTTGGCTAGAGGAGACAGCTTGGGCAAAGGTCATGGTGGGTTTTACCATCCCTATCCCCCCAGGGATGGTCTTCCTTTTGGGCAGATCTCAGGTTTCTAGCCACTCGCTCAGACATTTAGAGAAGAAAGCGCTGAACTCCTTGGCATGAGAGTATAGTTCGGTTCCAGCTTTCTCAAGTGTCTTATCAACCGCTGTAGCACACTCTTGAAACATTATTATCCTGGCTTCATAGAGGTGCTTGTCTTTAGCCAGTATTCTGGCAACTTGGTCCTGGCACTCTGAGGAGGAGGCTTTATTCCTTATATCGCGTGTAATGGCTTGGTCTATCGAGATTTCGTTCAACTGAGGTTGTTTCATTCCAGTGGTGCTGCTATCATTAACATTTCAGGATTTTCCTTTCAGAGGGGAAATAACAGTAAAGTCAGCCTCAGAGACTTGTGACGGGCTGCTGCTGATGTCGTCAAGCAGCGCCTGGCGGAGCCTGCTCGGAGTTGCCGGGCCGTATGTCTTTCTAGGGGCCGGGGATTTGAGCACGCCACCAGTGGTCGTCTTTGAGACGGCCACAGGCATGTTTGGGGGCCCGTCGTGGAAGGGTGCCATCCGGCTTGTGAGAAAAATTCTCTTGTCCCTTGGCAGAGATAATCAGTTACTGAGAGAAGTGCCTGCTTTAGTGCAAATATCAAGGTTGCGCCCTAACAGCGGGGCGCCAAGAAAAATAGTTGTTTTTGTTTGGTGTTCCCAGATGCAGACTTAGTGCCTTAGTACTTACGCTGGACTCGGGTTGGGTAACGTCTTCGTTGGAGAGCTCACTCTCAGGAGACTGCTGGTTCATGCCAGTGATGGACTTCCTGTTGAACTCGATCAGTTTCTATCACCAGCCAATGGACAAAACAAGTGCCGAGCAAATACAAGAATGGTAAATGCAAGCGGGAGAACTCACGAGACCTTCTTGGGGCGACCAGTAGGAAGCGGCTTTCGCTTTTTTGGCTCCATTGTGACGTCTCTTCGGTAAACCAGAGCGAGGTGAAACCGGGAAGAAGTGATGGGGGGAGGAGTTGGAAAGAGCAACTCGACGTGGTGTAAAGGAGGTGGGATCGTGGGCAGTAAACTACGATAAATGCTTGAACAGCACGGAGAGTGCGGCAGTAAACTCTCGAATTCATGCTGCCTAAGGCAACTCAAAGCGGTGAAGGTTGTGTAAAGCACTATTTTATCTGCGAACGCCTTGACGTTAATGAAGAGACTCAGGAAGGGACATCACATTTCTCCTGGTGTTCTTCAGCTCCGTTCCATGATCGATATACACGAAGCGGTCGCCATTGGGACTCAGACGGCCGCGAACACCAGCGACAATGATGATAGACTGGACGGCGGCAGAGACACGGTGTATTAAATTTTTTTTTATTAAGCCCTTCGACCGCAATGGAAGAGCCAAACCCAAATGCCCTGAAATACAAAAATCAGAGCCCCGTGCTGTACACAAAGCCTAACCGAATAAAACGCCACAAATCACGAAAGCAGGGGCAGCGGCAACATCACTGACTAGCGGGAACCGGAGTGACGACGACTGTAGTAGAACCAGAGGGGACAAGAGGACCAGGGCCTGCAGCCTAAGCACTTATCAGTATATATCCAGCGGTAGTATAGCAGGAGGACCATACAGGAACGACGTTGGCGGCATCGCCTGCGGGCAACAGGCGGGACAGCAGAACCAGAGGCAGGCTAGACAAGGTCAGTCATTGCTTATGCTATATGCTGGAATGCCGAGAACTTACAGTTGAGGCGGAAGCAGAGGTCGAGCCAGAGCCGGAGCCTTGGCGTTCATGATGGCGATGGCGATGGCAGGAGTGTTCTTTTTTTTTGTTCTTGTTATTGCTGCTGTTGGTGCAGTTGTCTTTGCAGTAGTCGAAACGAAAGAAGAGCACCCGGTTTGCCCCTGTCCCATTCTCGTTGCTGGGAGCACCTTTGGCAGCACCGTCGGTGGGGGGGTGCTCTGCGCGTCATCCTCATCACCACTGAGGGTGAGGTTGATGACCTCCGCTGCCGGCCTCTCGTTGCCGGTCTTCGACAGAGAGTCAGGGGCCATAGCTCGATGGCCTCGACTCCGGCTGTTTGCTCGCGTTCCATCTCCTTTCTGCGCTGTGCCGCTTCCTCTTTCCGCTCAGCTGCCTCTCGGGCTCGCGCCGATTCCGCGAAGAAAGCGAGCGCGGTCGGGTGACTGGCCGTCTTCCTTCTTCCTCTCTCTCTCTCTGCTAGATGGGACGCGTAGTAGAATATAATCGATTGAAAGTGTAGAAGTTCGCTAGCGATTCCCAGTCGAGGGTGCAAGTTCTTTGCTTTGGCTTGCATCGCGTCTTGATCGAGATCAGGCGAATTCCGTCGGGGGCGTTCCAGAGCTGGTTCGATCGGTTGAGGGTACCTCGATTTTTTGCGACGACTGGGGCAGCTGGGTTTCCCAGGACAGTCGGTAATCGGGGCATCGATGTCCTTTCCACGCTGTCAGTGGCAGCAGTCGTCGGGGGAGGACAAAATGGTGGTGGTGGTGACGGAGGGGGTGGTTGCTAGGCAGAAGAAATTCAGAATTGGCACGGAACCGACTGCCTGTTACGCAAAGCGGTTAAAAAGATACGGCTAGCCGTTTTGATAGAAGAACAGTGTGATAAAGAAAATTTCCGACAGAATTTGCAGTGAAAAGTTCCCAGGCGAAGTTGTAAAAGACGTAGGTAGTGTTGTGCAGGGTGCTCACAGAAACTTGCTACTACACACGAAGGCCGGTGGCAATATTTCCTTAAATTCATACTGCCTGAGGCAGCACAAGGCGATGAAGTTGTGCAAGGCATTATATCTATTATCCACCACCAGGCATACACTGCACCGCGTCTGTATGCGTGTACTCCTTCACCATGCCCGGCTCTCAACTATGCCTAAGTCCAAAATCTTGCTCTCCAGCTAAGCTCCAATACACAGCAACATCATTATCGTAACACTTCATTTGCTGTATGTTGAGATGTCACATAGACGAAAACGCGAGCCTGGAATAGGAGATGTCGTTGCGTCAAGACCGAATCGACCCCTTTTATACACTGGTGGCTTGATGTATACGCACATATTCCCCAAGTTAGTTATATAAACTACATCAAACGTCCCGTATCCTGGGCGATCGATCACATGCAAATCATATATATTTGCTTGTCTAAGAATATCGTACGCTTGCTGTCCTTAAGTTACTACCTACTTACGGACCATTCGTCCACCCCTTAATGTCCCATTTCTACTCAGTATTACCCTCCATATTGCCACTGTTTAACACCAACACAACGAACCTAGGCCAGCACAAGCACATGCGTATTTATTCATGTAAACTGATTCATCCCTACCATTCAAATACACGTAGATGAGGCGCCAACGTTGGCAGGAAATTGCCTACATTGAATTCGAAGTATGTCTTGAGACGGGAATCGAGCGGATCTCCAACATTAGCAATCGCGGTTCACAATGACGTTAGATAGCCTTTACCCCTATCCCCTTGATAATGCACCCTAGGGGTTTCTCACACAGACGGCCAAAGGCTCCCAGGTCCAGATAGTGACGACGTCCGTTCCACCAATTGGATTCCATTAAGTCCACGGAGTAGCAGTGGCTAACTTGAGCCGAAAGTCCTGCTTGATACCAGCATCCGAAGAACAGAGTGACATTTGTTTGTCAACCAAGGAACTCACGATCAGCCAAGAGCTGGTAGTGATACTGGACGAGTGTTCATTGCATTGCGATCTATAAATCCACGTAGCAAGACCTCCAAGTCTACCTCCTGACCGAACGCCCGCCATCTTTGTCTCCAGGCCGGTCCGCTCTTGTATAAACTTCCACACTGTCATGTCCTCTCGCTCATGTGTATTCTCCCCAAGAGGCACCCTTCAGAACCCAAGTAAGACCAGTGACTCTGATGCTCATTCCCATAAACGCCTGACGGACGAACCTATCCATCACAACCATGCCCCCATAACTCCCACGCCACCATCTCAACCAGCCACCACCCCCCTCTTCAACGAGTAGTCCACCCACCACCACCATCCCCAGACCTGCTCCTCGGCCCCACGTACACCGGCGGCGCCGTATACCTCTCATCGCCAGGCCAAGCGGCCAAAAACGCGCCATCTCTCGAGGCCTGTGCCGCGTCCCGAGCCGTCCAGCAAGCCGAAGAAGACGACGTAGGCTGTGGTCGAGATGATGGCCTCGGAACAGGCGGTAGTAGGCCGTTGGCGCTGGCGAGTCCCGTTGGGGCTGGTGGTCGTTCGCTGGTTGCGTGTGGCATTTTGTCTTGGTGTTGATGATGAAGACGGAATTTATTTGGAGGGTTGGGTTGGGGTATGGTAAGAAGCTCCGATGCTGTCTGAAAGGCTCGTCTTGGTTGGTCTGGGGCTCAGAGTCTTCGAGGCGATCCTAGTGATGACGCAAGGACTGTGACTGACAGGTAGGAGAGACGTATGATTTCGGAAGCCGTCTTGCGCGCGTCTGGAAATAGATCAGTGATGGTGATGATGGTGGTGACGACGCCCGTATATAAAATATATAGGCGAATTCAAAAAGCGGAGAATCTCTAGCTCTTCGAGTTCACACTTCGTCCCAACAGCTCGAGCGACGAGAAAGGGACGACCACTCACGATAACGGAATAATAAATACAGCCAGACCTACTGGTCCTCAGCTCGCACACAACCAGGGATGGTCCCTGCCATTTGGAATATATATCCCGCAAACCTGTCTTCCAATGTTCCTCCTCCCTCTTTCCCACCCACCCGCAGCAGTGAGGGCGCCCGACCCGAGAGTCTGGAACGACTACGCAGCCGCATCCATATCGGGTCTGTGACTGTGTCTAAACAGCGAGGTTCCCACCTGTCTGACTCAGATAGGTCATATATATATATATAGAAACCTAAGCGGGTGAATCTATGGAGGCGGAGAGTACCCGGCGCAGAAGTAAGGTGACGTCGTTCATATCGAACTGATCTGAAATGGACGACTGTGTAAGGGAAGACAGCGCCGGAGAGACAATCGACACGAGTCTGGTAAGCACCCGCGGGGGATAGGGTATCGGAGAGACGTACATGTATTGATTGGGTTCGGTTCTTACCTTAGGTACTATTGGTGTGACGGCACGGCCTCGCTTCGCTTCGACCCTAGCTGAGGTCGAAGGCTGAAAGACGTCCCGGTCATACCACTCAGAGACCCTTAAGACCTCGGGGGTGGCACGGCCAATCACGAGGGAAAAGCGGAGAGAGTGTGGCTCTGGATGCCGAACTTCCCAGACACTCGTGACCAACTCACACATTGGGCAATAGTAGCGGACAGCCGTTGAGACTAGATCTTGAAGAACATCGGATTGAGTGAAACGAGCTTTGATTGCCTATCAAATCGACCGGAGTCTAGCCTCAAAGTAGTTTCCTAGCTTGCCATTATCCTCGCCGGCTTCCGAAACACATGAAAGCGCGTTTCCGTTACAGCCAAATCTGCTTTTTGCGCCGGGAATGAATCACCTTCTCGGGACCTGCAATGAAACAATTGATCGCATCATGAGGGCAGTTGGTGGATGGATGGAGTGAGGGCTGGGGTATTCTGAAACCTGACTTGACGCTCTACGCGGGCTTCTTGCCAGTGTCCTTGTCATCGGCCTCTTCCTCGCCCTCGAGCGCGGGCATGTCGTCCGAGTCTTCGTCGTCGTCATCCTCCTCCTCGCCCATGCCACCAAGGCCGCCAGGGCCACCAGCGCCGCCGAGCTTCGAGAAGTCGATGCCACCAAAGTCGCCACCGCCTGTCGGAACAATTCGTTAGCTTCAGTACTCATGCGTTCCTATATCTCCAGCTTGCATGCTCGAGAATGGCTTTACGTACCCATTCCACCCATTCCAGGCATGCCACCCATGCCTCCCATTCCTTCCATTCCGCCCATGCCACCCATTCCAGGCATGCCTCCTTTTCAAAGAGTTAGCATGTTGTTTTGCATAGTGGGGTTGCTCGGGGAAGGTAGTTAAGGAAGCTGGCTTGGTTGGACGGTGCAGGCCACCGAGAAGAATTTGCAGTGGACCAAACCGGCCTCCGGGAGTGATATCACACGATTGTCCCGAGGATGACGGCTTAGTCCAGGTGTATATGCGAATTACCATTTCAACCAGTTGACGGCGAAGATGTGGAGGGGAAGCACAGATGGGTGGAGTCATGGAGATTCACGTACCCATGCCACCGAACTGCGACATGTCCTCCTCGGGAGCCTCGTTCTGCTCGTCCTCATCGACCCACTTGTCGAAGTCGGTCTTGAGGAACTGAACCTTCTTGGGCTCCTTCAGGAGACGGGGCCAGAAGTTCTCGTCGAGCTCCTTCTTGCGCAGCTTGAACTCGACATTGCGCGAGGTGTGGTGGATCTTGCTCTCGGCGGGGTCGATCTCGCCGTAGAAAGTGATCTCAAGGTGGTAGGTTCGCTTGAGGCTATCGGAGTGGCCGTGGAAGGTCAGCGTGGTGTCCTTCAGGTCGAGCTTGATGTTCTCCTTGGGAACATCGGGAACCGAGATGGTGAGGTAGATGAAGTTCTTCTCCGGGTCCGTGTTGGAGGAGCGCTGGGCCCAGAGGACTGTGTGCGGCAGCGGGGTTAGCTCAAGACATGGCGAACGTTGGTCAGATGTTGGGATAGAAATTGTGGCTCTGCTATCGTCCGAGGCGGCATGCGACAGTCGGGCGAAGGAGACTCACCTTCGGGGGTAACCTGCGACATGTTGTTGGTGTTGTCTGTGGGTGGAGTAGAGCTCCGGTGTGAGGGTGCTGGAGGGGAGAGGTTCGGATTTATTGAAGTTGGACCAAGGTATGGTACACTGCAGACAATGATCAACGAGCCGAGGTGATCTGGCCTGGTTGTAGACGTGGGATGAGGTTGTGACTTGAAGAAAAGTCGGTGTTGTTGAAGAGGTGCAGGTTGGATGGTAATAAGGCTGGCTGGTGAAAATGAAAATGCCTGGGCGACCTGTTGATGGCACGGAAAGCTGCAACCCCACTAACCACTGACCGCTGACCAGCAATCGAAGCCCGCCGCCTGCAGGTGCCTTCAATGTTCGATTCTGTTCCAAAAGCTCAGAAGCACAGGCCCTTGTCCCTGTCCATCAGCCGGACAAGTCTGGGGTATGCTTTTCTATTCATGCTGCGTTTCTGGAACGAACTTGCAAGCTTCATAAATATTCTACGGATCTCTGGATTTTATTAGCACCTCTTTGTCTCGCAGTTACGCGTCGCACTGGCAGCTGGGTGGTACTACAATCTTGGCCTCTGTTTGAGACTACTTCGTTGAGGGACAGGGCTGAGAGAATCGGCTTTCTAGGGATCTGTGCGCTAAGCTGACCGCTCCCGTCCAGGATTGCCGCGGCCATTGGATCCTTCAATGTGGTACATTTTGCGAGACGTCTTTCTTCAAGAACTTGTGAATCGGCATCTTTATATCAACTGCATGTTTTAAGTCATCTGTCCGGGAATCATGCCCTCATTGCATTGACCATCAACAGCTGGAGGTTTGCTACAACGGAAGGGAGGAGGCTGGAGACCAGCATGGAAAGGTCCATCCTTCCCCACCCCCCTACCTACGTCACACCTATTTGTGGGCCACCTATGCGAGAAGACTGAACAAATCATTGTTTCGATGCTTGTTCTTGAACATGAGAACATGCAGATGCTCAGACGCCTCTAATATGGATTTTTGCTGAAGCCGGTGCGCAGTAAGTTGGTAGGTTGGCAGGTTGGCAGGTTAGGTACCTCATAGCTTCTAGGACTCGGGCTTTGAAGACATGGAGGACGGGATGGCGGGGTGCTTGGCGGGAGCTTAAGGTTGTTCCTGGAGGGCCCATAATTTGACTTCCCCGAGCCTCACCCACCACCAGACCACCTGCAACTTTGAACCCTCTGCCTTTGCGCTAACGTCATCGCCCTGCTTGACCATCCCCCCGTACGACACGCGATCTATGTTCGAGCACAGCCAGACCATCGAAACACAATCCCACAATCCCGTCAGCCGGTCGGGCAGTCCTCTCCCAACATGGAGAGCCTCAAATCCCTCTTCGTCAAGCCCGATCCCAATGCACAGGTACGCGCCGCGCCCTCCGTCTCCTATCGTCAGCCCTGCCCCCCGTCGACACTACCAAGCAACCCAGCATGCCTAGAGAAACGTAGTAGAGTACAGACAAGCTAACACCCTCGTCTTCCACCAAACCACAGATGCGGAAATGCAACCAACTAATAAGATCCAACCTGCGCAAGCTCGACCGCGACATCGCGCAAGTCAAAGCCGTCGAGTCCAAGACCAAGAACCTGATCACAGCCGCCGACCGGCGCGGCCAGCGCAACCCATCCCAGCGCACACAGGCGCAAAAGGAAGCCCGCGACTTCGCGCGCGAGCTGATCCGCGCGCGGCGGCAGTCGACGCGCCTCGTGACGAGCAAGGCCCAGCTCAGCAGCGTCCAGATGCAGGTCAACGAGGCCTTCGCCGTGCGCAAGATCGAGGGCAGCATCCGCGCCTCCGTGGGCGTCATGAAGGACGTCAACAGCCTGATCCGCCTGCCCGCGCTCGCGGGGACTATGCAGGAGCTTAGTGTGGAGCTCATGAAGGCGGGGGTCATCGAGGACATGATCGGCGACACCCTGCCCGTGGATGACGATGGGCTGTTCGAGGACGACGAGGCGGAGGCCGATGGCGAGGTCGATAGAGTGCTGGGCGAGATACTGAAGGGCCGCATGGACAAGTCGGGCTCGCTGCCGAGTGCGCCGGTTGCGCAGGAGCCGGTGCCGGCGCAAGCGGAGGAGGAAGAGGAGGAGGACAACGAGGCTATGATGGACCAGATGAGAAACAGGCTGGAGGCGCTGAGGAGTTGAGCTGGTTGGTTGACTGCCTTTCTATAATCTTCATCATCACCATTACAACGGCGTTTCGGAGTGGGCGGCAATACAGGGTTGACGGTCTTCATGGCTAGGTTGGTTGTATTGGATTTTGATTCAGCTACGAAGTTCACGATGAAGACCACCCCCGTCCGTGGAACGCATATATACAAGACTACGGCATCAACATTTGCTCATATCGCCTCAAGTAGATTCTGAGTGTGAGCGTGGTCACTGCAAGAACTATGCTCCGCCCTGTGGCTGCGTGATAATAAGTATGCAAGCAAAGGCCGAATTTGCAACCCGTGAGTAATGGTGTAATGGTAACAGATTATACATCCATTGCGCTCCGCATCGATCTACACCTTGCGGGCCAGACAACTAGCACCTTAGAAAGGTCTTAAAGATGGTTTTCGTAACAGTTAAAAGCCTATCGGTTCGACCCCTCCTGATTGTGAGCTTTTGGTTCTTTTTTACTTTTTTACTTTTTTACTTTTCTGCCTTTCTTGCCTTTTTGCAGCATGCATGCACCCTTTTCTTAGGTGCACTTTCTGGTCTTTCGTAGTGGTACCTTACGGCATTGGTTGTTTGACTTGGGCGTCTCGTTGCAACAACTCTGGCCCGTTGTTCCTGCCCTGGAAAGTCCCATCTTGAGGCAGCTGAGTTGAGACTTGCCACTCATCTCCAGGACCACTTCGGCGTAGACGAGAAGCGCAAGCCCTCCTGCCCCTGATCGTCCGCCGTCCAATCCCAACTCGGCGCCGTGAACACGTCCTTCGCAAACTTGTCCGCGCCCATGGCATTCTCAAACCTCAGCCGCTGGTCACCGGCAAGCGACCGCGTGTAGCGGAACGGCTCGCCCTCGTCTTGCGTCTTAGCATCCTCCCCATCGGAAGGCATCCAAGCCGTAGCCCGGCGGTTGCCCTTCCACGCCCCGCGCGAGATCGGCACCGAGTTCGCCGACAGCAGGCCCTGGATGAAGTCCAGAACGGGCAGCATCTTGGTGCGCAGCCCGCAGTTCGTGTGGTTCTTGTCGATCTGGTAGCTCGGGCACTGCCGCAGCGTCGAGAGGACGGCGTCGACCTGCAGCAGCGCGGTGTCCGTGATCGTGTCGTACGATCCCGGCGAGAAGTCGACCAGGAACATGAGGTTCTTCTTCGTGAGGAATTTGAACATCTCACCTAGTTGATATGAATCGCACGCCGCGCTCGAGTCGTAGCCGAGCTTGCATTGCTGCGTCCGCGATGCGTAGAGGCTCATGAAGTGCCGCTGGACCGACGCGATCGTGTTCAGGACGCCGTGGCGGCGGTACTGCAGTTCTTCTGCGCCCGAGGTTAACATGCACATGGCCAGTGGATGGGATGGGGTTTACTAAGTAAGTCGCTAGGGGTGGACTTACGCTCGAGGCCGTCTTGTAGATACCACCACGTAGCGTCTGAAGACTCATCCTCTTCCTCGTTGAAAGACCTCCAGCGACAAGAACCGTTCATGATGAGCTCGCGGGTGGCAGCTTGGAATTTGCCCGGCTGGTTCAGCAGCCAGGATACGAGGATCTTCTGGCGCAGGATGTTCTCGTTGTTGCGACTCATGCTCGACACCTCGTCCCTGACGGGTTTGCGGCTGGTCACGGGCCACTTGAATTTCAGCCCTGTTGAGATGTACTTGGAGATGGCACCCGTGCAGTCGAATCGGTCTGCAAGGACGGCCAGCGTGCTTACGAAGGGCATACTAACGACCTTCGTAGCCACCTCCTGACCATGCAGGATGCGCAGGAGGTCAGCAAAGGCGCCATCCCGATTCGCATAGTGAGTAGCCTCGTCATCATCGTGGATCTTGACCCACGGCAGCTCCTGAGCATCGGCCGTGCTCGGCTTGATATTCCGCACAGACAGCGCAGCAAAAGCGCTCAGGATGTCCTTCGTCTCCCTGAAGCGCGCATCGCCCAGTAGCTTCTCAAAGTACTTGGACTGGCCCTTCAGCACACCGAGATCGACACGGAACGCAAGGCGGACCCTCGCTTTCGGCACTGGCTGCGGTTCCTGGCTAGCCAGCTTCGGCAGCGCTCTCCGCGCAGCTACGACCGTATCCTTCGAGTTTTCAAAGGTCACGTCCAGAATAATATCTCCATTGCTGGCGATTGTGACCACCTCAGGGAGCCTGACGCGAGTGCTCGGGTCTGACGATGATTCTCCGTCGGGAGCACCGCTTGAGTCGTCCATCCGGTCTGTCTCCGGTGTGAGGCAATACCTTGAAGACGCAAGCAGTCGAGGGTCTCATCAGCCCTTCGGTGCCGTGTATTTCCTGGAGACCCAAGCAGTACTCGGGTGCCCTTATAGCGATGTTGGCTGTTGGGTACTTGGAGAAGTCGGTAGAAAGCACTCGCCGGTGCCGGACGAGTTCGCCTGGGCTGAGATTGGTGGGTAAGGCGTGAATGAGTACAAGTAGTGGAAAGTTGATATCAGTGAGCGAAAGTCTACCTAGCCAGACATCGACAGGAGGAAGCCTTGCTTTCAGTGTAGTCGTATTGCGGTCCAGTCTTGCGAATAGAGCCGCACCCCGTTGCGTGGTGACATTCCCGTCGCTGACAACGACAGACATTTACGGAATAAAGCGGGCCTTGGTCCGTGCATGGGTAGGTCATATCTTGGCGTAATCCTCGCCCCTGCGATATCTGGTCCTTCTGTTCTCACTCAAGAGTCATCAGCAACACTCCAATACCTTAACCAAGATATAGTACGTCATTTCGATTGCATTATGTTTCTGATCTACTAGCCCCGTTCACGCGTGACTTTACTCCTGATGAAGTGTCACGGACGTGCGGCCCCGAGTGATATTCTCCGCCGCCTCTTAGATGCCCTCTTGGGAATCACTTCGTGAGACCTGTGGCTAAGCTTCAAGCCTTATCATCACTGCTGCTCTTTTAAGCTATTGTTGTCATCTCAGAGACCTGACGTTTGGTGCCACTGCTAGTGACCGCGGTGTCTTCGCTGGATCCGCTGTGATGGTCAACCGTGCTGGCTGTGCCCTGCTTCGCTTTCAACAACGGCCAATGACCCTTCATTTCGCGGTACCTCATGACCGCAAATGAGAGCGCCATTGTGATCCAATAGAGGTTGTAAGATATTACCGAGCCGTAAGTGGCCGAGTTCGTCCATCCGAGAATGGCATTGAAGATTCCCCAACCGCCGCCACCACCGTTCTCCGGGTTACAACACTGCAGTACACTGTCAACAAAGGTCAATACCGATGGTAGGATAACAACACTCACGTTCACATGCCAGACGCTCTTGCCAATGTCATACGACCCAGGCCCGTCTCCCAGCTCAGCAGCGTCTGACCCAACGATATTGTTCCATTGCTGCGCCTCGAAATACCAGACGGCACGGGAGAAGAGACCCGCGGCGACGAGGTAAAGCAGGCAGGTCGAGACAATCAAGAAGTACTGCAGCTTCGCTGTAGTGCCGCCTCTGGATCATGTCAGCGTACCATAAGTCATCGTTGTCCTAGAAGCTTACCTGTATAGGGCGTAGCCAGCGAGTGAACCCACGATCAGCCCGACCACTACGGCCAACGGGACAGCGGTCGCTGGAGCTGAGAAGGAAACACCGGCGATGAAGACGATTGCTTCGATACCCTCCCGCAATACCGTGATGAATGGCAATATGAACATCGAATACTTCTCGCCGAAATGCTTGAGCCACCCGCTTCGACGACTGGTTGTCTTCAACGGGGCCTCAAGCGCTTTCGCCAGCTTGACCCGCCACTTCTCTTGCATCTTGCCGACTCGAAGAAGGGCGACGCCGACGACACTGATGATGAGGGATGCGAAGACGGCGAAGGCGCCTTCGTAGTAGTATTCGTTTGTATCCCAAGCGTCTCTACCCACGGTGTAGAAGGCGCCGATCAGCCCACCGGCGACTACGAGGCAAATTAAGAAGCCTAGTCCTACACCAAACCACACCTAAAACCCAGCTGTCAGTCTGGTTTCCGGTCGATATCAACGTCATTACGGAGGGCTTCAAACCTGCTTGACGAGCGTCTTGTACACCTTGACATCTCGGTTCGGACCGTCGAGGGTCTGCTTGAGGAAAGCCAAGAGCACCGAGACGATGATGACTGTCTCGAGTGTCTCGCGGAACACCACGAGGAACACCGGGACGGAGAACACTTGATCTGCCGAAGCGACCATGTTGACGTCGGAATCAATTGAGAAAAACAAATGCCCCGTGGGCAGGTGTGTATGGACTGGGAAGGGGCCGAAGATATGGTGGCGCGGAGGAATCAGCGACTCGCTGAGATTATCGGTCGATCTGATAAAGTCAATCAGATGAAGTCAATCAGATAAAGTCAATCCGATAAAGTCGATCAGATAATTTGTGGGTGGGGCGTGAGCCGCAGACGCCCCGACCTCGAACCCTCCAATACGAGGGCCAAACTTCGAATCCGCGGCCGATAGCGGAACAGAGTGCGTCGTCGATGCAAGCTTGTCACTTTCCTAGCACCAATCTACCACTGGCCGGAGAGTCTCTGCTGATGGTGTTTGAATCACAACGATCCTGGCAAACATGGATAGAGTTTTGCTTCAGAGAAAAGGAAGGCGCCAGGTCTCCAGGTTGCCCGCGAAGCTCGCCTGATCCGAAGAGGGGATTCTAATTTCTTGGGCTATTGGCTGAGAAGTTGAAGTTGGGACCCTGGACTCCTGGTGACCGCCCGGGTTCCTCCCCCATCCCACCTCCGGGCAGGCTCTCATGTACCTGCAACACAAGCTTCTCCAAGAATTTTTCGAAATCCCTGCTGCATTGTTGTTAGCCGAGGGATGTCTCGTTTATTTGGTGCTTTGATACTGGTTCACTATGCAGCGCTTGCCGACAAGTTCTGCATGGGTTTGCCCATCATCTCGGGCCAGGGGCTTTGCAAGTTGCAACTGAAGACTGTGGATGGGAACCGCTGCTTTTCGTCTCTCCCTGCAAGCCTGACTGCCTGACTTCTGCCAGCGGTGAACATTGAAATTGGGTATTGATCGTAGCACAAGGGAACACGTGAGTACCCGGTAATCTGGTGTAAGTTGACCCCTCTCCGGGAACAGTACCAGTGATCCAGCCGTGTGCAACTCCGTGCTACCTCCAGCGCAAGCCCACGATTGATAAAAAAGCCGCAAATGAAGTCGACCTTTTTAGCTGCAGCCTGCAGGACGAGAGTCAGGCGTTATCAGATCTTGTTCCTCGGCCGCTAGTCTGCATTCGTGAGGAACAATTTGTAAACGGGAACCTCCGATCCGTTCGTCCACGCAAGCTCTTTTTTTCCCTCCCAAGCTACCCCGTACGAGAATCAGGAGATCGAATGGAATATCAATGATCATCTCCAAATGCCTCCACCGGCTGGTCGAGAACCCGAGCTGCCAAGGCTAGCAGACTCTGTTAGCCCTGGGCTCTCAGCGTATGAATCGCGGCAGTTGCGCCTGGACATTATTTCGTGGTGAAGAATCATGCCATTGGGTGGATTACGGCCGGCGCTATGGCCTCTCACCGGATCAGATAAGTGTATGTACCCAACGGTGTGCCCATGCCTTGCATGTGGTGCATGGGGGATCATTGGTTCATCGATGGACTGATTGATAAGATAATCTTCCACCATCCACCAACCACCTGGACTGTGGACACCATCCCGAGTGGAAGCACGACCTGCTGCATGAATACCTTCCAAGTTGTTGCCGCCTTCTCGAGTCTCAGTCCAGCAGCTCCATCCGATACCGATACCGCTTGGTGACCTGAACATCTGTGAGCGCATCTGAGCCTCACATGAGCTTCTCTAGACAAGCAAGCTGAAGCCTCACAGCTTTCCGTTTTGTTTTCTCTTCTATTGAACAGGATTTATTCGTCAAGGTACAAACGCTTGCATCATTACATGCCCAGGCCATTCATTTATGGGACAGTTGGTTGTAATAACGACCAATTCGCTGCGCCTTCGACTGCAGACCATCTACCTAGTACCATCCTGTCCTTCGCCAGCCTGCTGTCACTACACTTCTGTCGGTTGCCTTTGCCCCCAATCCGTCCATTCTCCATGGGGTTTTCATCAGGGCGCCTTGCAATACTTCTGATCTGCGCAATTGGTTTCGTCCATTCGTCTAGAGCAGCAACTGTCACCTATGACTTCAACGTAACATGGGTGACGTCGAATCCGGATGGCGCTTTCGAGAGACCTACCATTGGCATCAATAACCAGTGGCCGGTTCCACGGATATCGGCAGACATTGGCGACAACGTTGTGGTACATGTCACCAATCAGCTGGGAAACCAGTCGACATCTCTGCACTTCCACGGCCTCTTCATGAACGGCAGTACGCATATGGACGGGCCTGCGCAGGTTTCGCAGTGTGGGATACCTCCCGGTTCAAGTTTTACCTACAACTTCACCGTGAGAAGCGTCTATTTCTTATGGCTTATGTGCTACGAGCTAACACGTCAAAGATCAACCAACCTGGTACCTATTGGTATCATTCCCATACTGGGGGTCAATATCCAGATGGCTTACGAGGACCACTCGTCGTACACGACCCGGAGTCTCCCTTCCTCGGTCGATATGACGAAGAGCTAGTCCTGACAGTATCGGACTGGTATCACGACCAGATGGCAGACATGCTACCTACTTTCATCAACAAGGGCAACCCGACAGGCGCAGAGCCAGTCCCACAAGCAGCGCTGTTCAACGACACCCAGAATCTGAAGGTCGCAGTCGAGCCAGGCAAAACCTATCTCTTCCGCATGATCAACATCGGCGCATTTGCTGGACAATATGTATGGTTCGAGGGCCACAACATGACCATTGTCGAAGTAGACGGTGTGTATCACCAGCCTGCCGAGGCTGAGATGATATACATTTCAGCTGCTCAGCGCTGCAGCTTCATGGTGACGACCAAGAATGAGACTACAGCCAACTATGCGTTCGTAGCAAGCATGGATACAGTGAGTTGGACTTACTCGAGTGACTCTTGTGGAGGGATCGCTGCTGATATGCTCACTACCAGACACTGTTCGACACAATACCCGAGGGTCTGAACTACAATGTGACCGGATGGCTTGTCTACGATGATGCCAAAACATTGCCAGAGCCCACGCTGGTTGACGAACTGGATCCCTTTGATGATATGACCTTGGTCCCAAATGACAACCAGACTCTCCTCGGCGAGCCCGACAAGATCATCGAGCTGGATGTGATCATGGACAACCTCGACGATGGAGCCAACTAGTGAGTGTACACGCCGTGTCCGGCCTAAACGTTGGCTTACATAAAGCAGTGCCTTTTTCAATAACATCACCTACAAAGCACCGAAAGTACCCACTCTCTACACAGCTCTTTCTGCCGGAGAACTAGCCACGGATCCTACTGTCTACGGCGACTTCACCCATTCATTCGTGCTGGAGAAGGGAGAGATCGTGCAGATAATCGTCAACAACCTCGACAGCGGGCGACATCCCTTTCACCTTCATGGCCACCATTTCCAGGCCTTATACCGCTCCGTGGAGGAAGGCGGGACGTTCGAAGATGCTAAGCTTACGGAGGCCGACTACCCTGCTATACCCATGCGTCGTGATACTCTGGTGCTATACCCCGATGGCAACATCGTTCTACGCTTTCGGGCTGACAATCCAGGTGAATACCTACAAGCGCTTAACGTGGAAGATCCGAGGGGTTATCAGCTAACGATGTTCAGGAGTTTGGCTTTTTCACTGCCATATCGAGTGGCATGTAAGCTCCGGCCTCATCGCAACTATGGTAGAGGCACCACTCGATCTCCAGAATACCATATCCATTCCGAGTGACCATCTGGAGGCCTGTGCTGCCCAAAACATCGCGACAGTCGGCAACGCTGCGGCTAACACGGCAAACTTTCTTGACCTAAGCGGCGAGAACCGTGCTCCTAACCGGCTGCCTGATGGGTGAGTGACCAACCTGGGGTTACATATAGGCATGACTCACTAAAACTCGATAGATTCACAACACGCGGTAAAGTTGCCTTGGCTTTCAGCTGTCTGAGTGGTATCCTCGGGGTCGCCATCGTCGCATCGTACGGCCTGGCACCCGATCCAGGATCACATCCTCACATGGAGCACCGTATTGCAGAGGCACAAGTGGTGGATCCGCCAACAGCAAGTCCTGCGGCTGTATCTGAGCCGAAGGAGGCCCCGCTCGTGACTACTGGCTCGGGGGGCGGCAGCTCCAGGAGTTGACCGGTGGAGGCAAGGTTCTAGCGGAGACGACTGCTTTCAGTCCTGATGGCATTTCGGCGCGCTGCGTGAAAATGATGTATATTTGACAGTGGCAGGCATCGCCTTGACATGTCCTGCCCGGGCATGCAGATGAATAAAATGAATGATACCACTGTCTTGGACTCACCAGATTACCTAACTCTTTGTCTCAAACCGCCCCTTTCCTTGCCTCCGGATGACTACGCGACGGATGTCTACCACCACAGTAGAAAGCCCCAGCGATCACATAGAGCTCATATGCTTTGCAACTGGTTCGGAGCACGTAAGCATGAAAGTCAGCAAGTCTTCAAAGCATACAACCACACCACGACAAGGCCAAACTCTGAATGGGAAATTTTCGCTGTGACTCACCATCTCCAGCTACTCAAGGGACATATATTTACTTTCCACATGCCAGACAACCACAGCACATCACCGAGCCTCCAGCCGTTGCCCAGCAGTACACCTCGATGAGGCTTCATCATTCACCCAACCACCAGTGTCACCTAGGTAGCCATCTCCAATACGCCTTGCCCCTGACGACCACAACCCCACCCACCAATCCATGGATTTCCTCTACAAGTACCTGCGCTCCCTCCCCAGATTTTCGATTACTTTCCTCTCTTTCTTCTCCTCATCCGAGTGCAAGGGCGTTACGAGTACAGTGAGGAGCAATCCGAGTGCTCGTGTTTGCTAATTGAAAACTATTACATGACCACTCCCAGTTGGGCTTTGTCCCGGCTGGGGAATATTTGGAAACACAATCAGGGCATTATCTAAAGTAACTGCCTATGGTATCTGTTCTTTTCGTTGTCGTCTATCCCGTGCGGATGGTGATGAGGAGGAGACGTTCTTGTCTGTATGTCTGTCTGTCTTCCCTCGTGTCTGCCTGTCTATGTGCGTCCGTGTCTACCTACCTGCCTGCCCGGCCTACCTCCTACATGACTGTTTCTTACCTATGGCTGGCTGCCTTTACTGCGGCTTCGTCGCTACAGTGGAGGCAGGTGGCTGGTCGACAGCAGTAGTAGAGCAGCGCAAAGACGACGAAGCCATGAACGGAGGTATCAAGTACCGCGTCGAGGCGCGAGCCGTACCGCAGCTCACGATACTTTGGGAATATCCGCGGACGGCAGGACGCCTAGGGATACGAGAATGCGGGTTCACCGCCTCTTATGGGCTTCACACGTATGCTGTCTGCGATGCTGGCAATATTGAGTACAGACATACTGTATAGCACCGTCACCAGTCATCGCCACCGGGATTGCCGTCACCACACGTAAACACATACTATATATTATCGTACATGTCGATCAAAAGCAGCATACAAAGGTGAATCAGCAACTACCCGCCCACAAACCCAAGTTCAAATCCCCACACTGCACAATCTCCAGTCCACATCAAGCATATACTCCTCCCTACCCTTCCCGCGCGGCAATGGTCGAGTCCATCCTGCCATATCATCGATGTCTGAGACCTGTAGTAAGTAAGTACTAACTAAGCCTTCATCTCACATGACTTACATTACCGAACCTCTTATAGTATGTACATCTGCCCACCTGCCTCACGCGCCGCAAAAGAAGCTTTTCCGAGTTAGCATTCCACAACTTTAGACAACCTGCGTAGCAACATTAGGGAAGTTTGGAACGCCGAGAACCAGTTAAGGCCAGACGGGGAAAGAAGTAGATCATGAGGAGACCACAGTCAACAGACCAGAAGGCTGTTTCGTTAAGGCTCGTCGAAACCGCTGTAGATAACAAAACGTTCCATAGATGCTGGTCTTTAAGTCACGCCTGGGTATGAATCTGTTCGTCGGGCGCCCATGCATCGAACTCATATGGACGTTAGCGAAATATCTACCCATGAGGTACACTCAGCCCTCATAAGTCTCCGTACGCGCTATGTTGGAAGAATTCTAGATCACACGTGAAAATTTGGGAATACTGGAATACATGTAAGCAGCTTACAGGTACAAAGTCATTTTCGATGCTTATTACAGCCTGCTTGTTCTACTCAGGATTAACGCACCTTTCGCTTGGTGGACGAGGAGGGTACGGAGACTTATGAGGAGTGAGTGTATCTATCAGACTTAAAGGGCTCGAGAGACAACACGGACAATTTTGGCAAGTTAAAAGGGAATTAGGATGGATTTCTTGCTATACAGCTCACAAAGGGAACTCGATTGTGCTAGGGAACTCCTCAGACCGCACCGCTCTCCTTTTCTAGATATACACAGGGCACCACCTCCCCCCAGAGCAGCTTCTATTTAACAGTGGCCAAAACTAGCTCTTTACGTCGACTTCTCCAGATCAGCCAAGATCTTCTCTCCCTTCGCTCTGGCTGAACCAAAGTCACCAACCATGTAGAAAGCACCCTCGGGCATGTCGTCACCCTCACCAGCCAGGATGGACTTGAAGGACGAGATGGTGTCCTTCAGGTCGACCAGCTGACCCTCGATACCAGTGAAAACCTGGGCGACGGTGAAAGGTTGAGACAGGAAACGCTGGATCTTTCGGGCACGCTCGACAGTAAGCTTGTCAGCTTCTGACAGCTCGTCCATACCCAGAATGGCAATGATATCTTGCAGCGACTTGTACTCCTGGAGGATCTGTTGGACACGGGTGGCGGTATCGTAGTGGTCCTGACCGACGATACGGGGGTCGAGCATACGAGACTTGGAGTCGAGAGGGTCGACAGCAGGGTAGATACCCAACTCGGAGATACCACGGGACAAGACAGTGGTGGCGTCCAAGTGAGCGAAGGTGGTGGCAGGGGCAGGGTCAGTCAAATCGTCAGCAGGGACGTAGACGGCCTGGACGGAGGTAATGGAACCCTTCTTCGTGGTGGTAATTCGTTCTTGCATTTGACCCATATCAATGGCGAGAGTGGGTTGGTAACCGACGGCAGAGGGAATACGACCTAGCAGAGCAGACACCTCAGAACCGGCTTGAGTGAAACGGAAGATGTTGTCGATGAAGAGAAGCACTATCAGGTTGTCAGCCACAGCAGATCAGAATTGAGAATCCGGAATCATTCATACCATCCTGGCCTTCGGCGTCACGGAAGTACTGTTTTTGTTATACGTTAGCATCCTGTCTTTAATTCCGTACGACCCTTTTCTAGATGAAGAGGAAAGGGAACAACAAAGCTTATTCTCGAAACCAAGGCTCAGGGTCTTGTGATGGGATGTTTCTATACGTACCTCAGCAATAGTGAGACCAGTCAGGGCGACACGGGCACGGGCTCCCGGGGGCTCGTTCATCTGACCGAACACCAGGGCAACCTTGGAATCGCCGTCGAGCTGAATGACCGAGGTCTCCTGCATTTCGTGGTACAGATCGTTACCCTCACGGGTACGCTCACCGACACCAGTGAAGACAGAGTAACCACCGTGAGCCTTGGCGATGTTGTTGATGAGCTCCTGGATGAAGACAGTCTTGCCGACACCAGCACCACCGAAGAGACCGATCTTTCCACCACGAGCGTAGGGAGCGAGCAGGTCGACGACCTTGATACCGGTAACCAGAATCTCGGCTGATGTGGATTGCTCGATGAACTGCGGGGGATCAGCGTGGATGGGCAGGAACTTGTCGGTCTTGATGGGTCCACGCTCGTCGATCGGGTCACCAGTGACATTTATGATGCGACCGAGAGTGGCAGGGCCGACGGGAATTGTGATAGGGGCGCCAGTGTCGGCAGCCTTTTGGCCACGGGTGAGACCCTCGGTACCTAGTCAAGACGTGAGCTCTGGGTCCGGATTGAAGATTTTGATCGATGACCTACCGTCCATGGCAATGCAGCGGACGACATTCTCACCGAGATGTTGCTTCGAGGATGTTAGCGAATCTACAAAACTAGCTGATCCAGGCCGATGGAACCTACGGAGACCTCGAGGACCAGCTTCTGGCCGTTGTTGGTCGTCGTCAGGGCGTTCAGAATCGGGGGGAGCTTCGCCGTGTCGAACTTGACTAGAGAGTATGTGTCAATAGAGCTCTCAGACGGGTTTTCGAGCGCAATTGAAAGCTGTAAAGCTTTTCACTAACCATCGACAACGGCACCGATGACCTGTTCATTGACCCATTAGCTCTGAAACCCCTGTGTTGTCCGGCAAGCTTTGCAAGCTATGCGTGGTCCCAACTCACCTGGTAGACTTTGCCATCACCAACACCACTCGATGTGCTCGCGAATCGGCTGCTGAGAGGGAATCGGAAAGGAGCGGGCTTTGCTACGCGCCGCGAGGCAGCCGAGAAGGCCGGGCGGGCGAAGGAGGAGATGCGGCTATTCGGAAGGACTGTTGTCAGCTGAATTGACCCCAATTGCCGGCGGGTGCGAATCAAAACTAATGCGATGGGCGTCTACTGACCTCTTGAACATCTTGGAGGATGACGAGCTGCGATAGAGGATGGGATGGTGAGGTCGGTGATGTGGTTCTGCTGTAGCAGAGAAGGAAATGAAGAAGAAACAAAAACCGCAACGACATGAATTGCTCCGAACCGAACTAGTAAGGTCACGTGGCTTGCGCCTCTGCCAGCTTGTTTGACGCATACCCCGGATATGAGCATACGCCGGGAAAATGGGTATCCGCAAATTTAGATTGCACTTATCTTAGTCATTCAGTCTTTGTCCGCAGGGGTAAACTCGAGACACACTTACATCTATGAGGTAGGTTCTGCCAAATAATAAATGTCAAATGCTGACGAAGTGTGGTATAAAATGCTAGATAGGTGGTATACAAACAATGAAGTCTTGGTCTATGCAAATCAGTGTCCCAATGCCACGCAGGATACCTGTTCCATATGGCTAAACCAGACACCTATATCCCGGAACTCCAGTGCCCTTTATGCCTACTTGGTAATGGTCCCCCCAGCCCCGACACTCCAGCGTATTTACAGCATAGATCGCCGTAGACCACCCAATGACTTAGTGGTGCGTGCCGAGTCTCCTGCTGGTTGAAGTCTGACCTCCCCTATGTGTATCATTCATGCATCATGACCATCTCCCGAACCGCCGCGCCCAGACTCCCATAACGTCAAAGCCATCAAGACGCAGCTTGGACTCTATCTTCGTACCTCCACGTCTCTTCTTGCTTAGTCCCCCGCGTAAGCCAAGCAGCATTGCTGCTTCCTCGTTGTCGCCCCTTGCCCACGTCATCACTCTTCTTAAAGTCTTCGTTTGCGGCAGCAGCTTGCGAGGAGTGGCCGTTGGTGTACGGGTAAGAAGGAGTAGAGCCGTTTAACAAGGACATAGGGCTTTCGAAGACAGAGCCTCCTCCGTTCTGCGTCGTCGACCCTTGGGCCGTGTTCAAGGGGAGTATTGGCTGCCCATGTTTCGAACTCTGGCTCAGAAGGCGCGCTCTTCGATCCGCCTTATTGCTGTCATTCGTCCTGTCATACAAATACAGACCAACGAACGTAAGTGCAATGCCCACAGCTTGAAGCGGTGTTGTTGGGTTACGGAACCACAAGATTGCCACCACGATGATCCATACCCGCTTGATCAACGACGCAACAGAGTAGGTGACGGGCGAGACCATAGACAACAGAACGAAGGCTAGGATATTCTGTCCAAAATGGAACGTTCCGTTGAATAGAAATTCCATAGTCAGACGGCCGTGGTCGAAACTGTTTGGTTGAGCAGACAGATCCAGGGCACCATCATGAACAAAATCACGAATCAGACCGATACCTTCACTCCAAAACCATATCGGAGACGTCAGCACAAAAGCCATTCCCGAGGAATAGCATAGAAGATTCAGCTTATCGAGCTTGCGGGACTTGGTCGCTTGTCCATCGGCTTCCGCCCTCGCGGCTTCGTTGAACAACCGCTTGGAGAAGATGTTCTGGGTCACGAATATGATAGTCGCCAGGAGAGCATAGAGTATTCCCAGCATATCGCCCTTGAAGGTATGGTTCGAGGAGCATGCCAACATGACGCCAAGCGTGAGCGGTATCAGTGAGTAGTATGTAGCACGCGGGTATCGGATGTCGAAGATGAACCGGTATGCGAAGACGGTGAACAGAGGCGAGAGCCCCTTGACGGTATGGACCATGGAAACGGGGATCTTCGAGGTGGCGGTAGCGCTCAGCAAGTGACCGCCGATCTGGAATGCGGCGAGTGGCAAGGTGGTCATAATGACATCTCTTGATGGTGATCGTATTGGGTTATGTAGTGCCGGTATTTTGGTTCGTATGGTGGGAAACACAGACGCCAGCCACGAGGACATGATGCAGTAGAAGGCAACCAGGAAGAATTGTATCATGGTTAAGGTCGCAGGTTTGTCGAAGGCGTTCAGAATCGACTTGGAAGAGGTGTTGGTTAAGGCGGACGACATGTACCACATAACGCAAAGACCCTAAGTTTCGCAGTGTTAGCAGAGAGGTCCAGCAGATGGGAGCGGTCTTGGCTCGACGTACAATGAGTTTGGGAGATATTGGCGCCCGCAGAGCATCTGCTAGCTCATGAGCATTCTGGCTGACGCTCCCACTACGACCCCTAATCGTCCGGAATGCGTCGCCTATGCTCTTTTGTCGGCCGTGGCCCCGAGAGACTGAAGCGGCGGCCGGTGGTCCCAATGAGGGACCCCATCTTACACCCTTCGTCGGGGCCATATCTCTGCGTGGCAGCCACCGCTCCGGATTCGCCTGGGTTCCTCCATTTATACCGACCCCATATCCATTCAGGCCAGCGGGGCTCAGGGATCTTGCGCCAATGCCGCGCATGGCTGGCGAGTCGATATGGTCTGGGAACTTCTCAAGTCCGGAATCGGCATCGCCATCGCCGGGGTGGTCTCCCAGAGTTTTGGTGCTCGATCGCGAGACGGAGGACTCTCGGACGTAAGTGCCTGATGTCGTGGAATGAGGCATGACGGCGGTGCGAGTTGGTGGATGTAACGAGCGACAAAGAAGCAAGGCCCAAAGATTCGTGGCAGAGAACTTCACGGACTCATTGCTCGACTGTGACTGTTCAGCCAGACGGTTGTCTAGCAAGGTGTCCCAAGAAGCGCACTACCAATTGTCGATTTCGGATGGGTGAGATGGGTGAGTGAAGTGGGCGGAATATGTAATGGACTGATTTTCATAGGGATCTCCAAGATGCTCGACTGAACATACGAGGGTAGGTTGATGTACAATTGTACATAAAATAGTAGCGGGAGAAGGATTGCGGCAAACGCGATTGAGGCGATCGCATTGAAGCCTAGAGTCCCTGCAGGTGTTCAATGGGGAGCTGCAGCTGCTGCAGTGAAGCCGCTAAAACACGCGCGGCTTGCAAGTTGCAGGGGCTATTTTTACAATAAGCTACCCCCACTTTACATTGATTTTGCGATTGAGCATGGACCCACCAGCACCTGGCAGTCAATCGGCAAAACTTCAACATTGTGACCGCGACCAACTTGGAAGTCAGCCTCGCCGCGCCGCCACACATTGCGTGTGTGCTAATAACTTCCACTGTCGACGCCATCTCATCACATTCAGCCTATCCCCATTGTCACCCCCGATACGTGCTATTCATCACTATTATTCGCAGTCGAGTGAACCATTCACCCATACCTACCCTTGGAGGCGCGCTCGCTGCCAACCTGACAAGATGGTGGCTCCGAAGATGACCAAGAACCAGATGCGCCGCGCCAAGAAGAAGGCAGAGAAGCAGGCGAAACCAGAAGTAGATTATGCCCCAGTCAGTGGAAGTCGAACCACGCGCAATTCTGACGTGTTCCAGGAATCTGCCCAGGCGAGCGAGACAGATCAGGTCGAATCGAATAAGGACGAAACCGAAGTGGCCGCAGATATCACCCAGTCAAACGATGCATCGGAGCTCGAGGTCAAAAAGGAACCTGCGTCGTCGGACAATATCCCTGCCGATGGACCCGTCGACGAGTTTGATCTTGCGAACGAGGATCCGGCCTATTCCATGTACAAGGACATCTTCAGCAAATTTGGCGCATCAAACGACGAGGATGAAGTTGCAAAGGAGGCCAACGCTGGCAACCAGGGCGAGATTTTCTTTGCCGATGACGACGACATACCCGACGAGGAAGAGGAAACTGCTGGGCCGAACAAGATGTCCAAGAAGAAGCGGAAAATGTTGAACAAGCTTTCTATCGCCGAGCTGAAGGCACTGGTCAGGAAGCCCGAAGTTGTCGAATGGCACGACACATCATCATCGGACCCCCGGCTCCTGGTCCAGATCAAGGCACAGCGAAATGTCGTTCCCGTCCCTACACATTGGTCACTCAAGCGCGAGTACCTATCGTCGAAGAGGGGAATTGAAAAGGCTGCCTTCAAGCTTCCCAAGTTCATCGCAGACACCGGCATCTCCGAGATGAGAGACGCCGTGCTGGAAAAGCAGGCAGAGCAAAGTCTGAGGCAGAAGCAGCGCGAAAGAGTGCAGCCGAAAATGGGAAAACTGGATATCGACTACCAACGGCTCTACGATGCTTTCTTCCGCTTTCAGAGCAAGCCCACCTTGACACGTTTTGGTGAGGTGTATTACGAAGGCAAAGAATACGAGACGAACCTACGGCATCTTCGACCTGGTGAGCTGAGCGATCCCCTAAAAGAGGCGCTTAGCATTCCTCCCGGTGCTCCTCCGCCGTGGCTCATCAACCAACAGCGTTTTGGACCTCCTCCTTCATACCCCTCGCTCCGCATCCCTGGGCTCAATGCCCCTATTCCGGCAGGAGCACAATGGGGCTTCAATCCTGGGTGCTACGGAAAGCCGCCAGTCGATGACTACAACCGACCGCTATTTGGTGGAGATATATTTGGTATAATGCAACCAAACCAGACAGCTCCACCACCTGGCGAACCTGTAGAGCGCAACATATGGGGAGAATTACACGAGCCGGAGGAGGAGTCCGAGGAAGAGGAAGAGGAGGAGGAAGAAGACGACGAAGAGGATGAAGATGTTGGAGCAGGCTTACAGACGCCGTCTGGTATGGAAACTCCTGGCGGTCTTGCAAGTAGCGTGCCCACAGAGTACGGCACGAATACCGAGTCGGTAGCTGGGGAGATGGATCTGCGCAAGTCCCGCCGCGGCTTCGACACGGAAGACAGCACGCACCCGCGTGCAGCGTACACAGTCATCCAGGAGAAGCAAGCAAAAGCAGAAGGTTTCTTCGGCAGCGACCGCGTGTACGATCTCAAGAACGCGGGCGGTGACATGCGTGTCCTGGGACAAGGCGACGACAGTAGCCGCAAGCGCAAGAAGCCTGGCGATGTGGACGTGTCGTTTGATCCCGATGCCCTGGGCGACGGTATCAGCAAGGAAGATATGCAGCGGCGGTTCGAGGAGAGCCGACGGGAAGAGGGTATCGGCGCTAATTGGAGGAGAGAGGACGGCCTTGATGAGATGATAGCAAGTGAAAGCCGCAAGAGACTGAAGAGAGACGAGGAGAAGAGAGACGACAAGAAGAAGAGCAGCAGCAAGTATAGGTTCTAATATCTGCGGATTGGGAGATTCACCATGTAGTCGTTAGTGTAAAGCATTGCTGAATGGAGGAGTGATAATGAATTGAATTCGCATATTCGGTACCATTACAACGCCTGCTCTCACGTTGTTGTTGTTGTTGTTGTTGGTCTACCTAGGCGCCCGACTGGCATTTGTTACTCGGTATAGCATTGAAAGCGATCAAAGTTTGCTTGTCACACTCACTCGATTCGACCATCGTCACTCGGCTACCTCGACGTGGTCTAGTCCATCATCACATCGAAACCGAAAGGGTCGAAAGGTTGACTGCTGGAAGGCTGGATAACGGAAGATCAGTCCCGGCATTCTGGGAGAGATCCGATTGCTGGAAGATGTTTCTCCGGAAGAGGACAGGAACCAAGCTTGAAGCCGCTCAACTCAGACTGTCTGTCGCTCGAACAACAGACTCTGATGTCATGAGCAGAACGAGAAAGCGAGATCAGCGTCTCGCACATGATCACCTTGTCGCAGCGGGTAGTGTAGGTCAGTATTGAGAACATTCATCTTGTCAAATTCTCTTCTTCGCCTCACGAGTCTCCGTAAAGGACATTCAAAGAGCAGTCTTTTATACAATCCAGCTATGCCTTCGCCGCTTACAATGCTGAGTATAGGCTTCGTCCTTTGTAGCGGCGTATTTGCCATCGATCCCAGACAAGCGACGCCGACATCCAGCGACATTTGCTCCGTGACGGCATACGCTGCCGTCCCGGCAGCCACAGCGTCATGCACATCCATCACGCTGGAAAGTATCAACGTACCGGGCGATGAGACTCTCGACCTTTCTAAGCTGAAAACCGGTACTACAGTCACCTTCGCAGGCACCACAACCTTCGACTTCTTCGAGGGAGATTACAACCTGATCGAAGTCGGCGGCACCAACATCACCATCACCGCCAACCCAGACGCCGTCATCGACGGTAACGGCCAAGCATGGTGGGACGGCCAAGGCAGTAATGGCGGCATCGCCAAGCCTGACCACTTCTTCGTCGTCTCAAAAGCGCTCGGCAACAGCGTCATCAAGGATCTGTACATCCAGAACTATCCTGTGCATTGCTTCTCGATCTCTGGTAGCGCCGGGCTGGTCATGGAGAACATCGTGCTCAACAACACCGCTGGTAATGCTCCGAACAACCGCTCGGCTGGTTTGCCTGCGGCACATAATACCGATGGCTTTGATATCTCGTCTTCTAATGACACGGTACTCAGGGGCAGTACGGTGGTGAATCAGGATGACTGTAAGCTGCTCACATTCATGTACTTCCAGATCTCGCAGCCCATTGCTGACCATGTGTTCCAGGCGTCGCCGTCACCAGCGGAGACCACATCACAGTATCCGAGATGCTCTGCAATGGCGGCCACGGCCTCAGCATCGGCTCTGTCGGCGGCAAGAGCGACAACAACGTGACCAACATTCTGTTTGAAGACTCGCAGATCCTGAACAGTCAAAATGGAGCGAGGATCAAGACGAACTCAGACACTACTGGCTTCATCGCAAAGTAAGCTAGCTAGCTACCGCAAGCGATAACTTACGCCTCGCGAGGCTCAGTACTGACACCGTATATGCAGTATCACGTACCGAAACATCCAGGTCCAGAACATCTCGATCTACGGCATCGATATCCAGCAAGACTACCTCAACGGTGGACCCACCGGTGAGCCGACGAACGGCGTCGTTATCCAGAATGTCACAATGACGAACATTACTGGTACTGCGGAGAGTGATGCGAAGGACTACTACATCCTCTGTGGTGAGGAGAGCTGCTCGGACTTCACGTTCGACGATATTGGCATTGTGGGTGGCACGAATAGTAGTTGTAATGTGCTACCTGAGGGAGACTTTAGTTGCTCGCCGTAGTTAGAGGACGGCCTTGAGAGACGAAGTGGGAAAACCGTGGTCATGCATTGTGGCTCTCCATACGAGTGTATCTCTTCGTCGCCTCTCGCAACTCCACGTAGCGGCTTGTAAAATCTCAGGACTGCCGAAGAATATGGTCTGACCCCGTGGAGCCTCAGCTGGCAAACCGACACGGGAGACCTGGTTGCAGCAGACTACCTGCTTGGACATACTCTGATGCTAGCAAAGAAGCCTAATGTGGCACGAGGCCCTGTGATAACAGACATTTTCGTCATCTCCAAGCTGCAGGGAGTGGTTGTGGTGCTGTATCGTCTACTTGATGGCTGAGAAGAAAGCGTGTCCAGAAGAACGCACACGTTCGTCTCTAGAATGCGTGAGCACGGTGAGGTTCATGTACAGAGCACCAGTGTGCTAATTGTATATTTTTGTGCGAGGATTGCAACATGTAGCTGGACGTATTCACAAAGTTGCAAATTCTCGACCGGCTGCTGCGTTGCCTACCAGGAGTGAGCGGACTGCTGTTCTCTTTATGCAAAGAACGTATCAGCTCGGTTGATCCATACCATACGCAACAATTGCTCGAAAAGAAGTAGGTACTGCACCTCAGGCTGTGGTCGTCCTGCACATGATACCTCTCGTATGTAATACAACTCTCGACACCTTAAGCGAACCGCCCTGTTGTCCAATATTACCTACTGCTTTCATGTCATGAGAGACTTGATCACCGGGCCCAGAGCGGTGGACAGAGGCTTGGAATTAATTCAATCTGCCACTGTGTTTGGATACTCTGATATCAGGTAGACAGCTAGGCCCTGACTTCATCTCCAAGCGCCCAATGCCCCAAGAAATCATAAGTAGCTCTACCTTACGCTCAAGGTTCCAGCCCTCCCAGCGCCTCTCAGGATATCCATATCCATCCGGATCCAATCTTCACGATCCAGACCGGCGTCGCCCAGCGTTATTGATAGCCGCATCCCCTGTCTGGCCCTCTGCGCCTGTGGCGTTGGCGATGCGGTCCGCCTGTCGCTTCTGCGCGCCCTCGGTGCCCTCGAGCAGTGTCTCGATCTTGGTCGATGCGAACTTGCGCGGCGGCACCTTGTTCTCGAACAGGATGTCGAGCTCGGCGTACGTGCGGCCCCTTGTCTCGGCTAGATATTTTGTATGTCATTGGTCAGTAAAGTAGAGCAGATACACATAGATTCCTGGTTTACAACGGTCGAGTCAAGTCGAGTTGCCGTCCTCCAGAAGAAGAAGAGGAGCAAAGGTGTCAAAAGAGACAGACAGGAAGTAAGGAAGTAAGACCAAAAGAGCAACTCACGCATCCGGAAGAATACATAAGTCGTAAACACCGCATTGACCCCCGCCCAGAAGAAGCCCGACTTGAGGCCCCAGTTCCACTCGCCGGGACTGACCTGGCGGTACGAGACGACGTTGACGAAGGCGATGTTGATGGCGTTGTAGCCGTTGCGCGCCAGTATGATCGACTTGGCGCGCAGCCGCGTCGACGGCACCTCGGACACGATGGTGTAGACCACGGGGCCGATGGAGAAGTTGGCTGTGGCGCTCAGGAGCAGCACCATCGTGCCTGCGGCCCATGCCTCAGCGGCGCTGGGGTGCGTGTGGATGCCCATGAAGCCGATGATGCTGTTAGCGGTCAGTCATGTCCTGGTTCGCTGGACATGTACGTATTTATATGGATGGTGGTATTAGCTGAACTCGGAGGTAAGGAATGGTGGGAAGGGGGTAAATAAGGCGCGCATTGGTACATACAGCAGCAGCACAAATATCACACACATGCCGCTAAACATCAGCGTCTTGCGGCCGACCCTGTTCAGCACGAACCAGCTGGTGATGGTACCGACGGCACCCAAGGCATCCTTGCCCCAGTTCAGCTTGAACGAGTCGGCGTCCGAGATGCCCGCTTGCTGGTAGAAGAGCGCCGACAGCCCGCCCAGCGCCGTACCGGACATGGTCTGCGCGATCCAGGTCATGCAGACGATCTCGGTGCGTCGCAGGTCGACGCCTTTGAAGCAGTCCCAGTCTTTAGGAACGACGGTCAGCAGGACAACAGGCGTGAAGAGGAGAGTCGGCTCTTAAGGGACACGAGAGGGTAAAAGGGTCACCCCTGAAAAGACGTACAAGTCGTGCCCGCGGCTACTTGCTTCTCCATCTCGTCGGTATAGACCATTACTAGAAAACAGGTTCAGTTCGCGAAGCCAGACCACCTGACTGACAGGCTGACTGGGACAACATACAAGCCATAGCCGCATCGGCATCGCGTTGCGAGAACCCAGAGCTCCGCGCAAGCCTCTTAAGTGACTCCTCAGCTCTAGCCTTCTGGCCCTTCCGAACACACCACCAAGGCGACTCCGGCGCCAGGTACGTGCCAATGGCGATGGGGATGGGCCAGATCCACTGGAGGGCAAAGGGGATTTTGTATCTAGCACATAGTGAGTCACCTCATGTCATCTCGGAGCTTGATCAGTACACTTACCCCCAGTCGTCCGTTCTAGACTCCAATCCCACAAGCACGCCTGACGATATGAACTGCCCAATGATCCAGCACAGATTAACGTAGGCAGTCAGGTAGTGACGCAGGGGCACTGGGCAGACTTCCGCGGCGTAGACGGTGGTCATGGTCTGGAAGACGCCCCAGGCCATGCCCTGGAACAGCTCGCCCACGAGGAAGACGGTGAGGGTCTCGGCGTAAAAGGGGAAGAAGATGAAGCCCGTGACGCCTATCAGGGCCGTCAGGATGGTCCAGCGGTAGCCCCAGCGCTCGGAGACTATGCCGGCGATCTGAAGTATGGGGTCAGTGCTAAGTTCATATGTAGTTCAAGAGTGTCTATTGTTTAGGGGTGGTAGGTGGCGAACCTGAAGGCCGATGATCTCGCCGACGTTGGTGGCCCCAGAGATGCCGTTTTGCCAGCTTGCGGGGATGGCGTAGACGCCGTTTGGAGCTTTCGTTCCGAACTTGTCACGGAATGCGGGATATGCGGTATCTGTGTATGCCTATTAGTATCATATCATACTACTCCTCGACCGCGTATGAAAGAGAGGAAGACGGGGTGGAAATGTTCAGTTTGCACTTACATGATCCGACGACCGCCGTGCCGTAACCCTCCATGATCAGACACGAAGACAGGAGCATCGACCAGCCGATGGCCTTGGGGTAAACCTTGAAGGCATGGGACAGCTTCATGTGGCGCTCCTTCTCGTTCGCCGCATTGGCCTCGCTCACGAGCGACTACAGCTGGCATCAGGTATGAACTCTTACTTCTCTATCTTCCGATAATGAGGCTTACCATAAAATCGTCCACGTTCGCCGCAATGCGTCCCGCAATGGCCTCGTCAACGTGGACATGCTGGCCGTCCTTGTGAGCCCGCGCCGTCTCAGCGTCCTTCTCGAAGTCCGGCTTCTCGCTCGTGGCGGTGTCGTGGCGAGTTGTCGGCTGCATCTTGATCTCCTCCCCTGTGGTGATATCGTCGTAGTGTGGTTGGGCCATGTTTCCCACGGAGTTCTCCAAACTAGCAATAGGGTCACTGACTGACTACCTGGGATGGGCTTAATATGTATTGAGGGCCATGGAGTAATACACCGCTCTTGCGGCTCTTGTCACTCCCTGAGTGGTGGGCCGGCCAGAGATGATATACCCCATGACCCCATGCTCATGTGACCTCCTCTCGATACCCCAATCCCGACTATCAAACCCCGTACGACATGCTGGCTCCCATTCGGATCCGGCTCAAGTGATTGGCAGGTTGTAACGGCCATATCGTATCTACCACCTACATGATGCAGTGAAGTACTTGGACGTGCGGGGTACGGGTTGCTACCCATGTCCTGATATGTACACCCGTAGTCTGACACTGACTGAAGGTAAGTAACTTCGGCCTAGTGGTTCCCCGGATATGCGATGCGGACGTCCGTTAGCCCAGTCCGACTACCTAATCGTTGCCGAATGAAGCAGGCGGGTTAGGACGTGTTGGAGCAGAAGCCGCACTATAGGTCGTCCGTCCACGTGCTTGCTTGCTTACCTATACTGTCCTTCCCAGAGCTTCGGGAGCCAATGCTTGACTTGACGTCATATCAATATGTGAATGACCGATCGTGTTTGCTCTGTATAGGTATATCGTGGGGATGCAAGATTTGGAATTGCTATTTAGGAATCAGCGTAGACCCCGCAAAAGGGGGTTCATCTTTGCCCTACCATGCGCCTTGTAGATACTACAGGAAAGGTAAACCCGGACATCTTCGAGACTATTCGAGATGGATGTCGACGTTTCTCAAAGCCCTTAAGCTCTAGTCGACTGATGTTGCAGGATGGCTCCATCTGCATAAACACCAGGTATACCTTCACATAGTCGTGAGGTACGTATACACGGCGTATAATGTAGTACCTACAACTCTATCCAAATTCTAGCCTGACGACTTTACCCCTGACCGGCTCGCCTCACTTCTTTCCTTCTCCGCCTGGGGTATTCAGCGAGCACGTCGACTCCCCTGTCGGTAGAGATGCCCCGCGTTTCAGAAACGTCCTGTCCCATACTGGGCCGTTGAGCATACTGGTCCGCGTCAATGCACTCCCCAGTGGGGATTACACAATTTTTTCTATGAGAACGGCCGCACGGTATCCGACAACGGGGATCCCTGTGTGATTTTCTGGAAAGCATATGGAATGCAGCCTCCGCTTCATGACAGACCATCGAGCGAATCTGATGCAATTTGAGGATAGGGACTCCAGACTCCTGTCGCGAAACCTGGACTCGGTCAGAACTTAGGTCAAGTACTCTTGAAGCCCACGTAAGACACCCAATCATACATATGAGACTAGGTGGTCTCACATCACAATAAAGCATAGAGTCCCTCATCAATGATATGGGGACGCACGACTTTCACAACTCATGCTGATCAGGATCTCATAATTGGAGGCATGCTCTCGAGCATATCATACCTACCTTCTCAGAGCCAGCATTCCATGAGAAATTCCTGAAGAGGCACCCACCTGGCAAATTGCTTGCTTAACCCTTTTCTATCGCGCTTGGTACCATCCCACCGTATTATGGTTGGCATCTTTCACAGCGAAAATATGCATCACATGATCACGATGAAGATTTTGGTGGCTACCTTTCTCTCGTGTCATTGCTCTCACAAGTCGCAGTGCAGTATGACCCCAGATGTGTAAATGTATTTGCATTCATCCGCACGTCTCATCTCAAACCCTACGCATCCGAAAACTGCTTTGCTCGTAGGACACGTATAGAAGCACTTATGGCGCCGGATCTCTCGAGAATTCGTCAACGAGTATCTACATAGTCCTGCGCAACCACAACAACGCCGGCCGGGTGTCAACTGCAAACCGTACCGGGAGATTCCAGCCCACGGAGTTTCGAAGCTAAAGCTGCAGTAAAGTCAATGGAAATCATTGTTGGATATCGAGTAATAACCCAACTAGCCGCCCCGTGTGCCCATTTCACCGTCGCCTTGTACTTCGGCACAATGCTTTGGTATGATCGAACCTCGTCACTTGTGGCAGACATTGCAGCGCCACTTTCGGCTGTCGACCGGTTCCGTTGCATCTTCCTTGATGCATCCGACATGATAAAGAGGCCTGTCACAATCCTGCAAACCTGTTAGTCATACTTGGGCTAGATAGGTATTGAGGAAGAAATACTGACCAGATTTGAGCAGATCAGCGTGGACGGACCCCGGACTGGTTGGCCACAAACGGCACATCCCGATACCGATTTGCGATAACCAGCTCTCGGAGGGGACGCCTTCGGGGCCTCAGGCTGATCGGGTCGCCTTTCCGATCTCGCCCGTCGCACAATGGCGAGCGCCTCGAGGATCGTAGGTTCTGTCAAAGCACTGCGTGTTTTTAGATAGCCTAGGTGTTTGGACCACTCAGTCATGCGGCTCTGCGATGCAACCAGCCATGAAGCCTTGGTTTGGACGAATCGAATGTAGACCTCCTGGAGGTGAGGCTCCGAAGTGACACATTCCTTATTCACGAAAGCGTCCCACTTGGAGATATACTCCTTCTCATCTTGATGTACGTCGCTGTAATCCCGGATGATGTCACGGTGCTTCTGTACAAGCCATGTGTCGTCAACCTTAGGCGGGTCAACGAGAGATCCAGGCTCAAGCAAAGATTTGCTAAGCCGGTCGTATATGGGCTGCTTGATAATGGGGATTCGCTGCCTCGTATCCTTGGGCCTTTGAAAACTAGGCATTCGCAAGGGCTGCGCATTGAGTTAGTGTGCGCTTTGATGGAAGACAATTCAGTGCGGCCAGAGCAATCTAACCTTCGTTGGCTCGTGTTGAACCAAAGTTCTGGGTAGTTTCTGCGGTGAGACCTCGTGGTCTTCATCCGTTTCGTGCCCTTCCGGGCTCGAGAGATCCCGTACGGCGGACTTGGACTGACGCGGCGTCTCTTGACCATGAAGGGTGATCCAGATGCGGAAGCCGTTCATGTCAAAGGTGAATTTGTACTCTCTGTGAGCCTCGACATGTCTCACCAGCTGAGCCATGGACGAGTGAGCAGCATAGCAGCGAATGCATTGGTACTCCTTCAGAGGGACATGCCCCGTCCGTGGCAATATCCAAGTAACTTGACCTGTCTCGTTGGCGGCATTGGCGGCATTGGTCAACTTGCGTTGCTTTCTCTCCTTCCGTTCCTTGCCGCGCGCCTTGTCACTCAGGAGTTTCAGGTTGTAGTTCTGTTTCTCCCTCGTCCTCAAGGACCGACTGGGCGTATTGGCATCTCCGTGATCTTCGTCCTCATCCACCAGCCCGTCATTGTTGTCCTTCGGATGTCCGTTGGTGGGTTGTTCGACTCTGCCATTAACATGGCCATTCGTGAGCGGTTCCAACGCCCCATTGGCCAGAGGGACTTTCCTGTCCGTTGAAATAAACGCCTCCCCAGCTCTTGCAGTGCTAGCAGTTGTATGATTTGTAGACCATTCAAAGCATACACGTAACATCATATCAAGCTCTTCTTCTTTACCCGGCTGCTTCCTGATGTTGACGGGATTCAATATATGACCTTTTTCGCTCAGTCTATAGTTGATATGTGATGCGAGAGCCCAATGGTGTGGAGGATAGTCAAAGGTACGGCGCTCCATCTTGGGAAACAACTCAAAAGGCGGCCAGCTGGGATCTCCAGCCGACTCCAGTTCAGCAGTAATTGAGTAGTGATCTAGAAAAGTGAAGACGTCGTCATCGTACCGCCAAACGTAGAGCTTCTCGGCCGGGACGATGAACGGTGTGGGCAGATACACTCTTGCACTTCGACAGATATCGTCGTCGTCTCGGAAGACCTTGACGTTGCATGTCTGACTGTCGCAATGCAGTATGCGTTTTTCCGTGGGCGGATTATGCCTGAAAATCATGATTTTGCAGCGAGCTGGTATGATGGGAATGTCCTTCTGCTCAGTAGAACCATCGTCAGGGTTCGAGCGGTTCGAGCCGCACGCGTCCCTATGACTGATACGGAGGACTTGAATTTTCAGAACCTTTTCGAAATCGCTTGGGTTTTCGGGGAGAAGGCGAGCGAATGCACCGCGTGGGCCAGCCTCTGGATCGGAATCTATTCGCCGTCTCTTGGCAGCACGAGGAGGCGTACCATTGACGACATGGTCACCGTTTGCCGAGGTCACTTTGGTGTCCTTTTGACCCAGAACAAAATTCCAGGCTCGACGAGTGAAGGGCAATTCTCCTGAGCGCTTGTAAGTGGTGGCCATGGCCGAAGGAGACCATGAGCGCAGCTTGCCACGAGACTGTGGCTCCCTGTCCAGACTGAATCAAATTAGTGTAAGATGGCGACGCGAAATCACAATGCACGACTTCCATACGCAAGCGATTATGAATTATGAGTGACCCGGCAGCATGGTGAGTCGTGATGGGTCGTGACGGGGTTGGCAACTGGAAGAGAGCGGCAGGTGGGATCAAGGAATTGTGACAGGTCGGGCACGACAAGTACAAAAGCTGGCCGGGCTGATGGGGTGCCGCTGTGGTGTTGGTAGTGTTTGGTGTGAGAGGCACGAGCGGCCACTGGCCACTCAGGGGGTGGCGACGGGCAGAAAGAAAAGAAGGAGAGACGGGGAAGTTTGAAGGGTAGGTAGTATACAGGTACAGGTACGGGCTGGCGCAGGGCGAGGGACTATACAGGATGTGCAGGTGGTGGTAGACACGTGCGAGATGAGTGACATTGAAACATTGAACCAGACGCGTCGCTGTGGGAAATGGATTGAACATACTGCTGCACAGCCCAACGGCTGCATGTGGCGGAGACATTGTGGCTTGAATCTCGGTCCGGGGGTCCCTCAGTGCTGTGGCGTGGCCGGTTGTGGCTGCTCACATTGGACATGGATGAACGACCCGGACATCAATTGCATGAGTGAGAAACTGTCCGCCTGCACTCCTTACTGCAGACATCTGGCGAGGCTGCAGGCGGGTTGAAGTGCGGCGTACCTGGAAAGTTTGACCAGAAGAATTGAAGTGAGTAAACAAAGGGGCGGTGTTTGGAGTCTACACGCATGAACTTGCACGGAATTCAGAATGGCTGGTGGCTTGAATTGATTATTGAAGACGGCAGGAGAGGCTTCAATTCTTGGAGCGCCCAGCGCGCACTGGTCGAGAGCCTAGGCACCTGGTAGTAGTAGTAGGTGAGCATGTGCCTTCCAATTCCTCCAGCCTCGGGAGTCGATAAGTTAGTAAGATTAATGGTGAACTTCAATGCTAATTGCTACCTATATCTTTCTGATGCTGCCCGTCACGTAATGATGTACTCATAAATCTATATAAATTTATGTATGTATATGTACATGTAGCCCACATACCTACCGGTAGGTACATCATGAAGGTGCTAACCAAATGAGTGAGCGCACTTTATTGGCCGTTGAAAGGGGGAAGGGATAAGAGCTCGGCACAGCCCCGTCCTTCAAGTGACACCACCAATCTTCATTTTCTGCTCCGCTGCCCGAGAGCAAGCATTTTCCTCCCTTTCTCCCATCTTCTGAATATCGTTGCCGAAATAATGTACAACGCACCATCGTGAGAAGGACGCAGATCCCGAAGCTCTGTACGCAACAAGGTATGTAGGTCCCATGGGCCACAACGACTCCGTATCATCAAGTCATGACAAGCTCACATAAGCATTAGCAGGCAAGCAGGAGAATGGATTCTACTCCATACCTAACATCATGATGCGGGTGCAACCTCGACAGTCTGACAAGAGAGAGCTATGTCAGCCGTCGGCAGCGCCACCTTGCATTGTCAAAGGCACAGATCCGATGGGCACGAGATACAATACCCTTAAACTTGCGGCATTTCAAGGTTGGCAAAACCTTAAGGGCTGCCCCGGCAAGGTGTTCCAACACTCCCAGTCGCGGGGCGGGATTGACAGCAGAGTTATCATCAGACCACAGAATGCCCGAGTGCAATTGAATCCCTTGACGGTAGGTCCGGACAGGTAATACCTTCTCTCTTCTTGTTCACGAGGCATTGTTTATGCACGCACTTAATCAGGGCATGTTCTTCCCAATTGCCTCGTGTATTTTTCACGTGCTGTCTTCGCTTGGTGGGGATGCATTCTTGCCCGGCAACAAGTAGGCCCACTTCCGTTATCTCCTTATCTCCGACTGGCGGGGCTCGAACAATGCTATTTTGAAATTCCGCTTTTTCCCCAGCTGCCGCTTTCGTCACCCCGAGCACCTGAGGCAGGCCATATCAATTCCACCTGCATCTGCAACTGCAACTGCAGCAGCACCTTGATCGCACTTCGGATTGTTTTTCATCTACCTCCCCACTCACAACCAGTGCTTCCACCGATGCAAGGCGCATCGTAAGTCTTCGTCTTCGACCAGCATGGACGGCAGCTTCTACAGCACGCCGCCGCGAGGTCGACGTGATCTTCTGCCACGCCTGGCAAAGATCAAGACTCCAGCGCGCACCACCCGGTCTACTGCCCTCTACTTCTCCGACATCACCACCTCTCCCGAGTCCGAGACTACCCCCCAGCTCGAGCTCGAAGACGATCTCCCTCGCCGCGTCTTGCGCAAACGAAAGGCCAACAACACTGCTGTTACCGCCACCGCTACTGCTCCCAAGCGTCGACGCCGAGAACCGACTGTTTTCAGGAAGCAATTCGGAGCTGATGCGACCGAGGCAGATCGCCTGACAGACCATACGCCCCGAGTATTTCCCCCGTGGAGCACTCTTCCGTACCATGTCTGGCTGCGCGTCTTCCACTATATTGCCGTACCAATTCGCAACGTTTCTTCGCGGGGCGAGGATGTGACCGAGGCAGTCGGCAGCCTACTTGCTGCTTCACGCACTTGCAGAGCCACCTGCGAGCCAGCTTTGGCCAACTTGTACAAATGCCCGCCTTTCTACCAGGCCTTTTTCACCAAGTCACCACACGCGACCTTCTCCCAATTCATCCAGACCCTGAGTCTCCCTCCTGCCGATACCATCGTCAAATACCGCCCCAAGGTAGAGATACTGCGCATCGACGTCGATGCCTTCTTGAGCCGGAAGTACAGTAGTGGCCACATGACCCTACAGCGCGTCATCCAGAATCTCCCTCGACTGTCTCATTTGGAGCTGTATCTTCAACTCGATCAACCGCTTTCGCGGGGCCTCGAGTATAACATTAGATGGAAGCTGAGTGAAGACGACCTGATGCAAGCATTCGAGCCAATCCCGGGTGGAGACAAGGCACTGGGGGATAAGACGACGGCGACTCAGCTGCAGAGCTGGCGATGGAACGCTCGTCTCGTGCGAGATGCCTTCTCTCTCGATCGACAACCAGAGATTCATCAGAAACCGAGTTTCGCAAGCATCCGCAAGGTTGCTTACGTGAACTACCAACTTCCGTCTTTGAGCCTTTCGGCCAAGCAGCGTGGGACTGATGAGGTCAAAGAGCGCGATAGACAAACGGTTGCTGACCTTGCTGCGTCTATCTCAGCACTTCCCAACTTGCAACACCTGATACTGGAGTCATCAACAGTCGCTAATGGCTCCCTGCTGGTACTCCTGCCTAATACCCTCAAGCACCTCGAGTTGATCAACTGCTGGGAGATCGTCAGCGATGACGTTGCGAACTTCTTGTCATCGCACGGCCGCTTCTTGCAGACGCTCACGGTAAAACATTGCCAGTCGTTAAGCCTGGGCTTTCTCACTGTTCTCGGAACTGCATGTCCCCAGTTGACTCATCTCGATGTCGACCTCAACTACTTCAGACATCATGAATCGTACGCCGATAACAAACCGGACTACGACGCACTTCTTGAAGACGATCAGGTTCCGACGTGGCCAGCAACAATGCAGTCCATTGAGATCAATCACATGCGTAATTGGAGTCGCAAAGCGGCTGAGAACTTCTTTGGAAGCCTCGTGGATAGTGCCCCTGCACTTCCCCATCTTCGAAGACTCGTCTTCAAGGCCAGCATCGATGTCGCATGGCGTCAACGTGCCGAGCTGTCGAAACAGTTGGTCGAGAAGATGACCCGAGTCTTTAAGAGAAAGTCTGAAGCACCGAAGGATCATCGAACGTTGCGCCCAGCCAAAGTAGAACCAAAAGTCAACGGATGGAAGCATGTCGAGAGCTCATTACCGGTAACACGTCGAAGCATGCGTCTTGCTGATCAACCGTCTGCGCTGCCCTCGCTCGACAGTACCGTATTCACATTTGGGACGAGAGAGCCTCGAAGAGTGTCCGCCGTTGGCAAGGACTTCAAATCGTTGAAGATTGGCACGTCAATCTTTGACGCCGACGATGAGGACAGTGAGGATGAGTTAGCCGCTGAGTATTTCGACTCGCCGCGACCTAAACGCAGGTTGGTGAAATCGAAGAAGCCACAACCGAGCAACGACGAGTTCTACCATGGGCTTTGTGACCTTGTCCACGTCTACATTGACAACCAGAGGCCCAGAGAGCGGCAGCTTGACATGGAGGACTTCTTAGATTCGCCCGACGGGTCAGACTCTGAATGGGATGGTGGTGACCGCGACGTCTTGTGATCGGATGACGTTTCTGGGAAGGAGTCATGGTACGAAACGAATAACGAGGCTTGCATGACAAGATGGAAGGATTCATTTGGCAACGGCGTTAATGGAAAGAACCGGTCATAAAATATACAGGAGTCATCACTGACACGGCGAATTAGCAGGGACAGGTCGCACGAACAAGGCAAATGATACCCCGAATCATGGATGAAATACCACGCTGTACATTAGAATCTTCCGAAGGGAAGCAACGCACCTGCCCACACTCATCACGGTAGAGCGGCAATACAACGCATGCAGAAATACTCTAGATACTCCTTTGCGTGATCACGGCAGCTTCAACGATGTGCTATGAACTACTAATGATGAACGCGTCCAAGTCTGCCGTACTCACCAACTGCAGTCCGACATTGCCTCCGAGCTAGACTCACTTCCAGTAAGTGCTTGCTGTCCCCCTGTGCCTTTTGGTAGCTTTCCCAGATGCTGATAAATCACAAGTCTTGTTGTAATCTATCAGTTGTCTGGGTGGTGCTTGATTAACAGGTCGGATGGAAAGGTTCCATCCGAGATGTATCTAAATACCTAAATTACAGTGGTGAGGTACCTGGGGCAACAAAGGGTTGCCAGGCAGCCTTCATCAGGTAACCTCCAACATATCTGGTGGGGTTACCAGAATACTCCATATGGGTCCATGCACTGGATCCACACCCCCAAGGATTGAGATACTAATGTGCATAATAACCCCGCATAAGCAGTGACCCCAGGGGCAATAGACTGGAATAAGTACCTCATCGCCGCTTATTCCACCAACACATTGTGAGTTCGACTACTCGATACGATGCGGACCTCATCCGTCTCATGTGATCTGGACCGTCCAGCTCCCAACTCGCCCATCCACGCCCCGTGGCCGCGAAGCCCTTGTTACATAAGTTCTCACGAACAGGACTTGTGTATCGGTAATCCGCCCCTCCGGCTTGAACTCATCTAGGCTCTGAAGATGTCTGGCCAGTCGGCATGAAAGAACCCACCCCGAATGTCAGCCCTGATTGATGAGCGATGTCTTCCTGTCGGGCCGTGGGTAAGTGATGGTCTGCTCGAGCTTGCAGGTCGTTAAATTCGTTTCCCAGAAGCAGATTTGGCTTGAGACCGTCATCGTTAATCCTTGGCTCTATCTCGAAAATGCCTATTGCCGGTGCGGCCGCATGGCAACCGACCTGGCATCGCGAGCTTGAACCTGGATTTTTCTGTCATTTGAATTCTTTTTCCCGATGCCTCCAGCATCAATTGGCTTAGGCGGTCGGAACACTCAAAGTTTTTGACTGTTTCAACCCACTACTTCCGGTCCGCCATTTGGTGTGACGAGCCAGTGTTTATGCAGATCGTTCATTTCTGGCCGTGGAAGACGACTCCGATGTATGCGTAGGAACATCGTCTGTCTGGGTCAGAGTGAGACTGCTGCGGCGTAGCATTGACATGGACATAATTTGCTTCGGCGACGTCTGGCTGCATATATTCGTCTGTTCAATCCTCCTTGGGAGTCTTTTTCGACCTGGTGACTGGCGCGTTACAGAAATATCACCATGTATGGCGCGATCACCACCAACGCCAACACAACCTGATACGTCCGCTACCTCACCGTCTTCGTACCCCCCTCGTCTACGGCCGAAAAGATACCGTCGAAGCGCCGAACTAAGCGCAAGCCGAGCGACGTATCGGTTTCCGCGACTACAGAGGATAGTGTCGGTTTTGATGATGATGATGGTGGTGGTGATGGTGGTGGTGATGGTGGTGGTTTGGGGGTTGTGGTGGGGTGATGGGGTTTGTGGTCTTGTAAGATAGTGGAATATGCGTCGGTTTCCAAGGCTGTGGAGGCTGGTGTTGCTGATGGTGGTGGTTTGGGGGTGATGGGATGATGGGTTTTGCGGTCTTCTTGGGAGTCGTCTTGTAAGATCCTAGGGCTTGTGTCGTATGAATGAGTGGGTTCGTCTTTTTCTTCTGTCTGCGGAGCCGGCTGTGTTTCTTCTTCTGCGTAGATGTTGTGCAGCTGCTCTGTGGTGAGGAGGAGGGAGTCTCTATCAACCTCCCGGGGTGAGAATATCTGTGTCGATATATCGGCGGCGAGAACGGTAAAGCGGGTGTGTGTGTGGGTGCTCGTTGGCTGGGTGTGGTTGCCCAGGTGGTGGTGGGCTTGTCCTGCCACGGTGACTGGCACTGTGACGCCGGTCCTTTGCGTGTGCTCTGGTCCATCTGGTAACAATGTGTGTATGGGTGTTGTGGAGTTCTGTCCCTGGATATTGAAAACATGGCATATGCTCGTGATGCTCGTGCAGCCGACGAATAGTACTGAGTGTGACATATCCCCGGTTGCAGTGGCGAACCTGGGAGGTAGGTTGTTGGTCGCGGCTTGGAGCGACATTTTAGGTAGTATAACACTGTTTGGTTGGGAAGACCAAAATTTAAGCCTTCATCTTCAATACAACTTCATAATAAGAGTGAATGTGGATGAATGAATGGTATGGTTAGAGTTATGCGGCCATTTGGAACCCTTTCTCCGCAAGACAGCCCCTTAAGCCACATTGTTCTCGAACCAGAGTTTATTTAATTTGACTTTGGCAAAACTTCCGCAGCAGGGTTATACTTCATCGATGTAATTGAACTTATTGCCCATCGGTGTACTGCCTACCTCGATGATTCGTCCAGATTTGAGTGAGTTACCTCGGCCAGCCATGAGCCCCAAGAGAGTGTTATATTGATGAAATGTCAATTTGGTTGGTCCGAGAGTTGGTCCGAGAGTTGGTCCGAGGATGAGAATTGCCCTTATTGATATGCAATAAGTCTCTCCAGTCTATGTATCTATTGCCATCTTGATGCTAGATACGTAGCTGTATGCATCCCGTAAGTAACCCCTGATGACACGCCGACAGGCGAGACATTCGCGTCATTTCCTATGGGATGCCTGCTCAGAAGTATACCTGCGCGCCGACCCTGTCCCATGACCTTAGATAGAATCCCACGCGTGTGAAGTCATGCTGATGGGGTGATCCTCAAGGAACGAGTGGTTCGGGAGTAGGGTAGCCTTTCTGAAGGTCGCAGGAAGCCGTAGCTCTCCAGAACGAATGACCTTGAGGTGGGTGATCGCCAACCTATCTGACACAAGTTCGTCGAGCTGTGGCTTCTATTAAGGTGACCTTTGGCGGCATGTATTCCTTTAGAGGATCAATGCAGACTAATCGCACTTCTGTCTCGTATTGCCCTGCCGTGTTGCTCTGTTGCCGCCGTGATCAACGAATGAGGTGGGAAGAGTCGCCCCAGGTGTTGAGTTCGTAGTCATGAGGAGCGGCAAACCATCAGTGCGGATATTCATTTCAATCCTGATATAAGGACACCACTCCAGTCGTACAGGGAGGTGGTTTCCCATAGATCCTTGCTCAGCACGCCGCGAAACCCGCTGCTGGCAGCGCCCACCGGTCGTGCTTCGGACGGTGACCACCATGAGGCCTCAGACGCGTCGGCTCGTTCATCGCTGTTTGAGCCCGCCGAATCTTCGGCGTTCGTAGCATCGGACACATTATCCTGCGGCTTGACCGCGATCTCAGGCGTGGCGTCCTGGATGAATGTGTGGATGGAGGTTACGACCCCATCCGTCTGTAGTGTCAAGGCCTTGGGTGTCTTCTTTCGACTGCTGCGCTTCAGTTGCTCCTGCTGAGCTGGGGCATTTTCAAGAGTACTCATGTTGTGCCTGTCGCAAGTTTGAGACTGCCCTGGTTCCTGGGATTTGTGGGGTGAAGTGAGATAAAGAGTGTGGTTTGCGATTCTGGCGGCAATGCTGGCTGAGTGCAACTGCCGACGTGGGAGGATGCTTCCAGGGTTATATACTGTATGGGTCGGAAGCATGAGGACACATTCGACCGAGAACATAAGGTAGGCAGCCGTTGGCAGAAGATAAGAAGACGGGGACGGGCGGCACATGGGGCGGATGGCCGGGGTAGGTGGAGATGGTGGTGATCAGGATCGGTGTTTTTGTTGGATCCATGCGATTCCAGCCTGCAAACCACCTATACCAGGACCCACATGTATGATTAGATAAGTGATTAGATACCGGATTGCGAGGTCACTTAGCCAGACCTTCAGGTCCAGCTAGACCTCCCAATCCAACCATCAGCAACATCATGACCTTGACCCCATACTCGAGTATTATGATTGATCGTTCAAGCCTGTTCCAACAGTTTTCCTATAAATGGCAACATTTGCGGGCCCCTCCGCTCCCACCGAAGACCGCCACCCTCCTTTCGCGGAGTTTCAGCGGACAGACCGAGAACCTCCAGCACTTTCAATCGGAAGTTAGGTCGGTCAAGGGGACACCTCCCAGTGGAAGATGACCCTTCGGCTGCTTGGGGCGAACCTGAAGCCATATTCAGGGTATTCTGGCCAGAATGGCTGGTCCTCTTCTCAAACAAGCCACCACTGTCTGCATCTTCGTTGGAGAATTGTCATTCCCAGAGTAGCCAAAATCCAGAGTACCTCACTTTACAACTGCCAGATCAATTGACAGGTGCAGCCCAACACCTCATATTAAGGATAAGTGTATAAAAAAGATTATTATAAACGTAAAATAGGTTAATGTGATTAATTAGATAACTAAAAAATTAATATGCTTAGAAAGCATTAAAACTATTAAGCAGCTTATGAAAGTATAATAAATAAACCCTAGTTCTTGATTAATTTCCATTTCCTTACCAATCGAGCGAGTCTAGCATAGACTCTCGGAGCTCTCCCAGTCAATGATGCAGATCGTGTTGTCCGGGCGGATTATGACGTTCCGCGCGGCGAGGTCCGTGTAGGTGAACACGGGTGTGGAGTGGGTGCTGGCAACGTCGCGGAAGTGCTTGCGGAGGTCTTCCACCGCTACGGTCGGCGCGTCGAAAGGGCCAAACCAGCCTAGGAGATAGCTAAAGTTGAAGTCGTAGATGTTGTCGAACGGGCCGGGATTGCTTGAGAAGACCTTGGGGTCGTTGAAAGGCCGGCGGCCTAGCGAGCCATAGTAATTCGGGATCGGGATCGGGATTCGTCTCAACTGGTCGACGGAGCCGCGGAGCTGCTGGTGTCAAACAGATCATGGGGGCTTTAAGATGGGTGAAAACGTATATTCTGGTGTAATCCGTATTCTTGTTGTATCTCTTCGAAAATCCTTCTGTGGGCTAAGTGGCCCAAAAATGCCCTATTGGCCTTGTTGGTGCACTGCCACCTCCCTGAACGCCACGGTGGCTTGCGCGCCATTCAACAGCTGGCCTATCGACTGCATCACCTCGGCCTTGGGCGACGGTATGAACTGTTCTAGGGTTTTCCCATTGACTTTTTCCATGATGATCATTGTTAGGCCGGCTTGCTTGTAGATGGCGTACACCGTTGGGACGGTAACCGTGGTGTACTTTCTGACGAATAGCATGTTCTCTCCTTCGATCGGGTGCACGTTCGGTCCCAACTTGGCCATGAAGTGGTCACCGATGGGGATGATGTGGCGATGATACAGGCGAGGATTTGGCTGGAGGATAGAGATGATTTCCTCGAAAGACGGTAGCGGCGCTGGCAGGGTATTTTCAGGGGCGAAATAGGGTAGTACGAGCGGAGTGTAGGACTCCATTGCTTCGATCGGTTTACGTGCTTCGTGGAACTTGTGTTGGTTTTAACGCTTATTCGACGCTCAGTGGCTTGGTTTATCCAGCTTCCTGAGGATTTGTGTCGAAGAGTGATGGAGATTGGTGGCATGAAACGGTAGAGGAAGGGCATAACGTAGTTACATATATATAAGACCTCTATGTTGCTGTCAAGTCTTTCGACCACATGTGTGATCATATTGTGGGAATCTGTTGTTCATAATCCAAGTTCTTTATAATAATGCTGGAGAAACAATTACTAACAATGTAATTGATGTGCCTAGAAGTCTTTGATTTATCTCTTTGACATCACTGCTAAGCGGCGACTCGTTGACGCTCTTTGTCAAGCTCATTGGTGCAGCGGGACGTCTAACATTGCCAATCCATCCAATGGACTCCACGGCGTGGAAGCTGTGTGCCAGGCGAACGCGGTCGCACACATTCTTTGTCGTCAGCTTCCCAGCTGGTCTTCGGGCGCATCTAAGCAGAAGAAATAAGGTGGGCAGATGAGGCTATTGCCGATGGTCATGACACCGCTGGCACTATACCAGAGGACTGCAGGTAGTATGCGTAGGGCCGTAGACCTAGTAGAATTTCTGGGCTCGACACAGCATTAGGTGGTGGGTGAGTCAAGGTCGGTATGTCGATTGTATGTTAATGCTTGTTCGGCGGATCAAGGAATCATGTGTAAAATTATGTATTTTGCTAACGTTTATGCCTAGTATAAGAGTTTTACGACCGTGACGCGGGATCCCTTGGGGCGGCAGCACAGTGCCGGCGGACAGGGTCGTCTCTTCCTCGACATACCGCTGCATGTACACCACACTCATTGGCTTGAGCCAGGGCAGGTCACACACCGTTCCTGCTTAGGGACGACTGGCGAGTTTATCCTTCCACGACAGATTTATGCACGACGTGAGTAGCAGACTCGGTTTCCGTTCTGCCGTCATAGCGACTCGAGGTTTATGTTACAGTACTTACTTTTGTTGCTGAATTCTAGACCAGAATGATATGAATAGAGGCTTCGTGGACCACCCAGTGGCATGGTGCAGCTACGCTGGCAACCACGACGCATCGTGACGAACAATGGGCCTACATGCGGCCGAATACGGATACCACTGATGATCTGCCGGACATCTGCAGCGGCAGTACGGCAGCGGCCGACCCGGGTGCAATAGGTACACACCAAGCCACAGGATGATCACGAAGTCCGCACGTTCGTATCTTATGGTAGTGCGTGAAATACGAATTATACAAGATAAGAGCAAGCCAACCCGCCATCGTCCGAGCAATAGAAGACCGGCATACTCACCAACATGCCGTCGCCACAACCCAAGATCTCCGCCTGGCATACCCTCTTCGAGATTGAAATCTATTTGCCACATCAAACGTGCATGGCTCAGCTCACCGATTGACCACCCTCGATCGTCATAAAGCCCGTCTCGCACTCTGTCGGAAAGGACGTCACGAGCACCGTCGTCATGTCCGTCGGATCGTAATACACCTCCGTGACGGTGAACGGCTCACAGAACGAACTCCAATCCGTGGGCGCCGCCGATGCTGTCTCCAGCCCGCCGGTGACATCGCATAAGCTAACCGTGATGGGGAGGGGGCTTGGCACGTAGACGGTGGTGGTCGCGATGGCTGTGGTCACAGTGACCGTCCTCTCTAGCGACGACGGAGACGGCTGAGATGATTCACTTGACGTGGAATTGTACCAGTGCGTGCTCGTCACGGATGGACGGGACGAAGTAGATGTGGTGTTGAGCCAATGACTTGACGTGCTCGTCGTACCGGTACCGCCAGTCCAGGACACTGAGCTCAGGGGTATGGTGCCGAAGGTCGCGTTGGGCCAAGAGAAAGGTAATGATGTGGGGAAGGAATGGTGCGTAGTGCTCGAATTCCACGATTCGCTACTTGTTATGGGGCTTGTGGCGTGGGGCCAAGAGAAAGGGAATGTTGTGGTCAAGGAATAGCGCGTAGTGCTCGAGTTCCGATATTCGCTACTTGTCACGGTGCTTGAGGAATAGACTACGGAGCTCAGCGGTAGAGAGCTGATTGTGATGTTGTGCCAAGCGATGCTGGAAGAGCTTCGCACATAAGACGACGTGGTTGCGTGGGGCGATGAAGTCGTCGTCGTATGGTGAGTGGAAGACGTGGTGGTACGATGAGACGAGGGCGTTGTCGTATGGCTGTGACTGCTCGTTGAGTGACTTACGGACGCATATGGTGTCGAGTAGTGTGTCGGCTGCGAGCTCGTCTTGCCATGGCCAGACGATGAGGTCGACAAGCAGCTGCTAGGCTCGGTAGGCCGCGGGACCCCTTCGCATCGTCCTGGCTCCTGGCGCGACGTTTCCGAGTAATCGACAACGTGGTAGCCACAGTCTCTGTACTGGGCCATGTAGATGGACCGGCTGTCGTGGTCAAAGACGACTGAGAATCATCAGTCAGTGTTTGCACAGATCATACTTGGGGGGATACTCACCGTACGCGGCCCGCAAGAAGTTGGCACCCAAGATAGCTGGTGAGTCGGGTATTACTACCCTCAATCCCAGATGACATACTCCCTCGGCCTCCACGATGAACTCGTGAAGAGGAACGCGGATCAGCAGGGTATCGAAGCCAATGTCGATCGTGGCATTACGTTGGCGGTGATGGCAATCGACTGTCCAAAGATCTTCAGTCCCGTGGTAGACCCTACCCTCAAAGTAGGTGACGATGAACTCGACGTGCTGTGCAGGAAGATACGTGTACAGCGAGTTGAAATCGATGACGGCAGCATGAGGAGGAGGGAAGAGGTGCTCGTCGACGCAGTTGGCTTGGTCCTCATACCCCACGTTTGTCAATGCGACATAGTAACTAATCAAGCATATGTCAGATACGTGCTGCGTATTGGAACTTCAATGGCTTACCGGGAGAGTCTGTCCCAAGCAGGGAACTCTTGCGCTAGCCGATGAAGCGTTCCGACGTATTTGCCCGTGTTGAGACCTCCGAATAAGATCTCCCCTGGTCACGTTGTCAGCAGATCAGTTGCGGGTGCCAATCAACCACACATACCGTTAGACTTGTCCACGCACCCCAATGCCACACTGAACTGTCGGAAAGATATACCGCCTTTGCTGACCAGGGCGTCAAGCATTGTTCCCTTCGTCCTGGTCGTGCTGCTGCTGCTGGTATTGACCCCGAATTCCAGGCCCAGTATACCAGCGTTCATGCCATAACTGCTGGAGGCGACTCCAATATCAAGCACGCCAACATCAACGCCTGTGAAACAGTTGTTAGGAAGCTGCCACGGCGGTCAATGAGCAAGGTTGGCGGACTCACCAAGGAAGTCGACATAGTCCGTGTAGTAGCAACCCCACGCCACCCCGTCTGTATGGGGCCAATCCCATGGCGTATCGCACTCGAGGGCATTGGAAGTGGTCGAGACATTGGGGCTGTAGAATGAGGTATCGTAGCAGGCTTCGGGCGACAGTGCTGCACTGCAGTTGGGGTTCACCCATAGCTCGTCCGAATAGGCATCGAGCGCAACCCAGACTGCTTGCATCGGGCTCCCAATCTCCACTGGTGATAACCAAAGTCAGCTTGACGAAGCTTGACAAGGGGGAAAGAGGACGAAACTAACGCTTGACAGTATAATAGCCGTCGGGGTCAAACTGAGTCAAGTTGGTACCAAGGGGCGGATCTTCGCGACGTTGTCCATTGGAATGGCTTGCGTCACTTCGTCTCATCGGCAAGCTCACAGGTCCGGTCTGGGGTCGAGCGATCTTAGCCGTGACGCCAATAACCGCGAGACCTAGCAGAAAGAACAGGGTCATCTTGACGCCAGATCAGTTGGAAGCATGGACTCTTGGGGGGTGCGAAAGGTAGAGGTGATAAGAACGCTTTCTCGGCCCTTGTGGACGGGATCGCCTTATGAACAGTTGACAAACGTCCTCAGTGAGGTAGGATACTTTCCAAGCGGTTTGAGGACCTACCAAGCTACAGATTCCTCCAGCCGAGCGGAACTGTACATCAGCCCGAGACCATGGCAAACATTCCCCGTCGACTAGGGGAGTTTCGCGTCCAGTGTGAGGGGGCACAGGGGTCTTCCAATTTCGACGAGAGATCGATCTACACAGGGCTCTGTGATACTACCGCCGCTCAAGCAATCGACTCTACAGCTCAAGTGTAGATGTAGATTGAGCGTTCATAGCAAACCGGTCCGGACACATGGGTTACCAGCTTAATCTACAAACGGTATGGTAATGAACGTCATGTCTAGTGAGGCGGGAAAGATGAGGCACTAGCCCACCTTGTGCCACTTCATCTGAATGATCATATCTGCCCAATAAGTAAGATTTGATGTGTTCTGTCATTACTGCTCTGATGCAGCTCGAACCACTCTTGGGGGTCGATTTGCCCCTATCGCGATGGCACAACATACAGCTTCAGGCCTTCACTAAATCTTGATCTACGTTCGTGGCCTTAATCCGGCGAAGGCGCTCTTCAATACCTATGGTATCGACCGTGCCTGTATCTATCAAGTAATAGCACGCGGGTGTAACGCCAATCTCGGCAATCTGTGCTATTAGTGACGGCTGCAGATACCCCTTACCATAGTGCACCCGAATATGTGTTACAGTCGTCTTACACGAAGGGTAAACTACACCGAAGATGCGGCAGACTACTGCAAGCTCCGGGTCCATTACCGGGCATGTTTGATGCACTAGCCTCTTGCATGCCAGTTGTTATTGAGCAGTATCTTAACAGCAACATCAGTGGTAGCACCATGACTGCTGGCAGACCATATCACTCCGCCGTCATCATCATCGTCAACACAGTCGAAGACACAGCTTGAAGCCATTATGACAGCGATTGGCACCACTGTTGAAGTCAGAGTAGTACTAGATCAACAGAGCCCTTTCGCCATGTAGTGCTTCCCAGAAAATCATGAACCAAGAAATGCGTTGCTCATGGAAGCCTCATTAGAGGTATAATATTGGAGCTCTACATAGGCGATGACCTCTGTAGTCCTTCAGGAGGAGAAGAGCATACACTGAGGGAGAGGTTGACACCGCAAAATGCTTTTCTCTGGACAAGCTCGCCAAATCTCCCCCTTTTCAAAGGGAGATCTGCAGATACCCGCCTCGTACCTCAATTGGGCGCAGCCACTCCTCGGACACTGTGATTCGAGATTGCGCAGCCTTAGATGGTCAAATGAACCCCCCTTTCCTGTGTCCAGTGTCTTATCTTATCAAAAGACTGTGGGTGGGGGGAGTCTCCATATTACATTCATTGTCATAGAACCCCTGAGAGGCCAAAGCTCTTGTTTTCTAACGCATCATTGTTCCTGCGATCGTTTCGTGCTATTGCACACAACACCATGGCCTATAATTCAAGAATTAAATCGATCTCTGGTGCCTGAGAGTGGCTTTGCTCGGACGGCACTCTGGATCTCAATGTGCCAGAATTCAAGACAATCACATCAGCTTGTCAGGATAGGAATGAACGCTTTGACGCTGGGAAATAGTTAATGTTCTCATCATACTATGCGAATGTACTTGCCTTTGAAAGGGCCAAAGCCCGCACTCACAACGTTGTCTCTTGAAGACTTGGGAGTGTCCAGGACTTCATCCGTCTCAAAGAGCGAGTGCTCCCTTTCCAATGATCATCAAGAACCTACAGACGCTGTTGATTGATTGATTGATTGATTGATTGATTGATTGATTGGCAATCGATCAATCTAATCACCTACAGACGATGTTTTCAGGCCCCAGACTTATCTCGAAAATATTTGCAATCATAACTATAGCGGGGGTCACGCATGCTTATATGTGAAAGAATACCTTCTCAGGGGCCACGTATTAAGTTGTTAAACGCCTGGCAGCTTTGGACTTCGACCAGAAGTTCCAGAACAAAGAACTGGCAGTCTTTCCCCCCTGCGTCGTAGCCCTCCAGACGTATTCTCGGGCTGGTTTCTTAATACCACGGATGGCACAGACACGAAGTAGAACAGCCCGCGACGCCCGAGGATCCAAGTCGTTGTAGAAGAGATGGCAAACAGAGACAGCAAACGACATGGGAGCTCTAGCAAAGGCAAGCGCGGACAGTATTTGAACCTGTTCCCATATATGAATCGTCTCGACGTATGTGTTGGTTTCTCCCTCCAGCTGTTATTGTGTTTTAGGGGGAAGCCGCCCCTTAAATTGGCCCAAGCGTTTTGGGTCCATGTGACTGGTTCATCCACTCTCCCTTCGGCTCTAGTGTGGTGAAGCAGAGATGCCTTGGCGTGATTATTTTAATGGTCCTTCGACAGCCCGTTACTTAACCCTGACCACGATAACACTTTTAACATGGTTCCGAAGCACGTCTTCAATGGGAGGAACCAATAACCGAGCCCAACCACTTTCTACTAAGTTAGACAGGAGAACACTGTTAGTATAATCGTTTGGAGGGAATAACGTGTTGCGAAAGTTCATGGTTTTTAAATATCTGATTTCTGTTTAGCAAATAGCTCACTTACTTTCTGGTAGAGTATATCCCTTGACTTGCCCCCGACTTAAGACGAATGCGTCTTCACTCCTTAGTTGCCAATGACCTCTAGTCCCATGTACATTGTACTTCGCCGACACATGTCATGATAGCCCTAGCCCTAAGAATAGAAGACGGCTCTCTATTGATAGAGCGCATCAACCACCGCAAAGGATTTGGCGCAAGTACCACCACCACCACATCCACCACATTTATTCATCCACCACGTTTATTACATCAATCATATCTACCACATCTACCATCCACCACATCCACATCCACCACCACGGCTCATCACGAACGCCGGCTTCACTGCAACACCTTCCATACACACCTGACTTCTCCTTCAACATAACAATCCGGTAAGTCAATATCAATGTCCTGGACTTCCCTTAAGATCCTCTTGCTCTACCAAGGTACCTCGGTACCGCAGCAGTGCAGCCCGACTGACGCCTTGTACATTAGCCCATACGATGCCTCGACCGGCTGCCGTCATCCCCGTGGGTGTCGTCTCCCCTGACGGCGCCTCGTTCGAATGCCGAGAGCTGAAGAACGGAGTCGTCTGCGGAACGACGATGGCGAATCAACTCCGCTACCAGAAGTGCCACTGAATCCGAGTCCACGATCCGAACAGCAACTACGCGATAAACAAGCGCCCGTTCCCCGGCGGCAAGGTCACGTGTCGCGAGGCTGACTGCGGCTCCCAAGTGAGCAACCGCCAGGGACTGGCGCGCCACTATCGAATCAAGCATCAAGACATCAGAGATATGTCCGCCCGGGACTCCTCTAACAAACCTCTACGCCTACTATGGCGTTTAGGGTAAGTCGGCCTCTTTCTTGCCTATGGCAGTCCTTCTGGTATCCGAGATACTGACGATGCTGATATTAGATCGTGGCAGATGGTCTGCACGACACTCTTCCTTCTCGCGAACTGACTCGAGTCGCAGTCTGCTGCTCGAAAGTTGAGGTGAGCCGATCCTAGCCTTGGGAAGCTGGCGCAGACATTGCTAACTCGGTTTAACCACAGATACTTTCCTCGGCGCATTCTTCCTCTCAAGTTGATATGGTAGCGATGGAAGTTGTGTGGGTGTTGCGCGGTTCTGGATGCCTTAGGCAGTCCAACACGAACTCACTTGCGAATCTCCATAGGCGACGAAGATACACTGATCGATCATATCCCGCGACTTGGGGAGGTACGTGCGGACTTTCTGACCGATGCGATGGCGCCTCCAATAATGCTGGGATTTAGTCACTTGCTCATGTGTCGCCGGACGACACGGCTACTGCTGGACCGCAGATACTACCAATTCACCCCGGCCTTGGCTCCCTCAGCCCGTGGTCCAGGCGAAATCCGATGTCGAGGTTCCCGGTCGAGTTTCGAGACACCCGTGAACCGTATGGAGTGGCTACAATGTCTCGGAACAGATTTCGGATGGTGAAGCTGGTTCGCAGCTCCAAAGGTCCGAGAGACGGACCTTAAGTACCTCACGAACTTCAAGATCTCGAGCCTGTGAGTACTTCCTCCAGCGCAAAGTTTTCCTTTTCGATTTGTCGTGCGGCCCATATCGCGCGAGCTTGGGCTCTGCACGCTTGTCACAGGACTGGTTTTCGCGTGGCCTGCCCGTAGCAGATAGATGAAATTTATTCATCATTGCAAAGCACCGTGTTTAGATCAACTCATGGGTTGTCCTGATAATCGAATTTAACTAAGCGCGCTACAGAGTGCAATATACAACTGCGACGTTCGTCAAGACATGCTGCCTCATGGAATATGGCTGAGGCTACAAATTCTGCCTCATTTGGGAATGAGTCCTCTGGTGGAGGGCAAGAATTGTTCCTCCTTCATTATGCGGGTGGATGATAGCGTCGATGCCAAGTATCTTCACTCATCATCATCAGCCTCGTCGTCTTCCGCATCATCATCGTCAGCGTCGTCATCATCAGAACTCGACCCTGACCCTTCGGACTCCCCTTCCGAACCGGGATCATAGTCCTCCTCGTCCTCCTCTTCATCGTCTAGTAAGTTCAGTTGATTCTCGGCTCTTTGCAGTTCGGTTAAACCATCTTCGCCGACATTCCCGTTTGCATCTTCTCCGTCGCCGTCGGTACCTTTCTTGCCCTTGGCGTTTTCGATCAACTCCCTCTTCGCCTTCCGCTGGTCCGCCATGCTCCGATTCTGAAGTTGATGACGCATCACATAGTTCTCGTTGATACCACCGTAGTCTTCCTGATCTATCATGGCGAACTCGATCTCTTCGGTCGCCTCATCGTCGCCGCCTTCGCCGGCGAACACCTCGACCACCATGTTGAACGTCCGTTGTAACACACTAGTGTAGCTGAGGGCTGCAATTCTGTCAAGTGGGATGAACATTAATGGTTTCTTGAAGCCCCACAGAATGCCATTCTCGAGGAAGAAGAGGTAGCCGTCTTTCGAGCCCCTGAATGCCTTGACGTGCACTGCCTGTTCCTTCGGGCGGTGAGCCTGGCGGATCATACTGTGGAACTTGGCCGGGTCTGAAGCTACTATCTGCACATTGTTTGACGCAGCTTGCAGGCACTTCTTGATTGCCCAATGAAACAAAGTCATGTATGTGTCCGAGACGGCGGATGCAGCGCTGGCATTGAGACCGCCGATCGAGCCAGGTTTCGGTGCGCCAGCCGGCACGGTGAACACCAGCGGCTCGCTGAGTAATGGGCTGCCTTGAGTAGGGAAGTAGGAGTTGTGCGGCAAGAGGATGTAGTTATGTTGTACTTGGGATTTGTCGGGAACAGGGAGGTAGAAAGCGTACTCTGGAGACCATCTGTTAGCCATGAGTCCTGGAGGGGTCACTGTTATCAATGCATACCAATACTTTTCCAAGCATAGATTATGCCTGGTAGAGGGGCCGTCGTTCCAGGTGCCCTCGCGTATATGTGTTGGGAGGTGAAGCACAAGTCGAACTTCTTCCGCTGCGGGATGGAGACAGAGATGTCCTTGATCTCCAGCAAGACGTCTTCGCCACCTACATCCTCCGCCGAGCTCGCTGCTGCACCGTTCGACGCATTCCCGTTTTTTGTAGGCTCGACGTCGACTCTGCGCCGCTTGTGGGAGGGTTCGGAAGAGGTCTGGTCGCCGATTTGTTCGTACACGAAGCTCGCAATATCATTGAAAAGCTTGGCTCGCGACGGTGAATCTGTAATCTGTCAACACCTCCCTTATGTCTGTTCAGCCGAGGCCGGGCGATTGTCTTACCAGCAGCCCTTTGAATACCCTCCAATATATCTGGCCTTGACTGAAATACAGAATGGAGCCTCTGGGTATCTAGCCCCGAAGGAGGCATGACGTCTGCTCGCCGACTGACAGACAGGCAGAGATGATGGGCAGTTGATGCCGCTGAAGTGGAATCGTGCGACACGGGGAATGGTGGTTTTGCAAAGATTGGGTTGTCCAGGTTCCGTTTTCCGTATTGCGTTCTGTATCTTTGGTGTTCCGGTTACAGTTGACGGAAGAGGCTGCAAAGCGCTCTCAGCCTTGGCCCTTGGGAAGCGCGCGCCTGGCTTGACGTGACGTAGCACGGTACATAGAGCTTGATTGAGACTGGACCCCTGAGCTGAGGCCTGCTCTTTCGGCCACACTGGATAAGCCACACATACGGCCTTTCCAGCCACACCTAGAGGAACCCCACCACAGTTGAGTGCACTTGCTCCAGTCACTCCAGAGATCCATCTTCAAAGTAGCAAAGGCGACCACAACCGTATCATATCCCTGCTTCTTTCATTCTCTCAATCACTTTCATACCGCCTCGACTCCACGCTCATATTCCAAAGAGCTCGTGCAGAATGGCCATGGCATTCCCAAATATCTACCATCACCGAAAGGTAGCTGATACCTCGGCGAAAGGCTGTGAACTGTGTTATAAACCCAGTACAAGTGTCCTGGTCACACCCGAGAACAAGGTCGGTCATGAAGCTCGCTCACATCCTTTGACGCCACATTCAATCTGACCGGCTTCCCCCCAGGACTTCTTCTATGTATGTGTTGGTCACTTGAAGGAGAAGGGCTTCTGCTCGCCCATCATCGACCATGAGGCCATAGCAGCCAAGAAGAAAGAGATGGACGAAGAGATTGAGAGAGTGAAGAAGGAGTACGAGGACAAGCAGCGCAAGAAGAATGAGAAGCAAGCCGAGAAGGAGAACGACAAGAAAGACGGAAAAGATAAGGATGGCGAGATAGATACCCAGAAGGAGGAGAAGACCGAGAAGAAGGATGAATCAAAGCCGGAAAACGAGGTAGCCGTCCCATCAGCTATTTTTGACGACGTCCTCGACTAATATAGTCGCAGGATAAGGGAGACGTCAAATCCCCACCAAAAGCCGAAGACGAACCCCGAGTCTTCGCATTGCAAAGGTAATACTAAGAGCTAGTCCGAGGACATGGCTTACCCTCTCTGACAGCGGCTTATAGGACCTTCTACCAACAACGAGTTGATCGCAAACGCCAAGCCGAGATGGCCAGGCGAAATCGTGAACGCCTGAGTAATCCTAATTTCTTCCCCTCCGTGCCCAAAGATCAACCTTGAGGCTCAATATATGCGACAGCCACATGTCAATCAGAGCGGTTAATTTGAGGGTCTACTCTCGTGCCGATCCTAGTCTAGATCTGGTAGCTCCATCGGAGACTCGAGGACACCGTCTTGCGCAGAGCTAGATGCCATCTCCATGGACGTGCACAGGAGTCTGCGAGGCAGCTGCATCGTCTGGGCGTACATGGTACTTCTGAAGTATGTACCACATCCGGCCATAGAGCACAGGGCTTGCTGTTGCTTAGCCGGTGACAGCTTACTTACTTTCAGCTACACTTGTTATTGGCCTGGTGAGCAGTCATACTTCTCGGTCAATACAATTGGTTAATGTGTCGGATGCCACGCCTTTGCACATGGAGGGGCGGTGCGGGCCTACACATCGACTACTCGTCATGCACTCACCCTTCACTTTTCCAAATACGGCAAATCGTTCGCGATACACCCAGCGATCTGCTCTAAGCGCACCCCATGTACTTTACTGCTGCCTATCTAACATGCCGGTCTGCTAGTGTGCTTGTCAAGCTGAAGTACTAAGCTTACCAACTTGGTACTTTCCTGCCCGTTGATGCGAGGCGTACGAGATGAAAACGCTATTGGACGAACTTTTTATATGATTATGCCCTTCAACGGGTCAAGCCCTACAAGACGCCTCGAGGTAAGTGCCGCAATGGCACTTCCCGGCTCTAACCACTACGAGGCTCTACGCCGCACGCGTACCACTCCACCGGGCCGCCATCATGCAATAGTTCGGTGGACTTCGTGCTTCAGAATCGCCAGCTATTCTCAAAGACTGCCTCGGACCATTCTTTCTATGAGCTGGGCTCACTGCCAGCGCATGGCTTCCCCGCTTCATCATTCTGACAACGACCTGTACCGCTTCACTGCAGCGGAGTGATATGCAAACCCAAGGCAGATTAGTGCTTACTTTTGCGTCAGCCTACAGACACCCACCGCAGGGAGACAGGGTGGTCTGATGATACTCCAAGTGGTGGGCAATCAGAAGATGCATACCGTTACAGTCAAGTACATGTTGGTCACCATCCGCTTCTTCTTCGAGCAACATCTAAGCACGCCATCGCTGCAGGCCTCTAGTGAGCACCAGCCAACAGACTGGTGGGAAACAGCTGGCAGCTAATGCTCCCGTTGCATGGTCGCAACCAACAACCATACGTGCGTATGGTTGTGCGGCCTTATACGCACAAACCATAAGTACAGGCTACCTTTTCGAAGGATGGCAGGTGGCTGGAAGTCAGCCTTGCAGCATGTAGCACGAAGCTAACTCGGGTTTCGTCAATCTGGGTCGGCATCGTCGTTCTATGGCGGCCAGCCCTGGGCCATCTGTGTAACGCAACAACGCATCTCACAGGACTTTGTCCTATCCTGGACCGAACTGCCGGGCCACGCCCTTCACTCCCAACCGCCCCGTCCTCCTCACAGGGCGCAGTTGTCACATCTGCCCAACCGACCGCGCTTCGGGTGAACAAGGAATGCAATGCTTTTGAGCCCAGACGCCTGCCAAGCCAGCTTACTACTTGCGCCTCCAGTGTACTGTTTATTTGTCCTCATTTCCCTATTCCCTCGCGCGGCGGAACTTGCCAGGACTGGAACTTCTCGGCTTACGGTAATCGCTGCTCACCATCGCTTACGGTCCGGTCGGGACATCCCATACTGCGGGGCCATCTCACGCAACCCATAACCCATGTGAAAAAGTATTTGCCTCTTGCTAGTGCTGACGGTCTTGATCAGTACACACCAGCCCCGGGAGTGAACGTAGGTCAGGCCTACAGTCACACCATGGGGCGGTCAGCGAACGAACTGTCAAATTACCAGCACACGAAAGCCGCTGCTGCAACTCGCTTCTGGTGGCTTGACGAACACCCGAAGTCGGTGAAGAACATACCGAATGAGACACACTCAGCTCCTCAGCACTGGGCGTGATATGAAGGTCTACCGGTACTATTAGACCAGGGAGAGTTCACAGACAAGTGTGGACTAGGCTGCTTGCTTTCTTACTGTGCCCCCCGAAAACCATGACCTTGACCGGCCGGCCCTCTCACTGTTGGGTACCAGCAACACGTTCTTGCGATCCTAAAGTGAACTCAGCCCTGACCACTCGTACCTTTCGCGTCGAGACCGCCACCTCAACAACGGCTTCATGTTGTGTTACCGTCCACCTTCACCATAAGCGCGTCTCGTCAACAGCGTCCACTGCCCGACATGGCCCCAGTTCTCGTCGTCTGCACTATTGGTACCCAGCCAGCATCAGCAGTGTCAGCGGCAACTTTATATGCGAATTCGAACAAGCATATACGTCTCATGCTGGCAGATCCTCGTCCACATCTATGCTCGATGCCATCGAATGAACCAGAGCCACCAATCACGTTCGGCTTCATCCCTCCTGACCAGGGCCTTTTGTTCTAGAAGACCAGGGGAAGGACTCCCGTCAGATCTATCATCTGGCGAGATAAATTACTTTTCCGGCCCCCCCCCGCTGCCCTCCCTGGCTGATCGACCGGGCATCGAGCGCAATTCGCAAGTAGCGATCATACCGCGGGCTGACCCGATGATGCATCTCGAATCACACCGCCACACCGAGACTGTATTCTAGGGAACCACTACTAGCAGACAAGGCTGCCTGTCATCAGTGTTCATCTCCGCCCGCCCTATTTGTGTCGGACACACCCCCTTCGCTGGTAACGAGTACGTGTACATGTTACATGAACCGTGGGGAGCCCCTGAGCTACATGAATGCATATGGGACATCGCAGCTACTAGGTAGATTTTTCACATTCGCGCCCTCTGGCTCTGAGAGGGATCCCCGGGTTATAGGAGAACAAATCCTTATAAATTACCCTGTCGAGACTCCTAAAGCGTGTTTTTAATAGTTTGCTTGTAGGTGTCTTTGCGATTTTTGCGATTCATTTATTCAGGGTTGACATGTACAGGTGCTCTGCTGGCGCGTGATACAAGAAGGGCTACGAATCGAATGCTCCCGCATAGGTGTGAACCATGTGCGCACCCCCAACCTGCGAGCGCCGAGTTGTCGTCTGGCAGGGGGAATGTTGTCGAGATGTGCAGCACCGTATGCCCGCTGCCGGCACGTCACCCCCGTATGCAGGTCAAAAGCATCCCCGAAAGGCAAGTCAACTGTATTGATCCCACCTGAACACCAGCAGTGAAGACCATGTACATGACATCAAGACTCCATCAGGCTTTCACTCATGTGCTGACCGAGCTCACCTTGGGATAAAATACCGCATCCGTCGCTGACTGCAGGGATTTTGCAGGACCGGGAGAACTGCCGGCCAACACCATCCTGGCAGCCCTCGACGCACATGCACTGACGGCATTGCCGACTCAAATACGGTACTCTCAGAGGGAGATGTCTCACTTCGCTGGCGTTACACGAATGAGCGAAGATCCCCCGCCACCGTCGCCATCGCTAACCTCTCGGTCTTTCCCGTGACATATGCAGACAATTTGGCCAAGTGACACAGACAGGGGGGACATCACGGCTTGGAACTTTAAAGGGGGGATTCATGCTGTGTGTTGGTCCATCCGTGCCACTACGTCGGGTTCTCGTTCTCGATAACAAGGAGCAAAAGAACCAACACAAGACGACCTAGCCTTTCGATGTACCTGTACCTCTTACTCAAATGGCGAGGGCAAATGCAAATGGGGAACCAACAGCTAACTTGTCAGGCTGACTGCTGGGAACAAAGTTCCCTTTCAGCTGAACACAGACAATAGCAAGAAAAAGTTCTCGTCGAGTGGTCCCCGGCCACGTGGGTTTTGGGTGCATCTGCGGAACTTTCCCCCTTTTTCCTGCCATCGCATATAACTCACCGACATCGACGATGGATGGAACCAGCACTTGTGTGTAGAAAAGACATTGCATGCGGCGATACAAGATAATCTGCGAATAGTGGATAAATGTAACAATTCCAATCAAATATCCCACCAGCATGCGCCGTATTCGTACACGTAACACAAGGCAGACAAACCGCGTCTCCCGCAACATCGGTCTCAGGCAGCCAGGATAAACTGGACAGACGAGTGCGGATTGTCTACACACAGGGCTGCTTATTCTGCCTTGGTTGGTAGGTAGGCATGGAACGTCATCATGACCAATTTGCCCACATCAGGAGATAGGTTATACCTCAATAGTCAGGTATGTAGCCTCAATAGTCAGGTATGTAGCTGTTGTCACGGTATGCCCATGCGAGGCGCATTGCTGGCAGCAGCAGTTCATCTTCAACCCATGCAGATGGGGCCCTCCTGCCTTCTTTGCAGCAATCCTCACCGAGGAAAAGTTCCTTCGACCTGCGCCGCGCGGCGCGCAATTGCAAGAGAACCTCAATCTTTCGCGCCGCTCTGCTCCCTGCTCTCTCTATATTGCCAATGCGCGCGTGCGGCACCGCGTGCGACCAACCAGTGGGTAGTGAGGAGCGGAACAGTGCCCATGGTATCATTGATGATGGAACTTTCATGCCCTGCGTCCTCTGTGGGAAGATACCCGGTTATCGGTCGTTTGCGCCATTGGCCGGGTCCCCAACGACGGCGCGCGGCACGACAGGGAGCGAGAGATGGAAATTGCGATCCCGTGGAACTTTCAAGGACCGGGATGCGGGCGCTGCTAAGGTAGGTAATAGAGGGTACGGGGAAGGGCGGAAGAGGGATGCCACTTGCCACTTGCGAGGACGCGAGGACGCGAGGAGCAAGCAAGGCGAGGCACGCCCCGTGTCGAGCCCTACGTACGTAGGTATGGTAGGCAGTAAGCCGTGCGGCTGAGCGGCAGAACTTTTCCCAGTCGGTCTAGCAGAAGTTCGAAATCGTACGTGAGTGGCGGGTTCAAATTGCAAAAAATGTCCGGCCGCACGCGCCGCGGAGATCCAATATCCTTACATCGGCATCGACAATTTGAGTGTCCGAAAGACGACCAACTTTGGCGCGCGTCACGGACCTGAGGTGGTAGAGCAAGGGAGAAGGGCCGGTGGTGGAACTTTTCCATCGGCAAGGATGATACAGGGGAAGGCCGAATACTGAACTGGGGTTCATTCCCGTGGTGTGACAAGAGAGATCTGACAGGGCCAGGACCTCGATGGAACTATGAATAAGCCCTAAGATGGGGGGTTTGATAGGGGGGACGGGGTCGCTTTGTGGCACGGGTCTGCCTTGGATGCGCCCGAGGTTCGAGGAGCGAGCGAAGAAGAGTTCCCTGGTTTCCCGATTTGGAAAATGCTGGTTTCCCGATTTAGAAAGTTTAGGGTGGGTGGAAGAAAGTCAGTGAATCGGCAACGCCCCGTGACTGGTTGGTTACATGGCTCGCGATGTACCTGGTCAAATTGCAACAAGCTGTGAGCTTCACGTGTGTGCCACTCTCGGCTCGAGGCCTTGAACTCGGCGGCGGGTTAGGTGACAATACTCGCAGTCGGACAGAAGGAACGTCACGAAAAAGCTGTATAGTTGGTTATTGAGTACCAGCTCCTACCCCCAGCTATCGCTGTCAGCCTGATAGGATTCTAGTCGTAGCTATAGGAAGCCAATGACGTAAGGGACGACTGGACGAAGCCCCTGAAGCAACAGTGCAACTTACAAGAGTCGACGTCGTGTGACTCGTGTCAACAAAGTACCCTATCCACAAGCAGCTGACTCCTTCTCACAAGTTCCCGCTCTGTCCCGAAACCCCCCTACGGCCGCCGCCGTCAGGCCGGGGCGCCACCTCGTCCACCCGGCTCCGGTTCAGCGAGAACGCGGGCACCACCCATTCCCGGCAGCTGCACTTCAGACCCTGCCAAGCGAAGCGGCCAACGGTCGCGCCGCACTTGGAGTTGGGGCAAATCAACCGGCCGTCCAGCGCGCCGTCCTCCAGCATCGGACGCATCCAGGACAAGGTGTCGATGAAGATGTGAGCGCAGTGGCCGCTCTGGGCCTCCCCGACGGGAGCGTGCGGCACCAGGAACTTCGGCGTTGCCAGCATACGTCTGCACTTCTTGCACCGAACCTCGTTGCCCCCCTGTTCCTGCGCCTCTGGTCCTCCTCCCGCCGTTGTTGGTTGATCCACCTCGTCCCCGAAACGGATGTGATCAGCTTCCGGCGCCATGTGCATATCCCGAGCGTCCTTCAACATCCTGTCGTACAGCCACTTCTGGTACGTGGGGTGGCGCTCCACCGCGCCGTCGTCCTCGGCCGGGCAACCCATCTCCCACCACAGCTCCAATTGCTCCATGAAGCCGTCGTTGGGTTCTGCATGAGATCGGACCTCGCGCACGCAGTCCAGAGCCTTCTGGACGGCTTCCTTGGCCGTCTCACGTCGCTGCGAGGTCGCTGCGGCTGAGGGTACGAACGGCCTGCCCCCGAAGCGGTGCGGGTACTTGTACAGAAGGTAGGCAACCACGCAGCTCACGGAACGTGACTTGCCCATGACGCAGTGCACGTAGACTCCACCGGGGCTGGGTGGCGGCGAGGTTGCTCCATCCTGCGCTGTTGTCGGTGTGTTGTCCGAAGACTTAGTTCCATCTGCGACGCTTTGCGGCGGGTACAGACCGCTGTCGATGAAGCGGACGGCGGCCGGCAGATGGGAGAGGAGATCGGACTCCTCGAGGTCGTCAATGTCAATGCTCATGTGCTTGAAGCGCTTGCCCTCCTCGCTCCACTTGTCGAAAGACCACTTGATGAGAGAGAGAACGTGCGTGATGTTATTATCATACAAATGGTTCCGGTAGGATTCGATGTTGAGAATCCAGAGCCTGCACGTTCTTTATCAGTCACATCCCTATCGCCAGCAAGATGTTGCTGAGCAAGTAAGACACGGAGGAATGGCCGGAGATATTTACCCTCCAACAAACAAGTTGGCATCCCCTGGGATCCTGGACATGGACGACATGTTGCCAGTATGCGGGGACTATGCAGTTCAGTGTTGCTCTCATGGGAAGTCTGAGTTATTATGAATTGGTATGCTTAGGTAGATAGGTAGCGAGGACTGTGGCCTTCATCCCAGAACTGCGTGGCTGGAGGCTCCCTTAAGTATGAGGGACTGCAAGATATAGCTGACAAAGGCGTGATGTGGTGTGCCGTACTATGAAACTCACGACCTCTGAAATCTTTGTCTGTGTCATATGGTCCGTTCCATGCTTCTAGAGCTCCAATGGAAGTTCCTAGCTGGAGGTACGCAAGACGGCACGAGAGGCTGAGGCCCGCGAGCCGATTCTCTGGCCGGCAAGCGGGAGTGGCGTTGTGCAAATCTTGGGCTAGCGTGGGGTAAAGGACGCCAACCTGGATTAGACAAGGGGTCTAATTGGTAGGTATTTCCTTAGGTATTTCTTTTGTAGGGCTGAATCCTCGGAGTGGCTCCATAAAAGCTACCTACCCAATCAGCATCCGGTACTTGGACTTGGGGTGTGCGGGGCTGCGCTTTGAGATGGAACTTGCGATTTCCGTGCAAGAACCAGCCCCCGTTTTCGTGCAACTTCTTGTAGCATGATGCCTTTTCTTTGCAGTAGAGTCCCTTGAACAGTCGTGCAAGTACCTCTGACACTAGGTGCAAGGAAGGCCTTTTACTGGGAGCCTAATGTGGCTTGTCTCCAAGCGCGTCTCAAAATACAGCATTGTAGGTCTGAGGCGCTGATAGATTGATTTTAATATTTGAACAAGCATTGTGCTACACTGTTGCCTTTGTTCGTGTATCATGATTCATTTATATCTAGAAAGTATCTCTTGTTGCCGTACTTAGGTCAAACAGCTGTAGTTGTATGTCTGCCTAACACCATGGCGGCCGGGTATATGCTTGTGGCCATCGGATACTTTCCCAGTTCCAATATGGCCAACCTTTTGTAGCCTTAACGCCTTTCACAATTGATGCAAGGCACGTACCGTCAGCCTATTTATGCTACCCCAGCGGCCACATCCTCCAAGGAATGCGTGCCTTTCTTTCACGTCACTCCGCAGCACAGCGGTATCGAGCCTTAGCAGCCTCCAACGGCAGTAAGCCAATGCTGGCTCTAGTGAGCAGCCTTTGAGCCTGTGTGGTCGAGCAGAGCAGCGAAGGGTACCGGACACCTCTCTGTCGCGGCAAGACATGAGAATTGGTGGACATGCAATCGTGCCGTCAGCAAGCAGCGCCGCTCGTAAACCAACCACTGACATTCAAGCCTCCCACACCCTGGACCCGCAGTACATGGGGGACCGACTTGACGGGCAACGGGAGAGCCTGAAGTTGGCCGACACGGCATGCATCACATCCGTGCCACCGCAAGACACCCAGCACCCAACTGCTTCAGGGTCGGAAGACGGCACAGTAGACCGACACGAATTTCGGAATTCGCTGTGAGGCGGTGCTGCTGCAATACCGCTCAGGCTCTATATGCACCGCTGCGGAGAAGCAACTGCAACATCAGCCATCAGCTGCGTGATTCGACCGGCAAATGTGGTTGCCCACGACGCGACCCCCCTCGGCAAGCACGCATGCCATAACTGACGCATCAATCAATAACAAACCGCTCAGCGTGGTTGCGGGGGGTCTTCCTCCAGCATGCATGCGTTCTCCAGCATGTTGGTCCATTTCCCGCTCGTTCCAGCATGGCTGTGCTTGAGATGTTGGCGGAAATGGTCGGCACGAAAGAACTTCTTGCTCGAATTGCATTCACGGAATTTGTGTACATCCTGAAGATGTCGCAATCGCTCGTCCCAATCCAGCTCTGTGGGATGCCGTGAACGCCCCGCACCACCATTTCGCGCAAACTCCTCTCCGCAATAACCGCACGAGTCGGCTTCCCCGGGTCTGTTGGTGCTCTCGTGAAACGCTCGGTCGTAGCTAGACATCAAAAGAGCAGAGCAGGACCAGCTGTGCCGTCTGACATGCAAGCTGTTCTGGTGGCGCTCCGCCTCGTTCTTGTTCTTGAACCTGTTGCCACAGAACGAACATTCATACTGCTTCTCAGCTTCATGCGTGCTGGAAGATTGTCAGAGACCCGTCATCATACAGGAAGAAGCTACACTCATGCCGGCTACTTTCAGGAACTTACCTGAGTTCTTCTGCTGTCTCAAATTTTTTCGGCTTCTTAGGACAGCACTCGCACATGAAGAAACCACCCTGAATTTTCGAAATGCTTGCTTTTGGTACTTCGCTTACTTTGCGGGGTGTTGCGAGTGATCTGTTCTCGTTGCTGAGGTTTCGTTGATGGGGCATGCGAGCTAGAGGGGCGCTCGGCGAAGGAGCGAGAGATAGAGGCGTATTGTAGGGTGAATTGTTCATGACTTCAATTGGGGAAAAGCCACCCGAAGATATGCCACTAGGAGATCTTCCACCAAACGAGTTCAAGCTGGAAATGCTAGTGGTCAACGAGGGTGCTGATACGTAAGAACCGGTTCGTCCTGTAGAGGATACAGACGAGATCGACTCTGGTGGAAGGACACTGAGACGAGGCGTTGGAGACGCTCGTGACACACCCTCACGCCGACGGAGTAGCTCGCAGGAACCTGGTACGCCTTGCATCGGGACATCATCGCCGGGCGGCGATGATGCCCGCCTCTTCTGTCCCACGGTCTGATATTCGGGGCGCATTAAAGAGTCGTCGATATGAAGCCTTCTGATCCCCGATGTTTCTTCCATTGGAAAATCATTATCATCTACACTGCTGTGCGTAGACATGGTGGCGTCATCACTGTTGTTCCTCCTTGTCCGCGGAAATGGCGATCTATCGACATCCGCAGGGTCTATGGGAGATCGGTACTCTGCGTTGGAAGCTCCATAGTACGGCATGCTTCGAGGCGAGGCGGTGGCATGTAGTGGAGTTTCTGTAAACCGTACCGGTGAATCGATCAAAGACTTGTCGTTGGGTCGGATAGCTAGCGACAGCTGTGGCACTTGGGGATGCAGGCGTTGCCCAGCTCGGCCTGGACGAGATACCGCGTCAGCTGAGGAGCTGATGACAGACCGCTGGGGTGGCGAACGATTATCGAAAGTGCGTCGTGAATCCAGCTTTTTGAGGAGGTGGTTGTCATAGTCGCTACCACTCGGCCGGTTGAATTGATATTGATCGTGGGACATGAATAGCTTCTTGGGCAGGGAATCTTGCGAACTGTAGGGACGCATATTATGTTAGCTTATGCGCTCCCTGGTTGCATATTGTTTAACGCCGCCGAGTTCACATACCCAAGTGAGGATATCGTGGAGTTCAAACTATGATAGCCCTCGTCTCTGTGGTTAGGCCGTGCAGCCCTCTGCTCATTCTCCTGGTTACCGAATCGAGGTCGATCGACCTCGGCGTCACGCTTTGGACTATCCCAGCTCCCACTCGAGTCAATTGAAGGAATCCGGTCGTGTCGGGGTGGACCGGGAAAGCCCATTATAGGGACGTATCTCGGCGGTGGTAGAGGGGGAGGCGCATCATCTTCGGCCAGATGGCGGTTGTTGGGTATCGACATTGGAATAGAAGCAAGGGCGGGAGAGAGACTGGATGACGACGGCACGCGGGACGTGTTGGAACCTCCAGGCTGGTTGAAGCGCTTCGAGCCATCAATGTATATAGCGGGCGGAGGGCCTCCCGGCTCCCTCGGAGCATATCTTGAAGAAGGTATCTCCATACTTTGTGCTCCTTTTTTCTCCCACAGCAACCGAGCTTCGAGGGTCGACTGAGGTTATTGCACACCAATGATAGGGTTGCCACAGGTCGAGGGTAGCCCAGCCAAGCCAGATGGGTGCACAGCCGGAAAATTAAGTGCTTAACTGGAGGGACAGGTGCTGGAGGGACAGGTAGTCAACTCGAAGGGGAATAGGTCATCCAAGACGATGAGGCGGTATTCGTGCTGCCGCGAACGCGAGAGGCGAGCCAACAATGGCTTGGGACTGAATCAAGGAGTAGACGTCGTAGGGATGACGGTGGCGAGTTGGTGCTGGCAGTGCCGAGTTCAGTCGGCAGAACCAGTGGTTCCTGTGTCGCCAGAGACTTCGGGGTTAATAACTCGTGCGAGGGTATTCTAGGATACGAAAAGATGCATCGCCATAAGAGAAAGCAGAATGCCACCCAGTCAGCACCGGCGTGGAGGTTCAGCGGACGACGCTGGAGACTTGAAGCAGAAAACCAAATTAGAGTCCGGGGCTACTTGAGTATCATGAGGCCGAGACGAGAGTCCAATGCTGCTGATCGACAGATGGAGAGGCGAAAAAGATCTTGTTGGCTGAGCAGCTGCCCAATTGCGTGACCGGACTGGTTGCGACTCGAGATTTCGGAGGCGGTTAGGCAAGGTAAGAAGGTCGTGTTCGTGTTATGGCTCGGCAAGGCGAAAAGCGGCAGTGGGGAAAGGGAGGTAGAACCGTAAAACACAAAAGCCCGAGTACAGCACTAGCAGCCACGAATGCTATGTATGTCTTTTTCTTTCGAACGGTGAGAGGCAGCACGGTTGCAATCCAGTCTAAACACCTGCAAGAAGAATCGCAAGGCAATAATAATAATGGAAGGCACAGCTGTACGCGAACTCCACCGGCAGACCTGCGAGTAGCGAGACTGGGGATGAGGAGGGGCGAGGGTACGATACATAAGATATTCAGTTGCCCACGATGTTGCTAATTGCTAGGTACTCCCCAGTACATCAATGGCCGTGCTTGGCGTATGTATGTATATGTACCGCACTTATGTATGTGGAGGCCGCACGTCAATCAGCACGGAGGTAGACCGCAATCAAGTACCTATACCTACCTACGTACCTGCTAGTGGGAGTGGGACATCAACGCGCGTGGGTGTGGATGCGGTTATTCAGCCCTCCAAGGCAGGGATCACCAGTGGAGCTCGCGGACGGACTAGGTAGCGTTCCAGGCGTCCCACACGGGCAAGTACAAAGTACCCCTGAGAGAGGTGGATACTGAAGGGTGTGTCATTAGGCTGATTGGGAGCTCTGACCCTGTGAGGGGACGTGCCGGCAGTGAGCCATGAGGTAATCAATCTACCCATGCTCACGTAGTGCAGAAAGTGGACTCAAGTACACGTCTAACCTTTAAGAGTAACATACGGCCGCCTACCTGATTACATCAGCCCAGTGTCGTGATGGGGTGTGAATTGAGTCGTAGGGCAGGTTGAACTTTTGGAGTTTTCTGCCGGTACAGGGCTGGCCGGCCGGCAGGCTGCTGCCTCTGCATTTCAAGTGTCGGTTCATACCAACAATGTCGGCTGATGCACAGCGGCATCGACTGCATCTGGTCTCACGACCATCGCACTTATCTGACATATCTGATCATCCGACGACTATTTGTCGCAGAACTTTGCACCTCAAAGTGCCCACCATGATGGGGACCATTGTCATTAATAGACGTCACTTCTCTCCACACGCGCTGACGCAGGAGCAAGTGACATCTAGGTAGTCATCGTTATCGTCATCTATAAGTTCTGCCTGGTAAGAGTCGGTGGAGATTATTATAGAGGGTTGCTCGGAACTTTTCAGGTGATTTCGGGGATACCATCCCCCCTATAGAAGTCCGGACACCCCCACTAGTCGGACAGTCAAACCCCACCATCACTAGTAAAACACCCCTTTGTTTACCTACATGTAAAAGAAGTTATTTAAATCAGAAAAATTCTTTCAAATTAATCATTTAAAAGCATTAAAACTGCTTATTTGTATAGTTTAACGGGCGCTTATATCGCGCGGCCAAAACGTGTTAACCTAGGTGTGATGGTATGGTCACCCATATGGTCACCCATACCACCAGATCTCCAAGCCACTCACATGCATTAGTCACGTGAAAGCGAGCGACTGTTGATCCGCTAGCAACTAGGGCAACGGATAGTGGGGCGGGCACACTATCATATCCCTTACCAGAATTAGCTGGTGGGCTCAATCTCTTCTTCCCTCCTCACCAAGAGATTTTCATACGTAGATAGTGCATACAGGGCTCTTACGTCCTATCTCATCTCCGGAACGTGACACTAGGCTGTTAAATAGCCTTTAAAGCGGCTTTTTTAAAGGCCTTATCTTTATTAATTTTTTATCTTTTGACTTAATAATTATTTCTTCTCATACCTTTGTAAGCGTTTTAAGACTAATAGTACCTCTTTTAAAAAAGATATCATTATTGTTTTAAACTTTTTATTAAAATTAAAATTCTTTTATCGCTTTTTAAGCCGTAACCGCTTTAATTTAACATTTAAGGCTTAAGTTTTTAAGCTTAAATAATAACTTTCGTTTTATTTTTATTTTAAACGCGTTAGCTATCATTTTATATTTGAAGCGCGTGTTAAAGGATTTATTTTTATTAGAAATTATAATCTTCCGGCTTATAATAAAGGTTTATTAGTCTTTTAGTTTAAAGCTTTTAAAACTCTTAGTCTTAAAATTCTTTTACTTATCTTTTTAATTTTCAATATACTAAGCACTTGTTACAGCTAATTAAATAACATTCAATAGTTTTAAGTTAAAAATAAATATTTACTTTAATAAAAGTAAAAGTTCTTACTTGGCTGTAACACCGAATGAAGTTGATTATATTAACAAGCAAGGCATTTGTTGAAAATTTTAACTGTGAGAAAAGTTTCTAATAATGAGCTTTTAAAGCGTTATAAAGCCCGTTATTTAAAGGCTGCATACCGCAATTAATATAAACAGAAAAGAAATATAACAAGATATTGACAAAATGATATATAGTTATAAACTTGTCTTACCAATACCCGTTGACCCGAATTAATTTAAAATAAATAAATAAAGTTCAAGAAAACTCATATACGTATAAAAATATAACTACTATAGCGATTTACTATTTAAAAATAGGTTCAAATTGATATTTTTCTTATTTTATTTACTTATAAAACAAATACAGTTTTTAACTACTAGCAAGCGGCATTAGTAAAAGTCTCGCCATTTTTTAATCATATAAAATGCTAATCGGCGGTCGTTTAAAACTCTTTGATAAACTATTAAACTTAAAAGTCTTTTTTTAAATAATACCGGGTTTAAAGATTTTTCCCAAAGTTAAAATAGCTTTAATAAAAGAGGTTTAACTACGGGTTTAAAAGCTCTTTGATAGGGATTTTTTAAGTAGTAAAACTACTTAAATAAAAGAGTCGATACTTATAAATACGATTAAAATTTTATAGAATTAAAAGGGTAAGTAGAGTTATTATAGCCTGTTATAATGCCGCTTTTGTTGACATTATACGTGTTTTTTGGACTTTATTTATCCGTAATTTTCGAGAATTTCAAAGAATTAATGAACTGCTTTAAGCGTAGACCTTTTATATCGCACTAATCTTATTTGTTTACTGATTTTAATCTTTATTTAAAGGTTATAGCGCTCAAAACTCGCTATAAACCTGTTTTTAAAAAGGCATTTATTTCCCTTTTTAACAACTTTATAACGATCTTGTGATGGATTTGATATCCATCATGGTGTGTGCGCTCCCATCATGTAACCTGGTGGGCTGGACGCGTTGCCTCGCTACACAGATATTTAGATAATTATGGTCGGGATTTAGGATCCATCACCCTACCAGAATTGGCTGGTGTGACAGATCCTTCTTCCCTTTCCTTACCAGAGTATTTTGTATAATACGAGTGATTGATGGGCATCTTCGTCCTGTGCTTGTATCTGTCCCGTGACAGATCTTACGAATTAAAAGGTATAAAAGAGCTGATCTTAGCTTCTTTTAACGTAAAATCCATTCGATTATAATAGTTTTTTAAGTAGAAGAAAGTCTTTGTTACTATGTATAAGCTTCGGCCCTTGTAAGCTTGCTGTTAAGTTAATTAAACAACGTTTAAAGCAAGATGTTATGTTTTTAATCCCTTTTTTATAAAATCAAGCCTTTATCCGTAATATTTAAAATAATATTTACTATTTAATCCTTTAAATATAAATATAAATACATTTTTACGGCAATATAATATTGCGTTGCATATAAAATAAGGCTTTGAAAGAGCCTTATAAGGCCGTAAACTTATTAATCAAAATAAAAAACGCGGGGTAATAGATAACTAATTACGTAAGTTAAGCGGGGTAAATTCTACATTAAAGTAAACCTTAAAATCAGGGCTATTTAAAGCAGTAATCCCATTTTAAGTAACTTCAATATCGGGCTGAAAGCATGTAAGTAAATAAAAGGGTGTTTTAGTAGTAATGGTGGGGTTTGGCTGTCCGACTAGTAGGGGTGTCCAACTTCTATGGGGGGATGGTAGTATGTGTTGAATACACGGATGTTGATTGATACTATTGATTGTTCTGCTCTGCGTGCAGAGATTGATCATCTGTCTTTAGAGATGACCGGTTGAGCCTATTTCAATAGTGATGTGACAAATGTGCATGCCATAGCAAGTCATAGACTTGGACTCATTGACATAGACCTAGTCGTGTTCGCCAGTGGAGAAGCACTGGATATAGCACGCTTATCAATAGACCTGACTCGGTCCAGTGTTTAGAACTTTAGAGGTTATGTGTGTCTCGCAGATTAATCTAGACTTAGCCCAGAGCCGCAATCACGTCTACTTTGCATCAAAAGGACGCCTCCTATCAGGAGGTTTCAACGCTATCGGAAAGTTGATCATAGTCCCTTGTTGTTCATATGTCCAGCTGTAGATCAACATGCTGCCGCCGATGGGAC